GAAGAAGAAGAAGAAGAAGAAGAAGAAGAAGAAGAAGAAGAAGAAGAAGAAGAAGAAGAAGAAGAAGAAGAAGAAGAAGAAGAAGAAGAAGAAGATACTGGCGTGGATCAACAAGATCCACAAGGACTGTACTATCTCTCCGGCATGGAGAGTTTCATCTCGACGATGGAAACGTCGGCGCTGGCGGGTATGAATGTGGCCCGATTGATTGTTGACAGCTTACAATCACAATCTCAATCGCAATCTCGGCAGGACGCATGCCTTTGACATACCTTGGACCATAACAGGTAGATGAATCCGATCGAGGGCGCCGGAGTGTGGTACACGACTAGACTACTGACTAGACTATTGACTATCGAACACTATGGTGTGACTATCTTACCTCCATGATGCCTCCCAAGGACAAACCGTTACTTTACCTTGGAGTACCTGGCTTACAGAACCTTACGAAGATCGAAAGATTGAAATAACTTATTGTACCAAATATAGTACAAGGTACTTACCGTAGATACCTTACTCGGCCATTCACATTGCTCAGAATACCTAGTGATGCTAGGTACGACTAAGGTAAGGTAGGAGGAACACCTGGAGTAAATGTACGTATAAGGTACTTCGCATTCGGTAACAGTATGAGATCAACAGACGGAAGTATAGGAGTAAAAAGAAATCACACAGTTATCGCACTTTAACCATTCTGTACGTAGTACGACTCGACACAGCTCTGCCTTTACAGTAGGCTTCAAGTCCGCCCCTCAATTCGCCTTCAGGTCCTCAGGTGGCTCGGTGGACGGTGTCTAACTTAAGACAAGTCCTGTCTCCGTACTCGTCTTATATGCCATATGCACATACAAGACACCCGATTCCTCTGTCTCACACCCACAAAGTGTAGAACTGCGTCAGTGCCTCAGAGAGAGAGAGAGAGACTCTTCGACCACACCAGACAGACCAGACCGTACCCGGCCCTGTCCATTCGCCATATGGAGTTGGTCCATAGCAATAACGCCCATCTCCAGCGCAAAGCCATCGCAAGCGAAACGCCTTAACAGCCACACGCCTGACACCAATCATGAGTACCGTGAAAGTCATAACATAACCTGACCCCCCAACCGTGATGCAACACTGCAATCGTGACTGTTTCATTAAGCGTCATACTGATGGATTCGAAAAGGATAGTATACTCCAAAGGTAAACCATAACCATAACCACAGCCACGATATGGTCATGACTACCTGGGAGTAACAATTTGTTGAAGTCGCACATTTCCCCCCGTTTCCCCCAAGAACAAACCGCCAGGCTACCTGTTATGCTCATGCCGACTCGCATCAAGTCACAATGGGTTTGCCGGGTCGGCTCCGATCTTGTCCCCCGTTGGAATAGGAGCCTGAATCGTCTCTCCGTGGTGTGCCGCAGGTGCAGGAGCTGCAACTGGTGGATGTTTGTTCGTCTCCAGGGGCTGCGAGACAGCTGGTGATGCCGCAGACGGTTCGATGGGTCTCGCACCATTCGCGGTGCTGGGATTATTTGTTGTGTTACCTGCACCGCCAATAGGACCATTCGCGGGCTTGGTGGAGTTGGCGGCCGTGACAATGGTCATAGGACCTGGAACCGATGCCGAAGGAGCCATATTTGTTGGGTTCGGCGGAGCTGGCGAGCCAGTGTTCGAGAAGCCCACGAAATTGGGATTCTTGTACCGGTTGATGAACCTCTGGATATGTTCCATGATTATATGTTCTTCTTTGCACTCACCCTCCACCATGGAGGAGTAAGTTGCCCCATGGAGCATTCGACGTTGAGCAGAGGCGAACAACTTCCGGGCCGTTTCGATTTGATGTGGATCGATGTTGTTGTACATGGCAGTTTCGAATCTCCTGATTGCTAACAGACCATCCGTCGTGCAAGGCATATTCCGTGAGGCCGAAGAGCTAGCAGGTGCTGGTGGGGGCGGACCTGGTGTTGCGGAAGAGAGATTTTGGTTGGAAGCAGCCTGCTGACCTGTCCCGGGCTGTTGTCCGAGAGACGGGGGACGAGCACCGTGTGCAGGCGGATAAAATTGATTCGGCAGTTGACCTGGCGGCAGTGACTGGGCGGCACCTCCAATCGCAATCGATGATGAAGATCCTCCAGGTGCAAAGGGCGCGGGATATGGCATTCCATTCGGCGGTGGCGGCATTGAACCATTTGGAGCTTGCGCGAAGAAAGTCGGAGGGGCGCCCCTTGGTGGCATGCCGTTTTGTTGAGGATAAGACATGTTGTTTTGCCAGTTAAGAGGTGGAGGTGGCCCTTGTTGAGAATGTTGGCGTGGTGCCGGGTTGGGTTTCGGTTTTGATGCCGCCGCTTGTTGAGCAGCTCTTCGTCTCTCTGCCTGTGGTTGCAGGGCTCCTGGTATAGCCTTCCAAGCCCATCCTTTGCCTTCTTTCTTGTCCTTCTCAAACAGTTTGTTCCATTCCTGATTCAAGTTGTGCCGGACACTACTTTGCCAGCCCTCCGAATCGACCCTGTGAACGAAAAAAGGGAATTTTAACTTCAGAGCTCGGTAGATGAGCTTCAAGGGCAGAGCCTGGGGATGGACATCGATTAGGATATCATAGATCAAGCGAGCGTACGGCTCGGATGGTCGGGCAAGCTGCTCTTCGTTCAAAGTCTCGGCAGCAGGATAGTCTGGAGAAGGCGACTTCGATTGTCTGGCCTTCTTCACTGGTGGTGTTTCCGTCTCGCTAAGGACGTCAATCTCACCACCTTCAATCGACGGAACGACGTCGCCATCTTCGCCCGGTCGTTTTCTCTTCTTGTACTTTCTCTTCTCTGGTTTCGAGTCGACGGGCATCGGCTCTTCCTTGATCATAGCCGGTTTGGGAAATTTGCCTTTCATGAGCGGCGGCGGTGTCTTTCCTCCATTGGCGGCCTTTGCTGCAGCATCTTTCGCGGCTTTCTCCCGTTCTTTCCGTTCTCGGTTGGACATGACGCCGTCTTTGGGCGGCCGACCAGGTCCGCGCTTTTTCGGTGGCATGGGCTGGCCATCGGGTCCGACAAGCGGATCTGGTGTGCCATGGGACGGCTTCTGAGGGGCGGTATTTAATGTGATCTTGAGCTTTGTCTTGCCACCACGTGGTGGGGAAGCGCTCCTTTCAATCTCATCCGACGTTGGTGAAGTGCTCCGTTGCGGCGGAGGGCTTGGGTGCGCTTCTTCGTGCTCGGATTCTTCACTCGCGGGCTCTGCATTCTGACTCGGCAGCCGAAAACTCATCCAGACATTGGAAATCTGGATCTTGGAACCATCACGTAATCGCTTGACTGAACCGCGCTGCAGATACTGATCGTCCAGAAAGGCACCGTTTCTGCCCAACACCTTCATCTGAAAGCACTCCTTGTCAAAATCCCATTGAATCTTGACATGCCGTCGAGAGATACTTCTGTGGTTCTCGACTTCTGATTTCTGGAAGTTGCGCATCGCATGAATAGGGATGAGGGGGCAATTGTGAGCGTCAGGGATGTGGTCGGCCGTGACAGGTGCGGGCTGTTCATTATCTGGTTCGGGATCGTGTTCGTGCTCCAGTTGCGCTTGACGTTCTGCCATCTTATGGTAGTCAAAGGGAATGAGTGGAGGGTTGATGAGCACTTCTTGTGGTTTGACGACACTACCGCCAGACCTTTCAGATGAATGAGAGTCCATAGGATGACCGTCGTCATGCTCGCCATTTTGCAGCAGGGGAGCCTCGTCCACACCGCCGAACCCACCCGCCTCACTGACGACGCTGCCTTGTACTTGACTCTCGCCTGGTCTGGGCACGGCTTCCGACAGACCTGACCGTCTCCCACTGGAACTCTGAGCGGCGTCTTGCCCTGCCTGGCGCGCTTGCTCAGCTCTTGTGAGGGCGGCTCTGTAGGCGAAAGCGTCGCGACCCAGCTCACAGGCGTATGTGGTTATGTAATAGTTTCCATCCTCAAATTCGATCTTCGCGAAAGCCTCGATTTCCCGCCGTTCTGGTTGCGGATCTTGCGACGGTATCGGCGGTTGAGATTCGCCTTGAGTCATGGTCAGTGGTTCTTCGCCTATGAGAGTGGCCTGTGATGGGTCGAAAGGGTCTTGAGGGAAGCTGGAGGGAAACGGAGGAGCATTCTCGTCCAGGAAGTCGTCGGTACTGAGAGGAGGAAGTGGAGGGAGGGACATGGTGACGGTAGGATCTGTATTCATGGTATTGTTTGTCGAGCTGTTTCCGTTCGGTGTATATTCACTGGCTTCTGCCTGTTTGCCCGAGACTTCACTCGTGGTCGGAGGAAGGATCGATTCTGTTGTCCCGTTCGTTGTAGTTGCGGTCTGGGTCGGACTCATGGGCGCCAAAGCCGCCAGTAGATTTCCCACGGCTTGTTTCCTTTGTTGCGCGTCCATTTCGACCCAAGAATTACCGTCTGAGGCGGGTGTTTCGTTTGAATGGCATTGTTCTACTTCATCTTGTGGCTGCGAGGCGTGCTCGTGAAGGTTCGAGGGACCAGACCATGCTGGGTGTTCAAAGTCATGCAGGTCGATCGCTTCCGAAGGGAAATCCGGCAGACCTCTTGTCGACGTCGCAATTGCCTGCGACGACATAGGGAGGTCTGCGAATTGAGTGAGAGGAAAGCGCGGAGAGGTTGTCTTGTCACAGGCTCGCTGGCTTGTCCTTGAGAGGGAGGGAGAGACGAGGCGAGTCGAGTCGGGCAACAAAAAGTCGAAGTCTGGCGGCGGGCAGAAACAGACTCGCTGGAGTTGGGGTTCGACCAATCAGAGACTCTGATGGGCTCTGATGGGCCTCTTCTCCGACTCAGAATTTGTCTCCCAGTGGTCTCCCCCCAAGTCATACCTATCACATGTCGAGTGGACATTTGCCCTTGAGTCAGAGGATGGACGAGTGGACATTTGCCCTTGGATCTCCCATATGACTCCATTAACTTCCAACTCATCGATATCATGGCCCCACGAATGAAGCAAACGCAGCCTCAGCCCAAGACAGAGGCTACCACCAAGACCCGCGCGCCGAATTGGCCTCCTTTGACTCCTGTCATACCGGCGGCGCATCTTTCCATGGAGACGGTCTTAGCAGGACAAATTGTGATTATCCGAAATCTATTCACCTCCGCGCTATGCAGGAACTACGTATCTTTTCTGTCTACATTACCCTTGACTACGACGCCGGGAAAGCCTAAGCGTGGAGAGGCAGTCCGGGTCAATGACCGCTTCCAAGTCGACGATCCTGCTTTTGCGAACAGACTCTGGGAGGCAAGTGGGCTCAAGTATCTAGTGGAGATGAATGAAGATGAAACGACCTTCGATGGCAAGGTTCTCGGCTTGAACCCAAACATCCGAGTCTACAGGTATCGACCTGGTCAGTTCTTTGATAGACACTATGATGAGAGTAATAAATTACAGTTTGGCGAAGGCAAGGTACCGGCCAAAACGACGTGGACTCTGCTGATCTACCTCACAACCTGCGAAGGTGGCGAGACTGCCTTCTACCCAGAGGCTCTCAAGAAGGGTGGGAGACCACCTAACCCAATAGTGGTCCCTCTCGAGACCGGTATGGCACTCCTTCACAAGCATGGCGATGATTGTCTGTTCCACGAGGGAAAAGAAGTCCGAAGTGGAGAGAAATGGGTGCTGAGAAGCGATCTCGTCGTAGCCAGGTGACGCTGGTGGTGTTGCTGATACAACTTAGTTGGATGATGTCGATGATCATGCACAAGGCTGCTCGGACTCATCGTTTCAGGTGCTCGGCGTCGGTCTCTGAGATTGTGTCCTCTTTAGCGTTGGCCAGCATCGTGTCGATACCCTTGTCCTTGAGGACTTTCTACAGGCCAGTTAGGTTTGATCCCTCAGAGGTCAGGAATGGCGCACGGTTAAGCAAGATTTGTATTGCTTGAAGAGTGGTTCGCATTCGTCGGTGGATGAGTGTCCGCGAAGATATTCTATGAGCGGTCAGTCCACCCGCTGTTGGAGCCCAAAGTTGAGATCATCATACTTTCAGAGTACCATTTCAAGAAGCATGTATCGTATTTCCTGAAAGCTATTAGCTCTGAAAATGTAGATACAGATTGACTCACTCCTTGACTTCATTGCACTCGGGAGCCAACGATGCCGACATTTCTGGTTGTCGTTGAGCGAGAGGTGACGTGGTTCTTGAAGTTCGCCTCCAGAGAAAGTCGAACTCGAGGCTGCTTCGGATTTCGATTTATGCCCAGCGCGGGGAAACATTAATCCGTGGCGCCCACCAGATGATGGCTGCGCAGGCTGTATTTCGGATTTCGTAGTGCAACAGAGCTCAACTATTGTGCAGACAACCATCTACGACTGCAAAGAAATTTTGAAATGGTCTTGTGCTAGACTGTCGCATTGCTTGCTGATCTCTTCACTTAGTACCCCAACACATCCTCTCCTTCGGTATTCGCTACAGACAATTTCTCTCTGGCCTTTCTCTGCTGACCGTCCGAAAGAAGATTCCTCAAGAGATACACCAATATACACTGTGTCATGCTCTGGTCAAGATAAATCAGAACTTGTCGGTCCACCACTGGGACAGCGCCTATTCTCTCTGCCTTCGGTTGGCGTGAGCGTAAAGCCCTGATATCGCATCCACGCATTGGTGACATGACCCTTCCCATGACTTCATTCACGAGTTCAACTTGGTGACCAACTCCCAGAATCGAGTACAGATTTCCTTACTCTCCTTGGCCCAGAGTGGTCCCTTCTCACTGCCCGTCACTCCTTTGGTAGGACCTTTCTCACCAAGCGTTGCCTGAGCATTCTCCTTGTCAATCACGCCTCGAACGTCCTCTTCTCCAAGAACCACTTTCAATCCGAGATCGTCTCCTTTTGCAGCCTTTCCTAGCGTCGCGCGATCGGGGAACTGCAGCCCAACAAAATCCTTCACCACCTTCATGTTGATACCTTCAAGAACTTGTTGCAGCTGAGCCGCGGCCTTTCCTCCACCATGGCCTCCGTAGCTCACCACCATTGCTGGTTTGCCACTCCACTCATGGTAGAGGTAGTCGATCGCATTCTTGATGCTCGCTGGATAGCCCCAGTTGTACTGTGGGGTGACAAAAATGAAGGCTTGATATGAGGAAATGAATTCTGACCAGGCGCGAGTATGATCGTGTTTGTATTGAGACGAGGATTTGATCTGGGAGGGCACCTCTGGTTCATCGTACCATGGCAGTGGGTGGTCATTGAGATCGATGAGGCTCAGTTCATAGGGTCTTGGGCTCGGGTGAGCCTTCTGGAACTCTTTGAGCGTGTCCAGGACGAAGGTGCTGATCTGCAGGCCTGCGCGTGGGCTGCGCTGACTGCATACTATGACTCCGATCTTATTTGGTCGGATCTTCAAAGCCGCGTTCAGCGCTTTGGAGAGCTCATTGTTATAAAGCGAGGGGTCAATGGCGTTTGACATGATGAGTTGAGAGGGGGTTCTCCGTGATCACGGTGTCGCGCGCACAAAACAATGTATGTCAACTTTGAATAGAGACTAGATGGGAGAAATTATAGATACCTTGGAATGAGCAAGTTCTTATATCTCAGTGTTATTGCCTATCACCTGTGAAGGAGCGGCTTGGACCAATATCATGGCGTGTTCTCTTCACGTCTCTCGAATATATTGGCCATTAGGAAGTCTCCATTCACTCATCATTGTTGGTGGCAGGCCTATCACTGTACCTGCAGGACTTTCGTATTAACGTGTGATTCCACATGCCCAGTCACCCACTGTCTCGCTGTTGGACCAGGTGAGTGATCTAAGTCGTCGTCGGTCGATCACCACTCACTACAGCCAATCAATATGCTGTACGATGCTGTCAAAGCTCGTCGTTGCTTGTCTTTCTATCTCAGTCTCGGCCCTCGGTTTGCGCCTTTTCTCGCTTGCCCATAAAGCCGAGCGCTTCCCCTGGCAGCCACAACAGCGCCCAGACACGGACAGGCAGATCATCCGTGGGCTCAAACTGCAGGTACACCTTCGCTACTGGCATTTTGCCCATTCGGACCTTACAGACTCCGCGAGATTGGCTACGTTAGCCTTCGGTCTTCCTTTGAGATGGTATCTCAGGATCTCGCTCTAGGCAGACACCAAACTTGGAACATCTTTATAAAAGGCCAGAGATGCATGGTCTTGATAAAGGTAAGTCCGATCACAAATGCGACAAACAAGCACAATCGACCTTTCAACAACCATGAACAATCTTCGCATTGCTATTGTTGGCGGCGGTCCCGCTGGCCTCACCTTGGCTAGACTCCTCCAGGTCAACAACATCTCTTGTACAGTTTTCGAGCTCGACCACAGCCCAAGTGACAGAGACCAGGGCGGCTCGATTGACCTGCACCCGCAAGGCGGACAGCTCGCCCTGCGGGAAGCCGGTCTCTTTGATGAATTCAAAATGCTTTCACACCCCGAAGCCGAGGCTTTGAAACTCGTCCGACCAGATGGTAGCGTCATCCACGACGAGAATCTTCCTGGCAACCAACGGAGGCCCGAACAGTACTCGAATCGACCAGAAATTGAGCGTGCCAAACTACGCGACCTACTCCTCGAGTCTCTGCGACCCGATACGGTCGTCTGGGGCAAAAGGCTCATATCCGTAGAAAAGTCGTTCTCCAATCCTGGAAAATACGATCTGCAATTCCAAGATGGCACCGAAAAGGACTATGAACTCGTTGTCGGTGCGGACGGCGCGTGGTCCAGAGTGCGGCCCATTCTCACCGATCAGCAACCCATCTACTCGGGCATCACGGCCATCGAGTTGTGGGCCAACGACGTCAACGAACGCCATCAGTGGCTGGGTGACTTCGTCGGAGCTGGAAGTTTGTTCATGTTTGACGAAGGCCGTGCGATACAAGCTCAGAGGAACGGCGACAACAGTATCCGGATCATGGTTAGTGTGCGGCAGCCCGAGAATTGGCTGGACACATGCGGTATCGACTGGTCTTCGCCTGAGGATGCCATGAGGAAATACCTTGACGAATACTTCAAGGGTTGCGCACAAGATCTGATCCGAGCTTGCCTCGACTGCAACGACCAGATGGTGACGAGGAAATTGTTCATGCTTCCCATCGGTATGAGGTGGGAGAATCGTCCTGGCGTAACGCTCGTGGGTGATGCAGCTCACTTAATGACCCCTTTTGGTGGCGTGGGCATGAATCTGGCCATGATCGATTCCTTGAACCTCGCAAAAGCCATTGCGGCTTGTGACGGTAGTACCGGCGGCCTTGAGAAGGCTATCAACGACTATGAACAGGAGATGTTGGCTCGTGCGGAACAGTTCGCAAACCGAACATGGAAAGGCTTGGAGAATCATTTCAGCGCAGGTGGTGGTGAAGCATTCGTCCGCCGCGCCTTAGGTGGTGGAAAGTGAGATCAGGCCTGGCTGCATGAGAGAGCTTGTACGTTTACTTGAATGGACACCCACGACACCCAACTTAGCGTTTGTTTCTTTTGAAAGGGTTCGGGATACCCCCGTTAACTTAGAATACTGTACTAATACCAATACCTCACTCTACCTATATGATGCGAGACAGCCTTGGACACAGCTACGCCGATGAACTTCTCGCCTATTCAACCACAAAAACCTCTTCACCAGCCGCAGTCTCGTCAACCGGAACTTGCAGCCCATCGATGATGGCCTCAACGAGACCATCTGCACCCACTTCGTGTGCCTCCACATCCAGCTTGATGGGCTCGAGCCTTTCATTCTCCGGCGTGGCAATGCTGCTCGACCCAGTCGTGCTGGCATCGTCCGAGACAGCACTGCCACCATTGACCTCGACAGCAGCTAAAGCTACCGCAGAAACTTCGTCGGCGGATGACTTAGGGTTGGTCTTCATGTCCAGGTCCAGATCCAACCTCATCAGACTCGCCAGCGCGGCACGCAGGTCTTTTTCAGGAGTCTCGCTCATCTTTGCGCTTCTCCACGCGACGAAATTGTCCGGCCGGACCAGCACCGCCCCGCCGGCGCCGACTTGCTTCAGACCAGCCCATGCATCGTCCTGATCCAGACATAGACCTTTCGGTCGTGTGATGTCCCTCGCGCGGATCTGCGCCGTCGCAATGTTGACGTTCTTCAGAATGGTCGTCTCAGTCTCGCCAATTTCCCCCACAGCATCGACCCACTTCTCTCCATCCTCGTCCGTGATCAGGACGAAGTCCGCCCTACCTTCGGACTCGCCACTGCCGACCTTGCTTTTGATATTGCCCTTGATCAAGTCGTGCGTGGAAATGACTTTGCCATCCTGTATGATCCACGCATGCGGCAGTCTATGTCCCGGCCGCGTCGTAGGGACGTAGACTTGACCCTCTGGATCGACGTCTGGCGCGGGACTGCCATCTGCGACCAGCACACCAGCAGCAGCACCGTCAGCGGAGTCGTCAGCGGTACTATTATCATAGTCAAAGCCCAACTCAATGTTATGCGCGCTGTACTCGACGTTCTGGGTCTTCAGCACGCGACGGACATGATGCAGGGCGGCGCGCCCACGCTCGCTGTCCTCGAACAGTTGCGCGAAACGTGCGTGATTCATCTCCTTGGCCCCCGGGACGAGGCCGACGCCGGCGGTCAGCACGTTCATGTTGGTGAAGCTGAAGAAGGCCCAGTCGCTGTTGCGGATGCCGATGGGTCGGCGCTCGGCTTCGTAGCTGTCCAGCAGCGCCGGCGAGGCCTTTCGGGACAGGACGAAGGCCAGTTTCCAGCTCAGATTCAGCGCGTCCTCGATGCCCGTGTTCAGACCGAGTCCCGAGGCTGGCGGGCGACGGTGCGCAGCGTCGCCGGCAATGAAGACGCGGCCACTGGGGCGGCTGCGGTATTTGTCGGCCACGACGCGGTCGAGGACCCAGTGGTTCACGTGCAGGACTTGCATGTCCAGGTCGGGCAGTTTCAGGAGCTGGCGGATGCGCGCGGGCAGGGCTTCGGTGTCGAAGCGTTTGCTGTCGGTCATGGGGAAGCCGAATGTCAGGACCCATTCCTCCGAGTGCCGGCCCCATGTCGGGCCCATCTGGAGGAGGGCGCCGCAGTCGAGATGCGCCATGGACCCGCCTTCGGGGTTGATGAAGTGTGTTATCAGGGTGCGGTCTGACGAACCAGAAGAAAAAGGAGAAGGGGTTAGCCTCACGGCACCAAGAAATCCAGTCGTCAAGGAGGAGGAGAATGGCAGAGGAAAGGAGGATATCGGGCGGGAAGAACAAGAGATGGAAGCGTGGAATAGGATGAAATGAAATGAAATGAAATGAAAGAAAGGAAGGAAGGCGGAACGCCTCACATGAACATACCATCCCAATAGTCAGATAGATCGGCTTTGAAATGCGTAGAGACAAAATCGATGATCCCAGCGAGTCCTTCCATCTTGATGCCGAGTTTCTTGGTGGACATTTTGCCGCCGTCGCAGGCCACGACGTATTGAGCGCGGTAGCGGACCGACGTGCCATCCGCTTGGGTGATTGTGACTAGGACGTGGTTTTCGGTCTCTTCCCAGTCATCGACTCGGGTGTTGAAGAAGATGCCCCTGGGGTTGCGTTCTTCGGCGATGCGGCGGAGGATGGGTTCGAGGCGTAGCAGGGGTAAGTTGGACGAGGATACTGCCGAGTCTCGTCTGCATGTCGCGTTAGCATGAGTATGACCAGGAGTTAGAACGCTCTCTTCTCCATGTTTTTGAGGTCTTGCTTGCTGCTATTGCGGCTATTGCTGGAATGAATAGACAAAAAGACAAAGACAAAAGACAAAAAGACTGATGTGATGAGGTCAGGGGTCGGGGTCGAAACTTGCCTGTATGCTTCGGTCGTGGGCGAGCTGGGCCCACCTCCGGCGGCGTTCATGTAGCTCAGCAGGCGGCGGTCGAATGGTCCATCACCACCCAGGGTTGTCCGCCACTCGACGCGGCTCATGTTGTGCAGCGGAGCGGACTGCGCCGTGACGGCGTCGTAGAGGCCATGTTGGCGGAAGATCTCGATCGTCCGTTGATTCAGGTAGTGAGCCTTGGGCAGGACCGAGGTCGAGGGGTGTTTTTCAAACAGGACGTGGTCGACTTTGTAATTCGACAGGAAACACGACAAGCTCAGGCCGACGCCGCCACCACCTATGATCACCACAGGGACATCAATGATCGGGGCCGTCTCCATTGTTTTGACTTGACAAGACACAACTATGGAGTTACCAGGTGGTATTGCTGGGAGTGCTGGGAGTGCTGGGATTGAGTAAGTATTTGGTGGGTGTTCGTTTTAGGGAGAAGTGAGTGAGTACTGGCTGGTACTATGTAGTGTGGTGGCTTTCCTATATATCATAGTCTGAAAGCCCTTCCAGAGGCGCGTTTTGGGACTGAGGGCGCGAGGGACGAGTTCTCTCCTCAGGTGATAAATACTAGTACTGTCTCCTCCGGCGTCTTCATAATGCTAAGGGGGCTTGACTTGGCGTTTCGTATCAGGCCATCTCAGACTGTTGAGTTCACCACCTTGTGCCCTCGTGTGTCCGGGCCATTGAACCTCTCACAGAGGATCGGCCAATTTTTGGTCGCCGGTCACGCCGGGTAACGCAGCGGCGGATTTTGTAATTCTTGACCTCGGAGCAGTCGTATGATGAAACTGCTCTTCGGCAAGTTGGTCGTGAAGCCAGGCGTGGCCATGGTACGCGTTGTTGAAGGGGTTTGTCATCTGGGAATACTACAGTCGTAGTGAGTTGAAAGAGTGATGTCGACGGAAAATACTGGGAGAGGATCTTCGCTGCCCGTGCTCCGGGGCAGTGGCCCAACTATCATCGCCTAAGTTAGTGAGCCCATGCAGACACCTGACCATACAGTACCGGTGACGGCCAAGTCTTCGGAGCACCGCTGATCCGGTTTGGCGGCATCAGCCCAACAAGTCCTCTTCTTGTCAAGGCAGCAGACCCCTATTTCCAGCAACCACACATGTCCATCACTCATCCAGCGAGCAAGACGACGACGCGTGAGACCAAGGTCGCTAGAATGGGCTGACTGGAAAGCCAAGGAATACATTGAGTAGTTGATAAAGTACCTTATGCTGGTATTGGCAGGAGAAGTATTCATGCAGGACGTAGCGGTTCAAGGTGATCAAGGTGCAAATGTCCTAATTAAAGCACCATATTCCGAGACTCTGTACACATAAAATTCAAGACACAAAATCGCCACGCATTCCAGCCTAAGTGCAACCGAGCGCCATGAGCGGCCAATCTTTCTAGCAATCAATGCCTTGCTCCAACAATTCCTTCAACTCTGGGCTTCGGGTCAGTCTATAAGCCTCCTCGATGTAGGACTGTTCCAGCGAGAATCTCTCGGCCATCACGTTTGGCACCCACTTTCCAACAAGCTTGTCTGGGTCGATGTTGCTCTCAACGATGCGCCGTTCCAGGAACTTGCGGTAGGAGTGCACGCCAGTCCGCAAGAGCGAAGAGTGGAAAGGTACATCGATACCTTTGAGCGGAATCGTGGCAGCGCAGCGTTCCAGTTCTATCGGTTGGGGAAGCCTCTGCGTCTCGCCAATGCAGGTGACAATGTATTCGCGTAGGTTGCTGCAGAGCGGATCGTCTGCCCGAATGGCTTCAGCAACGAGATTGCCCGCCTCGGGACTCTTGGCCAGGTGGTTCAACACCACCGAAAGGGTGTGGAGATTCTGCATCTGTTGACGAGACTCTTTAGCATGCCGAAAAACAGTCAAGAACAATGAGAACTTACAGTGCCTGCACAAACATATTGTTCGCCTTCGACGTTGTAGTTGACAATCTCGAGAAGGCTTCGGCTCTCGCTGGCAATGATGTCCACCACGACATTAAGGCCCTTTTCATTAAAGCCTGTTTTGGTTAGTGATCGGAATGTAAGAAGTCGTCGCCGGACCTACCTTTGCCAACTCGTTTCGGATTCGCTGCCACCATGGAATACCCCGTCTGGCCATGCTCATCCCTATCCATGGACACTTGCATACTGAGTCCACGGTAGAACACCACGTCCATGAGGTCGTGGATGGACAAGAAGCCTGAGAATGCCGATAGTGATCCGTATTCACCAAGGGAGTGACCCGCGAACGTGGCATCGCTCTGGATGAGCCCGTTTGCTCGCATATCCTCGAAAGTGGCCTTCTGCAGAAGCAGAATGGCAGGCTGAGCGAATTGGGTAGAGAAGAGCAGTCCTCGAGGTTCGGAGAATGTGTATGATCTTGTGCTTGTCGCCAGACCTGGGAGGACAGGCCGAGTGATGCTCCCACCGTCAGGTAACAGCGTCTCAATCTGCATGGCCATATAATTGTCTCTGATTTTCCGCCCTCGCTTACCTCCAAAGTGCACGGTGAGGGATTTGGGATTGTTGCGGACAACGTCCAGGATTGACCAGCCTAAGATGGCCGAACGTTAGTCAAGCTGTTCATGAAACTTTCTGAGCGAAACATACCATATGTCTCTGAGAGATACGCGTCAACGTCATCCCACACGGCCTTTGCGACAGGGCTGCTATTGTAAAGATCCATGCCCATGCCCTTGGATTGGCTGCCCTGGCCAGTGAAGATGTAGGCCGTCTTTGCCTGCTCGACTTCTGCTTCGGCCTCAAGCACAATCTCGTCTGTCTCCTCCTTGTAGGCAGATACCTTGATGCGCATCCTGCCTTCAGTCATTCCGACGTGCTGTAGGCGGACACTAAGCTTGTCTTCAGGTAGAACCATGCCAGTGAAAGTGGCTGAGAAACGGTAGAGACGTCGTGGGTCACCATCGGCCGCCAAGTGTTCCAGAGCGCTTGCTGCAACAGCCGACGTATACATTCCATGGGTGATCGTACCAGGCAATTCAGCCCAATCCGCGAACAAGGAGGACACGTGGATTGGGTTGTAGTCCTTGGAGACCCTCGCATATCTCTCGTTGCTGCTGGGTATTTGTACTTCGACACTGCCATCGTCTGACCACCCAGGATGTCCGAGCTCGCTCTGTGCTTTCGTCGTTGATGCTTTCCGCTCCAAGAAATCCATGACTGGGTTTCCCACACAGTTAGTACCATAGAAATCAACTGTGCCAACCTCGTGGAGGTCAGTGTCCGAAGTCTGCACGAAGACTGTGCCGGAGACTGCCAGTTCCCTGAAAACGTCCCGCTTCTTCCATGTCACGTTTGATTGCAGTCGAAAGAGCAATGTCGTGCCGACAAAAGAGGTTGTCGAGTCATGAGGCTGGAACCACTCTCGATCAAGGAGAATGGCTTCGTCTTGTCGTGACAACTTTTCCATGGCCATATCTCGTTCCTTCTTGTGCCTGAAAGTCGACTGGAAATCATTGAATTTGCCCTTGAATAAGAATGTCGATCTTACCATCATCACCGGCTGGCCAGACCGCATGATTTCCGCCTCAACCACAACATACTTGCCTGCTTCCTCGATGTAGACCTCACGGGCATTGGATCGTGCCCATACAAGATCGCCAATTCGGAGAGCAGACGCCCCTTCGCAATATTCGAAAACGTTGGACTGGTGTACTAAGCAAAGCAGGTCGCCGTCGATGTCCTTCAGTACCAACGGCTTGGCGATGACATCCCAAACAACGACAATGCCAAAACTGATGGGGAAGACAGCCGAGTCCCCAGAAGTGATAGGACCGTTCGAATACGATTGGCCAACTGTTGAAAGGAAATTCTGGTACATCTCGTTGGTGAGCATTATCTCCTCTCCACAAAATGTGGTTTGAACCGTAGCACTTGGGTCGAGCTCTTCGTTGAACCATAATTTGCTGTAGAATGATTTGATGCGCAGATTCCGATTTTGCATGACCTCACTAAATGTCCAGGGGCTCTTCTCAGTTTGCAGTTGGAATTCGAAGGGCAAAGCAATGTAATCACCGTTGTGCGCACTTCGCTGGCGAAGCTCCACGGCCAGGGTCATGTCTTCTCGGCAGGAGATCTCGGCCAGAATCTCAGCGCCGAGACCAGCATCCTTCTCAAGTAGGACCTTCCCAACCTCTCTATCAATCGACAAAGAGCCTCCAGCTCGAGGTTCCAGAATACGGCGGAGAGGGCTTATTTTGTAAGCGCCGTCGCGGATGATATGGTCGGAGGAGAACAGAGCGCGGAGAAGCGTCGAAGAGTTACTGCATCGTCCCGCCAAAAATGAAGAAGAAAACTGACTGGGTGCACTGGTTGGGGAAAATAGCCGAGTCTGAAGACCAGGACTCTTGCAAGAAAATGGCGTTTCCATGCTGGTGGGCACGCTCGAAAGAGGCGAGGCTAACGCCCAGGAGTCCGGCGTACCACTACCACTCTGAAGCAGGCTCTCATCGTCAGAAATGGGAGTGACTGGCCTGCCGTATTGTTCGCCAAGGAGCATGTCCACATGCGCTTTCGCGATGTTATCTAGAATGTCCTTGGCCGACTCATCACATTGCCGAGAATATTGTGCCGCCACAGGCCCATGAAGGATGCAGACTCTGCCTGCATCGCGATCGATGACTGCATCAATGTCCTCCGATTGCCACAAGGAGTCCTTTTTGAAATAGTACTCGAAGTTTTCGTCAAGGACTGGGATGAAGTTGACAGGCTTCTGGCCGCGTGACCTACACCTGAGAAGGAAGAAAGCAGAGTCCTCTGGATTCAATATGCTAGTCGAGGCATCTGGACAGGAGGTTGTGAACACTGACAGAAAGTCGTAGGGATCATTCAGACCACTGGCCGAGAGCTCGATCCCAGCATCGTGTGGCAATCTCTGTAAGGCGCGGCATGCAAAGTCATAGACGAAGTTGATGTATGAAGGGTCGATCCAGCGTCTTTGATGAGACACATACATCAGACTGACCATCCTGTCCAGAACTTCCGTGTATGTCATGGCTGCTACTTCGACGACTTGGCCGTCGGCTGTCTTGCCAAACCAAGGTTTGGCGAAATCCGCATTGAGCCTTTGAATGATGGACTTTTTGTTCTCAAGTAGCTTTGGCAGACGCTCACTCCGCGGCAGACAGAAGATTTTCTTGTCCATATCCGCCCAGAGTAGCACTCCACGATTTGCTATCTTGTGAATAGGTTGCCCCATCTCCGATTGCACGGTAATAATGCCACCTGCTGCACCTCTGTAGCTTCTTTCCCAGTCGGAGTCAGGAACTCCCGGCGCTTGGTAGATGAGGTGCTTACTCTCTGCAGAAGTGTAGGCCTCCCGAGCAACCATCATGCGGCTGCCAAGCAAAACGCCATCGAACGGCATTAGAACATGCCCAAAGCGGGATGCCCAGGTACCCATGAGATAGGGGTAAGTGTCATCAGCACCTCCAAAGCCGCTCCCGGCAACAAGGATGACGTTACTTTGTTTGCGAATCGTGCCATATAAGCTCAAAATAGGTGCATGAAAGTCTTCGTATGAATGGTGTCCGCCGCCTCGCCCTCCAGTCCATTGCAGGATGATTGGGAAGTTGGGATGAGCTTTCGCGATTTCGATTACCTCTTTTATAGCCGAGGAAGAACCCGGCTTGAAGGAGATGTGCTTGATTCCAATGGTATTGATGTATTCAGCCACAATCTCAGCAGATGGAATACCGGCGCCGATTGTCAACCCATGAATAGGCAATCCCTTTCTGGAGAGTTTGCGTAGTGTCGCGATCTGCCACGCCAGGGTATGGGGGCTTGCATAAATCACGTTGCAACTCACGCCTCGCCCTGCTGGAAGGCTCAGCACAAGTCTTTGAATCGCTGAACTCATCGCGTCCGAATTGTAGAAGCCACCAGCGGCCAATTCAACATGGTAGCCAGCCTTCATTATAGCGGACACAAAATCCCAGTGAGTGGTTGTGGGTGTCATGCCAGCAACCATGACGGGTGGACTGCTCAAGAGCTGACTCAGTTTGGTCTGCATGATCCAGTCACCGTTGCTAGAGCGAGCAAGACGAGGCTGGAATTGCTTTCCCCATGCTTCAATGGGCGCGGAGGACGCGAGTAGTATTGAAGAGTAGAGGTCGGCGGCAGTGGCAGTTTCCTTCTCACGGGAGTCGAGATTGCTGACATCGATGACCCGTACACCTTCTCCTTCCTTGACTTTCGTCACCAAATCACCTATACCCCCATCAAAAGCAAGCACGTGAGTAGCTTGTGGTAGCTGCATGGCCACAGGCCATTGGCATTGTTCACAAGCTACCGCATCCACCAGAACTTTTAAGATGTTGGATGTGCCATTGTGCCGAAGATCATCGGCAGTCTTGCTATGATACACCGGTATCATCAAGCTGGCCTTGGAGATCGACATCTTGCCAAGATGAAGTTTGACCTTCTCGGCAGCAGTGTTCAGGTAGCTCGTATGGAATGGTGCACTGATAGGCAGAAACTGATGGTAGATGACGGGCTTTCGGGTGCTGAAAGGTACACGACTCTGATCCGACCCATCCTTCGCTTTGAGGGCACGTAGATGGGAGTTCATATGAACGAGAGAACTAACCGGACCGGCAAGGACAAAGTTATCCTGGGTGTTCTCGAGTGCTAGATGCAGCTGCTCTTCAGGTCTCAAGCTTTTGTTGAACTTTGCAAGTAATGCCTCGATGCGGAGGCGATCCAAGCCACGGACGCTCAACATGGATGACGGTTGGCCTTCACCATTCTCCAGACATTCCTTGGCGAGGGCGGCTGATACGGACGAGTTAGGCCTGGCCTGGTGGCAGTAAAAGCCCAGCCAGAAGAGGACTTCAATTGCTAGTCTGGCAACTTCATAAAATGAATGCCAGCTATCAGCCATTGATATGACTGTTGCAATGACAAGACCTTGAGAGTGTCCCGTTGTGCCGCGAAAATGTGAGCGGAGCTCTCCTGGAGTCATGCCTAGCGCCTTGCAAGCTGCACAATACTGCGCTAAGCTTAAGAGGCCGACGACAGGAAAGCTGACCGGCGCTTGGGAGATGAAATCGGCGTTAGGCACTTTTGAAGGGTCGTGAATCCAGGTAGCAAGGTCAATGTAGCGGCCGCAATAATGATCCTCGGTCTCGGGCAGTCGACAAAGCTTGTAGAGCAATGGCGATATAACGTTGTCAATGAGCTCTCTCACGAAGGGCTTGTAGGTAGAATAAAGAGTCGTCAGGGATGCGACGCATTTCGGATTGTTGGTGCCTTGGCCTCCAAATACTGCAAACAACACTGCTTGATCCTCTTCAGCAAGCTGCAACAAGGCGCTCTGTGGTGTCTTGATCTCGGTACATTTGGATCTGGCGGTGTAGTAGGCACAGATTAGCTCTTTTCGAACCTTTGAAGTAATTGGAAGTGCGCATATCAGCAGGTGAGCGTCCACTTCCTTGAGGAAGTCTTGTTCGAATGTTCGCAATAGAGTTTGCAGAATAGCCGGAGAAGCGTGATTTTCGACAAGGAAACCAAGGAACCTGAGTACAAGCTCTTCTGCAGACGACGGTTCCGGTACGTCTGGAAGAGTCGGATGAGAAAGTGAGTGCAGGAACACATCTCTCTGCCATCGCACTTGTGCAACGAGCGTGGCATCGATGGATAGAGTATGACCGGTGTGCTTGAATAACAAAGGGAGGTTGACAACATCCATTGCTGTGATTGACTTCATATTGGCTGCAAGCGGCCACGAGGGAGATACCCTGACCTTGACGTCTTGAGAGTCGACAGGTTGTTTCTGAGGACGGCCAGGGTCAAGCCCTTGCGAATCAACGAGCGTGCATCAGATGAAGAAGAAGATAGGATATCCTGCAGGTGCGCGTAGATGTGCGTGCTGTTTCAGAGGCTCGCTGGTATGAAGCACAGCCAGTAGGCGCTGAATTCGATGCGTCAAAGGGGGCAGTAAGTGGCATTGATACGACTGGAAACGCGGCTCGAGGGCGTGGCTTTGTATGGAGATCTTTGTCGGCAAAGTGTGGCATTACTTTCAGCACATGGGAACTTCGGTCGCTCTGTGACATTGTGGGCCTCCCCTTTGGGAGGAGCCATTGGACCAACGAAGCGTCGTAGCTCTGCTCCAGTTTGGGAGTCACATCAACGCCGAAGTCAACTGTTGGTCGGCGGTGGGTTCTTCCTCCGTTGCCTTCATTGCCACAGCGAGCTGCACATCATTTGGCCCCAGTGAAGTGGCACAAAGATTCCGCATTGAGCACCGCTTCGGCATCTTGATTTTGCTAGAGTGAGCAGTAAGTTTCTGACACATGCCGATGTTGTGGTACGATATTACAGCTGCTGCCGAGTAGGCGAGCAACTCCGAGGCGTACTCTAGATGGTATCAGAGAGCCTCCAGAGGATGAGCTTTGTGACAAGAGTAGAGCCGATGTGGTGTCGTTTGGGGATGATCACTTAAACCCAGTCGTGATTCAGGGAGAGGCGGACATGCCGGAACATGCACACTCCTATCCCGTAAGCAGACAGAACCATTGATACAACCTATCTGAGAAAGAAGAAGCCGGGCGGTATGAAGTTCTTGAGATGGTAGTGTCGTCCTCCTCGCTTGTTGTTGAGAAGACGTGATCTCACGCGAGTCGTCAAGAAGGAAATGGGCAAGCCATGACGGGCAGATACCAAAACTGCTTACCAGTATCATACAAAGAATTTTGCACCTATAATACCGCAAGGCGCGCAAATACAGTACTACTAGTAGCGTCATTACAGATAAAACGGAGTCAAAATACGAAGCATGGCGATCGACGTTCTTGGCAGATTGCAACGTGTTTTGACCGAGATGCCACTTGAATCGTGATATTCCCATCGCCAACCCACGAGGTCGGTTCTTCCAGCAAATAATATTAGATAACATCTGCTATCCCACGCTCTTTGCCTGCGAGTCCGTGGTGCTCGATCTATCAGATGGAGACTTCACCATGGATGCCGGCAAACACAGCCCGGCGCATTTCCCGCCACCTGGCAAAATGCACATCAAGCTAAGTCACCGAGCATCATCGCCGGCCAACCTCTCTATGTTGTTCAGCTGAATTTGCCACAATATGACAGTGCATCGGCCACTTACGGCAGGGCATTTGCTCAAGATAACCCAATATGCAGCAGTCGGCATGCTCTTATGGTGACCTGGACCCGTATAACAAGCTAAAGGGGAAGCAGTGGACAGCCAAGGTTTGCTCGAACCGACGGTGCTCCTTTTCGCTGAAACCCATAATCAAAATGTTCAAGTGTCTCGTTCTCATAATCGCGGGATCACTACTTGCCTCAACGAGAAGGGATAGAGGGCAGCGATCGACCAAGAATCCCACCTTTTGAACACGTCTCCCCGATCACTATGGCGGTCCTTACTACTACCGCGGCAGCCCTTCAAAGGGCAGATTCGTCGGAAAGTAAACAGCGAGTACTCGCTTGCAAGCTTTTGATTGAGCTGCTTTCGTCAGTGTCGACCGACCTACGTTCCTGATATCTAGTACTGACGACTTGCATAGATACCAGTTTGCGTCTCCAGTGCGATGGTACGTGACAAAGGATCCGTGGACGCGTGGCAGTGACTGAGATTTCTCTTCAGGATAGAGACACAGAAAGAAATGCTTCGCAGGTCGAATGGCATCGAACGATATGTCGAGATCGGACCGGCAAGAATCCTAGCTACAATGATTCAGAAGAGTGCTTCTCAAGGGTATTCCTCTCAAGCTGCGTCTCATTGGTCACATTTCCGCTTCCTATCTTCGACGGACAATAAGAAGGATATCTATTACGAATACCCAGAGCAGGTCCTACATGCTGCAACAACAGATAAGACTGTCGATGCTACCGGGCTGAACCTCGCCAGCGTCTCGGCTAGCCTGGAGGTCAGAGTCACTCCGCCTGGTACTCTTGCATCTACCACGAACGGAAATGCTGTGGCGAGTCTGGACGGCCCAGTCATGGGACCCGTCGTTGCGGCACTCGCTGTGCCTGATGCTGCCTTGTCTGCTGCTCATGTTGTTCTTGCAATTACTGCCCAGAAGTTGAAAAAGCCATTCGACCAAGTATCGACTCAGAAGACGATTCGTGAACTATCTGCAGGTGCGCAGTCGTGAGCGTCTTTTTCTTTGAGGGTGCTGACTCATTGTAGGGAAATCAACCCTCCAAAATGAGCTGATTGGCGATCTTGCGGCAGAATTTGGCAGTTTACCAGACGGCTCAGAGGATCTCAGCCTGGAAGCACTTGCCGATGCGTTACAGACTAATTTCTCTGGGAAGCCTGGAAAACAGCTCTCAGCTCTGATTTCGAAGTTCATGTCGGGGAAGATGCCCGCCGGTTTTAACCAAGCAGCAGTTCAGGATCATCTGCAGGAGAAGTGGGGACTCAGCAAAAGTCATTCACTGATCCCTATCTCCCTTGCGGTCACAGCGGAACCGGCTTCCAGACTACCGGATGCGAATGCCGCAAAGGAGTTTTTCGACTCTCATACCCTTCGCTATGGGGCATTTGGCGGGATTGCTCTGTCCCCGTTGACTGGACAGGGAGGCTCTGTGGCCCTACAAGCCACCGTCACCGTGGATTCAGCCAGTCTGGAAGCCGCGCGAAAGGAACAAAGAGATTACCATTTGAAGCAGTTTGAGCTGTTGGCCAAGTACTTGCAGATCAATCCCGAGCTAGAGCACGAAAAACTACAAGAGCTGGCAGCTTCCGAAAAATTGCTTGAAGAGAAATTGAACCGCTGGGCTGCAGAGTTCGATGACCATTTCTTCGATGGAATTCAGCCTCTGTTCGACATTCGTAAAAGCCGTACGTATGACTCTTGGTGGAATTGGGCAAGGGAAGATCTGCTCAGGCTACTCAGCCAATTCATCCAGCAGCCTTTTGATGTGGAAGATATCGACAACAAGGACAGCGTTCAGAGCTTGCTGAGAAGATTCGAACCGAGCTGTTTCGATATCGTTAATCGGGCTATCACCGATCCACAATTACAAGCTTCTTCTCGTGTCGGCAGGGAAATTGCTAGGCTGGGCACGAGAGCAATGGGTCTAGACCCAGTCTTCAAGTACAGTCTCCCGGCAATGCGGCCTAAGACGACGATTAGCGCCACAGGGTCCGTTGAGTATACCGAAGTCCCTCGAGACATCACCAACTACAGCTCTTTGGTGGAACACGGTCGCTTGACCCCCACAGGAGAGCACATACCATTCATACACATTCGCCGGCGAGACGACGGACAGGAGTGGAAGTCCGACCGTGAATCAACAAACTTGTTGCTCTCTGCTCTACAGGCCGCAACAAGTTCAGGCATAACCTTTGCTGGCAAAACAATACTCGTGATCGGCGCCGGTGCAAATTCGATTGGGGCAGAAGTAGTACGAGGTCTCTTGTGCGGCGGTGCTCGGGTCATCGTGACAACAAGCCGTGTCGTGTCAAGAACCGCCAGATTCTATCAACATATGTACCGCAAGCATGGCGCAAAGGGTTCGGCCTTGTCAGTGGTGCCATTCAACCAGGGCAGCCGAAAGGACTGCGAAGCCTTGATTGAACACATCTACAGTCCAGGTTCGATGATCGGCGACAATCTTGATTTCATCATCCCCTTCGCAGCAATACCAGAGAGCGGGGCAATTGACGGTCTCGACAGCAAGTCGGAACTTGCACACCGTGCAATGCTTACCAACATTCTCCGCATCCTTGGTTATATTTGCAAGCAGAAAGAAGCACGCGGTCTTCACAATCAACCAACAACTGTGATTCTACCGCTTTCGCCGAATCATGGAACGTTTGGAGGAGATGGTATGTATGCCGAATCGAAATTGGGTCTCGAAACATTGTTCAACCGCTTCCACTCGGAAAGCTGGTCTGCCTATCTTAATATCTGTGGTGCCGTAATCGGTTGGACTCGTGGAACAGGACTGATGAATGCCAACAATATCGTTGCAGAAGCCATTGAAAGCCACGAGGTGGTGACTTTCTCACAGCCTGAGATGGCTTTGAATATCCTTGCATTGATGACGCCAGCAATTGCTACCCTCTGCGAGGACGACCCAGTTTATGCTGACTTGAATGGTGGCCTTCAATTTGTGCACAACCTGAAACGAGAAATTGTCGCTGCAAGGGACAACATTTCGGACACCAGCAAAATCCGCAAGGCATTGATACAGGAGCGATCTCGACATCAGTTGGTCCTCAACGGTTCTGAGGTACGCGAGACAGGCTCAGATACAATCGATCTCTCTGCCCGACGTGCCAATTTGAGTATGGCGTTTCCACGACTCGCCAGTCACGAGGACTTGACGCGGGATACCAAAAATCTCCACGGCATGCTCGATCTGTCTCGAATAGTAGTTGTCGTCGGATTCTCCGAGCTCGGCCCCTGGGGAAGCGCAAGAACTCGATGGGAAATGGAACATCAAAACGAGCTATCCCTTGAAGGCTATGTCGAACTTGCATGGATCATGGGCTTGGTCAAGCACAAAGATGGCGAGGTCAATGGCCAACCATATACCGGCTGGATTGACGCTCAAACACAACATCCAGTTAAAGATCAGGAATTCAAGGAGAAATATTACAGTCAAATCATGAAGCATACAGGCATACGCTTCATTGAATCTGACGCACTCGGAGGCTATGATCCTGCACGGAAGGAATTCCTGCATGAAATTGTGACCGAGGACGACTTACCGGCGTTTGAAAGCTCTAAAGCTACAGCTGAGGCTTTCAAGCTAAGATACCAGGACAAAGTGACCATCGAGCCCATCTCTGGGTCCGACGACTACAAAGTGCGCATCAAAAAAGGCGCCCACTTTCTTGTCCCTAAGGCATCTCCATTCGATCGTGAGATAGCGGGACAACTTCCAAAGGGATGGGATCCTAAGACGTACGGCCTCCCTGAAGATATCATCCAACAGACGGATCCGGTCACCCTGTATGCGCTCTGTTGCGTCTCCGAGGCCTTACTCTCTGCTGGAATTCAGGACCCTTACGAGTTGTACAAACACATTCATGTCTCCGAGTTAGCCAATTGCATCGGCACTGGCGCAGGCCCTTTGCTTGCAATGCGCGGAGTGTACCGCGACAGGTATCTCGACCGACCTGTGCAGAGCGATGTACTGCAAGAATCGTTCTTGAACACTCTCGGTGCTTGGATCAATATGCTCATTCTCTCCTCTACAGGTCCGATCAAATCTCCTGTCGGCGCCTGCGCAACAGCTATTGAATCCCTAGATATTGGTTGTGAGGCTATTCAAGGCGGCAAATGCAAGGTTGCGCTTGTAGGTGGGTGTGATGATTTCCAGGAGGAAATGTCCTACGAGTTTGCAAAGATGAAGGCCACTGCAAGCAGCAATGAAGAGTTCGAGAGGGGCAGAACTCCGCAAGAGATGTCGCGGCCAAGCGCTGCATCCCGTGGCGGCTTTGTCGAATCGGCCGGATGCGGAGTTCAACTACTCATGAGTGCCGAGCTAGCCCTAAAGATGGGACTCCCTATATATGGAGTTGTGGCATACACACAGATGGCCAGCGACAAGATTGGTCGGTCAGTCCCAGCTCCTGGGAAGGGCATCTTAACAGCCGCCAGGGAGGTATCCGGCCATGGTGACTCGCATCTACTTGATCTGGAATTCCGAAGGAAACAACTCGACGAAAGCTTCAAATTGATCAAGATATGGGAACAATCTCGGATTGAAGAAGCCAGGCAACAACCCGACTATTCCGAGAAGATGGCCCAAGAGATTCACACAGCTGCTGCCACCAAGACGAGATCAGCAAAGAGGACATGGGGCAACGATATCCGCCTTCAAGACCCTCACATTGCGCCCATCAAATCAGCACTGGCCGCGTGGGGGATGACCATCGACGACATCACCGTCGCTTCAATGCACGGGACATCAACCAAGGCAAATGACACAAATGAAGCTGATGTTATCAACACTCAACTGACGCATCTTGGACGCATGAAGGGTAATCCCATACTAGCTGTTTGTCAAAAGTCTCTGACTGGCCATCCGAAAGGAGCAGCCGGTGCTTGGCAGTTCAATGGGTGCTTGCAAATGCTCCAGACAGGAATTGTGCCGGGCAACAAAAACGCCGACAACATCGAAAGCAAGTTGCGACAATATGAACACATTGTCTATCCCATGGAGGCGATCCGGCCACAACGTGTCAACGCCACTATGTTGACGTCCTTTGGATTTGGCCAGAAAGGTGGCATTGCTATTGCCGTGGCGCCGAAATACCTTTTCTCTGCCGTCGGCAAAGAAGCCTTCGACAATTATCGATCTCGGGCAACCATGAGGCAGCGCACCGGCAACATTGCGTTCCAAAGTGCTTTGATGAGCAACTCGATATTCAAGGCTAAAGAGCGATCTCCGTGGGACAGTTCGGATGCAAGAATGAAGGAAGTTCTCTTGAATCCTCGTGCCCGCGTCTCCCGCACGGAAAGCTCGGACACCTTGACCTTCAAGGAGACGGGGACAGCCACGCCCCGCAGCTCATCGGGTGCTGGGACGCCTCGCGAAGAACTTTCTCATGAGATGCTTCTGTTCAGCTCGGTTCATGCTATGCTTGGGGCCTCCGCACCTGGCTCGCCAGGTCAGCAATCCGTTGGTATTGACGTTGAAAATATTGCCGATGTTCCAGTCGACAACGAGAATTTTGTCAGACGCAATTTCACCGTCATGGAACGTGAGTTGTGCAGCTCTAAACCTGATCCGAGAGCATCATTTGCAGGTCGCTGGTGTGCGAAAGAGGCTGTACTCAAGAGCCTTCAGATTGCCTCGCGCGGTGCAGGTGCAGCGATGGATGAGATTGAAATTCTTCATGATGAATTTGGGGTTCCTAAAGTCGAGGTATGTTCTTAACGTTCGCCTTGCATTTGTCTTTTGCATCGAAGCTGACATTCTTCTTTTCTGTAGCTGTACGGCAAGACGAAGGATTCGGCAGAAGCGAAAGGTATTGGTGGCATCCAGGTCAGCATCACTCACTCTGCGGGTATCGCGACAGCAATAGCACTGGCATCAAAGCGTTCGTGAAGTGGTTGGAAAGCGGGCTGTTTTAGTTCACTTACCAGGTAGTTAGCGGTGTTGGCATGTCCTGAGGCGCTCGTTGTATGGCATCAAATACGTCCGTCCGCGGACATTTCGTAATACTATTCAGAATTGGTTGACGTTTCCAATCTACCGTTGCTTATTTTCTAGTCAAGTAGCTTCGGCCTCCTGGAGAATCCGATCGAAATTTGGAAGGTTCTCTGCTGATATGCCTGGGATACTTCATTTACTGGTCGACAATGGATCAACGAGGAGGATGCTTTTAGGCCACGTCCTGCACTTTCTACGAAGACTTGTCTGAACATTGGATACTGGGAAGGCTGCAGTCAAATTTGCACATGGACCAGAGGGCATTGTGTCTATGATAAAAGATTACGGTAGCATTTCCCAACAGCAAACTCGATTAAATCCTTTATAGGGCTAATATCAACCCAAATCAACGTACAACTACTCGCCTTTGAAAGCCCATGAACTTCAATTACAACCTTTAACGCCCCTCCACGTCGTCGCCCCTTACACCGTCGTTCTCAGCATCGTGGGGTGGAGTCTCGTCCTCTCCATTCCCTTTAGCTGCTGGTTCTCGCCAATATTCTGCCCGGAGCTTCGATCCTCTATTCTCATTCTTCTTGACGACCACCACATCCTTTTCATCAAGCGACGATGCATCCTCAGCAGCTGACTGGTGATCCTTGGCTGACTCGATATCTCTGGTCGCCTTCACTTCGGTACCTTGCTTGATGTTCCTCCACTCCATTATCAGCGCCGGGAAAAGACTGGCCGCGCTTAACGCCACCGACACGAAAATACACCTGGTCACGCTGCTGTTGAATGCCGCCTTTACCTCCGGTAGAGACTGTTGTGGGACGGTATTCCTCAAATTCAGGATTCCAACACTGTCGAGATTCGTCCCGTTGACACCGGGAATGTCCGAGAGCTGTTTCTGAAGCAGGTTCTGGAAGATGGTTTGGGCCACGGGGACGAAGATGGCGCCACCCAGATTCTGGCCGAAGAAGTTCAGAGCCATGCCAGTGCTGATATCGCTGCGGTCAAGCACGGCTTGAGCGGCCATGTTGACAGTCTGCATGGCCATGCCGGTGCCGAAGCCATACAGCACCTGATACCCGATCCACTTGGAGCTGCCGGTGGTCGGTTGAAGCTGCGTCAAGAGTGCGGCGCCGACCGTGGTGAGAATCGGAGACACAAGGATCGGAGGCATATAGTAGCCTACCCGTTGGGTGAAGCCACCAGCGAATATGCTCATGACCACCAGGCTGATCACAAGGGGGAACAAGCTGATACCGGCATGGATGGCTGTCTCCGCCTTCACGGCTTCGAACCAGATTGGCAGGAAGTAGACAATGGCAAAGAGACTGCCGTTGAGCAAGAAGAGGAAGATGACTCCGCCAAGGACGGATCTCTGGGTAGCGATGCGCATGGGGACGGTGGCAGTGGCTGGTTTGGCGGCCTGTAGAACCCAAAATGCCACAAAGAGCACTCCGCATGTCACCAAGAGTCCGACAATCTTTCCACTCGACCAGGGATACTCTGAGCCACCCCATTGAAGGGCTAGCACCAAGCACACGATGCTGGGGACGAATATCAGAGTGCCAATGGGGTCCATGCGAAGGAATTGTTGTGCAAGGCTGAGCTTCTCGGGCGGAGGTGGTTTGATGTGCAGGAACAAGACGATCGAGAGGATGGTGAAGGCTCCGATGGGAAGATTGATGTAGAAGCACCACCGCCATGAGACGCTGTCCGTAAATGCGCCGCCCAGAAACGGTCCCAGCACGGATGCGATGCCGAAAACCGCACCAAAGAGGCCGTAGTAGATCGGTCGCTTCCGAAGTGGTATCAGAGGCACAATGACCATCATTCCTCCGGTGAAGATGCCGGAAGAGCCCAGGCCGGCGATGGCGCGCCCGATGATGAGTGCAATGGAACTTGGCGCAGCACCACAGATGGCCGAGCCGACTTCGAACAGGAAGATGGAGCCCAAGAACACCGACTTGATCGAGTAGTGCTTGTAGATTTTGCCGAAGATCAGACTGAACGAGGCGCCCGTGATCATGTACGCGCTGCCATACCAGCCAACGTCGTCCAGAGAGTGGAATGTGTCGGTGATCTCGGGGATGGCGACGGATATGATCGTCCGATCCTGTAGACCATTATCATCCGTTAGTCAAAACGTGCTTTCTGGGTCGGGAGAGATGGCTCGAGGTCGGTATCACGTGGAAACTCACCAGAGCCACCACGAAAAGAGCAAAGTATAAGCCCAACATGACCATCCAAAACTTGACGGTTTTTGGTTGGTAATTGGCCTCGCTGTCTGCTTCCGCTTCCTCAAGAGCCTTCATATCTGTCCGATCACGGCCGGGTGGAGGATCGATCTTGGCTCGGTCCTGACGAGGTAGCGAGGCGTCCGACAGGACAGGCGAGGGCGCGTCTTTCCGCTGTGCCTCGTCGTAGGACATGGCAGCGAATTGGTCGTGGTCCGCTGGCGGTGGTGAAGAGGTCCGTTGCGTCTTTTTCAAGGAAATAAAAGACGGTGTTCTTGAAGTCATCGTGATCGATGCTGAAGACGAGCCTGAAGTTACACTCAAGCTGCGAGGTTGGAGACCAGCTTCGGAATTCGTTGGCACGATGGTGACGGATCATCGTAAGCCACCAGGTGCTACGGGAAGGAAATCTGCCACATTTGTATCGTGGTCGAAAATGCAACGACCCAGTGTCAAGTCCACTCCAGCCCCGTGCTGCTTCATGGTGCCAGAAAAATACACCGATGCAGGGGGCTTAGGGCTACGCTTCAGCTTAAGCCCAGTGTCCCAGCGCGTGTAAATTTCTTGGTCGCCAGCATCACACAGTACGCACTTACCTGCATTGTCGTTGTATGCCGCACGTGGATACCTCGGGCCAATAATGCGCGAGCACGAAAATGAATTCTCGTCGTTTGACGCGTGAAGGACGGTATGAATGAAGAGGTCGCTAAAGCTTGTTGATGGACAAGCATTCAAGGCGTTATGGAGTCAGGCTCGGGCGATTCGCGCCGGCCTTTATGGGTCGAGCGATCCCTCGCTGCAGAGCCATCGAGTTTATTGACGAGAGCCTGGCGATTGATAGGGCTAAGCGCCTGTGTTGGCCCCCATCATCCCCTGGTAAAGCGTCGGCTCGGCATCACAGGTGGATGACAGCTCGGTCAGAACGACATGGCTTAACCCTTTGTGGGCAAGCATCGGCGAGTTCTTTTGAGACGTCGGTCGCAGATCTTCCAATCACTGAACCATTCTGGCCCCTTGCACATGTCGCAGACTCGGGCCATCTATCTCGCGTCCCGGCCTTGAGTTCTGCACCACTTGGCATACTGCAGCGAGGTTTTCAGTGCGAGGCATTTCATGGCTGTCACGAAAGACGCAGGGCGCGTAATGAGGTAAATAGGCGGAAGCATGCTACAAGATAAGAGCCCCCGTCCAGTGCACATTACAAAGGCGTCCGCTTCTCTCCACCCATTTACCGACACGGCAACCTGCCATCCAACCCAACTCCAAGCTCACTCACAAGACTTGGTACAGCCGCTGCTTTTCAATATAGCTCATAAACACCGACAGCGCCCGAACCAGATCAGCTATACCTTCAACCGCATACCATAACCATCATGGCGAAGGGCGTTGCAAGAATTGCCGTGGTGATCTGCTCGTCTAGGAAGCCTCGTGCCAATCCACAAATTGCCAACTTCGTCCTCGAGGCCATTGAGTCGACATACCAGGACAGATGGTCCCTGGAGCCGTCCCTGAAGGTCATTGACCTCGCCGAGAGGAATCTCCCCTTCTTCGACGAGCCCGATGTCCCCTCTCAAATTCATGACTACACCAAATACGCACACGCCCACACCCGCGAATGGAGCAAGGAAGTCCAAAGCTATGATGGCTTCATCTTCGTCTGCCCGCAGTATAACTGGGGTTACCCTGCGGTTCTCAAGAACGCCATCGACTACCTGTACAACGAGTGGAAGGGCAAGCCAGCCATGATCGTGAGCTATGGAGGCCACGGCGGCGGCAGAGCAGCTGCACAGTTGAGACAGGTGCTGTGCGGCATTCACATGATTCCCACCAAGAAGCACGTGGAACTGGCGTTTCCTACCCGAAGCGCCTTGCTCGATGCCGCCTACGGCAAGGATCTTGGACTTGATGGTTTCAGCTCAAAGGGTATCTGGGGCTCACAACGCAAGGAAATCGGCGACACTTTTGCCGAGATGATGGATCTCCTGTGCAGCAATGTAAGTCCAAAAGCCTTCTGAGGTCGAGTCCCTTTCCACATTTGCTAACACTTTTCCCTCAGAAGGTCGGAAAGGCATTCAAGTCTGCTGCAGTCACGTTTGGCATGGCGAAGCAGGAATTTCGCAAGAAGTTCAAAAAGTCCTCTGGAGAACATGCGAGTGGACGAGGAGAGGCGCGAAGCGAAGAGTAGAAGTATGTCAGTGGACATCTTTGCGTATCGCATGAGTGTGGAACGGAGTCATCTAGTCTACTTTTTCTGGTTTGGATATCACTATGCGATCGGTGCTTGGGGAGGGATATTACTAGTCTAGTGGTACTTTCGGCTGTTGACTTGGGAGGGACAGTGGACTGTGACCTCGATGGGTCCTTTCGAAGAAGTAGCGTGGCTTGTCCCATTAATCTTTTGATTGTCGTGGATTTTTATGGTATGTAGACCGTCCCCTAAGGAGTCACCCTGCTTATGTAACCGAGGCTGTGCGGTTTAGGGGCTTCTGGGCGCCAAGCCTCTGAAAGCACCTCCTAAAATCAACTCAACCAGCTGAACACTCCAGTTACCATCTTCTGTCTATGATAATGCTCACATCTTTCATCTCTTCATCCCTGGTTGGATTTACTCTGTTATTCTGAACGGAGTCTTCGCCAGAGTTTCGCCGATATCTTGCTGTCAAAGTGGCTCTATCAGCCCTACTCGCCTATGAACGCAGCGCAACCTGACGTTGCCGGAAACCCTCCGAACATGCAACCATAGTACCATGCGCCTGCACAATCTGTGGCGGTCTTCAATATTTTTCCGTCGCAGCCCGAGCTGCGCAAGGTTCCCTATCCATACCATTCCTCGCCACCTCCGTCCTCGCACATGGCAAAATGACCGAAGTTGGGAGCGTTTCCCTTCTGTCCGACATTCCATGTGAATATGATTGAGTGACTATGATGTACGCAAGTCTTTGCTTTGGACAACCGTTATATTTGCGGAACCAGAGAGTATTGTTGGTGACTCGTACTTTTTGTAACAAGTTGCGAAGCATGAAGACTTGAAAGATTGGATACGAATGCGACAACTCACGTCCACCTATAATGTCATACCAGTATGGTGCCTGCCAGGCGCCGCTGGCGAGTCCGACTACAACGACGACAAGCTCAGCAACAACTGCGTTGATCACGACAAGCTCAACGCCCAAGATATCGAGCACCACAACTTCATCGATAGTGCCTCTGTCAACTATTACGCCTGCATCGCCAATATCCCATCAACAGAATTTACAGCCACCTTACCTATCGCAAACAGCAATTCTGGGAGAGGTGCCATCAAGATCAGTCGATGTTCCTATCACGGCCGTCTTTCTCGTCCTGTTCGTAATCGGAGCGATCTCCAACATGACCCTGTTCAGACGCAACAAGGCTAGAGGACACTTTTTTCTGCCGTCGTTCTTCCTATACGTGTTCTGCATGGCGCGCATTTTGAGCTGCTCTTTGCGTATCGCTTGGGCATACTACCCTAACAACGCGAGTCTTTCAATTGCAGCCTTCATCTTTGTCTCGGCTGGCGTTTTGATCATCTTCGTGGTCAACTTGATCTTTGCGCAACGAATAGTCCGAGCGATGCAACCGGCAATCGGTTGGAGTCCTGCCTTTGGAAGGTTCTACAAGCTGCTCTACGCATTGACAGTCTTCTTGTTGGTCATAACGGTCGTCGCCATCGTCCACTCCCATTACACCCTTGACACCGCACGATTACACGCCGACTCGGGAATCGAGCTTGGGGCAATTACGTATTTCTTGTCGCTGGCTTTCCTGCCGATCTTCCTGGTCTACATCTCCCATGTGCTTCCAAGAACGAGGAAACCGGTGAAATTCGGGGCAGGCTCCTGGAGGGCCAAGGTGCGGATCCTGACGGTCGGAGCATCTCTTTGCATATTTGGTGCAGGCTTCAGAGCTGGCTCGCAATTCATGCATCCTCGGCGCCCCGACGACCCGGCATGGTATCACAGCAAGGTGTGCTTCTACCTGTTCAACTTTACCGTTGAAGTCCTGGTGGTCTATCTATACCTCGTCACACGCGTCGATCAGCGCTTCTACATACCCAACGGGAGTCGCGATGACGGTGACTATGCACGCAAGCCGCGGTCTGAGGACTCGAGTACAGATGAGTCGGAGAACCGGAAGAGCAGCTTCAGCAGCTATGCTCGTATCTTCGACGGCAGTTCTTCCATCTACTCCTGGGGTAATGAAGACGAGAAATACCCTGAGGAAGAGGAGCCATCATCACCAGGTTGGTCGTGTTTATCAGACGAGAAATGGGGCTCCGACTCGAAGCTTCAGCTCCCTCCGGAAATTGTTCAGAGCAGAATGAGGGTAGTGTCCATGGAAGAAGCACCGTACGTGGACATAACGTTCTCACACGAGCAGCATCAGTACGGGGACGACGACTGGTTCTTGTTGCCGCCGCCTGCGGCTTTACGATCTTTTGGTCTGTGAGCGGTTGCTCTGACGTAGTATCCAGGACACAGCATGCACTTGTCTTGTCCACGTACGAGTGAGGATTTCATCAGCTGTGCAAGGAAGGAAAGTGAGCTATTGGGAGCGGGGACATATCAAGCTCTGGCCACCAGAGTGCTTTGGCTATGTAAGGGCGTGGTTTAAGCCCAGAAATGAGTGAATGACTAAATTCGAGGTGGAGGGCTCGTATGAATTGGAGTATTGGGCTGTTTTCTCGCCACCACTTACTATGCTCTTCAGAGTAGTTCGCTTACGGCTCAGTCATCTTGCAGTACGGAGTTGGAAAGTATCCAAGTCGAAACCCACTAGATCTGTCCCTCAAGCTGCTCTTGCTCTGAGCAAAGGCACCTAACAAGATCACTGCGGCCTCGCTTCTCCGAGCTTCCATTGCACCACAACGGCGATGTACAGATAGTGTTGAGAGGAAGGCGAGTCTCAGGACTGCCACGTCCTCGGCCAATTTTGTGCGCCGGTCTAACTTGTGGACGGGTTCGTGTCACAAATTGTTGTCCGGACAACTATCATTGGCACACAACCTCTCCATCGGCGCATTTCTGCTTCTCCTTGTCCTTCTACTCGCTTGCTGAACAGTGCTCATGACACGAGCGTCGAGTTGAACCAGCCGCCTGCTCCTCGCACGGCTCGCAAACGCCGGTCATTGGTCTCGGCGTAGTCCTTAGAGTTGCTGAACCGGGTGACAACGCAGGCTACACCGCCGAAGCATGGGGTCATCGTGGACCACCCCTCAGGATGCAGTGCAGCTCGCTGCTCGCTGTTCAGTGTGGCGTAAAGGCCGAGGGGCTTTGGTTAAAAATCTTTTGGGTGGTAAGCTCGAGGTGAACGCACTGCAAAACTGATTGCTCTTGCATAATTGCTATTTGCGCAGCCTCTTGTTCTATTCGATATCGTCACTGATCAACACGCCATGGGGTTGAAAATCATCGTTGTGGGAGCTGGTATTGCCGGCCTCACTGCTGCTTTGGCTCTGCGACAAGCAGGCCATTCCGTCGAGGTAAGACTCCTGTGTTCAATTTTCGCTGCAAGAATTCAAAGCGGCGATTTCCCTTCGTAGGCTTCGTAGGACGACTATCTGAAAGGACAGTATACTCATATCCTTTATCCTAGATCTTCGAGCGGTCGAAATTTGCAAAGGAGGTGGGAGCGGCTTTGGGCTTGACACCGAATGGATCGCGCGTCCTCGACAAGCTGGGGTTCTCATTCACTCGCGCCCGTGCAAGGGAGATCACCAGCTGGGATATCATCGACGGTGTGACGCTCAAGCTCGCCAAAAGCATGGATTTCACCGGGCTGCGGAAACAATTTGGTTTCTCGGCCTATGCGGTTCACCGCGTGGACTTCCACACAGAGCTGCTGCACCTAGCTCAGCAACCGGGCACTGCTGGTGAAGAGGCAGTGGCCTTGCACCTCTCTTCTCCTGTAGTGGATGGCGACCCGGTAGAAGGCTGGATCATGCTGGAAGACGGGTCGAAGCATTATGCCGATATCATTGTTGCGGCGGATGGCATCCATTCGGTGCTCAGGTCTTTGGTGACAGGGTCCAAGGACAAGCCGCATTCGACCGGACTCAGCGCTTTCAGGTTCTTGCTTCCCACTGAGACCATGTGCAATGACCCGGCTCTCCAGGATCTGATGGAGTGGAAGACCACGGGAGCCGCGACTCTCGCAGATCCCAACGACCCATTGCCGAAGCGGCACATGATGTGGTATGACTGTCAAGAGTGAGTACAGTACTTCGCAATGACCCCGGGTCGTCCCTCGCTAGACCTGGTGAAGACAATGGAATCCTGGTACTGACGAATATATTAGCGGTGAAGTTCAAAACTTCGTGGGCATAACTGCTTCGCGCGACATCCCCATAGGAAAAGATGGAAGTCCTGGTTCGTATATTCTCTAGCCGCTCACAAGAGAAGTAGAGAGGAGGCAAAGCTGATCCTCGTCTCGGGAATGGCAGATTTCAATGCTGCGATGCTGGAAGACTTTGAAGCCTACCACGCGGACCTGAAGCACGTAATCGAGATTGCTGAGAATGTCACCTGCTGGCCTCTGAGCATCCATGATCCGCTCCCGTCTTGGACCAAGGGCAAGATGGTACTGGTCGGCGACGCAGCTCATCCCGTGAGTTCATGTCTTGAAGTTTCTTTCTTGCCCGAGAAAAACAAAAGCAGTCTCGTGGCAGGCGCCGAACATTCTAACAAAGAAAATCGACAGATGCTCCCATTCGGTGGACAAGGGTCCAACCAGGCCATCGAAGATGCAGGTGCCCTCGGACTCGTGCTGGCCTCTGTCAATGACCCTGCCGAAGTGTCAGCGCGGCTGAAAGTGTTCGAGAACGTCCGCATCAACCGAGTCTCGATAATTCAGACTTTGTCCATGGTAAGGGCGGGAAATGAGAAGAACGTCGAAGAAGCACTCAAGAAGTATTACCCTCCGGGCGCTAAGATCCCTGGTTCTTTCCCCGAGCGCAATTGGGACGCTTTCAGGTGAGTCGAAATCCACTCAGCCTGGTACCGTCAGAGCAGGATTGGGCTTAAACTGAGATCAACACAGTCATAATGTCCTCCAAGCGGCTGCCGATGCTTTGGTGGAGGCAAAGAAGCAAACGCCCACCGAACCTCAACACGGCCAGGAGCTCCCAAACTTCAATGCAGAGGCATACCTTCTGCCACAGCTGACGAGGGATTATTTGAGCAGTCAAACGACACCGCAACTGGCGTAAGGGCGTTAATGAGTGGCCCTTGCAACAAGCACAGGCTGCGTTGATGCGGAAGGGGAATCACTTATGTAGAAGTAGACCGTCATCGGAGGATACGTGCAAAGAGCGCCAGAGCAGCCCCGTACTTAGTCCGTGAAGCGACGATCAATGGAGTTGACCCCATATTGCATAGAAACGTGCTCGTTGTCATAGCCTCGAGCATGATTTCTCGCTTGCTCGCCCCTTGTTTGTCCAGAAATTCCAGATAGGTAGCTACCTACCAGGTAATGAGGGGGGGATGATCATCAAAGAAGGTTTGAAAAGATTCGCTGTTGCTGACGAGCCTAGAGACTGCAAGCCTAACTTCGCAACTCCTGTCTAACTAGTGCCAGTGCCTGTCTTTGCTTCAATCTTTTGTAAAGAAGGCCGTTTGAGGTTGCACTTTCTAAGGATGCGCTTCAACGTTGAGTCCGAGATATCGATGCCCGTCTCTGATCGAACCTGGGCATAAGTGGCCTTTGGTCTTTGCTTGATATAGCGTAGAATTGCTCGTTCATCTCGCTCGTTTGTTATCAAGGGTCTTCCAGGACGTGGCTTAGTGGCACCCTGTTGTCGAGGTGGTTCGCGATCGATGGTGCTTCTGACTGTCGATCTAGGAATTCCGAGGTCCTTGCTGATTTCGCTATATGATGCACCCTGCGCTCGCATGCCGCATATTTGACCTCGTTGATATGGTGTTAACTCCTTTCCTCTCGAATGGGAATTGGTAGCGGTTTGAGGTAGGGACGCTGTAGCTGGTACCATGGTTGATGAAATGGAATGGTAGTTGAGTTGGACGCGTCGAAAACACTAGAAGGACGCGTCGCACGGAGATTCCTGACGCGCACCCACGTGCAATCACGTGACCATGCCACACACTGTACGCACTCGTGGCACTTTATGCACCATCATGCACTCTTTCCTTATCATCATCCTTCAATCACGACCAGAGGCAGCGCCTGCCGGTTCACCGACGACTCACGAGGTTCTATGGCTTTTTCCAAGGTATCAATTCCTGCGTGATGTCCACACAATGGTCGAACAGAACTTCTGCGCGTGAAACAGAACCACGCCCCATGCCCGGTTCTCGCCGTGCCACGCCCTTCAAAATGAACGCCGACCGGAGCCTTTCCCAGCAATACCTGTAGTTTGTGCGCGTTCACATCTGCTTTCAATCCACCGGGCACATCTAGAATTCTCCGGTGGCTCTCCTAGTTCTCTGACGGCGGTAATGGCTTTATCGCTTCCTGTGCGGGCCATGCGTGGTGTGCTGACATCAGGGTCATCGTATATACCTCCTATTATCCGGCCAGCACTACGCCCCCAGTGCAAACCGCAGCACCAGTGAAACCCTTCTTCTACGTCTTCTTCAATGAATGAGTAGCAAAGGAAACGCGACCATGGCTGGATCGATATCATTCTTTGGCGATGGCTCGCTTCCTCTGCACCCGGCCTTCTCCCAAGTCCTTCAAGCTCGCACCCAACACTCCCTACTCTCTGTTTTCTTGCACAAGGCTCGGCTCGCTCTTCAAGATGAAATCTCGAGGGTGCCTGTACCGGACAGGAAAGGTATGCCAGATTTGGCTGAGCTGGAACGTCTGATTCCACATCCGAGCGAGAAGCAACCTCGTGATCACCAATGCCTAGCTCCGGTAATGCTTGTTATCATTCAGCTAGGACAATTTATCAGGTGAGTCGTTCCATGTTCCCGGATGAATACAACATGCCTGATGATATGCGTCACAGTTGGTACGAAAGCCACCCAGAAGAGCCTTATCCCGATGCCAAATCGTCATTCGTCGTTGGACTATGTGTGGGTCAGCTGTCTGCAGTCGCGGTTAGCCTTGCTTGCAGCTTGACAGAGCTCCTGCCTCTCGCTGTCGAATCTGTCCGTCTGGCATTCCGAACAGGCCTCACCGCGACCACGATTAGAGACGAGTTAGAGCTGGCCAATACCTCAGAAACTTGGGCGATGCAAGTTTCTCGTGGGCTAGGTTTAGGCGAAGAGAACGTGCTGCATAAGATTCATACGGAAGAGGTGTGTACCACGTTTGGGTCGTTCGAGGTTTGAGCTTCTGACAACTCTCTACAGGGAATACCAGAACACAGGCGAAGCTACGTCAGTGCCTCCTTCGGCAAGGCTTTGACACTTCAAGGCCCGCCTTCTACCCTAGACAAGGTTTCCCACTGGCTGGATACGAACCGTACGCCTTCACCGCAAAACTTCTGCCAGAGGGTACCCATATACACTCCTTACCATGCACCCCACCTATACTCTGACGAAGATATTGCCCGCATTCTGGGGTTCGCGAAAACAACGGACGGCCCATATCAAAAGACAGCGTGTGAGGCCGTAAAGGCGCGCTTGGTCTCTCCAGTCACAGGTGAATACTACCAAGCGAGCAATAGCAGCGATCTTCTGAAGAGTGTGCTTCACGACGTTCTGAAAGCACCTATCGAGTGGAGCAATGTGACAGCTGGGTGCGCAAATCATGTTGCGGCTCTGGAAATCCCTGATTGGGTGGTGCGAGCATATGGTCCGACTCTTGCCGCTGGCAGTCTGGTCTCGACCTTGAAGAAGGGTGCGCAGGTCGAGGCTATCTTGGACGGCACCTTTGCTTCCAGTGACCCTGCGCAACGGGGTGCGCCAACAAATGAACCTATTGCGATAGTAGGAATGGCTGGCAGATTTCCAGAAGCTGGAAGCCATGACGAATTATGGGAGCTTCTCGAAAAAGGCATGGACTGCGCCAAGGTTGTATGTATCTCTAGGGTTAGGTGTAATGGGCAGTTCGCACTAATTCGTCTAGATACCCGCCAACCGCTTTGATGCAGAACTCTACGTGCCCAACGATGGAAGAGCGAGAAACCCGGCGGGTTCACCTTACGGTTGCTTCCTCAAGGAGCCGGGCATGTTCGACGCTCGTTTCTTCAACATGTCACCACGGGAAGCTGAACAGACCGATCCTCAGCAGCGCTTGGCTCTGGTCACAGCTCACGAAGCTCTGGAGATGTCGGGATTTGTGCCAAATCGCACGCCGTCCACTCAGCTTGATCGCATTGGCACATATTACGGACAAACTGGGGATGACTACCGCGAGTGGAATGCCTCGCAGGATGTACAAACGTATTACATCTCCGGTAACGACCGTGCATTTGGTCCTGTAAGTGCTATAGTGTCTCGTTGATGCTTCTGATCAAGTTATTGGAGAATGTGAGCTGACTCTTACTTCAGGGACGCATCAACCATCATTTCAAGTTTGGTGGTCCAAGCATGAGCATCGATACTGCTTGCTCTTCTAGCGCAGTAGCGCTCAATGTAGCCTGTACTGCGTTGTGGGCGAACGACTGCGCCACCGCTGTTGTTGGCGGCATGACCCTCTTCACTAGTGCAGACACCTTTTGCGGGCTGAGCCGTGGTCACTTCTTGAACCACACCGGAAACTGCAAGACCTTCGATGACGCTGCCGATGGCTACTGCCGTGGGGAGGCCGTTGCAACGGTCGTGGTGAAGCGCCTGTCGGATGCCAAAGCCGACAACGACAAAGTGCTGGCGGTCATTCTGGCTGCAGGCACCAACTACTCGGCAGCATCAGCCTCGATCACTCATCCACACGGGCCTACCCAAGAAACTCTTTACAGGCGACTACTGAATGAAGCTGGCCTTCATCCTTTCGACGTGGATTATGTCGAGATGCAAGGTACTGGTACCCAAGCCGGAGATGCGGCAGAGATGAGCTCTGTTAGCAACGTCTTTGCCCCCGCTTCACCTGGTCGCCCAAAAGAGCACCCCTTGTGGCTTGGGGCCGTCAAATCTAACATCGGCCACGGGGAGTCCGCATCCGGCGTTACAGCTCTCATCAAGTCGTTGTTAGTGGTGAGAGCACAGAGAATCCCGCCACATGTGGGCATCAAGAGTGGTGTTATCAACCATACCTTTCCGGATCTCAAGGAACGACAAATCAAGGTTGCTTTGGATGGACCTGGAGCATTCCCATGCGGCCAAGCGCGGAAGCGTCGATTTATGGTCAACAATTTCGGTGCTGCTGGTGGCAATACGGCGTTGTTGCTCGAAGAGGCGCCAGACAAACCTGGTGACCCAAGCTTCGATCACAGGCCCGATCACATTGTCACGATCTCGGCCAAGACGCCGAAGTCTATGAAGGGAAACGTCCAGAATTTGGTGACATATCTGGAGAATCACCCCGAGGTCAGCTTATCCGATCTTTCATACACCACCACCGCTCGACGCACACATTTCACGCAGAGAATATCCGCCATAGCATCCTCGACCTCTCAATTGAAAGATCACCTCACGACCACACTTACCGCAGAGCTGAAAAAGACAAGCAAGGCTCCAAATGTCGTTTTCACATTCACAGGTCAAGGGTCATTGTACGTTCCACTCGCCAGAGACCTGTTCGACTCCTCGAAGCAGTTCAGGTCGAACATTCTCCGCTTCAACCAGATATGTCTGGACTATGGCTTCCCTAGTTTCTTGCCTGTCATCGAACCATCGTCCGGTGACATGGACGGATTAGATCCGATCCAGACTCAGCTCGCAATCACATCTGTCCAGATGAGTCTCTACCGCTTGTGGACAGCCTGGGGAGTCAACCCAGCAGCTGTAATTGGCCACAGCCTAGGCGAGTATGCCGCTCTTTTCGCAGCCGGCGTACTCTCTGCCAACGACACACTTTATTTAGTAGGCAAAAGAGCCGGACTTCTGGAAAAGATGTGCACGCAAGGCACTCATTGCATGCTCTCAGCTCATGCCGACCTCTCGTCATTGAAGAAGCATCTTGGAAGCCTGCTAGACGAGCTTGAGGTGGCCTGCGTGAATGGGCCAGCAGACACGGTGCTCAGCGGACGAGTCGAAGTTGTCCATGAAGCACGGGACAAGCTGAAGACCCTTGCTGTCAAATGCGTTGTTCTTAACACCCCTTATGCTTTTCATTCTGCTCAAGTCGACCCTGTCCTTCAACCCTTCGAAACCTTCGCACGCGGAGTTAGATATATGGCGCCGGAACTGCCTGTTCTGTCGCCTTTGTTGGGTGCTGTGGTCCGAGAGAGTGGAGTTTTGGGTCCTTCTTACCTTCGAAGGCATGCTAGAGAGGCCGTGGATTTCGCCGCCGCTCTCAAGGCGGCGCAACATGAAGGTCTGTCAGGCAAAGACACTGCATGGATTGAGATCGGTCCGAAACCGGTGTGCCTGGGAATGATAAAGGCGACGCTCGGGGACGAAAGCCGTACGCTCTACTCTCTCCGCCAGAACGAGAACCCCTGGAGCAGTGCTGCCAAAACCTTGGGGTGTCTGTACAACTGGGGCTACGAGATCAATTGGAATGAGTATCATCGCGACTTCGAGCATGCTCAGAATCTGCTGCATATTCCAACTTATGCGTTTGACGAGAAGAACTATTGGATTGCCTATAAGGACGATTGGGCATTGAGAAAAGGCGATGATATGGCAAAACGACTTATCAGTACAGCTCCCACAGAAGCCAGCAAGATCACCACGACCGTTCATCGATTGCTTTCGCGACACAGGCGGGATGCGAATGTTATGTTGACCTTCGAAACGGACCTTTCAGAGCCCGCGCTTCATGAGACCATCTCAGGTCACAAGATCAATGGGTTGGCACTCTGTCCTGCGGGAGTGTATGCGGACATGGCACTCACCGTGGCAGACTTTATCAGGAAAGAGTACACATTTAACGTTCCCGCGACAGGTATCGATGTGACCGACATGACGATCATGGGACCTGTCACCGTGCCAGTGCCTCGGGTTGCCACTCCGCAACTTCTACAAGTATCTGCGACTGCAAACTTGGATTCGGGCAAAGTCCTCATCGAATTCAAAAACCAATGTCCACGGACGAAAAACTTCAATGTCTCGAACGCAAAATGCCAAGTGGTGTATGGCAGCGAGAAGGCCTGGCTTCAGCAATGGTCGAGATCCGCATATCTTGTACGGAAGAGGATACAAGATCTTGAACGCGGCGTCGCAACTGGCACGGCCAACAAGATGCTAAAGAAAATGGCCTATCATCTCTTTTCCCAGCTCGTCGATTACAATCCTGTCTACCAAGGTATGGAGGAGGTGGTGGTGGACACGGAGGAACTTGAGGCAACAGCCATGGTCAAGTTCAGTGACAGTGGAGATATCGGCGACAACTTTTTCGCTTCTCCTCTCTGGATCGACAATCTAGCGCAAATAGCAGGATTTGTGATGAATGGCATTGGTGCCACTGACTCACAAGCGGGCGTCTACATTTCCCATGGCTGGGGTTCTCTCCAACTGGCGATGCCCCTGGACGCGAAACGATCCTACAAAGTGCACGTTAAGATGCAGTCACTGGAGAAGTCCTTGATGGCAGGCAATGTGTCCATCTTCCAAGACGATGTCATGGTGGGTATGATTGGCGATGTCATGTTCCAGAACGTCCCTAGGTCACTCCTCTCTACAATGCTGGCACCCCATCCCCGGTCCGGATCAAGCCTCCCTGCGCGCACTACCCCAGCAAGCGTGGTCTCAAAAGCACCGTCAGACCGTTGTAGGCCTGAAGTTGGGACTCAACGCGACGAAGTACATACTAGCACTCTGCCCAAGCGTACTCCTCCAGAAGCAACCCAGACGGGTCAAGTTCTGAAGGTTGTGGCTGAAGAAATCGGCGTTGATCTATCAGAATTGAAGGACGACAGCGACTTTGCGAATCTCGGGGTGGATTCTCTGCTGTCCCTCACGATTCTCTCGAAAATCAGAGAGACAGTAGGCATTGACCTCCCTCAGTCGACCTTTGCGGATTGTGAGACTGTTGGCGACCTCAAGTCGTTGCTTGGTGACACTTCCAGCACAAGCGACATGAGCTCCGAATCATCCCTCGAAACACCACCAGATTCCGGGCTGCAGACTCCCGCCCTTGTTGCCGAGCCTGCTACAATCGCCGCCAATGGTGACATGATTGAAGCACTACACGCTACCCTTGCCGAACAGATTGGGATCGACGTCGAGGAACTCGTGGCCACTGACGACCTGTCAGCCCTTGGTGTAGACTCACTGATGAGTCTTAGCATCGTCGCAGCACTGAGAGAAAAAATGGGCATCAGTGTGCCACAAGACATGCTCGTGGAGAACACTTCGCTAAAGGGCATCAAAGCCGCACTGAATCTGTCACCGTCGCCAGCCCTGGCGCCGGCGCCGTCAGCCACAGGGTCTCTGAAGCTGGAATCACGGTCGCGGACATCCAGCAACAGCCGCGCCGCAAAGTCCTTTTTGCTCCAAGGTAACCCAAAGACTGCGTCGAAGACGATGTTCCTCTTTCCGGATGGAAGTGGCTCAGCAACCTCATACCGCCGCTTGCCTGATATTGCAGCCAACACATGCGTCTATGCTATCGACAGTCCCTTTCTCAAACATCCAGCCGAGTATACCTGCTCCTTGATAGAGGCATCTGTTATCATGGCCAATGAAGTTCTCACCCGCCAGTCTCAGGGCCCTTACATTCTGGCTGGCTGGTCTGCTGGTGGCATGTACGCCTATGAAGCTGCCAAACACCTCATCTCTGCTGGAGAAACTGTATCAAAGCTGATCCTTGTCGACTCGCCCTGCCGAACCGATTACGGACCGATGCCGCAAGATGTCCTCGAGTACGTCTCCAAGTCAGGTGTGATCGCAGGTGAGGGTGCAAACACCGGTGCTCCAGAATGGCTCGTCCGTCATTTCCAATCCACAATCCGTGCGGTCAAGCAGTATTCGCCACAGTCGTTCAACAAAGACAATTCGCCGTCCACGTACGTCATCTGGGCCTCTCGGGGTGTTTTTGAAGATTGGCCTCAGGCCGAACTCGCCGGGCTCGATCTATCTGATGCCGTGGCATCCTGGTTGTTGAAGCCGAAGACCGATCCTGGTGCTAATGGATGGGACAAGTTGTTATCTGCCGAGAAGATGAAGTGTTGTTCGGTCGACGGCAATCATTTTAGCATGGTTCACCCGCCTTATGTGAGTATTCTCACCACCATCAACATCCGCCGATGGATTTGTCGTGTGCTAACTCAAATTACAGTGCACCTCTCTCAGCCGAGCCATTGCAGGTGCCATTGACGAAGACGACAGTGTCGCGTGGAGATCTGCCTAATTCGAGCCATGTTGGACGTGTGTTATCATTTCACAATCTGAGATGCACAAAAAGGGTTGAATCGAGACACATTACTCTATCCTGGCTTTCAACTCTACACTGGTTCATACAAGAAGGCGTTGAGGTTTGTTGTTCAGTTTCAATGGTCACAATGGTGTAGGTAAGGTACTTGAAGTCGGGTATTTCGCTAGAAAATTTGGGGGTGTTGTAATGACACTGGATGAGTTCGTAATCATCCTCACTAAGTGGTTAAAGAAGAGAAGTATCTGAGGTACTATATTGTAAATGACCGTCTTTACCGTCCCACGCCAAGCTTTTGCTTAATTGAACTGGCCTTTTCTTTCGAGCTTTGCAGCTTTGTTGGCTTCTGTTTTCCTGCAAGATGGCAATAGCGACAATATCTGCACAGACTGACTTGCGCCGGAACCTAGCACACCGAAACCGAAACCGGTAAGCAGACAGATATGTGGCGAAACGTGGAATCTAACCGGCCTCGATCTGAGCCAATGAAAGCCTCGCGGTGACCAAATTGCCAGCAGCAGATCGCGTCCATATTTGCAGACATGTCCGACGACTGGCGGACGAATTGAGCCAGCTCCGGCGACACACCAGAGCGGTTGTAACACCGAGCTCTTGGTGGACACAATCAAGGACAGTGGCAGAATTCTGCTTAATCTCCCATTCGCTGGCAACCGTCGGTGTAAAGCAAGCAGCAGCAAGCCATCGCCATCCCTGAAACTCCCACCCAAGAAGGCAGAGACAGAGCCACGGCCCGGTCAGGACAGGACAGCGAGAATTGATGGCAAGGCTGCGTATCGCACACTTGTAAGGACGGGGTATTTGTCGTTTACAAATACCGGCAATGCAGAGTCCGCGTGGAACCTCCCGGTGACCCGGTGGGCGGCCACAAGGTTGGTGTGCCGGGTTGATGGGAAGTCGTCTGTGCCCTGTGGCCTGTGATTGGGGACGCATGCAAGATACCTGTTCCTGCAGTTCTTCGGCCGTCCCAGCAATGATGCCCTGAACCCACGGCTTGCAAGTCCGGGTTTAGCATGGGTGCATGCACAGCTTGCATGGGGACGACGCGCTCTCCGCAATACACCCTGTGACTGGCCCATGGCTGGGCACACGCATCAGCCGGCCACGCTTCCGATGCACATGGCTGGTCCTTGTCCTCTCCAAGAGCCGACCAAGCAACGGGGCGACCTACCTTGCAACGCCAGTTTGGCGTCATCCACTCTCTCCCCTTCTTCCCAACATCACGCCAACTGGCGGCGGCGGCGGATGGGTGTTTCCTTTCTTGCATGCATGGTGCAGGGCACTCGCTATGTCGTACATAATCGCCGAGCCGATTTACGAAATCGCACTCCACGGCGATTTTGTACTTTAAAATTGACCCACCATTCCATCGTCGCACGGTCTCTTTCTTGGGCTCTGGTACTACTGTCCTCCTTGGACCATATACTACCCTTCAGATGTGCTCAGCGTCCACACTGTGTCACAGACACGAGCCTCTGATGCAATCAACCGATTACACAGTTGACAGGTAAGTGTTCTTTGTATCTTGGCTTTCGCCTGCGCTTTCTCCACTGGGGTCGTTTTCCAAAGGATGAACAGGTGCTGTATGAGGGAACAGGGTGCGAAAAGCGTAATGAAAGGAAAATGCAACGAGTTCCAGAGACTCACTGTTGGCCGTCATGCCAGAGGGCCCGCTGAGCAGTGAAGCATGGGAAGAGGAATGATGATCGAGGAAGAAGAGAAGATATCTGTGACAGTTATAAGGAATGAGAGGAGAAAGAAGAAATGAAGAGAGAAGGGAAGATGTCTTTGATAGAAAGAAGGACCTAGAGGAGCCGAAGAAGGAAGAAAGAAAGAAAGAAAGAAGGAAGAGAAAACGTCGGTGCTAGAACAAGGATAGGATGAACGAAAGCGAAGTCGAGAACGGAGTAGATATCTGTGACAGTCACAATAACCGAAGGCCAGGAGAAGAAGAAGTCGACATGGACGAGAAGAGAAGAGAACTTAAGCGAGACAGAATGATACAGTCCGTAAGAACTCTCGGGTTAAAAGCAAGACTCAGGAATGCCGTACTTCCTCCCACTGGTGGTTGACTTCACACGAAAGAAAGCGGCAAGCAAGAAGAAACAAACAAAAGGAAGACAGACTGCCTTTTACAATATTAGTATCTATGCTGCTAGCCGGAAAACAAAACAACCACAACCACAACCACAACCTCAACCTCTTCCTCTCCCCGATGATGAATACTCTAGCTAAGACCACGACGACGACAACGACGACGACGATGATGATGCTCTGGCAACAACTCTCTTACCCCTTACGCTTAGCATTGGTCCTCATATCCCCGCATCCTCCTGCATATACACTTCATCATTATTCCAATATGTCTGCCACGTCTCACAGGTATTCTCCAACCCGAAGGGGTCCGCAAACGTAGCCATGATCTCGTCCTGTCTCTCGACGAACTGCAGCCCGAGCCCTTCACTCGAGTGCGCAGCGATGTGGCAATGCATGAGCCAGGCTCCCGGGTTGTCCGTCTTGAACGCCATGACCATGTACCCGTTCAGCGGCAGCGTAGCCACGTCTCGTCTCGGCGGGTTCGACAGCGTCAGATTGACCGTGTCGTTGAGAGGGCCGAACCCCTGGGCCAGAACGACGTAGTCGTGCCCGTGCAGGTGCATCGGGTGCGACCGGTTGCGGTGCGAGAGATCCTGTAGCCCAAAGTACACCCACTGGTCGGCGATACCGAGGGGGATGGCGTCGTAATTCGTAAACCCCTTTTGTGGCGTGTACCCGGTGTTGGGCCAGCTGGTGTTTTGCTGGTGAATCATCAGGTCCGTGGGCGCCGAGAAGTTGACCCAGATGTACGAGTTGTTCAGCGTGAACAGAAACCCTGCAGGCATCGGAACGAAGCTGTAGTTCAGGTTTAGCAGCGAGATCGAGTCCGGAGCTGGCACGTCGAGAGGCATGTAGGGGACTAGTTTGTCAAAAGGCTCGTCCTCGCATTGTGATTTGTACTCGGTGGCAGGGTTCGTCGTTGTAGGTACGGCGCTTGAGTTGGTGTCGGCGTAGCGCACGATGCCCAGGGTGTTGTTCCAAGCGTCGTTGTCGCAGCACGAGCGCTGCCAGATCGGTCGGAGCCAGTAGTTGTCGGGCGGGGCGTTGGCTTCGATGATCACGTCGTACCGCTGGCCCATGGAGATCATCAGGCTGTCGGTCGTGTAGGGGACAACAGGCACAAAATCCATGGCAATGACGGTCAGGTTGTGCCCGTCAATGGCGAACCGGAAGTGCGAGTACAGTCCCGTGTTGACCAGGCGAAGGCGGTACTTCGTGCCGGACACAAAGGTCATCTCGAACCTCTGGCCGACGATGTCCTTGCCCTGACATTGGGTGGTGTTGTCCTGGTGGCAATCGAAGACGTTGGTGCCATTGATGAGGGAGTTGGCCTGCGAAGGAGGTCCGGTGGTCGGTCTATCCCACCACCATTCATTGAACGTCGAAATGTGCGTCCAGTCCATCAGCACCAAAGCGCCGAGGTCCTCGTCATAATCCGCCGTGGCCGGCCCATTGATGATTATAGGACCGAAAAGGCCGGCCGAGTACTGAAAGCTGAAATGCGAATGGTACCACGACTGCAAGATAGGGATTATGTCAACGGCTCGCTTGGAAAGATAAAGGGGGCTGAAACGGACTTTAGGGCTCACTTACTGATCCATACTGCGTCGCTCTCCACTTGTAGGTGTACGTCTGACCAGGGGCCTGAAATAAAACGTTTCCCAAGTCAGCAAATGCACTTCAAGCGGAATGGAGCGCGAGACTAGTAGGGACTGATGCAAGGCAATAGAAAGATGCAGGTGTCGTACAATTGGACATTGCGTTACCCCGGGGACTCCATCAAATTCGTTGTTATTGAATTGTCTGAGACCATGCCAGTGAATGGAGGTGCCATTGTCCTGCATGGCGTTGGTCACATGTATGATGACTGGGAGAATCGCATGAGCCGCAAGCACGATATTGCAAGATACGGAGCTTGATTGACCTACCCTCGTCACCCCAGTCTGCAAAAATGGTCGGTCCAGGCAAGCTGCCATTGAAGACCAGTACTTGCTGTTCGTAACCCTAGCATTGCACGTCAAACAGTCAGTTCCATATGCAGGGTGGACCAAAAGCCAAGAGAACAAGTTTGCTCACATCAGGTGCCATGGTGACATTTTGTGCGACCAGCCAGTACTCTCGAGTCACCCCTGTGTAGGGAGTATCATCGTACCAGTTGGTATTGATCGAATAGTCACCCCAGCACTGTCTCGAGGTTGGCGAGTGGGCACATCCTCCTTGTGACTGCACGTTGGCGGGCGTTAACGTAAGGCATGATGAAGTGTCGTTTGGTAGCGACGCTCTTGGCTGAGCAGGAGATTTAGGGAGTGTAGCCGCCTGGACCTGAGCCAGCGAGGCCAGCAGAACCGTCCCAACGGTAAGAGCACGCATGGTGGGAAGTCGATTATTGTGCAGTCCGTCAGCAGAGCAACGATATCTCAACGTAAGGCGTGTCCGGGCTCGTGAGGCTAATATTGTCGAAGCTGCAAAAGTTGTCCCTCACCACGCAGCAAAATAGGTCCGTCAAGCAGGCCATTCTTCAGCGTGAACCAGGTGACATATTATTCTTACTCGTCGCAAATGAGTTCACAAGTATAATTGCCCGTGGCAGCCATCATTGATGCTTTCTCGGGCACAGGACCTTACTGCCGTGGCCTCACGGCGATGGCACTGGTCATGCAGGGCTGGCATTTCAAGGAAAAACCCGCCGTAGGAGGACGCTGCGGTCGTCCCAAGGCTTTCGTGCCAGAATGAAAGCATCGGAGAGTTCCACGTACTGGTAGTTTTATGGAGTGTCCACAAGAGTTCATCTTTGACCGCCGGGTAAAACCGTCCGAGATTCGACTCACGACTATGATACCCGGGAGAGATAAAATATGTGCCGGGAGAGTCGGCGTGCTGAATATTGAGAGCACGATACTGTGGACACGTACATGTGGGTGGTGCAAGGATTAGACACATGTACTGGTAGCATGTGGTGTCGTCTCCGTCCTCTCCGGCAATCAGACCAGTGCGTGGATCAAAATTGGCCAAGATCCATGCCGATACGTGATGATTTTGAACGTAGCGAACCACATATCTGGAAGGATTCAAAGAGTGAGGACCCCGTGCTGATGTGTCCTCGCTATCCCACGTCGCATGGCCCCAACGGAAACAGTGTGTGGCTCACGGCGCCTCTTGCCCCTCCGCAATTGCCTTCCCAGGCTTGCCGCAGGAGAGGCAGGGATGAATGACCCGCCAAATACGCATTACAAGCCATTACAAGCTTGTTCAAGCTTGCAGAAGCACTTACCGGCTGTTTTAGCAGCCTCTTAGCGCCATGGTTCCTCTGCCTGGCCTAACTCAGGGTTGCAGGCTCGCGTAGGGCTATGTCTTCTCATGATAAGATCTTGTGGGCCATGTTGGGGGCTGGTTGGTACGTGATTGGTTTTCCTTGTTCGACCAACTGGATGGCGACATACTACAACTATTGAATCCGAGTGATCGTAGCACCATGGGTGGTGAATCTTGCGTTATCATTGCTTTTCTGAGGTTAGGACTCCCAACAGTCAGGTCGGTCGTTCATTCCTTCTTCCCCACCAGTCGTCGGTGGGTTTCAATAGGGGAACCACGGCTAAGCATTCCGCACCTTGTGGTCAGTCATTGCGTTGCATGATCAGGCCTTACTCGAGTCAGATCAAGCCCACTGGGGCTGACTTTGTCGAAGCATTTCGGGTGCCACATTATATATCGTTGTCGTAGATGCTAATGATCTGGCAGCCTCGCCAGCTCCATACCTTGGCGAGGCTTTACCGGGTCACAGCACCTCTCGCTCCTTGTCGCACCTCTCTGAGGGAGGTTATCGTGTCAGCCGGGAAATCATTCTTTCGCCATGATCAAGAACGGCGCTGTTGCCATGGATACATACTGCCAGCAGGGAACATGGGGTTGCATGATGATCCTAAAGGCATCTTTATACGTAGGAAGTATAGTGCATGTCGATCATGCGCCATGCAAGCCACACGAACCGCCTGTACCTTAGTATGCTGCATCGGCTGTTGGCCAGGCCTCCTCAACCGCTCGAAACGAGAACGTGTCCAAACTGCGATATCCAACTTGGTTCTGCTAAGCATGCCAAGAGGGACGGCCCTGCAACTGCTTGATTCGTTGTTTCGTCTACCAACGGCGAACTTGCATCCTAACCTCTTCAGTCGCCAAGTCTTCGTCTCGCGTATGTTTGCAAGGTGGCGTATTCGTATGATAATGATGAGCTGTCAGAACGCCATCATGTGCGCCTCAGCGACCCTTTGGTTGCACAGTAAGAGCGGATGGCTGAGCGGCCCGAGGAGGAGCATCGGCGAACAAATAGAGGATTTCGCCGCCAACATCAACGGCTTGGACGAACGGGTGTCCTCCATAGCCATTGAGGAAATCGCCCCAGTGTTTTCCTCCAGCCATCCCGCTTTGTGGACGATCGTCTCGCACCATGTGGCGCTTTCAAGCTTTCCCTGCATACTAAGTGGTTCCCAGAAGCAAGAAACAAGCGATGGTAAGAGTCGACAGGGAAAGCCAAACAGAGATGAAAATGATATTCCCTAGTGTATCGCGTTAATTGGCTGATCCCTGTAACGCCTGTGCTGTCGACAAGGTCTATTCGCAGAAATCAAAGACGCCATTCCATCAAATTCGCAGAAAGAACATGCACACTCGCTTCTAGTCCCTCTAGCAGCTTGTGTAGATAGCATGTGTAGGTGTCGTTGTCCCGGCCATCGGCGTCGGAAGGGCCCACGCGTGGTAGGGACTTCTTCAGAGATGCCAGCACAATCTGGATCTTAGCCAGGATCCGAGAAAATACCACCCCGAGCACGAGCAGGCTCTCCTCGCCCTTGATCTCGTAGCTGCCCAGGGTGAATTTCGTGTCCCTTTGCTGGGGTTGAGATTCTCCATGTTGCGTGTTGCTGGTGCGGCCAGTCACCCAGTCCCCTGCACCTGATTGCGAGAACATATGTCGTGAGGCACCCTGCAAAAGACGCGTCACTGCTCGAATGCTCATGGCAGAGAGAAGTAGCACTTCCCGGTGCTGGTCTTGCTGGCAAATCCGACACTGTAGATATGTGTCCCAAGACCTCAAACCCTGCTCAACGCCGTTCAGGACCACATCCGCCGACAATTCTGTTACCCCTTTTAACAGCTCTTGCAAATGAGCTAGCAGTTTCGCGTGACGATGGAGGCACTGGCATTTCAGCTCGTCGAGCGACACATTACTGTTGGGAATCAAGAGCGGTGAGAATGCTATTCCCAAGCGGTCAATGTCCGGGGCAGTCAAAGCCATAGAATCATTCGACGGCCATGTTTGTAGCATTGTAGGACTCCCATCGGTGCTGTTGCTATTGGTGGAACACTTAGACTCGGTACTGTTGCTGTTGGTAGTGGTCTTGGACAGCGGCTCAGAGCTCATGCCATGCGGAATCGTAAAATTAATGCCGTCTTGCTCAATCGACTGTAAAATGGAATCTCTTAATATCTGGGAGGGCGACACTGCAGAAAAGTCGAAATCGTTGGAGGCATGAGGGAATGCGTCGTGAAACATTGGCATGCTGCAGGCTGAATGCAAATCCCCGGAGCTAGTATCGAGGCTGAAGCCCGAACAGATATCCATGGGATCCACGCTCATGTCGGTGGTCATCATCGGGAAGGGAAAACTGTGTTGATAAACAAGCGCCGGATCCTGGAAGTTGCTGGCGTATGTTGAGAAATCGTGATGCGGATTGAAGTCGAATGGCACGCCGGTCACACATTTCTGAGGTCGGCCGTGAAGGTCTAAGTGCGGCGTTGAAGGGGAAGAGAGGCCTGATGCGAAAGATGATAGTGATGAAGATGACATTTCAGGGAGCCGGAAGGCTCCTCCATTGTGTTGACCTTGTGGTAGTGAAATACTTCTAGGGTCGGAGTAGTTGCTGCTGTGATTGACATTGTTGTTATTGGTGCTCAATGACGGCTGCGATGATTCCAAGGAATCGCCACGACTGTGGTCGGATTTGGTGTTGTCGCAGCTTTTCTTGTTCCTGGTCCCTTTTGGTCGTCCTGCTCGGTTTGATTGACTATACACGCAGGTGCTTCCCGAGCGTTGACACCTTGTGCATGGACTGCTGCCACAGCATTTGGTTTTCGCTCCGTGGCAAGCATCACAGGCTTGACGGAGCCTTTTGTTGAATGCTGAGTTCTGTGAAGCCTCTTGGGAGAGCGACGAAGTGGAAGAAAACATGGTCGCAGCAGGGTCTCATACGATGATGCTGAACTCATCAGAAGGAAAGTGCGTGGTTATGCCTTCTCTCCGCAAAACCCCCTTTGATAAGAGAGGTTCGACGGCTCTTGTACCGCTCGTTGCTGATCAGCATGAGCATCGTTCGTCGCGAAGAGTGCCGGGCAGTCCATTCGACGCGTGAAACCTGTCAAGATGCCGATTGGACTGGACGTCGGTCATGGCACCCACTGCATATCTGAAAGTTACTACCAAGGCATTTGACGGACAGATGGGGACTTGTCTGAAAGAATGAACATGGAATCCAGGAATTTGGGGGCTGTTTACACGGCAATACTGAGCCGCGTTTCATACAAGCCATCCTCACTGTCAACCTTGTTTTGAATCACCGACGTGCAAGTGGATCGACGAATGCTTGATAACGCCAATCGAAATTCACCAGGCCGAAGCCGGTCCAGGGATATCAGCTATCCCACCTTGGGAGATGATGGGAGTAAGAAAGGGAAAATCTGGCGAGGTCTACAAGCGCCGCCGCCTCAAGGGGACTACTGCACCTTCAACAGGAGTTTCGGAGCTTTTTGTGACTTGGCTTCCATCCTTCAACATGCCAGACACACTATTTCTGTCTTATACTGATCCGGTGGAAATGGTGGCAGGGTCTTCGGCAGAGGTGGCGCACAGGAGGAAGACGAATGGCATGGTTAGTAAGCCTAGTTTACCCTCGACACTCCTCGACTACTCCTCGACTAGTTACTCCGTAGGTGCTGGGTGATATCCGTTATGTCTACCATAGCTTCACCTTCGTACCCTCCAAATGCTGCGCCAGTACTTGAACCTTGTGGCACATACTGACAGGATAGAGTTGCACTCCTAATAGCTGCAACAAGCATGGCATTCTCGCTGTCACGCACCACAGACTCAGCATGTAACATCTTGCTTCTGGCTATCGAAGGGCGTCGCTGTCAAGACACCTCAGGCCCTATACTTGGCCATCCCCGGTAGAGCTTAACATAGCTTGATACCGTCTGTTCAACTGCTCTTCTCGTCGGCTGATTATCATGTAAGGGACTTGCATCACTCGCAGTTTGCAACGGATCCCGTACGACGGAGCAAATGGGATTAGACTGAGTGGTGGACGGAGTCCGCAAAATGGAACCTCTTTCTAAGCATTTGGCAAGACCATGTGCACCAAACACCGTTTGCATGCTATTACCGTGTTCAGTCATGGAGAGCACAAGGACGCATTATGGGCGGAGTCTCTCTTCCCTCGAATCATGACCACGACTTACTGCATACTGCTCTGAAGACACCTACCTCGCTAAGGTAATAAGCCAGCAGCCGGGGCGGTTCTAGACCTCTTTCAACAGGGACCCCTGAAGAGAGCCGTAGTACTCCGTATTGACTGCCGATTCCATCATCCGGCATGCCAGCTGTAGTAACAGCGGTCGCCTGCATGGGTCACCCAGGGTCAGCGGAGATGCTCAATGAGGATTGGAGGATGATGGAGGAAGATGATTGATGCCCATACTAAAAGTACGCAAATCGTGGGAAATCCTGTGGGATGCTCAGCCGTACATCAGCTACGGTGGACCACTTTGGCGAAAAGAGACACTTGTGGGCAATTTGGAGATCCGCGAGATCTTTATCCTTAGTTCGTGACTTTTTTCGAATCTTTCAGTCGCTCGGCGATAGACGTCCAGAACAAGCGGCAAGTCTGATCATCTTGCATATTACGGCAAGAGGACTGGGTTGGCTGACCCGTGAATGCCACCAAGCCAATATGGATTTGACGACCGACTTCAAGTCCTTTCAGGACAAAGTGCAGAAAGCCCTTGTCAATGTAACGAGGACCGCAGGCCAGATCTCAAACGAGGATCTCAGCTTCCACCGCTCGTCAAGTGAGAAACTGTCTCGGTCACTTAACCATCAGAATGCCCATCTATTGCGCTTGACCAACAAACTGCTCAAAGCCGCCACCAAAGATACGAGCCTCAAGGCCCCTGCCCTACAAAATTCGGATGGCATTGACGACAATTGGCGTCGCGTGGTCGACGTGGTAGATGATCTCCTGGAGAAGGCTGATTCTGCTCTGGACGAGATCTCCGGAGTTATCAAGCGCCAAAGCCCCAGTGTGCAAGATGGAGAAACACCATCGCAGTCTGCAAGACTGGGCAGAAACCGATTCTCAAATACCATGCAGAAGCCCCAGGTACATTTTGAGACCAAGGTCAATAACACCGAGACGCGACCCTTCAAGCCGCTCCTCAAATCCAAGCCTCATGCCAAAGTGCCTCTCGAGGAGTCCATCGGCGAGGAAGAGTCTGGGTAGGTCCCTCCGTTGCCGTTGTATAAGTTCCGTTTCTAATACAGTAACAGCTACAAGCATCCGTACGCAGCAGAAATCGAAAGCTACACCTACCCTGCTTCTGTTCACGAGATCAGACCTCCGATACCCTTTGATCCACCTGAGCAGAGCGAGCCGATCTACGTCGACACCGAGGAAGGTGTGAAGGAGATGTTACAAGAGCTGAAAAATGCCACAGAGATCGCCATTGACCTCGAACACAACGATATGCGCTCGTACATCGGCATGGTGTGCCTCATGCAAATCAGCACAAGGGAAAAAGATTGGATCATCGACACCTTGAAACCATGGCGACAGAATTTGCAGATACTAAACGAGGTTTTCGCCGACCCCAATATCCTCAAGGTCTTCCACGGCTCGAACATGGACATGATCTGGCTACAGCGAGATCTTGGACTGTATGTTGTCGGCGTATTCGACACCTTCCACGCTGCGACCGCCTTGCAATTTCGGGGCCGAGGTCTCAAGCACCTGCTGCAACAGTTTGCCAATTTCGAAGCACAAAAACAATATCAAACCGCCGACTGGCGAGTTCGGCCCTTACCTCAAGAACTGCTCGACTATGCCCGCTCAGACACACACTTCCTGCTCCACATCTACGACAACATTCGAAACATGCTCATCGAAGCATCCGCCCCCAACGACAACTTGATAGACTTTGTCCTTCGAGAGTCCAAAAAGGAAGCCCTTCAGGTCTACGAACGTCCAACCTACGACGTGGACACGGGACGCGGCTCACTTGGCTGGCTCAACCTCCTCATGCAGCGCTCCGTCAACTTCGGTCCTCAGCAGTTCAGCGTCTTCCGAGCCGTGCACGAATGGCGCGACCGCAAAGCACGAGAAACAGACGAGGGCCTGCAGTTCATCATGGCAAATAACATTATCTTCCAAATTGCTGAGAGCATGCCAACCTCGACTTTCAATTTCCACGCCTCGATCCGCGGAAACACAAAGACCATTTCAAACCACCTGCCCGAACTCATCGAAGTCGTCAAGAAAGCCAAGGCTGAAGGCAAGGACGGCAAGACGGTCCAGGAAGTCCTCAAGCACGCCGAGGACGCTTATGGCATTACTCCGCGTCGCGCCCCCAAACGTGAGCCGCACCGCGAACAACCAAGCAACTACGAAGGCGTGGGCGCGACCTTGAAGCAACTCATGGCTAGCAGGGACGTTGGCGGCACTGGCACGCCTTCTCCCGCGCCCCTCAATTACGACGGCAACGTGGACATGGACACGCCTGTGGCAATGCGCTCGTCTGCTTCTCATTTCTGGGGCGCCGTCACGCCGCAGCACATGCACCTCCCCACAGAGGCTGTCACGGCCGTCGCTGCACTGCAAGCCATTCTTCCACTTGCCGGGGCTTTCAACGATCAAGACCCTGCTCAGCCCGCTGTCAGGACGCCCGTATCAGAAACACAATCACATCCACAAACCCAAGCACAACAGGCCTCCAAGAACGGTGACATCTTCACGTTGAAGGAACGTTCCCGCTCCAAGAAGCGCAAAGCTGACGATGTTGAGGCGGATGCCGGAACTGAGACCATCGCGGACATCCCAGCATCAGCTCCAGCCATGGCATCCACCGACGGCTCACCCTCTGCTGGCCAAGACGATGGAGCTGCGGCTGTAACTGAAAAGGACCCTGCGTACGAAGATAAGCGCCAGGCGAAGAAGCAGAGAAAAGCAGAAAAGAAGGCCCGCAAGGAAGCCGAGAAACTCGCGGCGGACCAGGCGGCACAAGGCAGTCAACCCTTCGACTATGCTAATGCAGAGTCTCTGCTGACTCCGACGACTCAACCGGCGCAGGCAAATGGTCAAGCGGCAAAGAGGATCAATCCATTCGCCAAGGCGTTGGACACAAGTACAGGTGCGAGACGGGGCAAGATGGGCCAGGAGCTGGCCGGAAAGAGCATGACTTTCAAGTCTTGATTGCTTGGGATTCCTTCTTCGTCTAACAAGCTTTTCTTCCGGTATCCATGATCGTGGTGACGATCGAATACCAGATAGTATCAGCAGGAGCCATCACTTGATGCACAGCACTATCGATATCTACCTCTTAAAGTGTTGTGCTCGCGCGCTTCGAGCTTGTTCAGCAACATACATAGAAAGATGCCCTGCACAATCCCCCACCACACCACCGTCCTAAGACCCATCATTTTTCGTGTTCAGGTTTGCACATAATCACATCGCAGAGGGCACTCTTTGTGTCGTTGCTGGCGCGCCTTCACAGTCGCATTGACCGAAACGTCTCCAGAAACTTCTTGTGCCGGCATGAACCTGTCATCCTCCCTACCCGTATGGGGACTATGGGGCAAACCAGAGTTCGAGATCGTCATTCCATGCCTCCCGATGCGTGAGATACAAGTATAGACGTTTTTGTAACAGAGTTCCCGCATTGACATCAGGGTGTGCCTCGACCTCATCTTTCTTCTTCATGTCGAAGTTCCAATAGTCCATATCGTCGTAGATGTCGATACACTTGAAATCCAAAGGGGTCGGCTTGGAGCTGACGGCGTCAAATATGGTTCTCCAATTGCGGGTGTCACATCTTTCGAGGACCAGCTTGTCCAACCGAGTTAACCCAATAATGGTGTCAGCAAAGTCCTCATGATGAAGATTGAATCCTTTTAAATGTACTGATCGCATCGGAAGAAGTTCAAGTTGCGAATCTGGTGGCCAGATGAGGTCGGGGAGCCCGTCATAGTCGCGACAAAGTGTCATACTTTGCACGGTCTTCTGGACTTTTTTGATCACTGCTGTGCAAGCCCGGGTGGCGGAGCTAGAGCGCACGAAATCCGATTCAGAACGATCACAAAAAGGTACGGAGTCGATCGTTATGGTTTTGAGCTTGTCGAGATTAAGCTGCCGCCAGGATGAATCGGACCAGCCGGGTTGGAAAGTGTGCTCCAGCTCGCAGCCAACCTTCAGCTCTTCAACCGAGAGCTGGGTGGAAATGAGTGTTCGAATGACTGCCTCGAACAAACGATCTCCATTGGGCCCTGCAATGCTATCCATGAAGCTGATGTTGTCCTTGCACAGCTGACACCATGATAGCTCAGGTTCATTGATGAGGTATGGCTGCCTCGACAGAAGTGTGGTGACGGAACACAGTCTTATGCTAGATACGTTCCCTAAAGGCAGGAGCTCTTTTCTCCACAGATCCGGCAATATCCCGTCTTGTAACAATGCCATGTCCTCATGAGCTGCCTGTGTGTACGATAGAAAACGGGCGGTGATCTCGCGGTCAGACAAGGGGATGCGACCATGAGGGTGTTCATGCATGCGTTGCTCATATGTTCTTCGGGCACAACAATTACAGTGCGATCCCAGGAGTGAGTAATGAGCACGTAACATATCTTCAAACTTGTTGCGAGTGAGGCCAGGGATGTAGGGAGAAGGGAAAAAGTTGAGCTGTCGCACAAAAGGTCTGATGGGGGTCAAGTCGGTCTGCACAAGCCGTTGAAAGTTGTCTTCTGTCGGATGAAGATTGATGCTCTTGAACAAGGCGCGATTGATATTTCCCATGCGTGCCAATTCGCGGCAGGTGAGTCGCAAAGATTTTAGTGTCGCCATTGCAATCCTAGAGAGGCTATAGTCAGTGAATACGTTCCTACCCCTTGATTTCAAGGGCGATGGGCTCGTTACCGGTGATGATGTTCGTCATCGAGGTCGTTGACAAGCCATGTCGCAATCTCATAGAGCACTATGCTGGGTAGCTGAGGCAGTTGCGTCGAACTTGAGCTGCTTGCGTTTGCCATTTTGTTAGATGGAGCATGTGAGATCGCACGATCCGAGACAATTCGGTTTAGCTGCGACAAGGGAGAACGATCAGAATGGGGAACAGCGAATAAGACGATTTGAAAGAAACAAGGGAAGGTTCGCGCGATTAAGACAGTCGCATTTCAGTACGCGACAGTGACGAGGGAAACATAAAGAACCATGGAAGACAATTCACAAGCTGCGGTGAGAGAAGCCTTCATCAATGTGAGCTGACCTAACAGTGAAGCTTCGTAGGAACTGAACAATCACTGCAGAGAAATCCCAGGCATGTAAGGCGGTGGCAAGGGGGCGGATTTCAATAGAAGACAAAACAACGCGTTAATCTTGGTGATTCTCTTGAGGACACTGTCAAGCATCAGTGTCGGTCAGCCATCCTGCTGCTGAAAATGTGAGCCGTGGTGGTTTTTAAGTGTGAAGTAGGAATGCAGGAGGAATTGAGTACAATATACGAGGCTGACTATGGCCAAGAGGCCATAGATTTGGTTTTACGACAACAGGACACTTCAACCACCACCAGTCGATCCAATACAATCGTGCAGTTCTATGCAAATCATGATCAGCTACCAGGCCCCGTAAGTTCCATTTGAAGAGCCATCTTCAACCAAAACTTGCTGCCTAGACTCGTTGGGCATCCCCTATCCTACGTAGCCAACTAATACCAGCATGGCTTCATGACGATAGCCTTGTCCCATAATCTCCTCCTTCCATGCTAGCCTCAAGACCATCTTCCTTGCAACGAAAGGCGCCAGCGTACTCCTCGACCAAGCCCGCATAAGGTTGGTAAGCCAGAGGAGCGACATGTTTTCTTTCACCAGTAAACAAAGACTTTCTCGAGAATGTCATCCCAGTCTCCTTTCTTCGACAGGTAGGGCGCAGACTTCGCCTCAAGTCCTCAACTGGATCAGTCATTTGCTGAACATCAACCTCATCCAACAGATCAAAAGTCAAGCTCCACTGTGGAATGGACGCCACGCGCGTGCCCCCGCGCGTATCGATGCTGCCGAACTCAACATGCAGAATATTTGGGTGTCCACGAATTGCGTCAAAAACGAGTCGCCAGTCTCCATCACCGAAACCTGGGAAACATCCCTTTATAATAACCCGTTCCAAGGCCTGGAAGCGAGTTATATCATTTGCGAAATCTCCGGCGCTGAAAGAGATCCCTTGGAGTGATACTTGGCGCAGCTTCGGAAAGTCCAACTTTTCGGGGACCGGCCAAACGAAAGGGAACGAACGGCTTTCTCCAGCCAGATTGAGGTGCTGTAGCGTATGGTGAGACTTCTCCAGGAAGGCGTGGGAGAAAGGTTCATACGGGGTGAAGAACCCGACAGGACGGACTTGAGCTTCAGCCATGTACAGGACCTTGAGGCGTTCCAGCCCTTCAAGGCTGAGCTCGTCCCAGTATGGGTCGGCCCGCCCAGTCCCGAAAGGCTTTGAGGGCTCACATGCGAGGGAAAATGTCTTGATCAATCGTCCGGTCGATGCAAGAGCCTGTAAAACCACTTTGAAGAGAACATCCCCACATAGTCCCATTGAACAGCTCGGAATGGTGACTAACCATCCGCAGCAGTTGTGGTTCGTCGGAACCACAATCGCAGATTTGCAATCATCATCGCAGTGACGTCCTACCAAAGATCTTAAGGATATGGCATCCACGTTCTCGAATGCCGACAATGCTCCAGTCCACGCCTTCTGTAAATCGCCATCTCCAACAACGACGGCGTCTTTTTGTGCACATCTCCAGAGTGATTCATAGCTGGCATCAGCGTCAATATCTCCGCAGGCATGCCGACCAAGTCTGTGCTGTTTCGAATGCTCCTCACACAAACGATCATGGCAGATGTGGGAGATATTTCGCGACGCAATATTGACAGTCCGCATATGCAGCATGGTTTTGAACGTGGGTAGATCGGCAACGAAGGGGAGTGGGGAAGAGTAGAAGTCAATGGCGTGCACAAAATGGGCAAAGGTCGTGATATTGGTTCGGCGTGGTTGATTTAAATTGTCCTCAGTGGCGTGCAAGCTGATCTTTCTGAATAACACGGATTTGATGTTTCCCATGATGGCAAAGTCTTTGCATGTTTGTCGTAGTGCCAGAAGTGTGGACCGTGCAACATCACTACGCTGCGATCAGCTAGGAAAGGGGCATGGCGCGAGGGGATATCAAAGGGCTTACCGCTCTTCAGACGCGGATTGGGCGCCGACCTCATCGACCAGTTGTTGAGCGACCTGGTACAGCACCACTGTGGGTAGATGGAGCAATGCCATGATGGCGAAGAAATGGTGACTCTCGCGCTTCGCAACTTCGACGGCTCTGGGAGTGACTTGAAACTTGGATTAGCGAAGCTCAGGTTGATGGAGGGACCGGCGTCGAGTGGACGAAACTGACGTACGATGATGTGAGGCAGTCTTGGTTGTCGCAGACACACTCGGATTCGAGGGACAGAGACTGATGGTATTGGAGGCGGTCTTGTTTGCGGCGACCGATATCCTAGTAGAATAAAGTGTGAGGCTGTCGTTGTAGTGTAGTTGGATGCGGACGACGTAGCTCAAGATCTCGAGAGCGCAGCCACGCAGCGTGCCGGTTCTTAAGGACCGTCTGCGATAGGTGATGCCCAAGGCGAACTGAGCAACGGTGGTGGCGGCGAATATGGCAAGATAAAATGAAATTACCGGCATCGAAAAAAGTCTGTAAACATCAACACATGCAGTGACAAAGTCGAATAAAAGTGAAGCGCCTGTGAAATTTTCAGCGCAGTGAAGCATGACCGAGAGATGTGAATGTCGAAGACAGAAATTCCTGAAGTGCCCATCGTTATTGCCTCAAGCATCGACTCACGACACCACCAAAGTACAAAATCGATAATTGACAATCCTCGCTCTGGAAAACGCCACCTCTACTGCTCGATGCATCCTTTGCATGTGAGATCCTCCCATCTGTTCTCACAGCGTGCTGGTGTAGAAGATCAGATGCGATATATTTCGAACAAGACCACAGGAGGAAAGCTTTATACCAACTCTCCCACTCTTTCCTTGCACTGCTCCTTTCTACAGCGCAAGCTCGGCCTGCATTCTCTTCAACTCCTCTTCCTCGTCCTCTTCTTGCGTCGTCTGCTTGACTATCGAGACATCAGTATTGCCCAACTCGTGGTATCGGGCAAAAAGTGACTTACGTGGAGCATTTGATACTGCGGGTAATCTGTTGACGTCGCCTGTCACAGGTGTAGGACCAGTGCTGATCATTCTCTCGTCCATGGCCTCTTGTTCCAAGCCTTCCAACTCTTCTTCTAGATCAGCCTCGTCGATCGGCTCTCCAATAGGTGCATTCGTGATTGCGCTGGCGATCTCTTCCCCGAGGGCATGTTGTTCGCGCAGTTCGTCCATGGTTTGGTCAACCTTGTCGATGGTGAGATTGCCATGGATTTGTTTCATAGCTTGTCCAGCATTCTTCATCGCGTTGAGGGTTTCTTGGTTGATGTTGGCGGCTTCGATGGAGTAAATCTGTTGTTCAATCTGGGCGATTTGTGCTGATGTCTGTTCAAGAGTCCGTTCGTGCAGCTTCTTCCTTCGGAGGGCTGCTTTCGCGGCTGTAGCACAACAATGTCAATATAGGTCTGCCGGCTGGTGGGATGCCTGTGTGCCCAACTTACCCGTCTTATTCGTAGAGATATTCTTCCTTGCTACGGCATCTTGCTCTGCCATCTGGCTCTCCAAATGTTTCTCTCTTTTCTGTAACATATCCAGCTGCTGCCGGAGTTTGAGAATGGCGTTTTTCGGCGCATCTCTTCGAGCCTGGGCCCCTGCCCCTCCAAACCAACTCCACATGTTGATCGCTGGTCAGAGAAGAGTTCGAACGAGCGAGAGGTTTGGAGAGGTGGTCAAGGGATTATTGCGGGTGCGCAAAGGAAGCAGAGTCGAATCGTGATATGGGAAAGGGTGGTTGTGGCCCAGCCGGAGGCTCTGATCGTTATCGCGTGTACAAGTGATGGCGGCGTCGGCAGTCCTATCCAGCAAGGGCTTCGTGAGAGGCAGTAAAGAAAGGAGAACGGGCGGAAGCAGTGGTGGCTAGAAGTCTTTCAGGCACCAAGAGACCAGAATCTCAACCGAATGATGCACAAAGGGCGTCTTTAACGAGTGCCTGGCAATGAATCTGGAAGAGTCCAAGGCATGACATCGTTTGCTCATCACCGGCGCCGCTCGAGGGCGCTCCAAATTCGCAGGTTTGCCGAGCGCTTAACACGTGTGCCAAGATACTAGTGTCTATATCTTTGGCGAGGCTGTGCTGTATTGCGATACTCAGTTGGATCAGGCTGAAATATCTCTGTTCATTCTACCCGCGCACGGCCTGCTACCCGAAACAGAAGTCAAGGTCGACATCTCCGTCGCCCGCTTGCCGCCGTGCGTCAATGACATCTCCCCACCATAGGACCTCACCGAGAATTTCTTGACTGGCCCAAACCTCCTCTAGGATTTCCAGCACACTCGGAAACATGTGATACCCGAAGACCTCAAACCAGCGCTTACAGTACTCCCGTATGAAGTCCTTGTGCCGCTCAATATTGGTCTCAGCACCAGCGAGGAATATTGGAAGCAGCAACTGCTTCAACGTGTCTGATGACGCTCTTATCGAAGCCACATGATCCAGGCTGATCCGACTCAAATAGCGGAGCCTTGCCCTGCTCTGTGCCGAATCCGTCTTGTCCTCAGGGAAGACTCTCAGGGCATATATCAGCAAAGAGTGTCGAATGGCCTCGCAGCAATGATATCGGTCTCTGGCCTGTTGCAAACACTCTTCGCCCCCGTCGTCAAGCAAGGTTTGATCAACTGGAGAACGGTAACTGTGCAAGTTCGTCTCAATCTCGGCCACAATTGCCCGCATAGCCTTACGAGCGTGACCTTTGCTGTCGGATTGCCCCGCGAGATGTGCAAATTGCATCAACGGAACCAGCAACTCACGCGAACAACCGATCAGATCGAAAAATGTCCAGAATTGAGAACTCTCCCACTGGAGAACCGCTTCGAAGTATGCGAACGGCATCACAGGGACACGACGGGATAGCAAAGCTACCACAGCATCCCACCTGCAACAGGATCTTGTCAGCCAGGCGTCCACTTCGAACAGTCAGGCTCCATCAGGCACTTACCAAAGAAGCATCGTGACTTGTGTTTGTGACCTGAAGGAAAGCGACCAAACAAGTATGCCACCCGCCAATTCAAGCAGAGCATATGCATTCGTGAGATGATTTCTCCATGAATTCAATGCTGACTCCACCGTCTGTGAACGAAGTATTAGTCTTCCGGAAAGGTGAGAACAAGTGTCAGGGGCGTTGACGTCTCACATCTATACACCATAGCGCCAGCAGCGTGTCTAGGGCTCCTAAGCTCTGAGCTTGAATTTCCGGCGTCTGCAGCGCTGCTTTGTACAGTGTCACAGCTTGATTTTTATGCTGATAAAACTCCGCGGGTGGTGTCTTCTCAATTCGATATTCTTTCCGATGATGGCACGCCAGTGCAATGATCGCATGCAGCAGATGTTTTGAGCCTCTCGAGGTCTCTCTACGGTATCTGAAAGGGTTGATGTCCAAATCGCTTGTGATTGGATACGTGCAAAATTCCTGATCGTCTACTCTGGTGAGCATCCAGTCTCGAGCACATAAGGCCGAGAGCACGACTTACATCTGTCCAGTAGAATTGAAAATTGGTCCGCTGTCCCAGAATATTGTACAGCAGGTGGGATCGAGGTCATGGAGTTGAAGCCAATCGAATATAAGGACTGTGGTTGGTCTGGATTTAGGGACAGTGTGATGGCAGCTGGAGAGTGTGTTTCGTTGGCAAGAAGGGACCATCTAGGCGTGAACACCTCATGCATCTCGTCGTCGACACTCCAGTGGTACAAGGCACTGCTAGACGCCAGAGGCAAAACCTCTTCAACGGCATCCTCGACATCCCACCCAGCGTAGCTGTCGGGCTCCGAAAATCCAGTCTCATGGAGAGCTGGAGTCATCGCCGAAGAGTCAATTACCGAAGGTGTGGGCTGGTCGACCTCACCGTGGCCAGGCCTTGACGCATTCCAATCCGGGTCCCCGCGCATTGTTTTCCGAGAGGCGCCACGCCTATCGATATGATCGGTGGTCGTCGCTGCGGGAGAGATACCTTCCTGTACGTGCCTATCCATGTCCAGATTCCTCCTCATATGCTTCTTCCTCGGCTTCGGCGGCCAACTCGACACGAATGCAAACTCTCGAGCTGACCCTTTCACAGTGGAGGCAGTTTTTGTGACGCGAGCGTCGTTTGCTGGGGACATCGGGCTCTCAGTAGCCCTTCCACGTGCTTCGAGGCCATGCCTACGCCTACTGTCATCTCCACGCCTCGATGGCAAGTCGCTACCTTCCCAGACAAGACGAGTCTGGAAACCCTCACACTTATCGCCTAGATCCTGGCAAGTTGAACAAACTGGTCGTTGCCTGTCGCATTTTCTGCGTTTCGTCTTGCATGTATGGCAGTCTGACTTGGCGAATGCGAGGGAGTTCGTCCTAGACGGGGTCTTCCTTCGTTGCATTACTGATTTGGCTGAGAGGCTGCCGCCAGCGAAAGCTTGTGAAGACGCCTTCCTAGCAGTGAGAAGAGATGGCCTCCGTGTTATTAGCCGTATTAAACCTGAATGATGCTATCATCTCATCCTGGATTCGACGGGATTCAGTATCAAAGGGACGGATTCTGGGAGACGACAGTATGCCCGTCGTCCATAGTCTTAGATCTCTAAGTCAGAGCGGCAAATGGCATCATCGACGGCGAAATCAAGAAGGCGAACATCGAAGCCCGGACCATGCGCCCTATTCAGTGTGGACCTCGAGGCTAAATGAACTAACTAGTTGGGCTTATCATCTCGGTCTCATCGGCTGGACCGGCCACTCATCTGATGCCCGGAGGAAGCCTGCTAGCCGGTCGGCGTGCCTATAGTGGGGAAAGCCGCCATCATGCCGCCTACACAATAGGCGTCGCACATCAAGGGTACTGTATCGCTTACGCTCGCAATTGGCGCATCCCCGATTAGCCAGCTAGATACTCCGTGTGCGAGCTGTCGAAAGAGCTGAAAGAAGTCTCCCAGTCATCGCCATCTTTATATGATAGCGGTTCGTTTATTCTTGCACAGCCCCTAGTATAGAGGAGCCTATTTGCCACTATATCGCCTCTCCAGCCAGCGTAGAGGCGGATACGACAAGCCGGTAAAAGCAAATGCCAAAATAACACCCATTTCACCGCCCATGTCTCCAATCCGACGTGCAACGACGCCGACATACCAGGTTTGGTTCATGCCTAGAACGGCCCCGACGATGCCCAGCAGAAAACTGAAAACAGCGGCGGCACCCCATGGGAGTCTGGACTTGTCGGCGTACACCTCGACAGCGTAACCACTCTTTCGGCGGAAGATGAGGTCTTCCTGTAGGACAATCATGAACAAGGCACTTGTCCAGTATCCAATGACGCTCAGAAAATTGCTGATGATGGTCATCAGATGGCCCCGTCCTGCGATGCCGCAGATCGCATAGATAAGCACGCCGATCGAGGTCCAGAACAGTCTGGGAATGACCGCAAAATAGGTCGTGAGTGCCTGAATGGACAGGCCGGCCGAGTATGTGTTGGGAATATTATTGCCGATAAGACCTATGCATGATTAGCAGATGTGTGGATGTCGTTTGAGCCCGGTTTGTCCTTACCTAGGAAGAATACGACCATCAAAAAGGTGCCAAAGCCATGAACAGGTTTCAGAGCAGTGCCGATCAGGGCACCATATCCTTCGTTGTAGTAGACATCCATCCATTCTGGAGTGCTTCCCAGAGCACCACCAATGGCAAGGCCAACTGATTGAAAGAAAACCATAGGGACGACGATGCCGACCCACGTCAACGAGAAGGTCTTCCAGCGTGGAGTTGTAGCTGGGTAGGTGATGTAGTAATCAGATGCAATTGGCAAGAATCCCGATGCTGAGCCAAAGCAGATGGTGATCATAGTCAGGAAGTTCCCCGAAAACGTGGCGCCGTGATATAGATTCGGTGCTCCGGAGTCGAAGTGCCTCGATGCGATAGCACAAAGGATGATCGTAGCAATGAAACCAGGAATGAAGGCATACCTCTCGTAGAAATGGACGAGGCTGTACCCGAAACCTGCCACAACGAAGGAAAGGACTGATAGGATGATGATTCCCACCCATGTTGGGCAGGAGCCTCCGGAGATGTAGTTGAGGATTTGGCCGCCGATAACAACACCCACCAGGCACCAACCGAGCTCGGTAATGGCGTTGACGAGTGCGACAAGCTTACCCCCGTACCAGCCAAAGGAGAATCGAGCCAGAAGGATCTGCCGCAGACCAAGACGTGGACCAAAAGTACCCATGTAAGCGGCGCAGGCGGCTCCCAAGCCGGTGCCAAAAAGTACTGCTAGAAATCCGTTTGTCACACTGAGCCCCAGCCATGAGGGACCAGCCAAGAGGCCAGTTGCGACGGTAGAGATGACTGCGGAGCAGGAGAACCACAAGAACATCATATCGAGATAGTTCAAGTTTTCATCGCGTTCCGTCGGCAAGACACGCTCAATCCCACGGCTTTCAATGTGCAGCTTCTGGTCCAGGAGGTTCGAGTAATGCTGGACAGTTTGCAACCACCGAGGGCCGTGATTTTCGAGCTCGCCGGTACCGAAGCCCCTAAGCTGGTCTACTGCTTCTGGCTGAGTAGTGGTCTTTTCAGACATCATTCCTTTCTCGGCCGCGGCCTCCAGACTTGTGGCCTCCGCAGCTGATGTTGCCGTTGGGCCCGGCTAGTATAATCGTTAGAAATAGAGCTCACTCGGGCAATAGGACGAACCATGAGGACAGAGGTTGGACACTGTTTGTCTCGGTGTAATGAGACTTCTTTTTCGCTGCGTGTTGAGATCACGATGGAGACGAGGGTTGAAGAGGTGTTGTTCGTCCCAAGCTCGTCAATTGCACTGGTTGCAGCGCGGAGCACTTGATATGTCGCATGTTATCGTGTCGCCCGACCAATGTATCAACCGGGCAAGAGCGTTATGCCATACTAGGCAACCCAGTCGACAGTAGGCTTATCTTTCGACCGTGTCGGCCCTACCATGCGTGTCCAAAGGGAACTAGCAAAGGGCCTTCTGAGGCGGCGGAGTCTGGCCGCAAACGAGAGCCAGTCGCCTTCCAATAGCCAAACCGAGGCGGCTCATCAACCTCTCGATAGGTAGAGGGAAGTGGTTAATGGCATGATGGCAATTGACAAGCAGCCAGACCCTGCGTTGGTCCGTGTGCCCGACGGCAAAGGCCCTCGCTCCCATCGAGGGGCGTTACAATTACCTGTGCAAGCAATCGAGCTTCGATAAGGACCGGCTAGTCAAGAGTCAAACCTTATAGCCCATCATAGCCCCTATGAGATATGCCATTTTGGGCAACCGAGAGTTCCGAGAGCCACTCCTCTTCCTCTCCGATGTCCTTCTTTGACTTCTCATCGTGTGCCACGATACCACACACGGTGGACACCGACACAGCATATACCTGTTCAGGAAACTAGGTAGCTCATAGTTACCGTGTTCTGGTAGGTAATATGTGGCGTGGTTGAGTTGCTGCAATATGTCGCTCCAAAGCCGTTATTTTGCGAGTCCGAACCCAACTGAGAAATGAGGGTTACCTCGACTGAATGAACGCAACATTGACTACGTTGTCGCTTCCTTGCTCCGAACAATGGCGAGCCGAGCATCACTGCCAGTCATCGACATTGCACCCTACCTTGATCCTTGTTCGACACCTGCTCAACGAGCAGCTACGGCTACCGCCGTCGACAGCGCCTGTCGAGATTTTGGGTTCTTTTACCTCATCGGACATGGAGTTCCTGAGGAGCTGCGGCAGGAAATGCTCCGCCTAGGCCATGAGTTCTTTTCATTACCACAGGCTGAGAAAGATGAGATTTCCATCTTCAACAGCATGGACCGCGTACGCGGATACGCTCGACTGGGTGAAAATGTTACCTCGGGGAAGAGAGATGTCCTCGAAGGATATGATATTTACCGAGAGTATCCGAACCCATCCAAAGACATGCTGCGCGGTGCTCAAATTTGGCCTTCAAAGCCGGCTACATTGAGATCAACAGTCCTAGAATACGTGGAAAGGTTGATACCTGTTGGACAGGCCTTAATGCGAGCTATGGGCGATGGTCTAGGAATACCGAATGGCGCAGAAGCTTTCGAGGAGATCGTGAGGGATCCCTTCTGGGGACTGAAATTCAACGGGTACCCATCTTTGTCGACTCCCGACATTGCTGAGCAAGAGAAAGGGATCTCTTGTGGAGAGCACACGGATTATGGGGGTTTGACATTCCTCCTTGCTGATGATCATATCAAGTCGGCCTTGGAGGTCGAAGACAAGAGCGGCGACTGGATCAAAGCTGACCCGATTCCTGGTGCTTATGTTGTCAATATTGGTGAGTGCAGATGGTACCAACGCTTGGATCATCTCGATGAGTTCTGCCACTGACATCTCCAGGTGACATGGTCAATGTTTTAACAAGTAACCGGTATACTGCCACAGTCCATCGAGTCATCCACCGAGGCAGTGTACCGCGAGTCTCAATTCCTTTCTTTTTCGAGCCCTCATTTGCGACCATGGTCAAACCATTGCAAGGCTGTGCTGAGGGAAATGTCCTTCCCAAGGCCTCGGTCAATTACTACGAGCATATGTGCCATATGCTGTAAGTCCCCTCATTCCACATGGTCTCCAGTGTAGCAGCTAACCACAGCAGGTATGATGGACGATTTGTAGAGTCTGGGAAGGAAGTAGAGAAAGTACTTGTCAACGTGATATCACTGAAGGGTTGAGGTAGTTGTTTGACCTGTTCGATAACCGCCAAGTCGGAAGCTCTTCAATGCAGGAATGTCAAGGCCGGGCCATGTTTCGGCTGCTTGTGTTTTCCAGAAGGCAGGAAGCGTAATTGCAAGGCTAGTGAGGCCGAGTGTATAGGGTCCACTGCAGGATTCGTGCTGTAATAACAATGAATAAAGCGTGCTAAGTTAGACCAGTCAGTAACGGGTAATTCGTAGGTAACGCCCAGGCTAGAAAGCCCCAGAATGATGGATTCTGCAGGTGAATGGGGTCCCAACAGGCACAGTCCACAACGGTGTTGCCCTGGGACCTGCGACTATACCCATACATCTCCCGACGTCAGTCTTCCTCTTTGCAACTTTTCTTTTTGAGACTTCAAGTGATTTAGTATTTGAATTCCTTTCTTCACTCAAGACACCAGACATAGCAAGAATGGCAGCACCAACCATTACGCTCAAGCCTTCTGGCCAAAAGATCGCCCAGGTTGGATTTGGCCTGTGGAAAGTGAGTAGTGCAGTCAATGAGGTTTCATCCACAGTATTGACCACCAGCGGACAGGTACCCAATGACAGCACGGCGGACGTCGTGTACAAGGCGATTGAGAACGGCTATCGCCACTTCGACGGGGCTTGCGATTATGGTATGTTTCCAAACGGACATTCGGAGCCCGACGTTGGCTTATGGTGACTCTAGGGAATGAGAAAGAAGCCGGTGAAGGTATTCAAAGAGCGATCAAGGATGGTCTCGTCAAGCGAGAGGACATCTTCGTGACCACCAAGCTGTGGGCGACTTTCCACTCACCGTAAGTTCAATTGCGACAGATACCCAAGCTCAGCAACCACATACTCATCGTGCGACGTTCAGAGAGCACGTCAAGCAGATCGCAAAGAAGCAACTTGCCGACTGGGGTCTTGAGTATTTCGACCTATACCTCATCCACTTCCCACTTCCACTCCAATATGTCGACCCAGCTGAGCGGTATCCGCCTGGCTGGTCCATTGCGGCGGACAAGTGGGAGACCAAAACCGCTGCCATTCCACTTGCTTCGACCTGGAAAGCGATGGAAAGTCTTGTCGATGAAGGGCTGGTAAAGAACATCGGTGTCTGCAACTTCCAAGGAGCTTTGCTGCTGGATCTGACCCGGTCCGCACGAATCCAACCAAGCATGCTCCAGATCGAACACCACCCCTATCTCGTGCAGCCACAGTTGATGGATCTGTGTAAAGACCTGGGTATTGCCGTTACAGCCTACTCAAGCTTTGGCCCACTCAGCTACCGAGACTTGCAAAGTCCCAAAGCCATGGGTACTTCGTTGCTTTTTGAGAATGACGTGGTCACCTCCACGGCCGAGAAGCATTCGCGGACTCCTGCTCAGATCCTCCTCAGATGGGCAGTGCAACGGTAAGCAAGCTGTGGTCGTCAATATCGATAAGACTGACGTAAGGCACTCTAGGGGTCTCATTGTCATTCCTAAGTCGAATGATGCAACGCGCCAGAAGCAGAACCTTGATCTGTACTCGTTCGAGCTGTCGTCAGAAGAGATGGAAAGCATCAGCTCTTTGGACAAAGGACTGAGATTCAACGATCCGGTAAGTCCCTGCTTCAGAGAGGTGTACCAATCGTTTCCACTGGCTCGCTCGATTCTTGACAGGACAGACTGACGAAGACACAGGGCGATTACCTGAACCCTCCTCAAAGGATCTTTGCATAAACATTCTCAGCTTCCAGCTGCAGTTGGACCTTGTCTCCCTGATCATGGGGATGGCGCTGTTCAAGGCCATCCCTAAGCACAGCAACAGCGGCACTCACAAGAAGAAAGCTGGAGAGGCCGCGAGGAGCAGACAAGCGGCATCATAGGGCCTTCCAGAATCAACTTCGAGGAAGCGATAGAACGTGAGCTGAAGCGCGTCCAGAAACAAGCCCGCTATGCAGCAGGGCATAGGGATGTATCCGATGTTACGAAGTAGTTGTGACAAGATACGCACCGAGTAGCACCGCGCATCCGATCGCATGCAGGATAGGATGTAGCTGAATGACAAATTCCCCCATTTGTACCAATACCACAGCGGCACCGATTGTTCTCCCCACGTAGGTGTTCCCAGCCTCAACAGCCATCTTACCGCGACGGCTATGATAACCACAGCCTGAAAGGCGAGAGAGAGAAGGCTAAGTGCGCCTGTCGCGCCTGACATGCGTCTCATTTCGAGGTACTGCGGATAGAATTGCCCCAGGACGAAGAACAGGGCGATCCATGTATTGACGATCAGGGTGAAGCTGATGAAGATTGCGTTTCCCATCTCTCGAGGAGACGGTTTGGGAAGAGCGATGAGCATAGCTGGGAACAGGAACAAGGCGGCATGGGCAAAAGCGATGGCGGCGATGGCGCTGCCTGCCTTGTTGCTGGAGGGGCTTGCCGGTCTACTGCTGGAGGGGTAGAAGGCAAAAGAATAAACACTGGAAGGAGAGGACAAAACGTGCAAGGAAGATGGAGGAGGTGGAAACTCTTGTTGGATGCTGCCGCAAGACGACCCGAGGATTTGGTGGCTGTGATGGCTGTACATGGTATATCCCAGAGCCTACACTAGCCTGGCTGATAGCCCGAGAGGACAATGGTATCATTCGTACTCCGTATACGGAAGTGCTTCGTTTCAAAAGCAGTATGTGGCCTTTTCCTGGCAGTTCCTACAATAATCAGAAGTTAGGCGCCAAGCACAGTGATCTCAGATCACTTCATACCCTCTGTCTTGCTCTTTGATGGTGATACTCCTGAATCAGTCATGGGGAGATACTCGGATTTCTATCTGAAGCTTGTGTGTGTGTGTTGGCCGGATCATTGGTGAGCCTGGCATTTGCCTTGATCAGACGGTTCTTCATCCGCCGTCGATTCGCGCGCCACTATGGTTGTCGACCAGTCGCGAGATCCTACAATAGGGACCCTTTCCTGGGCCTCGACACAATACCTGCCACAATCCGCGCTCTCCGGCAGCATAAGGTTCTTGAAAAGAGCTGCGAGCGATTCCGTACCTATGGGAACACCTTTGCAGTAAAGGAATTGCTCAATCGTGCAATTCTAACAGTGGAGCCAGAGAACATCAAGGCAATCCTATCAATCAATTTTCGGGATTATGGCATTGGTCACCGCCTTGGACCATTCAAGCCACTGTTGGGGGCAGGCATTTTCGACACTGATGGCGACCATTGGGCCTCATCGCGCGCCTTGATCCGGCCCAGCTTTACTCGTGACCAGATTGCCGACCTAACGTTGTTCGAGAAGTTGATACAGGAGCTTTTTTCAATACTCCCGCGTGACGGACAGACGGTTGACCTGCAGGATCTCTTCTTTCGCTACACTATGGATTCCGCGACCGAGTCCCTGTTCGGACTGTCGGTGCATAGTCTGATGCAGAACCAGCCGGAGCTCAATTTCGCCGAGGCCTTTGACTATGCCCAAGGGGCCGCCATAACGCGAGCCACCCTGGGACCATTAAGCGTACTTTACCGCGACCCAAAGGCCGACAAGTGCTATCGAATCTGCCGGGCATTCGCCCAGCAGTTCGTCGAGGAAGCGGTCCAAACGGTTGCTTCGGAAAAAGAAGACACAGAAAGGGGACAAGCTGAGACAAAGCATGACAAGTATATTCTTTCACACGAATTGGCACGGCGTATATCCGATAAGCATCGCATCCTGGACGAGCTCATGAACGTTCTGTTGGCTGGTCGTGATACCACTGCCAGTCTACTTAGCAATTTGTTCTTCATGTTGGCAAAGAATCCGGCAGTTTGGGACAAGCTGCGTGAAGAAATATCAGGTTTACAGGGTCGGGCACCTACTTACGAGGAGCTTCGAAACCTGAAATATGTTCAATGCTGCATCAATGAATGTGAGAAAGCTCCTCTACTAGTATCTTTGCCGCACTGAACATTTTATCCTTACTAACATCTCAGCGCTACGTTTACACCCCGTTGTCCCACGGAATGAACGCAAGGCTGTACGAGATACAGTCCTACCACTTGGAGGAGGCAAGGATGGTCTCTCACCTGTCTTCGTGCCCAAGGGTACTCTGGTCTGCTACAATCTATATGCAATGCATCGACGCACAGACTTCTACGGACCCGACGCAGAAGAATTCCGACCGGAGCGCTGGACAGATGGACGACTGCAGCCACGCTGGGAATATCTGCCCTTCAATGGTGGCCCACGCATCTGTTTGGGCCAACGATATGCGCTGACCGAAGTTGGCTACGTTGTCGTCCGAATGGCCCAGGAGTTCCAAGCCTTAGAGAGTCGAGACCCAGGGCCGTGGGAGGAATCGCTGACCTTGACCCTATGCTCCCGGAACGGAACCAAGGTCTGTCTCATTCCGGCTTGAGTTCTCAAGTTGAAGTATCGATGGCGAGGTTATAATAGAAATGATATCACGACATCAGTTGGCCAATCCTAATGGGGGAAGAGATGAAGGATGATCGCCTTTTGAAGATGGTTAGCTCAATTCCTTCGTAGCAACGACCTTGAAGATATTTGGAGAGAATATTGAGCTGGATAATGGCATCGAACGTTCTCTGAGCTTGATAAATAATGGTAGCTGACCAAGAAGGTCTGGCTCTTCGGAAAAGTCTGTAATAGTTACTCTGATGCTGCTCACCATGTATCACCAGCCTCACTAGCCTCAGGCATGGGCAGGCATGGGCTATACTCCTCCGTATAAGGCAGCCAGCGCCGTCCCTGGGAGCCTCGGACTTCCACGCCCTTGGCCTACGTTACCTAGTGAGCCACGGTGGCTTGGCGATGCCGCTTGATGGCTTTTGGACTTGAAGAACTTCACGCTCAAGAAAGTACAGAGCGGTTGTCTACCAGAATCCTGGAAATGGCTCAAGGCGGAACAACTTCAGCGCCATCTCGCCACTGTTTGGAAAGTGATCTGTGGCACGGATGATGCAGTTTCCCCGTCGCCGCAAGCTGTCCTTGATTCTTCGCCAATGAGCGAGTTCGCGACCAACGGCCCTGCCGCGTCCAAATTCGTCTTTCTCAAGGATATCGCTTCTCTGCCGCCTAATACCAAGGTGAGATTGATAGGCTGGTATGATTCTCAGGCGTCGAAAGCAGCCGTGCCACTAATTTGTGTTCCAGCATTGTCGACTATGACATAGCCAGAGGCCAAATCGTGCTCGAGCACGCGTATCCCAAGAACATCCAACCTATTTCTCGTGTGTTGGTCGACATCGATCTTGTCCTTGAAACCACCGAGCCGTCTACTCTCATAACAGGCAGCTGGATCAATGTCATCGGCTACACGCGACGTACCCGGCTAAACATTCGGAAGAGCAAGGCACAATTGCGGCAACCAGTGAACGAGTCTAGTTCTTTGCAGGCAGTTCTGATCTGGACCGCTGGGGCACTCAAAATAACCGACTACGAGATCACACTTGAGGAGCAGCGGTCTGCTCAGAAGAAGTTGAGATGAAAAAGCAAGTGATTGTCTCAGCGTGACCAGGCGGGATGGCTAGTCAAATGCTCGGAAAGGGCCTTCATGCTGCCATGTGCGCACCACAAGTGTCAGAAATGGTCTACCTTCATGACTCTTCTGGCGGGAGACGGTGGAAACGTGGACAAGCTTTAATATAGCAACCAATTTTGGGCGAGGATGGCCACTTGGAGTGGTCAGATTGCTAACCAGCCTACAAGGGTCAGAAATGACATTCCGGATTCTCGTTTACGATTCGCAAAAGCACGTGGGTCTCTGTACCACCCTTCAGCGCTGTCTCAGAACGCTTCTCTTGGGTCTTCCAACCCTGCTGATCGTTATGCTTGCTCTTGCCGCTTGGACGAGACTTTGTTGTAGAGCATGTCAAGTTCGCGGCCACGCACTCCGCACGGAGCATGCCTTTCACGAGAGGATACTATTCCTCATCTGGAAGACTCATCTCCTTCTACTCGGGCCTTGCATATCGATCTCCGTTCCTGCATGCTCGGAATGTTTTTTCAGCCAAAGAAGCCGTCACATGCATTTTACAATCAATGTTTGTGTCAAGGAGTCCGCATGGCCTGTCTTGAACATGGGCAGGGCTGCCAGCCCCTTTCTCGAAAATGTCTTCAACATCGACGCCGACTATTGGAGATATCGCCCGAGTTGATCATCTTCCAGCGGCTTGATTAATGTTTTTAGATCACTATGTCTCAGTGCGCTTCAGCCACGATATCATCAGTCGCTTCGCCTAGTCCAGCCAGTTTTTGGAAAGCATGCAAAAGATCCAGGCCTTCCATAGCACACTGCCAGTCTTCTTTTTGGGATTCAAGAGCTTTCAAAAGCCCTTCCTCGCCAGCTTTACATTCTTCCAAAGTTGCTGGCTAAGGCAGCCTTCCTTGACAATGGCGAGCAGCCAGACAGCAGCACTTGGTCCTGGGCCGGCAAATCATGAATCAAAGTCAGGCAACACCCCAGTCCTCAGTGTTGCTGGTCAGGCAACGGACTCCAACGCTGACCTGCTGCCGATATCCAGTATGGCAACTCCAACAGACGTCTCAGATCAAGCACGTCCAGCAACTCCGTCCTCCAGATCAGCAGCAGCCCGGCCAAGCGCACTCCAAAGCAGCAAATCCGTCCTGTACCGTTCAGGTGACTTCCGAAACAGCTCAATCCCAGAGCTACGTGACCTGAAAGCAGACATGATGTGTAACTGGTTGCACCAGCAACAGCTCGAGCGGATGTGGTCGACTAATGGAATCGAAGAGGGCGTCATGCTCAAAAAGGCAAAAGACGACTATAAATGCGCACCAGAAGATCTGCGGACGCGGCGCGATGGGGTCTTCGATGCGGTACAGAGACTGAATGTCAAGGTACCGTCTGTTCATTGCCATAAGGATCCCAGAGGGTCGCTGACCATCTCTCTGTAGTGTGCCATGACCGTGAACACACGCATCATCAAACTCTTTCTCCAAGACGAAACGCTCACTTATGTTCCCCTAGAATCCGGCCTACGATTGCAAATCCTGCCCACTATCTCTCATCTACCTGAATGCCAGAAGCATCATTTTGCAGCCTTCATTCAAGATTATCAGATCCTGGTGGTCTGGGACGACGATCCAAATCATGTCCTCAAGCGAGTACAAAGCATTGAGGACCAGCTCATCAGCATGGTCTGGAAAGAAGAGATGAATGACGACGAGTCTGCTGCGCCGGTGGGAAGTGCCATTCCAAGTACGACCAATTTGAACACCGGAGACTCGTCCGCGGACCTCGAGAAAACTGTGGTCATCCCCACTCGACGGATTGTGCTGATCCAGCCAGTGCTCACCGCCCTCACTCTGATCCTGCTCGTCGCGGCCATTGGGAGCGGCTGGCGGCAGATCGCCCTCGAGATCAAAGTCGACAAAAACTGGATGCGTCTCGCCTTTCTCCTGGTCGTGCCTCTGCAATGCTGGCTGGCTCTTTTCTTCATGCAATCTGTCGCCGGGAGCATTGCCCAAATCATCGGTCCCATCAGTCAGATGAACGCGAACACCAAGTTCTACTCCGGCCAGCAACCGCCTCGGTTACCTAGTACTGCCACGCTTCCGCACGTCACGATCCAATGCCCCGTGTACAAGGAAGGGTTGTGGTCAGTTATCGACCCTACCATCAAGTCCATCAAGACTGCAATCTCCACCTACGAAATGCAAGGCGGCACCGCCAACATCTTCGTCAACGACGATGGCATGCAATTGATTCCAGCCGAACAGGCGCAGGAGAGACGCGAATACTACGATGAGCACAACATTGGCTGGGTCTCTCGACCGAAACACAAACCCAAACCTGTGGAAGGCGAGAAGCCATTCATTCGAGCCGGCAAGTTCAAGAAAGCATCGAACATGAACTACGCCCTCAACGTTAGCGCCCGCGTTGAAGATAGGCTCGCACCGATCGATCGCAACGAAGCCTGGACGGCCGAGAATGAGCGCGAAGCCTACGACACGGCGTTGGCGGAAGTTATCCTCGAGGATGAAGGCCGCACGCAGGCCGAAGGAAACGTCCGTATTGGTGATTACATCCTCCTGATCGACTCGGACACGCGAGTACCCGTGGACTGCTTCCTCGATGCGGTCAGTGAGATGGAGCAGTCTCCTGAAGTGGCCATCATCCAGTTCGCGTCTGGTGTCATGAACGTCACGGACAACTGGTTCGAAAAGGGAATAACCTTCTTCACGAACCTCGTCTACACTGCTATCCAGTACGCTGTTTCGAATGGAGATGTCGCGCCGTTCGTCGGACATAACGCCTTTCTGCGCTGGAAGGCCGTGCAGGATGTCGCTTACATCGAAAAGGATGTCAACGACGGCGCGACCAAGGAGAAATACTGGTCTGAGGCCACCGTTTCCGAGGACTTCGATATGGCATTGCGGCTACAGACGAATGGGTATATTCTGCGCCTAGCGGCGTATGCCGGTCAAGGTTTCAAAGAAGGCGTCTCGTTGACGGTGTACGACGAGCTTGCGCGTTGGGAGAAATATGCCTATGGCTGCTCCGAGTTGATCTTCCATCCCTTCGCGCAGTGGTTTACCAAGGGTCCATTTACGCCTCTCTTTCGCGGATTCATCGTCAGCAACATGCCTCTGCCTTCGAAATTGACAATTATGGCGTATGTGGGGACGTATTATGCCATCGGCTCTGCTTGGATCCTTACATTGTTCAATTACTGCGTCGTCGGTTGGTTCAATGGACATCTGGATCACTATTACATTGACAGTTTCAAGATCTACTTCGCCATCGTCCTGGTATTTACGGCGCTGGGCAATGTTGCCCTTGCAGTGATGAGATATCGAATTGAAGAGCGAAGTCTGGCGTCGGCATTGTTGGAGAACCTCCGCTGGATTCCGCTGTTGACAGTGTTTCTGGGTGGCATTTCGTTGCATGTCTCACAGGCGATTTTGAGCCATTTGTTCGGTGTGGACATGACTTGGGGTGCTACGAGCAAGGAAGCGACTGACACAAGTTTCTTCAAGGAGGTGCCTGTGATATTGCGGAAGTTCAGGCTGACGTTTGCGTTTTGTGCGGTTCTGAGCCTGGGAATGATTGTTGTTGCGGGAGTTGGACCGCTGGGCGCATTGGTGCCGTATGACTGGCAGATCTCGTTCTTGACGGCGATCTGGCCTTTGGCAACAGTTGTTGGTAAGTCTCACACTGTCAAACCCTTCTTCAGTATGGAGTTGTTGTGGTGATCTGACAAATACGGTGTTCAGGTTCGCATGCATTGTTGCCGCTCGTGCTGAATCCTGGTTTGATGCAATTCACGTTTTGATGTGACGGCGCTCTGGGTCCTGGGGTGTATGGGAGGTAATCTGGATCGTTTCGACCGAGGATATTGTGGAGAGTCTGTTGTCTCGTTCTCCGAACATAATAGTGGCGCTGGGCAGCAGATCAACTGGTTGGCGAAATATCTTTGGTTTTCAATACTCCTTGGACGGATTCTGTTTCTGAATTAGCAAGATCAGATTTACCCTCGCGCACAGTAGCTCTGATGTCGGCTCTTGGTTCTTGCTACTTGCTGGATTGGCAAGATGCTGCTACTACCGCTGCTGCCTCCTTTTGTCACACGTGGAACCATCCACTGACCAACCATTTCTTGTAGGTGGGGAGACTCGTTGTTAAGTGTCCGGTCAGAGGATTGAGAAGATGATCGCCTAGGGTTCTCGTCGCGTAATACGGACCGCTAGGACCTCCGTTGCCGTCTGCGCCCGCTGCGCCTTCTTGTGTGCCTCCTCCGGCCGTGAGAAGGTAGGTGCCAGGAGCCAAAGCGTTCCGCTGTTCGATGCCACGGGCCGTGAAGGTGTTGTCCTTGATGGGTTCGCATGTCCATTTTTCCTGCTCTGTGAGATCGAGGCGTCCGTAGTACAGCCACGCGACACGCCGAGCTTCCGACATGGCCTCTCCGGCCTGTTCGGTCGCCATGAATCGGCTCAGGTCCGGCGTCATGCGGCGACGACCGTGGCCGTGGCCGTGGCCGTAGCCGTGGTACAAGGGCGGTTGTTCCGGGGGCACCGGCGGATCCCTGCAGGTGAAAGTGATCTCGACGTGCTTCATCCAGTGGATGCCCACGCCCAGGCCGTGCGAGAGATTGTTGAGCAGTTCTTTGAAACAGCATGGGCAGTGGAACCGGACTGTCAAGTTGGAAAGGAAGGGTAACACCTCGTTTCGGGTGCGCGTGCAGACGAGCAGGAGATGCAGACCGTTCTCGCGGATCAGGGTTTCCCGGCTGAAGAAGCGCGCGAGATGATCGGTGACGACGGAGCGGCTGAGAAACGCGAATCTTCCCTTTGGCGAAGCTTGACCGTCGCAGATTTCGACGTCCAGAGTCCCGTCCTGGGGCACGAGGTAGCTGTAGATTTTGCAGGCGCGTTTCCGGAGGGAGGCGGAGAAAGGCCGAGCCTTGCTCGTGAGGTGCGAGAGCGGTCATGGCGTGGTAAGAAGAAGAGACAAGAGGCGCCGAGTTACATGCATTGGAGTAAACGGAATTGAGAGATTTTGCAAAGTTGATACTAGTATTTTCTGCGATTTGAAGTGGTGGGTAGAGAGAGAGAACACGCTGGGAGGGGTGAAAGGTGTTACGGTCGGCGAAATAGTCGAGGGGTCAAGGCCGCGTTGATATGTACCCAAGTCAGAGTGCACGAGCCATTGGCGAGGCGTCGATAGCGTGTGCCACATGCAGGTGCAGGGCTCGTATTGCAATGTGACAAGTCACATTGAGTGTGATTGAGAGGAAAGAAGGTCCGGCCTGATGGAAAGAGGGATTTTATCTTCGCATGGGTATAGTCAAGCGCTTATGGTGGTATCCGCACCATTGGCATAACTGGAAGAATCTCTGTGCCAGAGTAATGAGAAGCTAGAATCATCATTCGCACCGTATATATCAGACCTTGAAACACGCTAACTTGGTAGAACTCCAAGTGGCTTTTCCACCTTCGTGTCCGACAAGAATTGTCTCCTTCATCAACTGGTTTCGTTGCTCGAACTGCTTTGACCCGTATCTAGATTTCCTTGATAGCCTTGAGCTCCTTCTGCTCGATAAATTCATCGAAATGCTCTCTGGCGAAGACACCTCCAGCAAAGACTGTGGCAACCCACTCAATCCAGGCGGGGCTGGTGAGTTTGACGTTGTGCTTCTTCAGTTTGGTAAAGGCGAACCAGACAGTCTCGACCCCGTGGAGACCAAACAGAGCGTAGAAGATGATGTCTTGGACTAGCTTGGAGTATTTGTGGGCTTTGATACTCCTTGCTAGGATGTGATCGTGGATAAATGATCGAGGCTCGATGAACTTGCGTCTAGACGAGAGGACCATCAGAGCAGCCGTAATGAGGGTCCCGACTGCTTTTCGGCCCTTTGGAAGTTCATAGTCGTCAATGACGATGGCTGAGGCTTTGTGGGTGGCCATTGCGATAATGGATTTCAGGTCCGCCTGAACTTGGGAAAGGGTGCAGAGAGGTTCAGAAAATCACTTTCCGCACTCTCCGACGGGCGTTGCATATAGATTGTCTTTTATGCTGAAATGCCGGCGCAGTAAGATGCTAAACGACATGGTTCCCCGCCCTTATGCTGCGGGGAGACGGTGGAACATGGAGCTGAAGACGGATCATTGGCCTACCTCTCCAGAGGAAGTTGTATTGACAGGATAGTCAGGTGAGGAGTACGCACATCCGGAACACACCTAGGCTTTAACGGGTAGTAGACAGCGATCTTGGTCAAAGGGTGATGTTAGGCTGCAGTATGGCCATGGCGAAGAGGAACGAAACTGCAGCAAAGAGAGGAGAAGTCTGAACAAACTTGGTGGATGAGTGAAGACAGTGGGGCTGAAGGGGCGTTATCGATAAGCACAGGAGCTTACCAGCTTTGGTATGGTGCCCGCCTGAAGCCACACCTTAATTGTTTTTTGAGCTTTTGCATAATCGTCCGAGCAGAATTTATCTCTGGCGCAGGCGTAGAGATCGAGTCTGCAACACTGCTCAGATACCTCCAAGTCGCGAGCATGGCTCCCTATGATAGTGATTCATCAGATGAAGATGAAGATTACTCGACCACGAACGTCACTCTCGGTTATGCCACTACAGAGCCTACAGGAGATGATATCAGCCACCTTGGTGGCTATCCTACCTGGCTAGACCCGGACCATCCTCCTTCTGCTGTTCTTGCAAAATGCAAAGTCTGCAATGGATACATGTCACTCCTCCTGCAACTCAATGCTGACCTTCAGCAATACTTCCCTCACGACGAACGACGGCTACATGTTCTCTGCTGCAGAAAGAAGGCTTGTTCGAAGAAGATTGGCAGTGTCAGAGCCTTTCGGGAGGTCAGAAAATGGCAGACGACAGAGAAGAGGGAAAAGGAAACACCGGACGTCCCAGTCGAACAGCCCCAACCTAGTCTTGGAAACGCTCTGTTCGGGGGGACAGGACCGGTTCCCGCAGTGAACGGCACAAACCCATTCTCGATGTCGAACAGCAACCCGCCACCTAGTGTAAACCCGTTTTCATCCCTCGGAGCCGCCTCGACACTTGCCGCAAAGCCTCCGCAAAGACCTGTTGACGAAGCACAGCCTCTGACAGAGAGTTTCGCCGAGAAGCTCAAAATCCAATCAGATACCAAGCCACCCACGAACAACGCAGAGAGGTCTGAGCCTTGGCCTGAACAGTCTCGATCCGCTCCGCCGTTCTCGTCCTTCTACCTCGATGCTTACCCGGAAGAGCTGGAAAAGGAACCGGTCACAGAAATGAAAGCCGAGTCCTCCAAGACACAGTACGACGTGGATGACAGTGGCAGCGGCGCTGCATCAGAGAAAGACACCTTCGAGTCCACGCTAGACAAGACTTTTCAAAAATTCTCGGATCGAATAGCTCAAAATCCGGAACAAGTGTTACGCTATGAATTCAAGGGTGAGCCGCTCCTCTATTCCGGGACAGATGATGTCGCTTCGAGGTTCGTAGTGCCCCATGGGAAACCGGGCGCAGTAAGAGGAATTCCAAGGTGTGAAAGCTGCGGAGCGCAAAGGGTATTTGAGCTTCAACTCGTGCCCGGATTGATTTACGAGCTGGAAAAAGATGAGGCTATGGACCTCGACGAAGGGATGGAATGGGGCACAGTGATCGTTGGGACATGTGCAAAGAACTGTGTTGTACCAGGAGAGATAACTTTCCGCGAGGAATGGGTTGGTGTACAATGGGAAGAGGCGGCAGTGAAGCAATGAAAGCACCAAGTCCGTTCAACTCTCGCTATTACCAATCAGCCGGTCGAGCGGTACGATATTGAGCGACAGACAGACCGGCCACGGTCGCCAATGGACGTTGTCAGGTGGCCGTTTGTCCTTCAGGTTGTGTGCTGAGCATGAAAGACATCACTTTGCTACGGAGCTGCACGAACGATCCGGCAACGATGGGATTTCCTGAGTTGTTGCACACCTTACGAAGCACATGGTCATATGGGGTTTCAGTTGAGGTCCAGCTTCGATCAGACCCAGCTCTAGTTGAGGTGTCTGATATAAGGCGACTGGCACAGCAAAGCCCGAGCACCGGCAGGAGCACCATACTGTGATCCCAGGAGACGGGAGAAAGACTAGTCTGACCCGCGTTATGGGATCGGTGGCGTCCCTCAAGTCCTGCACATTTGATACCCTGGGCATTCCTTCAGCACCTACCAGGTACAGGTGATGCAAGGCTTTCCTACAGAGGACATGAGCATCATGGCTAACGGATACATAGATGAGGCTTCTCATCCGGGGAGAGTTCGTTGCTCATCAATTTGCATGATGGGTATGATTCAAACAGATGTCCACGATATCTATGTCGTCGCCGGACTTTGACAGTCGGACTTAAAGCAGCTCAGATGCCACATAGTAGAGTATTTGAATCCTTCACATCAATATACACCCGACAGCGTCACTCTGGCCATTTTCTCGTATCAAAGCGAATGGAACTCTGACCGGTCAGTCTCTCAGGCCCACAGACTGACTGTGACATTGATACCTACCGTAGTAGTGATCACCTTGATTCAGTCCGGTAACGCCGGCACCGCGCAGTTTTGTCATGGCAGTCATTGATGATTGGCCAACGCCGCCAAGCTCCCCATCCCAGACTAGTCTGCCACGCTAAGTCGCGTCGACGCGTAAAGTGGGAAATTTACATTTAGCCGCAAACAGCAACCCATCACAATTCTTGCAGCATTTCTTTCAATCTCCCTCTTCTGTCAACCCGAAATCAATCGATCTCTTGCACTGCGAAGAGAAAAAAGTGGCTGGTCTCGGAAACAATCCCTATCACCGGAGTTCTCGTAGATGTGCGGCAGTGTAGAAACGACAAGACACGGGAAAAAGAAGCGAAAAAGAAAATAACAAAACGCCGATCTCCAAATCTCACGCGTTTTCGTGCCTCGCTTGCATTCGGATCATGCTACTTGTACGTACCGAGTACGCCCAACAAGCTTCAGCTCAGTGAGTTTACAGCTCCGGCTCGGGCTTCTAACCTCTTTTGAATGAGTACTACGTAACTACGTACCTCTAAGAACTAAACTAGCCGAGTGATGAGTTCAGCCGCATGTTGGAGGGGATCTTGATCACAAAGATTCGCCGGTCGATTGATCAGCACCGCTTGTTTACGTAGAGAAGAGGCGGCCGCGTGAGATGATGGCGAGCCATGGAGCACGATGAGTGCCAGCTCCCCGACCATCCATACAGTACTATGTGTGTGCACAAAATTAGAAGTGGGAGCTCAAGCTCAAGCTCGACGAGGAAAAGATGTGTTGTTCTCATCCGCCAGCACCACGGCATCTGTATTGTACCAAGTAAGACCGGGACCGACGCTACAGGTAGATCACCATCCCAAAGTCTTGAAATCGGGATGGGAATGATTTCCAAAGCAGGAAGGGGGAGAGGGGCACCTTGAACATCTCTGCTGTCAAACCAGGATCATCCCGAAAGTGCTGTACTCGTACTCCGTGCCATAGTACTGTAAGTGCATGCATAAGCGTTGACGAATATCCCCCGGACAGGAGTGGCCACTGGCCAGAGGTGCCTGACGGGAACTACTGCAAGCACTTCCATTCCAGTTCCCGGACGACGTTCCAATAACGAGATAATTATGGAGGCCATACCTCACTGACGTATGGTCCTGTTTGGCCAGTTCAATTGAGCTGAGTGTGGCGTGTCCCAAAACCGCCACATCCCGTGCAGGTAATTTGGTTTGATTGTCTGAATGATAGATGGTGGCAGGCGCACGGAACCAGATCTCTCGATCTTGAGCACGCGATGTGCACAAACACAATGCATCACCGCTAAGCATCCACGGCACTGTACTGCAGTGGAAGGGTTCGTTGTGCAAATTGTGTACGGGTCCAGCTCAGGGCCAATTTTTGGTGCTACCAATCTGATTGATTTATTCATTGATTGATTGTAGACTATATACTTTCAGCTACCTACCGACAGTAACAATTAGCAGCAGTGTGGCCTCTTGACCATACTAATGAGGACAATAACACGCTGCATGTAGCGCAGTGAAATGCACGAGCTCAAACAACAAGCAAAGTAGGCAATGGACAGCAAAGTCCCTACAAAATCCTCCGTTGGCAGTTTTGCTGAGATCCGGCTCCCTGCAGAATACTGGCAAGTAAAGACAATTCAATTCAATCCAAATCAGCCTTGCATTGCATATTCCCGAGCCATTTTGTATTGACTCAAAACAATGTACGCCGTTCTGATCGTTGCATGTGTCGTTAGCAAAAGACAATTGTTGTATGCTATTCGTGACAGTTCGAGTAGTTCATGGCACCGTTGATGGGTGTCGTTCGTTTTTAGTTTATCATAATAGTGGCTGCATCGAGTACGGGGGGGAATATCAAGACCTCGGGATGAGTTCGTCACCGAGCTGTAGCGCGAGGCCTTGGCTGGTTGGTGCCTTGCGTTGTACCGTTGGGCTTTCCGAAGGCGCAAGTGTATCGAAATTCAATCCTCTTCGAGTGAAGCGACTTGGGGTCTTTGCTATGCTTGGAGTTCGACCGCCCCATTGAGCCTGCGCAGGTGAAGGGGTGACATTGCAGAAGTCGGCGAGGTTGAAATTTTGGCCGGGGGTTTGTAGTGCACCGTTGAATAATCCCAAATGTGTTCCCGGAGTCGTCATGACCGAGGATGGTAGGTGGGAGTGTTGGGAAGGAGGAGTAGAGGGTGGTTCTTTTGAGACAGAGCTTCGGTGAATGTTGATGGCTGGTGAGCGAGATGGTGAATTCGCCAGATACAAAAGGAGGTCAGCTCCAGCTTGCTTTCCATTGACATTGAGTAAACGTTTGGTAGGAGGTGGTGTTCGAGGAGGAGACGAGGATAAGATGCTGCTGGAAGGTTCGTTCGCAAAGGATGGCATAGGAAGGTCATGATCGTCGTCGTCAGAATGAACGTCAAACATAGGAGAGTCGTCATTGGAAGAGTGCGGCAGGCCTAGAGGGTCGGTATGAAAGACGCTATGCTCCTGAAAAGACTGTGTGCGGCCCAAGACAGGCGAGGATTGTGCTAAGCGAGTGTCATGCTTCCATGTCATGCTGCTGGGATGTCTGTCCAGACCAGTAGTCGACGACGACCGGACTCTCTTTCTCGCACCAAAAGGAGGCTGAGGGACCTTGAAGGTAGCATGGGAAGGTCTCGAGAACCGGTTGTTTGCAATTGAGGACATGGGGGCAAACTCGTCGTCGGAACCAGAGGAGCCATCAGAGGGAGTGTCATCTTCCAGGAACGGTCTCTTCCTCTTGAGCTTCTCTGTGAATTCGGGCTCAATCGTCGACAGTGTCCGATCTTGCCAGCCATTCTGGGCCTTGAAACTTGCAAAGGCTAGACAGTCCTGTAGGTTTCGAGCAACCTAGGAAAATTTTCATTAGCATCCTGGTCGACTCAAGCAAGGTCGTGTGAGGTTGGGTGGGCTACCTTTGCAATTTCCACTCTCCGCATCACCTTCTCGGCCACTTGAGCTGCAGCAAAAGGATGTTGCTGTTGCTGCTGCTGTGAAGCCATGTTTCCGCAGAGATTGGGAGTGACCAACATGAGGAATGGTGGCACTGAACAGAGTCTCAAAGAAGGAGAAAAGGTCTAGGAGTGTCAAATATGTATGTGGTATGGGTTTGGGACGTCAAAGCGCAGGCTAGGAAGGATAGTGCTTGTCAGGATCACTTTCTAGGATCCGTGACTCGTGGGGCCGCTCCTAGCCAGGGCAACGGAGACAAATGTCTGACGGTGGTACTGGCGACCTCCTGGCTAGACAAGTGTCATGGCTCGAGTGTAGGATATTTTGGAGGCAGAGGAAAGAATGCAGCCGTGGGCAAAAGTGGTTGGCAGTGCAGCAATTGAAGAATGAGGAATTTCGTGGTGAAAGGTGCACCACGGGGAATGGCATGCCGTGCCATTGACTTTTTGCAGTCAACGAGCCTAGCCTAAGTCTAGGAGGTAGGTAGTGAAGTGCCTAGCAGCCGCGGAGCGAGGGGTTGACCTCCAACAGCCACCCAGCGACAGGTTACAGAGGCAGTCATGAGTGCCCACTAATCAAGGCCACCTACCTCTGCCGTAACAGTGGCTGGTGATGCTATCTAAACCCATTGGCCCTCGGATGCCGCAGCTGAACTTCTACTTGGAGCTTACTGACTGGTCGTGAGATTGGCCGCTGCATTGGCCTCCTGCATGTTCTTCCTCTGGTTGCAGCCATAGGTGTCTCTGAAGCGGAATCCATTTCAAACCCACGTTTGACCATCACCCAATGACGCCCGAAGATGAGCAATTCCTGGGCTTGGTTCTTGATCACCAAATGTTGTCACCCGATCTGGCGCCTGAGCACCTGCAAATGGCCCAATGCCATTGTATGGAGCAGCCATGGAGTGCTCGGTTATCTTGTACTGGAGGGGGCCTCCTTGTGCCCGACCTCTCGGGCCTGGCCGTGCTTTGACCTGCTGCAGACAATTCTATGGCAAGAACCGATGTGCTGTCATTTACCTCCTCAAACCTGCCAAATGATAAGAAAACTCCCTCCTTTTCTACACGGCGTCATCGGAAAGCCAGGCTGATGTTGGTCTAGGCACTCTGGGTCTGGGGAAAGGACTACCTACCAGAAAAGGCGTAGCACTATCCGCGCCGCCGCCGAGGTCAGGAACCGAGCATACTATGCGCAGGACTAACCTTCTTGTAGTCAGATCGATCACCAGCAAGTCAGAAACCTAGTCGGTGGATGCCGTGGTCGGTGTCGGCACTGGCATAATTTCGGAAGCCATATCCTATGCTGAGGTCTCCATGCACGCCGTGGATTGTTCAGAGCCTTCAAGAACCAAACAATACGTTGAAGCCATTGTCCCGGCTGATGCGTGGAGCTTGAGATTTGATATCTGGTATGGAGGTACCCATCGGATATTCTGATCCAGATCGTACATTCCTGACGAATTTTTCCGTTCGTTCTGATAATCTGCAAATCTGAAGCTTGCCATTTTCAACTGCATGTTGGTCGGAACACACGGCACAAGACCGGTATATAAAGAAGGGAAGCACCTCTCAGATATGATTATGCCTGTTCTTTTCCCTCATACTCCAGTCACGAGCACAGTCGTTGCACTCTGGAAAAAGCTGCCGTCAAGTCTGACCAACAAGACGTTGCATTGCACCATCACGACTGCGCGGATGCTGGCTATGCTTGAAACGAGAAGGCGGCATGCACGTTGTTGATCTGCTTATCTTTTCTAGCAGCGTGGACATCATGTCTTAGCCCCATCTATTCTGTTGGAGAAAGAGCGCAGCTAAGATTAAGAAATGAATCCTAGCCTTGCATGACCTACGGGACTTTTGTGAGATGCGCTTGGACATTAATAGTGCTCTTCATATGAGGCAAGGCTGGGAATAACATAGTAAGGACAAACAACGACTGTCCGAGCATGCTCCATAATGCCAGGCCATTATCAAGTCGAAACACGAAGGTACAATATCAATCTCAGTTGCAAAGAAAGTGAGACTTGTCCGCTTTTTTGAATTTTAATGCGCTCCCATTTCTTGGAACACTGGTCACACTGGTCACACTGGTGCATAATGGAGAGACGAATGCCGATAGCAAAGATATGGAGTTGAATGGGCGCCAACCAGCAGCTGTGCTGAGCGCCACGTAGTGCGTCATGCCCTCCACTAGAGATCCGCTGCCACACAATGCCTGCTCGATCCCAGCTTGAACCCCTCCAATGCTGAAATAACTCCGGGCACCAAGCCCTAGGAGGCTTAACGGGAACGAGGCCACGGGCATGCCTTTTCAACTTTAGGTACTCAAGTAGGCCTGAAATTCCAAGCTTCTCCACCCTTGATGTGGCCGCCGAGCTGACTGCAACATGCCGCCTTCCGTTTCACCTGCTCTGACGAATCGCACCTGCTTGCGTAGGCGCATGTCTTGCCAGTCCAAGTCAGGATGGGAATCTCGTATCCGCCAATCCTCCGGCTTGCGGCTACCTACGAGCTTGGTCTATGCGCAGACAGAGACAGAGAAAGGACACCAGAATCATGGCACCTTCTCGTCATCATCATTGTCGTCGCTGCTGTCGTTAACTTTGTTTGCGAAATTTCCCTTCGGTGCTCGACGACCACCACCTTCCCCATACCCAAGCCTCACCATCGCTCGTTTGTCATTAACAGGAAAATCTCCAATCACCCTGCAGGACCACCCTTGTCAGTCCATATCATCACCTGCACGAAAAGCTCCGTCGCACATGCATGTGCTTGCAATCGTTACATCCCTCCTCCAGCGACAACCCCGTTGCATTGTCGAGCTCTCCAACACCAACACCTCTTAATCTAATGCTTGAATCATAATATTGCACACCTCTCATCCTCCACAGCAATGCCGTTCTTCAGAGATCTGCGCAGACGCTCAAAAGCGAGCTTCCGGACCTCCGACTCCTCAACAGAATCCAATGGCACAGTCCCAACTGCAAAATCATCCTCGACACTCAATTCCACTGGGGGAAGTACGACACCACCTTCCACCTACCACGCCAATGGGTCTACTTCGAATGTGCTCGGCTCGGCGAAGACAAACGGGGACACTCCGCCGCTGCCTCAACGACCGAGCGTCATGGTCCCACCCTCGAACAGGAACAGTATGATAGTAAGTGATGAAAACAGATCTCTCTGCTGGTAAGACTGAATAATCTAACAAGATGCAGACTTTGTCGCCCTCTGGCTCGAATGGCGCAATGCGAGTCCCGCTTCCCACCTCTGCCTACGCACCCAAAATCACATCGATCTTGGACAATTCTGTGGTATGAAAGAACGCAGGCATATGCGGGATATTAGCTTATGCAGCTGTCTAGGTTTATTCAAAAGTACTGTCGGTCAGCGGCGAAATTGGAGATCCCAACATGAAAGCATTGGACGGCAACTTGACAGTCCATCACGATAAGGACGGACAGGCTTTCCAGCCTACAAACTGGCCGGTATCCGACTCTTACTTCAAAGCTCTGGTATACCTATCGCCCGGATGGAACAAGATACGATTTGATTTTACCTCCCCAAAACTCAGTTCCATCAGCAGCGCTTCGGCTCCCACAGCACATAGCTCCTACATAATGTTGAACTACTTACCCTTGAACAGCGCCCCGCCTTTGCAGTTGGTCATCCTTGCTGGCAAGGACTCACCCTGCACGTTCGACGCAGTTCCACAACGAGTACAAACCGAAGGCAACGACCTCTCCATGGCCATCAGGAAATTCCGCATGGCCGCTCATTTGTGGCAGGCATTCACGGCTGAACAAATGTACAGAAACAAGTTTGGACGCCGGTGCTTCAGATTCGATGAAGAGTGGCAGACGGGCACACTTTCCATTCGTGATTGGGAAACGGGCCAGATGAAGAATGAGACCAGAGTGCATGTCGTACGGTCGGAAAAGACTACTGCAGAACTGCGAGATCTGCAGTACGCACAACAGCACTCCCCTGCAGCCCAGAAAGGTGAACTGTATTCAATTGCCGCAGATGCCGTCAAGAAATATTTCAACATCCGGCCAGGTCAAAAGCAGTATGTGGCCTGTCTGCTGCTTGACGCTCACTGGGATCCAGAAGCGGACACTATCCGCGGCCACGCTGCACTGGGCGGTACCGGTGACGATCTCGGTCTAGCAATCTTCGGCTCCCACGCGCTTCAGAGCTATCCTTCATGCATCGAAGAGATTGTCCCGGCCTTTATGGACTGCACGAAGACCGACACCAAATTCGTCGCAAACGACTGCAATGAGTCCGGAAGCAGTTGGGAAGCTGCCAATATTGGCATTGGCGCTCATCTCCACGAAGTTGGCCACCTATTTGGATGCCCTCACCAACAGAATGGTGTGATGCTAAGAGACTATGTGCGCCTCAACCGATCTTTTGTCATTCGTGAGGCATACTCGACCCGGACGAAATCACCCGGTCTCAAAGTTTGCCGGCAGGAAGATGAATGTGGTTGGCACAGATTAGATGTTTTGCGCTTTCGATATCATCCTTGCTTCAGACTCCCTGGCGACGAATCTTTGTCACAGGACGACAGTATTCAATATTTTCCTGCTGGTAATGGACGAATCATCTGCTCGGCTGCCACCGGAATCTCCTTTGTTGAGCTCTGGATGGAAGGCGACGATGTGTGCCGACATTGGATCGATTTCACAAATAGCGATTCTCGAAACAGCAGCCTTCCTAGGCAGGTCACCTTGACAGAGAGCGATCTCCGCGCTCGCCTTCCCGAAGACAAGAAGAAGGTTAAATTGGCTCTCGAAATCTTCAGTGGCGGTTCCAGGAAGGAGAGAATCGATGATGCGGATGATCTTTTATCGAAAAAGAATATTGTCAGTCTACCGCTTGTCAGACAGGCTCCCAAACGAGATGAAGGCTTGACCATGAATGCCTATAACAATGTCATGGGTCTAGGCAAATCATTTGATTCCAGGCCTGGCTTCAGGGGCAAGAAGCTAGGCCACTCTCAGCTGGAAGGCTCCAGACCAGAAGAAGTAATTCTGGAGAGCACTCACCTTCAAACAAAGCTTTTAACGTCGGTCAAGGTATATCATGGATATGCTCTCGATGGGATCGAGTTCTGCTACGAGGATGGTCACAGTCAATTGTTTGGGAAAAGAGGCGGCAAACCCGGCGGTGATGAATTCTTTCTTGGTAAGCTTACCACGAAACCACAAGAATTTCCAGAGCTGACCTTGACAGATACGCGCCGAGGCGAAACAATACTCGGGTTCTATTTGCGGGCGGGGCTTTGGGTCGATGGTATAGAGATCTTGACCAGTACTGGACGACGATCAGGAGTCTATGGCAATGCTACAGGAGGATCTGGGTGAGTTCGCCGATGCCGCTTACAACCATAGTCGCTGATTAACTCGCAGGCATACTTTGATGGCTCCTCGTGGTTACATGCTTGCTGGCATTTCAGGCAGTTGCGGACCATGGATAGACGGTTTCCAGATCATCATCACGCGGTAATGCTTTCTAGGGGCGCGCAACAACATGATTGATGGCGGAATATTCCATGGTCTGCGAGGTGGGTATCATCAAAATTGCGGTGTTGGCTCCTGGGTGAATTAACTAACGGGAGAAACACAACAACTGGGTTTAATGATTCAAGCAAGCGCAGCATCGCGTAAGACGTCTACGCCTTTAGTCTTGTAAGCCTTTCTTGGGCGCAACATTTTTACCAACGCACCCGACGACGGGATACGGGATGCCAGAGTGCTGGGGACAGAACCCCTACCATTAATTGTGGAAGCAAAGTCGAATCAATTGGGAGGAATCCTATGTCTTATTAGACGCGAACCTCGTGTGGTCGAATGAGCAAAAGTGGTCATGTTATGGAGGCCGAGCAATACAACCTTTGCAATATGAGGTAGGTCAAGTGGCAACTGCCACCGTGGCCTACGGGAGCTTCATGATGGGTATGATCTCCAGATATTAGTAATGATCAGGATTATAATTCAAGGTCAATCATCAAAATTGTCGACGTTTCTGCTGTCTCCTTCGAGATTTGAGATATTGGGACTTCCTGACAACTTGGAATCGGTCGATGTTGCTACGTTGTGTTTCTTCAGTTTGTTAACGGCGAACCAGACAGTCTCGGACCCGTGTCCCTGGAACTAGGGAACTAGGGGAATCAAGCAGAGGACAAAACTCTTCAACATTCATGTTCGACATGGACGGGGTGCGGTCGCTATCTGGCTGGTATAGCAGTGTCCGGAGGAGGTGGACACTAGGTCGGGTTATGTCTTTGTCAGCCTGGCCTTCCTGGCAAGGAGCGTAAGAAGCGCTCGGCTGTCGATTCGGCACTGCTTGCTAGACGTATGGTCGTTTTCCATGGTCAAGGTTCTATGTCCGCTGGTAAGCGCGAAAAGGGCATTGGGAGGAGTCAGAGAGGGATAGAGACCCCGGAACCCGGCCCTGAGGCTCTCCGGTAAATCAGAGTTTCAGACCTGGTCGGGAACGACGCCGAAGGGATGAAGAACGGGCGTTGTTCATGGATGTGGTCTTCACACTGCGACAAGAGCAAGGGTGCAGGCACGACCAGATGTGTGCTAAGCTTCTCAAGTCGGGCTCTGTGCGTACGCTATGGCCACTTCCTGGGGGTGGCTGGGGGCCTTTTTTCCAATAGAGCCATCATGCGCGGTCCCCGATCGAGGTGTGCTTTTTGCACGGGCACGGGCCATGGGAGATGGGGAGAAGGGGGAGGAAAGTAGATAAACCGTGACAAGAAGCGTGTCCATAGGGATTGGGATAAGAGTATTAGGTGGTTAGTATGCACCACCTGACAAACTGAGGAAAAAGACTTCAAGAGAAGAATAGTCAATATTGGGAAGAGGGCTGAATGCAACTTTTGGCTCAGCACACAAGGCGCGCTTGCTCTTGGACATAGTGTCGTGCTGTCGCATTGATACACAGAAATCTGTCACTCAGACTGACCTGTAACTCCTGAGCTGTGTCTGAACAATTGTGCGTCTGGGAAATTCTTCAACGCATGCCCAAGAAACTGCTGTGGGTGCTGGGGAGAGGCAGGTGCCTAGCCATCAGGGTGAATCATTCAGCGAAAGCGAATCCAAATGCGAATGCCAGGGTAAAGGGTGATGCACTATTGAATGCAGATGCAGGCAAAAATAGAAAGGACGATCAGTCGGGAGGCCGATCTGTACCAGATCAGTCAGTCTTGTCTGTGCCTGGCAATGCTGGAGTCCGGTCATGATCACAGATATGGTCGTATCGTGCGCACACGCCGGAGAACACTTACCTAGGGAAGTTTGTTCGATAGAGACGGGTGTGCTCGTTGCTTCATTCTGGGATGACTGCTAGTATGATCGAGACCCAGGCCCTTCTACGAGTAGAGTTCGACGTCCACCGTCCCGGGAGGAGGAAGCTTCTGCGTTGAACACGCGGCAGGAATAGCAAAAACTTACCACTTCGCAGGATTCGGTGGTAGATGGTCAAGGTGGTCCTGGCTCCAGGCCTGTCAGCCTTTCCAACAGATTGCCGAAGGGTTTACGGAGTCACAGTACTGTGATCACCGAATGGCCTTTTGAGAAGAAGCATGCGTGGCATGCGCAGGCCAGTGGTGTGATCCAGTCAGGGCATAGTTCTGAACTCTCAGAGTCAATGCGCACGGGTTCATCTTTGCCATTCGCGAACTGCATTGGCGACGTCTCCATGGCGAACCAGATTTGCAGCGTCTCCATGACGAGGGAAAGACGCTTTCCAGAAGTTGCGTCCTGCTCGGGACCTCCGTGCTGGAGTCTGTCGTGCTGGAACTTACCACGGATTCAGCAGAGGATCAGCACTCGTGATGAATTTTCAGAAAGATCCAGACCGGCCGGGCCGTGAATTCCATGCGATACGAACCCCTCCTTTTCGAATCAATGTGCTCCAGCCACAGTCGTCAAGTCAGGGACCGACGATCGGTAGGGATTCGGTAGTGATCTGCAGAAGTTGTGGCGTTACAATTGTGGCGTTCGTGGTGGAGGTCTGACTTTGTTTGTCCCACTCGAATCTCAGCTCAGCAGACTTTCTAGATTGTCAGTCAAATCTTGCGCCTCAGGCTGGTGTGCCGTGTGTTTACGAGGCGCAGGCAGAAGTCAAATAATGCAGCGTTCTGTAGGCCAGTTGCAGTCGCAAAAAAAGAAATCCGGTGTGGTAGAGGAACAATTCGCCGGCAGTGAAGGAGCCAGACAAGCTATGGTAATAATAATGCCATCGCGAGACCAGTGCAAGCGATGAACTGCCGGACACTTCCGCTGTCAACAGCATCGTCTAATGAGTATGAAACGCCCTGGTCCTGGTAAGAGTGATTTAAATTTCCCGTCCCAGTCATGAATGCAATTTCCAGTTCGACGTCAAAGGCATACCCATGTCCCGCGTGATGGAAAGTACGAGGTTTCACCTCCGTGCCGCTGAACAAGCATGAGCGCTTGCAGATGGCAATTTGTCGATGCCAGTGGAGGGTTGGCCATCAGACAAAACCATATCTCGATCATGGGCTTCGAGCAAATTTCAATGGTGAGCTGGAGCAGGACCTCGCTTGCAAATGGGGGATGTCTGTGAACCCGAGCCCGAGCAGTGGATGTCCACTGTCCTTGGTATCCAATGTCCACAGTCCACTCGACCATGCGCGGCGCGGGGGGCTACTAACCGTTAGGTACTTGTGCCATAGCTCGTCTCGCCTGTTCGCCTACCGGCGCCATTGGTGTGCATCCCAACCGTGCGCCTCGTGGAACCCAAAGCGCCAAAAGCTCCGTTAGAATCGTTCCATCCGTGTTCCAAATGTCTCGAATCGAGATTGCCGGAGCGGTGTGCAATGATTGCGCGAGTCCACTTTGGTTCAGGCCGTTGTCCGACTGATTGCGCATCTCCCACGCCCAGAGATCAAATCTGTGAAGAACAATGACCTCATTTTCTCAGGTGATGGTGACTGTTCGCTGTCACCCTCAGGCGCTTATTCCTCGAGGCTGGGTAGTGCATCGGAAGTTTCCCTCACAATCAGCGTTAATGCGGTGGATGGATGCCTGAGATTACCACGTAGCCAAGGGGCACGGTCATTTGTGTGTACGTGTATCGACAAGATCGCACAGTTCGATGGTTGGGTGTTGCGAGATGCTTAAGATAAGCTACGGGTATGGTGGATGATTTGAGTCCTGACAGCCATGAGATTATGAAGGGGTCAGTTGACCTCGTGCATCCGACGTGTTTCATCTTTTGGAGGCTTGCAGCCACCGTGGATTGGGCAGGCAGAACACTTCCATGATGTAATTTCGGCTGTTGCACCATGACGAATTTTTGCGGTCTAGTTGTCTATTCACCTACTACCACACAAGTACTGTGTATGGTATGGCGGATTTCGTCGTAGAGTGAAGTCATGGCAGTACCGAGCCGAAGATCCGGGTACAGAGTAGGATTGCCACGGGCGCAGCTCTGAGCGCCCACAGCGCCACACTTGAAGCGATGCAATAGGCGCAAGATATATACCATGGTATCTTACCAAGACTCTGTTCCTTCTGGCGTGCGCGTCCTATGAGAGGGGTACGGAAAATCAGAACCGCGTTAGAGGTGGCTTGTCTGTGAACAGTGATGGCCATTGGCACAGACGGCTACGCGGAATGCGAATGCGGACAAGGTAAGGGATCGACGCAGAGAAAAATAGCAACAGGATGGCCATCGTGGACCAGGACTCAAAACGTGCGGCCGATCAGCGATCCTAAATTGACATTAGCATCCATACTGGTAGTTTGACAGTCTAGTACCCATTCTCATGAGAGGTGATCACTGATGCAAGCGCGAGCTTTCCGTATCTTGCATCCGGCGGTCGGGTTTCGATATCAACCTCTGTCCAGTGTGGATGGTGGTCTGTGGGTGGACTCTGGGCCGATGGTTTCATCTGACCATCATCAGTCCGATCCCAGGAGGCATGGAGAAATTGAAGAATCTGATGTGAGTCGGAGAGCCGAACAGCCTGTTACCGTGGAGTGGAAAGGGAAGAGACAGAGGAGGGTCGTGGAGGGTCAAGCCACAAGTGACACGCCCGAGCAGAGCCAGTGCCCGTTGATCAGCTTGTTTCTTCCGGCCATGGGCATGGATGGGCGCCTGTGCCACAGGTGTCGCCACCGTCCAGGCACTTCATGCGCGCTTCGTGCAGCTGCCGAAGCCACAGCTGGCTGTCATTCTTGGAGTGACGCGTGGCTGTGCAGCTGTCGATCAAGTCGATCAACGCCTGGGCCCTGAAGTACGAGTAGGTGCACAGTAGATGTGAGCACTCAGGCACTGAGGACAGGATCATAGGATGCTTCCCGTTCGAGTCACGATCCAGGATGAGCCTGGCATCTAGGAGCATGATGGAGCGGCTGTTCGACAGGCACAAAAACGGTCGGGTCAGAGAGACGGGCAATGTGGAGGAGGGCACAGTGAGCCAGTGAGCCAGTGAGCCAGTGAGACGGCGTCTTACCCACGCAACAGCCACGTCGCCCTCTGACAGCGACGCCACGGCTATACCTATTGACCTCATCGCTCCGGCGTCAGACGCCAATGAACAGCGCCCGGTGGATTGGGAGCCACAGTTGCCTGGTGCGGTGCGGTTTAGGCTCTAACGAGTAGAATTAGGCTCCAAAGACTAAAACTCGCCCCTGCAACTCCAATGAGGCCTGTCCGCTGGGCGTCTTCACTCATAGCCAATTCCAGCTATGCATCTTGTCCCGTACCTCCATTCTGCGTCCTGCCTCAGTGTCTCTCTCATCGATTTCCTCGTCTTCCACTTTTATACCCGATCCACTTCCCTTGCTTCACGATCCCTGCAACCCATGGCCCCCAATCAGAGCCACTAACAGACCGCAAATTCCGCTACAACAGCAAAGGCCCCGGCGAGGGTATCCTATCCCCCCGGTCGTTTAGGGGATCCACGCTTTCCAACGCTGCGACTAGACCTCACCTACGTCTACCTCTACCTCATACAACCTCACCTCGATTCTCTTGATCATTCGCACTCGCCGGCCAAACTGTCGATCATCCTCTCTGGCTTTTTCGTGCGCCTCGCACCGGTTGAAGTCCAGAGTCCAGTCCGTTCCACGCCTCTCCTCCGCGACCTACATTAAAGATAGTCTACGCGCACCCAGCAAGGCGCAGCACTTCACCCATCTCACCCATCCCGGCCACCATTTCGTCAATATCGGTCTATCATTACCATCATTCACTCGACCAATGCAGCTATTCTAAGTGGCATCACGTTCGACCATTAGACGTCCGGATGTCGTTGATTTGACCCCAGTCTTTCTGAGACTTGCAGCCTGAGACGTCGCCTCCGCCGCAAATGTTTCGCAATCGGTTCGTCTTTGCGCCCATGATCTGTTCCCTCGTTTCACCTGTTGCCGGCTTGGCTCGCATACTGACCAGCACGTTTTGTCCATAGGCGCAATACTCAGAAGCCCGATGAGCAGTTGTACGCGGCCTTCAAGCAGAGCTTTCCCGAGGTCGGGCCTGTAGCAACTTCGTCAGCTGTCCAAGGGGAAGGAGGGCCTGCACGCCGATCATCTACTCTAAGCGAGGCGATTGTCGATGAACCTTCTTCCACCCAGCAGTAAGTTGACATCTCTTCTATCTTCTACTTCAACTTCATCTTTACCCGTCCCCATGCCATGCTCGCCTTGGAATGTCTTCACACGTCCGTCATGTCGCCGACTCTTCTTTCTTCCGACCTCGACGACGACCGTGCTCAGGAGACTGACTATTTCTCCAGAGGCTTTGAAACCCAACCAGATATCAAAGAACAGGATGTGACGCCCAAGCCTTTCACCGACGCCTGGAGATTCACCCCGTCACTCATGGATCCCAACTCTTTCGCCTTTTCGGCCTTTGCAAACCAGCCCCCAGGATACTATACACCGACCCCTGGGGGCTTCGGCACTCTCTACCATCCCCAGGCTGGCGACCTTCACACCCCCGGCATGGGAATGAACACGCCATTGTCCTTACCACACTCCGTCCAGACCCTCCACGCTCACGATCCCATGATGCAACTTCAGCATTTCAACCCCCATCTAATGCACCAGGCTCATCCATTTCACGACCCTTTCCATCAACAAGCCCAGATGCACGTCCCTCCGCCACAGCCGCAACAGACTTTCGCCCCTCAACAGTTCCTGCAGCACCAGGACTCTGGCTATGTCGCCATGGACGATACTCCGCAGAAAACGACCCCAACCCAGCCTGACATGGCCGCACGCCCGCCGAGTATGGTTCCGTCTGTCCAGCAGCACATGCCGGGAAGGATGGGCATGACTGGCCTGCCGATGGGGGAGCAGTCAGTAGCGCCTTTCTCATGCCCAACAATAGCTGACACATCTTCTAGATTTCGATTCCACACCACGCTGAATGCGCCGACTGCCATGATTCGACATGCGGACGAGATCCCCATCACCTATCTCAACAAAGGCCAGGCCTACACAATGTCTATATGGGACCAGACCCCGCCAATGCCACAAATGCCCCAGCATGCGCCGCTTCAGTACCGGACCTATGTTCGGGTCTCCTTCGAAGATGAGCAGCAACGCGCACGTCCTGGATCCTGTTGGCAGCTCTGGAAAGAAGGCCGTGGTTCAAATGAAGCTCACCAGCGTGGGGGAAGACTCCTTGCGGTAGAGTATGTGGATCCTAACCAGGGAGGCGACGATGAACTACGGAAATCTCAGATCCAGCTGGAGAAGGCCTCTTTCGACGGCTTTGCCGTGACTTGGTTCCCCAATCCCGTCAACGGTGGCCCTGACTGTTCGATCTCGGTCCGCTTCAACTTCCTCTCCACCGATTTCAGCCACTCCAAAGGCGTCAAAGGCATACCAGTCCGTCTGTGTGCAAAGACGGAATTGCTCACGCCTCAAACTGGCGCCAGCACTGAGCCAGAAGTCTGCTTCTCCAAAGTCAAGCTGTTCCGAGATCACGGGGCGGAAAGAAAACTCTCCAATGATGTCGCGCATGTCAAGAAAACGATGGAGAAGCTGAAGCAGCAGATTGCTCAAGCTGAAGCTGGCCTGGGAAATGCTGGGAAAAGGAGGAGAAGTGGATCCATGGCTCGACCTTCTGGTTCTCGACCAGGAAAAGTTGTCAAGCACAAGAGAACATGGTCAGTGGATTCTGAAGGCGAGGGGATCAAGTTCTCCGCAGAGGAGGATCTCCAGATGAAGCTTGTGAGCATGCAGGATATGTTCTCCTCCACGAGGCCCGTCAGTGTGCTCTTCCTGCGTGGCGAACCCGAGGATGATCCGGACCTGTTTCCGGTCAAATTGCCAGGAGATGACCCGGACATGAAGCAAATTGTTCGGACGACGACTTGGGAGTCACGGCAGAGCACTTCTGACTCACCGACGTCCAACGCAGCCTCTCCCAGTACCAGTTCGGCGTCTCAGACGACTCCTAAGAGAAAATTCTCGCAAATTCAGCAGTCTGCCATACAAGAAGAGAGCGAAGGCGACTGCGAGAACGAGCCGAGCGCATCCACGTCCGGACCAGTCAAGATACCGAAAAGGGAGCCCGATTCTGCGTCCAAAAAGGATCTATTTGCTGTGGACGTCGACAGCGATTATCAGCCACCCGTCGAAAGGCCTATCCGACCAAGTAAGTTGACCATGCCTGTGAAGACACCACGCACTGACGTTGTCACAGTGGCATGTTTCTATGTACGCCAAAAAGACGCCGCCAAAGAATATTACCGCGCCGTCTATCTGATGCACAGAACCGTTAGAGATCTGATCAAGGGCATTTCTGAAAAGTTCCAGATCGACCCTAATCGGGTATGTCAAGTGACTCATATCAACTCTCGTGGACTACACATTATCGTCGACGAAGATGTGGTTCGAGAAGTCCCCGAAGGACAAGATATGATTGTCGAGTTCGCGCCAGTCCAACCCGATCACTCATTGAAACAAGAGTTCGTCGCGCCGGAGGCGGCCGAGGTCATGGTCGACGGGGACATTGGGCCCGCCGACACATCAATACTGGACCCTCTGGAGATGTGGCTGAATTATTGATGCCGTCGATGCGTGCTTTGCAACATTCACAGGTTCCGAAAATTGCGCGAGATACCCAACTTCTCTATACACTAGTTTAATTCCATTACGAACACGACGATTTCATTTACGACGATTTTTCCTATGGGAGGACTTTGGCGCGACTATCGAGGAGCCATGCTATACTATTTGATACCCCAAATGGCGCAACGCCATACCAGATGCGCGGCACCGGGCTTGTCACCACGTTCTGGATATCTGTACATTTCAGCGACAGGAGGTGGAAGAGGTATTTTGTGGGCGTCGGAATTTTCCCCATCTTCTTCAACACACTATTGCAACAACTATTTCTTTTTTTTTCTAGTACACGACAGGATGATCGAATGACGGGATGATACACGGGTCCCCGAGCGAGATCCGCATACTCTTTACGAGATACATGAACTTTCGAGATACCCACATTGTCAGAAATCTCCCTTTGATTTGGCAGGAAGATACCCAGCGAACTTTTACGAGTGTCAGGGATAGCAACAAGATCAGTGTATCGACTATCTAATATTGGCTGCTCGGCTTTTCTTACATTTTGCCGAGTTTTTGATGGGAGGTTTCACACAATACACCCGGGAGGCCGGGACATGGGGTGGCGAGAAGTGGGCGGCGTCCAGAACGAGGGAGACAGGCTCAAACACTTTGCTTCTTCCAACGGGGAAAGATTGTGGCGATTGTTCAGAGGCTCACAACGTAGGCAGAAGAACAACTATGGTCTACGGGTGAAGTCGATGGAGCCGGCCATGAGCGATTCGGAAATCTGCAGGAACGGTTTGTTCCCGCTCATTTCAGAGGAGACAATTGGACTTGCCAATCACAAAAGTCCCTTCCCTGGGTGGCCCCTCCCGGTAAACACTTCCACAGATGGGGAAGAAGGTGGCCAACGTCCTGCTAGCAGGATGGTGTGGCGATATGTGTGGCTGTGCAAGCGAACATGATAGCGAATCAACAAATTCTCCCGGAAGGAAGATGCTTTTCACAACCTCGACATGTTCCGAAGATAGCTACCATGAGATACCCATGACCAGCTGACCAGGCCGATCTATTCTTCGCTTAAGCCGTTCTACAGTGGTATACGATGGCGAGCTTTGGAACATGCATGAGGCTAGAGAGGATTTGCGTGCTAGAGAAAGCGATGGCAGTGGCACAGTGGCCAATGTTCAGGCCACTAGGCTCGCCATGGGCTTTGGGCTTCGATCGGCCTAGAACTACGAGATACGGCTCGACGGGCACTGAATCACTGACAGTCTAGGTATATTCAAAAATAGCATCGCACAAGTACATGGCGCCACACGTTATGAGTTGAAGTACACGGTAGTCTGCATGCCACGTCAGCCTCAACATGACGGCAGGAGTCTCGCATTCTGATTTGTGACCATGGCCATCGGTAAGAGGCCCAGTAACTGTGATAGGAGGGAAAGCCGACGATCTTTGGACCTCGAGTTTATCCGGCCACTCGGCCAAGGCTTCTTTTCAGCTTCGAAGAGAAAAATTGTACGGGTGCGGTGTGTCACTGTCGTGACCGTGTATGGTGCGATGCGCGCGCCCCCCAGGAACGGTCGAGATTTTCCGGCTGGACTAGCCGGGCGGGGGTGGCTACTTGTGGTACTTGTAGTTTAGTCGTTGTACGGTGTGGCCTCGCTTTGCGCCGGACTCGTGATTGATCCATGCCAGGAAGAACAAATCCGGCTGCTGCAGAGATTCCAGTTTCGATGCCACTACTCGTATGGTCACGAGTACTGCGTAACGATGGACTGTAGCACGAGACCTACTGGTAGGTATGGGGTTTTGGTGAGGGTTTGTCCTACCTTTTTCTTTCGTGCCCTTTTTGGAGCGAGTACTGTGTATGTCGAGAACTCGATGGGCAAGCCCTGGCAGGGACAAGCCACACGACTCGCGACCGGTCAATGGTGCCGGAACCGGCCGTGCTCGCCTATAGCATTCAGGTACAGTACGGATTCTATCACGGTACTCTAGCTCGTACGAGTATTGTACTTTCGGAGGAGGACGAGCTTGAAAGGCCAGACGCCCGGCGAGCCGGCTCGAGTTGACCAGGCCAAAAGAAGGGGATGCTCCGGTGGATACTCTGTGAGTTGAGTTGGCATTTAGGGAGTGCTGGTGGCTACCACTCCGTACAGAGGAGTAGGAGTAGCACCTACCTAGGGAATCCAGCCACAGAATTTCTGATTCGCAGCCACGAGGGAAAGAAGAGGCGCCGGATATGAGGAGTATCACACTACACCGTACTCCGTACTGTGGTAGACAACATCTGAGACACTGCGTTTCGGGCGGTCAGTGGCCAGTGCGATGCGGCGGCCAGTGTATCCATACATCGACGATTGGCGTGAATTGAAAGGTGTGGTGATCGATGACGACGTTGTGACGAGTGAGGCTGGTGATGTGGGATGCTAGCGATAAGCACAGCCGCAACACGTGCATTGATACTGCGCCACATGTGGCGTCGAAGGGGAAAATCAACGGCCAGAACAATTCCGGCTGGTGGCATTGGGATGCTCGAGTCTTTTGAAGGCCGGCGTTGAGGCAACTGGATGCCCCAGCGTGCTAGTCTTTTGATTTCCTGTGAGAATTCAAAGAGCTGTACAATACAAAGAGAACGGAAGATGTTCATGAGGATACATTGACTTTAACTGATGTTGAGGTGCACGTCATACCATGAAAAGGGAGTCTTGACCTGGTGAGATTCGACTTTGTGGTTGTGGAAGACGCTGCGTCCATCCCTTCAGGGGACTGCGGTGGTAAGGATATGCCACTTACCTTACTGTGATTTCTATGGCGAAAGAGGAGCGATTTTGGCCCTTTTTTGGCCATATTCACAGCCTGTATTTCGATATTCCAATACCTTCACCAGCACAATCGACCAAATACAGTTGTGATTTATGGCAAAAACCGCTACTCTTTTCGCTAACATCCCACCCGTCACTTACGGACGTGTGAGCATGTTCCTTGAGGGACGATGTTCCCCAGGTGTCGCATGCTTTGAGCAGCCTCATGTCTCTGCCTTAGGCTTGCCTTGTCTTATCATCACCACGATGATGCAGTGAAGTGCTCTTTGTTACGCTTTGTGAAGCAGTGCTCATCCAGGCCGCCTTCGTTTTGATGCCTCACTCCTCCCTTACTGCATCCAAAGTATTTGACGATGAACTCCTACCTGAAAAATGAGACTGTACATTCAATTTTACCCATGCCAGCACATCTTGCGCACACCCACCGACAGTGTTTTCGTGTTTTCGTCCCTAAAGATACAATCATCAACTATTCATCACCAGTACGACCTCGTGAAGGAAGATGGCTGATCACTACACTGTCCTTGGAGTCCCTCGCGATGCAGATTACACCACCATCAAAGCTGCTTACAACAAAGTCGTCCTCAAGGCTCACCCGGACAAAGGTGGCTCACCTGAAGCGTTCATCCAGATCCAACAAGCATACGAAATCTTGAAAGATACCGTCACTCGAGCAGCGTGTGACTTGAAGCAGCGACGCCGGTGTCGTCCAGACAAGAAGAAAGAGAGCAAGGCTCAACAACAGCGTGCGCAGGGCGATACCCGGCCTTCGAACATTCCAAGAACGCCTGTTCCTCCTTACAGTACGCGTCCGCCGCAGCCATCATTCACATTCACTGCCCAGCCATCTGCAGAGTCTAGGGCCTCGCACACTCCAAACTGCGATTTCTTCGGCTTCGGCTTCGGCCGCCCAGGACAACCAGTGCAGCAAACCGGCACCTATCCCTCGACATTCGCGCAAGCATACGCTCAGATACATACGCATCCCCCGACAACTCATAAATCAGAATTCGACGTGGTCCTGAAACTCCGAAAGCAAGCAGATCTGTACGTTGCCCGGACCGAGAACATGATCAAGAACCTGCGGATAACCACCACCTCCAACGAGATCTCAAAGGAAACGTGGTGCCATTTGCTACATCTCAGAGTGAGGCTGGTCAATCGAGCGCTGGAGCTTCAGGCAAGACAGAACGCCCTGCAGATATGCCAGTTGCAGAATACGCTGTTGTTCTGCTGCGAGTCGCCGCCGGCCTGGGACTTGCAGTTCTATGCACAGGCCGTGAGCGACGATGACAAGATTTCAAAGGAACTGCAGAGTTTGGTGGGCTCTATTGTAGGCACGGCGGCGTACATGAGAAGGCGCCAGGCCATGGGAGAAAAGGAGGTGGGAGGCATGGAGGTCGACGACGATGTGGTCAGTCGGGTTTTGGAGGATGCGGTGTACGACATGAAGAAGTTCTTGATCGGGTTGCTGTTTGTTCCTGAAGAGCCTACCGATGACAATGCCGCATAAGCAGATACTGGTTTGAGTGTGATTTTGCCCCTGCAATGAGAACAACGAGTGAATATTGTCGGTACCGCACTACGAGGAACATTGTCAGTAGTAGTTTGAAAGATCCTCTCGCTTTTGAACAGCACCCTTTCGACTATCACATTGTAGCCTTTCTAGCGTGCACGAAAGTACTATATCGTTTGATTGGTAGGATTATACAGCCCGTTATGCATTCATGTTGCGCCTCCCACCTAGGTGCCTCCGGCAGGAAAGGCGGAGTGTGGTTGTAGCGGCGGAAGAGATTGATTAACTAACTAATCTAAGAGGGAAAGACTGGCCGCTATATGTAGTCACTCGTAACTGAGCGCAAGGAGGGGGAATACTAGGCTGGGCAAGTATCCCGGCGCTAATATCACAGGAGAACGGAATCACGTGACAGCGTATAGGTTCCTCGGTTCCCCTGAGGCTATGCCAAGCCGCGCCAAACCTAATGCGGCTGTTCTTCAGGGCTGGGAAAAAGCAAACGCCAACTTCGACTCCTGTCAACAGTGCTGTCAGGACGCGTGAAGAAAAGCCTGCGGCCGAGTCTGGTTGAGTCCGAACACCCGGACAGGCCCGACACAATGCGAGCATGACGATTGCGGCTTTTGCTGTTCGCTGCAGACCCCAATGCCGCCACCTGGCTTGACGGTTCTGGACAAGTGACAGTTCTTCTGGTTTGCGGGTTTGACTTGGAGAGGCGTTGAGGACGAAGTCGATAAGTGGTCTATTGAACTGCTGCACACGTTCATCCCGTCCTCGAGTGGGTGTACTCCGTCTCCAGACCGCTCCCCAGATTGATCGGTTGAGAGTCAAGCCACCAGTCCCTGCGAGCAGTGCCATCAAAGAGCCCTGGAAAACATCCTGAGTCCCAGGTTCCTTCAGAGCCGAGTGTGCCTGTCACGACCTGTCTGCCTATTCGGACAAGGAAGAAGATCGAGCAAAGTCGTGTTCTGAATCCGAATCAGTGTCCCTGGTCTTTCAGCCCCTGCCGGTCAAGACTGAATCGGGACGCATTGACACCCAAAGGACATATTCAGACATGCTGTCTTTGTAGCAGGTTTGCCAGTCTGGATCAAATTTGCCGACTAAGCCGCATCTGTCCCCCTCTTTTGTTATCAATGCTTCGAGACCTTACGCGTTGTGACGTGAAGATTGTGGGGTTCTCTGTTCTTTTTTCCTTGCGCGGCTTGATGGCTGGCCATGGCTGTGGCTCTGTGCACGATGCATTGGGCAGCCTCTCATATACCTCATGGGTGGCCTGTTCGAGGGCGCCCGTTCCCTTGGATTTCTTTTGCTCGACGTCCCTTTTGCTGATGAGTTGATCCAGCAGTTTTGTCGACGAGGACTTCATGGCGAGCGAGGTGCAGGCGAAGGGCGGTGGGCAGTACAATGGATCACTGCTGGAGATCCTCATTATCGTCCTGGCCAGTGTTTCGCTCCTGGTGGTAGCTGTGAGGGGCGTGGCGAAGCACCGCATCAGTAAGGCCGTTGAGTCTACTGATATCCTACTGCCTTTGGCTTTGGTGAGTCGATCCCTACCTGTCGGTTACACGAGAGACCGTTCATCTGACATGGAATTCCAGGTTTTCGCGATTGCTCAGAGCATCTTCGTACGCCTAGCAATTTCGAATGGCCTGGGGAGTCATGTCGACACATTAACCGCCGGTCAAATATCAACGTTTGAGAAGGTATGGGCTCACACCGATGATGACGGTGTCTGTTGAGGTGAACATTACTGACAGGCGCTGGTAGCTTATCTACGCTGGAAACCTCCTCTTCCAGCTGGTGCTTGCTTTAAGTCAGGTCATCGTGGTCCTGCTCATCAAAAATGTCGAGCCACAGCGACCGGTCCGTATTGGCTGCAATTGCCTACTTGGCTTCATCACCGTTTACTCTGCTCTCGCCCTGTCAATCCTCGCCTTCCAATGCTCTCTTCCGACGCCATGGCTAGTCGGCACGGACAGATGCGTCGACCGAGTAAGTACTCAACCTCATGGTAACACTCGACGAAGTGAGTTCTCCTGCTGACCGTTTTTGCATTAGCAAACATTCCTTACCGCATTCATATTCACAAGCATAGGCATCGACGCAGCGACACTCATTCTGCCCATCATTATGATGTGCAAAGTGTCTACATCTCGAGACAAAAAGATCTTCGTCTGTGTGCTGTTCGGCACGAGACTCGCACTACCGCTGGTCACCGTGCCTCAAATCTACCACCTCCAGAGAGTCATTGTATCAAAGGATCTGACGTGGGACCTCGTGTCGTTCCAGATATGGATCCAAATCGTCATGAACCTCGCCATAATTACCGCATCATTACCCTCTCTCGGCAAGGTGATGTGGGAACTGTGGACATTCGGCTCCAGTCTTCGAACGAGTCGTTCCATACAGAGCGGCGGCTCGCGTGACTTTGGCCATGAACTAGGCCTCGAGCAAGCTCCGCCGCAATACCAAGAAAAGCCACGCCACCTCCTCGGTCAACCCGGCCCTGTCGTTTATGCCGACGAGAAAGACGACTGGTCCGAGCAAGTCTTACACAAAGTCCGGGAAATCGGCAGTGTGGACTCGCTCCAGACCGTTGTCGCGCAGGGACAGGGACAGGGACAGGACAGGGACCGCCTCCTCGTGGCACGGCCGAAACCGAGCTTGACTCTGGCCCCATCTCCCGCATATACACCTCCGCGACATCACAACCACTCTTACCGTCGTCCAGAGATCCTGTCTCCCGTCATCGAGCGGTCGCCGTACATCGAAGGCATGATGACGCCGCAGATGGCCTCGCAGCACTGGGGCCGCCAACAACAACAGTGCGAAAACAACGACTACGACTTGCGTCCCCCATGCTCCCCGCACTTGACCTCGGGACCGCCTTCGTACGCCGCCAGTTCGCATTATGACGATGACCACTCGGAGATGGATTGTTCCGAGTTCGACATCGACAGCTATTATCTGGGCAACACCAATTATCTGCGCCAGTACGATCCGAGACGGACGGAATTTGTCATGCAGAGCATGATTGAAGATCTGCAGAAGGAGAATGCAAAAGTCGACCCGGCGAAACGGTGGGAACATGGTTGGATTTGATCGGCCGAAGCCCACGAGGGTCACTCAGTTTTGCGAACGTTGTTGAGATTTGATCAGCCGCAGCCGACGACGTCCTCTTGGTCTTTTGAACGACGGCTTCTGTTTGAGCAGTCAATGACGGACAGCTGCACACTCTGCCTGCCTGAAGCGCCGATGAGTTTTACGATCATATGCCGCGCGCTCACGCAACATGTGTCGCCGTGCCATCTGCCATGTGCACAATGTGTTATGGTTTTACGACTTATGCAGATATGTTACTCAATATCATGTGTTTCGAATATATACCTGTCGAAGGGCGGCAGAACAACCCTCTCCAGACAGCAATCGCTCATTGCTGCTTATCTTGTTTGGTTTTCCTTGTTGTCTTTCCATATCCGGCATTTTCTAAGCTTCTGACTCTTTTCTCCAAAGATCAAATCCGATATTGGCAAGATCATGCTCGGGCAACTCAGTTGCCTGCATGCCAATCCCCGATCCCGATTCCATTTGCAAAATGCGTTCAAGTTCAAGGTTGGACTCATTCAGCCCCTTACGACCGTTAGTACTAAGTTGAACCCGTTCACGACTTCTGATTCGCATCGGCAAATTTCTGCGCCGTCCCACCCAGTATGCCGCCCTCGGTGAACTGTTTGCCTACAGTACCGTCCTTGTCCAGCGGGCCGCCGATCTTCTGAGCCTGTCCTCACAATGCGATCAGAATAGCTCGACGGATGGGCGATGATGCTGATGGGTGTTGATGGACGGTGGGAATAAATTGACCAGAGGAGAGAGGAGAGGAAAGCCAGAGGAGAGAGGAGAGGAAAGCCAGAGGAGAGAGGAAAACGGCAAATACTGGTGGCGGTACGTACTAATCCTCCCAGGACGCCGTCCGTGGTGAATTGTTTGCCGATGCTGCCTCGGGCGTCGAGGGCGGATTTGTCGCTCGGTTTGGTCACGTCCTGTTCGTTTGTGTGTTCGTTAGTACGTCAGGTCTCGTCAACGTCTCGTCAGTCGCTCGTAGGTTCGTTCGTTCGTTCGTTTCGTCAGTGTCTCTCCCAGTCCTAGCCAAAGGTGCTCGGACCGGCGGGGAAGGGAAGAAGGGAAGGAGAGGCTCAAAAGAAAGGAGTAACACGTACAGCGCTACTGGCATGCTCAGGCACCGAAGTCTCTTCATTGTATGTCTTTGTGCCGGTTGTGGCGCCCTTTTCGAATGCTTCGGACATGATGGTGTTAATAATGGATAAGGGATTGTCGTGCTTCGAACTATACTTCGTAAGAGTGTATGGGTATCCTTTCAGAAAAGGGAGTGGCAATTGGGGATGCAATAGGGATGCTATATCGAACGAAGCTGAACTGCGGTCAAGGCGAGACGGCCTATATACGAGATCGTACGCGTCGAGAGGACTCTTGCAGATTAATCGCCGTCTCAAGGTCTCTCCGTCCACTCTGACGCACAAACACAACGCAATAGTGACTACACAGGGCATATGTCACCTTTCTGAGAACGCGTGCAGGTCATCTCTCTGAATTGCATCATGTTCCACCCCCAAGAACGGAGCGAAGGAAATTGAATGTCTGGTGTGCGAATCGTGCAGTGCACCGGAACTCGTCACCGAAGATGACTACCATAAACGGAGTGATACTTTTTTCTCTGATTTCATTGACAAGGTCCAGGGGATGTTCTTCCGAAGGTGTGTCATCGAACCTTGCCGCGCCAATGACCATATCGCTTGTATGTCTAAGGTACAAGTCTACATGCAAACATGCTGTGATCAGATCAGATCAGATCAGAACAGATCAGAACAATTCACTGCGCTTTTTCGTGGAGCGTAGCGGTTCAAGACTCTCCATACCCAAAAACCCAAACCCAAACCCAATGACGGATGTACGAGGCAACAACGCTCACTCAACAATGGATGGATATCGTACAACTCGGCGAACAATGTCCCAAGACCGCTCGATGCTCAACGCTCGATGCTCACGCTCGACGCCTGATGCTTAAAGGGGTATGAATGCAGCATTACTCGTCCAGGATGGGACTCGACCGTGGTGGATATGTAGAGGCACGCTTCGGCTTTCTTGTTGGCGACCGTGCCGAAGAAGTAAGACTCGATAGCGGTGTGATTGGGACGTCCTTTGGCTCAAATTGGTCTCCTTCGCCTTGAAGGTAGTCTTCAGGTTCAACCGTGATTTCGGGCTGCTTCACCAGTGATTTGCGTGCTGGGTCGGGGGTGGGTGGCGATGAAGTCTCAGGTGAGCGTGTTGGGTCGGAACTAGTAACAAGGCTGGGGGCTTTGTCACCTGCACCTGCCGCTGGGCTGAGTAATACAGGTATACTTTCTCGTTTGCTGGATCGTCGTCGCCCGGGGAGACTCCCATCGTAACCCAGCTGGATGGTCAGATCGACTCTGGCGAGATCCTCCCGGGATCCAACGGAACCGATGACAGAGATCTCTTCCGAAGGCCCACTGGAAGGAGATGCAGACTTGTTCCGCGTCATGTAGACGTCCGCCAACCTCTTAGCTGCCGTGACCAGACGTTCTCTTACTTCTGGCTTCTTGAGGTATGCATTGGTCTTGACTTCAAGTTCGCTGGGCCCATCGGTGTCTTTGACTGCCCGCCAGTTGTCCAGCTTGATATCGTGGATACCAGTGTCGGCACTGAAACGGTCAAAGAAGAATTGCTCGGGAATGATGCTGGAAATATATGATAGGTCGATTGCGCGTTGTTCCGACTCTGTTGCGATTTTGACCAGATCTGAGACAAGACCAAGAGCGTTGACCACTCCATTGGGGACCAGTCTTGTCCACCATGGCCGTGTCGGTAACGGTTTGGCAAAGAAGTCCTCCGGTAGAGTCCCTGTTCCAATATTGATCATCACCAGCTGTTCATCCTCCTCCAGTCCGTGGTTTTTGTGGTAATGGAGTTTGCCCTCCCAAGACGGGTTGTTTGTCTCGCCGATGCCTCCGTCCGTGAATGAGCGTCCTCTGATGATCATTGGTTCAAAGTAGGAGGGAGCCGCAGACGTTGCTCGGGCTGCTTGTCGCAGTTCCAGGTCGCATGACAACATTTGTTCCCGGTATGGTCCTTGACATTCGTGCGTACAGAAAAATATCGGATGAGGGTTTGGTCTTTCATGACAAAGCACTGTTCCTTGCATACTGTTTGCGTGTGCGCTGCGCATTTTGAGATCGTATGGTTGTCCTCTTGAAGCCAGTAGGTTCTCGATGGCCTTTTCGAGTTCTCTGCCTGAGAACTTGGACCAGTCCCCAAACACTCTTTGCAGGGTTGGCCGTTCTTTGGCGAAGATTCTTCCGGAGAGAATCTTGTACTGTTCGATGCATTCGTCGATGGACATGTTCAACTTTACCAGCATCAGGACAATCAGGCCCCCAGTACTGGTACCAACAGCAATGTCGAAGACATCCTGAGGGTTTAAAGTGGCATGATCTTTTGGTATAGCGTTCCTCCGAGCGAGCTCCTCAGTGACGAGAATCAGTAGAAGCCGGAAAATCAGCAAAGATGAAAGTCCGCGGACACCCCCGCCATCCAGCGAGACCATCGCGATGGGACGCGAAGGCACCGTGTCTGTAACGGCAGCCTTGGAGCCCATCGTGTTGGAGAGACTGGTCGAATCGCGTTTGTTCAGCAGCCTAGTTGTAAGTGGTCGCTGCGAGCTTATTTGGGAATCTCAGAATAGTTGGGCCCAATCCTCAATGAGCTTGTTTGACTTGTATGCCGTCCTGTGTCGGTAAGGTTTGGACCGAGCTCTTAGATGTTTCGTGCTCCAGGAGGTAGATAGAGGTGAATATCGCTGACCACAAGATGAAAATCGTCAATATAAAAATGAAGGCACTCGTGATGCCAAATGCACTACCTACCATCTAAGGACACCCTCACCATTTCCTGACATAACGAAAACTTGAAGATGGCATGCGACAGTACCAACAGCCCCTAGACCGCCGATCTGGGGTGCAAAGGTTCCAGAAATTGATTGAGTCAGGCGGGAGAAGCCTGAAGCCGAATGCCTAGGCGGAGTCAGGCTGTCCATCCAGGTGGGCAGGCAACCGAGAGTCTTTGCTGTTGAAGGTATGATTGGTTGCGGTGGGAGATTTCTTACCAGGATTGTGATCCAGGCTGCAGCCACACGGGGCCGAAATGACCAAGAGAGGCGATGCTCATGCGGCCACTGAAACCCCGACTGACGCAGCCTTGGGGAAGGGCGTCGGGCATGATCCTGGGGAGTGAGGCTTGTGTGGGCTGTGCACTGACGGAATTCGCGCATCCATGACTGTGAAGGATTTTAGGAGAAGTGATTGATGGTGTTGTGTCACACTCTCGCGTTGATCATGGGGGTGAATTTGGCCACCACGTGACGAGGCTCAGCTGACCACGCATCACTGCCTGCTGGCTGGTTTCAGAGATCATAAGTCCCCAGGTCAACATTTCAGCAAGAAGGCCGGTCATGAGTCCAGTAGAACTGCCCCGAATAAAATCACATCCAGTGGGGATCTTTTGAAGGCATTGAACAGCACGGAATGAGCAACCAGCGACCTCTCAAAATTCTTACCTTGGGTAAGTGAGATACCCTAGGCTGCAGGAGTGATTCCTCAGTACTGACTCTAGCAGACGGTGGCGGTCTTCAAGCTTTAGCAACACTCAGCAGCCTCAATGCTGTCTGCAAAGCCATTGCGAAACAGAATGAGGCTACGAGGACACCAGCACCTCATGAACTATTTGATGTAATTTGTGGTGTCGGGACCGGCGGGTAAGTATCTTTCTTTCTGATGTGGCTCCATTTCTGACTGTGAATGCAGGTGGATTGCGTTGCTGCTCGGGCGGTATCGTCTCGATATAGCGACTTGTATGGCTGTCTACATGGATATCGCGAGGAAAGTCGACAGCACAGAGCGGACCTATCGGTGGCACAGAAGACATCGTTGCTTCAAGCTCGATCAAGATCGGCTTGCCTCAGTAACCGACGAGACATTGCAGCGATATGGGCTCGATCCGGGCTTGCTTCCTGGAGGGCCCTCGACGCCGGATTCGCAGAAGAGTATGAGCAGATGCCAATATGCGTGAGTCAGACCCCTACCTTTGAGGGAAGATCACTGACAGGCTAGATTTGCGGTGGGAGTTGTGCAACAACCCAAGAAAGACCAGTCCAAATACGAGCTGTTCAGATCATACCATCTGCCGGACAACAACACCAAGGGCACGCTGCCAGGTCCGGAACCAGAGAAATGCCGTATATCTCAAGCATTCGCCGCGATAGGAGCTGCAAAGTTCTTTCTGAAACCTTGCAAAATAGGAAAGAGCGTCTTCTTCGACGAGACGTTCCCTCAATCGCACCCGATCACCTCAATCGCTCTAGATGAAGTGTTTGGACTCTATGGGCCAGATGCTGACGTATCAGTGTTGCTCAATATCGGTCCGGGCATACCATCGGAGGAAGACTGCAGAGAACTTGACCTGATGTCGACTGGCCCTATGGCTCGCCTGACCAGGAAATTCTCATGGCCAAGGAGAAGGCAGAAACCAGAGGGTGAGAGGGAGAGCCAGGAAGAGCTCGAACAGTCAACCTCGTCGCTCTCCAGCTCCAGCGAGAGCGCATTGAGACTTGACCGTCAAAGACGCATGGACATCAAGGCAAGATTGAAGGAACTGTATGGTGAGCCTGGGCCTGAGAAATATCATCATCTCGGACCGGATTACTCGCTGGAAAAGGCGTCGCTCAATGACGTGCGGGCTATCCGCCTTTTCCGCTCGCAGTCCAATGAATCACAGGAGAGTGCGGAAGAGATTGACGGTGCCGTGAGACAATTCTGGGTCAACGCAAGAGCTTGAGCTTGAGAATGAGTTGGCAGGTAGCAGGTGTATCAAGAATGAAAGACGATTCGTGTATCTGTGATCGGCTTCGACGTCAGGAACGGCGGGAAGATAGTAGCTGAGCTCTCTGTTGGCTGCGTCACGAAAATCCTTGCTGCATCATCAACCGCAAGGAATAGAAACCCGACAAGCCAACTAAGCATCGACAAGCTCACTAGAGGCCGCGTGGAGCCTCGCTCGTGGGTGATAGTTTGGCGCTGAGTTGATGGCCAGCAAAGCCTAACAGGCGCCCACAGGGATGATTGATGTGGGTGGCTTGGCCTGTGTTCCCCCTTGTCTCGCCCTGTCTGGCCCGTCTGGAGGGGCGTGCTCGGTTCCCCGCCAATCGTCATCACCCAGCACACCCAAACTGCGCAGTCTCATGTTGGTTTTGCTCTCATCATCAACCCATTCACTCCTTCGTCAAAGCTCCTCTTCACCCAATCATTCATTGTTCTCTCAGTAGCTGCGCCCATTTCCTGGGAAAAGCAAAACGCAGGTTCTACTTAGGCCGTAATGTTACGTGGACTGCTTTGCCAACTTTGACCGCCTGTCCCAGTCACTGACCTTACTACTCGTCACCTCCTCGTCGTTCTGCAACCTTCCTTTCTCTCGTCCTTCTTCGTCACCTCTCTCCGTACTACAGCAACTTCCTACACAGTCTACAGTGAACCGTCAAAATGGTGAATCTTCACAGTATCAAGCCAGACCCTCATCAGGGTAAAGACCTACCAGCTCGTCGTGCTTCAATCGTACCCGGTCTTGAGCACATCTCTCTCGAGGCCCCTGGCGAGGATGAGTTTTCCACCTCTGTCTACGGCTCCAGCTTTGCCGCACAAGATCTGCCTGACCATGAGATGCCCGAGAAAGAAATGCCAAAGGAGATCGCATACCGCATGATCAAGGACGAGCTCAGTCTGGACGGTAATCCAATGCTCAAGTCAGTCTGTTCTATCCAGATTCGAACCCAAGCTGACCACTCCTCTGTAGCCTTGCCAGCTTCGTCACCACCTTTATGGTACCTCTTGTTGCCCTGTCCTCCTGCCACCATCGCCGCTGATACAATTACTAGGAAGACGAAGCAGAAAAACTCATGACTGAAGCATTCGCTAAGAACTTCATTGACTATGAGGAATACCCCCAGACTGCTGAAATCCAGAATCGATGTGTCAATATGATCGCTCGTCTCTTCAACGCACCAGATCCTAAGGATGGTGGCAATGCCCTTGGTACCTCGACCATTGGTTCTAGCGAGGCAATCATGCTCAGTGTGCTGGCCATGAAAAAGAAATGGCAGAATGAGAGAAAGGCAGAAGGAAAAGATGCCTCGAAACCCAACATCATCATGAACAGTGCTGTCCAAGTCTGCTGGGAAAAGGCAGCTCGCTACTTTGACGTCGAGGAACGATATGTCTACTGTACCGAGGACCGCTATGTCATTGACCCGGAAGAAGCTGTCAACCTCATTGACGAGAATACCATCGGTATCTGCGCCATTCTCGGTCTGACCTACACTGGCGAGTACGAGGATGTCAAGAAGATCAATGATCTGCTGGTGGCTAACAAGATCGACTGCCCCATTCATGTCGACGCAGCCTCTGGCGGCTTTGTGGCTCCCTTCGTCAACCCCAACTTGGTCTGGGACTTCCGCCTAGAGAAGGTGGTCAGCATCAACGTCTCTGGTCACAAGTATGGCTTGGTCTATCCTGGTGTTGGCTGGACGGTCTGGAGGTCACCAGAGTACTTGCCCAAGGAACTCGTCTTCAACATCAACTACCTGGGCGCCGACCAGGCTTCATTCACTCTCAACTTCAGCAAAGGCGCCAGCCAGGTCATTGGCCAGTACTACCAAATGATCCGTCTCGGCAAACGTGGCTATCGTAGTATCATGCTCAATCTTACCCGCACATCCGACTACCTCGCTGCTCAGTTGAGAGCATTGGGCTTCGAGATCATGTCTCCCGGAGGTGGCCGATCCCTGCCAGTGGTTGCCTTCCGCCTTGACCCCGACGATGAACACCTCTACGACGAGTTCGCTGTTGCTCACCAGCTTCGTGAACGTGGTTGGGTCGTCCCAGCCTACACCATGGCTCCACACAGCAATAACCTGAAGATGATGCGTGTGGTCGTCCGTGAGGACTTCAGCAAGCAGCGTTGTGACAGCTTGGTCGGTGACATCAAATTGGCATTGCAGGTCCTCGGTGAGATGGATCGTAAGAGCATGGAACAATTCCAAAAGTACGTTTTTATCCAAAGAGATTCATCAGAATCTCGTTCAACACTAACGACATTGAATAGGCACGTCCAGCAGCATACTCGTCACGGCAGGGCTGGCACGAACATCCAGCCTTATAAGCACGAAAAGCATTCTCTTCAGGGCAAGCATGGAAAGTCCCATCCTGTGTGCTAGACTGTTAGGATTAAAAGAGTTTGAACGTCAGGAGAGACTCGGAAAAAGTCAAACTGCATATTGGGAGTACATGGCACGAAGCCTGGCCAATGAAATGAAGAATGAAGAGGATTCGGCATTCACCACCACCTAGTTTTTTACGGAGTCTCTGACATGGAGCTCTCTAAGGTACAGCATCTAGGCTCACTTTGAAAAACATTGGACTGAACGCTGGCAAGCGAGAACACCTACTTCGCACAGTCGGACAAACGTTGATCCGGAAGCATAAACGAACGACTCCTTTGTGACCGATAGCCACCAGAATGACAGACGCTGCATGACTAACTTTCTTTCATCTCATCACCTTCCACCAAGACTTTGACCTTGCAAACAATTCCAAATCTCTACCAATCTAGCAAGACCACAATGGATGCAACATCTCGCTTGCGAATCGACTGGTCATCGACGTCGAATCACCCTCAGCCCCGTGCAATACTAGTCTCAATCCGTAGAACAACCCCTGCCAGCCTTCAGCATTCACCTGCTGGGCTTTGCGGGGAACTGGCCTCGCCCCATCACCGCCTCTGACCTTCTTGTCGTGAATCATTCATCATGGACCAGGATCAGGACTGTCCTCTCCACTAGCTCCACATAAGCAGGCCCTTCGGACGTGTTCTTCGACCGGAACTCTGGCAAATATTTTCTCAGGACGCTTCCTCTCACTGGCATTCATCTGCCAGGTGCTTGCGGGGTTGTTCCAGCTGTGCAAGCCACCATGCCCGGTAGATCGAATCGAGGCATGACAACGTGCATGGCAATGACTCTTCAGTCCACTGACGTTCTGGCTTCTGGCCACTGCCTCCATATTTCCGGATCCCATTCGTATACACCGCTGTCTTGGCTCCGAGGGAGCTCATCCGGAATGTCCTAGCCCCAGGTGATCCTGGTCCATCGAACCACGCGACTTCAGCAATCAGCCGAAATCCTTTGAAAGGGACTACTTTTTTGACCGAGTACGTCTCATGCACACCCTGCTTGCGTTTGCCAATGAATGTCCCTTGAAGATTGCCATTCGCATGGGGAAGCTACACCTCGCGTGCTTGAGCACAAGCCCCACGTTGCTAGCTCTCTGGTGGTGTGCAAGGGCCGGTTTGTGGGTGGAATGGGAATAAGAGGACAAGCATGGCCTGACCTTGACGCGCATGGTTCTGTCTCGCCAGGCTCTTCGTGTCTCTGCATTCTGCAAACGCGTATCCCCAGCGACGTCAACGTACGAAGCTCTGATACTACTGTTCCAAAATGTCGGCATCCAGTCCCCCAGACCGCGATCTCATTGAGGAAAAGCCACCCTTGTCTCACACTGTCTCTGCCGGTGCAATCTCCATTAGCCCTGAGCTGTTCGAGAAGGTGCGCAAAACTATGGCTCAAAACACCTAGAAGGCAAAAGAACTAAACCCTTTGACAGCTCTACCTTACTCCTAAAGTGCCTCATGCCGGGGATAATATCAAGCGCTTCGCCAATCCAACGCCTCTGGGCTTTGTCGGGTGAGCTGGGCCCGCCCTCCAGAATAGTGTCCGCGTGTAGAGACCCGATATTAACACGAACCAGCTTCGTCATATCGACCATGACCTTCGCCATGGTTATGATGGGATGGGGAGGTGCAGAAGGACTCAGCCCAGTCGTGTAAGTGGTATCCTCACACCTCCCACCTGCATGGCCCTGGTTAGGAAGGAAAAAACAAAAAGCAGAAAGGCAAACCACAAGCCCTGAAGTGAGCTAACCTGCAATACCCACACCTCCAGTGGAATCTTCTTCTTCGTCGGCCCCGTGCTTCTGATCCTCACCGTCATTTTCGAATGGATCATGGGCAATTTCTTCTCCATGATGGTCTGCGGCCTCTTCGCGGTGTTTTGGCTGAGCTTCGGCATGCTGCAACTCCCCACGCTCGGCCTCGCGGCCCCGTACTCGACCAGTGGCACCAACGCCGTCGTCGGCGCCGCGAGCAAAGAGTACAACGCCGTCATCGCCTTGTACCTGATCGTCTGGGGGTTCGCGCTGTTCACGTACTTCATCTTCACGCTCAAGACGAACGTCATCTTTGCCTCCATCTTCCTCTTCGTCACCCTCGGCGCCTGGGTCCTCAGCGGCGCCTACTGGAAGGTCAGCAAGGGCGACTACGAAACCGCGCATACCTTGCAAGTGGTACGTTTCCCTTTTTTTTTCCCTTTCTTTCTTCTTTCTTCTTCGGGACTCCCCGAACCCCCCGTTTTCGCAAACTCCAATGATCCCTCCGGGCAAGAGGGCAACAACTGAAATGAAATGGAATGGAATAAAATAATCAATCCTGAGCTGACAAAGAATGCCTAACAGACCGGCGGCGCTCTCTTGTTCATTGTCGGTTGCCTGGGTTGGTACATGTGTTTTGTCATGATGGCCGCGGAAATGCGCATGGCTATCAACCTCCCTGTCGGGGACCTTAGTCACTTCTGGCCGAGAACAGACCTGGAGATGGGCAAGGCCGAGAAAGAGGCGTAATCAAGATGGATGGAGCAAGGAAAGACGGGTGGCGGTGTGGAGATGGGCAAGGGTGAGAAAGAGGCATCAGAGGCATAATGAAGATGGATGGATCAACGAAGACGGGTGGCGGTGTGTGGAGATTGGTGCTCCTAAAGTGACGCAAGCTAAGCTTGACACCTTGAAGAAGTTTGACGAGCTTTCCATCGAGCAGAGAGCAGATAGCGACGGTCCAGAAAGTCAGGTGGAAACGAGAAGGGGTAATGCAATCCGAATGAGGGAGAGCAAGATGTGAATGGACAGTACAAAGTAATATGCTATCAACCTCCAGCTCCCCTGCCTGGACTAGCAAGTAATATGCTTTTATCTATTTTCCGTGCTTCAGTAACTCAATAATCTCTAACAACTATCGACTGCTCTATTCCATCAGGAAACACATTAATCTTCGGCCTCGCTCATACTGCACGTCGCATCACTTTGCTCCGACATCCTTCTCATCCGACATTACATTGAAAGAGTATTTGAATCAAGCTCGTGCTTTCATTCCTTATTATGTTTCCGCCCCTTGTCAGTGTCGTCGTCATAGCATCTCTTCGTAAAGCTCTGGCTCCAGCGGGTACCGCCGCTTGGCACTTCTTGGGTAGAATCAAGCCACCGCTTGCGTGACAAGCGCAATGATCACAGCAGAACTCTGGCATTCAGCTTTGGACACGTCGCAGTCGTAGTATTGAGTGGACGGGTAGGCGAGGCTGAACTTGGAGAATTTGGTAAGGACGTTGTACGGGTATTGGCCGACACTGCGCACATGGGGTTAGTTGTACGCTTCACCAATACATGCTATGCTCCCATGGATATTGACGAGGCCAGCGTCTCTTTGACTTTAATAGCAAGGGATGAGCGTACCTGTTATCAATGTATTGATGACTCAGTTGGAGAGACATGTTGTCAACACCATTCCACGACTGGACAAGCACACCGAAGGTGGAGTTGTCGCAAGTATTCGTCCATGTGGTGGGAGGTTGCTGGCCGACTGCCCATTCAACACAGCAATGTGTAGAGCCAACTTCGGGTGTGTCTTGGTCAAAGAAGTTGACTGGTCCTAGTTAGCAACGGTTCATGTTCCATGTGGAAACGGAGTAAGGCGGCTTACATTCGATGTAAGTGCTTGCTGTAGACTTGGGGTCTGCTTGGCAAGGGGATGAGACGGTTATGTCGCTAAGCTCGAAGTCGCCGGAGAATGCTGAAGTGAGAGACGAGAAGAAGAGGGCGATGGGGAGTAAAAGTGAGCTGAGGTAATGCATGATGTTGAGGTGAGGTGAGTTCAATACAAGATTGTGGCAGGCGCAAGAGAAGCTGTACAGATGGGAAATTGATAGAGTTGGACTGGTGTCTGGGGTCAGTAGTGGCAGTAAGTCTTAAGGATGAGATTGATAGCCAGAAGTTCCAGCTGTGAGCTGCTGGGACTTTATATCTGTCCTTTCGCCAAATCAGTTTGCTGTGCACTTGCTTGAGCCCAGCAATCATTCCACATGAGCTGCAAGCGTTGCAAATGCATGTTTTTCCCATTAGTGACGTTGCTAGACAAACATTCAAGGTGCGACCCGTGGCCAAGACGAAAAAGCCTCTTTGTTCGACATGGCATCGAACAATTTTCTTTCCAGAATACACCAAGACAAGGTTCAGCTGAGACACTGCGGTCGAGACATCAACAGATCTCAGATGATTCGCACGGACAAGGGAAGCAAGATCAAGACTGAGTGGTGTGCCCCTTACATACATTTGCATATGATGCCACCCCAGCCCACCGCTTATCTGGTCTGGCTGGAGGAACATGGGGATTGGAAGCCGTGCCAGGTGTTCGGAAGAATTCAAGAAGGCTGCCAGAAATAAACCAGTGTTACACGACGGGAGAAGGCAGAAGAGAGAGACAACATTTGCTGCCGGGACCAATACCAAGGCTTGGATTTTGGTGCTGGGTGTGATATTTGGCTTGTTTGGGCAGTTGAATGTTGCATCCGATGCATGGAATTCCAGGTCGATGACCTCAAAATTCGCAACAAGGCCATGGTGGAGTTGGTCGATTGCATGGCGTGACCGAAGCCCGAAAGAGCCCCCAGAAGGCTGAGTTCCCTGCATTGCTTGTGAGAGTATCGGAACAAGATCGCTTCTGGGTTTCCATGGAAGCTTTTTCTGCGTAGGACATGGCGGAGGTTGGAACAAAATGCACCAGTGGACTCCTGCCCAATAATCGCTGCGAGTGGCTGAAGTCCTGCCAGTGACTTCGTCAAGCGATTCCCAGCTGCCTTTGGGCATATTGCCAGGAGGTCTACACAGAGGAGTAAGGCCTATTAGCAGAAGCGAAGTGTGCTGTTCGACAGCCTTCCTGAGCCTCGAACGTTGAGATATGGCAGTCGCGATCCAGCCATGGTAACCAAGCGCAACGCCAGCGGTATGTCACTTGTGTGACAAATAAACGTGCGCCACGAACTTGAACATAGCGGCGGGAGTACAAAGTACGAAGACGGAAGCAAATGTCCACTCACAGCAGAGACAAACAGAAACCCGGAGCGATCAATTCAAGTGATGCCATGCATTTGCTCAAAGAAGCCCACTAACCATTGAACTTCCACGAGTATTTGTGATATTGTCGCACGAACTGAGAAACCCCAGCCATGCCATCTGTTTTTGTCCACTGCAGATTTTGCAATGCTCTGCCGAATGTCCTTGATCAACACCCAACCACCACCGCAAAAACACCACGTGACAGCAGTCGTTTAACCCTTCTTCTTGCTGACACCGACGGTACGACCTCTTCTGCCAGTAGTCTTGGAGTGTTGACCTCTGACACGGAGACCCCAGTAGTGTCGCAGACCACGGTGGGCTCGGATCTTCTTCAGACGCTCCAAATCCTCACGCAGCTTGCTTTCCATACTGTTGGCCAGCACCTGGTAGTTCTTGCCATCGACAATGTCGCGTTGTCTGTTGAGGAACCATTCGGGAATCTTGTATTGAGTAGGGTTTTGGATGATGGTGACAATTCGTTCGAGTTCTTCGGTAGTGATTTCACCGGCACTAGGAATTCCAATCAGCTATCTCTTTTGAACCCCCTTTAGGCCAAATAGTGTCCATACCGCTTGTTCAAGTCGACATCGGCTTTCTTGCAGACCAAGTTGGAGTAGCGGCGACCGACACCCTTGATCCGGGTCAGGGCGTACATGATCTTCTGTTTGCCATCGACGTTGGTGTTGAGAAGACGAAGGATGAACTGGACTGTACTGTATGTCAATACTCGCATCTTCAGGGTTCGGCTCCTTGGATCTTACAGTTCGACTTCTCTCCGCTGACGAGAGCTGTTCACAAAAGTTAGCGGTTGCCCTACAAATTCGTGACAAAGCGGTGGGCTCAGTGAAGAGCAATTTGCGCGCTGAACTCGGTATCGAGGACGAACTTACACATGATGGGCGAGTCTCTCTTTTGACGATGTTGACGAACAAAATGCGATGGGCGCAGTTTCTCTTCGAGTTTGGCTGCGAATGTCGAAAATTCAAAGTGCAGTCTTGGCGACAAAAATCGAGCTAAGACATGATAGGACTAGTGTTAGATAGATGCTCACGTGTCGGTTTCTTATCAGGACCACTCAGGGCTCGCACAATAATCGGCTGTCTGACGCTGAGTACAATCACTGCCCGATTTCTCTCTGGCAAGACAGTGAACCGCACGGCTCTTTCAGACCAAGTATGAGCGCATTGTGGTATCATGCGCTATAATATGAGCTTCTGGTCCCTCACAGACAGATTGTGTTACGGGGTTTCTTTTTCACATACTAGCATGTAGTGCAAATCGCCAGAATGGAACAGTCTGGCACCGTGCGTCAGACATTGGCAATATATGAAACCCGATGAGGTCAGTAATGGGGCTGGTCGTCCAGCAACCAAGACTCTCGCCAGGCTGCTTCGTTACGTTCCGAGTCGCTGTCTATCCCGTCCCATATCTCTGCTTATTACTCCGTACCCTTCATCGATAGCATCAGGGTAGCCTTCATCATGAAATCTCTTACCACTGCTCTTCTGGTGGGTGTTGCCTCCGCTGCCGTCGCTCCGGCCCAACAGCCGCTACAACTCCCCAAGTCCTTCCCTGCCGCAGCCAAGGATGCCTTCGACAACCAGCTCCATCATCTCAAGGATGCTCTCAAGGGCCTCACTGCTGAAGCGGCCGCCGTCTGGGACGACGTCGCAGCCCTCTACCCAGAAGACATGAGCAAAGCCAGCTTCTTCTCCCTGCCCAAGAAACACACCCGCCGTCCCGACCACGAATGGGACCATATCGTCCGAGGCGCCGACGTTCAGAAGGTCTGGGTTCAGAACGCAGATGGCGAACAAGAGCGACGGATTGACGGCCAGCTTGACACATATGATCTCCGAGTCAAGTCAGTCGATCCCAGCTCATTGGGCGTAGACACTGTCAAACAATATTCTGGCTACCTGGATGACAACGAGAATGACAAGCATCTATTCTACTGGTTCTTCGAGTCCAGAAATGATCCCAAGAACGACCCGGTCGTGCTATGGCTCAACGGCGGTCCTGGCTGCTCGTCTTTGACCGGTCTCTTTCTCGAGCTCGGTCCGTCACGCATCAACGAGAAGATCCAGCTCGTCTCGAACCCATACTCATGGAACGACAATGCCAGCGTCATCTTCTTGGATCAGCCCGTTAATGTTGGCTATTCCTACTCAAGCTCCAGTGTCTCCGACACCGTGGCTGCTGGCAAGGATGTCTACGCCCTGCTCACTCTCTTCTTCGAGCAGTTCCCCGAATATGCCCACCAAGATTTCCATATCGCCGGAGAGTCGTACGCTGGACACTACATCCCCGTCTTCGCAGCTGAAATCATGTCACACAAAAAGAAGAACATCAACCTCAAGTCACTCTTGATTGGCAACGGTCTCACCGATGGGTTGACTCAATACGAATACTACCGACCAATGGCCTGTGGCGAAGGTGGATGGCCTGCTGTCCTCGATGAGCAATCATGCCAGGCCATGGACAATGCTCTTCCTCGCTGCCTGTCCCTGATCCAGAACTGCTACGACAGCGAGAGTGTCTGGTCATGCGTCCCAGCCAGCATTTACTGTAACAACGCACTGCTAGCCCCCTACCAACGAACCGGCCAGAACGTCTACGACGTCCGCGGCAAGTGCAAGGACAGCAGCAACCTGTGCTACCCCGAACTCGGATGGATCAGCAAATGGCTCAACGACAAGACCGTCATGAAGGCCCTCGGCGTCGAAGTCGACGGCTACGATTCATGCAACTTCGATATCAACCGCAACTTCCTGTTCCAAGGCGACTGGATGAAGCCTTACCACCGTTTGGTGCCTGACTTGATCGAGAAGATGCCCGTCCTCATCTACGCTGGTGACGCCGACTTCATCTGCAACTGGCTCGGTAACAAGGCCTGGAGTGAGGCCTTGGAGTACCCCGATCACAAGAAGTTCGCTTCGGCCTCGATGAAGGATCTGCGCCTCGACGGCAACGGTCGCAAAATCGGAGAAGTCAAATCCCATGGCAATTTCACCTTCATGAGGCTCCATGCCGGTGGCCACATGGTGCCCCTCGACCAGCCCGAGGCAAGTTTGGAATTCTTCAACCGGTGGCTGGCGAAGGAATGGTTTTGAATAACCAGGCTGGCTGCAGCAAAGGTCTAGATTGCCGAGATGAGTTTACCCGCATGTTCTCGAGAGGACGTCTGTTTGTATAGTCCTTTTTTGTCCTTGATGGACGACAAGTTTCATAGAGTATCATATCCTATCTGACCATGAAGATACTCGCACGCTTATGAAGTGACTCGTCCCATCTTTTTCGCTCCATATGACGTGAGTATTCATTTTCGTGCTCAATGATGGCGTACTAATTTGAGTCAGGAGGATAGATACTCCGTACATACGTATTTACATATTTAATCCTTCCACGTAATGACCTTTGTCCTCACCCACTCGTCAAGGCCAGGTAGACCGTTAAACCGGCCGAAGCCAGACTTCTTCACACCTCCATGCGGGAGCGCCGCCTCATCATGCACCGTCATGTTGTTGATATGCACAGCACCACTTTCAATCTGCCTGGCGATTTTGAGTCCTCGTCTCAAATCCTCGGTGAAGACGGCACTGGAAAGGCCATAGTCGGTATCATTCGCGATGGCGATGGCCTCCTCGTCCGAATCGACCACGTACAAGCTCACCGTCGGCCCAAACGACTCGGTATGGTATATATCCATGTGCGGCTGGACGCCCTCGATGATGACGGGGCGCATCTTGGTCTTTGAAGGTTCGTGGTGATCTGGGTCTCCATAAACCGGCTTGGCGCCTTTACTCACTGCATCCGCGAGCAGTTTCTTGTTCTTTTCGACCGGCGCGGCCGTGACGAGCTGTGGCACCCCCATGCCCTGCTCGCCGAACACCTGGTCCATTGTGCCCTTGAGCGCAGCCTTGAACTCATCTGCGATTTTCGCGTTGACCATGATCCGCTCGGTCGCCATGCAGATCTGTCCGGCATGCAAGAACGCGCCCAGTGCGCACTTCAGAGCGGCGGTCTGAATGTTTGCATCTTCACAGACGATGCTGGGCGCTTTGCCGCCGAGTTCCATGACGCACGGCTTGAGGAGTTTGCCGGCCTGGCTGGCGACGATGGACCCAACGGCCGTGGAGCCGGTGAAGTTGATCTTCTTTATCGCCGGGTGCGAGATCAGCGCCGAGGTAACTTTCGCCGCATCAGGACCGGGGCGGTGGTAGATCGTGTTCAGACAGCCTGCTGGAAGGCCGGCATTGTGGAAGATCGACGCGAGAGCCCAGTAAGTCGCTGGTGCGGCTTCAGGGCCCTTGAGCACGACGGTGTTGCCCCTGGTTTTGTTAGTGTCCGGTCACAGTTGGGGTGATGTGTAGGGGACGTACATAGCCAACGGCTGCAGGAAGGCGCGCAGGCCGAGCACATTCGGGGCGTTCCAGGGCGCAATACCCAGGACGACGCCGAATGGCTCCTTGAGGACCATGGCGCTGGCCCCTTCCTCGGCGACCACGGGCATTGAGGATGTGCTGGCCGGCTGGATAAGGCCTGCGACACTCAGACAGGCCTCGTAGGCTAGGTTGTGCTCGAATGCGAACATGGACTCGGCTGCGCCAGTCTCGGTGGAACAATAGTGTTTTTGTTCGTCCTTCCTCTTTTTGAACTCTTCTGCCGCTCGGAGGAAAATGTCTCGCCGAAAGCTGGGTTTGGTCTGCGACCATGACTTGAATGCTTTTTCTGCTGCTGCGACGGCTTTCAGAGCGTCCTCTTCGACTGCCGCGGAGCATTTGTAGAGGGTCTTGTGGTCAACGGGGGAAACCACGTCAAATGTGGAAGAGAGCTTGACTTCCTTGCCGTCGAGCCATAATGGAATAGTAGAGGAGGAATCGAAGGCCGGTGAAGAGGATTTATTACCGTTGGCACCGTTGGAAGCCATAGTGACGGAAGATGTATTGCTTCGATAGGATTGAGACTGCAGCCGTGAGATTGAGGTTGCTCTATCTCGTTCTGTTTAATACTTGAGCACTGGAAAGGGCGGGGAGAAGCGTGCCCCGGCAAGTGGACAAGGCAATAAAATAAATCGAGGCGCACCACTTCGGAGAACGCACCTGGAAGACGTCCAGGAGCGCAACCCGAAGCTGAAGATCTGATGGTTGGTGGATGCGGGGCCATTGGGCGGCATTGTGCTGCCCACTGCGCCCACTGCCCTGGCAAGATTGCGGGGACGATTGTGCCTGCGCACACCCGACATCCCCGCCACTCTTCAATCCGAGCCCGTACAGTAACTAGTACCGGTAGTACTCCGTACTGTGTATACCTCTGCCTGGCCACATACACATTGGTTGTTCGGTATGAAAAACAAGACCTCATCAAGCTCATCGTATACTACCGGATTCCGTGCAATATCACCGAGGCATTGCGCTTGTATCTTCACTGTGCAGAGTCCGTGTTCAACGTGCACACAGTATTCATGTCGCCTCGATGCTCCGCTCACATACCTATCGGGTACTTAACTTAGTTATCCCCCACTACTGGAGGTTCATCTCATCAGCAGGATCTCGTGTCAGCACCCGTAAGAGTTAGAGAATTCGAGCTCGGGCTTGTCAATAGCTTTTAGTCTGCGCAATCTTGTGAGAAGCAGTTTTTGATACCGGGAGACAACAAGGGGATATGCAGTCACAAGCGGCAGACGACACGGTCCTGCGCAGAGGCTCGAGAGTTGCAGGTCAGGCTAAAAGTGGGCGATTCAGGGGAGCCAGAGCCCACGTTTTGATGCCCACCAGTCCAAGAGATCGGGTCTGGTACCTATGCAATATGTGCTCGCTTGAGTTGGACGGTCCAATTCTGGCCCGATAAAACGTGCTGGCTGTTGGCTTCTGTTGGCTTTGGCCGCCATCATGCCGCTGAACATCGGTCATTTTCTCACCACTGCTGAGCTCGGTTCACGTTGCGAAGCTCTCCGAGGCTCAATCAGCTTTTGAAGATGTTCTCGAGCCTATAAGCTTCTGCAAAGGAGCCTAGATCCAAGACCAGACCGTTCCCAGTCTCATCTTCGCTTCTTCAGATTCACCCACCTTTTCGAGTCCCTTTTGTCTTCGATTGTCTAGTTTTTGCCCTCTTGCTCACGAGCATCAGGATTCTCGGTAGGGATTTGTTCGAGGCATGTGCGATCGATTGGATGATAACGGGAGACTCGTGAAAATTCTTTTCTGCTCGTTGCATCGTCATCAACAGGCATAATATCACAGTCAGCCAGATCTTGCGTGTTCACAGGTCAGACCACGTTCGCATAATCTCGCACGTCGCCGTCGGTTCTGGCCACCAAAAATCTGCTGGCTTTGAGCCCATTTCCGGCTTGAGCGGATGCCCGCTTCTCAAATGTCTCGACGCGTGATTCAACATTTCGTTTTGGCACCTGGACACCAAGCTGAGAAATCATCATCGTATGATAGTCTTCGCCTGGGCCAGTTGCCGTTGACATGTCTCAATGTCGACGCGTCGAGAAGGGTGAGGCTGGTCGGCGCGTGTCTTATCAGCGCAAGTCGCCGAAGAGCAATCGTAGAGGAAATGTGTCTGGTAGAGAGACGCATCTGGGCCACGATAGTCGTCGACCTGGGGAGTTTTCATCCAGATTTAGAGGATATCATCGCCCCGGGCTTGAGGGACAATTCTCTCGTTGTCCCCCACTGTCATGCCACTCTGTAAACAAAAAACAAAAACCAAGATCATCGCCAATGATGGCATTTAGCGGGGAAAGGATGTACTGATCCCTGCTCAATACGAGAATCAAGCTGTTCTGGCTGTACAACGATCCCCGCATCGCCCTGCCCTGTGGCCCTTTGTAGAGAAGCCTTTCGTCCCTTTGGCCCATTATTATTGGTAGACTTCCACTGACCATCCTCTGGTCCATTCTGAAAGTCTTGATCCGTCGGCTCCCAAGAGGTTGATGTGCGGCACAGTCGTTCGGCTGGCCTCGAGTCGGGTTCCGAGCACCGAGATGGATGGATCTTGCGGCGTGGTCCGAGTCGTTCACGGTCGTCCTGAAGCTCATGACCAGCTTCCATCCTGCCCCGGTTTTTCCTGGGTGTTGGTGTTATTGCCTCGTAAGATGGGCTCTGGGCAAATGTACCCCTCCAAAACATACTTCCCTTTGCTCCATTCTGTTGCAACTTCATCCTGGTACAGTACAATGCTGGGACAAGAGCTGGAGAAGTGCGTGACCTAGCTGCGTCCATTCGTCCTGTTCCAGTCCCCGATGCCCATGAAACCCGTTCGTCCACGGCTGAATCCCGGGCCCATTCACTACCTCAAAGGTTATCTATCCAAGTAAAGAAAGGTCTCCTTATACCCGTCATGAGATGTGACATTGAAACCATCCGTGCAGCTCAACTGATTGGCTTGCCCTGACCACCCACGGTCCACTGGATACCCTTCCACGTCCCCAAGACTCAATGGACACTGGGCATGGTGAGGGCTCGTCCATTGAGGGGTTTCCGCTCATCCTGAGGCCTCAGTCTCTTGCAAGCCGTGGGTCAAACGGATCATGAGAGGGGTTCTAGTCCTTCACTGCCCGTCTACATAAGGACAGATATTTGCCCGCCGTTGCTGCTCACATCATCATCCTCCCCCAGGCCCACCTTCAAAAGAACAATCTACCTTGACACTCACTTCCTTTGTTAGACTTCCCATTTGAACACACATACAAACACTCTCTCAGACCGAAACTCCATCATGTCTGCCCCCAAGATCCCCACCGAGCAATGGGCTCAGGTCATCGAAAAGACCGGCGGTCCTCTGCAATACAAGAAGATCCCAGTCGCCAAACCGGGTCCCGAGGAAGTCCTCGTCAACATCAAATACTCTGGCGTCTGCCACACCGATCTCCACGCAGTCAACGGCGACTGGCCCATCCCCACCAAGCTACCGCTCGTCGGTGGCCACGAGGGTGCCGGTATCGTCGTGGCTCGTGGTGAGCTCGTCACCGACGAAATCTGCAAGATCGGCGCGGCCGTTGGTGTCAAGTGGCTCAACGACTCCTGCCTGTCCTGCACATTCTGCCAGCAATCCGACGAACCCCTCTGCCTCACCCCCAAGCTGTCCGGCTACACCGTCGACGGTTCCTTTCAGCAATACTGCATCGCCTCCGCACGGCACGTGGCCCACATCCCCGAAGGTGTTCCTCTCGACGAGATCTCCCCGGTCCTCTGCGCCGGTATCACCGTCTACAAGGGATTGAAAGAGTCGGGGGCCCGACCAGGCCAGACAGTCGCCATCGTCGGTGCCGGTGGCGGGTTGGGCTCGCTTGCACAACAATACGCCAAAGCTATGGGCCTGCACACCATTGCCATCGATACTGGCGATGACAAGAAGGAGCTCTGCAAACAGATGGGATCCAACGTGAGTTATCTGCCCCACGAGTAAGAGAGAGAAAGACCGCATTATACTGATTACCACTTTTTAAACCAACCAGACTTTCATCGACTTCGCCAAGTCCAGCGACGTGATCAAGGATGTCAAGGCCGCCACCAAGGATGGTCTTGGCCCTCACGCCGTCATCCTCGTCGCTGTCAGCGAGAAGCCGTTCCAGCAAGCCGCCGAATACGTCCGCCCCCGAGGCACCGTCGTTGTCATCGGTCTGCCCGCCAAGGCCTACATCAGAGCACCAGTCTTCGAGTCGGTGTTGAAGATGATCAGAATCCAAGCCTCATATGTCGGCAATAGACAAGACAGCGAGGAGGCTTTGGACTTCTTCGCCCGTGGCCTGATCAAGGTGCCTTTCAAGACGGTCGAGTTGAAGGATCTTCCCAAGGTGTACGAAATGATGCACGCAGGCCAGATCGCTGGACGATATGTGCTGAAGATGCCAGACGCGGAGTAAATTGTTGCTTGAGAGACAACCCGCAGCAGCGAGGGAAGTCGGAGGAGTTTGTCTTTGAAGGTAGATGAAAAGTATCATGACCCGGGCTCGAGATGATGGGGTCCAAACGGACCGGAATGGAAACGACTTGCGTAGCAATGTATAGCTAAATCCAGATTTATGACAAACACGAAGTAATGATCTTCCTTGGTCGATCCTGGGTAAAGGATCTCGGAGCTCGGTTAGTGGCACCGATGAAAAAGGCCTAGTTAGTACTCCGTATGATGTATCTCGCCGACAGGGACGGCAGTTCGTTACCCCCTAAAAAACAGAAGCGAGAACGAAGAAGTCCGGACGATCATCCGGAAATGGTGGACATAGACCACCTACGTCAGTCCAGGAGATGTCTGTTGATGCAAGCATGGGGGGATCTTATTGACTGTGACAAGTATGTTACCTCTTGGTGCCCGGCTTCTTGCCTTTGCTCAAGCTGGCCGGATAATGAACATAAGCCAGTGAGTGAGTTGTGGACGAGCAAGGCCAGCACGGACGATGCACCAAGCTCCCATGGACATCATTGACCACCTCTGCTTCTTCTTCTTCATCATCCTCCCATCTCCTCTCCATTCTCCTTGTCGTCTTCTGCTGATCTCTTGCCTCGACCATTCTGACCTCATGCTTGGTGTTGACGTGGGCGCCGAGCATAGTTCTGCCGGTCCAAGCATGTGCCTCAGACACCATCAAGCTTCTCTCCCCTAGAATGTGCTCATTCAGTCACTGAACCTGCACCAACATGGCCACTCACCGGCACTCACCTCGCTCTCTCAGAGCGCTCCCATTCCGCGTTTCCATCGGTATACTCTCGTCTCGCATCTTCTGCCTATGCCACCCTCTCCGCAAAGCGACGCAGGTCCGAGTCACTTCTCAACCAAGGGCATCTTGACGTTATCTGACTCGTATCGGACGGTTCATCTTCTCTTGTTGTCCTTGGCATTTGCCCTGTCTGATGGAGACTCGGGCCGACGTTTTATTGTCATGTGTTCATTGCCTTGCGCGGAAGAAGGATTTCTCCTCGTCTCCTCCGACACATGCAACCCCATTCTCTTCCTTCCGTCCCACCAGCAGTCCAGACTTTGCTCATCTCCGTCTCTTCTCAACAACAACAGTCCTCCTTCTCTCATCACCGCCACTTCTTCCCTTGGCGGCTGGGGCTGCTGCTGCTGCTCTCTTTTCCGCCTCAGCTCGTGCACGAGCCTTTCGGTACCTCTCATCTTCACTTGACTCCGCTTCACTGCCCGTCGAAGACTCGCATTCAGATGAGCTGGAACTCCAGGCTCCACAGCGTTTGCCTCCGCAATCAAGTTTCACACGCTGACCAGACCGCGTGACCCCATACCGTTCACAACGACAGCTGCGGTCGCTGACACTGGACATGCTGGATGGAGACGACCGCGAGAACGCAGTGCCGCTGGAAGAGCTATCATCCGAAAGCTCAGATGGCGACGCCGAGCTGGGATCGGCGATGCGGTATCCGGCAAAGCGTTCCTCGAGATCATCCACCGGCGAATCGTCGTAATCGGCTTCACGCAATGGACGAGATGCGTAAGGTTTGCTTGGCTTGGGGTGTTGTATCTTCCCTGGACTCAAAGCCCGACCCTGGGGAACGTCCCGGCTGTGACGATTGCCTGGGAGATTGGTGGTGGTCACGGAGGGTCGTTGAGCTTTGGCGCTATCCTTGTCTTTGTCACCAGAAGGCACATCGATGACATTGAGCTTCCGACCTGTAGTTTTTTCCGTGACGAATTCCTTGGCTGGATCGTGAGACACATGGTATCCGTCCACGACATAGTAATACCAATAGCGTGAGCCGAGTTTGAGGGCATTGGCCCCTTGGAAGCGGAATGTCCCTTTCCAGGATCCTGGTTTCGCGGAAGCGTCCTTGACCAGCGACAGAGGAAGCTGGGATTTGTAATTGTCCCACGAACCGAGAAGGTGGACAGTACGGACATTGGGAGAAGTGCGGAGAGTAAAAGAGAGCTGAACTGCTGGTGGCGACATGTTGGCTTGCCTTGCAAGATTGCCTGATTGAAGTGGTTCAATATTATGTAATGCCTGGCATAGTCATGTTAGCAGGCTGACTAGGGGAAGGCAATAGTGAGGTTGGATCATACAAATAGATAGGAAAGTCTCTGTCGTATGGACTTCTGATTCGTGACAATGCGTAAGATGTTTCGTTAGCGTGCTGAAGAGCTGTACTCGTGGCTTCGTGGTCCAGATTATATATACCAATGGCAATGATGCTGCAAATGCTTCGTGACAATTAACTAAATATTAGGTTGATTATGGTCGATAAGGGCTGATCAAGCAACAAGTTCGATATCCACGTGTGAGGTGATTGCCGGATGGGCAGTAAGGTCTGATATCGGCAGAGCTTCCCCGACAGATATGTCAAGGTGATGTTGAGGATATCTAGGAAGGTTTGAGAAAGATGCTTCTGAGTTAGTGTTGATCGGATTGACCGGCAATCGTGTCAACACAACGTGGTATGGTAATGAGACAATGATGCTTGATGCCAAAGCGAAGAAGGCTCGAGGGTTGATGTAGTGTCTGAATCGTTTTGAGCGTAACAGCCCTGTTGGTATGATGATACCTGATCGGGTTGGGCTACGCTGCAGCAACGTGCGGCACAGCGTTCTTGCAGGGATGGCTGACAACCGAGTTAAACACTACTCTCCAGGAGCAATGCTGATGCTTCTTTCGCTTGATTGGGCCCAATCGACCGAGGATGTCGAAGAAAAGTAAACAGGGCGCAGAATAATGTCGACAACAACCCAATGATGCTTGAAATAGAAACAAGTTGTTGGAGCGGCACAGCAAGGATTGGTGTGCGGCAGGTGTATTAACCGTAAGAGCTATTATCGGGAAGAATAACCGTTGACCAGCAACGATGATGGTTCTCTTGAAAGATATTGATGAAAAAGACCTTTTGCTGTCCGAGAACAAAGGCTGCAAAGAGTGGTGTTGGCGTGAAGAACAGTAGCAAGAAGAGCACAGCTCGTAAATGCTACCCGTCCTTTGATATGAACAGAATTAGGCAGTTTCTTCGGATTCAGATCAATAGTGTACCAGACACTATTCTTTGCAGAGTGATTAGAGTCGTAAACAGAAAAACTTTTCAAGAATAGCTCTTGCTACCGCACAACCAAATTGACAAGGCTTGCTTGCGTGAAGAAAGAGAAGCATCAAAAGGCGCAAAGGCGAGTTGGGGATGGCAATATTTAGAGACGGCAGCAGGTGGAGAGGCATTTGACCATCCGGCCGCATATCGACCGAGCATCGGGTTGGCCACATGGAGAGAGTGTGTAGCTGGGATGCAGAGGAGGATGAGGATGCAACGAGATAGGCCAGTGAGATGGATGGCAGGACTCAGCCGGGCGCGTAGAGAAGAGACGCCCTTGCAGACTGTGGAGAAGATAAATGGCATTGTCTGACAAGGTTTATTTTCGTCTTACAGACACGAATAGAGCACAATCTCACCTGGAACCCACGAACCGCACGACAGAGGCACTGTCTGTCAGAGCATGCCTCGGTCAGACGGTGCCAATTTGAGGCCCCGAAAATCACTTACTTAAATCGAGATGGAAGGAATCGAGACTGGGCGCTTAAGCAGACAATGATTGGTGTGATGAAGAAGCACCCTGGTCGTCAATGACTTGCATGATGCCCAATCATTGTCAAACCTATGAATAGAGCAACACATCGTGTCTCCGTCGCCAGGTTGTTGACCAACCCACTCTCAAACCGTGTTATCAAGCGCTTTTGGCCAGAGTGATGGACAACGCAGACACTGCAGTAGATATACACACTATTGAATCGGCGCGTCTGGATGCAATATCAACATATGCCAACAATGCAAAAGAGGTAAACGAGCACATGATGGTAGAGCATACAGAGAGTGATTCCTGCGGAAACAAAGTCTGTGAGGGACGTCGGTGACCACACACTGTTGAGCGCCATGTGTGTTGGTATCCAGTCGCACTCGATGCCAATGGGGATGCTTGACGCTCGAGATGCAGGATTCATGCCTTCCTTTCACCTCATCATAACTTCGGCGTATCCGTCAAATTCTCATATCCGTCCTGCGTGATATGCACGTCGTCCTCAATTCTGACACCTCCCACCGTCCAATACCTGTCGAGCACTTCCCTGTCGATATACTTGCTCAATTGGGGATCTTCCAGAACAGGATCCAGGATGAACTTGCAGAAATATATGCCTGGCTCAACAGTAATGACAGCACCGGCAGGAACCTCGCCCCGCACACGTAGATATTTGAACATGGTGTCCGGATCATCGTAATCCGCATGGCCGCCTGTATCATGTGTGTCCATGCCTAGGTAGTGGCCCAGACCATGTGGGAAGAAGGCCACGCTGACGCGTTTCTCAAAGATTTCCTGCTCATCGCCGACCAGAATCCCAGCTTTCTTCAAGCCTCGGATCGCTACCCAGTGGGCGTTCTCGTGGACATCTTCCCACCTTATGTTCGCACGCAGCATCTTGAAGCATGATTGCTGCATCTCGTCGACAATGTCATAGATGGTCTTTGACTCGTGGGTGAAGGTGCCCGTGATGGGGAATGTTCGGGTAATATCGGCGCAATAACATTCGTATTCTGCGCCAGCGTCAAGTAAGATGTTCAGGCGCTCTCGGAGGGGCTGATCGTTGCGCACGTAGTGTAATGTGGAACAGCTGGTGCCGGAGGCGCAGATAGAATGATAGGCTTGCTCGTGCGCCCCATGCGAGATGCAGGTTCCGACGAAAGCACCGTAGAGTTCTTGCTCGTTTGTGGCCTTTTGTACCACTTTGGCAGCCTCGATGTGTGCTAGGGTGGAGATTTCGTTGGCTTTTCTGATCAGGGCAACTTCATAACTGTCCTTGACGACGCGACATTCGTCGATTGCATCCCTTAGACATGAGAATTGAGTCGCCGCGAATGGAAGGAATGTGATGTGCTCGGAGACTTGTTCGGGGATTGCGTAGACCGTCGTCGAGCCTGAAGGACCATATGCTGCCGACGCGGCATTGACTTCGTCCGAGTATAGGACATGGTCAACGTCGTATTTCCTGTATGCCTCCTCTTTAGACTCTGGCAGTCCTGCCCATATGACACTGTCCGGGTCGATTGGAGGGATGAATAGGGTTAACTGGTCTTGCGGAATGTTGTATGTGAGATAGGCATCTGGTAATTTGCAGCCGGAGAGGTAAAAGAAGTATCTTCGTTGCCGGAAGTGCATGGCCTGGTCGTCGTCCTCAACCATTCGGGTCTTCTGGGCTTCCAGGTAGATGACTCCATCGTGTGGGAAGCCTGCGTCGGTGAGATATTTGGCGACCCGGCGACAGTGAGCTTTGGCCGGATATTTGGCCTTGAGCGTTACATCGGTGACAGACATGGTTGTTTGTCGAGCTCAGAATGATCCGGGAGGAAGGACTTGCATTGTCGAGAAAAGCGCTTTCGGTCAGAATCTCTGTAGATTGTCATACCATGCTACATGTAATTCCACACTTTGCCCGCATACGGAGGACGGTCTGTCTTATCGGTAGGTGCCTGGCTGGGTGCGGTGGTACGGCTATCATCAGCCCCATAGCATAATTTCCCCGGCCACCTTCATTCCTTCCACCATCTCTACGCAGCAAAATCTCTTCGCAGCAAAACACCAAAAGATCTCTAGGATGCATCAGGATCTGGACGCGTCAAGATGTGAGGTTCTTTCTACTGTTCCCAATCAGGATGCCCTACACTCCTCCGTGTTGTCCATGAACCCCGACTGCACACTACAGATGGCTCGATAGTTGTCCTCATCATCTGACAACAATACCAGCCTGCTGGAACAGTACGGTAAGCATGCTGTGACACGTTCTCTGACCCGAGACCATCGTATCCTCCTTCCTCCAACACGAACCCTCCCAGCGCGTGTGACCTCCTTTGCGCGAGATGATAGAGCCCGAATTGCCAAATTGGGCGTTGGGCGGGATGGCACCGGGAAGCTCGGGGAGTTCTCACACAGCGAAGATAAATGTCTCATTTCAACTCACCGACACCAAGACTTGACCTCAACATACGAGCTACTTCTTGTCGAGAATGGCAGCAAGTTCCAAGAACGGCAGAAGTGTCCGAAGACTGCAAGTTTCCATCGAGCATTTGTACAGGGGTTACTCGGGCTCCAGCCTCCAAAGCCCGATCTCAGCTTTGCGTACTCGGCGATCCCTAGGCAGTCGGCCATTCAGTAATCTGGTGGCCAAGGAGGCGAGTTCGAGGTGAATATCAACATACCAGACCCAACATAGTTTTTTTCTAAGTCTGCTCACAGGTCCCAGCGACATCCTGCCCACTTGCTCAAAGTGAACACACCACACAGACGTCCAGCGAGTACCGTTCGGCATATCACTATGGAGCCAAAGGTACATACTTTGTTTGAACCCGTCACAGGCACGTGGCAGTATGTGGTTGCCGATGAGACGACAAAGGAGGCCGTGATCATCGACCCAGTACTCGACTATGACAAAGCAACTGGTAAAATCGCCACGCAGTCGGCCGATAAGATCTTGGATCTGGTTGCACAATGTGGCTACACAGTTTCACGAATCCTCGAGACACATGCCCACGCTGACCATCTGACTGCTTCGCGTTATCTACAGAATGTGCTTGCAGAACGACAGCCTGATTCTGCTCGGCCACAGGTCTGCATTGGAGAACGGATTCGGATGGTTCAAGAGACAATATCCAAGATGTACAACATCCCCAAGTCGGACCTTGAAGCCGCATTCGATTGCACATTCGCAGACGATGATACCTTCCCTATCGGTACCATCGAAGCCAAGGTCATCCATCTACCTGGACATACCCCTGACCATATAGGATACATCATCGGCTCCAATGTTTTTACGGGAGATTCCATCTTCAACCCTGATGTCGGGTCTGCTCGGTGCGACTTCCCCGGCGGGTCAGCTATGCAACTCTACCACTCAATGCAGAAGCTCCTTTCATTTCCAGAACACTACAGGCTCTACACTGGCCACGATTACCCGCCTGATAGCCGGGATCTTCCTGCCGATCAGTATGTGGATGGGAAGAAAGCAGTGCCATTCACGACGGTCGAAACGCAACGGCGCGAAAACAAGCACGTCAGAATGGGAACTGATATGAAGGATTTTGTTCAGTGGAGATCGGAGAGGGACAGCAGCCTTAGTGAACCCATGTTACTTGCGCCCTCCCTACAAGTCAATGTCCGCGGCGGCAGGTTACCAGCGAAAGACTCGGAGCTGATGAAGATTGTCGATGTTCCAGCAGGTGTGGCCAGAGTGGTGAAGGTTTGAATGCTTACAAATGTCTTCTTGGACCGGCTGTGAAGGCCCGATTTGGCTGAGGGGAAATGTCTATCCAATTCTTATGCTACTGCTACTAGCACCTAATGTGTACTCCCTGAAGTGTGTTGTGACCTGGGACTACCACGACTAAGTTCTTGCCTTACTTACCGTAATCCATCACGTGACCATTAAGATCCCAAGCACCGTGATTATCAACATCGGGTCTCTAATTGGGCAATAGTCATTCCGCTTTGGGAATGCGGGGAAATGCTTGGCTACGTCATTGATTGACAAGGCTGATTGTTTCATTGCTCAGCCAATAGTTGCGACTAGGTCCAGGAACCTGGCTGCCACCTGACACGCCCTCAACGCCTGTGCTCTTCACGCTCTTCTTCTTCCAGCATCTTCGGGCTCGCCTACTGGTGTACAAACTACTCTTGACCTCTTCATCTGCACCTCAAGCCTTAAAGCGACGTCGCATTACCACTTCTAAATCTCCTGATCGTTTGCTCCAGACATATCACCATCATGGCTGAAGTCTGCCCTATCGTTGGTACGACCAACACTGTCCTCCCACCTAAACATCCCGATTTCGACGCCAACCAGCCTGGTCTCGTCTGCCCAGTTACGAAGGCCACGACCGATCACCATCACAACCTCCACAAGCACCCTGGCATCTTCGATACCACAGGAGACCTCTCGAATGCTGAGGCTTGCCCTGCACTATCAAAGATCGTCTCACGCCCCGAACAGCAGGCTATGGACGAGGCCATTTGTCCCGTGGTTGGCAGCGTCTCCAGCGTACTACCTCCCAACCATCCTTCTACTACAAATGCCAAGGAGGGCGATGTCTGCCCCGTAACGAATGCTACTCTGGGCCATCATAAAGGAAAAGTGCAAGAACATCCAAGTCTTCAAACTGCCTCAAAGGACGCAGTCTGCCCTGTGGTACACAAGCATGTTGGGGAGTGAGCCTATAATGGGTGGATTTGCAGTAGCGGGTCTAGGTTGGACGATCCATCCTCATCCTGCGAATGGGACATCATGCATAAGTATCCCTTCATTGGCGTTGGCGATGCTGGGAGGTAAGAAGGCGCGATGCAGATACCCGCGGTTGTGAGCTGATGAGGGTGCATCGATCTTTGCGAGTCTATAGTTAGGCAATTACACACAAGTATAAACATTCCGGCCCTTCCCAATTGTAAGGATCTGACCGTTCCTACAAACCATCAGCGCTCGTGGTATATTTTGGAAAAACGTTGTCCCGTGTCTTGCTCAACCCCGAACTCTTCATTTCTTCAATTCTTCCACTCTTCCTGACCAGGTATCACCTTTTTTTGCCTCGACTCGGCGCCTCATGCCTCAAGCAGAGTGCCTGGCCGGCTGTGTCTTCTTTGGGACCATGATGGCCCTTATTCTAGCCCCTTTATGGCCGCCCAAACAGGGATTGGCTCAACTGAGTTCAAATCTACGAGATGCAAGAATATCTACCTTACGAAGAGAGTCCAGTATGATACGGTACGTAACAGCTTACGGGCAGTGCAGTACCTTACCTACCTGACTCAGCAGTGACTTAGCAAGCGCCCGGCGCTGTTCTCGAACCAAATACTCCGGACTATGGTAAGTTAGTTCATTCGCGATGGGGTCGATCCAGACCCCGGTACTAACCTGTTACGTAGAATTTGGGTGGCTCGGCGGATCAACACTGCAATACGGATACTACGTATACTAATTCTAATATAGACGTCAAAAGCTTATCAGGCGGCTACGAGTACTACCTGACATACTTTCTATGAGGCGTGACATCGGCATTGAAGGACTAAGAAGGACCCAGATCTTAATCCGAGCCAGAATCGCCCCCTCCCCGCTCGGATACAGGTCCCCAATGTAGGCATTTCAGGGACCGTCACTCACGCTGTCCCTGTTGAAGGCTGGACGCTTGTATTCTCGTTGTTCAGGGTGGTGGTCCAGGACAGGGGCTATGTATAGCAGTGAACCTGCAGCGCCGAAGGGCGAAACATGTCGAGGCTGGTGGATGTGACTCCTCTAGCAGCGCTGGACAAGTTCGAGTTTGCAGGCACAAAAGCAACCCCGGGGCCTTAACTCATTTGTTGCCGCCCTGTTCTGTTGCATCAAGAATCTACTGCATTGGGGCTCGTTGTCTCTCTCTCTTTCACCCCTATCCAAAGACGAATCTTGTTCCGGTCCGAGCACGAACGCTCTTTACTTGATTATCAGCAGCATTCACCTTATCTTTATCCTCATCTTCATCTTCGTCTCATCTCATTACCACTACCGTGGGCAAACCCCCGTGCTTTGCTCCTAAGGAGTTAGAAAACCATGTTCTCCGAGCACGACATCAACCTAGAGGCGGTCCGCATCGCCCTCCGCATCCAAGACGCACACGATGATTACGAGCAGGCGCATTCCATGCAAGGTCAGTACTACTACACCGCAGTGTCACACGCAGTCACACACACACAACCACCCAGATCCAGATCCAGTCCAACGCACACGCCCCATGACTTTTATCACAACCGAGGCTCGAACAAAGACAAGATCCTGACGCTCTAACCAAAATCCAAAACAAAGCAGGCTCTGATAGAGAGGCCAACTCGGCTCTATATGCTGCGACGAACCAATTGGCCCGACTTCTGCACCAGATGCATCAGGTTCAGCCTGAAAATCCCGGTTTGATGAGGATGTTGGACGATTTTGGACACGCGGAGAAGGGCACGTTCATGGGGCATGCGGAGGACTGGGAGGGCGGCGAGTGTATGCGGAGGATGCATAGATATGCGCATTACCATCCTCCGCCTGAGAGTGATCAAGGAGATGAGGGTGGTTGTGGTGAGGATGGGAACGACGACGATGACGGAGAGGGACAGGGACAAGAAGAAGACGGTGGTGGTGGATAGGGTGTTGGCTATGATGATGACGATGGGAATAATAATAACATGGGCTACGAAGAAGGAGAAGGTTACGAGAATGGTCAAGAGGACGGTAATGACTATGATCCCGACAACGACCATGGCTATGATCCCGATTATCCATCCCACGGATACGGCGGTCAAGGACATGACATGCCTGGAGCCGACGGATATGGAGGCCATGGTGGTGAAGGGCAATATGACGACGGTAGCGGCACTGGCACTGGCTTTGGTTATGATCACGGCGGCCTCGGGCACGGTCACCATCACGGTCAGGATCAGGATCAGTACCAGTACCAGCCAGATGATGGGCATTATTCGCAACACCAAATGTACGGGTGATCCATCGAGCAGAGGTGAAGGGTATTTTAGGTAGGGTAAGAAGCGCTAGGAAGCTTCCGGTTTCGACGACGCGGTGGATGGCGTGACGCATACTTTGACAGTGTTGTTGTACGTAGAGCACAAAGATGGATGGATGGACACTTTGGAGGTTTCGGTCGCATCTATTTTGTCACTTGATCCCGACTGACTTGTACTGTCATTAATGTCTACCGGGCCAGGTCCAACTCAGGTAGATGTTATACAATTGATCATGCAGTTGGCCCTTGGTGAAAGCTTCATGCTGCCAATTAAAGCTGGATGGGAAATTGAGGAAGCATCTTGCTATTTAACCGCGGAGGAGACAAGTCCAAATCTGATCTGAATGCTGTGCGCTCATGGGTGGAGATCCGAACGTGGCATCTACTGAGCCCCGGAGTCAAGTCAACGGGATTTTCTAGCTCCTATAGGGGCCAGAAACGGGTTGGAAGGATTTTGTGTGAGGTTGTACGAGCTTGTAAAGTATCAGATACGAGTTTCATCTACATAGACAAGGTCATCCCCAATACTCCTCCGACGCCGTCAACTGCGGTATCTTTGTCTTCGAAATCCTTAATGGTGCAATTGAGTAGGCGCGTGCGAATCCTCATGGGGCACATTTGGTCCGATGGTTGTGATGTTATCATCCTGTTCGGGATCCTGACCAATTGTCCTTCCCTGACCAGCGAAGCCAGTCAAAGGTCCCTGGCCCTCCCTCGACTCATCCTGCGATGTCAATGCACTAACGGGCTTCAGCCCGTCGTTCCCATCTCCATTCGGTCCTGCCCATTCTCTAACAGTGTGTCTGCTTTGTTTTGTAGTCCAGACATATCCCCCTTGTTGGCTGGCTTGAGCCTCCGGTGGATTGAAGATGGGTGTCAGAAGCTGTTGTATTCCTTCCTCACTGAGCAGAGTGTATTCCTCCCACATTCGAGCCATGCGGGAGATAGTATGTATCGGAAGTGGTTCTCTGAATTTGCGACCGCCCAAGGCGCCATAAGTTGTTGCCGAGTATGAGTTTTGGAGCTCCTGTCTTTCGCCGATCTTGACGTCGGTGAAGGCGCGGATCGTTCCAGGATCGAGACGAAACCCAGCAGCTTGCAACTCTTGAGTCATGAATAAGAAGGTGTTTTGCGAGATGTTCAAACTCTGAGTGGAGCCACCACCGATGTTACCGTGATCTCCTGGCCACCAAACTATGGCGACCCGATGCGCGGGAGTTGGTGTGGCATTCACCTGGATCTGGGTGAAGACGAGGACGAGTTGGGTGAACAGGACGACTATGGTGGAGGTGTCTACGATGATCAACATGACGAGTCTTACGGAGATGGCGAGATGGGGCAATACCATAACGATCACGGGCATGAGGGTGCTGCTGGTGATGGAATGTGGTAGCATACAATGTAACCGCGGAGCGGATACCTGTGAATGGTATATGCCTTGGACAGTCCGATCCCAATTACCTTCTAGTAGTCCTATGTCCCGTAAGAGATGAAGATGTAGCCCTATATGGATAGCATGCTGGAGGAATAAGGTCACCTTTCTCCTTTGCTAATCGTCGCACGCTCCCTTTGGGCGTTGCATTATGATGAAAGATTTGACCAGCTATCTGACAGAAGACACGTCTGAATAGCCTGCGCAGGGCTCCATTGAGCGAGCAGTGAGAGACAGCAACCCCATTGACTAGAAGTGCCTGCCTCAATTTCCCACCACCACATCGCTCGCAATCAAGACAGCGTGCCACCGTTGGATCCAGTGTTATGTCCAACATTTCCACCCGGTGTTCCCCGTGTTGGAAGTGTTGTCGTATGCTGAGGTGTGCCAGCCGCAGGGTATGGATCGCCTTCCTCGTGAGGGGCACTCGGCGCAACGCCTGCAAAGGGGCTATGAGAAGGAATTGTATGGTCCTCTGCTCCAGGTTGAGGATCCCCGGGCTCGTCGATAGAGCTCTCGGAAACAGCTGCGAAGGGGCTTTTTGGTTTTAAGCCCAGGCGAGCGAATATGTTGGCGCTCTGGGCGCTGGTGGCCATGTTGTGAATGTGTTGATGAGTGGCGGAATGGAATAACAATAACTTGTCGATCTCGACTGGAATGAGGTGGGGGCTTTGTTAGAATAGGGACTGAAGTGATACAAGAACTGATCAAGAGTTAAGGAGTAATGGAGGGCGTAGGAGGACCATCTGACTTTAAAGGACAATGATGTCACATGTCTGAAGACAAGTTCACCGTGACATGATCTTTAATTGGCGAAATTTCATGGTATACTAGGACGTGTGAAGGCCCCCAACCTGCTACCACGATAAGTGGGGGTGAATACAGAGTGGTGATGGTTGCATCGACTCCTCCTGACTCGAGTGAGCTGCGAAGCTGATCTTCTTTGTAGCAGCAAGGCCACCACAGCTTCTTTGGCAGCTCGCTCGAATAGTTGCGCAGGCAGCCGGGGTTCAGAAGGTGGGTGCCAAGGTGGAGACCATAGCCTGAGGGTGATCCAGGGTGCAATTCGACATAATGAGGAGTGGCATTTCTTGAAGAAGTGTGTGAAGAATCAGAGAGTACCTTCGTATCAGAGGAAACGGAAAAAGGGTGCCTCACGTGTCTTTATCGTGCATGTGAGAATGCTCCAGAGTAGACTGCGTCAAAGGTCTTTTATCCCGCCGTATCCTGCATGGCGCATCTCCATGCCTGCGAGCCTGCCACCCACGTCCGATATCGCTCGTCACAGAGGAGAGGTCCGCGATGAGATTGACTGGTCGACGCTGGACTTACATATTCGTACCTACCGAGCCACCATCGGCAGCGGGCAGCCGACGCGGTTATTCGTCATTGATTTTCATGCCTCTGGCGGATGGTGAAAAGATTTCACACTTCAATTCGACACGGCAAACCGGCACATTCGATACTTGGCCGGACACTTTCCGACCACAAAAAGCGACTTGAAGGGAGGAGACCTTTCTTGTACCATCGCCTTTTTTGATTTGCTTGACGCTTGCCCATGTACGAAGCTCCACCACAACATATGAAACGCGTGGATGCCCTCAGCTTCAACATGTCTTCGACCGCCAATTTCAAAGGTGTGCCCTTGGAATGTCGTCAGCAAGGCCTACAGACCTAGAAGGTCAACAGGACACTGCGTCCGAAGTCAAGGTTGACCATGGTCCCGAGAATGGGGCGGGAGAAGCGGAGAAAGCTGGGATTGTGGTGACATGGGATGGCGACGACGACAAAGAAAATCCCCAGAATTGGTCGACCTCCTTCAAATCATGGGTGACTCTTCAGTTGAGCATGCTGGCATTCACTGCCAGCTTGGCCTCCAGCATCATAGCACCAGCGAACAAGACAATTGCCGAGTATGTTGGGGTGAGTGAGGAGGTCGTGGTCCTTAACGTTTCTCTTTACGTGTGAGTTCCTGTGCTCTCAACTCTGTCGGACAACACCTCCTGACCATGCCCCGTAGTATTGGCTTCGCTTTGGGTCCCCTGATCTGGGCACCTTCGTCGGAAATCTGGGGTCGTCGAATTTCGATATTGCCGGCGATGTTTTGTCTCGCGCTCTTCTCCATCGGGACCGCCACGAGCAAGAATGCTCAATCGGTCTTCATCACCCGCTTTTTCTCCGGTGTCTTTGGCTCCTCAGCGGTCAGTAATGTCAACGCTGCCTTGGGAGACATCTGGTCCCGCGAGGCCAGAGGCACTGCAGTCTCATTGTATGCCGTGTGCGTTGTTGGCGGACCAACTCTGGGGCCCACCATTGGGGCTGCCATTTTGGTCAATCCTCGCCTTGGATGGCGCTGGACTGAATACATCACCGCAATCATCAACTTTGCGGTCGTTGCCTTGACATACTTCTGCATGCCGGAGATGTATCCTCCTGTCGTGTTGAAGCGCAAAGCTGAGAGACTTCGCAAAGAAACCGGCAACCAGAAGCTATATCATCCTCACGAACGGCTGAAGCTCGACTTGAAGTCGATAGTCACCAAGCAACTGTCAAGACCCTTGAAGATGCTTTGCGTCGAACCAATGGTCACTTGCATCGCATTCTATGCAAGTTTTGTTTACTCCATCCTCTACCTCACGCTGGAAGTCTTCCCCATTGTCTTCACCGAGCAGAGAAAGTACTCACCAGTCGTTGCCTCATTACCCTTCTTAGGGTTGTTCATTGGCGTTCTTTGCGCGTTAGGCATTAACCTCGGAAATCAGCCTCGTTATATTCGAAAATGTCGAGCAGCCCATGGCAAACCAGTTCCGGAGGCAAGGTTGCCCCCATTGGCCATTGGAGCTGTGCTGATGGTGATCGGGCTTTTCTGGTTTGGATGGAATGCTGACCCCAAGTATTCCTGGGTCCTGCCTTCTATCGCTGCAGTTTTTATTGGTGCGGGCTTTAATACCATCTTTCAGCAATGTAAGTTGATCACTGGACCTTCTCTCAGGTCGCCATTTTAACTCCTTCGCCAGGCATCAATTATCTTGTCGACGTGTACGGGCTTTACGCTGCTAGCGCCACAGCAGCCAATACTTTCCTTCGCAGTCTAATGGCGTTTGCTTTACCTCTCGTCGCAAGACCCATGTTTCACAATCTTGGAGTTGGCCCTGCGATGTCGATACTTGGCGGAGTGGCAGCGCTGATGCTTCCGGTGCCGTTCTTGTTAATGAAATTCAGCATGGCGCTCCGGAAGAAATCTACATTCGCACCAGTACCAACAGATTGACAGGCCAGCAAATTTTCGACCTCGATTGTACGTGTCGGCCCACAGTGGTGCCATGCTCTCCAACCGCATGTCCTTGTACGCGGAACGCAGATTGTGCAATGCTGCATGAGATAGAAACACGCGCATTGCTAGGCTGCCAGTCCTGGCAGTGCGAATCTGCAGGCTTCATGTGCTTGCTGGTCGATGGCGATGACTGGAAACCTCACGTCTACCACACAAATACAAACACCAAGCAAAGTCTGTCTAACTAGGCCATGACAACCATTGGTACGGCTCGATCATTAAGAGTAACGGGCGGTTCATGAAAAGGTCCTCACGACCCTCATAACGGTTAATTCGCCACAGAGACATCTCCCTGACCTTCAATAAATATCCCGGTCCCCAAGCGTCTCCCAGAACTTTCAAATTATTATTTCAGTCAGATCAGAGACGTCCTACCATTCGAATACCCAGTCTCCCACGCCTGTTTTCGACATCAAGCAGATAACCTCAACCGGCCTTGTGAAGATGTCTCCGTCCGACCTCTCCAAAGCGTCCAGGTCCGAACTCTTGGACCTCTCCAGGATGTCTCTATCCGATCTCTACAAGACCTCTCCATCCGATCTCCCAAAAATGTTCCCAAGCATCCCCTCAGTGTGGAAAGACCCCAGGCGTACTCGCCTTGCTTGGAAACGCTCCCGCATGATGCTCGCAAAATTGGCAACACCACCAGCATTAACATCAGCATCAACACTAGCACCACCACCGACTCCAACACCTGTACTCACTGGCAGCTTCATATCCAAACCGTGCCCAAGCACAGCCGACCTCATCACTACCGACCACATTAATCTCGTCAGATCTCGCAAAAAGCGTTTCACCGAGACATACGAGCCCTTCCGACGCTGCCTCGCCGCCATCGACCAAGCCGGCCGAAACCGAACAGCTATTCGTCAAGCCCTCAAATTCGCCAGCCAAACTACGAACTCTCCACCAATGGCCCAACTCTTCCACGACGTCTGCCAGGACAGAGTTATGAAGCCCGAAATTGTTGGAAAGCTGGAGAGCATCATGGACAACCCCGACCCCAACGGATACTCAGGGCCTCCATCGAGATTGGAACATCAGAGCACGACCTCGAAGACTCTGGCGGCGACTTCAACGGCAATAGCGGGAGCAAGACTCACGGCAGCGAGACGCGCCTTCTGGACATACAACGAGCTGTGGGCAATAGCAGACATGATCCACTCCACCATGCTGGGCTTCTCCAGACGCGTGAAGATGTACCTGGCCGTCGTCAGGCGCGTGAGGAGGAGTGCTCGCACAACCGGCCAGCAAACACAGATAGAGACGCTGACACAGGCGCTTATTCAGACTACACTGTCAGAGAATGGATGTGACGTTAAGGAGAGTGGAGCCAGCGTCACACCCGCCCGAAGAATGATCCCATGGGAAATGGTCTGGCTGGAGACGGACCATTGGAAGCAGAAATTGCGCGAAATCCTTCAAAGTTCGACTACGGGTTAAGCCAGGGGAGGAGATGTTGATATGCAAGACAGCCAAACTGGTCGAGCGGGAGGAAATGTTCTATGATATTTAGGGGGAAGATGGAAGGCAAACAGCGAGGGGCCAGCAGTCGGACTTGTTGTACTGATATAGCTGGGAGGAAGGAAGATCCGATACTACTTTACACGGGAGCCGTGAGAGGGAAAAGGTAGCACATGAACACCATGATGACACGCTTTTTCTCGTGACTACGTATTGGATTTCGCACCGGGGTATCAAATGCAATGCAATACTGCATGCTGAATGCTGTATGCTCAAATTCATATCCCATCGTAAACTCTAGTACCTTAGGCTTCTGCATTTTCCATATCCATATCCATTTTTCGTTGATATCACTTTGCAACCGCCCTGAACGGTCACCGCAGCTCTCTACTGGCATACCCAATGCAATACGACCGAACACCCCAACGCTATGCTAACCGTGTGAATTTCAAATGCAGTCCAAACACACGCACACAGATCCTCTCCGGTATCTGTGCCATGCTATTCAATGCAACGCCATGCCATGCCACGTCATGCTGATCATCTCATCCAACAATCGAGGCCGGGGATATATCCCAAACACCCACACGACTCGCGTGTCGACTTTGAGACCCAAATGTTCAACCGCGCTATGCAATCATGAAATCGTCCGCCACTCATAACCGTAATTCATGCTCGTCAGGATTTGATATTCATCCCTGCCGTCACCAAGGACGTTGCGTCGTCGACATCAACCAATCCCAGTGTCATCACCGCGCACCAATCTGCGCCTCAACTTGCTCCACGAGTTCCACCATCAACGCCTGTGTCGAGGGACCTGGAGCGCCGAACTCGTCCGCCGGAGTAGCGTAGTGATGTTTCTTCGACGGGTCGTTCCACGGTAGGATTTTACGACTCCGTGGCTTCTGTTGAATCGTCTGTCCGGTGTTTGTCGTCAGGGGTCCGATTCTCGGAGGGGGAGGAGGCGGTACGCTGTTCCTAAGGCGGCGGCTGCCTAATGATGGACGAGCTGGAGGTGGCGGTGGTGGTGGAGGCATGGCGGTTACGGGAGGGTGAGCCTCTACCCTCGACGAAACTTCGCTGGGTCTATGCCGCCGCTTGTCGGTATTGGGTGGAGGAGGAGGCGTTTTGTTCTGCGGGAGAGCCATGTCCGTCCGATTCTTGGGGATCTCCGTCTTAGGCGTAGATATGTCGGCCTCGACTTCTTCAACAAGAGCAATGAGATCATCATCGTCGATTTCGTTAAACACGGACGTGAAGCTCTCGATCAACCCTTTTGACTCTGTTGCAGTATGTTTTGTCTCGATATCCTCGACAAAAGGACTGTCCTTGAGCCCGTCGAGAGGAGACGAACACTCCAAGGTCGCGGTGGAAGAAGAGGGCGATGGCAAGGTATCGGCTCGATCGTGAATACTGGAAGAATGCCCAGAGAGTTCGGTATTGGTCGGAGTTGCAGCTTTCTGTTCTTGCTTGTCGTAGATATTGAGTAAAGCCCGGTCATCAATCCCATTCTCCAGCTCCTCTACAACATCCATGATCTTCCTCTTGACGGGTACCACGGCATTATTCCCTCCAAAGAACCTATTCAATCTAGGCTGACTAGCAGTTACTTTTCCCCAGGTGTCCTCGACTGTAATTCTCCCTTCTGCCAGCATCTTCTGCCTCACGGCACGCTCTCTTTGGTCTTTCTCCTCTCGTTTGCGCTTGTTCTCGACCCGTTGTCTTTCTTTCTCTAGTTCTTTCTTTCTCCTCTCCTCGCGTGCATCCAGTCGATCCGCCCGTGCCATTTGCGACGCAGTATATTGGAAGCCGATGCCATCTTTCTTGTATGCCCGCTTGGCCTCCTTCAAGGTCATAGGAGGCTTTGCGGGCCGTGGCATGGTGACGGACAAGAAGAAAGGTTGTGAACTGGACCATAGGACGACAAGGATGAGGACCGGGGTTCTGTTGACGCGATGCAGGATGCGGTTAATCTTGAAATCCGAATGCACATATTATACGGCGTACTCCGTAGCCGATGTTCTACCGGATATTACTCCTCCTCCATATGAAATGGCTGAATAAGGCTCCAAGACTTCCTTTACTCTGCATAACCCTACAGCCTGATTCACTGCAGACAAGGAAACACATATCTATCATTCATGAATCGTCACTATCATTGTCAGGTTCAGACTCGTCCTCTGACTCCATGTCATCTATGGGGAACGTCAAAATGGCAGCAATACCACCCAGTCCCTCAAGCCTTCTCCCACTCTCATGGTCACTGCTAAGGACTCTGACCTCGCCGCCCTCGACCTGCCGGACTCTATCCACGAGTCTCACCCATCTCCTCCTCGTCGCCACGTCCTGGCTCCGAAATAGTGCATTACTGATCAGAAGGATACCACCGCCTCGACCAACAGCGCCCTTGTCAACCGCCGTTTCCACTTCCTTGGGTCCATACCACGCCCGGCCATCGTCTTTCCTGAGTAGTGCGAAGAAGTCATCCATCAGCGCCGTCTCCCTGGCGTATTTCGTATCCTTCAAACTCGCCAGCACCTCCGAGCTCTTCAATACCTCATTCAAGCTATGCAGATGTCCCGAGCTGCTGTGTATCACAATGAATGCTTTTCGCTTGACCAGGTCCTGCAGTAACTTGTCGCCCTTCGTTGCAGCAGTCTCGTTGATGTGCCTCAAGAAGCCGGGAGCTGTGAACCCAGGACTCGCTAATAGTATCGGGAAGTTCGTGCTGCTATCCTTCCCTTCCATCAGACCCTCCAGCTGCCTCATCAGCGTGTCCAACAACGTACTGAAGAATTTTTCGAGGCCCTTGTCGTGGTCACCCGACCTGCCTGCACCAGTGCGTTTTCGAGGCACTGAAACTTCCACCCTCTGCCGTAGCACAGTCTGGTATTGCGTGATGAAGCATATATTCGCCAGACCTTCCTGCATGACCACAGCCACTGCTTCTGTTCCTCTGGTCGGATCAATGGCCTCTTCAAGCTGCGTTCGGGCAACGCTGTCCCATCCTTCTCCGCCATTGGGGCCCTCGACTTCCTTCTCAAGCGTGAAATTCCGGTTCAACTCAAGATCGAGGGTATGAAATTGTCCGATCTTTGTAAATCTGTTTTCCCGTGCAATTTGTCCGGAAACATGTAGTTGTCCTGCTTGCGGATCAAAGTCTAGCGTTTTGACTCGAATTGTAAGGTTGGTATGGACCCTTTGAGAGGATGTAGAGCCTGTAGATGAGGATTCGGTGGTTACACGTCGTATCGCAGAGGCTGTGAGGAGGTCTGTCGGTCGGATGAGGTTGTATGCGTGCCACTAATCAGACTTAGAAGGAGCCCAAGCAGAGGACGTCGAGGTTCGTGGTACCAAGTCTTCTGGTTCTTCTGGGCATAGTGTGACGCTGCCACCGCCGTTGTCGTCGATATGGCGCTTGACCAGGCGCATCTTGCGGCAATGTGTGCACCTAGGTAGGAATGGGACTACCGCTCTGGAAATCAAGTGAGCGGCGCACTTGTTGGCCTCTAGTCTTCTTTATAGACTTGAAGCATGCAGCTTCCGAGTGTCACAGTCGCAGCTAGAAGAGCCTTTGCACCGACACCGGATATTTCGTGAATGGGAAATTGGCGCTGTTCACCCTTTGAAATGGCATGGACTCGAGAATGGCAAAGATATCGTAGTTGGAGTTGGAGTTGCAGGTCCTCCGCAGGCGATGACGATGGTCTCTGTGACTCTGGGGCAGTTTGCCAAGCCTACAGAGGGCCTGAGGTACCTCATGAATCCGAAGGTGTCACCCATCCGGGCAGGTAACCTGCTACGTCTGGGTTCTCACGGGGACAAGGCTGCCCGGCCTCTGAAGACTTGTCCGTGAATGTGCTTCATGCGTTCGACCTTTCTACTAACGTTCAGCCGACTGGACGAGCACAACCGTATCAACCTTTTTTCTCTACCTAAGGTATGGATGTCTACTTCTTTTCAGGCATGGCATTCGTTAATACAGCATGGGTATCATCCAACTTTTGCGCTCCGTCGAACTGCTGAAGATGCTTGACTCCCTTCCGCTCTGCGCAGGGGAAAATCTCTCGCATTCGCTGATGTTTTCGTTCATGCCCACGCTTTTGTTGTATCCAACGCCATGACTCTCGCCGGCTGCGCTGCTGAAGATATCAAGGCGAGCCTCAGCTGAAGAACTTCTTATATGCATCCTTCTCCTTCTTGATACTTTCTTGCAAGCTCTTCTTGGTCTTGGCCAGTTCGTTTTTAATGGCAGCATCCTCTGGTGCCAGCTTCGCGGCTTGCTCATAGTCTTTGAGAGCCTCCTCAGGATCCTTCAAAGCCACTCTCGCCTGTGCTCTTCGGAAGTATGCTTTGGCCTTGTCCGTGTCTTTTGTATCTTTCGGGGTAGCATCGATGGCAAATCCAGCCCATTTCTGTGCTTCATAATATCGCTTGGCTTTGAGGGCTAGAAGTGCGCTGTTGCTATGCAGCGTGAACCGGAGCGAGTCCATGTTGCTTTGAAGATCTTTGGGGTCATTTTCGTTGACGGCAGGATACTCGTTCAAATACCTCAACCCTTTCTGGTACTTTTCGATACCGGTCTCGATATCACCAGACTTGAACGCCTTATTGCCATAGTCCTTGAGATCCAGCGCAATCTTGTAGTACTCCTCGCCCTTCAGTTCGCCCTGGTCATCTGGGAAGTCCTCGTATGGATCTCCGGTGGCGTCCGCAGCTTTCTGGGTGGCCGTGCTATAGCTATCACCTTCAAGCTGACCGCAGTCGGCCACGACCACATCGCCTCCCGATGGCTTGTCTGATTGTGTGGGCAGATTCTCGATCTTGCGAATAATGTTCTTGCCATTTATGACTTCGCCAAAAACAACGTGTTTGCCGTCCAGGTGGGGAGTAGGCACGGTGGTAACGAAGAATTGAGAGCCGTTGGTGCCTGAGAATGTTAGCCTTGCCTTCAGAGTTTGAGTGAAATGCACTTTACCGGGTCCTGAGTTGGCCATGGACAACAAGAACGGCTTGTCATGCTTCAACTCGAAGTTCTCGTCGGGGAACTTCTCGCCGTAAATGGACTCTCCTCCGGTACCATTGAACGCTGTGAAGTCTCCGCCCTGGATCATAAAAGACTTGATGACCCGGTGAAAGATCGACCCTAAGCAACTCTTAGCATTTATGCTCCCTGCACCAACGGAGCATCCCACCTTTGTAGCTCAGAGGCTTGCCCGACTTGCCCATTCCTTTTTCACCAGTACATAGTGCACGGAAGTTCTCCGCTGTCTTTGGTACGACTATCGAGCTGGTCAGCTGGAGGGAAAGGAATTCGGAAAGCAGCCATGTTTACCATCGCTGTACTGTAATTGCTGTTAGATAGGTGTCTATCTGGTGATCGTATCCACTTACCAGCTCGAAAACAACTCTCCCTTCTTTCCTCCCACCGATTGTTATGTCAAAGTAGACCCGAGGTCTTCCTAGAATGGTGTAAGGCTACGGATCTTACGACAACTGAACCTGGTCAGGCTTACCACTCTTTGACTCCGCCATGGTGAGAGAGGGCTAAGAGACTGGGAGTTGAGGTGGTAGGAATGCGTCCCGGATGCGGCTCAAGGATTCTGTTATCGACAAGTTGGTGGAAGGAATTGGAGCTTGTGAGAGACGGTGACCTCTTCACCGTGGCTTTGTCTTGCGCACAAAACTTCCTGAATGTTCCTTTGAAGCCCACACAACTTGCGGTGTTGGCCGCAGATTCAGCCAATCACCATCAGCTGGTGCCTGAGGGGAACAATTTGGGTGTCGCAGGTGCCCGGTGGGGAAGCATCCACAATCTGGGAAGGTAGTGCGAGCTAGGAAGTCCATCTAGTCTGACAAACTACTCACGGCTTTGTAAAGGGGCTTCACGGGGTTAACGAGCCCAAAGACTGTCAGACATCCTTTAATTTTCAAGCTATACTATGTACAGGACTCCTTCCGCGATTCTTTCTTCCTCATCGTTGCTTCAGCCTTCATTCCACCTTCCACGGGAATCGGAACTCGGTTCAGTATGGCAGTCACGTCTCAGGTAGGATAACCTCATTTCATTCCTCTCTTCTTCACTATGTTCTTCTTCTCCTCTTCCACTTCTCTCTGCATATGTTGTCCCACATTGTACCTTGTGAGAGTATTTACATTTGCATCAGTTTACTATCGAAAACAGCCTGAACCATTCCCTTCTACATCCACATCATGTCGTCTTCTTCTGCTCCAAACCTGACTTTAGGTCAATCTTCCAGCGAGTCACATGGTATCTCGCCACTTCCTCCCATGCCAGCGCGGGAACCACTTCCTCTCGAGAATCCGTGTCGTGAAACCACCGTCGAAGGGGTTGTCTTCGTTCTCCGCCTCAATGACCCTAATCTCACCGTTCAGCACTTGGAAGATTTCGACTGGCGCGAGCGTGACAGACTTATCGTCCGCATCAATCCAACCTACGACTCTACTGACCCGGACAAACTACACATGATCAATTGGGAAAATCGTCACACATACATGACGCCGTTGGTCAAGAGGGCAAAGGCTATCGGAAATGCTCTGGCAAAGATTCTCGGGGCATCTGTCGATGCTGGTTTTATGTGCGTCAAGGTGGAAATTGGAAATTGCTAGCTACGAGCCAGACAATCCAATAGGACGCTCGATGGGAAGCCAGTATTCAGAGCTATACCGGCCTGGCGTCTTGATCAAGTCGCCGAAATTCTGGCCGCGTTCGACTGGATCAATCCTGAGTCGGTCCAGAGATGCATCCTCGGAACACGCGTGTTCTGGCCATATGTCAGTCTGCCCCAACTCGCCATGAGGATGAGTGCCTCGTGGCACGATCAACTCAGAAGCGAGTCAACCACTGAACGGACCCCGGAGCAAGTGGCCGAATACATCTGGCAGTGCTGTCACGATACCCTACAGGTGTCGTATTCAAGAGGTGCTGTCCCACACATACCATACGAGGCGCAGAAAACTTGGGAATGCCTCGGCATGCAATTGTTGCGAGAGGTTTATTGCGTTGACAACCTCCACCACGCTCATTCTCTCCCCTCGTCCGTCAATCCTGTCGAAGACAAACGAATTCGCCCCAGAATTGATGAGATCTACTCGGGCGCTGACATGATAGTCAAAGACGACGAAGAGGACTTCCTCTACATGCATCCAAAAGCGCCCGCAGCTACTCTTGCAGGAGACATTCTAGGAGACACTCAGGGAAGTCACCCGTGAAAGTTGGAGAGGCAGAGAAGGAGACTGTGTTCGATCGCAGATGTGGGTTTGGTCAAAGCATTGCGGAATATTGGGTGTGGTCTTGGAGTTACTTCTTGTTTCCCTTCGTTGTTGCATTGGTCCAGGACATATCGCCCAAGCATGTTGAATTAACACTGTGAGCTAGCACTGACAATTGATATTTGCATTGCTGATGGCTATTCGTTCTTGATCTCCGTCGACTACGGACTTGTACAAGTGATCGACGTCACGACCTCCCTCTTTGCCCTAGTGGCTTGCTTGCATCCAGCCTCATGCCACGAGCAAGACTTTTGCAATCCTCGCGTCCACTATCCGTACCAGAAAACAGTGTGCATCCATTCAACAGATCTAGGCGCGGTCCGCCTGCAACCTGCAAGGCGTAAAGATGCTAACTAGTCCACGTGTGTGTTGATCTCTCGGTCACCCTTGTCATTGATTGACAGGCACATGCCTGGAAGGATGGAGTTCTGCTTTTCAGCTGCTCCACCATGCCGCCATCTCTTTCGCTTTTCGAAACCTCGTATTCTGCCGTGCCTGCTCTGGGACTTCTCCGTTCTAGATCTGGAGCTGGTCTGGCCTCTCGCTTCTTTAGGCAAGTGTTCACTCAGAATTGGTCTCTTTGCCGCAGAGGTGCGTTGACTCCCGCGCGCTCCCAACGAGTAACAACAAAACAAGACAAGCCGCATGTCTCAGAAAATGTTATCGGTTATTCCTACCTCCATCAACACTGGCATCTTCACAGAAGTCTTTTTGGCTGAATTCATTCGCGGCTGAGCGATCCGGGGCTGAAAGAGGATACTACTGAGCAGTTGCCAGTGGTTCTATGTCTTGACGCTGCTTGCTTGGGATTGGGCTTGGGCTACTGATCAGCCAGCCCGCATTATCGACTCGGCGCGCGCGTTCTCTCGTATCTTGAGCCTTTTCCGCGAATGTACAGTGCAAGAAGTTCTAACGTTAGTCCAACTCTTGTTCTCGGAACCAACAGCCACGCCACTGCTCTTTGTCCTGCCATCTGTATCGTCTCAGGTTTCAGCTGTCCACCGGCTCGGCTGGGCGTAAGGTCGGGATGATGTTTCGCTACGCGTCCGCCCCCTGTCTCTCTCTCTCTCTCCTTCTGTGTGTCTCGCTTATCATCGAGATCTGATCTGTGCCAACCAAAGCTTTATTTAGCTGGCTCGCTTAGGCAACTGGCTTCAGCCTCGCGGGAAACAAAAATCTTGATATGCATGAACTTGGATTTGCCGTACACAAAAATAACGAGTGCTAGTGAGTGACTGATTGAGTGAACCCCCCGAACACCTCCGAAGCAGGGACAGTCCTTTCGCATGTCCCTGCATCGTTCTCGTGCCCACGTGATGTCAGTCCAGTCCAGTTTCCTTTGATTGACCCTTGTACTACGGCAGTACCCCCCCTGGGTGCCCTCGTTTGAAAAGTCGTAGACTGTACAGGGAAGATGGCGTGCAGGCATAGTCCAGGTTGTTGCGTTGTCGCGTGTTCTGCATGTCCCCCGGTCAGGATGTCAAGCACTGAGAAATGCGCTGTCACGTCGTGCCATGCCCTACCCTGGCTTTGCGCCTGCATTACAGTACATTGCACAGGGTCGGGTTTGTGGGATGTCAAGAGTTTGGATCGGAGGGGGAGAGCTGGAGAGCTGAGGAGCGGGGACCCTACTACTGCATGAGAGCGAAGGGAGTTTGAAACAGAGCTTGACCCTTGCACGTTGAGCTACGTGGGGTTGTGGGGTTTGAGAATGCAGGGACTTACTCGTGTATACTATCTGGAACACCAGCACGGAGAGCCTACATGTTCTCCAAGCAAGCCGACAGAAAAAAATAACCAGGGGGCAGGGGTTTGCAAAGGGCAAACGGGGAGATAGCATAGAAGGCGAAGGCGAAAGGCGAAGGCAGGGTTTGTAGGGATTTGGTGTTGCGACTGCAATCACGCAGGGACTAGTACTCCGTATGCAGCATGCTGTGGACGTGTACCTTTGTACGTGTACCACGACAGGTCCAGTCCTGTGCTCCGTGGGGAAATTTCCCCTTGTATCACCACGCACACGAATGAGTTCGGACCTGAATCTCGGGGGACTGGGCGGCATGTTCCGAGCGTGTAGCTTGCCTGGCGCGACAGTTGCCAGCCTCGACTGGGGGGACGAAAAGGTGGAGGCCTTTTGCCGTGGTACGAGTATGTGTAATGCGAAGCCGGCAGGGCAAGGAAAATGGACGCTCACCCTTTCTTGCGATTCTTGGAGCGAAAAACGGCTGGGAGGCAGGTAGGCAGGGCAGGGATCGAGGAACAGGCTCTCTGGACTCGGTTTTTGAGCGGAAAAGAAAAACGGAAAGAAAGCTGCTGAGGGTTCAAGGCCACACAACCCCTGGTGGCTCCAGCCTCGTTTGTACGGAATTCTCCAGTTCCACCACACCACTGGCCATGGCGATGCGGTCTGCAGTCCAAAAAGCTAGATTGAGCATGGCAAAATCAACTTCAGGCCAGGACCGGGTCATGGGTCAGTGTACGACTTTCCAGCGTGCGACCGACGAGTATTGGGATACCAGGATGACTGATTACCAGGAGCAGAGAGGACCGGTGTATCGTGATACCAGTCCGGCGTGGGACGAACGGGTGGATGGTACTCCGTAGCACGGCAGGGTTTTGGATGTTTGAAGGGTTTGCCGACCACGTTTGAGCTTTTACATTCCGGCTTGGTCCTGGAAACATCCATGTGTAAAGTGCTGAACGCGGCTGGGTTTGAAAAGCGACGTCTCCCCCCAGCCCCTTAGTAGATGCTTGCGTTGTCAATCTTTTTCGCCAACATTTGATTTGTGCGCGCTGGCTGAGGATTGCGTGGCCAATTTCATTCAATTGAGAAGTGCTGATTCTCGCCTCGTCTCGACTCGACTCGACTCAATGCGTCGAGAGGACGTCGCTGTGCAAATCTCTCGCAAGCATGCCTCACGATCGAGAACCCGGGCTTTGAACGAATTTTTCCGAAGGCGCTTGATTGGTGGTCAGTCCGTTTGAGCAGCCTCAAAGGACGAGATCATGTCTGCGGAGAGTCACATATCTGGTCCTGGGCGTAGAATTGTGGAAGCAGAGATTGGCAGGAGGGAGGAAAATGGAAAATCTCATGCTGTGCAAAGTGATGTAAGTCCAATGCTGCCGCCGACCTGATATGCCTTGAGCACGTGACAGTGCATTTCCCTTTCTGAGCGCTTGCTGTCAGGTTCAGTCGCCTTTCACGGGCCTGGCTGTTTTCTTTCCTAGCCAGGTGCCCTGGTTGAATTGACGACATCAGACACCGATGATACAAAACGGTCTGCTCGATCAAGCATGCTCAAACTGTGGGTGGGATGGCCATGGCAAACTTGACTCCGAGACTGATCAAATGCCACAACAATATTCTCGTGATAAGCGAAAAGATCCTCGCGATCGTCCAGAACTATCGACGCCCGTCTCCATCTCGTTCCAACTTACCATGCCTTCGCGGCCTTTATCTCCATACAGTGGAGATTTTCTGTCGCTCGTGTAGCCTCGCGCTGCGCCGCAAACAATTACATATTGAAAGATCAAAGTCCGCAAGCACGAGCACACAGACACCGAAATGAAAGTTTGATATATCGGTATATCGGCATCGCCAAGCACCGTTCTGGAGTTGATGGGTTATGGTCTGTGTTGTTGTGTTGGGGCATATCGAACTTGAAGAGAAAGTTAGCAGTTGAACCGCCCCACAAGGGTTGAAGAGCTCGAGCCCTCGCCGGACAATCGCAGCTACACAGTCACCTCAACGGAGCCCACCGTACTTTTGCGCGAGTTATATGTTAACTGAGCTGAAAGCACGGATATCAATCAACTTGCGTTGACACTGGCGTTGACCCTGACGTTGACGTGTGACAGCAGCGCAAAGTCGAGCTTCTTGTCAGGAGCAGTCGGGGGGTCGGTGTGTGTACTGCCGTTCGATCAACGGTCGGTCAATCAATGACTGCATGAAGTTCGGTTCGCGTCGCGACTCCACAACGTGTTGGATGAGCTTGCTGCTGTCCGGTGTTCAATAGCTCTGGAAAGTGATGGGCACTGCCTCGTATTCCAAGACGAAGCATCACTGCTCGCCTGGCTTGCTTTAGGCAACAACAACAACAACAATAGATGCTGGCTTGTTGGAGGATCAACCCTGTCGCAGACCTTCCTCAAGGACAGACAGCGTAAAACGGGGCGAGTGAAGTTCTCAACATCGCACAGGGCAATTCGCCAAGAAGAGATGCATTGTTCTCGGTCTTTGACATTCCTCATCACGTGCCCAGAAACCCAGCCACCACTCGAGTCGAGACCAAGAGGAGAATGTTGTCCAAGGACAGAGAATGAGGTCCTAGGCCCAGGTGGTAGTACGTATGTCATTTGCTGACCGGCGGCGACTCGTGACGACTGAAGGGAACAGTGCGGTAGCATACCATAGACAGATGGAACTCAGCGTAGAATCCACAGGCAACATGAGAAAATTTGGCCGTTGGTGTCTGCAAGCCAGAGGCTTTGCCGCCTGTTTCTGGGAGCGGAAAGGAAATACGCCGATGTAGTCGCGGTACCGGCATGCTGACGATTTTCACATTCGACGATGGAAGGAAGAGTGCATACCCTGCAGTCATCTTGCCTTCCCTCCTTGTCGACACCTCGCAGCAAATGGGGTATGTCTCAAAGATCTCACGATCAGGAAGGCGGCCATAAGTTTCAGGATGGGTAATATTGACCAGTAGGCTGGGAGATGGATGACTCCCGCAAGGACAATTACTCGCAAATGGCAAGGCGCAACGATCCTTCAAGCCCAGAACTTATGTGAGGCTGTCTCCGTACCTTGAGAAGATTTCGCGGCCGTCATCAAATGGCAAGAGAGCTCACGGCGCGCATAGCTTTGAGTTCACACAATCGTGGTCATACTTGATGACCCAATGGTAAGATGATACTGTGCTCATCCAAGGCTGCTGGTGTCTTTGGAGGGCGTATAGCTGACCTCATCCTGAAGCACTCGATCGGAAGTGTCCGTGCCAACGATCTGGCGCCTGGGCGCCTGCGATCGCTTATTCGCTCGACAGCCCTGTCAGCGCCAATATGTCTCGTCCTTTCACGGTTACTGTATACCTGCGACGCCAAGCGTAGGGGGGAAATAGAATGCATTTCCGAAAACCAAGACTGAAGGGAATAATAGGGGAAATCCTGCAGAGGCAGGGGGGGTTTGATGATATTTTTGGGGGTCGAGTTCCCTTGAAAGCCTGCCACGCCTGCCACCAAAATCCCCCGAACCGGCTCAGGCGAGACGGCACCCACTTATTTAGCAAGCGATATCGATATGGCTGATAACGATACGAACACCCAACCATAATCCATAAGCAAGCGAGAAGGCTTAAAGTGACACAGGGTGGACGGAGTTTTTACCCCTGCAAGGTTGAATGATGAGAATGCAGGAGGTAGCCAAAGATAGGAACATCACCAGCGCCGACAAATGGCAGTCTCCTGCAAAACGAAAAGCATCATTTACCTGAAGCAAGCGCCGATACGGGAACGGGACGGGCTGGCCTGTTTGAGCCATTCTGCTGCATGGGGACAGCGGCAAAGGCTGGGCGAGCAGCCACTCTGGCTCGGGATGCCCGTGGTAAGAAGTCGCAGGATGCCGCCGCCTTCAATAAGGAAAGTGTTTGTGGGAGAGTTTGTCCACTATTGGCGTCCAACCCGAGCCTAGTTAGTTCCCAGCAGTTTGGTGTGCGTGAATTAGTGTCAAATCATCGTCGACGTGATCAGAAGTACATCCGAAATGCCACAGGAAGAATCGAATGGAAACGACTTTTTTCTGAGCCACACACCGTAGCGATCCGCGAGCAGGGGCTTCTTAGGACCAATGACAAGTCGACCATCTCGTACGAAGACGCTCCAGAGGCATCCTTTTCGCTACCTGCCGCTGAATCAGGTTAAGGCTGTAGGGAGACGCGGGATGTGATGAGCACTAACCACGTGGAGGAGGCGACTCTTCCCAAAGAGGAGTCGAGGGAGTGAGTGTATTTGTGTTGGATCCGAACCAGAGTTTACAATGCGCAATAATGAAGGTCAGAATGGCAGGATCTGACGAGCCGAGAACTCAACCAAAGTCATGTCGAAGGATGCCGGTTGGATGAATCGTGAGATCTCTTTGTGCCTTCATTCTGACTGGTGACTCGTCAGCCCACCAAGTCAGCCGTGGGTGTCGAAGGGCAAACCCCCTTCTTGCAACAAGTCTGGTGACCAGCAGCATTCGCGAAGAGGTCAACGTCATCGATCGGGTTTGCTGTCATCTGTTCACGCTGTGGTTTGATCTGTCATCCAGCAGATGATGAATCGATTGCGGGCAGATGTCACGCGAGCGGACAGAAAGGATCACTAGACTTCTTGGAAAGGCTGATGAGGCCTGAATTCGGGTTGCCTCCAGGTGGGAGAAGGAGTTGTAGACTTCGGGGAATTACTTCGAGGAGCTCTTGGCCTCTTGCAGCGGATGTGGGACGAGGGTAGATGTGTAGCTCTGGACTTGTCCATGGCTGCAACTTCTTCCAGGATCCGGTGCTGACATGCCAATTGGTTCTACAGGACGTGAATGGTATGGAGTATAATCCTTCTCGTTCAGTGGCAGATAGATGCCCCGCGATTCGCTTCCACACCAACAACATGGGCATGGCGACTTGACACATCTCCATACGTTCGACATGGTGACCTCTTCCGCCTCTCCACCTACATACTTCTCATCCTGGTGACAAAGCGGACCAGAAACTTCCAGCAGAAGCTGTCCATTCAGAGGACTAGCATACACCTTGGTTATTGGCCGAGGGGTCTTTTGGCCTGCCTCTTTGTGTCCTGGTGGTAGCTTCTCCTGCACAACAAAATGTGAAGGCAGATCTACTGGCTGCATAGAAGGACCATGTTCAGGCTTGCCGTCGCTGCATGGGCCGCGTACTTGTGCTGATTCGTTAGTGGGATGCTTCACAACGCCCATTATACGATGCGGCGATCAAATGTTCGGCTTCCGGCTGTTTGTCCCACCTTGATGGTAAGTTTTTTGTTTAGACATTGCTGTTTTGGTATGGAATCAATTTAGAAAAGGTTTGAGAATACAGTTTACATTCGACACATGTCTGCATTCACGATGGAGTCGTGCTGCAGGATTTTGACCCGATGTCTGTTACGAAGAGCAAGCCTTTTTGCGGCAGATTTGTGCTGCACACCAGTTGCGTGGACAACATCGTACAGAGGTGGAGTTTCCCACCTGCTGGATGCCTGAGGACACGAGAAAAGCGCCCAGAGCAAGCAGCATTGGTTGTCTCGATCGCTAAGCAATTCGGGTCGCGCTGAGTCCCTTGATGGGTGCTTTCCTGCAGCCGCCCAGTTGTGCTACGCGATGGAAGAGCCTGTAAGCACTTGCATCGAAAGCAACAAAAGGGGGGGCGGGATCTATCAGACAGCATGGGAAAACTGGAAACTTGAAGCATATGCAGCACGCATGTTATCTTTGTTGCTACCTATGATAGGTCATCCAGATGTCCGCATGTGCTCGCGCGAGTCTGTGTCGATAAGTCAATGGTGTGCGAGGACATTCATAGCCCGTTCCATAATCATTGTATAGCCTGCGTCTTCCAGAGACCGGTAAAATTCATCCCAACTTGTTTTCTCAAAATAACATACATAGGGTATCGTCATACACGTGATACAAGTCCATTCAGTAAAAAGGCGTCACAAAAGCTGGATCCAACTCAGCACTTGAGGGATCGACGTCGAAAGGTAGAGAGTTTTTTTGAGTAGATGGCCGTTTCTCCTTGGTACTTTCTAGTACCCGTAAGCCATCAGAACGCCATGAAGTCATTGCCCGAGAATTATATTTCGTGATAGAAACCATGTCCGTGCGTGAATAGCCAATGTGTAACGGTAGTACACTTAAACAAAGGAAAAACGGGGCCCCTTCTCGAAAGATCGTACATCTTCCCAGACGCCGTTCATGGTCTCCACTAAGGGTTCCGGCAGGGGACCTTGTTCGAGGATGTCCATGTTCTCCTTGAGTTGAGAGAGCTTTGAGGCTCCCACAATGACAGCGTCACCATATTCGGCACCAAGTTGAGAGTGCCAGGTGGTCCATCGAAGGGCAGCTGCGTGGCCGGAGATGCCGTATTTCTGTGCTTGTTGACGGACAATCTCGGCGGCAGCAAAGAGAGGATCATGGAAGTAGTCGCCAGCATATTTAGCACCGAGTGGGGAAGCGATGTTCCATCTGCTGCTCTTGTCTTTGGTGGAGGCTCTGGAGACTTTGTTGGAGAAGAAGCCACAAGCCGAGGGGCTGTAAGCGTAGAAGGCGATGTTATGTTCCCGCAGGACAGCAAACAGTCGTTCCTCGCCGCCTCGGCAGATTGGATTGTACTGGCCTTGGTAGACAGACGGCTTGACCCAGCCATTCTCCTCGCAGATTGCAACGATCTCTTCGACCTCCTCGACCGAGTAGTTGGACAGGCCAAATCGTTCGAACTTGCCTTCCAGGTAAGCCTTGTTCATGGCCTCGCAAGTCTCCTTGAATGGAGTCGCTCGGTCGGGAGCGTGAAGGTACATCACATCAACTTGGTCCGTGTTGAGAGCATCCAAGGATCGATCAATGCTGAGACCGATGTTCTTGGCTCGGTGGGAACCGGGCATGAAGCTGGAGACCTTGGTCGAGACATTGGCCCATTTTGCTAACCGCAGTTCTTCCTCGCCCAGGAGCTTCTCACATGTGCCACCTCGACCCACGGGATATGCTCTGGCAGTGTCGATGTCGGCATACCCTCTTGAGCGGAAGAGGTTGATAAACTTGGCGGCGTCCTCGACAGTCGTGATCTTGGCCAGTGGTGATAAGTGTGATCCTACTGAAGCAGTGCCCAGGACTATCCTTAAGGGAGGCTTGCACGATACTGTCTGTACCAAAGGAGAAGTGATTCTTTCTGCGCTGTCAAAGGTGCTCGCTCGTGATCGGTTGGGTGTGACCGTGACGTCTGTGGCATCGGTATCGTCTGATTGTTGGGAGCTGAAGGAATGTGCTGAACGTGAAGAGGTGGCAGAATTCATTTCGAAGGAGAGTCGTTGTGCCCTGTGGACGTCGAGATTCTGAAGACTCAGTTGAGGCAGATGCTCCAACTTCATCCTGAGGGCGGCTGCCATGGAGCCCATATGCCTGTCTTGCAACATGGTGGGTGACTGGGGATAGTCGTAATCAGCCATGGTGTTGGAGAGGAGGCAGAAGCCTTTTAATTCCTCTCGAGACTGGTGAACTTGCGCTGGTGGGGGAGTATAAGGTTTATTCCCTTCCGTCGAACACAGTCAGCGTCGTATGGTTGATGGGTGGGTAGGTGTTGGTGGTATATTGCAATCAGCCTCACAAGAGAGTTCGTCTGTAAGGCTTTGTGCAATCAAAAAGTACCCTTCGTGGCAGTAGCAACCAAGAAGCGGCGTGGATATGGTTTGTGTTTGTGGTGTCAAGAGAAATATAGGTAGGGAGGGTGGAGGGCGGTAGATGGAGTATATCTAGGCTGGACCTGAAACGGGGGAGGATTTCCGATCCAGACGATCACCCTTTTGGGGTTGATGGGAGCGATTAATGGGTCGCCACATTGTTTGCGCGGCCAGAGCAGCGTAATTGGCAGACATGGGTAGGATGGGCCATGGCATCAGTTGTGGCGAGCACTGGGGCCCTGTCGAGCCTGCCTGGAGCATTCCTGCCCTTCACCTGACGCAGCCAGCCAACTCCCCTCCCCCCGGCTCGTTTTGGGTGACACGGAACCCACTGTCGCCGTGGTTCCACCCTGTGATTCCTGACCCTGGTCAGCTGCTGGATCAGCCCTGGTCCCTGCTCGCATGCATGCAAGCACAAACTTTGCAGTTCGGCAGAAGTTGCGTCCTTTCCCCCTTGTCCAATGTCCATCCACGCACACGCCGGAGGTGCATTAGGACGACTAGAACATTCCTGGTCTAGTCGAGTCTTTTGCTCAAAGCGCCATTAGCATTCCTTTGGCACCGCGCTTGCCGAGTTACGGCTGTCCCAGAGAGCACGCTCTCAAGCCTCTCAGCCTCCCTCAGCCGCGAACCCTCTCTTTCTCTCGCTCAGTCCGGTCCGGTCAGGTCAGCGAAGCCTCAGCCGGAAGCGTTGGGAATACTTCCTCGCCTACGAGTACCAACCAGTATATCCGAGTCGCTACATGTACGTACTTCGACGAGTATCGGACATAGCAAGCTGGGCTGGGAACAAAGCTGGCTGACGGGCCAACCATTTGACGCCATTAAGCCCATTCTACGCGTATGTGGAGGCTTCGCTCTTTGCCAAGGGCCTGCCTCGTGGCCCTCTTTCCGACCTTCGAGGGCGGCTCAGGGACTTGCCGATCGGGCCATGCGATCAGCGCTGAGGAACGCATAATCCCGAGTGATGCTCTGTCGCCTCCTCTGGAAGGAATCATCATCACTGTCTGCGCCTCGGTGCCAACTTGGCTGTTGGAATGCGATACCGGTCACACTGGTCGTTTAGTCAGGACTCAGGAATCATGGGAGTTCGCTTGCAAACTGAGAGGCGTTCGCTGGTCACGTCAGTGAGATTAGCGGGCCAGCCACGATTGGCTCATGTCTGGGGGATGAGTTCGGCGCCGTCACCCGTGCAGTAGGAGTATCTCGTACAGTATGGGAAAGAAGACTTCTCTCGCCCGTCATTCCAGACGCTTAGGTATCAATAGTCACGGCTGCAAAAGTCCCCATCATTATTGCCCGATCTACTCGTACTGTGGTACCCGGCACCTACCCAGACCATTTCTGCTTCCATTGCGGGTCGATCTACTACCACGACTACGTACTGGAACCCGATATGAGACCAGCTTGGACTTGCAGATGTTGATCAGCCAGCGCAGTCCTGCGAAAGCATTGAATCAAGGCACGAGTACTTTAGAAGCATCCCAACAGAGCGTCGTTTCGAGACCGCCTACGTACCTGGTATCCTCCAGTGGCTCCCCAGGCACAGTACTGACTGTATTCGTCTGGCGTCCCGATCGATGTCATTGGTGGCTTCAGACTTCATTGGTGCCAAGCTTAACCTTTAGTGGCTTGTCGGTGGACGGCGCTCCGACCGCCGACATGCCGACCAAATACTGGCCTTTATTTCCCAGTTGGCAAATGAATATCCATGGATGGACCATATGATGTATCATGAAATCAACGCAAAACCTGCCACCAGCACACGCCCGACCTGTTTGATGATGACTTGTTTGTGGCTTCTCAACTTGGCACGCTCCCTCATATTACTTCTGCAAACGTGTCTTTGGCGTGCGCAATCCTCGGATGGCTGGATGGCTGGATGGCTGGCTGGCCAATTTGGCCACGCCTTCTGACACTGTATGTGTGGCGCACGCAGTTACTGGACAAGGACACAGTCACCAAGTCAAGAACGCGACGAATGAAACTGCTCGAAATTAGAAAATTCTCTGGTCGCTTAGGTAGGCATTCACGTCATAGGGAAAAATCTTCGCCACTACTCAGGTACCAAGTCGCGCTGGCTTCTTTTTCCCAGTCACGCGCATCGGCCTTAACTTGTTAAGCAGTACGCACTGATTTCCCTCATCCATTTTGATTATAGTACGAGGAGCTTCTTGCGAGTTACAGCGATGCGATGACGATGAGAAACTCGGGCCAAGGCTCGGGACCTGCTTGTTCAGACTTTCTTCTAGTCTTGAGCTTGGACTCTCGAAGCGAACGTTCCCCGGCCTCTTCGTCTGCTATAGACGAGGAGGCGCTAGTTTGATAAACCAAGCAGATTGGCGTCGGACAACGGCGATTTGTGTGCCGACAATCAAACGGGCTCGAGCACTCTTTACGACTTAGTGTCGCTGCTGGTGGGCTTGTGGCGCCGGAAATTTCTGGGGAAGCCTGGCCGTCGCCAACGACTAACCTCGGCAACTGGGGAAAGGCAAGGGGACATGGGTATCCTCATAACAAAATCGAGGTTTCAGATCTCTGCTTGCCACTTGGTGAAGTTTTAGCACATCTGAGATGTTGTTTGTTGATCGCATGCGCGTCTCGAACATAATCTACACCCGGAATACCATGGCTGCACTATTGGCAAAGAGATTATTTCCCCTGTCTCGCTGCAATTGCCAACGGCACCAAGGCATGAGATTCACCGACAAATCCAGCCTTTAAAGGTCGCCCGTTTCGGTTGCACATTTCCGGGCCACGGCGTGCTGAGACGCGACCAACAAGCCCATATGCATTTGGACCGTTCGCCAATATGAAGTGATGGCGGCCTCGGACCGTGAACAGAGGTAGGTCTGTACCAAAAAAGGAAATCCTATTTGTGAAGATGAACATATCGGTTTCATTTGGCTCAAGACATCTGGTTCTACATTCGGCATATCCTTCTACAGTAGCGCGCTGCATGCCGGCTGCAGAAAGAGAGCTGTTCTGAGAAGAGAAGGCAAGGTGGCCTTATCAAGCGCATCCGAACACTACTCTGAATTTCCTGCACCACGCAGTACTGTGTGCTGTTGTGTCGCTCACTGCTCTTTATCACTTAGTTGACATATAAATATACTCGGAGTCACACTCCTAGCAGGAAGACGCTACTCCTGACTGGTCAAGGAGATCTTGAGCACAACGAATCAGCACTTGCATTGCCAACGTCTCCCGGGTCAAGGCGGCTAGTGTTCCCAATTGCAGTGTTGACTGGGTGGAAATTGGCCACAGCAAGCTGGGTGGCAAGTGCCGAATGTGTTATGTTTGACGAGGTACATCCGTAAATTGCAGTGCTATAGCCCTGGTCGGTATGTCACGCAAAACATTATGAACGCGCAATCAACAACCAGACCTAGATGGCCTGGGTACACCACATGCTGGGTGGACAACTTCCAACTGCCTGATATACGTTTATGCCCGAGAATAGAGAGAGTTTGAGACAGTGCAAACGACTGTCCTAGGAGGAAAGACAAACCCAACGGGGCATATTGGACGAAGACCACTTCTCCCAGACCGTGATATGATTGGCGGCGATCACGATGATCTGGAAGCAACGTGAGAAGGCCAGAGAAAGGCATGAAAGGGTAGGAATAGGCGGCACCCACGGATCAGCCCTTCTGAAACGGTGATAATCGAGTCAAAATCCAGCCGATGCAAATCGTTGCCATTGACGCCTTAGCACAGTCCAAATGCCGAAGCTGGCCCTTCAGGGGATTGGGTCTCTATCGATATGGGCCGGCGCATGCCCTGACCTGCAAATCATTTCCATTTCCTTCATGCCTCCGAGTCCAATGCAGAGCCCGTGCAAAAGAGGCTCAAAACTCGGTTTACATGGGATGCCTTGCATATCTGAAGACCCTGACAGCATTACAGTATTTGGTGGTGTTTTGTCGCCCGCTCGAGCGCCAGCGCTCAACACAAACCATGAACGCATTCACTTTGTCCAATTCAGGTACCCTTCTCGGGCTGCCCAATCCCACCCAAGCCAGGCAGTCTGCCGACCAGTTTAGCCCTGAAGCGACGCCCCAAGCTTCCGCAAGCTTTTCTTCGTTATGACGTCGTGTCGTTGCCCTATTCGACTCTTGACCAGTCGCGCAACACAAGCTTGAATAATGGGCTTCATCATACGGAGTACGAATACTAACAGAACTGCACATCAATGCTGCCCAGGCCAGACTTGGTCTGTAGATCATTCACTCGTAGGCAATCAAATGCAGAATTTTGGCTGTCACCACCGTTATGCAAGCTCGCTCGTTCCTACGATCGAAAATTGGCGATCGATATCTATGCCATTCGACACGTACGATACCGAGTGGGAGCCCGACAACCTACACACGTGCGCCGCTATCTCGATGGTCAGTGCCAACTGACGTATGAGTATGAAGCAGGATCATCAGTTATCCTCGATGCGAGATCCTTCCGGCAACCCATCAACTCGAGGATCTTGTACAGTACCTGCCCTGCGAATGTCACCCTGTGTGACGCCCCGCGGCCCAAAGTTCGAAAGAATCGGACGTGCAGTTGCGTCTCGAAGTCTCCATCGTTCAACCGCTCTTATCTTCATGGTAGCATTTCGATCAATCGAATGTTTCGGCCACCAGCAGCCGTCCTTCGCGGGGTGAGTTCAACATTAAGCGATGAAAAAGTTGACGAGTTGCATGTTCAACTGTGGCCCCCAACTTCTTCAACCAACAATCTTCCACTGCAAGCACTCTGCTATGCTTCTTCCCGGCGCAGCTAAGAATCCCTCGCGCAACACCAATGCGCACAGGTGCATAGTGTATCCGCAGTGCTGACACTTTGCATGCCTATACTCACGTACGGTGCACCCATCTCCTCGAAAATATGATGCCATGAGCACTGCAAAGTCCATCTCATTGGCCCTCAGAAACCCGTTCACAGGATATCGCTACGTTTCATGTTGCAGGACCACCATCCGTTTCCCTCCACCCTCGTACATGCAGACGGTATCTATCGGTTCACAGTCAGTGAAAGCAAGCATCGAGAAGTATGTGTACATCGAGGAGACTCATGGCCACGCGGACGAGACAAATACATTCCTTTCAAGCCAAGTAATACAGTGCTCAGCCATGTTGCTGCAATGACGCAAGCACCCCAAGACGCTACCTTGATGGTCTTCTCATCCTGGCGATGAACTCTCGCTTGACGAGTACGATGAGCTTTCAACATGTCACCTTTGCCATACACAATAGCCCTGGACTGACAAGCATACTCTCGCAAACGACGTACTGGACTGGTAGTCGGTAGGCCTCATGCAAGACTTTTTTCTATTCGTTTCTCTTCTCACATACGTGACCTCATGTCTAGGAACTGTCTTTGCCTGCTATCCTACTTGCACAACCCTGCACGGCCCAGTCCAGGACGAGTTTTGATCCACGCCCTCTTAATGCCATCCAAAAATATCTCCATAGTGGCAGACCCTATTCTATGCACACTGCTACAGTAGTATGAAGACTATCTGCTGCATGTCTAATTAAATCCATTTGCTATGTTAGTATTTCGGTCCTTATTCCGTGTAGAGGGAGAAGAGAGAGGTAGCCTGAATCGTGCCTTTCCTTCCCATGTACTGAGGTATACTGTTCCGTCCAGGGGGGGAATTGTCGGTACCACGGCATATCGGCGACCGACTGCGACTTGCGACTTGCGACTACTATACGTAGCCTCGCGCTCCTCGATAGTACATTTATTTATTCACAACAACGCACCCCAAGTTTAACCGCCTCGCCCCTCCGAAGGACTGCTATTGTTAATGGATGCTCCATTGCTATCTATCTGTGGGTCGGTGTCTATATCGCAATCCAGCCATGAAGCGCCATGCAGGAGAATAACGATATCTCTTCCGCAGCCCATTATTCTTTTTTTAATTTGGAGCAGAATATTCCGTACACGTGCAGACAACTGTCACCGACCCACGGTACATACCTACTGGAATTAGTTTACAGAGTAACTCGTACGGAATATGCGTCTTTGGCTATCGGAGTGTCTTGCCCGACTCGCCTAAGGTCAGGGCTAGATTTTGTCCAGGGCATTCATTGTACCAAGGGGTGCCGTCAGTCTCCTCTTCCAAGCTGCAGCCACAAGCACCACATGCACCCCATGCCTTTTTTCTCGGCGAGACCACCATCCTCACGTTAATATCAGAGCACGTACCTAAATCGGTCGTTTGACCTAGGTAGGCTCGTTCCGTCCTGTGCCCAGGACGAAGGTCTGCACCGCATACAGCTTGCCGACTGGGCGACGGCGGCAATGGCTCTTTTTTGCGCAGGCTGCTCTCTCTAGGCAGCCCGGCTTCTGTCTGCATTCTCCGCATCGAGGCGGGGAAAGGAAGGAAGCAAGACAGCGTCGGCCTGGGCGATGCCCGTTAGGTCGCCGCCTACCGGTGATTCGCAAGATGATGCCTGTTGCCTCAAGCAAGAAGCAGCCCATACCTATCGCAGTTCTAGATGCAGGAAGACACCGTCAGTACCCTGGGATGGCGAATGCTCACAAGGACACCGCATCTCGAGGCTATGACGGTATTTCAAATTTCGCTGTCAACCGTTCATCTTAATACCGCAGCGTCTCTGGACAAGGTCGACAAGCTTGGTCACTCTCTGGTCGTCGGTACAAGCTTCGACCAGATACCTAGAGATGGCAAGGTACTCGAGATTCGCCCTCTTCTGCAACCACCAAGCGTCAAAAACCAGAACTTTCGAGTACCAGAAGAGCAGCAAAAGTAGGGCGCCGGGGTCTTTCTTGGTAAGCAGATCCTTAAATCCCGCCTGAAGTGTCCTGAAGAATCCCAGGAAAAGAGGGTGACTATCTTGATTGCACTCCTCCGGCATCAGTTGCGCTAACAACGACATCGGAGCTAGGTATGGGCTTGACAGGACTGGCGAAGTTGATCCCGGATCCAAACTGCAGAGCTCGAAGAGCTCGTCAGGCAGGGTCTTCCGCAACTCCGGCAGAGGCAGGTCGGGCTTGAAGCTCATGAAATACGCCATTTGATCCCTCACCGGAACAAACATGCTGTCGTCCCGCAATGGGTCGGAAATTTTGAAGATGGCCGATTTCCCTTCGCAGAAGCCGAGCCAGCGGAGATCATTTGAGTCAGGTGGCTTTAAAGGCCACGCCTCTTCTACGGAGTCGGCGTCGACGATGCTGAAAGCCAAGCAGCCCAGCAAACCTGCGCATGCCCACATCGCATCTCGAGTCGAGGAAGACAATCGAGCTATGGGTTGCGATATGGCTTGGTTCAACAACGTTGCGCCAAGTGACCAATGCCGCGCTATGGCTTCAAAGTTGGACGGCGAGGTTGTTCGCTGGATATATGTGTCGTGAAGGAGAGTCAGGGCCAAGACGATGTGAAATAGAAAGGGATTCTGGAATGGGTCAGCCAGTTTGCGTCAGTCGCATGGAGATTAGACCGTACTGCTTCGGTCAGCTTCGAATAAACGCCATGATATATATATGCCGATTTACTGGAGCCCAGAGTATGTATCGTCCTCGCGAAAAAGCGGCCAAGAGTGTCGAGATCCTGGGCTGTGGGCCTGTAGTCGTGAGCTTCCTCGGTGCAGGAAGATGCCGATGTGTCGGTTTTGGTGCTACTGATCGAATAAAGATCATTGCTCGAAGTGGAATTTGGGGATAGGTCGAGAATCGTCATGTCGATAGCTGAAGCGCCGGTACTGGACAGCTGGAGGTCGTCGTGTCGCAGATCGAAGTTACATAAGATCCCATACTTGTCGCACATGTCACACTTTGGCCGCCTTTCATCACACTTGACTTTTCGTAGTTTGCAGTTCCGGCAGCCTCGCCGCGATTTTCGATGAGATTGAATCTTCCGCGTGCGTAAGGCGGGATCTGCCGTCATTGTTGCGATACACCTGGGTGGTTAGCAAGCGATGTGAGACTCTATTGTTCCTCATGGGGAGAGTTTGCAGATGGCACACAGATGTGCAAGAAGGTGCTACGTCCAGGCAGTCGAATCATCACGAACAGATCTTGGTGGCATCAACACCTTCCGGACATTGCGGAGATGGAAGTACTACCGCTGTAGTCGAAGAGTCAAGCTAGCGAGAAACAGGTTAGCTTCATCTATCCAGCCAATGATAACATTCCACGCTAACCTCGAGTCGCAATTGGCTTCACTCCATTCGTCTGTTGGTCGATTCGTACATCCCTGTATGTGTCTAGACTTGCAAAGCTCTTCCTGAAAGACGTGTTCCCTGGTCTGAATGCAGCTGGATACCCTCGGCGATGGCAGAGTGCCACAGCATGGATCTATACAACGGAATAAGATGTCTCCAGTCCCGAAACCTCAGAGTCACGCCAATGGAGAAGCAGGCGAGTGCGAGGACCGGTTAGTTTCCTCCCTTTATTTACTCTATCTTTCTCATCCCGCGTGCCGTGTGTCCTGTCATGTGAGTACTCAGGGCTTAGATCCGAATCTGTGCCTCAAAAGTCGGCTCGAGATGATACCGAAGCACAGCTACAGTATATAGCCTCAGCGTTCCTCCTCTCAAGAATTCCCACCACTCTTATCCCTAAAGCACATACTACGCAGCTTCCTTGCCTCACCATCACACTGCCCCTCTTCGGTCCACTCCCCAGGGGCACCATCAAACATGCCCAAACTCCTCGCCATATTCGGCGCCACAGGTCAACAAGGTGGTTCGATCGTGGACTTCGTCCTCAACGACCCTCTACTTTCCAAAGAGTACACTGTCCGGGGCATAACCCGCGACCCCTCCTCGCCATCCGCCCAGTCGCTCAAGGCCAAAAACGTCCAAGTCGTTTCTGGCGACGTGACCGACCCGTCCTCTCTCACCACAGCCCTAAAAGACGCCCACACTGTCTTCGCCTTGACCGCACCATCCTTCGGGCCGGACTCACGCGCGCGAGAGTTCGCCACAGGCAAAGCCATCGCCGATGCCGCCGTCGCCAACGGTGCATCGTACATCATCCTGAGCACGCTCCCCAACGTGACCGCCCTGTCCAACAACAAATACACCAAAGTCACCAGCTTCGACGCGAAAGCCGACGTCGAAGCCTACATCAGGACCCTCCCCAGTATCAAATCCGCCTTCTTCGCGCCGGGAAGCTTCATGCAGAATTTCCAATCCATCATGGCCCCTCGACCCGCCACCACAAGCACTGGAACCCCAGGCGATTGCGAATTCGTCGTCGCCCGGCATGTCAGTCCCGAGACGCAGCTCCCTTTGATCGACACGGTCGGCGACACCGGCAAATTCGTCGGCGCGATCCTCGCAGATCCGGACAAGTACGAAGGAAAGACGTTCTGCGCCGCCACAAAGCTGTACAGCTTGGCCGACATGTGCAGAATCATGAGCGAGAAATCGGGCAAGACGGTCAAGTATGTACAGCTATCTAAGGAGAAATTCCGCGAGGCTTTGACCGGCCAGGTGGGCAATTATGCCGATAGTTTGATCGAGATGATGTCGTACCAGCAGGATTTTGGGTACTACGGGCCCAAGACGGAGGAATTGGTCGCATGGGCCGTAAAGAATGCGAGAGGGAAAGTTACGACGTTTGAGGAGTATCTGGAGAAGCATCCTATTCCGGCCTTACAGTAAGTATATCACGGTAGACGTTATCAGGTCGGATTCGCGAAAATGGGAATCGGTATTGGAATGCGTCCTAACCATTGCACGCGCGTTTTATTTACCATTCTCCGGTATTCGAAGCAGCCGCGTCAAAGTTCTTTGTAAAGAGTCTCTCGTCCCATGCGAAGATCGGTCGAGAGAAAGTGATTCTTCCCTATGAACGTCCTCGGGTACTAAATATCACCCGAACGTGCCAGATTCCTTCATGTACCATCTCGCCCATCTCTTTCTTGATGTCTATTATATTCACTGGCTCACTTGTCAGCCACGGGGAAGCAAAGTTGCTCGTATGTCCGAAGCCGCCGCATCTGGTCCGCTTGACGCTGAACGAGGGTTGCGTTTTGCTGAAGCAATTTCGCGTTTTCCGCGACCAACGTAGCCTTCTCCTTTTGCCAGGCTCCCTTTTCCTCGAGTAATGTAGCAAGTTGGTCACTCATGCTCTCATCCGCATAAGGAGAAGGGCCATGTTCATTGCTATCCTGGGAAGGAGGAGGAGTGGCCGGCCGGCCATCGGAAGTCGCACCTCTTCGAATAACCCCAGAAAGAGCGGTCGAGGATTTTGTGGGCGATGGCCGAATAACCTTTGCCTCCGAACGACAGAACTTTGTCAGTACATTTTCAAAGGATCCGTCGCTAACAAAGCCGGCCGCCTCGTGCATAAGATTTTCTTGCTCGGTCTCGCTGCTTTCCGATTCTGGGCTTGCCAACTGTATTCGCTCGGCGACTGAGCGGAGGTGAATTAATGGTTCCTGAACATGTTTCTCGATTAACTCCTTTTCACGCTTGTTGAAACCTCTCCCGGTCATGTTGGTAGGACGGCGTGGACTAGTGTTGCAATCAAGCGTAGAAGCGATGGATACGCTTGATACAAGTTGAGTGCTTGTAATAGGAGTGTTCGTTGTACGACGATCGTCCCTCTTGGGTAAACCCAACTCGGTGACAATGGCTGGCTGTCCGGTCGATGTTGATTCCGCTGTAGCTTGGTGCTCCTTGAGGATTTTGGTAAGATCGTCTCCGGAATTTCCTGGAGTACGATCATTTGATTTGACCTTGCCTTTTCTGATTGCGTCGGGGCTTGAATTCGCAGGCTCACAGCCGCCTTTCCATTCGGCATCATTCCCCTGTAGGCTTGCTTGCAGCGCCCAAGCGAGCCGCATATCTTCTCTATCGTCATCTCCTATATCTGAGACGAGATATCGTGACGCTGCTTCCCTGGCCTTCTGCTCGACCTCATACTGGTCTTTGCTCGCCTGTATGGCTATATGGAGCTCCACTTCTTCTCGCTGCTGGTCACGAAGGTCATCACCATGATTACCTTCGCCCTCCGACGGCGACAAAGAATCAGAAGTAGTGAACCGTGGTTTCCGTCTTGACGACCGTAGGATCCAAGGAGCTGGCGGAACAGAATCCTCGTCGTCTAAAGACTCGCGAGACAGAGATCGCTTCCGTTTCTTGGGCCTTTCTGCTCCCTCACTCTTGCAATTTTTGGCAACGTCGTTCTCATCGTTCATCTGATCTCGATCTAGATCTGATTCCTCTAGGCTCTCGCCCTGGTCGAATTCTCCTTGACTCGTATCTACGTCGGATACGCCTTCCTCGCTGTCATCTTGTAGAGCTTCTGCCCACATAACAGCCGTCGAGTTCTCTCGATCTTTTGTATTGAGGACATCTGCCCAATTCCTTGTAGATATTGTAGCCCAGCACTTCGGACAACCATGATCGACCATTTCCTCATGGAGCACGGCATCGTGGAATTTCGCTCTTTCTCGTTCACTCAAGCCCACGATATCATGGCGTACAACGATATACGGGCAAAGCTTCGAGTCATGACCGAGGCCTGAGCAAGCGCACTTGTACCATCGACATCGCATGAGATCATAAGCGGCGTTGGGTGCATCTTCGTCAAAGAGTGCTCTTCGAAGAGCCGATTCATGGCGAGATAAACAGGGTCGGATGTTGTATAGACACATTCTGAAGTGAGTTTGAGACACCCTCTATGATGTATGCTTCGTGGATGTGCTGCTGGTGTATGTTTAGAAACCAAGATAAGAACAATGAGACGTATACTTGTCGAAAATTGCGATCAAGTCGCTGAGAAGCCAGGATCGGCAGTCAGTATCCCACGCTCGCTCGCTCTGACAAGGATATCGCGACTACATTGGTAGGGAATCGAAGATTGGCGAAGTGTAGGCTGAGTGTAGAGACTAGGAGACTCGATGACCGTTGAGAGTAGAGACTCGTAGATGCGTGCTGCCTGTGGGAAGACTGGTTGCATTGGTATTGGAAGGATGCTTGACGTAGCGGTTAATGCTCCTCGAGAGTAATGTGAGAGATTGATGCGAGGGGTTGACTGCGAGAGATTGAAGGTAAGAGATGAACTGAGACGGGGACAACAACAAACGGCTAAGAAACTCGAGACGCATATGTGCGCTGTGGCTTTGGCCGGGCCAATTTGAAGGGTCAGCTGAAGGTGAGGTGAGTAAGAGTTAAAAGCATGTTGAGACCTGCCTTAGGTAGTCAAGGACAGGTGGGTTGGAGCGGAGGCAATCTCGTACCAGGTGAGTTGATTAACTGAGGGAGCCTTTGACACTCGCGAGAACGAGGACACACTGGATAATGAAGGACATTGATTTGCATGTGATACCAACTTAGGTATTCTCCAAGTTCACCGAGATCCAATTCTGGTAAACGTGACGGCCGTCAGTCAAGGGCCTTCTTCCCAGCTCAAGTGGTGTTCCTAGTCCAAAGTCTGAGAGACCCAGGTCAGCATGAAGCATCGCAAACATTCTCTCGCTCCTTTCCGCACAAGTCTAATCTGGGCCTCATGTTCAGATGTCGATGTCGATGTCAATCCCAAGATCCATGTTTGCCAATATCTCATCATCCAGTGCGGCTTTGCGAATAACAGGCAGTCCTTTCTTCTTTTCAGCCGCTGGCTTGAGGACGTTGATTGTTGGAGTCGAACTTCGTGGAGTGCCGTTGGCGATTGTAACGGGATTTGGAGTTTCGGCTCTGGAGATACTGGCTGCCACCTTAGGCGTCCCTGTACCGTTGACTGGTGTTCCTGCGCGACTGATATCACTCCCACCCTCAAATAATTCGTCAACTCCAGGAGCCAGATGTTTCTTTGACTTTCTTGCTCTCATTTCAGCGAGTTGCGCCTTTCGAACGTTCTCCGCATTCAGTCTCTGGTTTCGTCGATTGAGTTCCGCAATGCGCTCTTGTTCTTGACTGACCTCTCCCGAATCTGCGCGAGACAGACTTGTACCGAAGGCCAACTTCATTGGAACAATGCTAGCCAGATGGTTCTCCAGTTCTTCAGCAAGATCGTCATCGCCTTCAGCGATAGCTGCCTTGATTCTCTCTTTTAGCTCCTCTTTCTCTCGGCTTCTCGTAATCTTCTCGATTAGATCATTCTGCGCCTGCATCCTCGCGGTGATTTCGTGATCAGTGAAGCGATGTGCCAACAGCCGATTGATTTGGTCGAGCTTAGAATTGATGAACTTTTTAGTAGGAAGCTTGCAGTCTTCGTTAGCCATGGTTGCCCGATATCGTCTCCATTCGTCCTCGGTGAATTTAGACATTGAGCACTCGAGAAAAGACCATGGTCTCTCTGCCTTGCCGTGGCGGGCGATGATGTACTTGTCGACAGGGAAAGGTCTTCCATTCGAGCCGATCATCGCATAGGGCTTGCCTTTTGTGAATCCTTTGATGAGACAAAGTCGATACTCGTTGATCTTCGGATCACGACCCGGACCCAGGCAGACACGGGCATAGCAATCGGTAATGGTTTCCTCAAAGCCTGGAGTGTAGCACACTTGCGCAAAATTGTCGCGACCGACTCTGGCTCGTTGTATGTCGGCGAGTTCAGCGATTGGTTCATCTCTTGGCGGACTGGGAGATCGTCTCTTGTATCGTCGGTCGTCATAGTCGTTGTCACTTTCGGCCTCGGCGTCTGCATCGCTGTAGTCTAATTCGGGGGATGCGGACTTTCTGACATATCCATCTCTCTTTCTCTGCTGCTCTCGTAGATTCTTTTCGGCGCGTTGTTGTTTATATGCTTCAATGGCGCTGCTTGCTTCTCCAGCTCTACCGCCTCCGACCTTGGTACGTTGACGAGTACTCTTGCGCTGGGTGTCTTCCAAGTCAGCTGCGCTAGCCTTTCGTTTGTTCTTTGCTGCCGACTTTGCTTCTTCTCGGGCTCTTGCAGCTACGAGGCGGCGAAGAGTTAGATCTTGTTCATGTCGTTCAACTTGTTCACTTCTCTGAGCCAAAATCTCTTCTCTCTCAATTTCAGGTTTTGCCTCAATCCGCGCTTTATCTTCGGCATCGTAGTAGAGTTTTTCGTAGGGGAAAATTGGTTTGTCCGCTGCTGGGTCAAAGTCGGCTTCGTCCTCCGACTGCGACATAGAGGCGGACTCTGAATGTCGAGAGAGCGATGACCTGGAAGACAAAGATGAGTCAAGATCTGACCTGTCTCGACGGCGACGGTGACTTACACTTCATCCTCATCATCGGAATATGCCTTGCGACGTCTAGGACGCTTGACGGTCTTTGCGATACCCTTACGAGCCATATCTGGAGTTGGTGATCTTCGAGACTGTTTCTTGCTTCGAGGTGGAGAGGGAGATTTTGGTTTGGGAGAAGAAGGCATGCTTTCTTCACCGGAGGAGTCGCCTCCGGCGAGTGCAAGCAGCTCAGCATCGATGTCAGCCATAGTGAGGCAGTGATGAAAGAATCACGCTTAGCCAAGGCGGTCTTTCTTGAGTGCTAGATCGGAAGGCGGAAGGCGGTCGTGGCGCACGAGGCGGAGGAAGGTGTAGTGACTTCTAGAGAAGTGACCTTTGATATTATTCCCTGCCCGGGTGTGGTAGTGGGTGTGGCAGAAAAGGTCAAGGGAATCGGACAGAAGCGAGCAGTGAAGAAACCCAAAGAGAGTGACAAGAACAGCCCGCAGATGTTCGACCACCTCACAGTCAAAGAGTAGTCTTCACTGAAATGGAGTGAGTGTAAGAACATCGACATTAAACGCCTTTACCAAATAACAGAGAGTGACATGCTGTTGATTTCGTGTCGCAGGCACGTTCCTGTCTTCACGATTCAAGTAGTCTTGGCAAGCGGAAGATCATGACTCATGCAGAATCGGCCTCACAGTAAGGAGTAGAACGGCTTACATTGCAAGGATCGTTCTGCCCACGATCACATTAGACGAGCGGACGAGAAGATCCCAGAGCACTCTGAGGATTACTTCATGCTTGGTGTCCTAGATGTACAAACAGCTTGCTGCCGCTGATGTAGTAGGTGGCCGTCGTTGCGGAACGACATGAATCAGTTGGATTCGAGCTGGACGATTGTCACGACTCAGAGCGGTAGTGCATTTCAACGTATCCTGCAACTTGCTTCATTTTCTGTCTTCACCTTCGCGACCCCAAGCACAGCACATTTCGGGCATCATGTGGGCTTGTAAGAGCCCATTGTCCATGATAAGGTCTGCACAGCCTTCAGTACAACGTAGACTCCCATGTGTAACACGACAACTATCTTCGCAGCATCATGCTGGCTCCGAACCCGCTCCTAATCCTTCCTCCAGCAAGACTCCCCTCACCGATGAGCAAAGACGCTTCCTTGATAGCGCCCTTCGTGTGAACCAAGCAGGAGAGCTTGCGGCCACTCTAATCTATACGGCTCAGACGCCACCGGTTGTCAAGGCACATCCACACCTTCGCCCACTGATGAAGCATATGTACGATCAAGAAGCTGGCCACTTCAAGACCTTCAATGAGTTGCTAGCCAAGCATCGAATCAGACCTACCGCGATGTACCCCGTCTGGCAGGCTGCGGCGACGATGCTAGGTTGGACGACGGGAATGATGGGACGAGAAGCTGCAATGGCTTGCACCGAAGCCGTCGAGACTGAGATCGGAGATCATTACAATGGACAAGTAAGAGAGATGTTTAAGTGGATACAGGAACTCAAAGAAAAGGGAGAGGAGCTTGATCCCGAACTGAAAATCTTGATTGATGATATTAAGAGGATTCGTGACGAAGAATTGGAGCATCTGGATCACGCCGTTGAAAATGATGCAAAAGAGGCCCAGCCCTACCAGCCATTGACCGATATCATCCGCTATGGTTGCAGAGGGGCGATCTGGATCAGTGAAAGAATATGAGAGTCCAAGTATTGCGGCGCTGTACTGGAACAGCTCGACATGTGACTTCGCTTAAATTGGCCCTAGCACTCTCGCTGAAGAACAGAGGTGTTACTGGAATCATGCAAAGTCAGACTTGCTTGTTGAAAGATACGGCCCGTATGCTGATCTCGGTTGATGCCTGGAGCTTGCACTCAGCAGGTTGATTGAATTCCCCGCTGTGAAATGCCTCCTCGAAGCTTCTCTTTGCACCGGGAACTGAGGAATCATCACGACTTGCAGCTCGCATGGTACTGGCCTTATCGGAGTGAGGAAGCTCGTTCTCCTGAAGAGACATGCTTCGACGATGAGAGGCCGTTGCAGTTGCGAGCTTCCGGGCCTCCTTGTATTCGGTGCAGAAGCGGCAAGGCGACATAACCCAACTTTCGGTACCAATCATCCTCTTACACACATCCTTGAAGGGCATGTCCAACATGTATTCCAACGCAGGTCGACACCGAATCAAAATTTGCTCGGTATGCTGCTCTTCACATCCAAAGTGGATTACCTTGATCAACCGACACATTTCTTGTTCAAGACCCTGGCCGAAACGTGTGGCAGCATAAAGAGGACTTGAGGTCGAGGGGTGGGCAGGTGATCAAGGGCCGAAGATGTTATGTTGCTCTCTCGAAGGATTCGGTCGTGGTTGATCATTCGTTTCGTCGATCGTGTCCTTCCTCGGTGCTGCACGCTGGAGGTCTTTGTGCAGCTGGATCTATCCAAAGACATTTGTTAGTCATGACAGCTTTGTGAAAGGAACCCAAGGCGCCTACCTTGTTGGCTTCTTGAATGTCCAGGGCCAGGATTTGTAGGCTATGCAGATCGGTTGGTAACAGGTGACGATTAAGCACAAGTGAATCTTCTGATGGATGGAGGGGTTATGTGATGAGTGAAGGCTAAGAGATTCTTGTCAACGGATCTGTGTTGAAACCGACACGAAAAGCCCTTTTGTGAAGGCGACTGCCTTCCTCTTTGCTCTACTGACATGCCTCCCCATGCTTTGCCTCTCGGCGTTCTGTCTACTCCGTTCAAAAGTCATTCACTCATGACAATCACATCACCCACAATCAATGCCTGCATGAGCAAACATTCCACAAGTTCACCTCATCGATCATTGCCTGCTGGTCACCGGCTATAAAGCGAATCCCAACACCTTTTCAACACTCACCCACCTATACCGACCTTCAATTCCAATACCCAACGCAAACCTGAAGCAATCTTCCCCTGCAAAATGTGCCGGTACAAGCTACATACCTGCCCCTATCCTCATCAGGATCCAATCGCTGCTCTCATCTTCCTCCCTGACAAAGCTGGTGAATGGGTACCCTGCGATGAACCAAAGCCTTGGGGACGACTGAGCTGCGGCAAACTCGTCGTCATGCATCCAAGAAATCCGGCCGAAGTGGAATTCAACTCATTATTTCAACCGGCCCATCAGCTCCTCGAAAATCGCTCTGGGGATCCAGCGGAGAAGGAAGACCTCAACTCCACGGAAATTCCCGCTCTGAAATCACAATCTTACGCCGACACCATCATCCCCGCAGCTGGTGTAGATGGGACAAAGGACGCAGAAGCGGCACGCATTCAGCTGGCTACATGCAAGTGGTGTACAGCAGTCGTCAAGTTGGTGGCTACAAAATCCAAAGAGAAACAAGGCGAAGCACGTCAAGAGATCGCGCAGTTGGAAAAGTTAATGGATGGCTGTCCCACACTGAGGCAGATACAAATGAAAGTGTTGCGGCTTGAGCGAGGTGTCGAGAGATTGAGACACGATGCTTGGGCTCTTACCAGAGCTTTGATGGATGGCACAGAGACGACAGCTGAAATTGAGAATCAAGCCCCTGCGAACAACGGTATTCATTAGTTTGCCAGGATCTGGCTCCGGTATCATTGGTCCTGACAATTGGCATCAACAGTGTTGCATTGTATTTGGTAGAGACAAGGCTCCGATTTCATTGATCCCCGACACACATATGGTAGAACAGCATCACCTTTTGAATGAGAAATAATTCCACCTCTTGATTCATGCTGGATGATCACTTATATGTACAGTCTCGCTGCTAGACATTCTCTTGATGGCATTCCCTCGAGCACCGGACGGCATTAACAAGGTGAAATTTCGAGTGCCGTACTTTATCGCGGGCAAAGCACAAGGCTGCGATATTGATATCGGAGCCTCGTCACTTTCTGATTTATTGACGATTGTTTCGTCCCACCAGCATTGCGTCCCGCACATTAACTCATTCTACAAGTCTCTCTGTTCTCAAAACCGTCCTATCTACTGCGTCTGAACTCCCGATCACTCGACTTAGACGAGCAAATATGCCCGTCAAACCACTCTCATTCAAAGGCGACAAAAAGCCCTCGAAGAAGCGCAAACACCACGACACTTCCCTCAGCACCGCGAATGCCGACCCCTCCACCGACCCCTCTGCAAGCCACGAAGAAGATACCTCCTGGACGACCCCCGACGCGCCGACCGACCTGTCAGGCCCTGTGATCCTTGTCCTCCCGACCGTTCCATCCACCGTCCTCGCCTCCGATGCGCACGGCAACGTCTTCGCCAGCCAACTGGAGAACATAGTCGAGAACGTCCCCGAGACGGCGGAACCGCATGACGTGCGACAAGTCTGGGTCGCCAGCTCCGTTGCCGGGACCGGCCAAATCAACCTGAAAGCCAGTCACGGAGGGTATCTCTCGTGCGACTCGATCGGCGTCCTAGGTGCGCGGCGCGAAGCACGCGGGCACGAGGAGGGGTTTGTCGTCGAGCAATTCACCACGACCGAGGGCAAAACGAGATGGAGACTAGGCACGAGCGCGGGTAAACTCTCAGACGGCGAGAAAGGCCGACGATACATCTCGACCGTCAGCGAAACAAGCACACGCACAAGCACAAGATCCGACGATGAGAAGGACAAGAAGAAAATGTCTGTATCGCTCCGCGGCGACGGCGAGGCAAATTCCGAAACCACGCATACTATCATCAAGATGCAAGCACGCTTCAAGCCCCGAGTCCAACAGAACAAGGAGACCAAAGCCAACGAGAAGATCAGCCGGCGGGAACTGGAACAGGTTGTGGGTCGGAAACTGGACGACGAGGAGGTGCGCAGACTAAAGAGGGCAAAGAAAGAAGGGACATACTACGAGGAAGTGCTTGATGTGAGAGTCAAGGGGAAGCATGATAAATTTGCCAGCTGAGCTGTCAACCGCAGAATTGAACACTCCTCATCGAATTGAATGACCATGATGACAACAGACGGCAGCCCTGACGGAAAGACGAGCGAACACCAACTCCAAAGAGCACACCAGAACGAATACGTTCACCGGAAGAGTCAGAACCTCTCATTGTACGAAGAATGGTATCAACAGAAGGACGCAAAACACCTGTTGTTACGTCGAACCCCACGAGATATGTACCATCGCTTTTCCCATCAACATATCATACATCAAACCTGTACCGTCATAAAGATCGAAAGTTCAACCAGAGACGCCGACGCTATGGACCAAGAAGCAAATGGATCACGCTATAGGGGCTCTGTTTCATGAGCCTATCAGTCGAGGCTCGGAATGACCCGACCTGCGATTCGGCGCCCTTTATCACGATTAGTCAATCCGTGCGCAACAGCTTTTCGAGACAAGAGAACTTACACAGTGGCCTCGATTCATCGACGACTCGCGCCTCCTGCGCCAGATTGCCGTATTCATGGGCCTGTTGCGTGGCGAGTCGTTCTCGCCGCCATGCTCGTCTGGCTGACGTCCCTTGAGCTCGAACGTCTGCAGGCATCTCATCATCTATTTGCGTCTGTCGTCTTGGGGGAACGACTTGCATCTCGGAGCCTGCCGTATGCTCGCCTGCCGCACTACCATGTTGATTTCGAGAAGCATTCAGTGGATTTGACAATTGCCGCATCGTACGATTCAAGGCGGTCACTCCGGGGAGCCTGGAATCATTTGCCTCTGAAGGTGTCTCTACATTCCGTTGCCTGGTCCTGCGGAGCAATCTTTCTCTTCTGACCATTATATTCGTTACCTGCACAGGACAATAACCTGGCGGCAGTACAGATTTCTTGCAAAGCGGGCATAAAGAGCTGTTGTTGAGAAGGAACGGGTCGATACATTCAGGGTGGAAGATATGGTTACATGGAAGTTCTCGCACAGTTGTCTCATCGTGCATGAAGTCGTCCAGACAGATCGAGCATGTCGTTTGGCTGAAATGTACCTCTCGGAGAGCCTTTCCAGGTCCAGCAGTGTTGCTGGGTCCTTTTTCTTCGGATTCGACAGACTTCTCAGATTCCGCCTTACTGTTATCGTCGACATCTGATTTAGTATAAATCAACTGAGGCATCTTGTCGAGTATATCCTGGGGTACGTTGAGTCTCTTAATGCCCAAAGCTTCGAGATCGACCTCTCCATTGGCGACCCTGCGCTGGAGCTGTCGCCTCTGTTTTCGCTGAACCCAATGCATGATGAAGGAGGTGATCAACACCACTGCAAGTAGAACAGCCAGAACGATTATCAAGAATACCCACAATGTGGGAATACCTCCTGTAACATTCACATCGAATCTTGCAACCAGTCTGACCACGTCATGTGGGTTGTAAAGATCCATCAATTCCTTGCCGTACGGTGCTGACGACAAGTTCCCTGAATACTGTGCCAGTTCGCCGAGGAGGAAAGCGCCCAACATGCCGGGGATTGCGTAGACGGGATACGGATTGGCGCCCTTCCATTGACCACCGTCGTGGAGCGTCCAGGAAGGGTCGCTGACAGGAGGGGGCTGTTGACTGTCATTGCCAGGCTGGAAAAATATGCCTCCACGGACATTGTCGGATGCCATGGCCGACAAATATGCGTCCACGCATGCTGTCTGCGTCCATGGTGCAAGCGCAATCAGTGGATAATCGCCATCAGGTATCTGAGCGCGGGTCGTGACGTTGGAAGGAATCAGTGCCCTGGTCGCATTGTCGCATGGACTTGAGGATGGAAGGTCGGGGACGTAAAGGAGGCCTTCTATGGTACCGTAGTCATTCGGATTGTTCTGCGACAGCGTCCGCACAAGGCCCGCTGCGGTCAGTTGAAGGGCATATGTTCGCTTCTCGATATTAGCTCTACCATCTCATATTAAGCGTTCGTGCTCTTCATACATTGACCAGTCGGACGTTTGGATTCGGATCATACGTGGGATTGGGCACGACCGCTGCGACGACGCCAAAGTTCTGGGCAGCTGTGACAGTTTTAGACCGGTAGGTAGACGGATAGACGAGGTCTTAACTTACACATGTCTTGCGAGCCCTACTCGAGAATAGGCGTACTCTTTGAGTGTGTTGTGGTGCAGACGGGCGAGTACATGATATGCGACACGAAGTTCGGGAGGCACGGGTGTTTCGTCAGCACCTCCGGTGTCCCACTGCCTCTGAGAAGGGCTATAGCTGGTCAGCCCCGGAATCTTTGTATGTTCAGGAGAGCGCAATATCCTGCTGTACATGGAAGGGGCAAAGTAAGGCTGCAGTCGAAGCGGTGACGACGTCGATTTTGAAGAAGAGGAGCGGGATCTGCGTGATTGTCCAGCGATGGCGGTTATCCCACTGAGCCAAATGCCCATCACTTGGGGATCCAGCACAAGCCAGCCTCCTCCGCCAATGCTGCGTCCTGCAAGTCTCACACCCACTCTCGCTTACCTGAATCATGGAGGGGAGTATGGCTAAACCTGATTAGTACCTAGCCGGTTGGCTAACGCGGCATCTTTTCCGAACCCGTGTGAGACCGTGAGTCCCGCTTGACACAGGCAGCGTTCGACTGACTTTCAAAATGCGCCTTGGACATCGACAACGCGTCGTTCAAAGAAAGGAGGCCCAATTTGACATAACATTACCTCTGTAGTGACCAAGCCTACTCGGCAACTGACAATTGGACCTTGTCTGCTGTGCGCCGACATCGCCTAACCTCGGCCCAACGACATGACTCTTGAGCCACGCTGAAGATACCCATCAACCTCCTCTCATCCTACCTCAACTGCGCTTCAGCCACATTCCTGAACCATGCCTCCTCTTGGTAGCGCCAGTAAGAGCAAGGGGAAGAAGGCAGATGCGCGCCGCTCGCGAAGTCGCAACACAACCCCCAGTTCGGTCTTGAGTGTCGGTACTGCGCCGGCCGGACCAACAGCCACGCCTCTACTGGAGTTGGAAACCTCCAAACTTCTTGTACCTGCAAAGCCTACCTATGGCGAAATCATCGATTATCTCGAGACTCACGGCACAAAATTCGAGCCGAAATCATTGCATGACTTGATCGATCAGTTGAAGCATCTGAGCGATGCTGCGGAGAAACGCGCCGAGTCCTGCGAGAAGGCCATTCGCTTGATCCATGAACAGAAGAAAGATTTGGAGTCGGATCACCAAGAGCGCGAACACCAGGCAGAGCAGGCCCGTCGGGCAAAGGCTCGAAAGGAAGAGTCGCAGTCCTCGAAGAATCCCAAGGCAAAGAAACGGAAGGATAGACCGGAGACATTTGACAGTGTTGAGATTAAACGTGAAGGTACGTGAGATCATTTATAATGCAGGACACCGCCTCCGGAATACCTCCCATATCGACTTCTGCCACACTGCCACATCGGCACGCCCGCCCGGTGAGGTAGTAGGTGACAGCGACAGTGATGGGGAATCTGGAATTCTCTGAAGCCTCACCAAGGGCCTATTCACATACTTGAGTACTAACAAAGCGTGTGCAGATGAGCCTTCCAACAAGATCAAAATGCGCGTCTCCGGCACCCCAGGACCAACGGACAGCCCTTCACCCTCAAAGAAAACAAAGCTCAGCCCCGGTACTTCATCTTTATCAGAAGTGGCCGACTCACCGGATGCTGCCGCCGCAAGCCATGCATCACCAGCAAAGACCGACGTCTCTATGTCTGATGCTGAAGATAATCCTGTAGTTCACAGACAACGACCGGTTCCTCAGCAAGGCTTCTTTCCCGACCCTTTGGCTCCTGACCCGGTCATCTATCACATCCGCGAAGTGACTCCGGGTATGTCTGACGCAGAGAAGAAAGAAATCTACGGCGTCACCTCGTTTCCTACCAAGGATCTGAAGGATGAGATCGCAGGTGTTCCACCCGACAAAGACTTCAGCAATGCCAAACCTACCAACCAGGTCTCTGCAAACACTTTCTTAACATACGTCGAGCCTTTTGTCCGACCCCTAATTGAAGAGGACATGGCGTTCTTGAGAGAACGAGTAAGTAGCGGGCTCCGAAGCTTTATATTAAACTCACTAATCTTCGACCAGGGCGATCGAACCACACCTTTCCTGGCTGTTCCCCGAGGCAAACGTTCGTACCAAGAGATCTGGGCCGAAGAAGATGGAACCGTGCTTGTGGACAGCGGCAATGACAAGCTTTCGCCCAACCATCCAAGAGGTAGTGTCGAACAAATAAATGACGACAACTTGAATACCGACCAAGTGTCGACTGGACCTCTAGCGAGCCGTTTGCTTTCGCTTCTCAAATTCGAACATCGTTCCCCACCTTCTGATATGAACGGAGTCAACGAGAATGCTTTCAACACTGATGGCAACGACACGATGGATCTGGACGGTCTCACTAATGGTCATGATTCATCCGAGAAGCCTCTTGCGCCTGCGTCCGCCGTCGCGGATCTGGCTGGTTCAAAGTCCTCGAATTCTCAGCGTCTGGACTACGTGCAGAGCGAAGAGCGCATCAAAGGCGAACTTCGGTATCTCGGCCTGCTCGGACAGGATGAGAACCCCGATTACGATGCTCACCACGACGACGACATCAGCGAGAGGTTGCGACTGTTGCAGGGAGAACTTCGTCGAGTCATGATCACCAATGGCGCTCGTAAGACTCGCTTACTCGACCTTGCCAAGGAACGTCTAGCATATCAGGAGTACAGCACTATTCACGAAGATCTTGACAGTCAAGTCCAGCAAGCCTATCTTAAGCGCACTAGGACAATGGGCAAGACGAAGAAGGGCGGGCCTGGGTCTAAGCCTCGACCAGGTGGTACCGGGCCAGGCACTGCAATGAGCCTTAGTAGAGCTAGGGACATTGGAGATAGTGCTAGGATGCTGATGGATCGGAGAAAGCGATGGGAGAGCTGCATCGGGCCTGTCTTCAAGGATATGAAGCATGGCATTCCAGACAAGGACACGACCATCTGGGATCCGAAAGTAATGGAGATGTATGAGAAGGCGGAGATGGAGGCTCTTGAAGAAGCTGAAGAGTGACGAGATTGTTCATGACCCTCGTTGGACACAGAATAGCATATCGTTGTATGATAGGCGACGTTCCATGCTCAGTAAGAGAGACATTGAAAGAATGATGAAGGTCAGCGCCTTCCCAAGCATGAGTACAAATATCTCCATGCAAATGATGCTGGAAGATTCTTTGACTTCAAACACAGCTGCTGTCGCGGATAGAGAAAAGACACGGCAGGTTGTCAGAATACATACTAGATTCTACCTGCATTCCGCATAAATATTCTTTCACTTCCAGTTCAAAGGAGTTCCGAATGCATCTGACCACGTGACCTTCCGTCCTTCCGCATGCTTTTCGAGCTGGATCACGTGATCAGATTTTGGCCGCAGAAAACGCGTCGACGAAGGCGACGTCCGACGCACACTCGATCATTACTCACAGTGCCACCACTATCGAGAAATTGTCCCATAAATCAAGGTAGGTTTTGTCTTTATGCACAAAATCCACAAAGAATGATAGGCTCCTGTCTATGTTCCGCTTTGAACGAACGACTGCCTTGGCCGCATCCGGCATTCATTGCATTGTGTCTTTCAGGAGCTCGAAGATCAAAGACCATCCGCTGCTTCTCGAACACCATAACGAGATATATCCCCTGAGACTCGCCTTAACTACTACTTCGATTGCGACATCGTGACTTGTTGCAGCATTTCGTGTATATCAACTCGGTAAAGCGCTAATGTACAGCAATGACCCCAGTAGGTCTTGATGATTTCTACGTCGATTGGAGTTCTTTCGAGGCACAGGACTTCAAGACATCGCCGCATGAGCTGCAAGCTACGGCGTACTCTCCAGTCAAGCACTTTTTCCAGTGGGAAGAGTTTGATGCGAAGGGCAATCCAAAACCAATTGGGCAAAGGTTTTCCCACCTGTTCTTCTATGGTGTCAACCTCCCAGATGAATCCGAATGGCGCTTTGAACGGCCGCTTGGCAAAGGCTCCTTTGGAGCGGCAGCACTATTCGTAAAGGTCGATGAAACGCAAAATGTTGTCGATGTGAGTTATGGGGAGCCTGTCATTACCTGCTGTGCACTGACATAGCCAGCAATTTGCATTGAAAGTGGCCGATCTGAAATACAATGAATGTCTTCACGAGAATAAGGCTGGCCTCACTCACGAGGCCGCTGTCATGGCCCAGACCAATGCCTTCAAATCGGAAAGCGTTGTCCGACTACGGCAATTCAATGTTAGTGGGGATTATGGCCGGTATTACTCGGAATTCTGCCCATACGACAGCCTGGAGTCTTTGCGGCTGAAGTACAAGGCTTGGAAGTAAGAATGTCGTATCTCGGCTTATGAACTATTCGTGCTGATACAGCCACTGCCAGTATGTACCTTCCGGAGGCCTTTTTATGGCACGTCTTCTACGCTCTGGCAGAGGGATGCCTGAAATTCAGTATTGGCCCTTTCAAGAACCTCGCCTCAAGTCGCTTTGGTCAACACTTCCCTGGAGCATATCTCCTGCACAATGACATCAAGACGGAGAACAGTAGGTACACTGCTTAGGGCGGACAAACAAGTTCTGGCTGACCATCACGCAGTCCTTCTAGGCTCTAATATCACCAAAGACGGCAAGCGGCAGTGGTATCCGGTCGCCAAATTTGCAGACTTCGGTTTGTCCATAATCACGAACCCGTATGAGGCATTGAGGAACACAGCTCGCTTTCTGCAAAAAGGAACGAAAGTGTGGTACCCACCAGTAAGCGCAACTGTCTCTGTTATAACGACATCCCTGACCAACTAACAGGAACAACGATCCTCCATGATGACAGACTACAAGAAATATTATTTCATTCAGCCGGGCATCAATTCGCTGCGCCGGGACGAACACAAAATTCTGGCACAAGCGAACATATGGGCCGTTGGTGCCGTCATGTGGAGCTTACTCACTCTAGACGAGATTGATGATCTGAGCGACCGCATAAACGATATTCTCATGGGCAAGACTCGCACGTTCGACGGCATGAATATTGTAAAACGCTTCCACCCGGGAGTCAATCGCCGATATAGCTCTGAGCTACTTGAGCTTGTCCAGGCGTGCTTGCGAATGAGGACGCAAGACAGACCGAGCCCGCAGGATCTGTTCAGAGATGTGCGCCGGCATTTACGCCACTGTCAGCAGAAAGAGACAGAAGGCGTGGAGAAAACTGGCAATTGGGAACATTTGAATGTTGCATGTTCACCGAGCGAGATCAGCAAACTGCCGGATGGAGGAGCGAATTTCGAGAAGAACGAAGCCTTCTGGCGGGCGTATGCGGACCACCTTCTCTGGATTCCACGAGAAGCCGATCTGCCATGTCCGCCCTTTGCGCCAGACGAGCTGCCTGTGAATACCAATTGGCCTGCCAAGTTGCGCGAACAGCTAAAGCAGCGATGGGCTTCCGCCATCAAAGCTCGAAATGGGCAGCAGTCCACACGTCCCTCGCCGCCATCAGAAGGTCGGAAGCGGACTGCGTCGACGGCCTTCCCGGATGGAGAAGAGCCTGTAGGAAACGAAGACCAAGCGGATAAAGAAATACCGCGGCGCAAGCGAGACAAAGGTGATTCTACGTGCTCGGCTACGTACGTTCGCGACCGATACAAAGCGTTCATCGCATCCGTACTACCGTGAGTGCAGCCGGCCTACACTCCATCGCATCTAAAGCGGCAATCCACAATGGTCGAGCTATGCAACCGCCTGTCGGAGGAGTCGCGAACAAACCCGCAGTCAGCGAGGATCTTCGACAGATGCATTTCCCAGCAATCGAGCATCTTTCAACACTCAAAGCCATGCTTTGACGTTGTTTAACCAGCGGCTGAATCAACTTTTCGGGCGCGAACCAGGCACAGTCTCCTTCGTGGCTCCCAAACTCGCCCTGCCAATAAAGGCTTGCTTCGGTGACTCCACCCTTATCGGTGCCCGGAGAAGAACGTATATATCAATTAACATCGAGCATTTGTTGTAAAGGACGACTAAGCTCTTTCATTTATGCATTCCACCCTCAATGATACATCAGTCTTGAGTCTGGAAGCCTCAGTCATGGGTGCCTGGTCCTCCCACCCCGCTCCGGAGAGCAAGAGTCAAATATTCCTGTAAGGTCTCATGTTGCACTTGCACACCTCCCTCCCAGTGTTCGATGGTTGACTCGCCCAGCACCGGAGCCACAGGCTATATCGGCGGTCAAACCTTACATGCCATAGCCTCAACAATTCCTTCGTCTCAGGTCGCCATTGCATGTCTTGTCCGGAGCGCTGAGAAGGGCAAGCTGGTGCAGAACGCGTATCCGGAGCACGTAAGGACAGTCCTGGGAGACCTGGACGATGTCGGGATCATCGAGAAGGAATGCCAAAAGGCCCAGGTTGTGCTTCGTTAGCTACCACATCCTCGCCTTTGTTTTTCCGGCTATCCTGTTTCCAACTAACATACGATCATGAAAGAACTCGCAGATACCAAACACATGCGCGCCGCCCGTGCCATCGTCAAAGGATTATCCGCACAACTGAAAGATTCCCACCGTAAGTCAAGGCCTTTTCCCGCTCACTAGACCTGCCCTCTCAGTTCCGCCATAAATAAAACTAAACGAATGAAGCATGCTACATCCAAATGTCCGGCGCATCCATGTTCGTCATCCCCGAGATCGAAGGCGACCACTACGGCGAGCCACCAAGCACAATGTGGAACGACCTGAACGGAATCTCGAGCATATTATCAACCATCCAAGCCCACCCGTCGCGCGAAATGGACAATTACATCCTCTCCCTAGACTCCACAATCATCAGAACAGGCCTGGTCGTCGGGCCCCTGATCTACGGTCATGGCGAAGGACCAGGTAATCAGCGCAGCATCCAGGCTCCCACCATCGCGCGCAAGACGATCCAGGATGGCGAAGGCTTCCGTTTCCGGAGAGGCTTGAATACCTGGAGCAACGTCCACATCAGAGACTTGGGCGATCTGTTCGCGCTGTTGACCAAGACTGCGCTCGACGGTCCGAGAAACACCAGAACTTCCGCACTCTGGAACGAAACCGGCGTCTATCTGCCTGCAAATGGGGATATGGTGAGTCTTTCCGTCTTGTCCCATGGGCTGGTAGGTTTGAAACATGAACATCGATGGCTGATTCGAAGATGGGTTTCTAGACATTCGGCAAGCTGTGCGAGGCGGTGGCGAGGGCAGCGCATGTGCAAGGACTGATCAAGAAGGACGCGATTGATAGGACGATTGATGTCGATGAAGCCAACGCGGCGATGCCAGGCGGCGCCGTCTTTTGGGGGACCAATGCGGTCTACAAGTCCTCGCGCGCGCAGGTACTGCTGGGTTGGACACCTTCGGCGCCGTCATTGGGCGAATCTATCGCCCAGATGGTCAGGCTGGAGGGAGAGGATCGGAAGGGGGGATCCTAGCTAGAAAACTTGCGGCTACACAATGCGATGCCTGATTCGGAAGAGCATGTGCTTTTGATCGCAAGTGATCTTGGTGCGGCACTGAGGGAACTCTCTTTTGGGGCCTGCGTCCACAAACATCTCCCCGTACCGAAAAGTCAGGTCAACATAGCAGGAGTCTCTCGTCTTAGGCGGTCGCCTTGGCTTGACCGCGGTCAGACAATCTCTCACGGCCGTATCCTTCCAAGAAGTATGTCTCGCAGTGCCCCGAGCTCTGAAGCAGTCTTCCGTGCCCAGTTGCCATCGGTTCTCCAGTACCCTTTCCACGTGCCTTCCAGGATGGGGCATACCTATGGTTGTAAGGGACCAGGGAGACGTATCAGATCGCCCAGGCCCTGGAAGCCTTCCTGGCAAACCTTGCGTCCTGCAAGTTCATTTGCAAATTCGAGCTTCCGAGCCACGTCCCAATCGTCGCAGTGCCAAAGCAACCCATACAGGACACCCGCAATGAAAGTATCACCTGCTCCAATGGTGCTGCAAGCAGTCAGTGTGGCCGTCGCGAAGTGTGACAGGTTAGGAGTGGGCTTTACTCAACGACGGCTGTTACGGGCAGCGCTTGCTGGCGGTGAATCTCCTGCTTTTTGACGTCAAAAGCAGTCGAGCCTTGGTCACCCCACGTGCAAAACAAGAGAGAACTAGTCAAGGGTTTCGTCAGCCGGTGCGCACCAGCGGTCGTTGTGGAGAGTGCGAATACGCTTTCTGAGCTTTACCAGCCTGTTCGAGCAGGAATGTAGCAGGGTCCCGAGAACCACGATCAAGCGCCCAGCTCTTCGAGTAGAAGACGACATCAGCCTCGGCAGCCAGCTCTTGCAGACCGGGGCGGCCAGGCTTCTCGACCTCGACGCTGATACTGACAGTCGGATACGCTCGGCGAAGATACTGCATACACTGCAGCGTGACATCCGGCATTCGTCCCTCGGACAAATGTGAGGAAGCCTGTTGAGTAAGGGAGGAGAGGCCGGGGTATAGATCATACTTCGAAATGGTACCAGCTGGCTTCACGCCCAAAGGAGTCCGCCACTGCAGCGAACTCGACAGAGGTCATCTCGGGCAAGTCGTTGTAGTTCACAATGGTCCTGCTATCGGTAGAACTGCTTCTGATGACATAACTCGACGCCGGTTCTACGCATTGTTCTCGGTACAGACAGCACGACATGTCGATGTTTGGGCCAAGCGATGCCTTGATCTTACCAGAACCGACAGAGGAGGCCGACGGCATGACAGAACATAGGATGAGCTGCGCCAGTGCATGCCCATGGTCCTCATCCTGATGGACCAGCTGCTGCAGGACCTCCAGAGTGTTCGGGACATTTCCTCCACGGCGATGGGCGATGTGTGTGGCCCTGAGTTTCTCATCTTCGGAAGGGTAGTAAGGTACTCTGTTGGCCAGACTTCAGCGCCGGTACCTTGTGCGCATCATAACGTCACCGACCTCAACACAGTGTCCATGTAGCACGCTCCCACCCCTATGAGCTTCATGATGGTTTGACGAGCCTTACATCAGGGATGGACAATGTTCACCCAAACCAAAAGGAAGAAAGCTGCATTCACTGGCATTAGCACGACTGGAATTTGGTGAAATGCATGGTGGATGCTTGATGGCTAAAGCTTTGGGTGCGAGAATGGAACCCGAAAAGTGCAGCTATCGAGTGTCTACTTCTCCGTAGTGATGTTGGTGATATTTCTCAGAAATATCATCATCATCATCATCATCATCATCATCATCATCATCATCATCATCATCATCATCATCATCATTATCAATAACTGAGGATTGTCAGGCATCAAATTGCTGTCTGTAGAAATACAAGTAACGATACTACTGCCGACGCTCCTATCACACCTCCGACTCTGGTGACCGAGAGAACGACTCTTTGCTCTTTCGTTGACCTTCTTCAGATTCACCGCTTTCGGAGTCGAACTCCTTGCACACCTTCAATCCTTGTAAGTAAGCTGTACAGTCCTCTACCATCATTTTGCCCGGTCTCAAGCCCACGCCTCTGATATAAAAGCAACCGAAGTCACCAGTCGCCAAGTTGATCCCGGCACCAGACTGCCTGGCCCAGTTCTCCACCTCCCAATTGCAGATCAAGATGTTTTCACCCGCCTCCCAAGTTATAAATCCCGGAGTTGGCACAGCATAGCTCGAGAGTGAAGTCCAGATCTCGGACCCATATTGTGGCTGATCGTAGACTATTCTCAGAACATCTGCTGGGATCCATCCGACTCGACCGCAGTTGGGGCCGTAAGCAAGTGCCATGTCACGACTCGGCGTCCACCCGAAAACAAAAGCTCGCCGGCCCGGCGGTACTGTGATGTGTCTGAGATTTGGACCCAAATATCCTGCGCTCTACGGGGACCTGTATTCCACAGGAAATGGCAGCATTCGCAGGGTTGGACTTGGTGCCTTCAGTGGGCTTTGACTGCGGGAGCTCGCAGACGATCGGTTGCTACGCGTGAGAGAGTGGAGCGCAACTTCGATGTCAGCAGTAATTGCATTGTGCATTCCAAGATATCTCAGTTGCTTGATGATCAGCACTGTCCTAAACGATGAGCGTGCGAACTTACCTTCTCCAGGATCGAAACGTTTTCCAGAGCGACCGTGGTAATCTGTGAGATTCCGTCTACCTGCTTCACCCCGGCATCGGACTCTGGCTCAGCATGATCCGCCATGTGCAAAGAATGATTGTGCTAGAAATGATCAAGCGAAGCATGTGTGATAAAAGCAGCACTACTATTTTGCTAAGGACATGGTTCGACAATGGGAAAGTAGTGAGAATGCTCAGCATTTGGGGTGAATCGCACCTGCCGGCAACACTGTATTGGACGATCAATCCGACCAGGAATCGTTCAATCGCGAGGACTGGCACTGGCCACTTCATGTCTTGCTTGAAGCTTCATCAGGAAAGAAGTCGTAGACTCCAGGTGGAGCACGAGTTCAGGTGCAGGCCGTGCAGCCACGCAAAACTTCGAGTGCTGCTTTCTGAGCGACGCTCAGGCCTCGTCGTGCAAACATGGACTTAATGGCCTCTCGAAGAGCTTCCTGGGCTCTTTGACAGCATGACATCTTCAAGCATCGGGTGCAGTGTCTACTCTGGGATCGGATACAGGTCGGTTATGATCGGTTCAATTGCCGACAGCAACGAAGCTAAGCATCTTTGAACCTGCAAAGATCGTCATGTCAAACGACTCTAGCGGACAGATACCGCGAATCAACAAGAGCGAGAGAGCTGCAGAGTTCGTTCCTGGCTTAGGTTCCCTGTGGTTCCCCAGCTATCCCGCTATCATGACTTCATCCGTCCTCCTCCACTGCGGAGACACTCCGGGGTATCAGTCAAGCGGTCAAGCCGAAGCTCCTCACCTCTTATACTTCCAGGTACGTCCTCTTTGTGCACCCCATCCGACAACTTCACTCCACGAACATCCTCAAGAGACCAGAACCATGATCCTACCACTTCTATTGCTGGCCAGACTTACCTCCCTGGCTGTTGGCCAGAGTAGCTCTACTCCCAATCAAGCCCTTGTCATCGACCAGAAGAGTTTCAATGCACTGAAAAGTGTGCCACCACCTTCAGTGTCTAACCTTACCACGGTAAGCGCGCCACGACCATAGAGGGCCATCCTCCTACTGAACAGCTGCAGATCTTCTTACCTCCTGGCGTTACACAAGAACAAGCTCTGGCCAAACCCTTCCATGTCTACGACGATGCCTTTTACGACATTATCGGTTCAAATCCTACCCTGACCGTGATCGCCAGTCAAGGTATCAACCCTCTTTATCACGAGGCTGTTGTTTGGTACGAACGAAGATTCACTCGAGAAGCCATATCAACTAATGCTTCCCAGGTATCCACCAACAGACGAAGTATTCTTCGTACAGAATGCTGGGGCCACGGCTGCTGGAACAGGTCTCAACAAGTCGAATGTTATCCAGAAGATTTCCCTCTCGCAAGTCGCTCAGTTCTCAACACAGCGCAACGCTAGTGGTGATATCAATGTGACGACAGTCAATGCTAACCCCACTGTGGTCAACTCCAATGGTGTGGCCGAAGGCGTCCTGCACTTAGAAGCTTAGCTGACTAAGTACTCGCAGGAGCAACGAATTATCGCGGCCAGTTCATCTACACTGGCGAAGGGCAAGGAAATAATACTGCGCCTGCTCTCTACGTGATGAACCCTCAGCAGCCATACAACACTACCGGTAAGCTCGACAACGGGTAAAGATGGTCCCATGTGCTAAGGATGACAGTACTTGTCAACAACTACTATGGTCGCCAATTCAATTCGCTCAACGACATATCAGTAAATCCACGCAATGGCGACGTTTACTTTACCGACACTTTGTACGGCTATCTCCAAGACTTTCGCCCTCCTCCTGCCTTGCCCAATCAAGTCTACCGTTTCAACCCTTCGACCGGAGCAGTCACAGTAGTTGCTGATGGCTTTGATCTACCGAATGGTACAGTCCACTCAGCCAGCTTTCATTCTTGACCAATAGTTGCTGATATGACTCCTTGACCAGGGATTACATTCTCACCTAACGGCTCATACGCATACGTGACCGATACAGGGGCGCAATATTCCTTCTATGGCTATAACATGACTGCCCCTGCCTCAATGTAAGCTGAGTCAAACCTCTTTGCGACCCTTTGCGACCCTTTGCGACCTTTTTGACCTTTTCCCTAGCTATCGTTTTACCGTCGAAGCAGATGGCACATTCAGCAATCGCAAGCTCTTTACCTATGCTACGCCCGGTGTCCCCGATGGGATCCACTGCGACACCAATGGCAATGTCTACGCAGGCCTTGGCGACGGAGTGCAGGTCTGGAACCCCTCGGGCACTTTACTGGGGAAGATATTCCTTGGAACAACCTCGGCGAACTTCAATTTTGCAGGCAAAGGCCGTATGGTCATTTGCGCAGAGACCGAGCTGTTTTATGCAACGCTGGCGGCAGAAGGGGCTGTGGTCGCCGGCCAAATGCCTCCGATGTAGTGCGCAAGCCGGTCATTGTGTGAACCGGGAGATATATTCGAGGTTAGCTTGAAGTCCTAGCCATCTTTAGGCATCATCGACTACAAGAGTACCATCTCTGATCAAAACCGACACGATTTGCCATAGTTATTTCCCACAGTCAGACTAGAAAATGCTACTTTGTAAGTTCAAGAGCACTTAGAGCGTCTGGCTAATAAGGATGAAAGGGGCACGAAGGGGTCAGCCCAATTCAGCCTTGTGACATTTTGACGTGGTCATTTGAAATTCTTGCTACGGCGGATCATTTCTCTCGGAGGCGCACAGCTTCGAGTGATATTCGATCGCGAACCGCCACCATCTCGTGAGACTTTCTACGAACCACTTGATGGCAGAACATCCGGATGAGAATGAGCCAACACTAGACATATCAGCGCCATTTGGTCCGGTCCTGACACCTCCAATACTACAAGATGCGAATATTCCTCCGCCAGAGACTTGCGTTATATGTCTCGAACACATCTCCGAGAAAGCGATAGCCCTGCCTTGTCGCCACGAGCAATTCGATTTCCCCTGCCTGGGCACATGGCTTCAGCGCCAGCAAGTATGTCCGCTATGCAAGAGACAAGTCAAGGCCATCAGATTCAACTCCGGTGAAGGTGAAAGAGATAAGGGAGGAAGCCAGGTCTTCTACCTTCCCGAAGCAGAGCCCTCGTCCTCGGAGAGGCGACGCTTCAGCACCGCAGCAGCGGCCACTGCACGACATCGACGGGCAAGACATGAACGATCATACGCAAGAGGAGGGCGACGCACACCTGCAGTGCCGTCCGCACAAGGGTCGAAGGACACTTCGCTCGATGCCCGCAGGCAAGTCTACCGCCACAAGCTCTACTCTCTCCACGTCGGAACGAACCGTATATCTCGATACCGAAACCTCACGCCGGCATCTTTTACAAAGGATGAGCGTCTGACATCTCGGGCACGCATGTGGATACGTCGCGAATTGCAAGTCTTCGACTTCTTGAACTCCAGTTCCCCTTCATCTTCAAGCTCGGTCGCTGGAGGAGACCGACGAGCAAACAATGCCGACTTTCTGCTAGAATACATCATCGCCATTCTCAAATCAATCGATCTGAAAGGGAGCACGGGACAAGCCGAGGAATTGTTAAAGGACTTTCTGGGCAGAGAGAATACGAGGTTGTTCCTGCATGACCTTGAAGCATGGTTACGCAGTCCGTACGAGCATCTGAGAGACTGGGACCGCGCCGTTCAATATCCAGCGCTGGCGGGTACAGAGTATGAGGACACCACATCTGAATCGCATTGTCGCCATAGCGAGCTAAGCTCTTCTTCGGACCAGCGACACCAACGAAACGACGACAGGACGGCGACTGTGCCTCGATGGTTTTCTGATGAATTCGTGCTCGGAGGCGATGATCACCGCAATAGACCAAGTTGAGACGGAGAGCTTGATGAACTTAGCTTTACCACTTCAAGCCACCGCCCCTGCTAAGGTAGTTTCTGCTTCATATGAAAGCAGTACTTGGCCAAGCATAATCTCGTACTTTCGCCACAGTCATACACGAATCGTATGTCAGCCAAAAGGGCGGTCCGAAGATATCGCCACTCGACCGACTGAAGAGACGTATAAGCTCGCGACAAGGCGAGCTCGAATCCATGTTGTTCATCTGATTGCGGGAGAAGCCGAAAAAGCTGCCACTCCTGCAACCAAGAGGGTTGGTTGTTGAAATCACCATCCTTCGCTCATCCCACCCATCACCGATGAAGCAGGGGGTCAGAGCATTGACGGGTCGAGGAGAAACTGTGGCCTTTCACACATATACCGTGCGGAAAGGGCAGAATGTCGCGTCTGGTGATGGAAGGGTGTTATCAGACGAGTGATGGTTATGTCATTGGCAGTCAGCAGCAACATCACCCTCGTTAGCTGTATGAGACTGATGGAGTGACAAGCAGCAGGCCGCAGTATTCTCTGAATAGTCGAATCTACTTGAGACGCTCGAGAGCTATGCGGTATGTCATGAGCAAAGTGGGACGTGCTTCGTTTGACGCGCCTGAGAGCCATGCGGTTTGCCACGAGTCGAGTGGGAACGTGCCTTGTTTGAACACTCCAAGCTTGTCCTTTGAACAAATAAGTCATCAATTCAATGTTGAATTGTACATATTACAACGCACTACAAATTGTTTGAGGGAGTCGCTCCTTTTCAAGCCCCCTTCATCAAGAAGAACATCTCATCCCCTCCGCCCGTTCATTTCCATTTCCATTTCTATTTCACTTTAAGCACGGCCTTGCCAAAGTTCTCGCCCTTCAACATGCCCACGAACGCCTCTCCAGCCTTGTCCATGCCGACGGTCTCATGGATCTTGGCCTTGAAGCTGCCATCCTTCAACCACGCGCTCACCTTCTCCTGGTGCTCCTTGAACCACTTGGGCCCGAACTCGGCATCGCCCACCATGAAGCCTTGCATGAGCAACCTCTTAGCGACGAGGTTGAACGTGTTGCGGAGCGGATACCTGTCCTGGGGGGCTAGATTGTACTGGCTGATCTGGCCACACTCGACGATGCGGCCGTGCCAGTTCAGGGCCTCGATGGCGCCCTCGAGCTGCTCGCCGCCGACATTGTCGTAGAAGATATCGATGCCCTTGCCGTTCGTCAGGCGGTCGATCGCGTCTTTCGTGCTGCCGCGCTCCTTCTTGTAATTCCACCCGCCGTCGAAGCCGAGCTCTTTCGTGATGAACTCGAGTTTGTCGTCGGAACCCACACTGCCCAGCACGGTCAGCCCCTCGTGCTTGGCCAGTTGGCCGACGAGTTGGCCCACGGCACCCGCCGCGGACGACACCAGGATCGTTTCGCCGCGTTTGGGTTTGCCGATCTCGTACAGCGACGAGTACGCCGTCAGGCCCGGCATGCCCAGTGCGCCGAGGTAGTGGCGTATATCGTCGACGGCGGTGGGGTCGATTTTCATGGGCTTCTGGCCATCATCATCCTTTGCGACGAACACATTGTACTCCTGCACGGGAAGTAAATGCCGGACGATGTCGCCCTCGGCGTAGCCGGCGAGGTTGGACTTGACGACCTTGGCCAGCGAGGCCGCGACCATGGGCGAGTTCAGCGGGAACGGGGGCATGTATGACTTTATGCTCGGGTCGCGGAGCAGGCCGCGCAGGTACGGGTCGAACGAGACATAGAGAGTCTCGAGCACGAGGCCGTTCTTGGGCGCCGGGGCGTCGAGGTCAAAGCCCACGTCTTTCACGGTGATGTGTTCGCCGGGCACGGGCAGGCCCGTGGGGATCTTTGTGAAGATCAAGGAGAGATTCCTGGTAGGCATTTTGGGAGGCCGTACACTGTGTAGACTGTTGCGATGGATTCTTGTGGTGCTAGTGCCTGAAAAGAAAGGCTGGCGAGAAGATCAAGGGCTGAGCGAGGACTTAGTATCTAACTAGAGTTTTTGCCTGTATGAAGGACCGTTACGGAATGGTCGCGGATGTTATATCAGAGAAATACTAGTACTCTACCATGTGGAATGCCGAAGGTGCAGGAACAGAGACACAATTTGTAAGCTTTTCTAGAAGGCCAGGAGAAGAAGGAAGAACGAAATGACTTGCCTCAGGCAGCTCGTAATGTGGTTCGTAGAACCAGAAAGAAGAAGCAGAAGTCGTTCGTTATTGATTGGCGACCCGTTGAATCCTTGCACGGTCGTGGTGGTGATGCCAGAATGAAAGCATTTTTTCCAAAGCTGGATGTTTCTCCGAGTCCCTTTAACACCACGGAGCATGAATGGAGCCACACCACGGAGCGATACCCATAAGGCGAATTGATGGACTTGCGTCATGGAAAAGCTGAAGCTCACTAATTAGGCCGAGATATCAGCGACGGTACCGTCGGATCCATTGTGCTGATCGAATTCGTCTATATCATGGTCTTCAGCATTGTAGGACAAGATAATAGTATTCTGTCGAGCCAACGATGGTCTATGCTGCATCTGGCAATACTATCAGCCCATTTTCGGGCACAGTCATAAGATATATGCAGGTAACTCGGTAGGAAGTCGACTTGTTTGCTCCGCTCAGCATTGTGGATTATCGAAGTGCCAATGATATGTCCACATGTCAAACTGTGAAAGGAAATACCAGGTATATATGATGACCAATGCTTATACCAGATACTAGGCAAGCAGGAAGCACGGCAGATGGCAAAGACGGACAGCTTCCAGGCTTGCTCAGTCCACCAACAGCTTGAAGTGGTCAAACCGAGGATGCTCAGGTATTTCAGGTATTTCATTGCAATTCTTTTCGAATTATGATGCACTGTACAATACATAGCCTCTTTGGCCCCAGCTCTGCCAGAACCCTCATCTTCTTGCACGTTTTAGCAGGACCCCGTCTATGCCGCATTTCGGCTCATATCGTTCCGTATTCTCGTGTAGTCGAGGAGACCTTCAATTGATCCAACGGCAGAAACAGCAACGTCCTGATCCCAGAGTTTCTTTTGGGCGAAGCGCATCACGTCCTTCTCGGTAATGCCACTAATGACTCTCTCGATCTCGGCAGGATCCATTCTTCGCCCAGTGGTGATGATTTGTCGGCCAATATCCTCGGCAACAGCGGTCGTACCATCAAGGGAAAGCAGGATAGAGGCCTTCAGTTGAGCCTTGGCCCGCTCGGTCTCGGCTTCGCTGACGTTGAATGACAGTCGCGACCATTCGCGGAGAGTAAAGTGAACAAGATCGTCGAGGTTGGTCTTGTTCTCACTGACCAAGTAAATACCCCAAAGACTAGATGTGTCAGCGCCTGTCCACCCACGGTCTTCTTTTTGAGACTTACCCAGTATCGCTGTAACTTGTCGAGAAGCTCATAAAGCTATTGGCGAGGTTGTTGGCGTTGACAAACGTGCTGAGTCGGCTTCCAAGATATGGTGAATTGCCCATGGCACGATCCCAGTTGCCAACAATAGCTTGTGTGACCAGCGCAGTAAAATAGTCGTCATCCTTCCAGCTGACACCCTCAACCGCAATGGCGATATGTGCCGTTGGGATTGTGTCGTCTCTTATTCTGACTTCAGAGCCGACAAAGTTGGGCTTGCGCTTCTGCTCGGCAGCAATTTCAGCAGCATACGTTGTAGCTGGTGCAGATTTCAATCCGGAGAAGTGTTTTTCAGCAAGTTTGACCAATTCCTCATGAGGCACACCGCCAGCGCCAACGAGAACCATACGGTCCGCGGTGTAGTTGGTACCGATGTAGTCGACCAAGTCCTGGCGAGAGATGCTTTCGATGTTTTCCTTTGGTCCAAGAATTGTTCGCCCAAGAGGCTGGTGCATGTATGCGGTAGCGTGCAAGTGATCAAAAACCACCTCTTCCAGCTGCTTATCAACCTCCTCTTGCTCTCTTAGAATCACATCTCGTTCCCGTTCGACTGCGGAGGATTCCAGCTTGGAGTTCTGGAGAATATCGGAGAGGATATCAACAGTCTTTCCCACGTCGGAATTGAAGGACTTCGCGTAGTAGACAGTATTCTCACGCTGAATCTTATGTTAGTGCTGAAGCCGACCCAAGCGCAATTTTTCCCTACCGAGGTGTATGCGTTGAGATGGCCACCCATGTTTTCAATTTCGAGCTCTAGCTGGTGCTGACTGCGTCTGTTTGTGCCCTGTATTTTTTGAGCCATGTTTCTTCTAGCAACGTCGTGAGACCGATTGTACCTTGAAAGCCAGATGTTCCAGGAAGTGAGCCGTTCCATTGGTCTTGTCTGTTTCTGCTCTGCTACCAGCGTCGATCCAAACACCAACGGTCGAAGTCTGAGCCCATGGCGAATGTTCCGTCGCAATCTACCGCCAGTCAGCCCATTGACAATTTTGCAGCAGGACTGAGATCTCATACAGTCAGGCCGTTGGAAAGAGTTGTGCTTTCTGTCCTCGTCGGCGTGACGGGATTGGCATAGCGTCTGAGAGGGGATTGAATGGACTTGAGAGCTTGTCGGCTTCGCATGGAACGCTGAAGATTCAGCGCCAGCCGTTGAGACGCCATTGCGGAGTATGAAGAAAGGCACGAAAGAGGAAGAAGCTGAAGATGTTGAAGATTGAGCTTCGGTGCAGGCACTTTCCTGAGGGCAAGCTCGAGATTCACATTGTGCTAAACCAATTTAGGAAGCACCATCTAGCCCTTTACAACTCGTCTGATTGGTCCAAGTTCTGGCAACCAGATTCTTAACACGACTCACGACTACCGTAGAATCTGTCAACACCTACGGAGTATTGTTCTTGAATGGAGGCTGCTACAAGTTGATGAGCACAGATTGCATAGTACCGCTCCATCCGTTATCGTTCCTTGCTGCGACGCTAATCAAAACCGCTGTCCATTATCATGCTGGGCGCTCATCAAGTACTAAAATTCCACATCGTGTCGCCCGTGTCGCCAATACCGCCCAGAGTAGTCCCTTCAAAGTCGAAGAACGGCATACCAAGTCCCATGGAGGGATCTCCGAAGTCGAACGCAGCAGGATCAAGGGAGCTGTAGTCAGTCACATCATCTTGCCCATTCGTCACGACTTCCGGTTTCGCTTCGACGAGGGCCTGACTGGGCGATATCACTGGCTGCTTTGCTTGTTCCCCATTCACTTTTCGATTTTTGGGACGAGCTGGACCTCCGAACGTTTCTGCCATTTTCTCGAGTCCTTCCGCCATTCTGTGTATCAGATGGTCCTTTCCGACATCAGTTGACTTGAAATGTTGTGCCAGCGCATTGATAAGACGTTGAAATCGAACAGTGTCTAAGAACAGCTGGGCACTGAATTTCGTCGCAATTTTCAGCAGGAACATGCATGCAAAAGCAATCATGCCGTGGATGTGATGCGGCACATAGGCAATGGCTATCTGCGCATCCTTGTCCTCGAGAAGAAGATTGATGATAGCTGTTGCGGCGGCTACGGCAGCCGAGGCATTCTCGAGGAAGTATTCCGGTATGACAGCGCCTGTCTCGGGAAGTCCACGGAGCACGTATGATTGCAGATACAGCTTCGCCCAATGATAGTGCATGACTGCGCCTTTGTTGGGCCAGTTGCCAATCCATTGACTCGGATCTGGGTCAAGGTTAGTCTAGAAAGATGGGAGCATCACATATGCCCAACTTACTGTGACGAGAGAACCTAGCTATCCAGTCGTCCAAGTCCCTCTCAAATCCTGCAATCTTGCTAAGAGCAGATGATGGCAACACGGAACCTGTGTCTTCTGGTCCGAGGCTTTCTCGTATCTGATTCATGAGATACATCAAGCAGATCTGTCCGGCAATTCTGCGGTCGGCATCGGTCGAAAGTGAGCATGAGAGGTAAGCTTCCCAACCAGTAATATAACTCTCGTTGTCGCGCATGATTGACGATCGCCCATAAAGAATGGACAAGTGATGATCGCAAATGTAGAGTAGGTAGAGCACCCGAATGCCATCAATGGCCTCTTGTAGCTTTGTTCGATCCACCTTTTCAGGTGATTTGACCGACTCGGAAATCTCATGATAATACTGTCGTAGGTGGAATTCGCTTGCGCGACGAATAGCATATCCAGACAAGGTCCAGGAGATATCACTCAGCCAATATGATCCAAGAACTAGCGCTCTCAGATATTCCATGTCGATCTTTCGTTCGAACATCGCGTTGGCGACCAACCTTCGGTACTCTTTATTGCATATCGTGTACAGATGGCCCAGTTTTGTGTCGTGCAGAGCAGCCACTGTAAGGACACAGGCAGTCAACGTGGGAGAGCGACGCCTGAATGAGTCGAGATCTTTGTAATCAGGACAAATGTGCCATATATATGGATCAAGCTTGCTCAAGTAGTAGTTGGCCAGATGCTCGGCGTCCTCCTGCTTGATGAGGCCTCTTGCAATGAAGTCCGTATCACGAAGCTGCTTGCATATTCGTGACTGATCTTCTGTGATGTTCTCGGAGGCTCTCAGAGATCGCATACCCGTGATTTGATACAACGACTCAATTGGCACATGAGACAAATTGTCGGCGATTGGCGTAACTTTCGGTGAGTTGTCGATTGATTGATCTTCATCGTCCGGATCGTTTCCTTGCTCTTCATGGTCGAAGAAGATTGCGGGATCTTGCGTCGAAACGAGCATCTGCGGCAGAGGTGGTAGTTGTAATGTCCGCACTATTTCTTCCACCACAGAGTACAACGAGGTCACATCCTTGGTCACTGCCGCCTTCCACTTGGAATCTTCCGACATGAGTGTTTGCAAGCTCTTGTTCAAACGACATGACAATCCTCGTTCTTTGCATCTTTGGCACGGCGGATCTCCGATCATGATACATTTTATCTGCACAGACATCGGTCAGTATAAACCAGGCAAGAAGCTTTTCAAGCCGACCTTTTGCTTGCGACAGGCGGCGCACGCCTTGACCTTCCTCGAGATTCCAGGCAGTTTACTCGACTCTTGTTGGGCGCCGTTGGAGGAATTGGTTCGTTGAGGTTTCGGAGGAGCTTTGGCGATCAGTGGAGGTTCGTCAAAAGAGCTGCGACTCTTCTTCGGCGAAAGAGCTTGGCCCGGTGAAGCGAATGACTGCGGCGAAACCGACGAAGCTGCTCGTTGCAGGCCAGCGACTGGCCCTCGCGGGGAAGGCAGATTCGCCTCTTGCCAACTCCGCTTCGACATGGTGAAGAGGCAAGGGAAAAGGTGACCAGCCCTCAGCTGTTATGAGAGTGATACTGCTTGTCTATGCACAGCAATGTGCTAGCATCATTCCTATCAGCTCAACAAGGCTCGTCGCAACCTGGAAGAAACCTGTGAGTCGAGAAGCAGATCTGACAGAGCGGAGAAGAATCGATTGATAGCGGAGAGTTTGCTCGGCGGCTTGTTAGGGTGGGAGCTCTTGCTCGCTAAGGCTAGGGAGCCCGCGATGGTTGCCAATAGAGGCCGATTAGGAGCATCGACAGACCCCACGGCTCCCCACTGAGGACTCTTAGGGGCTGTCAATGGAGGACGGGGGGCACATTTGGCCTGGTCCAGCCTTGGAAATGTCACGCCTTTCCACACCACAGTACTTGTGGCCAAGCCAATCAGCTCGTCCATAAAACTGTGACGATCACGCACACGAACAACCTGCCCTTGCTGGTAGAGGGTAAAGTGTTGCGTGCGTCTCGGCATTTTGTCTATATCTGTCAAGAAGACAGGCTGGATTCACTGGATCGCTCAAACCTGAGGGCCAGATGCCGGTCTTTAAGTGTCCTGAAGCCCTGCGCCAGACGCGTCTCAAAGGGCTGGGCGATGCTAGCAGCCACGGCTGAATGTCAATGCCTAGCTTCATGTGCAAATGAGCTGTCCCCTCAGCACAGCTTCAGGTCATACGAAACATGGCGTAGAGCGCTGCCTTCCATTGGCTCTTGCGAACGGTGACAACGCCGACGGTTCTTTGGATTGCAGCTCAGTTCTACACTGGCGAAGTATAAGTACTGTAGTCTGGTGCGAGTAGCTGTTCAAGGCTCGCTGAGCTTTTCTCCTTCAACTTGCTAAAATCAGTGACTCGAAACATTAGGTAAGCCCTGATTAGTTTCGAATAACACCATATTCATGGAGGATCTACGTACGGCGCTTGAAACCCTTAATTCCTCAACAGCAGCCATACTTGAACATCTCAAAGGAGACGATGCACATTCCACAAAGTTACTTGACGAACTCGAATCGGCCCCTGATCATATCAGGAAAGCAAAGACCTCAATCTTCGAGTCTACTACAGCGATACAGCAGCTTATCGCGGGTCCGGTAGAGTATCACCAGCAATTATTGATTCACGTATGTATTATATTCTACCTACGATAAACTGCCATGCTAAGAGGCTCAGTATCAATACACCGCTTGTGTACGGTGGCTATCTCGATATGAAGTACCGACGATTGTGCCCGAGCAGGGCAGTATGACCTACTACGAAGTTGCTCGGAAAGCAAGTGTGCCTGAAAGTCAGCTGCGTAGGATCTGTCGCATGGCCATAACGAGTGGGCTGTTCCAGGAAGTCGATGAGGATACACTGGCGCATTCAACCCTGTCGAAGAAGCTCCGTCAAGGCTCTCCTTTCCTTGATGCCATGATGTTCTTGACGGAGATAAGCTCCAGATCTGCGTCCAAGATGGTAGAAAAGACGGAGCGTTTCGGGTTCACCTCTTCGAAAAACGAGACCGCTTTCAACATCGCATTTGACACGGACTTACCTTTCTATGGCTATCTATCCCAGAACTCGGCGTTGGGTGCTCGATTTGCAGGCACAATGAGATTCCTCGGTGCTGGTCAGGAATTCAACCTCGATCATCTCATCAATGGGTATGACTGGGCAGGGTTAGGGGAGGCGACGATTGTTGATGTAAGTCTTTCGAACTGATCCTTTTTGGTTCATACTTATGTATTCTAGGTTGGCGGATCACAAGGCCACGCGAGTATTGCGTTAGCGTCCAAGTTTCCACGTCTCCGTTTCATTGTGCAAGACCTTCCGGACGTCGTCGAACGCGCCAAAAAGAGCTTGCTTTCCTGCCCACTCGAACCATCTGTGGCTTCCCGCCTGACGTTCGAAGCGCACAATTTCTTCCAACCACAACCGCACTCATCTCGCGGCGCAGATGTCTTTTTTGCCCGACTTATCTTCAGTAATTACGATGACAAAGAAGCTGTAGCCATCCTCAATAACCTTGTCTCCGCGATGGGGCGAACTTCGCGGTTGATCATCATGAGTGCCGTGCTACCCGACCCTGGGACAGTATCTCTACGGCAAGAAGCACTCGAAAGGGCTACCGACCTGGGAAAGCTACAGCTATTGAATGGAAAAGAGCGCGATCTACGAGACTGGAAAATGCTTTTCGAGCAGGCTGATGCAAAATTAGCACTTAAATCCATGACGAAGCCCGTGGGAAGTACTCTCAGTATTCTGGAGATCATATTGGAGGGTGCAAGCTAGCCAGTATAATGTCTACTTGGAAGATACTTACTTAGAAGAAGGAGTTTGACTTCCGAAATGCCATCCACATCCCCAGTGCATCACATCTCATGCTACTTGATGAGGGCATTGTTGGCTCAAACAATCTCGAGCATGCTGGGGTGGTCTCCTACACCGGTGCTGATGCCCAAGTGACTTCTGTTGAAATTCGCCACTTGCTTGACCCAGAAGTGATAGTGCAGGGTGCGTTTGAAGCATAGCAGCACGTTTGACTCTCCGGACGCGCAGGATAAATGAACGACTACCACTGGATGAGCAGGCGAGGTATTCCAGGTTAACGCACTCACGCGCAACGAGATCTTCAACCCGGATGATTTGCAGCGATGTGCATGCTGAAAGAGCTTACTCGCGAGTACCTGGAGGAGTCCGACACAAGGGCAAAGATCGATGAGTGTGCCCAGGCTTTGGCAAGGAAGCTGGCTGCTGTTCAAGGTGTCAATCGGTCGGATAACGGAGTCGTTGGCAATCCTTGAAAGTATCCTGTCTGATGAAGTCAGCGATATGGCGATCGGATCGAACGATCTTCTAGCTTGTCGTTTCAATGGTACGGTCCCTTTCGTGATGGACGGCGTTTGGTTAGCACACTCTATTCAACTTCAGTTTGAGTCTTATTAGAGCAGCGCTGTCTCAATAGCCCTTCGCCACTTGAAAATATAGTGGACGTACATTATAATGTTGGAGCCCAAAAGATTTACCTATTCAAACTGTGGACATTCCCTGTATGGGGCGGTTTTCGTATCAACCTGATTTTGCCCAGACAGTTAACTTTGTTCCCTGCACTCTCCAAGTTGGTCCGCTCTATTTGCTCTGTCCTCCTGGCATCCTCGATCAGTTTATGGTGAGTTGCAAGCAACGCCCTCTGTTGTGAAGCCGGTAAATGCAAAAGACTTCTCCGGTCATCTGCACGAAGTCGTGCGAGTTGGTTGCTGAGCGTGCATTCTTGCTTCAGCGCTCTTGTGCTCAGTTCGCCCAAGGAATGAGAAGGTGTCTGGGCAGCATTTGAGGTTGGTTCGGCATTGGTATCAGTGTGTGATTGCGGTGTCGGCGTCGGAGTCGGTAGTGCTTGGTCGAGCGGAGAATCTGTCATGTCGGGGCCATGTTTGTGTGAAGGCTTTGGTTGTCCTGGTTTCCTCCGTCTCACCTGCGATGGGAGTTGAGGGTCGTCCGAGAAACGCATGCCGTGCAGGTTTTGTTGCAGTAGTTCCTCTCTTGTCTCCGATGAGTAGAATTCATAAAAGTCTCTGAGCTCAGAATCCTCGTCCAAAATGTCATATTTGCAATGGCCCTTCGCCATCATGTGCTGCTGCACCGCTTGGCGAGTGCTCCGCTGCGTTCCACAGTATAGACACTCGTAACGCCCGGAAATGACGAGATGGAAGTAGGCGAGGAGGGACCCGACGTCCACCAACAGATTCGTAAGGTCTACGTATAGACCATGGGCCTTTAACATGTGGGACAGATTCTGGTCCAGGTCTGGGCTCGTCTGGTTGCAGAACAAACATTGAGATTCATCGAAATCGTAGTCGATGGTGGGAGACGACGGATTGACGGTGTTGTCGCTATTCTTGTCGGAGGTTTGCCCTCGAAGTGGAGCAGCAAGGATGCCGCTTCGACCCAATTCGCCTTCCATAGTTGGAGTGGTAGTAGTAGTGTCGCACGTTAGTGGCATCAATGTCGGATGTGTGTAGGGCACAGAAAACCTCAGATGCTGAGAGGAACGACTTTCGGATCGGGATTCTTCCTAGTGGATGTTCACGAATTGGGTTGATGACGGTCTGTTCATACAGTAGGTTTCTGAAGAAGCATACGTTATGTAGAATCTTGCGCCAAGAGAAGCAGCATGGTGTGAGAACTCATGGTGACTCACTGGATGACTTCATGCGAAGTGATACTTACGGACGTACAAGCTGTCGAGGCTGTGTAGGGAATACTCGTACCAAACGAGGTGACTCGTAGTATCGCCGGACTGCTCGCATCCATCGGATGAACAACGGTCGAGCGGTCTAGAATAGAGCCATCGTGCTAAGTTACACCGCCTCTCGGCTTACCTGCTGTTTCCTGAGTCTTCTGGGCCTTTTGGTCTTCTCTTCTTGGAGGATAATGTTAAACAACTTCCACTTCGTTAGCACTTCTGGAGCTCTAGATCAATACTATATCTAGTTGGGCTCAAATTGCTTTGGAAAGCCCAACAGTATCGTTTTCGAGGTCGAAAATCGAATACCATCGTCTCAAAAAAGCATTACCAAGAATGAAAAGCGGTCCAATCTTCTCGCCTGTCTCTAACCCTTAAAAGCAAGAAATACAGCTTCCACCTTCCAATTCGAGGATGTAGTCGTACGCAGAGATGCTAAAATTCGAGCCAGACAGGGTCAATGTAAGGGTCTGGGAGCTGATTCCTCTTGCGACAATCGACCTCATAAAGTCCACCAGAGACCTACTTGGCGCCAATGTTGCGATTAAGGTATTCGGCAAAATGAGTTGGCATAGCGATGAGAGAAGTTCGGGTGTCAAGGGTGGCAAGCACCGATATTTAGATCACGAGCAACCGCCTCACCAAGCGAAAAGGCATCTAAGTCGACCTCCCAGAAGATGTTCCTCCGAAGAGGAAACGTCAAGACCGTACCTTCATAAGCAGCATTATCGATGCCACCTAGGGTGCAAAAGGACTCTGTACCTCTAGCCGTATCTCCAAAATAAAACGAGAAGACGGGCTTATCAAGGAGTTTCTCGTCCAGCATACGATAGAAAGGAGGCCTGATGCCATTGATGGCAACGGCGTCGTGGCCATGGCCGAATATTCCGTCGAAGCTGCCACTTGCGATAAGTGAATCTTCGTGAGTGACCTCGGCGAAAAGTTGGTGCTCGATCTGCAAATCGCCGACCCAAAGGGTATCTTGAGAGATGTGTCCTGAGACACCTCCGGTACCATATTCCGTACTGAACTGAGAACCATTCTTTTCGAACGTCGACGACCACGTTGCATTGTACCTGGCATGGCTTTGGCAGATAGTCAGGCGACATTGGCCAGGCACCCAAAGATTCGCGCTTCCAGTGTCTATCACAACTTTGAAATACTGTGATGGAGTGCCGATGCCGATGGTGCTGTAATATTGGCCGTTGAGGATATTGCCAATGGGTAGATCGATCTCATGAAGCACGAGCTGGCCATATTTGTTTGACAGGGCTCTTGCATGACGGAGGAGACTCGCTTGATCCTGGTGACTAGGCACTTGGTCAAGCTTTAAGTGAAGACTATGAGCAAATACGCAGCTATACAGCATACATAGTAGCACTGGGAATAGATTCATGCTGGGGTGGGGGATCTGGCAGGTTTTCGGCAGGTGCCAGCTTGGGCTCTCTTGTAGGTCACCGTGCTGCTCAGGGAGTGCTCGGTAAGGCTCAGCTAATGGCTCAGTTAACGCTTAGGTTACCGCAGCCTTTGCTCACCCCTCTAAGATTAAGCCGTATATAGTGACTAGGTTACATCGTTGGTGAGCAATCTAGGTAGGTGTTTCTGAACACTTCCAGTTACCATTTAGGAGTTAGCTCACAATATGGACGAGATGCTAGAGGGTCCAGCGACCAGCCAATCACGGTGGTCATTATTCGAATCACTCGGTCTGCTCCTCGCTCACGTGGATCTTGGCACCTCGGGAACTCGTAGCGCAGCTAGCTTCGTATCATTGACATACCCTCTTTCGAGCATCTATCGAATCTTTAAGTCACCTGCGATAGACATAGTCCAAGCCTCCCGTCACGATGGCAGCGTCGTCGAGATCCGCCATGCTCCGACAAGCCCGGCTCCTCTCATCCTCTTCACGACTCTTCTCGACGACAACGACCCAACCATTTCGACTCCTCCGACCTGCTCCGTCGGTGCTTCCCAAGCAATTACTCGTTCCCTCCTGGGCAGCAGCCTCTCGCTATGCACCATTCTCGACGACCACAAGCAGAAAGATCCTCCCGCCGGGCCCGCAGGTGATTGAGGGCGGCGTGAACGATCCTGCGCCCGTGCCAAAGCCGGATCCTCTCCACGGCGCCTATCACTGGACATTCGAGCGATTGATGTCCGCCGCCCTCGTGCCGTTGACCATGGTCCCCTTCGCGTCAGGGAGTATCAGTCCCACCCTCGATGCCGTGCTAATATTTGGGATTATTGTGCATTCGCATATTGGGTTTCAGTGCGTTACCTCTTGTTCCTCGCCTCTCACATCACACAGATGCAGAGATGGAGTTGCACTACACGATGATCTGGGCTAATCGTTCGCGTGTAGGTCCATTGTGATCGACTACATTCCAGTTCACAAGCACCCAACACTGCGGAGGGCGTTTATGTGGGCATTGAATTTAGCCACCTTGATCGTCGGTATTGGCTTTTACGAATTTGAGACCAACGATGTTGGTGTCACGGAGGCAGTCAAGAGGATATGGCATGCCGGCGAGAATGATGCGACAATTGGGAAGACAGAGCTCTCTGGGTTGGGCCACGATGGGAAGCTGAAGCATCTGAAATAGATCAGCAGCTTAGGACTTGCGGCAGCGGATGGCTGAAGGAGTCAGTGATTGGTAAACAGACATGTATATGACACAAACACACACACTGCTGGAGATCGGAAGATAAGGGTGTCGCGCAGCGAGCGTTGAATGCCTGTCGATACCGGTCGATCAAACACTTTTTCACGTACTTCCAGTGTCTAGCTATCCCAGTCTATCATACCCATATTGCTGCTCCAAACGCCGCCAATGCATGACATTCATTGCTCTTCCAACGCCCATTACAATGCCGTTCCAGTGGACAAGGGGCCTATTCCTCATCTAGTAAGTCCTCCTCCTCGCCTAAGTTGTCATCATCATCCGCCTTGAAGATGACCTTCTCAATGAGCTTCAATGTCAATCTCAACGGCAGTCCAACGACATTATCAAAGCCGCCCTCTATCCTCTCAACCAAAATCGCGCCCGTGCCTTGGATGCCGTAGCCCCCGGCCTTGTCCGCGCCCTCTCTTGTCCGTACGTACGCGAGCAGCAATTCGTCTGTGATCTCCCGATCGAACTTGACCACCGTCTCCTCGGTGCCTGATTCGAGCGCATAACCCGGGTCGCGCGCTGACGCTAGCGGCGCGATACAAGTGACAGCTGTGTAGACTCTGTGAGGTCCGGTGTCGCGGAGGGACTGGAGCATCTGGACATGGTTGGCTTCGGAGCGGGGCTTTTCGAGGATCTCGCCTGGCGCCGAGACGACAATGGTGTCTGCTGCGATTATAAGGGCCGGTTCCCCGTTGGGAGAGTCGAGTTCGGCTTTGTATACGGAGAGTGCTTTCTGGGTTGCTGTCGCCAGGACGTATTCCCATGGAGACAATGTGTGGGGAAGATCCTCGGGGAATTTGGAGGGGATGGTTTCGATGTTTGTCAGGCCGATCTGGGCGAGGAGTTGCTTGCGGCGTGGCGACTGGGAGGCGAGGATGACACGCCGACCGCGGAGGGCATTCAGGGCGGGGATGTCGAGTGGTGGAGGGGGTCGTAGGCGTCTGGGACCAGGGGGTTGTGAAGTGGTAGATGGTTGAGATCCAGTGGCGGGAGGAATGGAGAGGGCTTCGTAGGAGGGAGGGGCGTCTTTGGGTGGTTTCTGGTCTGTCATTGTCTGAGGATCAACAAGACAAGACGAGGCTGCGAGGTATGGGTGAGTCTGAAGAGGAGCGGAATCAGGTACAGGTACAGGTGCCACGAGGTGCTCGTACATGAGGCCGGGCCTTGCAGAGGATGGCGTATGCATGTCCGTCAGGTACCGATTGGAGGCGGTGGCAGAAAAAGTTGCTGTGGGGAAATTTCTGGAGGGATTCCGCCCTGATACAATTGAGTCATTCTGTACTGTGCACAGGTTGAGTCGACATAGATCTCCAAACACTCTCAGCAGAAGCAGTCTTGTTCAAGAGATCAGCAGGAGAACAAGATGGCGACAACACTACACTTACGCTCCGAGTCCAAGCCTCTCGAGCACCGCTCAGCTTGTAGGTCGGACTCATTCTCACGCGAGCTCTACTAATACACTCCAGTAACTCCCACCACGACCAAAGCACTTATCGACGCAGGCTACAAAGTCAACGTCGAACGGAGCCCCGAACGGATATTCGAAGATTCCGAGTTTGAGGCTGTAGGTGCTACTCTCGTGCCTACAGGCACTTGGGTGGACGCTCCAGAGGACCATATCATCATCGGCCTCAAGGAGTTACCGGAGGATAAATGTACTCTCCCCTCTAACCTTCTTCACCTCTCCGACCACCCGCTGATCATACTTTGTTTCTATCAGTCGCCCTCAAGCACACACACGTCCAATTCGCCCACTGCTACAAAGGCCAAGGCGGCTGGCAAGAGGTGCTGTCCCGCTTCCCTCAAGGCGGCGGTACATTGCTCGACCTCGAGTTTCTACAAGACGACACTGGCAGGCGCGTCGCTGCATTCGGCTACCATGCCGGCTACGCGGGCGCCGCACTCGCCGTCGAAGCGTGGGCGTACCAATTACAACACCCCGACGCAGAAAGCATGCCCTCCGTATCAAGCTATCCAAACCAAGACCTTCTTCTAGACGACGTGAGATCGCGAATGGCCGAGGGCGAAAAGATCGTGGGACGCAAGCCAAAGGTTCTTGTCATTGGGGCCCTCGGCCGCTGCGGCCGCGGAGCCGTCGATCTTTGCACCCAGGCTGGCATACCAGAAGAGAATATACTCAAGTGGGACATGGCGGAGACCGCAAAGGGAGGGCCATTCAGCGAGATCGTCGAGTCCGACATCTTTGTCAACTGCATATACCTGTCCGATCCGATCCCGCCATTCTTGAATGAAGAGAGTCTGGCGAGCGAAAAGAGGAAGTTATCTGTCGTGTGCGATGTGTCCTGCGACACAACGAACCCACATAATCCGGTGCCGATATACACCAAGAACAGCACGTTCAAGAGCCCTACGATAAAGGTGGAGGGTTATGAAAATCCACCACTGTGCGTTATCAGCATAGACCATCTGCCCAGCCTGTTGCCCAGGGAGGCCAGCGAGGCGTTCAGTCAAGCTCTGTTGCCGAGTCTGTTGGCGCTTAAGGAACGCAAGACGAGCCGTGTATGGCAGCAGGCAGAGGAGTTGTACAACAGCAAGGTCGCCACACTGCCGGAGACGCTGAGAGGGGCAGTGAATAAGGTTACTGGGTCAGCGTAGAAGACCAGAGATGCGAGAAATCGATATCGCAAGAGAAAGACGCGTGCAATAGAAGGATGGAATAGAGTGTTGTAAATACTCGGTTCATCAGGTTGGTGGCTCCATCAACCGACTGTACAGCAATCACAGCAATGTCCTCTTTTTCTTTTTACCTCTGCCTTCGCCACCTTTCTCATGAGTCTCGTTTGAAATCTGCCCGCCAAATCAGATGCTGCGCTAAGCTTGCATGATTCTGTGATATCACACCGTGTTGTATGTCTACTTTGCATTTGACTGCTTACTGTTTCAGCCCTGCATCCTCACTTCCCCGCTTGCAACATCTCCAATCTTCCGCTTTGAGCCGGCGGGTGTCTGTTGCTCTCCGCTGCCCTCCTCGAGGAACTCTGAGATTTCCCATTCAACTCTCGTGTTGCCGTCAGGACTGACACCAATACCTCTTCGGACATTCTGCGTGCGACCCAGTCTGCTACCCTCAAGCATTTCTTCGAACCAGGACAATCCTCCGGCTCGGCCGCTGCGTTCCGTCCGGGTGAGTCCTTGAGTCTGCTCTTCCCTCACAGGTGCTTGTACGGCTGTTTGTTGGGGGCCTTGTACATCTTCCGGCTGGACATCCTCAGGAATTAAATCAAGTTCTTGAAGTGCTTGTATGTCCCTTCCAAGTAAGCTGCCCAGGGTGATGTTCATGAAGTCGGCCTCGGAGGGAGGTTGCTCAGTCCAGTAGGACAAATGTGTGCCACAGTATCCACAGAAGACTCGTTGAGTGTGGGGACTATGCAGAGGAGTGAAAGACCGTCGAATCGAGGTATGTGTTTCGTCAGGGAAGAACGCTTCAGTCGAGGATGAATACCAGGTCAACGGGACTCGGAGCCATGCTGTTAATGGTGTGGCCTGGCTTCGTCCTGACAACAAGTTAGCATTAGGATAGCTCATAGCAATTTGACATACTGCTTTCACTGCTGTCATCAAAAAACACTTGGGCTCGTTCTGTAGCAGTTTCCGGAACAGCAATTGTATAGTGGATGCGGCCGCAGTTGCAAGCGCCTTGGAGGGGCCGTAGTCTGCTCATTTCGACCGGGCTGAAAGTGCGTGTAACGGGATTATGTGTCTGACAAACGATTCAGAGTTTGCAAAGATCTGGAATTGGTGTTGTTTCGATGTTAGCAAAAGAAGGTGTTGGATCCATTCATGGTGTAATGATGGAAGAAAGCGGAATCGACTTTACAAAAGAACGACGGGGATAATCACATGCACGTCACTCATAAAGCCGGGTCCAGCGTGAAGCAACCTGATTGGACAGGAGGAAGGGACCTTCCGGCCATCAGTCTTTCAGACAAGAATTGAACTTCAGGATACCATCGACTACATCTTCTCTAGATCTCAGCCAACAATGATCCTTCAGAGTCAATAGCTGCTGTCTTTCGCCGAAGGGAAACATCGGGGGAAGAAATTTCAGTTCCTATCGTCATTCGTTTGATCTCTCGTTGATCTCTCTCGGCCCACGAATAATCCTTCACCATCGACGTCAGTATATTAAAGCTCGTATGTCTCTCAGATCCCGGTGACTATCATCAAAATGTCAACCGGTGATGCGACGGAGTCCGCCCCTTCATCAAGGGCGTCGTCAGGGGAACCTGAGGCAAACAATAGTATTGGGAAGGCAGCAAGTTCATCAAAGAAATCAAGCAAAACATCCAAGCCTCGGTTAACTGCTTCTCAAAAGAACTTCAACCATAAGGATGCCGAAAACAAAAGACGCACAGCCATTCGAGAACGTTTCACTGAGCTGTCTCACATGGTTCCTGGAGCTATGGGTCAAGAGAAAAGTGAGCAAGTCATGTTGAACAAGACAACAGAGTACCTCAAGCAGATGCTCGAAGAGCAGCGAAGATTGGAGGCCATGGCAGATCGGCAGGGAATTCCAATTGATGATGCCGGGCGATTGAGGGATGACGATTTGGGAGGTCCAACTTGGCAGCCAAGGAACATGGAGCACTACGAGGCTAGCAAGCAGAAGAGAGGCGATGGTAGTGAGCAGAATGCTGATGATGACAATGATTGATGGAGGCCTTCTCAGAGCATTTGCTGCGAGCCTTGGATGGCTTATTAAACGCTGGATATGTTGCAGCCACACCATGATGGATCACAAGTGTGATGAACAAGAACGGACGGCTTAAAAGGCATAACCGTACTTGACAGGGGAGGCCACTGGTGATATCGACCTTACTGACTGCCGCACCTTGTCAACACGGCATCCGCTTTCAGTGAAGGTGTGCTCGTCTACCGCGCCAACCAAAACACCCACCAACTGCTTCACCTACGCGCGTATCAAAACACAACAACGTGCTCATCCCTTCATCGAAGATGTCCCTTGCTTGATATCCCACACTCATTGCAGCCATGTTCTCTCAGCGTGAGGGGCACGGGTGTTCTCCAGACACTCATCCACCCGTCAGACCGACTGGGCTTCGTTCTCGAAGCACGACTTCGAAAATGCCCTCTCATCTTGGCCAAGCTCATTCCGATTCACTCAATTTGAAGCCGCGCCACGGCGGAGAAACGCCTCCATCGCCTCCAAAGATCTTGCCTCTGTTCGCCTCTCCTCGTCCCTCCGACTGCAAAGAGACGAAGAAAACCTGGGTCGGTAGCGCATCGAAGCGTTTGCGGTTTCCGAAGCTGCGCGAAAAGGTGAGCTTTGCGAAAGAGCAGACACCACCATCTTCAGAGAAGGATCAGACACCTAAGAACTCGTCAACACGGAAGCTCATCGTATGTCATCGGATTGGCTTAAGTCACGATACTAATCCATCTACAGATCGGGCCAAAGACTCGCCTCGCGACTCCAGATGAACGCCGTCAACCAAACGCGCCAATTCGTCCGCACCGTCCTAGTCCAAGCCCCAGTCCAACCGACAAACCTCTGCCTAGTCTTCCAGTGGCGACAGTCAAATACAAATCCCCTGTGCGCAGATCTCTCATCGATTGCAGTGAACGCCCTCTTCGACGCTCTATCTCGCCTCCCGATGGGGGACCACCAAAAGAAGAGGATTGGCCATCAATTCAGCCGTCAAGCATCTCCGCCACGACTAACCTTAAACCTGACAAGTCCTTGGTAAAACCAAGCTTGGGCGAGAGCATTATTGAAGGCATGCGAGGATTGAATCTGGAGGACAAGAAAAATGAGGCCAACAAGCCACTCACACCAATTGAGTTTGGCAACTCGTCGCTGAACACAAAAGGCTTCAAATTCGACACGACGAAAGATGGCCATGATACACCTTCAGACGCGCCAGTCAATGCTTCTGGACGTCCCTTATCATCTAGTCAGCTTCCCAAGCCACGCGACTCTATGCTGCAATCACTCTCACGCCATACTGATAGCCCTGTTGTGCGACAAACGAAGACCTCGGCCATGCGACTACAAAACGCAGCGGGCAAGAGGACCTGGAGCTCTGGTGAAAAGAGGGTGGTGGATGAAGGCACGCTTCCTTCTATTCATGAACAGTCACCGTCGCTGAGAAAATCGAGACAAGTCTCTGGTGTTGGTCCCATTCGTTCAGCTTCCCGTGGCCGCCATGGAGTCACAGCTCGTGGATCGCCTTACACGCTCCCGTCTCGATCCAAGTCAAGATCAAAGACTGCATCTCCAGCCAATGTCAATCGAGCGCAATCTGATACTCAGTCTATGGTCATCTCGGTCGGCTTTTCAGCCGCACATACAACTGGTACCGGCCCAGAACATGTAAGAAAGCCCTCTACAGGAAGAGACACTGTTAGGCATAGCTCTATTCCAATTCCCAGCCGCCTGAAATGCGACCGAGTTAGCACGGGCAGCTCCAATGTCAACGCCAAGCAACAAACTGCTTCCAACGCCAACTTGAACGGAGAAGCGACAGATTTTGAAAGCGAGTGCCACCTCGAATCATCAGATACAGCTGGGACGGTCGATAACCACGAACTATCCGATTATCTCTCAGGCTCTGATGATAAGTTCCTGAGTATCAAAGACGTGCTATCAGCGCCTGCTACACGAGACGATGAGTCAGTCGCTGGGAGCAATTCTTCTAGTGACACGATCCGCGGCTACGATGCCTTTGGTGGTTTCCGGGTTAAGCGTCTTGGACATGGACCGCTTGAAGGACCAACGCTTCGTATTACGGATTCAGCACGAGGAATTCTCCTGGGCGACGAAAAGGCAGCGAGCAGTCCTCCGGCTCCAAATGATAGCAACGTCATTCTCAGACGCAAGAGGAGTGCTCCGGATCTTGGCCGGCGGCTACATGCGATGGAAGACGGTCGACGCAACAGTGCAATGTTCGATTTCGAACGTCCATTGTCCTTTGTTGCGAGAAACATCACAGACCGCTCATGTGAGTTCAAAGCACTGGATGACGACGAGGTCCGAAAACTAATCGGGGACAATAACTCCGCGATAAGCTCGGAACCAGCAGAATTGCAAGGCAGTGAAGTCGAATTGCCAGCGCCCACCGACTGCAAGTCCAGTGCGGTCATTGCGGAAGAGGCGCTAAGGGAATCATATGAGCTCCCAAGAAGTCCAGCTTCAACTCAATGTGACTGGCCCGGCAAAGACTTTGCTGAATTCAACTTGTGCTCTAGCCCGACTCGGTCGTCTCCAACAAAGAGCAAGTCATCCTTCTATACGGATGCTGAAGTCATGAAAGGATCTGCAAGCGTTAAATCGGTCTCATCCAGGCCTTCTACAATTGTCCTGCGGGCTCCACCGAGCAAGGAGATTGCACCTTTTCTCTTCCAGGGTCACGATGCGGAATGTACCAAACAAGCTAAGCAGATGCGTGGGGTGGGTAACAAAGTCGCTGCAGCATCGAGGACGCCGAGCGCAGACTCAAGCACGAACTTTCCACCACGAACCTCGTCGAGAAAGCCAAAACCACCACCAATCATTGTCTCTCCACCAAGTCAGCCACCATCTGCATACCAGGCTTGCGGGTCGAATATCCACGAAGTAGATCCCGACTCGCTCAAGAAGCCCAAAAATGTGAAGACCTTCTCTCAAAGCATCGGCTCCCACACCGATTCGATCAAGGCTCGAAGAGCTGCCCACAAACTGGGCCACAGCCCTTCGTCGAGCAGCAAGAAAGTCATCTCCAACATCCGAGGTCTTTTCCACAAGCGCTCAGTCGAATCCCCTGCAGAGTCTAGCGGCTCCATTCGACGCAAACCTGTGCCCAACGACAAGATAACCAATCCGTTGTCATTGAATCCTCCAAGTGCGGAGCAATCTGGCGAAGCTCGCATGTTCCACTACCCGAACCGAGGGGCACGAAACATCATCCGCAACCCGTTCATCAGTCCCACCACGCCGTTCACCGCGACCGTCAAGCAATCTCCCGACCCGGGTCTGCACACTGCGAGACATCCGTCCACCGGTGTACAAGCTCAATCGTCAAGCGGGACGCTCTCCAATGCGACGACGCTGACGCACAGCCTTCTTCACCTGGCACATTCCGAGACCAATGTTCAGCGCAAGACTCATCTCATTAATATGAGCAAGTGTATGGTCGAAGTGGTCAGCGCTGTGAGAGACGCCGAGAAAGCAATGGAGAAGGCCAAAATGGAGGCCGCCAGGGCCGAGATCAGTTGGCTGAAGGTCCAGAAGGAGGTGGGCAGTATGATGGAGGCGGTGTCGAAATTTGACACGCTGGAGCGGAAGGACGCGAAGTAAGAAAATGACACGACAGGGCTGAGGAGTTCCTTTAACATTCCTTGATTCTCCCAAGAGCAGGTTCAGGGATATTGTACGCTGGAGAAATGGCGGTTATGACCGAGTTTTGGAGTGGTCACTCGTTTTCTTCATGGGCTGAATATCTGGTGTCCGAGGCATGAATCCATTGGGCATACGAGATTTGAAGGGGTTAGACACTGATCATGCAGGCATCGACTCGCCTGGGGAACGAGACAACCGCAGCCGAGTGTGTTCGTTTCATCAGCTCCAGATCAAGGATATCTGTTTGTGTATGTTGGAGAGAGAGTTCTTGGTTGGAGTGAATAGCGACATCATGCATATGTGAGCCGTGAGGTCCAGCTAGCGGCCTGGGCAAGGGAGGCTTGATACGGCACAGGTCGACTCCGCGAAGTCGAAGTCCATGGCTCTTGTAGGGCTCGCTCAACTTCCGAAAATGTAGAGTATCAATGAGCAATCAATCACGCAAGAACTTGAAATGATGGAAAAAGGAAGATGCTGAAAACGTTGGAAACGTCAAAAATAAGAACATGAGAAAATTATTTAAGGACTAACAAATTGTCAACACCGATGAGCGCATCCCAATTCACCATCCAGGAAACTGTACAGTGCTTCTCGACCGCTAGATTAAGTTGATGATTAGAGGTATGCGACATCGAACCATTTATCTGCTTTGCGTTGTGGCGGACTGTCTCTCTCGGCTCGTACTACGACACAATGGGCGGTCGAAATCCTTCCGGTCGTCTGTTCCCTGGGATTCTGGGTCTACATCCTTGTGGTAGCGGCTCTTGAATAACTGACCGTACGAGACTCTGGACCCCTTAGTGATTGTCGAATCCATAGACTTACACTGGGGGACCTAGTACTCGCCCTTTCCGTGAGCCGGAACATCACGCTGGTCTTGGTCACAAGCAGCAAGTACTACGGTATCATGAGTAAATCGTGTAATGAAACTCGATTGAGGGGGGTGCGGAACAGCCGTCGCAGCAGCAGCTGGACCTCGCGTTTACCAGAGGCCCTCCTACCACACATTGTCGTCGCCGCTGTTTGTCGTCGAATGGCACCCCAGCGCCAAATGATACGATTTACCCATGAGTCCGTAGTACGAGCCTGTTGAGTCAGTTCATGCCGGATAAGTTTTGCTGAACGTACGACGAACTCGGGACCGAAATTGCACCTGACAGGAGCATCTGCTGGGAAACCAGCAGGTAAACCAGATGCAGAAGGAGAAATGGATGGGGATCATTGAGCTTTTGTCAACATTGAATCTTTTGTCATTCGTCTCGAGATACCTTGATCATGCCATGCATACCCCCGGCATCACGCAATCAAGAGATCTTGCACGCTCATTGTCAGCAGGCTCGACTTGATTCCTTGCCACGCAATCGTAGTAATAAGCCCATAACCGCCATGCCATGAAAGACTTGCGCCGTTTCGTCGCTTCGGCCTGCAAGCAGACACCCATTTCTGGTTTTTTTGTGGTCACCATCACCAACATCAGAATGTGCCAGCTGTTTACACCTTGAAACCCTTTGATCGTCTTCGTCCTCTGGCCTTCTCAAATTTGCGACCCTTGCTCTCGATATATGGCTTCTTGTGCTTGTGTGGTCCCATACCGAAGTGCTTGACGGCCTCACGGGCGTTCTTGGGTCCTCGCAACAGAACAACATTGCTTCCAGTTGGGTGCTTCATGGCGAGCTGGTCGAGGGTCATGCACTCACCGCCAGCCTTCTCGATCCGGGCACGGGCAGTGGCTGTGAATCGCAGAGCAGCGATGTGGAGTTCAGGGACGGTCAAGAGGCGGTTGTCATCTGTGACGGTTCCAACGACGGCGATCGTCTTGTCCTTGTAGGCCTTTTGTGCGCTCTCGGTGCTGACTTTGCTGACGATGCGGGAGATGGACATGGGAGGGCGGTTGATGCGGGACATGAAAAGACGCTTGAGCACGATCTTGTTGAAGTTGGCATCGGTTCGGCCTGGAGTTAAAATCTGTCAGTATCGCCTGGCCCATTCATCTGTTCCCATAGTTTGTAACGTACGGGCAAGGAAGCGGTAGAGCTTCACCAAGAGCTTGAGGTAGACATTGTCGCTCTTGGGCGCCTTTCTGTGGCTGCTCCGGACGTGATGGCGATCGAGGTCGATACCTGATAAACTCGATTAGCAGGCTGATCAAATCATCGTAGTCACGTATTCCTCGACATACCCATGATCCCGGTGTTTGTCGGTTTGTGGTTGATTGAGAGTTGGCGACGACGTTCAATTCCGACCTCGAAATTTCTCGCAGCGCAAGCGAATTCGTGGGCTCAAGACAGTGCCAAGATTTGTCTGGCGCTAAAAGGTCTGCCGCTTGGCAGCACATGGTCACGTGACTGATGGTCGACGAGTAGACTAGCCGCGGCTCGGCAGCTGCCAAATGTACCTTATGTTCTACGATTTGATCAGCCTCACTTGCAATGTTTGTTTTTTTGATGATAAGATCCAAAATTGGAACGCTTGCAATTCGCGGTGTTTGTATTTATCAGTCATCGTCCCAATACCGAGGTGCATTCTTTGTACTCCAAGAAAAATGCTCCACCCATTCTGTCTAAGCTTTCCGGTCCTCGACTCCATGAAATGTCCGCTGATCCAGTACATGTCGCGAATACTGTGGTAATGTGCTGCAGCACCCTCGCAAATGCAGCATCAACTGTCATTGCCATCCTGTTCCCACCGAGCTTCATGTCCAAGGTATACCCCAATTCTATGCCGGCTGCGTGGCACGATTTTGCTTATGTGATTGCAAACTGCATCAAACCTCATCATTTCATATAGGGTCTGGTTTGGAAGGCGCCAAATCAACCAAGAAATCCCTCGTCACCTCAAAACTGAGCCAGCTACTAGCCATGCTAGGAGCCACCTTCAACAAATTAGGTACTATGCCCTTATAGAGACCCATAATACCTTCTTGTGAAACGATGGTCCGCACCGCATCCCAGATACCTTTGTACTGGAATCCCATACCAGACATGGAGTTGATCTGGAATCGGCGGCGCAGCACATCGAATGGATAGGTGCACGTCTGTGCAACAGCGCCTGAAATGGCTCCCGCGGCGAGTTTGCGGTACCAAGCAGGATTCTTCTCGCCAGGCTCCGTGAACCAGAACCTGACAGATTCGTACACCATGAAATTAAGACCAACATATGGTGCCACGCCTGCCACAGTCGGGACGATGCCTCGATAGAGACCGAACATCCCTCCTTCGTGTTTGTACATGTTGACCATTGTCTGCCACATACCCGGTAACTTTCCCTCATGTTTCCCGAGTGCTGCGAACGAAGCTGATTGTATCGACAGACGTGTCCGTACGATATCGAGAGGATATGTGAAGGTGACGGATGTAATGCCAGCCAGGCCACCACATATTAACCGGCGGACGGGGTCGAGGTCTGCTCCGGGTGTAGGCTCAAAGAATCCCTTGTAGACGTTGTATGATCCAAATTGGACAGCTGAATAAGGAACAATTCGTACGCAGTTTGTGCCATTGCCCCTCATGAAACCTCTCCAGCCCTCGTCTCTGTACATTTTCCGCAGGGCTTTGGCGATAGACATTCTGTACTCGTTGCGACCTGCGCTTTGTATCTGATAAAGAATCTTCAACCGTTCTAGAGGAGAGACGACAGTTCGGGAAACCGCTCCTGCCACACCACCTGCACAAAAGGCGGCTGTGAACGGTGTGGAGATGAACTCACGCGACCGCGTGAGCATGTCATTTGTGGCCATAGCCGCTGGGTTCTGCAGTTGTTAGGACTATATTGAGCGTGGTACCAGGACACCAACCTGTGGTAAACTTGACAAGTCCCGAATTGAAGTCGAACTCTGACCAATGTTACCGTCCACAGTTGCAGGGTCCTTCTCTCCAAGCTTCATGATTTGGACGCGCTATATGCGCAGACGATAAAGAAAGACAACACGGCAAGTTACTCTGCACTTTTGACGCGAGTGGAGAGCAGGAAGACGGTGTCACAGCAAGTGGTTTTCTGGAATCGCCTGAAGCTGTGGAGTCCATGGAAAATTTTCAGGATGTTTGTTCGCATGTGAAAAGCATAGGGTGTTGTACAATCTGTTTTGCTCCAGGCACAAACGGCACCGTCGTTATCAGGCAGTCGTGCAATCGTGCGCTGCTTTGCAAAAGTCCCTTTGTTTGGAGGTGAAGTCGTGAAGGGGTTTAGGAGAGATGACGGGAAGACCCGGGCGAGTGGAGGAAGGGATGGAACTGGGAGAAGGGAACTTGGAGAGGGAGTTGAAGAATGGTCGTAGGAACAGAGAGGAGAGTTTAGAGATCGGTGTCACCGTCCAGATGTCACAATCAAAGTGAAAAGACCAAGTTGGGAGCCGCGAATATCGCCGTCTTTTCACATCCGAGACTGCGCTTGATCAGAGTACCAGACGAGCCTACAAAAGCCCAATCGCTGTCCAGTCGCAGTTGAGACAATCCAGGATCACCCGCCAAGCCTTTATAGCTATTTTGGACTAGCGGATATTACACGATCGCTTCAGCCTTCTTTCAGCTTTCACGCAGGCTCTTTCATCCATCAATTCCATCTTCGCAACCACTCAACACATCTTCATTCGAAGCCTCGCACTTCTCAGAAGCGCGGCCATTGTTGATTCGGAATACTAGGAACTTACTGATCTCTTTGCCGGCGCCAATCGCCCCCTCTCAATCATGTCCTCTCGTTCAGGTACCACCCTCTATGTCACCGGGTTTGGTCATGGCACTCGTGCTCGTGACCTTGCCTACGAATTCGAACACTATGGGCGACTAGTCAGATGCGACATTCCAGCTCCTCGAACTGCCTCAAGCCGACTGTGAGTTAAAACCTCGGCCCTACAAGTGTCACTCGATCTGATTTCTCACCAGGTTCGCCTTTGTCGAGTACGAGAGCCGCCGAGATGCTGATGATGCCTATCACGAGATGCACAACAAGCGCATCGGTAGAGACGATGTGCTTAAGATCGAGGTTCGTGGCTTAGAAGAAGGGATATTTGACATTTGCTGATCACAAGCAGTGGGCTAGGACTCCTCCGTCGGCTACCTGGCGGTACGAAGCTGGACGTGGCGGCGGCCGCGAGGGTCGTGACAGCCGTGATGGTCGTGAGCGACGCGACCGTACTCCTCCACGACGCAGCTATCGCTCTCCCTCTCCTCGTCGCCGAGACTACTCTCCCCGCAAGGACGAACGCCGAGACCGTGACCGAGAGCGGGATCGCGACCGGGACTACGACGACCGCCGCCGCTCCCGCAGCCCAGCTGATAGGGACCGTGACCGTGACATGAAAGATGATCGGGACCGACGCGACGATGATCGGGACGTAGGAAATGCTGACGATCGCAAAGGTATGATGGACATCGACGTTGTTTGATCCCTGGAATTGAAGCTGACACCCGTATCAGCCGTGGACTCCCCTCCTCCTGCTCACGACGAGCTCGACACTGCCGAGTAAACACATGGTATCGCCATCATGAAGCCACCAATTGTGCTGCGCTCGATGGAAACTTCGAGGCTTGGAAAAGTGCTATTCGATGTGGGAAGACATAGGTTTCTCTTTTTTATCATTGACACCTTTGCATTGATGCTTTCGCAGCAAGGCACAACTGAACAAGGCAAACAACCACAGCGGTTGGTAATTGACTTGATACGAGGTTAGACCGACTTCGAGCGAACGATGCGAGATCGATCCTGTTCGAGCGAACGGTTTTCGGGCACAACCATTACTTCGATAGCGTATCCTAATCGATCGAGACCTCGATACGAAATGTCGGACGATACCTAGAACGCTTCTACCGCCGCTCTTCCCGCCTCCTGCCCTTCGACACACCATGATCGTCAAGCCTCGTCTGTCACCGTCCTCGCGCCGCGTCGTATCCTGTCTCGCCGTACCGTCAACGTCGTAAACCCCTCGCACAGCCCTCAGACATCCGGCACCTATTTCTCAGTCCATCTCGAACTCTTTCACCAACCCTCGGTCCTCAACCCAGCCACGCCTCTCACCAGTCTCCGCCGTTTTAGCGATGCCGGTATTCCTGTGCAGTCCTGCATAAGTGAACCTGCCAATTTCTCTTTCACGTCGCCCGCTCACCCCTTCTTCATCGAAATCCCTTCCTCCTTTTGCTTCACTTGTGGTAGCCCAAGAGCTACGAGCCCTTATTATGGTGATCGACACACAGTCTCATCAGGGCCAAAACCAACGGTAAGTAGAGTAAAACTATTGTATTGACTTGATTCACTCTTGCGGTAGATGAGTCTGCCAGTAATACAGATGGATTCACACCATGTCTTTGAACCGCTTCCTGTATTCGCACTATGTCTCTGATTCTGTTTCTATATTTACACCGATGTTTGATCCTGTTCCTGCATGGAACGGTGTCCTGGGCAAAGCCGCGTTTGCTATTCAGCTATCGTACCATGTCATCACTCTTCAAGTCCCCATGCACGATTTGCCGTGGTTCTGCGATTGCATATTCTGGTTCCTTTCCGAAACCGGTGTCGCTCGAATTGACCAAAGCCTGAGTCATAGTCTTGCTCCGGTTCCATATGTTTCAAATTCTTCACAGGCTGCCTGATCCCACCCGTTGGCACTGATTGACATGCACAGTATTTATATGCCATCAAGTTCCAGCCTCAGGACACAATTTCTAGAATCCCTTGTCGCTCTCTCAGGCTTCTGTTTACACACCAGCGGCTTCGGCCGAACACCTTGGCAATGGTAAGCACCAGCAGACCGCTGTAGTGCCTGCATCGGCTTTTGTCTAACCTTCCTCCAGAACACGGGGCTTGTACCGTGAGCGCGGCTTGTGGACTAGCAGGCCGCTATATATAAATGACAGATATGCACATCAATACTTCAACGAAGTCCGCCCGCAGCAACCACGGCGCTCCAGCCACGACGCATTGATCAGATCGTCCTTCGATGCGACAGCTTTGGTCCTAGCATGTCGACAATCTATATATCTCTCGATACGGAGAAAACGAGGACGAGACAACTATTTCGTCGTTGCCTCGATCCACCCATCCAGGCCTCGTAGCAAATGCAGGGGTTCAAGGCCCACTCGTGTACCGCCTCATCTACAAGACTCTGTCAGTTGTGTGGCTCGCCATGCACGAGGCAGTGGCCTTGACCCAAGAACCGACCGGGTCGAAAAGAACTATGTGTCAAATTATCATCGACCAAGTAGAGACAAAAGTGAGGGCAACGACCTTTCACGACACAATAAGCAAGGTTCAAGAACAATGGGCTTCAGAGGGGAGGAGAATGACGCATGCGACCAAGGCAAGAGTCCCTGCTGCCAGAGTCCACGCCACCGCTGCCACTGTTATCGGCGAAGACTTCAACTCCGGGGTTTCCTGATGTTAGACCGTTGCCAAAAAGCGAACCGTGGGTTTCTGCGGTCTAATGATAATGTATTAAACTCCCCAAAACTCTCAACAAACCGCTACCTCAGAGAGAACCATCCATTGCACGCTTTGATGGATCAACAAGTAGCGAGCGGAACAGGTGCAATGCAGACTAAAAAAAATTCAAAATATCCTGGATCCCAGGGACCATGCACAACAACTGTCACCACAGTCGCCTTCCCCGGGCCCCCTTCAAATGGCACACAACCCCCCAGACCGTCCACCTCTTTCGATCACACAGTATGCCACATCTAAGTTCTCCTCTTCCTCACGTACGGAAGGATGACATCGGCAACCACGACATCAGTCTCCATGAGCGTATCTCTTGGATGGTAGCGAGCAGGAGCAGCTCCCTGCGGAAGCGAACGCTTGTAGCTAGTACCAGGCCACTGGGTGCCGGTCGAGCCTCGGAAGACGCCGGCGGCAGTAAGGTTAGTCACTGCTACTGGCTGGGCCCCGTTTCCAGCACTGCCTCGACTGGGATACAGAACGCACGAGCCGTCATTGAAAAAGTGCCAGAGACGACAACCATTGTCAGCCAAGCCGTCATTGTAGAAAGCGCAGAGTCGCATGCAGTCATCCGATGTTGTGGGAACGGCCATGTTCTGGGTCGTCGCGACGCTTTGGGTATTGAGAGGAGTCTGGGCGGCTGAGAGCCCGTAGAATGAAGTGCCACAGGTGATAAGCCAGATATCCGCAGTATTTGGTCGCACGGTGTTGTCCTTATGGATGTGGCCCAAGAAAGTTTTGTCGTAGTAATTCGAGTTCGTTCCACCACAGAGTCCCAGATCGTAGAGATTGCTAGGAGCGTGCATGTACGTTGCGTCTATAATGTTCGCAGCCGCTGGGGTGAGCAATCTAGCAGTACGCACACCGTTGAAGATAAGGTTGCTCGGGAAGCAACTGTTGCCTGGTGTTCCAGAATTACAGGTGATCTGGTTGGGTAACAGCTGACATTGTAAAGTCGACGAAGCCCAGTAAGCGACCGTACAAGATCCCGGAGTTGCAGCATTTGCCGAAGTGCAAAGATCCATGCACCATTCGAGAGAACTGACGCTGTTGATAGTGGATGTGACAGTCGTGGTACTACCGGCGTTCATGTAGCACGAAACCTCATACACAACGTTCGGATTAGTTGATAGTGCAACTTTCCTGTAGTTGTAGGTACCTTGACGAATAGGATAAGTGGCCTGTGGTGACGCGACATTTACATTTGCGCACAACGTGCCGGTCGCTTGGGCCGACAGCGCGGGACTAGCGTAAAGTGTCGATCCCAGAGATGTGAAATTGGGAGGGACGGCCGTGACTGGAGTCTGCGAAGTAGTCGTTGTTGTTGTGCTGCTAGTGCTGGCAGTGCTCGTGGCGGCAGTCGTGGTGGTGGTGGTTGATGCTACTGTAGTGGTGGTGGTGGTGGTTGAGGCAGCGGTGCTTGTCGTAGTGGAGGACGTTGTTGTTGTGGCGGCTGCGGTAGTAGTACTTGAGGTGGTGCTGGAAGCTGTAGAAGTAGTGGTCAGTGACGTGGTCGTGCTAGTGGAAAAGGATGAGGTGCTAGATGTGCTAGATGTAGAGGGAGTGGAGGTTGTGGAAGTAGTAGTTGCAGTAGTAGCCGTGGAAGTTGAAGATGTAGTGGTAGTAGTACTGGCTGTGGAAGTGGATGAAGTAGTGGTAGTAGCACTGGCTGTGGAAGTAGTCGTAGTTGCCGTGGAAGTGGAAATAGTAGTTGTAGTAGTAGCCGTGGGAGTCGCAGTTGTAGTTGACGCGCTGGAAGTTGAAGTGATTGATGAGGTCGTCCCACTTGTAACTGTGACCGTCGACGTGGTAGTGGTTGGGGCTATGGTCGTCGTGGAAGTCGTGGCGGGACTTGTTGAGGTGCTGGTTGTTGTGCTCGTTGAAGTACTGCCTGGGTCCGACGTTGTAGTAGTGGAGGCTACAGTAGTCGTGGTTCCCGCTGTGGACGTTGTGGCTACGGGAGTCGTGGTGCCTAGAGCATTTATATTAGCAATGATCGTTCGTAGAGGCGGGTGATTGAAAACATACTAGTGGTTGTACTTGAAGAAGTGCTTCCCAGCGTAGGGGTGCTGGTGCTGGTGCTGGTGCTGGTGCTGGTGCTGCTGGAGAATGATCCTATATTGCAACTGGTCAGCGAAGTTCTTTGCAACAAGTCAAATACACGATGACGGAAGCAAGATGCATCAGGAGAAACGAATTGTATTCTTTGTGCGATTCATCGACGTACCCGTCGTGGTGGGGCCCGTTGTTGCCGTTGTTGTAGTGCTTGTTGTGCTCGTCGTAGTAGTGGGGACGGTCGCGGTGCTAAAGGAAGTTGATGTAGTGGAAGCAGTACTCGACGTGGAAGAGCTCATGGACAACGTCGAAGCAGGGGGTCCACTGCTTGAGGTAGTAGAAGCAGTACTCCACGTGGAAGAGCTCATGGACGTCGTTAAAGTAGTCGATGCGGTGCTTGAGGTAGTAGAAGCAGTACTCGACGTAGAAGAGCTCATGGGCGTCGTCGAAGTAGTGGAAGTAATACTCGAGGTGGAAGAGCTCATAGACGACGTTGAAGCAGCGGATGCAGTGCTTGAGGTGGAGGAGCTGGTGGATGATGTTGAAGCAATGGATGTAGTGCTTAACGTAGAAGAGCTCATGGACGACATTGAAGCACTGGCAGCGGTGCCTGAAGTTGAAGAGCTAGTGGAAGAGCTCGCAACCGTGGATGCAGCGTTTGAAGTGGAAGAGCTGATAGAGCTGATCGAAGGGGAACTCGTCGGGAGTGAAGTAGTGGTATACGACGCAGAAGTCCTATAACTGCTTTGGGATGTTGCGTATGTCATCGTCGTCCCCGACGTGGTGCCCATCGTGGATGTACTGGTCGTCAATGTACTGATAGAGGAAGTACTTGATGGTGATGTTATAGTCACTGTAGTACCTTGAACAACGGCTGTGGTTGTCGCCGAGGTCGTTGAAGCAGTACTTGTTGAAGTCATCACCTGGGTTGTGCTTCCAGTAGTCGTCGTTGTCTGGCCTTGAGAACTAATGGAAGTGGTATCTCCACCACCGTTTATGGACGAGGATGCTGTGGAGGACGTGGAAAACACAACTTGGGTCGTAGTTTGTGACGTACCTGCAGAGCTAGTCCCGACCAAAGACGTTGTTGTTGATGATGTAGTAACTGAGCTCGTAGTTGAGCTAGTAGTTGTCGGTGTCACCGTCGAAGTAGTGCTCAAGCTCGTACCGCCGTTCGAACTGGTGGAAGCTGGCTGAACAGAGGAAGTTGTTGTGGTTGAGGCGGAGGAAGTCGTGACCAGTGTTGATATACTCGTGATCAGACCGGTTGAGCTTGTCACCGGGCTCACTGTAGTTGTAGGAAGTGACGTACTGATCGTGGTCGACGCGGGTGCACCATTGGTAGATGTGGTAGCCGATGGGGACGAAGAAGTAGTTGAGGATTGTGAGGGTGCAGTGGAAGAGCTTGGGGCTGTTACTGCAGAAGACGTACCGGAGCTTGAGGTAGTCATTGCCAACGAACTACTGGACGCAGAAAACGATGATGACGGCGAGAGGCTTTGCGCAGTCGTTGCCAACGAACTACTGGACGCAAAAGAGGATGATGGCGGCGGGATGCTTTGAGTAGTTGTGGCCACCGAATTCGTGCTTGCTCCGGTTGGGGAGACTGAGGTCGTCGATGATGGAGACGAAGTTCCATCCGGAGAACTGCTGCTTGAAGGCAGGGACATCATGCTTGTAGAAGGGACAGACGTAGAGGAATAAAGAGAAGAAGACACTGTACCTGCTGAAGTACTCGAGGCAGAGCTCACAATACTATGAGTCGTGCTTGACGAAGGAGACGTAGTCGAGCTTGAACTCTGACCAACCACTGAGGTAGTGCTTGATCCACCAGCAGGTCCGCTACTCGTTCCAGGTTGGGAAGATGCAGGGCTAGTTTGACTTCCCGACGAAGACATCGTACTAGAGGCCCCAACCAAAGCTGTTGAAGTAGTCACTACGCTCACAACCCCAGCAGAGCTTGCGGATGGACTGCTGGTGCTGACGCCTGGTGTGGTGGTAGGCGATGCTAGCGGAGAGGTACTAGATACCGGCACACTCGGCAACGTGGTTGAGACAGAAGGAGACACAACGGTGGTTGGAGCGACCGTCACAGTCGTTACGCCAGTTGTAGCGGAGGTCGAGCCTGGCGCTGCCACAGTGGTCTGCGACGTTGAGACAGGCCCGTTGGGACTTGGAGATGTCGAGGGCGAAGATGCTGGTGCAGTCGAGGGAGGAGTTGTCTCTGAACTTGGCGAAGAACTGTCCGATGAGCTGACGTCCGTTGGGGTGCTTGAGACTGGAGTTGTGGTTGAATCAAGAGTCGGCTGGATTGTGGTGGATATTTCTGTCGTAGACGTTCCTTGCTCCACGGTCGTAGTTGTAGAAGCAGTCGATGAGCTTGTATCCGGAGGAGGGACTGGATCATTGGTGAAGTCCGCCGGACAAGCCGCAGCTGCAATACCTCCGATTGTGATGGGATAGCAGTTATCTTGTGTGGGATTAGGGAATCCGGCATAAATCAAGCCGTCGCCGCATTGATAGAATGTTGCTGCACCCTGATCTGTAGTATTCCAACCCAGGACGCCGTTAGCGAAGAAGAACGTGGTGTTGACATCGTTGTAATATGGTTCTGGCGTAATGACCACAAAAATGTCGCTCAAGTTGCGTCCTACGGACTCGTTTCCGCTCATCAGCATACCGCCCACCAGGTAGTATCTGGTCGCAAAACCGCAATTGTTGCCTGCTTCTCCAGACTGGCCTTGGAGCAGTCCCTGAGGCGGCGGGTTATCGAGCGTGGAGCCCTGCCTTTTCATTTCTTGTCTATTTAACGCTTCTCGCTTCACCTTCGCGCCAGCCCCGCCAAAAGAGAAGCCAAGCATGACGGGCGAAGTCGCAGGGATATCGCTCACAGTTCCGGTCGGCAGGCCCTCGCCCAATGTGAAAGTCGGCTGCGTAGTCGTCACCGTAATTGTGTTTCCATTAGCATCAGTCGTGGTTATAGTCAGAACTGGTGGAGTTGTTGTCGTCGCCGCTGGAGGTGCCACCGGAGCGAAGGTCTGTCGTTGAGTCGTGGTGGGACCAGAAGTACCACCTGCTGAAGAACCAGTAGTAGACATGGTGCTGAACATCGGAGTTGAGGAGGAGCCTGGAGCAGCGCTGGTTGTCTGCGTGATCGGTCCAGCTGCCACACTGCTGGTGGCGGACGTGGAAGAGCTCATCGGCGCTGTAGGACTGACCGTAGTCGTCATAACCGTAGTAACTATCGTTGTCGTGATATATGAAGTGGTAATGTACGTCGTTGGAGCGTTGTTAATCATGATCGTGTTTCCATCGCCGAAGATATTGTTGATCTGCGATGCAGATTGAAAGAAAGAGCTGTAGACGGCTTGCTGTACAACGACGACACTTGTAGTCGACGGCGCGGGACATAGTCCACCAGGGCCATAAGTGACGGTTGACAAAGCCTGCGCATCGGCCACTGCAAGTCGCAGGGCAAGAAATGGTAAAAGGAGCGTGGAAGACGGCCACATGATGGGCCCCTTGGCTTTTCTCGAAACAAGACTGTAGAATAAAGGAGGACCGCAGGACTCCAAAGACCAAACGAGTGACTGGCGAGATGAAAAAGCAAGCGAGTCTGCAGAATGGTTGGCTTATTAGAGGCAGGGAAATGACGACGCGACATCAAAACAACAAGGTCAGAATGTAGCATTCCAGCCATCTTCCCCATCTCGACCACACCGCACAGACGACGGCGAGACAAGGCTGTGGCATAAGAATCCAAGGGATCGTCGCTCAGGAATGACGGGATACTCGCCGTTGATTATGCGTGCGAGAATCCTCATAGATGCATGATCGAAGGGGCAACGGACCACACATTCTCCATTGCATCAATATGTCCCGCCAATGGGGTATTCGACTTTTTCCAAGTTCTCAAGGCAGAGGCACTTACACCGATCTGTCGTCAAGAAATCGTCCAAAGCTTGAAGATTGGTCGACCACTCGTATCCCATCGTTAGCAGTACCGTGTGAGGTAGGTGTGCGTCTTTAACCATAGCGTCAATTTAAAAATGCGTCTGTCTACATGTCAGTGATTCGAAGCCGTTCTCCTTTGATGAATTCTGGGCATCAAATCGTGAGGGACACCTCATCCAATGCACTACGTGGACTACAGAGGCATAAGATGTAGATCAGTAACGCTTCATCACATAACCTTGAGGTGGACGTCCATATGTCTTCGGAGCCGCAGTCATCGGGTTGAGGAAGGTAAAGGTATCGCCTCGAACATGCGAAAGTCCGCTTGATGGGATAAGAGTCCTCTTATCGAACAATGCTACCTTTTTCGTTGGGGAGTTCGACACTTAAGTCTGCCTGAGCTTGGGAAAGAAGACTTCAGATTTCTTCGCGTCTAATACAGTATGGGACTTAAAACTAAGGTACTGTCAGACTCACGATCTTCCAGCTCGGCTACTAAGCCTATTCGGTCGCCTAACACGACTAGTGACCATCCCCTTCTATTGAGATTTAAGCGAATTAGTTGTGCTAAAATCGGTGCAGATCATATATCTTTACGACCAAATTTTTCGGGTAAATAACCCCTGAAATTGAGGTGAATTGAGACGTAAGGGTTACTCAGGCTTTACCCATGAATTTTATTCTAACACTTATATAGACGATGGCCGAGTGGTTAAGGCGTTAGACTTGAATTTACGCAAAGTTCATGCCATCTAATGGGTTCGCCCTCGTAGGTTCAAATCCTGCTCGTGTCGATTTTTTTTCATTGTTTTTGCTCGTCTCTGAAGCTTGGAATACCTGAGATTGAAAAGCCAGCATTGTACGGAGGATTAGGATTGTATACTAGCAGAGCTAAGAGGTACGAAACTCACTGATTAAATTTGGCACTTATCGAGGTTGATGGTTTAAGTGATCTATATTAGCAAACCACCCTAATATTTTATCTCGTGTTGCTGTTGATGATAGCCTTAGCAGACCCCTCTCCATATCCGTTTGGCGAGATTCTCTAGTAGATCGTACACTATTCATGATGAGGCGGCCGCCCGTGCGAGACGACCCCGGTAGATATGATATGGACCTTATAACCAAGCGGTGAGCAGTAGACAATGACCATCACAGCCTCCACGAATGCATCGAGGCCCACTCAGTCGTCCCAACCACTTCGTCTTCGCTTCAACGGCCTGCGTTCGCCCTTGTTTCCTAGCTATATTGTCATGACGTGTCCAGATTGATATACCCCCAAAGCACCTAACTGACCTTGAATATCCACAAATGCGATAATGCGTCCGATGATCACTGAAAAGGCCAACCCCCCAATGTCAGTGTAAAGAGTAGCGGGTTAGCCTCGATTTCTGCCTTTCTAGCAATCAACTCCTCCACATCCCAATTGCACCACAAGTACCTCCCTCTCAGAAATTCGGCTTCGGCGGAGACAAGCCATACCATGAAATTGGCAGGCAGTTCAGGATCATCAAAAACGAAGCCAGGAGGACCATCTCCAAGAAATCTTGTCGACATCTTGGTCTTCACAACGCCAGGATGAAGGGTGAATACCCGCAACTGTGGATTCTCATGCGCAATGTATTCATCAAGCTTCGCCGCCGCGATTTTCGAGGCCGAGTACGCGGAGCTTTTCGGCATGCGTGAAGCGGCAATGTGACAGGCGGCGGCATTCGTGCCGATGTAGGTGGCATTAGGTCGGCACTTGGGCAGGAAGTGCTTTGCGAAATGCGACGAGAACCTCGCGTTGATCTCAAACGTGTGCCACCAATCGTCCTCGTCAGCACCAGTAATGCTAACAGGGTCAGGTGCGACGGCTGCGCAGTGAGCGAATACATCCCACGCCCCCAGATTCGCTCGAATGTTATGGGCGGCGGTCCCCACACTCTCTGCTTTGGATATGTCGGTGGTGGTAATGAGGATTTGAGCGTCAGGAAACGCCTTGACAATGTTGTCCTTTGTCCTCTGAAGTGATTGCTCAGTTCTTCCCATCAAGGCAATCTTCCGTGCCCCGGCTCGCGCAAACGACATAGCCACCGTAGCTCCAATGCCTCCACCCCCGGCCCCTGATACAATGACTGTCTTGTCCTTGACTGACAACTCTGACCTCAACGTATCAATGGCCGGATATGATGAGTGATGATAAACTTTGGTGAAAGAAGGGAATGACATCTTGCCGCGGGTCAGGCTGCGGCAGCACAGCAGCAGAACGGCGGCGGCTTGACAGAGTTGCTGGCCGTGTTCTCTCCCTACCTTCGGAATCACAAGGTCCCCTAGGGTGACCTCTTTTAATCAGAAGAACTCCTGCTGTAACGCGTCCGTCGGAGGGCAATTTAAAACGCAGGGGTGGGAGAGGTGGAACTCAATTCTTATATGGTGAAGAGGGCACACACATACCGGTGCATTTGTAGGGCGGAATTATCATGCACGCAGACAATCTTTTGATGGAGGGGTGTCTCGAATCCATACCTAAACAAAAGGACTGTTTGTGTTTAGCCTTGGGCGGGGTGATAAATTCGGTTATCGCCGGCTGTTAACCCGTTGACTTTCATCATACGATTCCATCATGTTCATTATTTCGTCGATCGCATAAGTTCCTTAAAGACCTCTTCGTCGAAAATCGCTTCTAGGCTGTCTATACTTTCTGTATTCTGAAATGACCGCAGTTAATCGCTTCCACGCGCAGGGCACTCATGCCTCCGCCCTGGAACTCATCGGTCATACACCCCTCGTCCGCCTTCAGAAGATTCCCCAGTCTCTCGGGATTGAGGCCAGCGTTTACGCAAAATGCGAGTTTTTCAATGCCGGCGGAAGCGTCAAAGACCGGATAGCCTTGCGCATGATTGAAGAGGCGGAAAAGTCTGGTCGAATAAAACCTGGAGACACGCTCATCGAGCCGACTAGTGGAAACACGTATGTCCTTGCAACCCCGGACGAAGGAGGTATACTGACAGGAACATCAGTGGGATAGGGCTCGCTCTGGTTGCAGCCGTTAAAGGCTACAAGACCATTATCACACTTCCAGAGAAAATGTCCGCAGAAAAGGTGGCCGTTTTAAAAGCACTGAACGCCACCATCATCCGCACACCTACACAAGCAGCCTTCGACAGCCCCGAATCCCACATTGGAGTCGCGAAGCGCCTGGAAAAGGAGATCCCGAACGCCCATATCCTCGACCAATACGGCAACCCGGACAACCCGCTTGCACACGAACTTGGAACCGCAGAAGAGATATGGGAACAGACAAACGGCACAATTACCGCAGTCGTTGCAGGAGCCGGCACGGGAGGAACAATCACCGGTCTCGCCCGAGGCCTACACAAACACAATAAGAACATCAAGATCATAGCAGCTGACCCGCAAGGTTCAATCCTCGCTCTTCCATCTCAACTCAACGAACAATACGCCAACCAGCAATACAAAGTCGAAGGAATAGGCTACGACTTCATTCCCGATGTGCTGGACCAGAAAGTCGTGGATAAGTGGTACAAGACGGACGACAGGGACTCCTTCCACTACGCTCGCCGGCTGATCGCGGAAGAAGGTCTCTTAGCGGGCGGTAGCAGCGGGTCTGCCATTGCCGCAACAATCGCGGCGGCCAGAGAACTCAAATTGGGCAAAGACGACGTGATTGTGACCATTTTACCTGACAGCATTCGATCATACCTAACGAAATTCGTCGATGATGACTGGCTTGCAGCGAACGACCTCCTGCCACCCACACCGCCCCCTGAACCAGAGCCAGAACCAGGGTCCCCGCGTATCTCACGACGAGACAGCGTCAAGCAAAGTGACCAGTTCCAAGGGGCACGTGTCAGAGATCTGCGTCTCAAGCCCGTGCAAACAGTTACATCCGATCAGCCATGCTCATCCGCCATCGAAGTCATGCGCGAGAAGGGTTTCGACCAACTCCCCGTCCTCGCACCCAGAGGCCGCCGACTGGTCGGTCTAGTCACTCTCGGCAACCTTCTATCGCGGATCAGTCACGGTCGAGCCACGGCGAACTCGCCTGTTTCCGACGCTATGTTCGACTTCAGCAAGATCAGCGAAGTTACCGTCGATCACAACGACTTCAGTGACTTAGTAGCCTCCGGGTCGACGACGTTTTCGAGCGAAATGAGCGAGAAGCCAGACGCCCAAGGGCCCAAGGGTCGTCAACCCAAGAAGAGGCGACATTTTGTCGAGATCACCGTGGACACTCCTCTCAGTGCCCTGAACAGGTTCTTCGAGTGGCAGAGCGCCGCAATCGTTACAGAACGAGACAACAGCGACAGCTCGGGGACTGGAAAGGGGCCAGCCATGAAACCAGTGGCTGTCGTGACCAAGGTAGACTTATTGACGTGGATGTTGAGCAAGAACAAGGTGCACTGAAGTAATATAGATCTGGCCGAGTTCTTCGTGCTCCGAGATAGAGTAGACGGCTGTACTTGGGGCAACCTATCATGGATCATTGTCTGGCTCGAACAGGTGAATCGAGCTTTTGAGCGTTTGCATGGAAAGGACAGATCTCCCAACAAACCGCATTCAACATGTAAGGCGAAGGCGCGAGGACAGGGTTGATGGTTTGTCTTACGATATTAAACCTCGTCTGACAAATGGCAAGCTGGCAAGCTGGCATTGGTATTAATGCTCTATGGGCGAAGAGCGACGGAAATCATACATGTTGACTGTACGAAGTACGTACTCACAGCAATCAATACTCGAGAGACGCTTTTGCCGGCCATTGTGCAGAATGTGTCTAGAGTACCTGGTACTTCCTAAGCATTGACAAGAGCCGAAGGAGAGCACGCCGTGCCCACCTCAGTTAACTATCACAATGGTGGCCATGCAGAGAATACCATGGTAAAATGCTGGACAAGACACACAAGACTCCTGGATGGCATTTGTAGGAGAAAAAGCTTATGCTAATCAAGCCTTCGTCGATGATGTACTGCCGAGGGGCCCGCAGATGGTGCTCCAGTCAAAGCCTGTGAATCTGTCACCCAACCCTCGATGTGCAGGTCGATTCCTTGTTTTGGGCCACGCTTATCGGCCCAATGCTGGTCACATTCCCTCCTCCTTACCCCGTCCGTGCCCGTCGTCCCCCGTCAACGCTCGTGTAGGCGTTGTCGACTAGAGGTGCGCATCATTAATTTGTCTTGAGTTTTCCAGTGTCGCGTTGCTACGTGTCGCTCTGTACAGTGGTTGTTGACGATGCTTGCAGCCTGATATCGGGTTGGCCTTCTTCTATCAGTACAAACATTGGTTCTGTTGGTCATTCCTACGAGGACAATAGGCGAGCCCTTCTAACTAGTTGCAGTGTCCGGTTCAATCACCATCGTTCCCACCATGGACTTCCGTTCGCTATTTCTCTCTACTCTCCTCGTCCTTCGAACCTATGCTCTTCCGACCGAGGTCCTGCCAGAAGAAAAAGCCTTAATCACTCCTGCTCCAACACCTACGCTCGCAGTCTATGGAGAGTATGCAGGGATAAGACGGGGGATTTTGAGTGATATTACTGCCGACTTGGACTCCTATGTCAATAGCATATTCAGCGACCTTGGATCTGCCATACCCTCATATGTGTCCAATGGCCTGTTCCCCAATTTCCAAAACTTGCCGACCGGCAGTGCTGTTGCAAGTTCGGTTGGCGCAAAGAGTACCGACCTCGCTGCTTCTCCGACACAAGTCCTGAATATACCTGGCTACGGAAATTGGACAAACAATGGCTGGAATTTGCGAATTCACGGCAATGTCTACAAAGAGCCTACAATATCCAACGCCACGGTGGACAAGCTAGCAAACTTCTATTTGATTGATACCAGTGTTGCAGATCTTCAGCCCTCAGAACAAGACCAGGCTCGAAATCTCACCCGAGAGATCTATGTTGTCCAGCAAGGCAATCAATCAGTCACCATGGATGTCCTGCCGGGTCCTGAGTTTGGCTCAAGTGGTCAGCCTGGAGGCGGTGGCGGGGTCACGCCAGCCGGGGGTGAGCAGACCCTCACACTGCCATATCCGACTACTCCGGAAGGAGATTTCGACGTCTTTATGCCTGTCTCGAACACATCTTTGGCACTGACACCAGGTACGGGCAACGTGCAACCTCAAAGACTCAACGTGTACGCCCAAGGTACCATGTCAGGCAATGCCACCTCCTACCTAGTCTCCGACGAAGGTTTTACCATAATCAGTGACATCGACGATATCCTCCGTGTGACCAAGATTTATGAACCGAAACAAGGCCTGCTCAACAGTTTCGCCCGGCCTTTCACCCCCTGGATGAATATGCCGGAGATCTATACCAACTGGTCCAACAGCATCCCTAATGTGCATTTCCACTACCTCACGACCACTCCCGAACAGATCACACGCAACTATATGCAGTTCATTTACGACACTTATCCTGGTGGAAGTGAGTTCTTCCACTTCAGACCTTCACCACAGATTCTGTCCAGATTGCTGACCATCTGCAGGTTTCGACACACGCCCATTGAACTTCAGTGACGTCTCAGCAACGCTATCAATCCGCAAGTTTCTTCTTGTCAAGATTTTCGAGACCTTCCCAAACCGCAAGTTCATCTTGGTGGCAGACACCAGCAATTCGGACGTCATGCGGGACTATCCAGAAATGGCGAAGGAGTTCGGACAGGTCCAGTGCATATTCCTGCGCAACACGTCGGCCACCGATTCCGGCGACAAATTTCCCTACGATACTGCGGGCTTCAAGGGTCTCAACCAGTCATCCTACATGTTCTTTAAGGTCCCTGACGACTTGAAGGGTCTCGATATTGCGAATGGACAGTGCTACAACTCCTCAATTCCGCAGAATTTGACATTCGGATACCAAGGCTTACCTTTCGGCGTCAATCTCGGAGATGGAAGTTCCAATAGCAGCTCCAATAGTAGTTCTAGCGGAAGCGGGCAAGCACGATCAGGAGATGCTCTGTCAAGAATGGGAACCATGATCATGCTTGTTGCTGGAGTCTTAGCATTCAACATCGTATGAGCGGACCGCGTTCTGCACGAAATCATCATTATGGCATAGCAGCAACAAGGCCAGGGCGGCGTGTTGAGAATGACGATTCTGCTCGATAGGTCAACCTAACAATTCTCCAGACGACTTCTCTCCTTGATCATCGGAGGTTCCCCTTCGGCGACATTGGTCTAGGTCGGGTGCGGTAATGTCCGGTTATAGGTGATCGAAATGATAAACCTTTTGTCAACCGCTGGCTTCTGCTCATGTCGGATTGTTGTCGACCAAGCCCGTACGAGCAATGGTTGCATGGGCTGACCTAGTTCTGAGGGCAGTGCAAGGACAGAGGAGGCTGAACTCGTGCACTATGGGCAGATTATAAGGGGAGAAGAAACCCCTCGATTCCACTCTTATTTGATGCCAAGTTAGTAACAGGCTAAAAATAGGTGTTCTTGGCGTCCAGCATTCAGCTTGGCTGATAGAACGAACAACATACCACGTATCCAGCTGCAAGACTGCCATCGGACTAGATCGACCAAACGGGCTCATCTCTAAGAACTGCAACAGCGTGCTCTTCAGCAATCGCTGCTATTATGGTGAGAGGTGCCGCCCCCACCCGAGCCTTCGTAGCGCCAGACAGTCATTTATCCGCCGGCAAGCCAAACACGGAGGCGTACTGGCCCACGGTCGGGAGCAAAGATCAGATACCAGGATGGCTTCGGGACAATGACTTCCTCGTCGGAGGGCATCCGATGCCAACATACTCTTATAGGCGCTCCCTTCGTCTTTGGCGATGCTTGCATATTGAGACCATGAACATATGGACTCATCTCCTCGGATCTGCAGCCTTTGTGGCCGTAGGCTTCGCCTTGTATGGCTATTCCCGAGCATCATCCGCGACTCTCACCCTCAGCGTTGGCGACCAGTTCGCCGTTGCCTCTTCAATTACCACAGCTGTGGTCTGTTTCGGGCTCAGCACCACATTTCACACGCTCAGAAGCCATTCGTACAACGTGCACCACTTCTAGGGTAAGATGGACATTTTCGGAATCTGTATTTTGGCGGTGGGCGGCGGGGCATCAGCGACGTACTATGCTTGCTATTGTAACGAAACGACGCGATGCATTTACTGGGCACTCAATCTGGGAGCTGGAGTGGCTGCAGCGGTCACTCTTTTTGACACTGGTGGTGGCGGCAGCAAGATGCGAACCCTTCGTGGCGGCGTCTTCTCCCTACTTGCAATCTCAGCAATGCTACCGGTATTCCAACGCATTGGCTCGCTGGGTTGGAAGGAAGCATGTCATCAGATTGGGGCACAGTGGTATCTTGCCGAAGCCCTTTCTCTGCTGCTTGGTGTTGGCTTGTTTGTTGGCCGACTTCCCGAAAAATTGAGTCCAGGATCTTTCGACATCTGGGGCCACTCTCATCAAATGTTCCATATTTCCGCTTTGACTGGCACAGCCTTCCATCTTGCTGCCCTCATTACAGGATACAAATACCGCCAGGCATATCCGCGTTGTTGAATTTCGGATGGCCTAAGTGTCTGATCTCGAATTTTCACTACGAACTAATCACCGTGAAGGGGACCTGGAAGGAATGCTGAGGTACTAAGAGCTGCAGTGAAGCTAGTGAGGCGAAAGCGGGCGTGAGAGTGAGTGTCGGGTGAGCAAGATTCAGGGACTCCTAAGCCGAGGGTAGGGGACCTAACCTGGCCGCTTTCGCCTGACTATCTACGTACAATGACATCCTCGAGGCATCAGCGGTCTACTATACAGTAACCATCAACGCGCAGGGTGAAATTTTCCGAAGTGGTCGAGTGTGCTTCCAGAGCCTTCCTTGACTTGAAGGGGCGGTGATTGCTTCACTGTAACAGCTGAGAAACATCCACGGTTACATACAGACGTAGTCGCCAGGGTGCAGGTAAGGGTGGAGGACCACCCTAAAACTCATCGCCAGAACTCGTCCCTACCCGTACTGTTACGTGGTCTCCACCCATCGTCAAGTAATTTCCAGAGACTGCTGCTGGTGGCTAGAGGTGCTGGCAGTCGAGACGGTGAGGCGAGGAGGTGGCATTCCGCGTCTATCAGCACTCGACGGCCCTCCGCCCCACGTTCCGCCTACCTCTGCCAGCAGAAGGTTTGAGGAGAAAGGGGGAAGAAAATGGGTAATTGCGCCTGATGTTTGTCTCATTTGCAGGTTCAAACCTAATAATAGAGCTCGGTCTTTCAAAGAGAAGATTTTGCGTGTTTCTGATTCCACGAAAACAGGAGTAAAGTGCTCGCTCAAACTCAGCCATGCAACGGCCACCGCTCTTATCTCGACCGTGCCTTTGACCAGTTTCACTTTAGAGGCGTAAAGGATGTGGGAATAGCGATGCGTAGAACACCAACAGACCACAAGCAATCCGTCGACTCTGTGGAGGCCACAACGCGTAAATTCTTACTGGCTAATAAGCGGTTCGAAGAGTCGACTCTTATGTAGGCGACTCTTGTTAAAACCTCGACCCAGGCGGTGTAGGAGGACCCTTTTTGCAGACGCCCCGAGAGAGCGCTCTGCGTTGCATTCTGGCGATACGCGCGGTGTCAGGCTGAAAATCCAAGTCTGTGTAACCTGTGTTCAAGATATCAGCCCTGTTTCAATTGTAGTGGAAATGAGGCTGGCCGTCTTAAGAGCATATACTTCACAAGTTGGATCCCAATGACATATATACTTTGTCCATAACCTTTTCGCGCTAATAGTATTGACTGCAATGGCTACGGGTTGGGTATCAGGGCCCGACAGCAGAGGCACGATAGACATAATTTGGGGGTCTTTCCTCACCATTTTCCTTTGTACATGGACAGCTGTTTGCCTCAACATTCCAAACCCCAAAGATAGCCAGCTTCAAGTACTGGGCAGGAAGGCGAAATGGATGTTCTGGGCCATTGTAGGTCCCGAGCTAGTCCTGTCAGTGGCCATCGGTCAATATGCCTCTGCCCGGCGCTCGGTCAAGCGATTTCCGCAACCTTGGTTACTCGCAATGGACGCTCCGGCACGCCTTCTTCGCTGATATGGGTGGTATGCTATTGCAGCCTAAAGATAGCACGCCGTTTCTCATCAACAGCCGCCAACTGGCGTACTTGGTGCAGCATAAGTACCTAGAATACCCCAACATAACCGCAGAAGAAATCTGGGATAAATCCAAAGCACATACACTCAGCAAAATCCTCACGTTGATACAAGCGAGCTGGCTCATCTGTCAGCTCATCGGTCGAGCGATCACACACCTTGCCACGTCGACTCTAGAGCTATCTGCCGGCGCCATAGTCTTTTGCACGTTCGGGACGTTCATCTGCTGGCTTCACAAACCAAGCGACGTCAAGAAGGGTATTGTGCTCAACACGACGGCCACCACGGCGCAGATCCTGACTGAAGCCGGGCACGCTGCCATCGTGCCATACCGACATACACCCCTAGACTTCGTAGCGAAGGAGTCATTTACCTGTGGTTATGACGTGATGGGATTCTTCAATCTCAGCTGCGACAACCGCGAGAGGCCGCTGCGGCGGTTTCCAGACGATCGCTTCCCGAATATCAGTCCCTTTGAGAAGTTTGCCCTCTTCTGCGCGACGACGGCGTACGCCTCCCTCCACCTGATTGGTTGGCGGTTCACATTTCCAACACGAATCGAATCGTTACTATGGCGCACGTCCAGCTTAGTTGTCACTGGCACAACGGTCCTGTTTTGGATCGTCGAGACTATCGCGGCTCGTCAACGCTTTGGCAGATGGGACAAATATCTAATATGGCTCCGATTGAAGAAGAGGCAGCGTTTGCCCCTGCCGGTGACCAACGAAGAGACCAGAGAAATCCACCAAACTACTCTTACGTCAGCAGGGGAAGAAGCAGCACAAGTTACCACAATTTCTAAAGAGGATTCAATCCAGCCAGGCGTGCGTCAAGTGACTATCAGTTATCTCAACGCTTTTGAAGAGGAGCAAAGGAAGGCGAAGCCGATGCTAGCATGGGAGGTTGGAATGATTTTTCCTGTCGTGATCCTTTATGCGATTTCAAGAGGGTACATGATCATTGAGGTCTTCTTGGGCTTGAGAGACTTGCCTCTCGAAGTGTATCAGTCTTTTACCATAGCCCAGATAGTCCCCCACTGGTGAAGTCAGGATATTAGGCCCAGAAAAAGCTAAGGTTCAAGCGGCCTTCATTCACTCTCTACACATTACGACCGAAATGTGTTTGGCGAGTACTGTAGGTTTTTCTTTCGCGAGTACGGAGTAGCTTCCCTCCAGTTGCTTCCCCCAGAGGAACCCAGGCAGAAGTAATAAGTCAGTGGTCAGTTTAGTTCAAGGGGGCTTAAAATGGGGACGCTGACGAGCCTCACTAGGCTAAAGGAGGGAATATTTCTCTTTAAGGGAAGGTTAGTCGAGTTCACACCTCAGGCCACCGCTGGAAGAAACATCAATACCAGATAACTTACCTTACATATCTTGCATAAATCGGTGCACGGAGTATCAATCTTGGCCTGCCTCTAAGCTGCAGCTTCCTATAAGGCGGCCTAAATCGTCCAGACCGCCTTTCACTTTCCACCCCAAGATGCTCATCTGAACCCAGCTCGACGTGCCCAACCACTGCACCATGAACAAGATTACCTCGGTCAGAGATCGGGTCTGGTCACGACGAGAGATCGAGGCGCTGATAGCGGATGGGAGAAAGATATTCATAATAGATGGACGAGTGATCAAGGCCGATGCATGGGCCCCTTTCCACCCTGGAGGCGACAAGGCCATCCTGCACATGGTTGGAAGAGATGGAACAGACGAAATCCGAGCCCTACATTCTCTCGAAGCTCAAGCACATATGCAGAAATTTGTCATTGGAAGAGTCGAGGGTCGTTGGATCAATTTCCTGCCTCCCATCCAGGGCGGACATTTCAGACCCTTTCTCCAGGAGGAAGAACATGAGGATGATAACGGCTCGCAGACCGATGGTGGACTCAGCAGCTCGAACAGCAGCACTCCACCATCTCCTATCTTCGATGCTATCGATTCGGAAGTCCGCAAGCGCACATCGAGCTCATCCGCATCAGCGGTCTCGGAATTCGAATCCACAACTATCAGACCAGACCCCATCCAGACGAAACTTTCTGCGGAAAAGGCCTCTGATATCCTAAAATACCCTTCCCTGGACTACACCTCTCAAGATCAGATTGTCGCCAAATACCGAGAGCTCGACGCACGCATCCGCGCTGCTGGACTGTACAAGTGTCCTTACTGGTCGTATGGTATCGAGTCCTGCAGGTACTTGTTTCTGTTCGTCTCCGCGCTCGTAGCCCTGCATTACGGCCACTACGCCATCTCTGGAGTGTTGATTGGTATGTTCTGGCATCAACTTGTCTTTACGGCTCACGACTCGGGCCACATGGGCATTACGCACCACTTCCACGTCGACACCTGCATCGGTATCTTCATCGCCGACTTCCTAGGTGGGTTGTCTATTGGTTGGTGGAAACGGAATCACAATGTCCATCATGTTGTAACCAACTCTCCCGAGCACGATCCTGATATCGAGCATATGCCTTTCTTCGCGATTTCTACTCGGTTCTTTGAGAGCCTGCGCTCGACATACTACAATCGCGTCATGGACTTCGACGTTGTAGCTAAATGGGCGATTTCTAAACAACATTGGCTATACTACCCAATTCTCTTGTTCGGTCGATTCAACCTCTACCGCCTGTCCTGGGAGTACCTGTTGCTGGGCCAAGCTCCCAAGAAGGGCCCGGCTTGGTGGACTTGGTACCTCGAGATTGCAGGGCAATTCTTCTTCTGGACCTGGTACGGGTATGGAATCATTTACAAATCCATCCCCACAGGTTGGGACAGATTTGTCTTCATCATGCTCTCGCACATGGTCACCATGCCTCTGCACGTGCAGATCACGTTGTCCCACTTCGCCATGTCGACTACAGACATGGGCGTGCACGAGTCTTTTGCACAGAAAATGCTCCGCACGACCATGGACGTCGACTGCCCTACCTGGCTCGATTTTTTCCATGGCGGATTGCAGTTCCAGGCCGTGCACCATCTATTCCCGCGCATTCCGAGACATAATCTGCGCAAGGCGCAGAAATATGTCAAGGAGTTCTGCGAGGATACCGGGATACCCTATGTGATTTACGGCTTCGGAGAGGGCAATATGGAAGTCATTAGCCGGCTCGGTGAGGTTGCCAAACAGGTCAAAGTCTTTGAGGAGTGTAGGAAGGCCTGTGCAAAGGATGTGGTTGAGGGGCATGGATTCGATCACTAAACAAGATAGATATAGAGGCAAGGTGTGTGTTCGTGGGCCATCTGTCTTCTTTTCGGGACTAGAGTGCACATATGGCATCATACAATAATGCGATGAGAATGAGAAATGTATATAGATTAGACTATTGAACATGAATCGATACTTGGACCGGTATTCAACGGGTCTTAACATTTGCCCCGATACGAGCATGGACCATCAGGTACTGTCTGTCACATTTGCGGAGTAGTGGATAGATATTTCGACGGGTCATCGATCTACAGGTGTTCAGGGCTGTGTTGGCGAGAAGCTCTCGTGCCCTTTGTGATCTTAGCACCGGCAAACCCAACCTTTTCAGCATGGACAGTCCAAGAGACCCAATGCGCAGTCAGTCCGAGTCAACATCAAGGCCTCCCTCACCAATCTTAAAAGCAAACCCGCCAGCTTGCTGTCTGTCACCGCGACCTGCGCCTTCCGCCGTCGCCTTCTCTCTAGTCTGACCAGGCTTCAACTCCACGCTAGCAACAAATCTAGCATTCTTGACTGCGTCGAACCTCTTCTCCGCATCGCGAAGGCACTCTTCTATCGACATCTGCGGCGCGAACTGTGGGACCCGGGTCCTCGAGAGGGTCATGGTGAGTGTGGCATACGCCATCCACGGCGATATCCCCGGTCCTTGTTGTGGTGCTGAGGGTGTGATTTGCGTCTGCGCTTGCCCTTGCAACTCTGCCGGTGCGTGGCTGGTTGTAAAGGTTGCAGGTGTGGTCGTGCTAAACACAACCGCGCATTCGAACCTCGCTTGTAGCGCCTTGAGCCGCTCAATGATCTGAGCCGTCCGCGAGGGCGACGTGCTTTCGACGAGACCGGGGCTCTTGGATTGTAAACGGGCCATGTCCCTGTCAAATCGATCCTGCCAGTAGAATGAAGTCGCCGAGTCGACAACGATTAGACCTAACGGCCGATGACTAGAGGAGTGCCGTGTTCGGTCGAGGAGGAATGTCGGCAATGAGTCGAGATGTGAAAGGAGTTGAGATGAGGACTGGGGGCGAAGGATCAGGATGTGGTTCATGGCTTCGCGGGCGGTGGCTTGGATGGCGGCTTGGGTGAGCGTAGTGCCAGATGAAAGGCTGTTGGTGTGGGTAGAGAGGTAGTGCGTAAGGATCTGGAAGAGTCGCGTCGCTGAGAAGCGTCCGTCGGTGTCGATGTAGATTACCATCGACTCTTTGCCTCCATGGCTTTTTGGCAGACTTGAGAGGGCAGCAAGATGGTAGCAGAGCGTTGTCTTGCCGGAGGAGGATTTGCGGGAGGTTATTTCGATTGCGGCGGGTTTGGCACTGTACTTGTGCTGACGAAGCTCATATCGGCGAAGCGGGGAGCCATCATCGCCATTATGGTCTGCTTGGAGCTGATCGTCTGAAGCTGGACTTGGTGCTGTAGACTGTTGCAACTCGGGACGTTCCTCGGCTGCTGGTTGAGCAGGATAGCGAAATGCCTCCAACAGGGCATCAAGTTGTGGAAAGCCCAGCACACCCTTCGACCAAGGACTTATGGTACGCCTTATCTCTGCTAGAATCTGGTACACATCCCAGGGAGTGTGTTAGATATTCTTATTCATGGTAGCATGGGGTTATGCAAGGCTGAGTCTTAGCGGAGCAAGTCGGGAGCGGAATCGTCTCCATTTCATTGCGCCGGTACGGAGACGGATACCATCTAAGGAAAAAGCTCAAGCGCAACTCACCTGCTCTAGACTTTCCTCCTGCACATCCTCAAGGAGTCTGGCGCCATATTGTCCAGCCGACATGATCGCGCCATGACCGTGACAGAAGCCGACAACTCAATCTTCCCTTGACCTTGGTGGTAGTGGAGGGAAAACAGAGAACGAAAAAGAGAAAACTTTAAGATCAGCCAATGGCTCCGCCTGAACACCCGTTCCCCGTCAGCGCCCTCGAACAGCGCGTGCAATATCACACCGTCGACTTCAAGGAGAAGAGCAGAAAACTAGGAGATTTCGACCTCAAACGCGACTGTCAATTGCTCGAGCTGGTCCAGTATAGCTGCACCACACCCGAGGAGCAAGCCGAACGACTTCTAGCAAATCCCGGTTCTGAGCCACGAATGGAGTGCCATCCGTTCGTGAGGCTGTTTAGAAGGTACGAAGCTGCCCAACGGTGGGCGAAGGTTGCGTTCTGACAGAATAGCAGATGTGAGAAGAAGGGCAAAGTATTTCACGTCGAGACCACGGCATGGGAGGGCGAGCATGCTTGGAAACCACCGCCAGGCTCGCGGCCAACAGCGGGTATGAATAACAGAGCCGATGATTCAGCAACAACTTCGATTGCCAAATATGGGAGCTATTTCTGGTCCGGAAAATGAATCTCTTCCGCGGGTATCATATGCAATATCTTCAACCTATTCCTCACCGCCAACGCCGACGCTGTGGAATCACAATCTCCAAGATTAAAAGAGCTCCATTGTACGGTGCCGCGGCACAGAGGAGTCAGATGATTTCTCATTCTGGCTCGACCCAGCACCGTTCACGGGCGCCTTCCTCTTGACCTGGACGTCATCCGGCATTCGATAAGCCTTCTCGCTGGTCACAATCGGCCCCAATTCGAAACCTCCAGGCTCTTTGGCCAGAAGCTCTCGCAACGTCTCTTCGAATACAGCTTCTTCGGATATAGCCACGGTGTTCTTCGCTCGTCTCCGTGTTCCAGATGCCAATTTCTGTCTGGAAGCCTCCAGCTCCAGTGGATGGGACCCATCCAGCTTGACTGCGCCAGCCAATTTTCGCAGCGCCTGCTCGCCAAGTTTGCCTTCTTGCGTCGCCAATTCTCTGATCTTTCTAGTGTCAGCTTCGCGGTGCGGGAATACCGGGGTATCCCTGTAGGTGTGCGCAGAAGGGAGCTCGGGTAGCCCTTTGGTATTGAAAGCGAATTTCTTGATCTCACCGTGTCCGTCAAGTTCGGGGCCGAGGAAGGAGGCGGGAAGCTCGAGTACATGGTGGAAGGAGTCTTCGGGAGGAGGAGTGGGATACAAGGGAGGATTGATGGGCGGCTGAGATGTGTAGGGCTTGAGTTGGTCATCTGGTCGAGGGATGTCGAGTGCCTCGATCGCACTCTCAAAATCGGTGGCTACTGGGACTGTTCGCCGAGCAGCCAGCATTGACCGGCGGACGATGGAGAGAAACTTGAGCACGACTGTGAATTGGTCAGCGCTGGTACAATGCACTGCAGTTAGAGGTGTATGTACATTCTTGCATTGTCGCGGTCAAGGATTCCAAGGCTACCGACTCGATGTAAGGGTTTGTTATATTCTGCTTCAGCGCCTCTGCCTCGCATATTGTCTTGACACAATCTACTAGCAATTTGTCGACCACCTCTTGTTCGATGAGCGCCGGCTCTTTCGAAGGGATACTCTGAGCCTTGTGTCGCATGACATGGTGATGATGGTAGGGTTGTTTGCGCTTCGGCGAGGTCGTAAACATCTGTCCACAGGACGGTGAAAAGAAGGACTAGTGTGATAGACGAGTATACACAGGCCTTGGACGTCAGATAGCAATAATTGGTCAATCCCTTCGAGTCTTTATGTTGCGGTAATGGCAATTTAGCCTAGTCACGCCTGGTTCAGACGATACAAAAGGTGGACTGATCCGAGCGAAAACTGCCAAGCCCTTTTGCGGCTTCCAATTCGACTTCACCTGCGGATCTTTGAGGGAGCTTCAACCAGCTACCAACTGACCCTTCTAAACGCTCTCTCCTCTCTCAAACCACACATTGACGACCTCCTACGCGGCACAACCCCCTTTTGCCGCCCTATCAAGCGTTCTGCATTCCTACACCGCCAGAGAAAAGAAGCTCGGTGCGAGCTCCAGAAGAACAATGGCAATCAAACCAATCACAGGAGTACGTTCACCTTCTGCCACGCGAGTTTTATTTGCTCAGATGAGCATGTTATATGCATTGGAGGCCGTTACTCAACCCGCATACTGACCGGAACTCTCACAGATGCTCCGACGAGGCCTCGTCTTGGATTTAAGTATTGCCATGGGTAAGCGAACCGAAGTACCTTCCTTCCATACAACGGCCGAACAGCTTCGAATCGGAAAAGCAGCACGCAGCCTTAGCGAATTCAGAGATTGGAGCGAAGGGCTGGAAATGAGACGCAAAAGACGAATTGAAGCTAACAAGGGTTTGAACGACAGGTCTAGGAACTACATTCGGATATCTGTGGTGGTACGGTACGTGACAAGACACCCATTCTGCTGGACATGGCTCGCTTTCGCCTCCGCTTGAGAACAATGGGGAAGCTCGAGGCAGATACACTGAGACGCGCGACAAGACTAACAATATCAGGTTATCACCTGCCCCGCGTCCGAGCCCGAGACAACTTTTACGCCAAGTTAGAAGACCAGCGAGCCAGGGACGCCGGCTTCAAATAAACCATCATTGAACTATGGAGTGTTGAGGGAGAAGCGCGATCTGCCTTCAAGGGAGGGGAGTCGAGTCAAGAGACCGCAAAGAACCGGGGATATTGTACATATTGCTCAATCACAACGGCAAAAGAGATTACTGGCGTCTTCATCTTCAGTGTTCCACTCGGTCTGTTCTGATTTCCTACCAGTGAACGTGAACGTAGCTCATTGCTTCCCATTTCAAAGCAGGTCAAGCACTGGCTAGAACCATGGCTGAAGAAGCACCCAAAGCCAGATCTACTGTCTCAGGATGTTGGCAGAAGGAGATCAGAGGACAAAGAGCAAAGGTTGCATGGTTCATTTCTGTGGTCATTCAGCTCTTCAAGCATCTATCATCGCTGCAATAAGTGTTTATCTCGTGTCATGACCCATCAGACCATCACATCCCGTCGAGACTTATCTGCAAATCTCATATTCCTTGTCGCTGGTCAATGATTCTTACTTCTTCTTCCTCTCCGCCTTGACAGCCCTATTCCAAGCATCCTCGAATACAGCAGGCTTCTTCCCATTATCTTTCGCGCCCAAATCGACATTGAGATACCTCACAACCTCGACGCTCCCCGTGCCCACGTTCATCGTCTTCCCAACAATGACGCTCTCACTCACTCCTTCGATCTTATCAATTTTCCCCGCGATACCCGCGTCAAAGACATGATCTGCTGTCTTCTCAAAACTGGCCAGCTGGAGCACACTGTCGCGCATCTTGGCCAGGCCGAATCTGGTGATGCCCAACACTTCGCCCTTGTACGTCATCACGTCGGCCAACAGCGCCATGTGTCGCGGGTCAATCGACAGAGACTTCATGACCTCCTGGATCTCGAGAATGATCTTGGCCCGCGCGGCTTCGATACCAAGGACTTGTAGAGTTTCCATGACCGAGTTGGTCTGCGTGTGGTATGGGTCTACACCATCGGTGTTCATGCAGTAGCGCAATCCGTACCCTTCGACCATGACTCTGTGCATTTGTACGGGTTTGCCTGAATCTGCAGCTGGTGCTTTCGGGATGACTGATGAGGCCGGTTCTTCAACTTTGACTTTCGAGGCAGAGCTGTTTTCATCTTTGACCTCTGGCTCCGTGGACTTGGTCTCTGCTCGCTCCTGTTCGTTTTCTGCTTTCACCCTCGCCGCTGCTGCGCGCAAAGCCTTGATCTCGTCGCTCTTCGGATCGTCCTCGGCCATGACAACCGCTCTCGTGGCTTGTGGATGGCCGAGGACATGTACGCTCGGCAGAATGCGTCTTAGTGTCTGCAGCCTCAACAGCCGTTCGCTCTGTCCCTCCTCGTCGATCTTCGCGGCGGTCCCGCGCTTGGCAGACTTTATTGGAGTGTCCGTCGAAAGCTTAAGCTCATCTTTCCCACGAATTTGAAGCCGCAACTTCGCCGCCTTGAGCTGCCGATGCCGCTGGATTGCAAGACATATATCCTCCATGGTCAAATCGAGACCAAGCTCGGTGATTGTATCAAGACTGATCTTGAGCAGAATACAACTTGGCCGGTCCAACGAGTGTCTGATCTCGATGTACTGCGTCACATCCTCCAGGTACAGACACTCAATACGGCCCTTGACGATCCGGCCAAGGCCTTCAGGAATGGAGAGATCTCGGCGACGTTCTAAGCGGCATGTTATCACGGGTGTGCTGATGTCCTTGCTCGCGTTGATGATCTCCTTGATACGCGGGACACCGGCCGTTAAGGACATGCCTGCAACACCAGCAAAATGGAAGGTCTTAAGTGTCATTTGGGTGCCTGGCTCGCCAATAGACTGAGCGCCAACAGCGCCGACGGCATGGCCAGGTTCAACGCGGGCGCGTTCGTACTTTTCTAGACACAAGTTGACGAAGGTTTGGAGGGTCTTTTTGGAGAGTTTGGACGTCAAGTCGAAGCGATCTTTCGTCGATGGAGGGGCTTGGACTCGGACCAGAGTTTGGTCATCGGAGGCGGATCTCTTTTGCTTCTTGACGGCTTTGGGTGATGTTGGTGCATTAGTGGTGCTCTTCCGCCCCGAGCGTCGTGTTGGTCCACTTGACGCCTCGACCTGGTCTTCTTCGGCGTCGCCCTCGGCGTCGGCTTTTCGCTTGCTTGAACTGGATGATCTAGCCGGAGGTAAGGCGTAGCCTCTCTTCTGTGCTCTCGCATCCTCGAAGGAGCGAGCCTTGCCCATAACGAAGTCGTTTATAGACTGCAGAAATGCGCGATGACTTTCGTGCTGGTCCACCAATCTGTCGTCATCAACGTCGTATCCGAGCTCATCACTACTGAGATTGTTACGCGTTAGAAGACCACGTTTCGGCGCCAGGATCTCTTCCATCGTAGCGAAGATCTCGGTATCGCTAAGGCCGGGATCGTTAATGTCGAAAGTGGTAGCTTCGACGTGGGCATAGGTGCGCTCGAAATCGACTGGCTTTGCACTGGCTTCCATGTCAACGGGGTCGAGCTCATCGTCTCCAAAACGAAATTGTACGATGTTCGATGCTGAATTTCGTACTGTGTGATCGTACTGCGTGGAGAGATCTTCCAGTGATTTCATGAGTCGTCGAGACATATAACCGGTTTCGGCTGTCTTGACGGCAGTATCGACCAGACCGACTCTACCACCAACAGCATGGAATAAGAATTCGTATGGGAGCAGACCGCTGAAAAAGCTGTTGGATACAAATCCCTTCGACGGGGGTGATCTTTCGTGCTTTGCAAAATGCGGAAGTGTTCGGTCTTGGAAACCATCGGCGACACGCTTCCCTTCGATATCTTGTTGTCCAAGCAAAGCGGCCATCTGCGTGACGTTGATGTTGGAACCTTTGGAACCCGAGATGGCCATAACCATGGGGCTGTTCCTCTTGCTCAACTGAGAAGTTAGGATGCCGGCGATGTTTGTTCGGACCGTACTCAGCACTCTGACTTGTTCTGCTTCAAGACTACCTGCATCGTCCAGTCCAGGCTTTCTTTTCAGTTTACCTGCCTTGGATGTTCTCACAAACTGGTTGCAGTCGTCAAAGACTTTAGCAATCATATCAGCCTTCTCTTTGATGAGCATTTTGGGTGGAGTGACATCACTGATACCAACAGTAAAGCCTTGATTGCCCAACCATCTCGCGCACAGCTTGGATAGCCGATTCATTCCTTGAGCGGCTGCATCGGGGCCAAAGTCACGGTACAGGATGTAGAAGACCGAGTTTTTCTTTCCTGATCCAACCGTCCCCTTGTCCATTCTGCCGCACAAGACTTCCGAATTGCGAATGCAAAGAAAGCTGTCATCCTGCAGATCTCGATGCATGTCTGGATGGTATTGATTGTGATCTCGGCTAGCAGCATCAAGATTGACCGTCACCGGCGATTGCTTGTTCGGTCTCAGTAGGACACTGAAAACCTGCTTGCCAGTCCACAGCGCTTCCGGTTTTACGATGGATGGTGGTGGAAGCTCGAATTTTGTCTCGGGCTCCAACATGCCCATGCAGATGGTGACGAATGTCTTTCTGTCAAAAAACTGATCCAGATGGCTGAGAAGGAAGGAAGCAGTGATGAAATCCTGAATAGCCGAAATGATGGGTTCACCATTCTTTGGCGTGACGATGTTGTGCTTGACACCCATCAACAGCGTTGCTTCTGTACGTGCTTCTTCTGTTTGAGGAACATGCAAGTTCATCTCGTCCCCGTCGAAGTCGGCGTTATAAGGGTTACATACACATTCGTTGAGTCGAAAGGTACGGTGCGGTCGAACCTTGACGAAGTGACTGAGAATACTCAGCTTGTGAAGAGACGGTTGACGATTGAACAAGACAATGTCTCCATCCTCCAAGTGGCGCTCCACGATGTCTCCTTCTTTGAGGTCCTTGGCTATTAGCGGTGGTTTACCATATCTCAGGAACATGCGAAAATCTCCGTCTTTCTTCCAGACGTAGTTGGCACCAGGCCACACGTGGGGTCCATTTCGGACTCTCGTGCGTAGCTTATCGATGTTGATTTCGTTGACCACTTCGGGATAGGTCATGTTCTTCGCAACCAACACGGGAACGGCAACTTCGTCAATTCTCAAGTTCGGATCCGGGGAAATGACAGTACGTCCAGAGAAGTCGACACGCTTTCCTGAAAGGTTGCCTCTGAAGCGACCCTGTTTACCTTTCAAACGCTGAACAAAACCTCTGATCTGCTTGCCAAACTCTCCCTTCGCAAGGCCTGGCACGTCACTGTTAATGTACATGGCGAGTTGGAGGGAGAGGTAATCCCAATGCTCAACGACAGACTGAACAGGCGCGCCCTTCTCGATGGCTTCTTCGAGGGCGGCATTCGCAGCGACAATGTCGCCCAGTTTCGCAGTAATATCATCTTCTGTACTAGCACCTTCCTGGCCGACTGATGGGCGGATGCAAACTGGTGGAGCAGGAATGTATAGCCACAAGAATGACTCGGGACTGGCAGAACGCAGACCCAACAGCTCGCGGTCGGCCTGCCGTATGCGTTTGAATAGCTTCAATGTTCGCAAGGGGTTCAGATCATCCATAGCCTTCTTGAGATGCTTTTCAAGTTCGTAATTCGACTGCTTTGCATGATTGAAGGACTGATCGAAGTCGACCTTTTCAGGCGGCGGGACCTTCGATTTAGCTGTGGACGAATTGTATGACTTGAATTTATCGTGGGAGATCTTCAGAGAAGATGTTCCGGCCTTTCGGACCAATCCGTTGATGGCACCACATTCAAAGCATGTCTTTGTTTTTCGGCATTGATCCGCTATTCTCCGTACGATAATGGCTTGTCTTAAACTATCATGTTGATTTCTGCGTAAAGCACCGATGAACTTCCGTCGATCGGTCTCGGAGAGGAGGATGCAGGAACAGTCCTGAAAAGGTCAGTAGTGGTCGAGAGAGTCCGAGATGTCAATGCATGCCTTGCAGATGCTTTGGAGTATTTGTATGACTTTCTTGAAGTATCCGACATGGAAAGCAGGTAGAACAAGTCGAACATGGCCAAAGTGACCGTTGCAGGTTTGCAATTGTTCACCGCAGGTTGCGCAGGTGTCTCGCTTGCCTGATATCCCCATGCGCCTATCGAGAGGTCCATATTCGGCGTACGTGCGGCCTTTGTCGAGATCAAAAAGTCGACGGTCAACAAGTTCAACTTGCGACTGATTTATGATATCTTGATCGGATCTGCAGAAGTGTCAGAAAATATTCTTTGCCCTCCCCCGTTGTCTCCATACAAGACGCCGAAATGTAATTCTTTGATGACTTTCGGAACATCATTGACCACCTGCTCTTTACCCGGCCAGTTGTCAGAGACTTCTGTAGCCACAGGCATTATGCTGGAAATGTCACCGCAATACTCGGGACCGAAAGGGATGAGGAAATCGTTCAGGCATAGGTATGTTACAGGCCGGACTCGTAGGGATGACAATTTCAGAGAGAATATTGCATGTTGAGTCCAAGGGTCAATTGTAAAGCAAGTGCAGGCAGTCCGTGGCGGTGTCGAATTTGATTGCGAGCCATGACTCTGAATGAAGGTGGGCGACCATCGCTGGCCAAAATCTTTCTCCAAATTTCAGTGTGTCTTGTGCCCCGCTCCGCCACGAGGCTGTGGGCGAGGTTCACAGCCTTGCCGTTCCGCTCCAATCACCATTGACTCCTGCAATATGGGAGGGGGCGGACGTGGCTATGCGACTAAAGAGGTACCTGGTAGGACAGGGGGCTAATAGAAAGAAGGCTTGATGTTTGAAGAGTCATTATCATTGCAGTGCCTGATCCCGTAACACAAAAGACCCCGGAGAAGCAACATAAAGACCCATAACTCCTCGCTATTGATATTTTGACTCTCAATCAGCCAAACGGTAACTGACCAGGGTATCGACCTTGTGGTTGCTGGTGCTGAAACTCCGTAGTTGCACCTTCTCTCCATTTTTGATCTCTTTTGCATCACTGTCACCCCATTCAATTGGCACGTCCGAGTCGGCATCTGCGTAGACCAGGACGTTGAAGGTACAATTGCCGTCAAGAACAGGCAAGAATGTGACCGAGGCCGTAATTTGTCGGAAGATTGCCTGGATTTCTTCTTGAATCTGGGCTTCCGTCTTCTCTGGCTCTGACGCTGGTTCGGTTCGCGCTGCATCCCTGATATAGTCAGCATCGATCCAACCATGTCGGTGAGATCACTCACTCAGGCGCTGCATTCTCTTTGTCTGGTGCTTTCTTCGATGACCGATGTTTTGAGGCCTTGCTCAGAATTTGTACATCGAATTGCCATCGTTCAACGTGCTCTCCCGTCTCTTTGCTGGTAATGACCACCACTAACTTTGAGATTTTGCCTCCAACCATCCATTTGTTCAACTGTGACATGATTTTTTTGATGTAGGCTTTGACTTGATCGTCGGAGGAGACTGCATTCAAATTAGCTGTTGCGCTCAATGGCAATGTATATCTCCATACCCAGCATGTTGAGTCCATACTTCTTGACACTACGGTCTTTTAGCTGATGTCGCCTCCTCAACTCCGTATCTTACTCACGGGGTGAAGTCTTCCGCAGGATAGACGCCTCTCTGAAATCTGCCAATTGTCAATGGCTCTCTGCTTTGGCTCCTGCATCTGAACTCACAGAATCGTATTTATCGAGTATTCAAACTGATGTATATCAGTAACGGCCAGGAATAGTCGTGTCTGAACTCACAAACTCGGCCACGAGCTTCGAGGAGCCTGTTGCATCAAATGAGCGCGTTTCCCACAAAAACTCAACATTGTTGACGAACCTCGGAGTGCTACCTTATGCAACTGAGACTTCTCTTTCTTTTCGACCGCCATTTTGCTTGATGTTGGAAATGGAGCGCAGGCAAGATGTCAGGATGAGAAGTGCAGGTTCTAATGTTGACGTTGATGGTTGGCAGGGCGATAATCGAATACTCGCCAAATCTTTAAATGGAACATTTCTCTCAGACCACCAATGAAAAGAATCTTCGAGACCGTCTTCACCACCTCAATCATCGATACCTACTGGCATGCGAGGATGGCTGCAGGTCTTTGCAAGGCGAAGAACTGCCCTGAGCAATCCTTCTGCCTCGATATGGTCGGCTTATAACGCCGTCGCTCCTTTGCGAGCTTTTACGACAACTGCACCCTTTCGCGCCGCGCCGCCTACTCCTCCCAGCAGCCTCGAAACCCGGATTGCAGCAATCCCTATCGATCGTTATCGCAACTTTTGCATCGTGGCTCATGTTGACCATGGCAAGAGTACCCTCAGTGACCGCCTTCTCGAGCTGACAGGCACCATTGAGCCCGGCGCAAACAAGCAGGTCTTGGACAAATTAGATGTTGAAAGAGAGCGCGGCATTACAGTCAAGGCGCAGACATGTTCCATGATCTACAATTACCAAGGCGAAGATTACTTGCTCCACCTGGTTGATACACCTGGCCATGTGGATTTCCGAGCCGAAGTCGCACGTAGCTATGCGAGCTGTGGTGGCGCCATCTTGCTGGTTGACGCGAGTCAAGGTGTTCAGGCTCAGACGGTTGCAAACTTCTACCTGGCTTTTGCGCAAGGACTATCTTTGATTCCAGTCATCAACAAGGTTGATCTGCCTCATGCCGACCCTCCACGAGCATTGGAACAAATGCATGATACTTTCGAACTGGATCCTGGAAGCGCTGTTCTAGTGTCTGCAAAGACAGGACTGAATGTGGAAAGCATCTTGCCCGCCGTGATCGAACAGATCCCTGCGTGAGTATATGTGAAATTATTGACAATGTTCATTCTGACCTCGCGCAGGCCGGTCGGCAATCCCAAGAAGCCATTGAGACTCTACCTAGTGGATTCATGGTATTCGTCTTACAAGGGCGTTGTTCTATTGGTGCGATTGTTTGATGGTGAGCTTCGTGCAGGAGATCAAATCGTCTCTTTTGCCACTGGGTCCAAATACACCGTGGGAGAGGTCGGCATCATGTATCCTGATCAGACGCCTCAAAAAGTCATTCGTGCCGGACAAGTCGGATATGTCTACTTCAATCCGTCCATGCGCAAAAGTAGCGAAGCCAAAATTGGTGATACTTACACGAAGGTCGGACTGCAAAAACAGGTTGAGCCTTTGCCCGGCTTTGAGGAACCTAAGCCCATGGTCTTTGTTGCAGCTTTTCCGGTCGATCAAGGTGAATTTGAACGCCTTGAAGATAGCATCAACCAACTTTTGCTCAACGATCGGAGTGTGACGGTACAAAAGGAGTCGTCACAGGCGCTGGGTGCAGGTTTCCGTCTAGGATTTCTAGGCACCTTGCACTGCTCCGTATTTGAAGACCGGCTACGACAAGAACATGGCACCAGCATTATCATCACACCACCTACCGTCCCCTTCAAGGTTTTTTACAAGAATGGCAAGGAAGACATCATCGCCAATCCTGCCGAGTTTCCGGACAGTGAAGAAGCACGTCGGGACGTCGCAGAACTGCGTGAACCCTATGTGCTTGCCACTTTGACATTCCCTGAAGAGTATCTTGGAAGGGTCATGGAGTTGTGCGAAGGCAACCGCGGAGAACAGAAGTCAATGGAGTACTTCACGTCCTCACAAGTCATCCTCAAGTACGAGATGCCACTAGCTCAGCTGGTGGACGACTTCTTCGGCAAATTGAAATCGAGCACCAAGGGATATGCAACTCTCGATTATGAAGAATCCGAATGGCGGCCGAGCAACATTGTCAAGCTCCAATTGTTGGTAAACAAAGAACCTGTTGATGCTGTCTCTCGTGTTCTCCATCAATCTCAAGTCCGACATGTGGGCAAACAATGGGTCGAAAAGTTCAAAGAACATGTCGACAGACAGATGTTTGAAATTGTCATCCAAGCTGCTGTTGGCAAGCAGATCATCGCAAGAGAAACAATCAAACCCTTTCGAAAAGATGTGCTCGCCAAGTTGCACGCTGCCGATAAGACTCGACGGATGAAGTTGTTGGAGAAACAGAAGGAAGGTCGTAAGAAGCTGAAAGCAGTCGGGAACGTGGTGATTGAACACTCTGCATTCCAAGCATTTCTTGCAAAGTAAGGAACCAAATCTCCCGGAGAAAGCACTGTGTACCACGAGAAATGGGCGTTATCCACCGGTTCATCTCCTCGAGTATCAATCCAGAAAGTAAGCTCCCATGACATGTATCAAAATCTGCATTTCCAAAGTCAGGGTCGAGACAGCAACCAGAAGTGCGTTGTTTTCACAATTTCTTTCTTCTCTCACAACCAAGTCGACACTGCCATTGTTATTGAAGGCAACAGGTATTTCTGAAATAGCGCATGCTGAGCCATTTCATTGTTAGCTTTGTTCATCCCTCACATTGACTTTCTTGCAAGCTGTCCATCTATTTCGAGCGTCATAACCACCTCTTTGTTCTGCTGCGTCGCAAGGCAGGCGTTTGTATACTCGAGCACTTCCAGAATGTCTGTGAGGAGGACACCATACTGTCTGACAGACGATCCTTTACAGATTTCGCCCTTTAAAAATGTCTAACCAAATCAGTAAGTGGAAGGCGCGTTGAAGCGAGTGTCGACGACTGACTGCTTTCAGACCGACCTCCACGTCCCCCTCCGCTTCAGACCAATGTTCGGCACGCGCGGCCAGGATCCTCGCGCTCGAACAATAGCAGGTTGTCGAGCAGTTTGTCCCACGCCAGCCCAGCCTCTGCGAGCTCGGCATCGACCTACCATCATGGCGACGAGGCTAATTTGACGCCCAGAGACGCACTCAGAGAGGCGATCTTAGATATTGAGTGTGCCACGCGTGCTCTGCAAATTGCGACCTCTGGCGTCAAATCCGCCATGAGACTCGTGGCGTTGGCATGGGATGATTCATCAGCGCCATGGGATGAAGCGGCATCTCTACAGGCCCATGCGGCGCGTTCACCTTGGCTTGCCAATACCCCAACACTATCTTCCATTTCGTTCCTCGACACACCAATTTCCTCGATTTACAGCCCTCCTCCGTACTGGCGAGACGCGTTGCCAAAAGAGCCAATATCACTAACCTTCGGTATAGAGCTGGAACACGTTTTCGCTTTCGACATATATCCGGGGCCCGGCTTCGAATGGATGGGGTTCGAGGGCCGCGACTGCGGAGGAGACCATCAGGATGGACTTAGCAGTCGTGTACTTGGAGCTGACATTGAAGGTGTAGTTCTCCCTGCGAAGTCCCGTCTTGGTATGCCATGCTGTACGATGCCTGTGGCACTCTGCGTCCTCAATCACGCAGGTCTTGAGGGTGTAATTGATGGGAGCGGTTATGCGTCGTGGAGCCTTGACAAAGTAAGTCGAATGCTAACATCTTACCTTAGCGCAGTGGCTAACTATATTGCAATGTAGGACTTATCGATCCGGTATTCTGCTGACCTATGCAAGGATCTGCCAGGTAAGCTCGACGCATATATGGAGAAGAACTGGATACAGGGCCGCCACGAATTGGTCTCCCGAGTACTAACAGCCCCTGACAAGCTAACATTTGGAACATTCAAATGCAGCCGTGCCATGAAAGAAATCGAGAGTTATTTGCAAGCCATACACGGTACATCGACCGACCCATGGGGAGCGTTTGTCAATAAATCCTGTGGGTTCCATGTGCACGTTGGTCGTACATATCCGGATTCGGACGCAATGCTTCCGTTGCCAGTTCTTCAACATCTGGCTTACCTGCTCGTCCAGTTTGAGGAGCTGATTACCGCTCTTCATGACCAAGATCGACGATCCCGCGGCAATGGAGACTCCCGATTTGTGGCATCAAACTTGATGGGCATTCGCCGCTCTGAGCATTGGTGCCGGCGAATTGATGAGCTCGACCTTGCGATGGCCCAGAAGAAGATCTTCTCCAAGAACATGACCGCCCATATTCTTGCGAAGATGATGGACACGGATATCACACCGTACGACAGGTTCGGAGGCCGTGTCAGCGGAGGCCGCCTGACACGATACAAGTTCGTCAACTTCCAAAGACTGACGCAGACTGGTGATGCTAAGACCATCGAGTTTCGCCAACATAAGGGCACCGTGGACTTTGACGAGATCTCTCACTGGGTCCATTTCATTTTGAGCCTGGTGCGAGCCGCAGAACGAATGGCCAAGGATCCTACCGGCCTGCACAGCAGCCCTGTGTCTCCAGTGGTGCGCATGTCGTTCCGCCGTAAGCAAGCGGCCAAGTACACTATCCGGTGTGCAAAGTTGCGAGACGAATTTGAGCGTCTGTTTGCATTGCTCGAGTTTGATGAGGAGACACGTTGCTATTGGCACCAGAGGTTCGTTCAACTCAATCCCGCAGAAGTCCTTCGAGTCGAAGAAGACGAAAACGGGGTCGAGTGGATTGCCGACGATGGTAGATGCCCTGCTTGCAGTCAGGAGGACCAGGACCAGGAACAGGACAACCTAGTGTTTGCTGGCCGAGAGCAACTCTCCCCGAGTCTCCCTCGTCCGGATCTGCCATGGGGCTCGGAGGCTATTGTGACTGACGAAGAGACGTTGGAAAATCCTGACGCTGCAGTACAGCACGACATCGAAGTCCTTCCGGCAGCACCTAGGACTGTAACTGGTCAGGACAGAAGAATCGATAGTCTCATCGGTAGTCCTCAGTGGGACGAGCTCGTTCAGGCTACGAACTTGTTGCGGTTACACAGCCCTACAAGTGTGGAAAGGTAGTCTGCAGTGTCTGGTGCGTGTGATGAGGACACGGAGGATAATTCATATAGGATCTTGTTTAGATTTGGGCTTTATGTACGGAGTACTGTTATTTACGGACTATGTAGGTAGTATAGTCGTATTGTCATAAGCGGCATGACGAGCAGCTTGGTTCACAGTACTCAACGATAGTACATAGTAGTTGGCTCTCCACACCCGCACCACACTCTCCTTTTGTTTACCCCCATCATCCCCCTTGATTAGGTGCCTGGGCTCCAATTCCAATGGATCTCGACCGGCCCGCTACCCCGACTTCCCCGACCGAAAATGTCTCGTCGTCCTGATCTCCGACTCTTCCAGGTTCCATCGCTCGCCTCGTCCCCTTGTTGCCCTTGACCTGACCGCGTCGAGGCTCTTGGGATCTGCCGGGATGCGACAATTGCGATAGGTGGTCGTGGCGGTGTACCTGCGTCAATTAAATTTTCTCCTTTTTCTCTTACCGCCACTTGTCTCCCCCTTCCTGCGTATATCAACACACACCGTGCGCCTCTCCCTTGTTCCCTCGCTCACTCATTTTTTTTATCAGTTTGTTTATAGAGCATAGACTTGTTGCATTCCCGCATTGCTTTGCTTCAGTCTTTCGTTCCGAGAACTGATTAGGCCAACACTCCACACTCACTTTCCCAAGGAGGCTTTTCGATTACGTCGCGACGATCAACAACAGAACCGATAGACAAAACAAGACACATCCAAAAAGCAAAGCATCACCAGAACGAAGAACCAAAAAAGAAAAATGTCTCACTTCACACTGACGACCTTCCTCGCCACCACGGCTACTGCATTGGCACCCTTTGTCATTGTGTACAATATGCCACAGAAACAGACACAGACACACTTGGCCTCGAGTCTGCCCAAGCCCCGGCCGCTGGCAACATTGAGGGAGGTCAAGGAGCAGGGCAAGTCCGAGTTCAACCTCGTCTAGATGGGACCACGACACTACATCTTCCAATATACGCGCAATGCGATGCGATAGTCTCGGTGATGATGATGGTGACAGGGACGGCGACGCGCATTTACAATCGAATTAGCGCTGTTTAGTGCGTTCACAATCAGCGACTTGGGTTTTGTGGGATCGGGTGTTTCATGACACTGGCGCAGGCACGGAAGAATAAGAGGCAGTATGCGGCTGTGAGAGGACTCGAGGATAATGGATTGAGTAAGGGATTACTTGACGCGTTCCTTTCCCTGGGGGATTGAGCATTGCTTTCCAGAGAGTCGTTTCAAGAGAAAAAGGGTTGCAGCTTTTCCGAGTACCTCGATGGCATAGACCAAGACCATTATCTTTGGCGTGCTCCCTTACCAGAACATGGAGTGCGCATTGCTAGAAAGGAATAGAATGATGGAATACCAGGAATGATTGCCTTCTCTGTCGTTCTAATTCGCGCGACTGGTACTCCGTAAACCAGTGCAAATTAGACGTTTATAGGAATTTCTCCTTGCGCCCCTGACTTCTACTCGTACGGTATTTCGGGGTTAAACCTTTCATCTACCTCAAACATGCACAAGAGTCATCCGGATGGCACAGATACTGAACCAAAGGGGCATCATTTATGTGACCATGAACATCGTACTAGCACTGCGTAGCCTGAAGAAATCATACAAGTCCCAAATCTAAATCAAGTACTTCGCAAAGAAGTCGACACACTTAGTCCCTGCCTCATCGACCTTGTCGTACAAATCTGCATGGGTCAATCCGTCGAGGACGACCAATTCCTTTGGCTCTTTCGCCTTGCCCACCGCCTCTTCACTATACCACTTTGTGCGGCCTTGGTGCCCGTGATCATTAGAAGCGGGCGAGGGCTGATCATGTCAATGAAATTGAACGCGTCGAAGTTGGCCATGATATCCCAGCTTCTAGGGAGGCACGTATTCGTCGCTCGGGGGTGGAAAGCTCTCGGGGTGCGGTAATAGTTGGCCAGATCTCTAAAGGACTCGGGCATATCTGCCGGGCCGTCCTCAATCTTTTCTGGAAGAAGGTGAACTATGGGCACTTTGTCGTGGCCGGCGACGTCGCTGTTCCGATCCTTGGCCGCGGCGTCGAGTTGAGAGTGTAGAATGCTCATGTTGGATGAATCCTTGTCAAAGCCTCGACGGGCCATTGTGCCCACGCACACCGCCGCCGATGTGGCACAGGCTTTGATGCGCAAGTCTGTCTGTGCCGCAAACGGCGCGTAGCCGCCCGAGGCACAAATGCCCAGGACACCGATCTTGTCGCTGTCGACGTCCGACAGGCCGACAAGGTAGGTCACGGCGGATCTGATGTCCTCGACGCGCTGGTATGGGTCCTCCAAGTTTCGCGGTTCGCCCTCGGACTCTCCCTGGTACGCAGCATCGTAAGCTAGGCAGGTAAAGCCACTGTTGGTGAGCACTCGCGCATAGTTTCTCGGTGGTTGCTCCTTGATGCTGGTCCAGGGGTGGCAGATGACGACAGCTGCGCCCCGTCGGTCCGGAGATCCTGGCACTGGACGGTACAAGTGGGCAGCAAGTTTGCAGTTGCGGGACAAGAACGAGACGTTCTCGGGCTGAGGAAGAGAACCCATCGTCGGCAGAATGGGACGTGATTTGTTTCGCGAAAATAGTTGTCAAAAGTCACCTCGAGAAGAACAAGTGAAGCCGTGATCTGGAACACTTTTTGCGCAATGTTGCTCTTTTCTCACTTACTGGTATCAGGATGGGCCATGGCTTTATAGCAGAGCAAAGTGCTCTCTTCGCTGAGATAGATGTACGTCAGCGTACAGCATTGGCATGGAACCCGTCCACGAGGATTCGTCAATGTACAGGCTTCTGCTCAGAAATCTCGCAACCAGCCCTGAGGCTTCAGCTCACGGTGATAGCGGCCGCTATGTGCCATGCTCGCAAAACGCTGATATCTGTCAAATCCGGAGCCGATGAAGACTGGCATGTTGTGGACTGTAGAGTTGGCCTGGCTCCAAATTGTTGATGTATGGACACGTGCTGGACGACCATACAAGACGTTAGATTTCTGTTTTTGACTATGCTATAAGTGAGTCAAGGGCAGTACAGCGACGCGGAGAGATGGGTTGGAACTCGAATACTGATTCCACGACAACTTATATCGATCGTAGTAGGGTTGTGGTGTCGTGTTCGTTCTCAAGGTCGTCGTTGTAGTCGAGGTTGTACTCGTGGCTCGGCTAAGAAATGGATCTCGTTACCCGAAGCCACGGCGCTCGCCTTTTTCCAACGTCCATTATTGACACCACCAACCAACATCCCACGCTTCTTCACGCTTCCCAGCTGTTTATCTTCCTTTCCCTTCCGGACCACTGCTGTTCTCCTTTCCTAGTGTTCACAGATCCTTCCATGCCGCATACAACGGTGCCCACCACACCTAAGCAGACTTGCAATCCATGTTCCACTCTAGAGACGAGATTGAAGCCACACTATCCCAATGCCTCAGCCCTGTGACTCGTGATCCCGACTGCCTGATTACAAGGGACACAAGATAATCCTAGCTATTCACATGACGTATTGTTCAACATCAAGTACGCACGAAGTCCTTCTCGTTCGAACACGTGGGCGATGTCCTGCATTTGGTCCGAAAGTGATAGCGAGATCCTACCTTGGAAGGGCCCAACCATCCCAGATGAACATCTCATCATTCGCCCACACCTCATGCAGTCCGACCCTTGGCTCCTTGTCGGCTGATGCACTCTTGCGTGGGATGTCTTTCATGAAAGAGGAAAGAGGGGTCCGTCGATGCCCAAGGGGTTGGTATATCAACGTCGTTTTCCTTTTTCTTTTCACCTCTCACTTCTTCACACACGTTGGCATTGCAGACTCCTGAAAATCAATACTACTCGTACAGCTCCTCAAAGAATCACATCGCTCAAAAACAAACAAACACCCACTTCAGAGAACAATGGGTCCCTGCGCGTCTTGCAACTGTTGCTCCGGCTCCTGCAGCGGCTCTTGTGCTTGCAAAAGCTGTGGAGTGCGTACTTCCTGACCTCCTGTCCACCATGCGGTCGTCCCTCTGAGATATCATATTTCAACCTTCTACCATGTCCGAGTACACCTTGCCTTCCCCTCCTCCCACTCCTCGCTGGGAAACCGTCCTGCCCTGTCCTGCTCTTCCTTGCCTTGCCCCGTCAACTGTTCGACCATATCCAGCATAAGCCCCCTCCTTTTCCTCAATTCTTGCTTCATTTTCCCCCTACCACTGCGCTCTGCGTCATACCATCCTCCCCTCGGCTTAGAGTGTCATAATGCTGACCTGGGTGACAGCATTAAACGGTCTCCTTCGACCACCACTGCAACCGATCGCCAACACACTAGCCAGACACACAATACAAGGAAAGAAACCGGGTACAAAGTTGAGGCAGTAATGCAATGACAATGACAATGGCAATGATAATGACGGCGGCGAAATGGACGGGGAGGCAATTGACATGACCAAATACACGCTCTTTTCCTTACAAGGTCAAAGGAGGATGGAAGGTGGAAATTTCATATACCCAAACTCAATATACCCAAGTGGAACATGGAGTACATTGAATACCTTTTGACTTTCTTCCTGCTACTTCTGGAGCTCCTTGGATCGAGAGGTTCGACATGGTAATAGGAGATAGCGACACCCTTCGAGGAAAACGGCGCCAGCAGCACAAATTTGACTTGCCATATCACCAAGAGTCAATAAGCCACTATCACCAAAGATGAGCACAGCAAGCCTTAATTGCTTGAGAGACTCCTGCTGCGTCAAACAGGCCGCACCTCATTGTTGAAATAGAGAAGTCGAACTTCGGCATTATGTTGTTACTTCAACTCAATATATTCAAGCACGCACCACGCTATCGATCGCTGCTATATAAAGCAGGATATCCACCCACTCGGTACAATCGCCTTCTAGATACTAACGTAATTCTCGAGTCGCTTCGATGTATCGCGGTATCATTTGCTCAAGTGTCAATTCGTATAGCAAAATTCCGCCATGCCCAGGGACATCCACTCCCCGTATCTCGTGTATCTTATATGGTGTTGAGGCCGTTCCATCATTAGTGTTTGGTTGGGGCTTCTTGAACCCTACATCCTGGACCACCAACGGTACATGTCCAAGCGTGTATGGTAGAAGTACAGGCTGTATGGTATCTAGACAACGACCTGTCGTTGCGCAGTCTCGCTGACCGTCAGCGGTGCGCATTGGGGTTTCATTTTGAACGCCTGATTAGCGCGCGTCTTTGCAACTTCCAGGTCATCCCGTTCCCTCGACGCCGCAATTGGGGCGCTCGGCGATTTCGGCCAAGTTTGAGTCTGACCCATAATCGGCATATGAGGCGTCGGTGTTGTGTCCTCGTCCCGCAAACTTTCCAGCTGGCCGAGTGATGTTGACTGCCCACGATTTTGGACAGCTGAAGTCTTTGCAAATCGCGGCAACTCGTCGCTAACGGACTGGTATATCGAAGGCTTTCCAGCTAAGGGAAGTCCTCCGAATCGGTCCCCGAGACAACGCAAAATCGCCACAAAATACTGATGGAGGTAGGCGAAGATGTTCTCGTCGCCCACAATTTCCGCCAGACTTCTCGGCGTTGCATGTCCCCCTCGTCGCGGATGGCCGTCAGGGTCGACGGTTCGCGCTGTCAGGAAGGACGACACTGGGGTGTAGTTTCTCGAAGATCTGGACTCGGCGAGTTGTGCTTCTTCTTCCGCTTTTTGCCGCTGCTCTTCCAGGTGTCTTTGCGCCGCAGCTTCGATGCCCTTGGCCATGCTCGCAAAGGCTTCCCAAAGCATAGGACACGCTTGGAACGCACGGCTGGCATCTTTTCCGGCGAGAGCGATGAAAGCATACGCCCGCCGCCGTCCACGCGCTCTTGGATCTGTTAGTCGGAAAACGTAGGATATCGTGTAGCCTATATTTGAGTCACCGAAACAGAAGGGTCCGTCCGACATCCCTCGCGGAAGGAGTTCACAAGATAATGTTCGAATGACGGACGCTCGTAATTGCGCGTAGCCTTCTGGATCGTCGGGAGATTTTGCAGTGAGGTATGTCAGGGTGTGATCGTGGCAGCCGGCATTTGAGTGAGGGAGAGATTGCGTATGAGACTGTGAAGAGGCAAAAGACGAGCCGTAGGATGAGGGTTTCGAGTCATGATTGACGCTGCTGCGTCTTCTTTGGCGAAGGCAGACGAATTCCCTCGAACGTAAAACTGGTGCACTGCTTGTGTCCTTCCCGACCGATCTCTTGCTGCCAGGAGCTCCTGCTGGTATCTTCTCTGCTACAGCCTTGGGGACGCTGAAGCTGCAACTGGCGCAAGTATCACCTTGCGCTCTTCCATAAGGCCACTGTGAACCAATTTCCCGCTTCTGCTGAAATAGGGGGTGCTTCTCAATCGTCGGGCTTTCTGGCTCGGTCTCGGAATCTACCGTGGTAGACGCGCCAGAGAAGTCGGTGGGTAAGGTCAAGTTGGTGTCGGTCTTGCGTATAAGAGGTGTTGTATGGTCACTCTGGTTAGAGTCAAAGGATGAGTCGTGGACTTGGGTAGTCAAGGATTCAGAGGAACAAGGTCGTAGTGGCGGCGAAGGAGGAAGGCATAAAGCACATTCTAATGGGAGGACTTGTGTACAGAGGACTGATTTGGGACCATGCGCTTCGCAGAAATGCGTGAGTGCGAGCTGGAGAGGCCATTAGTTTTTGTTCAAGGACGAAAGGTCATGCGCAAGCAGGCGTCAATGCAAACATGTCATGCGCCTGACTGCTTGCGCCATTGAACTGGAAGATGATGCCAGAACAGCACACATGACAGCACAGAAACTCGATCTTGCACTTACTGTAAAGTCCATTTCTTCTCTTTGTGATCTCTTCTCGGACTCGGTTCTATTGTCTTTGAGGGTGGTTGTACATGTTTCGGAGGCCGGCGCAGCTGGGTAAACCGAAGCCTGCCATGGGAGACCGTTCCAGTTCCGCGACCAGGAACGGTTGGCAGCTTTGAGGAAAAGTGCACTTTGCTAAGAGCGATTGCGCAGCAGGTTCTATACCGGAGCGACGAAGTCGAGCAAGGTGAGAAGTCGTGTGACCTGGCGTTCAAGGGAGAAATGTTCGCTGCGAATAGTAACGGAACGAGCCGGCGCAGTGGACACCAATAAATGCAACAGTGCGCCGATTGAAGGGTCCGTGTCTCGAATGAAGAAAAGACAAAGTGGACAATGATAGAGAGGAGATTATTGTTGAGAAGGGAGAGGGGTGAAAAGGATCTGGCGACCTGACCTTGTCGTCGTCACCGGCAGTGGCAGTGGCAGAGGCAGCGATGACACGGGGCGGCCCTTCTGATGAATCTCAGACCGCCACTTCGGTGATGGAAATCCGCCGTGTCCAATCAGGGTGGCATCAATGACAATTCTTCGTTCATGCACGCTAATGTACTGTGGTACACTACTCAGCACCTATTTCATGCCGCTGTTGGTCTGGACCATCTCCTGGTTTCTGGCTTACTGAGGTTACTGAGGTTCCTGCGGCCACCAGTCCCGGTGCGACGGTTATGCCAGCAGGGGTTGGCAATTGCCGGTCACACCACTTGGACCACGGAGTGAACTGTTCCGTTTATCCAGCTTCAGACCAACATCTTCGGATCCTGTCTGTCGCTTCCGCTACTTCTTACCTCCTTCCGAGCCCAGTCTGTCTTGAACTTTCCGTTGGGAGTGGCTTTGTGGATGATGAGTGCTATCCGACACCCATCGTGCCTCACGTGTAGCTTCTGGGAATTGACAGGAGTGACGAGACTTAATTGTCGTTCCACAACATCGACCCCTGCCACCATCCCAAAACCAATGCAGTGAGATCCCTCTGCAGAATACGGAAAAGCATGAGGCGAGGAACCCTGCAAAAGTCGGGGTATGCGCTCGTTTGTGCGAGTGGCATGCCATTTGTCTTTTCTGCAGCGCTGGAGGCCGTCCACGTCCATAACTTCACCTTCCTGGTCAATCGGGGTCAAATGTTCATGCTGCTGCTCCTGAACGAGCAGCATAGCCACAATACTTCCTTCAAGGGCATCATATGTGTCTTCAAGCGCGACATTTCCACCTAGTAACACGACACCACAGATATCGGGATTGTTGCCGCCATAGCTAAGTATGACAGGGTTCCGAGCCAGGATAGGGGTGTCAGTCCAGTACGGACTGCCGCTCAGACATTCTGACATGTGAAAGTATGACTGCATTTGAAGATCGTGCTCTCGAGCAGGAGACATCTTGTCAAAAACTTGTGCTGGAATCTGATGAATGCGACATTCGACGGCCTCGGCGGATGGTTTCCAAGCTTGTAGGTGCGGTGAACTGGGCCTAGTGTCCATGCAGATGATATCTGTTGGTAGCATTTTTTTCCATAGACTGATCGCAATATGCTGCTCAATGTCGTTCAGCCATTTCGGGGCGAGCATAACGACCGGCACATTCTTCTCCTCGACTCGATTATTCTGCTCAAATGCCAGGAGATCACTAACTCGCTCAATATGCCAATCAGATAATTCTGTGTCGTCAAAGTCACCCAGAAAATGAGTCTTCAGGATCCGCCCAGCTGTGGATTGAGCGAGCATTACCTGTGTGAATGACGGCCCGAAGCCAGGACCAACAACCTTGACAAGACTGATTGTCCCAGGAGGTGCAAATTGCGGCATCGTTGTATCGAAGTCAAGCAGAATGAGCTCTTTACTCGTGCCCTGAGCCGTTAAGAGCCGATTCAGCAAACATCTGACGAACGTTGACAACCCAGAAGATCGTCTACCACAGATCAAGATTCTGGGACAAGATGGCGCGGATGGCTTCGCAGCCTTTGGGCTAGCAAAATGCGAGAGAACAGTCTCCCAACCGTTCAGGTTCAACTCCTTCAGCCGCTGAGGTGCCTTCAGATCCTGTTCGAAGGAAACTCCTAGAAGGTGGAAAGACAGTCTAGATTTGACAACGCCCCTGGGTTCCCATTGGTCTCTTATGCCAATATATGGCAAGTCTCGAATCCCATCTTCAATTGATTCAAGTTGGACCTCGGCTTTCGATGTCAGTGCTTCGATAGGTGGTAATGCGTCAGTAGCCGGAGCATAGACGCGATAGGTAGCAATAGAAGCATGAATGATGGCGCCATAAATGGAGATTGATCCATGTTTGACCCATAGACGACATGACCCCAGAACGACACATTTCTTTGATTGTCAGTGCAGCCAGGAAAGCTTGAGATTAAACGGACCTGGCCTCGAGACAATCTGACCTTGATGGTCGTCTGATCTACGTTTTCCACTTCTCGGGACGAACTGAAATTGACAGCCGATGCCTCCACTAATGTCGAGAATTGGTTTGATGTCGCAATTTGATCGCTGCCGTCCTTGTCACTGCCTTCGTCCGACAAGTTTGGCTGAGATGCTGGGTCAGGAAGCACATTTCGAACCACTGGTGTTGGCGAGGGCGCTGGAGGAGTAGATGCAGCAGACCGCGCCTCACGCAGACGGCGCTGCCTCGCAACTGCGCTCAATCTCTCACCATCTGTCGTAGATTAGCAGTGCATAGCCTTGTCATGATTACCACTTACTCGCAGGCATACAACTGGATGTGGTACTGGAGAGAGCGCATAATAAAAAAGCACTTAAGGAGAAAAAGGACAAAAGCTAGCAGCACGCTAAAATATTAGCGCACGGCTATTGCCGCGAAGATTTTGTGCTCGTTGATCTTCAAATTATTTTCCGGGCACGAGAAACAAGGACGACCTGAAATCATTACACCGACCAGCACTCCATCTCTTGGGACTTGTGGTCAGACCGAGTGCGACACTCACGGCTGACCATGGCGAAGAAAAAGGAGGTTGCCAAACCAAGCAACCTCAGCGAAGAGGTGGTTCATGATTCGAGTGATGAGGACGAGCCCCAGGTCGCGGAAGTAGAGTCTGAATCAGAATCAGAATCTACAACACCGACATCAAATGCCGAAGATGACTCGGAGTCATCAGATGATAGTGGACGAGACGACTCGGAATCTGAGTCATCAACCAGCTCCGTCCCAAGCAAGAAAAGACACTCGGAGAGCATTTCAGAAACTCCCTTGAAAAGAGCAAAGAAGACGACATCCTCGGCAGTCCGAATAGCTCCTAAGCCGTTCAAAGCACCGACAGGCTACGAATCAGTCACACTATCAACATCGGATTATGCCTCGGCTTCAGCCGCTCTCTTCGACGACTTGGCCGGCAAGCAGATCTGGCATATTTCAGTGCCTGACTCTGTGTCCATCGAATCTATCGAAAAACTCGATATTCAGGCCGCACTAAGGGGAGAAAAGATCCACAGCAAAGATGGCGTTGATTACAACATGCAGAACATAGCCTCCAATAACGAAACGGTTCTTCTTCCCGAGGGCCCCAAGTCAACCTACAAGCAGGCAGCGAGGATCGAAAGAAGTTTTCGAATGCAAGAGATGACTACCAAACCTGATGTGCAGGACGATGATGCGACACAGACGCCGCTCGTGTTCACGGCCACACAAACTGGCAAACCCAAAGTGGTCCGAGAACAGCCCCAAGGCTTGAAAATGCGCTATTTTCCATACGGGGCTCCGCCAGCAAAGGAGGAGCTTGAAGACGTCGAAATGACCGACACGTTTCAGGTCCCTGAGGGTGTACCGGAACCATCACCGAAGAAAAAGTCCAAAAAGTCCAAACACGCGTCTCAAGGGTCGATGACCGGCGAGCGTCCTCAAAAGTCTAAGGAGGCGACTGGCGAGGTTCCAACAGAAAAGAAGAAGAAGAAAAAGCCCAAGTTGGTGGATGAAGATGTCTTGTAGAAGACTTGCTGAACGATAAGCATCTGCTTCTGTTGAAGTGTTTTACCGTAGCGTATGATGGCCATGAGCGTCACGTGGAGCAACTACTAGTCACGTTAGTGTATGGATAAGCTTAGCGTGAACTTTGCGCGGGGAAAATCGCGACAGACAAGATTTCTCCACGAGAAATACATAGAAAAAAATATTCAAGCCCAAGCCCGTGTTTGCCCTTGGGTGATTGTTCTTCCGATTTTCTGAGCTTACAACTTCGACTTCTTACACCATCAGCGTCAGCCCGACATATTGCACACTGTGAAACATATGGGATCAATGGCGACCTCCAGCTATGCTCTCTCCCAGGCTCATAAGGACGTGAGTAGACGAGACTCACGAACTTCAGAGAACCAATCCGCTCACAGGAAGCATAGATGCTCGAAAGGTCCTTGGTCGAGTCTGACCCCGAGATTGCAGAGATCATGGTAAGTACTACCATGTCCACCGTTGCAGTGACCCTTGCTGACATTTCTTGCGAAGAAAAAAGAGATCAAACGCCAACGCGAGTCCATCATCCTCATCGCTTCCGAAAATGTGACCTCCCGCGCTGTCTTCGATGCCCTTGGCTCTCCCATGTCAAACAAGTACTCCGAAGGGTACCCTGGAGCAAGATACTACGGAGGCAACCAACATATTGATGCGGTGGAACTCACATGTCAGGCAAGAGCGTTGAAAGCGTTCAACCTCGACCCGGAGAAGTGGGGTGTCAATGTCCAGCCTTTGAGCGGGAGTCCAGCAAACCTGCAGGTTTACCAGGCCATTATGAGACCACATGACAGGTTGATGGGCTTGGACTTGCCTCACGGAGGACATTTGAGTCACGGATACCAGACGCCGTCGAAGAAGTATGTATATCAGGATTGGTGCGGAAGTATTGTGATTGACATTTTTGCAGGATCTCCGCTGTGTCGACCTACTTCGAGACCTTCCCCTACCGAGTTAACCTCGAGACCGGCATCATTGACTATGACCGACTTGAAGAGAATGCTCAGCTATACCGACCGAAGTGCATCGTGGCTGGAACATCCGCATACTGCCGATTGATCGACTATGCCCGTATGCGTCAGATCGCAGACAAGGTCGGAGCCTATCTGATCGTCGACATGGCTCATATCTCCGGTCTCATTGCCGCCGGTGTCATCCCTTCACCTTTCGAGCACGCCGACGTCGTCACCACAACCACCCACAAATCCCTCCGTGGTCCTCGTGGAGCCATGATCTTCTTCCGTAAGGGTGTCCGCAGCACCGACCCCAAGACTGGCAAGCAGCTCCTGTATGACCTCGAGGGACCCATCAATTTCTCCGTCTTCCCCGGCCATCAAGGTGGCCCGCACAACCACACCATCACTGCCCTAGCTGTCGCCTTGAAACAAGCTGCGACACCCGAGTTCCGAGCATACCAGGAACAAGTGGTGAAGAACGCTAAGGCTCTTGAAATCGAGTTCAAGAACCTCGGATACAAGCTGGTCGCGGACGGCACAGACTCACACATGGTTTTGCTTGACCTGCGTCCCCAGAGTTTGGACGGTGCTCGCGTCGAGGCGGTCCTGGAGCAGATCAACATCGCGTGCAACAAGAACAGTATCCCAGGCGACAAATCAGCCCTCACGCCCTGCGGTATTCGCATTGGCACGCCGGCAATGACTTCCCGTGGATTCGGCGAGGAAGACTTCAAGCGCGTTGCAGGATATATCGACCAGAGCATCAAGCTGTGCAAGAAGGTCCAGGGGGATTTGCCAAAGGAAGCTAACAAGCTGAAGGACTTCAAGGCTGCTGTGGCGAATGACAGTGTCCCTGAGATCTTGAAGCTCAGGCAAGAGATTGCAGACTGGGCTTCGTCTTTCCCTCTGCCAGTGTAAACATTTAGCCGGATTGATTCTGGTGACCTGGTGAAATGGCGTCTGGAGGGATGGGCGGATGCGGTGGAATATTTTCAACGGCTAGGCTTTCTTGGGGGCTGAGGACAAACAGCATATCTTCAACGATACCCATACCCGAGTTCGGGAGAAGTCGCGACTGATAATGTCGTGCAATACGAATTTCTTGCTCCAACCCTTCAGATCGTGATATCCACGTTGTATGAAGGTGCTTCTTCGTCCCGCCCAGCCCAGTTGTTCTTGTTCCAGTCGTGATCCCTTCTTATCGACACGTAGCCTCAGCTCGGTGTTTATGGCCTTTCCCTCTGCTGAGTGATGCAGCTATTCTGGTCTAATTCGGTCGTACTGTCCGTCCTAAGACCTGCGACACGTGCCTTCTGATTCTGTTTGCTGCTCCTTTCAGGGTTGCCGACGTTCCAATTCGCCTGCCGTGGGTGAGTGTATCGGTCTGTGGTCCGTGTATAGAGTGATTCAGTCCACCCTCTTTCTTTCAGCCCTCGACACCCTTCATAACAACATCGCCGCCCTCGGCCGCAATCCCCGCCAACTTACCCAACCTCCCTCTCAACAGTCCGACCGTCCGTCGAAGCTCCCTGATCTCGCGCTCCTGCTCTTCAACGCTCCTCTCGACGTCGGGCAGAACTTGCACCGCCGCCCTTGCCTTCGCGATGTGCTGTTTGATACCGTACACTTGCGACGGGAGGTCCTTGAGCTCGAGGGCTGGGCCGCCGGTCTGGAGGTGCTGCGGCGGCTGCTGTTGCTGCTGTGTCGAACTCGTTTGGGTTTGAGACTGTTGCTGGGTCTGCGACGAGGATTCGGCTTGAGAGGGACCCGTCTGTGTCGTGGCTTGCTGGAGGATATTCAGGCGCGCGATCAGGAGGTAGATGTCGGGTAGGATGGAGAAGGTCGAGGGGGAAGGGAAGGGAGGTACATCGGGGTGAGATTGAGATGTGACTGATGGCATTTTCGAAGGAGGTGTGGAGGACTGAGTTGGTAGAGAGAGAAAAGGAAGCCGCCGTTTGGAATGTGATAAAGCAGTGGAATATTGATAGAAGATGGAGATGAGCGACGCGGAGAGATTTGGGCGAGTCAAGACGCAGCCTTGTTGTGTGTCGGATGACTCGTACACATTACTAGGCACCTATTGCGCTCGCAAGTGTTCGACAACCTCGAGGGTAACTCAATAGATTGAAAGAAGCAAAATAGAAAAAGGTGTGATATTACGTGGGATTGACTAAGCCCAACATGCAAGGTGGATCATTGCTCATGCACAATTGATCGTCCAGGGATCTGGCCGGTCGAGAATATACTAAGTACAAGGCGGTGCTTAATACCCGCTTCAGCAGCGTTTGACGGATAAAAAGTAAAAAGGCCACAGGCTTGTATCTATCGCAGAGCACTAGCATACAGATGGTCGTATACCAACCAGTGCCGGCCAATCTTGTGCAGCTCATAGATCGTTGAAGCCAATGCAGGCTCTTCCAAGTTCTTCTGGTTTGTCCGCCACGGCCCAGGCCCACGCTCTGCCAGCTTCACCGGTATAAAGTCCGACGAACTGGTCACTCCGGCCCGCGTCTTCCAACCATCCTTGACTCTCGAGGTAGTCAGTTGACATATACGTGATGAAATGCTGGAATTCCGCTTCATCGTCCAACGCAAGTGCATTTCCTGCGATACCATGACACAAGCATGGTTCCTTGACGAGCACCCCCCGCTTCCACGTATCTTTTTGGGCAGCTTCGATGGCTGCATCGATATTGTGCTGTAGCTTGGGGAAATACGGGCGTAGGGCTCTCAACGAGAGAACGGCTCCGGGTGCTCCGTGACAGAATTGAACGAGCTTATCCGAGCCTGGGGGTAGCGATGATGGGAAGTTGCCAGTCGGAAACTGGGTATCGAGGACCTGTGACAGGATTTGTTCCACCGACTGAGCCGCTGAGGGTTCCGAAATCACAACTTGGCAGAGGACACCGAAGGTTCCATGAGCCGCTCCGAGGTAGGCTTTGCCATGCCACGTCCAGGGCTGCTGGCTGGCCAGGATGCGTTGGACAGTCTTCTGTATCGTTGCACGAACCATTCTGGCAGCATTTGAGTCTTTGTTGAAGCCGCTACCGGCAAGTCGAAGCAGGTACAAATAGCCGGATCGTCCATAGAGCCACTCGTCCGACCCGCCTGCTTCATTGATCGTGCTTTGATATGAGCAGAGTTGCTGCACAAGGCTGGCATCCTGGTCCATCGCTGCACGAATAGCTAGTTGGGTCAGTGCCTCATTTGCGACGCCGCAGTGATTTGAGTCGACACTTTTTGGATGCGATGCGCCGAGGCCAAGGTAAGCTTGCGCCCAGTCCAGAAGAGATTGACTCTTGAAAGAGAGATGAGGATAGACCTGGGACAAGCGAAAGAACAGGTAGGCTACCGACGTTGGGCCGTAGTATAGGCCATGGAATGTCCATCCTGTCGAGCATGTCTGAACAGGAGGATTGTAAGTGTTGATTCGGGTCAAGGAGTCGATGAGCTCTTTGTGGGCATCTGCGCGCCGCGAAGGGACTTCCTCATTCTTGTAATGTCGGCTTCCTACGCTCATTGTATCATATTTCAAACCTCGTCAGAGCTTGAGGGATGATCAGGCACATCTCACGGCATTGCAAAGTTGTCGGTGGTCAAGATCTTCAACGTCATCGGATAAACACGTTCAAGCACCTAGACGAGTCGGACATCGCTTCCAGCCAACCCAGTTTCGATCAACCGCTGTTACAAATCCGTAGTACGACCACCTTTAGGGCTCCCCTTCATGAGCGAGATGATGAGGTCCGAAGCAGCACGATGTGGGAAAGCGGGTGACATCAGTCGGATGTCCCGTGTGGAGGATGGCAAGGTACTGTCTGCGTGCTGTAGGACGATGATGGGGGCTTGCGTCAATATTGCTCCAACAAATTTAATAGGGCAAAAGGGACTCCGGGTCTATTTTCCCACCTCGTTCCGTGTCGTCCGTAAAGCCTTGCCGGATACTTTATTCCATCTTCTCCAGCATTTTAAACGATCACGCAGGTGTATGACCCAAAGGGCCTGAGGAGGAATCAAACAATCAAGATCGAAACCTGAGCTGGTACATGCTGCAGTATTCTTCCACCAAGTTGTCCCGGTACCTTGGCCCATGCCAGCACCGCTACGAAAAGCATGTCACGCATGTAGGAAGGCCAAAAGACCGTGTCGTCCGCAGTTGCCAAAGTGTGACAGGTGCTTTGCAAAGGGTCTCGAATGCACTTATGACCTTGAGCCTGTGACCAACAAAGAGAGAGGTGGTCCCGACACTCTCCCTCAGCGCCAGCTAGTCCGGGAACCTTTTCCATCTGTGGTCTACGATTCCATACAAGCAGCACATGCCGATGCCATTAAGAACTATACTGCCAATGGTTTTGACCCACACTACAGATTTCCAGCAGTGTCAAGTCCCGAGCCTTTCGCTTTGGCTTTCGAACAGTTGAACGAGATACCTCTTGCGACGTTCCAACTCCGGTCGACACCGTTTGTTCACTCCCAAATACTGTCTTCAAAACGCCAGGGCTCAACGGACCACCAGTCCCAAGCTCTTGATAGTCAACCGAACAGCACCACGGGTCTTTTCAGGTTCATGGAGAACGAGCAGCGGAGACTTTTGTCTCTTGACGTCGAGAGTCTTCCATTCTCAGAATTCCTGGCCAACTTCCACAAACTGATGGCCATATTAGTAGCTTCCACGTTGAACAAAGTCCGCGGTCAAGCAGAAGTCTCGGCTTTCCGGGCACTCCGAGACCTCTTCCCCGAATGGACGCAACACTTCCACGCACATCTCCCGCGGAGGCTTGATCCGGATCTCTCAGCCTGGCAGGCCTGGACACTAGCAGAGACGACGCGTAGAACGATCATCTTTGCCCTCATGGTGGAAGTAATTCTAGAGATGATCTATCGTGGCTTTTTCTACTATCGACCAATGGTGGAGTCTTTGCCCTTTGATGCCAGAACCGGCGTCTGGGAAGCCAACACTGAAGCCGAATGGCAGGCGGCTATAGCTGAGCATGGCGGCATCGAATGCAGTCTTATATCCTGGCACGAGTTCATTGAGAGCGGAGGACCCGAGCCTCGTAAGGAGTACGACGGCATGCTGCAACGACTGCTCCTTATCGGCTACTTCAGTAAAGCTGCTGTTGTGCACGATGCAAAGGCGTGATGACACCAAATAAACGCAAGGAAGCGCAAAATGTATACTCGAGCAGCGAAGGATTGAAGAATTCATTGCAATCATCGCCACATTCCGTCCATGGATATTTCGGGACCTGACAGCAGTGTGAACAACGGCTTGACGAATTGGACATCTCATGGTAGAGTACTTAAATGCTCTCAGCAATGATGTCAGGGCCGCAACGATCGCTGAGATGAGTTGCGTATCTTGAGAGGAGACCAAGGCCAGTATGGTCTTACCTTGGCTGTGGCGACGGCCTATTCAGGATTTGCATTGCTTAGAGTTGTGGCAGGAGACTGTGTTTGGATGAATATGCGAACAAGACAATGGATAAACAAGGCTTTGTAGACTCGCTCCGGGTAGTCTGGTTGGCCTATGGATGCTTGAACAGTATGCTTTGACAGAGGAATATGGGTGGCCAAAGTCGTGGATTTGGAAGCGAGATTGAATGATCACACACCAACGGCAATCTTCTCAAGATGGACTTTATCCTGGGCAATAGCTATGACGGTAGCTGCAAATCAAAAGCCCTGTCCTCGCATTGAACAGGAGGCCCTCCTGCCACACAAATTGTCCTCGCTGCTGTTTGTCGTCGAATGGCGCCCTAGCACCAAATTACACGATTTACCCATTGAGACCGTAGTACGTAGTAGTCCTCGTAGTCTCGCACAGTACAGCGGTGTTCGGATTGTCCCTCGTCAAATCTCAGGCTTCCTGAAACTCGGTTTCCTGGAGTGCGAATCTCTTTCACCACTGATGCCTCCATCGGTCTAATCCACAGCCTTCTCCCGGTGCTTTTTTGAAGCGTTTCCCTCCAGGGTTTAACTTCCGTAAGAAACCGATCCACTCTGTTTTTAGGTGGTTCCCTTGTGGGACGGAGCCTCACGGCCTCTAAGAAACTATTGCACGAAAGTACATATCTCTGAGCACAACAAGGCATTTCTGTCAGGACCATTCGAGCTCGTCCCAAAAGATATAATAATAATGGACCCAGCAACCAGCGAGCCCGTCAAGATGTTCGCTCTTTTTTCCTCCAGTACCTCAACTCGCACCACTCTCGTTTCCCACCTACGCATGCCGCACGAAAGAACACGCCTAAGACGCGATGGAGTACAATCAAGACCTTCATAGGAGCCAGTACGTCCACCCTTCCAAGCACCCACCCTCTGTTTGCCTGCGTTAGCACCCTGATCTGAGGAGTTCCCAACCAGCACAACTTTCCTCCTCGTCTACCGCACCGCTTCCAAGACCTTCCTACGCTTCCCTCAACAACGTCTTTGACCACTCACTTTCACCAACCTCTGCCCCCGTTCTCCCTAGTTCCCTTCACCCTCTCTCCGGAATCTGGGTTCCAGCGATAAGTTTCTTTCTCTAATGAACGCTGCAGCCGCCCTGTCTACTGTTGGGGACACCGCCGTATCCCCAAGCAAAAGGGCATCGTGGAATACAGGATTTCAGCAAACCGGCAAAATCCACTGGCTCATGCATGGCACAATGCGATCTTCAACACATTCCGCCGCTCAAAGGCACAGTTCTTATACGTTGTTCCGCCGTTGGTGATGGCCTGGTGGATTATTGACTGGGCGAACAAGCGGTAAGTTCCGGCCTCAATCCGTACGTACAGCCCTCCCCAGCTGCAAGGTCAAAAGAGGCAGTGGATGCAGCAGTTTTTATTGTTGTGGTGGTTTAAAGACGCGCGGATAATGAGAGACTGTCAAGAGCTTAGACAGGCTGACCCAAAAGGTGTATAGAAACGCATATTTGAATTCGAAGCCGGCGAGGATGAAGGCTGAGGCTACTGGTGGTGATTGATAGTCGCTGATGGGGTTGTCGTATGATGTACTCGGGAAGATTGAGCCACCCGAGCACTTGCCGCAAATCGCTGATGGATCCGTTGAGCTTGAGGTGTGGTAGCATTGCGGTGGAGTTGTTTACACGCAACACATGCTGGTAAAGACCTCCGAAAGACGACTTTGGGGCCATGGTTTGAAATAGATGGCGAGAGGCTGTAGGCGTTGGAGCCTGAAACTTTCAATGAACAGTTTGTAAGAAGACCAGACGACTCGAATAGTCGCTGATTAGCATATGAATTCGTGAAAGCTACATCCGTCAGCGGGCCTCGGCTAGGCGCGTTGCTTTTCAGAAGAGTCTGATTGCTGTCCAGCCAACCCTGACTCAAGCTCGAAGCAATCTTCCAATTCAAAGGGTAATGTACAACTCGTCTCTAGGCAACCCATCATCCTTCATGTTTGGATAGTATGGCACTATGCTATCCGCATTGTGCACGTAAGCATCGTTGTACAGCCTCCAATACGGTGTACGAACCTTCCGGGCTGGATGGAAAAGACCTGCCCAGACATAGTTCATGACGATACCTGGGCCCACAGCCATGCGAATAGCTTCGATGGCCTCAATGATCCGGTCGATTACGTGAGGGCTGGTCTCGAACAGATTCGGGTAGAGCAGGTTCAGTAGGTGGACCATGGCGTCCTCGCAGCCGAGTCCAACCACGCCCAGTGCGACGTGCTTGACCACACTTGCGGCAGTCTGTCTGTGGACCTGATCACGGTCGATGAGCGCGTCTTCAAGCAAGGGCGTAACAGCGTAGACATAGTCTTTCGCCATCTCGCCGATATACTCGAAGAGGAAGGACAGGGACTTCAAAACACCGTTCTGAACATTGAGCTCGGGTACACGATACTCGTTCATCAAGGCTGGAAGGACAGTGAAAGGTGCGCAAGTCTCGGCAACGATACCGATGGCGACAGCAGTGCAGACACGGGACTGCCGTTCCTGTACACGCAGGTTGTTGAGTAATGTGGCGAGAACGTCTTGCGGTCCAATGGCTTTGGCAATGAAGCCGAAAGTGTTGTTCGCCGCACGACGAATGCCCTTCTTGTGCGCCTTGAGCATGTCAAGCAATTCGAAACAGATACGCATCCATTCTCTGGCGTTCACTGACTCGGGACCTCGATCAGCGATACGACCGACAAGGTCAATGGTGTTTTCCTGGACCTTCTCGTGACGATTTCGCAGGATAGGGGTGAGACGTGGCAGCAGGTCTTTAATAGGCGGCTGCATCTGGTTGATCCCCACAACGGTGACAATCGATCGAAGGGCACCTAGGATCGAACCCAGAACTTCGGGATATTCTTCGCCCAAGTATTCGTAAAGAACAACACCGAGCTTACCCATCAGAGCATCTTCGCCACATTGTTTCATGACCATGGCAATTCGGGAGATCAGGTCTGCCGCTTGTTGTCGAACAGTGGCTGATTTGTTGTTTAATCGCCAGAGAATCGTGCTGACAATCTGTGGGAGGTATGGTTTGCAGCGAGTGCCCAGAGCATTGACGACTGTACCAAAGCCGTTAAGCATGACAACATCTTCAATGCCTTGTTCCTGGAAGGCGAACAAGATACCATCAACAAGTCGTTCTTCTAAGCGCTCATTGATGTCCGCCGCACCAAGTGATGCAATGACCTTCTCGATAGTTTCGACAGTCATTTTCCTGTATGCTTCACTTTCGTCCTTGAGATTGTTCACAATACGACCAACAATCTCGCTGACGCCCACTTTCTGACCAAGGTCAACGGTGGTCTCCACGACCTGACGGTAATTGCGTTTGTCCAGCGCCATTCGCCGCACCCAGAAACTCTTGAAAAATTCATTCAAGACATGTTCTTTCAGATATCCTGCAGTGACACCATCGGTGCTTGCACATTGGGACACGACCTTGAGAACAACCTTTTTCATCTCCTCGTCAGGAGAGGCAAATTCTCGGAGCAGAATCTCCATGATCTGGCTGGTATAGTAGTTGGCGTATTCTTCATCCATGAGCGGAATGATGTAGCCCACGGCTTTCAAGAAGCCTGCCAACCCCTTACCGCGTTGTTTCCGAGCTCCCGTCCAGAGCGGATTGAGAATGTCATCAAAGCTTTCAATACCGTACGGGTTTGCCGCCTCTGCCAGCGCTGCAATTGCCAGAGACGTAACCGTCCGCACCTTGGCTTGTTCGTCACTGAGATTGTCGGCAATACAGTCGACCAGGCCCTTCAGATGAGGAAGGATAGCACATCCCATCAGAATTGGAATCTGTTGGACGATTTTAACACCAGTATGTCTAGCTTGCCACGATTTCTTGCTTCGACAAACTGCTCGCAAGAAAGGTAGAAGTGCGGGTATGCCTAGAGCTGAAGCGACCACCGCAAAAGCTCTTGCTGTTGTATTCCGAACATACTCGTCGACGTGATCGATGTCGGGTCTCATTGTACTGATCATATGCGCCAGTCCTGCCGCCTTGGCAAGATTCGAAATGATTTCCCGGCCTTCGACACGAGCGTAGTAATCCTGGTCGATGAGCAGGGGTTCAATAACGACCAGGATTTTGTGTACATAGGGTCGGATGAGATCATCGAGCTTATAGAGCACACGGTCAATGACTTTGACGAGCAGATGCCGTTCCTGGTCTTCGAGGGATTTCTCCATTAGCAAAGGCAAGATTTGGTTGAATAGAGGGCCAGCTCCAAATTGTCGCGCGTTGTCCGTCAGCTGTCTCAAAGCGGTCTTACGCATTGGCGGAGTACCATTCTTGACCTTGAGCAGCAATCGCATGATCTTGCGCTCCTTGAGCTCATCCACAGACATGGCATTTTCGTCGGCTCCATCAACTAATTTTCCGAAGTACGCCATATCCTCGGCTTTGAAAAACTGAAGGTCTCCAACCCCAGGAATATCCGTCGGGAGTTGTTTGCCCATCATCCTGGGATTTTCAGGTTCCTGCATCATGAACCCGCCAATACCTGCAGAGCTACCGCTCGCCGCTGGAGTTGCCACAGCTTTTCTGGCAACAGGACGAACTTGCGCATAGCCCGGAGGAGGCTCGAGAATAGTGTATCCTTCCGTGGGAAGCATCATATCGAGTTCTTCGTCAGACCAAGGAGCAGTCCGCGCAGAGATGTCGGTGCCAAAACTCGCTCCTGATGTCTGAGCTACAGATGTAGCTGAAGCCAGTCCGGGTGCCTGGTCCCATCTGGAACGTTTTGCAGGTGCTGGCGCTGCATCAGGAGCAGGAGCCTGATCCCATCTCGATCGCTTCTTGGTCTCAATTTCGTCGGGCGCGGGTGTAGCTTCGCTGGAGACATCCCATCTCTTCTTCCGCTTGCGGCTGGTGGCCTCTACGGTCGAGCCTGCGTCTGCATTTTCCTTGTCGGCTTCTTCTTTCAGGGTCGGTTTGTGTTCAACAACTCCGTCGCCGTTGGCCTGTTTTTCAGCGATCAGCTTTTTGACCCGTTCTTCCTCACGCTCTATGTCCTGCAATTGCATGACCTCCCGATAAGTAGCACCCTCAGTGACGCCGGCCTGTTTGTTGGCCGCGAAAGGATCGGCTCTCGTAGGGGTGAGAGGCCCTCGCTCGAATCTTCGCTTCTGATAATCAGTCTCACGATCTGCGATCCTGGCAGACTTCTCACGTCCAAGGAGAATGTCCTCTTCTTCCACGCCATTTCCTGTCGCAAATTCTTGCATTTGCTCATTTGTTGCAGTGTACTGTCCTACCAATCTTCTGCTGCTATCGGCATCAGGCATTTCCTCGTCCTCGCCATCCGCTGCAAGTGAGGTGTGGTAACCAGCAAACCTGTCGCCATCGCGGTCGTAGAGAGTGGTATCGAAATTCTCAGTCAAAGACACCTTGGTGGACGAATCAGTGCGCTGACTAGATGGATCGAAGGTCTTGGAACCTTTTTTGCCGGCAGCCTGAGCGTTGCGCTCAGCCTGCAGACGTCGGACGGTGTCGAAGTCGGCTGCGGAGGAGGTTAGCTGGGTCTCTGGAGAACGGCTATAATGGTCCATACCGTCCGACATGATGAACGTCGAGGCGACTTCGATTACACCAGGGAAAATTGTGGTAGCGGGGTTGGAAGTTGGATGAGTTTGTCTGAACAGTTCATGCCGCAGTCAAATTGAAGGAAAAGCCGTCGAAGAATACGTGAAGCCTGCTTACTAAGGGATCATGTGACCTTCTTGGCGTTTCGCTTGGTCTCTAGAGTCCGGAGTCCGGACACTCTCCAGTCACAGGTATTGGGTTTAGGGATACTCGTTGCTCGTAAGACTCCGTGCTTAGGATAAGCGACCGTGCGTGATCTGGACGCTGTATGCTTTCGGTGTTCGGCAATAACTGTTCTTACATCTAACGTTACGCCCGTGAGATAGCCTCCTGTCGGTTGAGTGGCAAACCATGATACTGAAAGGCATTCCAGGCGACGCGAGCAATCATGGAGGGCACTATGGTTCATTCCCAGGCTAGGAAAGCCAGGTCCGGGGCACTAACTCCAGATTGACCATGCCTAAAGCACGCGGGAAGTTGGTTAGCGAGGTTGACTGCTGCAAGAAGAAGTCGACGGTCGATAATGGATTGGGGGTAGCGGCGTGTCAACCCCACAGGACAAACCCATGGCTGAACGGCCGCTCTCCCTAAAACTAAAAACCCAGCGACAGCAAGATGCATAGTTAGTTCAGCATATACCAATCGACACCACCCACCCACCCACCCACTCGCGGGCCTATCGATCCATACCGAATTGCATCTCCAATAACCGCTCCCACCATAGTCCTGAGTGTGCCACACATCGATCTGCCTCGACTCTCGTCGCATTGCACGTTCCTGCATAAGGCTTCCTCCCATTTCCTCCTGCGATCGAACACCGCCCAATGTTTCCGACCGGCTGCGAAACCCTCCTGCGCCAGTCGACCGGCTGAAACCTCGTATTCAACGGTGTTGGCCATGTCGCATTTGATCTGACACCTTCCAGTTCGGTCCCTGCCGTTTCTTTGACTCGACCAGAGCCTTTCAATTTTGTGGCTGTCACTGAGCTGACTACTTCGTCTACTAAGGACGACTGCCCGTTGGTCCTCGCGAAACCCCGCGCAAATGCTGGGTTGTGCAAAATTCAACCCGGCCAAAGCGTGTCGAACGAACAAGTATGCGCACTGCATGTACCGTTACAAAACATTAAGAGGCTGTACTTGTGACAAAGAGACAACAACTCCAAAGCCGAAGTAGACAGGGCTTTGAGGGGTCTCCGGCCGCGATGAAGCCTCGTCCGCGGGACGAAGTACTCAATGGCAATAGTCAGTCGAGGTCAAGGCCACAAAATGTACAGCGGCGAACGAGCCGGCACGCTTCTTCTCAAGATCGGCATGGCCGAATATTTGAGGAGTATGAGCACACAACGATCCGTGCGGTGACTCCGGATTCGGGTGCATACACAACCTTTCGCGATGATTCCACTGATGGCAGTCAAGTCCATTCCCCCGTCCTGCAATCGACCCGAAGCAGAAACTCCCAGAGGAGGCGCGAGACCTCCGCCTCGATTTCGAACACCGATGAAGAAGGCACTATCGAGAGAAGGAGGAGGAGAGCCCAGACAAGAACAAACACAAAAGAGGATCCGCCATTGGATGCCTCCCCGGGCTCCTTCATAACTAAGACTCGCAAGAGACTTGGGTCTATAGCGACTGGTCCTCCTCTGAGTCAGCGTCAAGAGAACGACTACGGATCCATTGGCTTTCCTTCCGTGGTGCGTAGTCCGGACACGCCGGAGTACAACGATTCACGCAATCCTCCCAAGACACCACGTCGACCATTTTCGCCGAGTGAGATGTTCGGTGTCAGTGGCAGCAGCGTCCGATCGCCCAAATTACTGGACATTGACTCGGCCAGGATCCTGCACCTAATGACGACTACTTGTGGGCGAATGCATGGAATTCTTTTCTTCAGACCACTGCACACGTCTGCTTGGGCTTCCGGCTATTGTGCCATCAACGTTGCTCCTGGTAGCCTTGTCTGCCAAACGAAAGGAGAAGTCTCCCAGGCAACAGTTTTGATATCTGACCTCAGAGGATGTACGGTCAGAACGCATTACGACTATGAAACCCAGAGCACATATTTGAGTGTTCTGATTGCTTCTTCGGCCACAGGTTATCAACTTCGACCACCAGTTCCGGAAACCTTTGATTCCTGGCTTGCGGCACTGCTCTGTTGGCAACCACTACGACCTAAGGGCATTCACAACAAAATGACAAAACCCCAACTAGTCAGCATGGCCGACAAGAAGACGGCACCGCAGCGGAGATTGTCAGATACTGGCAATACCAAAGGTACGGCGATTGTCAAGGTGGGGAAGATGCTTTTATGGGACGGCCCCTTACCGTCCGGCTCCCAACTGGTGTCGTCTCCCAACAGCCTTGGCCGATCCATGACAGAAGACAACTATCATTGGCGCAGGGTAAACTGTACTCTGCACGAGAATGGCACTTTCAGGATCCTGGCGGATGCAGAACCCACTGTACTCTCTGTGACGCACCTCTCCCAGCTGTCCCGCTTTGGCGTTCAGAGACTTGACGAAAGTGTTCTTCGAATGCCTCATTGTATCGCCATCTATTCCCAGTATCGCGCTCAAGCACCGCTAGTGAGATACTCAAGGCCAATGGTTCTGTGCCTGGAGTCAGACACTGCTCATGAGGCATGGTTCGTCCTTTTACGTGCACTTACGGTGCCTGAGCTGTACGGACCGGAACAAGGTCCAGAAGGCCTCCATCAGGCGTCACACTCCGATACGTCCGACGAAATACAGCCTACCCAAGGAATGTTCCGCATAGAACGCTCGCTAACTGTGAAAATCACAGAAGCGAAATTTTCGCCGCGGTTCGTTGCACAGATTCCTCATGAGCAGCAGAAGCACAAAACAAAAGTCGGCAAGGGTGAGCAGACCAAAGAAGGGGTGTACGCTGAGGTCCTGCTGGAGAATGATCTACGGGCACGCACAACCACCAAGGCAAATCTGACTTCGGCTTTCTGGGCGGAAGAGTTCAACGTAGAGGATATTCCTGCCACCCTATCAAAAATCACCATCGCCGTCAAGCTCGGCAATCCCGCTGAGAAAGAGTGGACGATGGTGGCTGACAGTCTCTACGATATCTCTGCAGATGCAGGTTATCTCTCAGGCCTCAGTGGGCTGGAAATCTCCTCCCACGACCCTATATTTGGCAGAGTTGATGTATCGATTGACGACCTAGAGCATCATGGAACGATCGACAAGTGGTGGCCATTACTGGACAACAATGACCAGTCGGTCGGAACGCTCCTGGTCAGATTTGCGCTTCAGGAAACCGTGGTCTTGATGGAAGACGACTACAAGGAGCTCTCAACAGTCTTGCAGAGTTTTTCCAATGGCTTGACGACACAAATTTCTCAACTACTTGGGCCAGATCTCCGACATTTATCAGATATTCTGCTAGATATCTTTCAGGCTTCGGGAAACGCTAGCGAATGGCTCATCAGTCTGGTTGAGGAAGAGATTGATGGTATATACAGAGAGACCCCACCTATGCGGATGCGGTTTAGCGGTCGTATACATTCCAATGACTCTTACGAATCTGCCGAACAACGAGAAATGCTTGTTCGGGACCTCAGTCGATCGGCTACCATGGAGGCCAACCTACTCTTCCGGGGCAATTCTCTCGTCACTAAAGCACTCGACGCTCATATGCGACGGCTAGGAAAGGAGTACCTCGAGGAAGTCTTGGGCGCTAAATTGCGCAAAGTCATCGAACGAGATCCGGACTGTGAAGTTGACCCCAATAGGGTCCGATCGCCAGAGCAGCTCGAAAAGAACTGGGCCAACCTTATATTCCTTACCAGCACCATTTGGAAATCGATTCGCGATTCAGCCGCGCGTTGTCCAGTGCAGTTACGACTAATCTTTCGACATATACGGTCTTGTGCCGAGGACAGATATGGATCTTTCATTCGAACGGTCAAATATACCAGCGTCTCCGGGTTTTTCTTTCTTCGATTCTTCTGCCCAGCAATTCTGAATCCTAAGCTCTTTGGTCTCATCCAAGGTAAATTTTGTGTAATCTCGCTACGAATTCTTCTAACTTCCAACAGAACTTCCACCTGATCGTACGAAGAGGACTTTTACCCTGATTGCAAAGTCCCTTAATGTGCTCGCAAACCTGGCCAGATTCGGGACCAAGGAGCCCTGGATGGAACCAATGAACAAGTTTTTGGCTGCTTCCACAAACGAGTTGAGAAGCTTCATCGATGAAATTTGTGCCGTCAGCGCGTCGCAAATGGCGTCGGTAACTCTCGAGCCACGATTTGCGGCTCCGAACCAGATCAAGAATCGACTGCCGCCAATCTCAAGGGAGGGGCTTCCAAGTCTACCATTCCTGTTGGATCACACCAAGTTGTTGGCGCAGCTCGTGGACCTATGGGTCTCACATGCTCCTGAAAATATAAGCGAAGCTAGTGATGATTCAGCTGTCAGTGTTTTCCATTCTCTCTGCTTGAGGTTATCAAAGAAGAGCAAAGAGTGTCTCAAGGCGGCGGAATCGGCCGAACGACCAGACGAACGGTCGGAACCCGCGTGGGAGCGAATGCTCACGGACCAGCAGAAGGATAACTCCCCAGGTAACATCTTCGAAGAGCATCCCATGCAGCCCCGAATGAGCACCGAGATTACTGCGCTACCACAAACGGCCGAAGCTATAGCAGACAATGAGTACAAGCATGCTGAAGTCTCCCCCATTGCCGGAGAAGGAGATACTACGCCATCGAGCTCGGCTTCCATTGCATGGGATAGGCGAATTCCGTTCCCGCATAAAGCTGCAGATGCTCGTGCAATGACGAACTCAACGAATTCTTCAACAGCATCGGTCGATATGACAGATGAACCACGCAGAGCATTACCAGGCAGCCGCGATGGACCTAGCAAGAACCGTTTATTTGAATTGATGAGCTCTTCGTCACGGAAGAAGAGCAAAGCCGGCGATCGACCTTACGGAGATGACGACGCATGAACTTTGACGACAGTGAGCGACGATGATAAGTGTTATGTCCAGTAGATACCTTAACATATGAACAAGAGATCATTTCGGGCTATACACATTCTGTTTCCTGGTACGTCGCTAACGCCAGCACTTTTCGACAGCCTCCGTTTCAGGCTCGTTTTCATTCTCAGCAGGATCAGCTACTCTCTCACTTCAGGTGGTCTTCCTTCACTTCCTCTGCACGTGATGAAGACCTACCTCACTTGTCCTTTGACTGCGAGTCTTCACTTGTGGAACTCACTTACGGAACATCACATGCTTCTGCAGCAAGGAGATCAACCAAGAGAGACGACGCTCGTATGCCAACACAGCACCTTCTACCTACAACCATCTTTCCTTGAAAACATATCTTGTCTCTTGTCTTCTACAGGAGCCCAGGAGCCGACGGGTATCGCCATGGACTATGATTTGCCTGTGAATGCATTGGTGTTGCAAAATCGTTTGCCGACTGGGTGTGGACCACTGCAGATTGTTCTTGGATGAAGCAAACGTCTGCCGGGACTTCGGTGCTCTACTCCTAACACCGCCATTTTGTGTTGAACGGGTCCGGCGGTATCATCATCTCCGCCTTCATGGTTATAGGCTTATCACAAGGATATCTTTCACTTCATCCTACCGATCTCTCGATCTCTCCCGCTGTCCATCACTCATTTCTCCAACCAGCACCCATTGTCAGCTTCCAACAGTCTCAATTGATCACATTGTTCTATCCAACCGAGTTGAATCGTCCTTCACCTGAACATGCCTCCGCTCTATTCTACGATAAGTAGCGATGACGACGATGACAAATCCAACAACCTTCACTACCCCGTCATAAGACGGACGACCTTGAGGTCGTCGCCAAATGGAGACGTCCTTGTCTCGCGGCGGGTGAATCAACGCTCCTCTATCACGGTCCAAGTCAGTAGGACTATTACTGAAAAGGACAATGAGGACGACACCGACTCCGGGTCTGAGTCTACATCTACATCTGATGATGAACGCATCGATAAAGAGGAGGAAGAGCTAGACATCGACACCCCAAACAAGGGACCTATGACGCGTTCGAGATCTCGAACGGAAACAACAGAAAGCCCCGTCGACATCAACGGTGGTATTGACGACGATCTCCTGGCGTTGGCTCGCAAATTGAAAGTGGCCGAATCTCGCAACAATCTTGAGCAATTATACCCACCGCAGTTTCGGGAGTCTTCCATACCGCCGTATATCCCTGAACACGTCATTCTAGACGAATTTGCGGCAACAGAAGATCACTCCCAGTTAGCTGAGGAAGAAGATCTCTTCAATGAATTCGTCTTACAGGACTTTCACGTCTACCGTGCTCCGGGGCATGCCAAAAAGGGATTTGACGGCAAGTACGAGTCGTTGTCGACAGTTGCATCTGAAAAAAATCAGTCTCACTGGCTCATCGACGGCTTTCTCGAACACAATGGTACTCGACGACGGCTTTTCGCAGCACAGATCGTCCGTGTCAATATAGGTGGGCTGGAGGACCTCCAGCAAGCTTCCACCGAGATCTGGGTTCGAACACAAGAGGGCAGATCCAAGGATTATTGGTATCGCCTTCGGCGTCCCTCCTCGGACTATCAATCATACTGGACACGCTTCGTGTGGCTTGCCAACTTTTTCAAGTACTTTGTCGATTTCCTTCATGTCCATAGTGAAGGTGTGTCACTGCACGACTTCAAGTCTAAGTTCCGCAGTTGGTTACAGCGCTTGCATGGCGACAATGTAAATCATTGGCAGAGTCAGTGTGACTTTCGTGAGGATTTTACCCACGACGTGATACGCCACTGTCAATTCATTCGAGACCAAACTTACCGGGCGTACAAGAAGGACTTATCTCAGCTGGAGGCCATAATGAGTCATCCGATCTGGGAAGAAATTGGCGTTGGCCAGTTCAGCTACAACGAAGTGATCAGAGCGGAAGAGGAGAAGACTACTGTGACAGCTAACGTCGCTCACTTGTTCCTGAAGGCATCTCCACATTGGCAAACTCAGTTTGAGCTTCTTGAGGTTGTGCAGATATGTCCACAAGTTGAATCAGTCAGACAAGAGAGGGCGAGGAAGTGGAATTTCGCTCAAAAGCTGGCTTACGATCAGACGTACAATTTCGTCCGCTCCGGCAAAGACAAGATTTCGAGAGCTGAATATCTACTTGAAAACGCCGAAGGCCACCGCCCTGTGCCAGTTCGATTGGTTGATAACTTGCTGAGAAAAATTGTTATCATCAAGTTGGACGACGTCAGTCACAGCGAGAAGTATAGGTATGCTTGGGTCAGGTCCGCGTCGAGGTCTACTAAGACTATCGGCGTGGTTTGGCTTGTATTACCCTCTGAAGCCGTTTGTTGCTCGTTCACAGGAAAGGTCTTCTACCCGATTGGCGATGAGCGTAAGTATCCACCCTATACTCTCTCGCTTCGGCAGAATAAGTAGTCTTCTAACGGTCTACAGTTATCTTCTCTGACAAATGCAACTGTGACGAAATTCATATCGAAAATGTTGTGGACGTTATTGATGCTTCTGTGTTCACCGATCATGCGGAAGATGGCTCTCAATTGTTCGTCCAATGTCTCTATAAAGAGGGCGAGGAAGCGATTGTCAATGCAAATGAAGAAGACCTCGCATGTCGATGTCGTAGCACCAGAAAAAGAAATCAGGTCCAAACGCCTCGGCCGCCATCAAGCATGCATCTCCCGAAAATGCAGACTCTGTCTTTATTCTCGGGCTGTGGTCTCTTCGACTATGCTTTCAAAGCTACTGGCTTTGTTGAAATCGTTCTTGGTATAGATTGTTTCGAGATGGCTATCCGAAGTCACCAAGCTAATGAGAACGACCCAAGCAAAAAGACGCGATATAAGATTGGGTCCGTTTGCGAATGGCTGTCGAAGTTCGCGTCAGGGCAAGAACCTATGATCAGTATTGACTGCATTATAGCAGGCTGTCCCTGTCAAGGCTTTAGCACTGCGAACCACCATAAGCATGAGCGCAAGGGGCAAAAGAATTGTTCTTTACTTGCCAACCTCTTGTCCTGGATCGAGATTTTCATGCCGGCGTATGTGGCCATCGAAAACGTACCAGCCATGGACAGTCCACAGTCTAGTGCATGCTCGCATGCGATTACCCACTTGGTTTCGCTGGGCTATCAAGTGCGAAAGGATGTTTACAAGGTGTCCGACCTTGGTGGAGCTACTCATCGGAAGAGGCTGATTATCGTCGCTGCTGCTCCAGGTGCGATTCTGCCTGATGCTATACCCAGAACGCATGGTAGAGGGCTGGCACCGGTTAGAACGGCGGAGGCGGTGATGCGCCATCTACCGCCTCTACATAACGATACGATCCTCAACATTCAGAATCCGAATCACATACCCATTGATCGACTCGCCGTCGATCTTGATAACGAAGTCTCTCGATTGAAAATCGTGCAACAAATACCCACTCGACCAGGTGGGACGTCATTGATGACGGCTTACAACCAGGGACTATTTTCTCGATCTGAACGGAGATGGATACGTAGCTTAAATGAGACACAGCAGGCGAAAGGCTCAAAATCCTTCAAACGAATCAACCCGGATAAACCCTTCCAGACGATCACCACAAAAGTTAATCTGCTTTGCAGTAAAATGGGACAGTTGCTACATCCCTTTGAGCATCGCGCGCTGTCGCTCCAGGAAATCCGCCTTGCATTCGGCGTCCCTGATTCGTTCCTACTGGTTGGCAAGGTGGCCGACCAAGTCAAAATGCTCGGAAACAGCGTGCCCTGGAATCTGGGTGCTTCGGTCGGTCGCCAAATCGGTCGATGCTGGTCGGCTAGTCTCCAGAAGAGAGGGAACGGTGGCACCGCTGCAGTCAACGTCAAGAAAGAGCCGGCCGTTACAGGGCAAAAGATCAGCGTTGTGATTCCAAAAACTGCGCCGCGGCGGCGTGCGAGACCAGTGATCGAGGATGAGAGTGATGGTGACAGCGAGTCATCAGTTGAATACCTTGGGACGAGACTCGCAAAGAAACCGCGTGCAGATTGAGAATCAGCAAGTTGGATTGCATGAAGTGGGACAAATTATCGAGTTGGATAACGAGTACGAACTGGAAAACCAGCAACTTGGATGCAGAGAGCACGAACGGGAGAACCAAGACTTGGGTAGAGAGAGCATGAAACTGGAAAATCAGGAGTTGGACAGAGAGCATGAACCTCGAGCAAATGTGCCTTTTGATGGAATGAAAGAATGTGATTTAACCCTTCTTGCTTCGTTTGCCTTTGCATGTAATGCACCGCCGTGCATTGCATCAGTCCGCTTAACAGCGACCGCCTGACAAAGTCAGCGATCCCAAAAAACACCCGCCATTGCTCTCCTCAGCTCCGAACGCTAGAAGTCGAAGCAAGCACTTTCGTGAGGAGGTAAATTGCGGGGAATGCGGAAACAAGATCTTTGAGTAGTATGGCAATCGTCAAGGGGAAGAGATACCTAGGTATGCAAGGTAAGGTATGGTCAATGCCGAGGCGGAAAGGAGAAGCAGCGTCAGACGCAAATGGCTGGCCTCTGCAGCCCTGGAAATTAATTAAAGGTCTAATATCTCACGAGTGTTGTACAATGAGAAGGAGGCTTTTTGCATTTTCAAGCATGCCCGGCCTCTATCGCAGTCATATTCAAGCGTTTCGACACGACGCCCAGCCAATGAAGCATACGGGGGAACCAGAACGTCTGCTCATGCCGGAGCCACCACGACCCGCCTCGACTGCCCGGCTGCACACCAGAATGGTTCTCATGTTGCTGCAGGTCAGTGGCACGCTCGTCCTCAATCTGCCGGAGGATGCGGTAGGTTTCCTCGTTGAGCTCGACGCCGCCACGCTCCATCTCTAGAAGAAGGGCGTCAATCTCGCGCAGAGACGAGCGAGTCAACCAGACGAGGGACATGAGCGAATTGTAGAACTGCGTGCTCGCGCCCAGGACGTAGGATGTATGTCCGAATGAGCGGATGCGGGGAAGGAGGTTGTGTGGCAGTGGCGACGAAGGATAGTGGTTGATATACAGGCGCAAGGCGAGCAGGAGGGCGGCAGGGTAAACGTGGTGCAGGATGGTCAGGTAAATGAGGTCCTTGGATTCCTCGTCGGACAAGGATTGGTCATGGCTGCGTTGCTGGAGGGCTTCGCGATCGGAGACGGCGGCTTCCTGAGCAGCTTCGAGGAGTCTAAGGGGATTGTCGGAGCGGGCAGGGGAGAAGTGGACGCTCTCCGGTCCCAGGAGTCGGGGTCCCAGTAATCTGGGTTTCCAGGTTGGTGTTGGGCGGAGGTATACGGCTAGAGAGAAGATCCGCTCTTCGCAGACAGACCACATGGCGATGTCGCCTCGCTTAGTTGTGGAAGCTGCAGCGTCCTGGAGCGCGCAGGCGATGTCGGTCATGCATTTGCGCACGGCGACTTTGATGGGCTCGTTGAAGCGTTCAAAGTCCCGCGGGGTGGCGATTTGTTTGAAGGAGTTCCCCGGCAGGGGGAGGTGATATAGCTCGTCCTTTGGCAGGTGATGGTCTTGTGGAATTGGTTGTGTAGATGTGCTGCCTGGAAAAGAAAGGTCTTCCCATCGGTCGGCGTCGGGATGGACGAGAGGTTCTGGTGATGCTTGTTGGGTGGTGTCGAGATTGGGCGTTGCCCAAGCCGGTCGTTCGACGATGTCGACCTTCACTGGGTCCGCTTTCCGTTGCCGCTCGCGAAGGGCCGCGGCTTTAGCATCACGCTCGGCTTGGTAGCTTTGAACCGAAGAGGAAAATATGTTGAGGATGTTTTCGATGTCAGTGTCCAGGGCGTCGACGAAGGGTGATTGGGATTTGACGCCTAATGGTTCGGACTGAGACTTGGAGGGAGTGAAACGCTGAATTGTCTCAAAGGCCCGGCGTTCACTTGGGGTGATGGTGGATTTCAGCGTAGTGGTCCGTGGTTCTGGCGAAGGTTTTGAACTTGCTGATTCGGATGCCCGACGAGCTTTATGCTGAACCAATGGTTCCCAAGGAGAGGCTGATGGGATCTCGGTTCCATCTTTGTCCTTTACGGATACCCTGGCAGACTGAGTTGCTACACAGCGGCGCGATGGTCTCGTAGATCTGACGGCCCGACGGAGGATAGTTCTTGTCTGGTAGAGAAACAATAGCTCTGTGCGGCCAGCCATGCTGGACAAGGTAGACCAGGTTTTGAGAGGACTTATATTCTGTACTGTGTAAAGCTGAAGATCTTTGCCGCGACGGTAGAAGTTGATACCACGTGACATCATCGGAAAATATGTCGCTAGTGGCTTGGCGCGATCCTGAAGGCAGTCACGCGTTGTATACCGAGTGGGGACCAGACACCCAATCAGACTCCCAGTCCCAGGCTGCATCCCATCCCACGATGATAATCCTCCTCTTCTAACCGCGCCCCACTACATCCCAGTGCCTCATAGATAAAGACCATTATCAGTGTCCCCAGCCTTCATTCCCCCGACGTGGATTCATTGATATGAATCACTCCACACAATCTACCATTGATCTTGACAATACTGTTGGCGAAGGCTGCATCGAGCGAGACAACCACCCATCACGCTCAACTCCCTCTAACCCCACGCACATCTGCCCAAGCACGTGGAAGTGCCTACACCGTCCCGAGTCTGCGCGGTCAAAGTGCGCATGACTCGTGGCACAACTCCGACATTCCAGGTCTACCCTATAGTCTGACCTCTTGTGCGGCCGCTTTCTAGAGGCAGTGACGCCTTCATCCGACCTCGATACTTGGGTAACTCTTCTTCAATCTCGAGAACCCGCCTCCTCAACGCTTCTCTTTCCTGGTCATGAGCACCGCTAGCCCGCGACCAACCTCGAACGCTCAAGAAACCTGGCACGGTCTAGACCAATATCAGAACATGAACAGAGGCCATTCAAGCAGTCTTTCCTCGGCTCAAATGCCGCTGCCAATGATGCAAGGACCAAACAGAGCCCGCGCCGGCTTCGGGGCGAATGGAGAAAAGGCGGTCCCAGTCCCAGGGTACGGAAATGGGGTGGACAGAAAAAGTAGTATAGGAGGGGGAACTCCGTTGTTCGATATGGCAAGAAGCCCTCCAAACACATCAAACAAGAGTAAGTCCTGTCAAGAACCTGAAGAAGAATGCGCCTCCTGATGCCTCGAAAGATACCAAACATGTCCCCTGCAAGTTCTTCAGACAAGGCGCGTGCCAGGCAGGGAATGCCTGCCCGTTCTCCCACGCTCTCGAGTCCATTAGCCATCAAGCGCCTTGCAAATACTTCATGAAGGTACAGTCCACCCCTCCAAATCGTTTTCTTTTGCTAAAGTTTGGACCAGGGCAACTGCAAATTTGGCGCCAAATGTGCTCTTGCTCACTACCTGCCTGATGGACGGCGAGTCAATCGAGCCGATCTGGACGTTGGTTTAGCCATGGGAAATCGAAATTACAACTACGCCAATCGAGACCAACCTCCTTTCCCTTCTCAAGACCCAGCCCTGAATGACTCGACGCTAAACCAAACACCTTACGGGCCGGACTACTTCCCGGGTCAAGCATTCCCTCTCATGGACAATGACGAAGCAGATGCATTCCAAGACCGATACAATCAATATCAACCGCATTCCGCACTCGACTCCGGCCTCAATTCTCCTCCAACCTCACACTTTGGCTCGCCTCCGAACGACTACCAATTCCCCAAATCTCCAGTTGACAACCTACGAACCGCGCTCAACGCACCTCTCCCACAATCGTTCGATGCAAATGGTATCTCGCATATCGCAAAGTACGGACCTCTTGGACAGTCTGTGCCAGATAAATTTGGACTGCGTTCTCCTGCTTCATCTTCTCTTTCAAGACGACTTGGGAGTCCTCCTGACTCCATCGTCAATGTTCGAAATGCTAATCTAGGTTCGAATTTGCGGAACGCATCGCCCATGGCCATGTCTCCGCAGAACACAGAAGAATCCATCAGTCAACGAATAATGCATTCTCAGAGACCTATCAAGACGAGGGGTCTATCAGCCAGTGTCCCGCGTTCAAGCCTTTATCATGAGTGGGAGGAGAATCTGGGGACGGAGACCGATTTACTACCAAACAGCCTCCATGATGAGGTCCTGACACCACAGGAAAAGATTAGACGAATGTCTCGGCCGGAACAGGACATTACCTCGAAAGATAACACGCCCGGCCTCGCCATACCAAGCGGATCCTCCAGCAAGGTTGGATCACCACCTGCTGGCAGTCCGTCGAGGTTTAGCGCATTGTGGGCTGAGCAAAGAGAGAAAAAGGCAGCAGAGAACACCGCTCCTAGCATCGGCCACGTGGGTTCACCCCTGCGCGGATCATGGATGCCGCAAGAATCTTCAAGGCCAGGCGTACAGATTTCGGGGATATCTCAGGCCATGGCAAGAATCCAGCTGAGCCGGACTGACTCCGGCGAATCAAACGGCGGTCGCAGTAGTGGACTTAGGCATTCGTCTGCACCAATTGGTCGATTGGATCGTGGTATATCCAGTCCGGGTCTGAGTTCAAAGAAGATTGACGAAGAGGTCGAGGGTGTTTTCTTTCCCATGGATGGAGTCGACAAAACTTCCGGTTGGACTGGCCAATCACCGAGACTTGCACCAGTTCAAGAGAGACCCAATGGAGGGCTGCCATCCAGCAAGAACGATAATATGTGGGCTTTCCAATCATGATCGAAAGGCGTTTTCATGCACACACGAAGCTCAGAAACTGACGACTTACGATACGGGGTCCAAAATGTACAGCCTTCTACGTTTACAGCCGCCCTGGATACACATTGCTCGGCGTCCAAAGAGAATAAAACTGCATGCATATTAGCCTGGGATCGGAGCCTTATTCAGCATTGCAGGGCAGGAATAAGAGAAGATGAGTACATGGGCAATGCAAGGTTTGAGCCTAGTAATTCTTTATTATCAGGCTGGGAAATGTCCTATGTCATAGACAGACAGCTCATGAGATTTGAGATTTGTTCAGCATTGATTCCTTCTCCTTCAGGTTCATACTAGCGAGTCATCAGGCGTAGCCGCCAGGTCAACCCATAAGCTATCTGTTCATGCAAGGCTGACATTGTGATTGACGAGGCTGAACAGGCACGCAATCGATTGGTCCCGTCAGACTTGCCTCCAAATCAATCGAACTGCGGAAACTTGAGCAATGAACTTTTTGAAATCGGCAGCATACCTAGGTAGTGTTGACGGGCTAATTATCCCATATCTTCGTCATTGATTGAAGATATCACTCTTCCCAAGGCATGTTGAGTGGCAGTCGTAGCTGGCTGCAATGCTCAAGATGCCTTGGACATTCACTACGCACGGCAGCTAGGCCCTCCTTTGCGAGAGTTCGCTATCAAAGTTCCTCCTGTACGTGTCCCACCTTACAATGTATGTCGAGTGCAAGGACTAACGCCCTTCCACAGCCACTCCCTCCGAGAGCTTTACTCAGATCTCTCCCATCCTACTGCGTCGCGCTCGCGCCGTCGCTGCTGAGCGTGACCAGCTGTCCGCGGCGAATGCAGAGAACTACGATGTGACAGTCGCAAAGAAAATCGGCGAATTGAGCCCTGTCTGTACAGCGTTGAAAGATTGGGAAGATGCGCAGAATGTATGCCCCTCCTGCAGCCTTTTCATCGGTGCTGAACTATACTGACGAAGCTGCGCAAGTCCCTGAACGAACTAACCGCCCTCCTGCACGACCCATCGTCCGACGCCGAACTACGGACCCTTGCGCAGTCAGACATAGACTCAACCGTGTCCTCCCTGCCTGCCTTGACATCCCGCCTCAGGACCTCTCTGATCCCGCCCCACCCCTTCGCCAATATGCCCTGCATGATCGAAATCCACCCGGGCGCCGGTGGCAGCGAGGCCTCCCTCTTCGCCCAGACATTGCTCGATATGTACCGCGCCTTCTGCGCGCGGATGCGATGGCCCACGACCCTGGCAAGCTACACACCCGATGAATCCGTGCCCGAGGACGCAATGACCGACGCCCTTCTCGAAATCAACGCCCCGGGAAGCTACGACCTGTTAAGGACTGAGGCCGGCGTGCACCGTGTCCAGCGCGTGCCGAGCACGGAGAAAAAGGGCCGTACGCACACGAGTGCCGTGAGCGTGCTTGTTCTGCCAAATCTACCCGAGACTGGAGGGGACGATCTGGATTACGAGAATCCCGAGAGCGACTACTACATTGCACCGCAAGATGTGCGCAGCGAGACTATGCGTGCCCGAGGCGCTGGCGGTCAGCATGTCAACAAGACGGACAGCGCGGTCCGATTGACGCATATACCGTCGGGGATCGTGATAAGCATGCAGGAGTCGAGAAGTCAACACAAGAACCGCGAGAAGGCCTGGCAGCTTTTACGATCGAAGTTGGCGCAGATCCGTCGGGAGCAGAGGGAGGCCGAGGTGATCAACCTGCGGCGGAGTGTCATGGGTGGTGTGGCACGCACGGGCAGGGAGGATAAAGTGCGCACATACAACTACTCGCAGAACCGGGTGACAGACCACAGGAGTGGGAAGGAGTCGAGTAACCTTGACGCCGTGCTGGGTGGCGGACATGAGCTTGAGGATCTCATGGATAGTGTTAGGGAGTGGATGAGCGAGAACGAGGTTCGAGGACTGTTGGCAGAGGAGGAATTACGAGCGAAGATGTCGGACAGCAATGAGCCTGGAAAGAAATAAAGCTGTAACAACAAGAATTAAGCATCGTAATGCATTTGTTCATTTCGCTGCTCCTGCTTGTAGCAGGTTGTGATGCTAGGGCCGTCTCATTTGTGCCCTTGTTTTCGTTTCATGCTTTTGTCTAGCTCGTTGCCCTGTCATGAATCAATGTCATGGGTATCAGATCATGCTGTACAACAAGCCCATAGCTTTCCTCTTCTAGTTTTCTTCAGTAACGCTTAGCTCTCCATCCGTCCCTGCCTAGAGGCAGAGATACGCTTATGCCTCCAGGTTTGACGGCCTGAGATCCTCTTCGCTTGCAGAAGACAAGCCGGAGCAAGCGAGAACACGGGCGCCTCCTATCCTCAAGCCCAAAAGCTCTTCATGTTGATCGCGTCAGCTCAGTTCAGGTCGAGCCCGCACGAGGCTCGTGTCGTTCCGGTCCATTGTTGCTGATCGCCTTTCCCTCACTTGGCAACGGCAGCACTGAGCACCTGAGTCCGGAAGAAAGCGCCCTTGGTCTTCTCAATGACCTGTTGGTACACGCTCTGAGGAGGATGATTCATCACGACAGTTCCGGCTTGGTAGTCGATCTTTGCATCGACTCTCGTGTCGCGAATCAAGTTGACAATCCATTTCTCGCCTTCGTTTTGAGACAAGCCCAGACGAGTGGAGAGGTCCCTGTAGAATTATTAGCTGGCAATTCTCAAGAGCACGCTTGGGAACTTACGTGATATCGATTCTCTGATGGATTTTGCAATAGCTTTCTGAGATCAAATGTCTCGCCGACTCCATGAAGGCATCTGTCGACGAACCCAAGAAGAAATCCCCTCTCAATATGGCCTCGGCCTCGGTGAGTTTCTTCTGCGCGCCTTCAAAGTCGAAGTCCACGTAAAGAGCTTTAACAAACTCCGTGACGGGATCTTGATATTCGTATATTTCCTGCTTGACAACTCTGACCAGATCTTTCAACTGTTTCTGGTAATTGTGCGAATTGTTCGTACGGCCGCGGTTGGTGATGACTGCTGCAGCCAAATAGCGCAGAATCCAGGGACAGACGGTCTGAATGGAGCTGAGATATGGTGGAGAGAAGAACATTTCAGTGAGCTTCTCACGGGCTGGTTCATAATTGAAGAAAGGGAACAGAGCGTAGTGGACAAGCGATTCTCTGGCAGTCAGTTGTGCGCGGGGATTGTTGAACAGCCGTGTCTCAATATGCTCTTTGACTTTCTCAACCTCTTCAAGCGCGTTCTCCCATTCTTCGCCTAGAATCTCGCAGACCAATTTACCCCAGGTGGCTTTGACGACTTTGTCGTTGTCCGTGGAAAGAACGCGGAACCGGTAGAGCAGGTCAGCGGCTTCCGGGTATAGGCCACATTCATATCTGAATCGGCCAAAATCGTAGAGGTTGTCTACCATCTGTTGCGTCACGCCATGTTGTTCTTCGAGGAATTTCAGGTTGGCGACTTTGTCGCTGCGCAATTGGGAGGTGACGGCTTCATCATTTAGGAGGTTCGTGAGGTGTGCGGATTCTTCTTCGAATTTGGCCAGCTTTTGTAGAACTTCCTCTCTCTTCTTTGCGTATTGTGGGGGTATCGTATCAGTCTTGTGGATTTCCTTGTAGAGGTTTCCTACGTAGTCGATCATGTTCGTGTTTTTGAGGAGGTTGAAGATGGCGAGTTTGAGATCATCATAGCGCTGCTGCGAGATGTCTTCGGAGACGAGTTGATGTTCGAGCAAGGGAAATATGAGATGACGGTCCAGATGCTGGATGAGCTTTGAGAGAAAGGCATATTCGCCTGTAGGATCGTCGACGGTACTCATTTTGTGTTCTCGAACCAGTCCTCGACCTTCTTGTTCGGTGTTGGATTCGTATCGAGGGCAGCGAGCTCTTCTTGGTGTTTCTTGAGGATCGCCTCGGAGAGCTTGGGGCGGTCAACGTCAATAGGGAAGATGTACCCTGGTGAACCAAGGTTGCTGATATGCTCGGGATGGCCTGCATTCACATTAAGACCGGACGACATATTGAATTCTTGTGCGTCGCCATTCATAGGGTGGGTGGAGACACGCTAGTCTTCATATGGTTAGCGATATTCTGATAAGGCAGCGACAATGATCTGGCTTGGCATGGAACTTTATGCACCTCTGCATGGAACATGCCCTGTCTCTCCCAATATCTACCTGCCGACCTCCCTCTCACAACCCTCTATAACAATGAAGGCGCCCTCGAACCTACTTCTTCATGCCTTTTGGCTGAGGCCTGGGCGTCCGCTATGTCAGATCCGCTCAAAATCGCACTGGATGCCCAGAGAGAAGTACGCCAAACTCACCAGTCTCGACAAGCTACACCGGCGCCAGAAAGCTGCGATACGGAAAGAACGTATGTACACTACCACTCCGTATGGGTCTTACTGATCCCATACACGCAGGCGAATTCAGCGAAGTGCGCGCTCAAAACATGACCCTGGAGTCTGAGACTCAAATTCCCATGCAATCACCGCCATCAACACCCTCGCCTTCGACGATCATGTCACGACTAGCTGTCGTCTCACATCTACCCTTTCAAATCTCCCGGACACGGTCTGCGAATCTGCCTGTGTATGAATCCACGAAGGCCGGAGGGTCCAAGCACATTACAACAATACGCAAGATTACGGGCGACTTGAATGAGCTGGCGGATCAGGTTCGGAAAGCGCTCGATTTGGAGCAGCATATCACAGACGTCCGGGGACGGCGGAAGGAGACGGTCGCGATCAACTGGACCACTCGACATGTCGTCGTGCGTGGATGGAGGGGGCCTGAGATCAAGAAGTGGGCCGAGTTAAACGGATTTTGAATGTTATGAGCGCGGAGGCACGACTTCGTGCAAAATGCATTCATTCAATGGGAACAGAACGAGAAGGCTGGACCAGCAAATCGGGCAAGCGTGACTCAGCGACCGCCAGTACGGGATTCCCAAGCGCCTCCCCGCTGCAGAAGAGCCCGGGGCTGTTTATGCTGCTGCCCGACAATGTACAGTACGAATGAGAGCAGTGCGGAAAGATTTGCTCTTAGGACTTCAACCGCATACACTTTATACCAACCCTTTTCCAGCGCAAGGTGGGTGCGATTGGTGACCTTAATCAATAGAAGCAGATCGGCCCCAGCAGGCCGGAAAGCATTCAATGCAAATTCTGCTACAACTCACTAAAATCTCACCGTTCCAAGCCAATGACTTCTCTTAGACTACAGTACGAAGACTTTTTCTTTTCTTGAAACATAATTTTGGCATCTGAGCCCTTGATATACACATACACGCATGCTTTAATTCCTTTGCACAAGCGATATCTACCCAATTGTCGGTATGAATAGTCTTCGCGCTTTCAGTCATGATTCAAAAGGTTCAAAGCGCGCGCTGGATATCTCCGTCCCTCAAGTGTTGCGGGGCTCACCTCCCAGTATACACAGCTCCACCTCTGCAGTCGGGCGAAAGCATTTCTCAACGGCTCAGAGACGCAGTATGTACATCCCAGCAGGTGTGTTCAGTCCTCGAGACTGGCATATACGCACAGCTGTCGCAGAATGCCAGGATCAATGTCTTTTTGTATCATGGCACCCAGAAGACTTTCCCTCTTGGGCATGACACCTAAAGGCACCACCGTTGCACCATCGGGATCAACCGTACGTGCCTTCTGGACCAGAGTCTTAAGAACGGCCATGGCACGGTTGGAAATAGCCCCATATCCATTGATATCCACTTCCGGCTGGTGCCTGCTGTTCTGCTGTGGCTGTCTCACCACTGTCTGTGTAGTCCTATCGGCACTCAACAAGCCAACCAAGCGCAGCAGGTTGCCAGCAAATCCATCCTCCGATTCAAGCCATACACGTGCTAGAGGCTGATCCGAACCTGGGACGAGATTTGCTAATATCTCAGCTGCCAGCATTCCCTGCAGGAGGAATGGCTTTCTAGCCTCGATGATTGCTCTGGTAGAATTCGAACTTGCAGGAACTGGAGATATGGCCAAACCAAAACTTCTGGTGAGCAGTTCATAAGGTGGTGTCGAATGCGCATCTGCTGCAAAAATTGACTTGTAGTATATTCGGTTCGGTTCGTCGCGAGCAAGCAGCTTCGCCAAGCTGTCAACTGCAGATGGCAAATATTTGTGCAACGAAGGGGTATACATTGCGAAGGACACCTTGCCTGAGCTTGATGTCGGCCCTGGAGTCGGCGCAAATGCAAGCAGGAAATGTAGAACGCAAAGAGCCTCTTCTTTTCCTGGAAGTTGGAGAGAGGTTGACAGGTTGCTGAGGAAGATGACCACATCCTTCATGAAATCAAGAGCATGTCGGTGACACCGCAAGAACATCTCGGTGGTGCCGAGATATCGAATTACTGAGCTGAGCAGCCTAAGGATTTCTTGCTGACCAAGAACTCCAAAATTGGCTTCGTAGAAAGAGAAATTGCGTATGAGAGTGGTGATACATATCAAACGGTCAGCTGCTCGCTCAAGATCGTATGGAACCGTGCCAAATTCGTGCGCATCCTGCAATGACTCGTTCTCGGTCTTTACAGCGCGGACGAGGTCTTCGTACGATGGAAGAAGCATGTCGTCAGAGACCTCGCTTGCATGCTCGCTGAGGAAATTGACCTGATCTTGAGCACAGTCAATTAGTGCATCCATTAGGTCGTCACACTCAACGAGCGATAATTGCAATGCAGGTTCTGTCGAAAGGTTGGTGAGGACGTCCAGTGCCAGTCTTGTCTCAGCATGCATCCCAGATTTGATCGCCATCGTGATCGCATGAATATCAATTAGACCCATTTCTCTTACAGTAGGCACAACTGGCTTCATTTCTGTAATATGTTGCCCAATGATCAGCATCTCCTCAACGTTGATTGGTCCATGGTATCGACTTGTTGGAAGTACATCGGGCTTGAATGGGTCTTTGATGGGGGTTGACAGAGGTTTGCTGTAGTCAATCTCTGGCTCCGCTGGCTTGTTGACGGCAATTTGGGGTCCCTTCTGGGGCGTCTGTCCCTGCGCAGGGGCTGGGATGGAGGCCATTTGTTGAGGGTCGAACTGCCTGGGCATACTCTGTTGACGTTGTGTATTTGAAGGATCTTGCTGTCCATGAGGTGGTTGCATCATGCCGTTGGTTACAGCTTGTTGTACCTGATGCGCCGGCTGAGGCATTTGACCATTCGCAGAAGCACTGACAGACCTTTGATGCCGAGAGTCTTGACCCATGTTTAGATCACGCGACGGTGACATTTGGTTCTGATGTTGATGTTGAGTTTGCATCGCAGCTTGGGCTGCAATCCGCTGTTTTTGTTGGTTCATTTGCCATGCAGCTTCGTAGGGCGCCAGATTGTTGTGCCAATATCCTTGAAGTTCTTGTGCCGCTTGCATTAGTTGTTGCGGTGGAAATCCGAATTGTTGAGCGACAGCGGCCCATTGGTTCATTTTCGAGATTCTTTGTGATCCGCCGCTTTTAACAACGGCTGCATACAAACGTAACAGCTGCAGGGGTCTCCCACATATTACGGGATGTAGATCAACTGGGCGGCCCCGTGCTGCCATGAACGCTTGCAAACCTCTGAGAAATTCTTCCGGATTGTTGGGCTTAGGGGGTTGAAATGTACCAGGTCCTTGAGGCATCGGCTGGTTTGGCATGGGCTGGCTGGAATTTGGTGGCATGCCGTTCATACTGCGAGCTTGCGTTTGCGCCTGCATCTGCCGCGCTTGTGCTTGAAGCTGCATCTGATAATTCCTCTGCGTCGCCGAAACCCCGGGATGATGTTGCGGCATACTGGCCTGGGGATTCATCCCCATTTGTTGCATTCCATTGGGCATACTCTGACCAAACGGAGGCTGGTTAAAACTTTGCTGAAATCCGCCGTTGGGCATGAAATTCTGTGGATTATCATGCGGAGTTCCGACGCGACTGGCATGATCTGATGGCGCAGGTGAAGCATGAGGTGCGCCATGTTGCGGAGAGAAAGGGTTTGGCGATGCTGTTGCGACGCGCTGATTACTTCCAGGCTGGTTAAAGTGGCTGAGTTGTTGTATGGTCGGGGAGGGTGTGGCATTGGCAGAAGTCTGAAGATGCTGAAAAGGCGTCGATGCGCTTGTTATCGCAGGCGCGCCATTGGCCTGTGGATTGTAACCAGGAAAGGGGCCTTGTCCTGGCGTTTGTGACCTCGGACCAGGTATGCTTCCGGGTGCTTGCCGCGGAGATGTCCCTAAACTATCGTCTCTTGCTCTTTTGGAAGGTATTACGGGGTTCGTCTGATATACTGGGTTATGAAAGGCGGGCGAGGCAGTGCGACCAGCGCCGTTGAGGAAGGCAGGATTCTGGAATTGAGCGGGATTGATAGTCTGAGGAGGTTGCATAAACGACATGCCACCATCCATCGTGCCTCCAAAGCCAGCATGGTTATTTGGAGTCGAGGAGGAGTCGGGAAGCCAAGGGTTCATGGCTCGAAGAAGGTTCGGTCATCCATTGGCTATACCGACACATGTTTGTCAGTATCAGGTCAAAGACACGCGTAACCATGTCAACGGGGGACCCATGAGTGGTAGAACGAAGGTCCTTTGTGAGAGCCAGTGGATCTCTGATGGATAAAGCCATCGGTGGTGGGTGATTGAGAAAACAATTGGATGCGCCCAATGGTCAGGAAGACGCGTCAAAGGAGGGGTGAGGACAACACGGCGGAAACAGACGTGTGATACAAAAGCATGGAAGGTGTATAGCAGAAAACAATGGAGTTGGATTAGGCTACTTACCTGACTGGCAGTGTTGTGAAGCAGTATCGTCAGAGCGCAGAGGTATGCAAACCGAATCGGAATGTCGAGATTAGGGAACGATTTTTCGGTCTGAGGCTGGGGTGCCCAAAGTGGCTTAGCTCGAGAAACTGGAAGGCAAAAGCAGAGGTTAGCCATGGTCGACCAGGCCAAAAAGACTGGCAATGAGGATCAAGACAGTTCCACTCGCGTTTATTGGGCCGTGCAACACGATCTCAATCGATGTTTTCCACGGTCAATAGACGCTAGTGATGGATCTGTGGACGGACAATCGCGGTAGGAGAGGAAAGGGTCGGCGATGTGGTGGGCAAAAGCCATGTGCTGTCTGCGTGTCCGGCTGCTACGAACCGGCGGGATGGTGATAACGATACAAACCCACTTTCACAAGACTGCCAGGGGGTGGACAGTAAGAGGGGCAAAAAAGGTTCAATGCCAGGCTTACCGTGAGTGTGATTAGATGGCGATTTGATGCTTGTTTGATACGTGGTGCGTATGGTGGTAGTGGCCGGGTACGGAACTGGAAAAAGAGAAGCACGAAGTGAGAAGCGGGGAGGCTTGAATTGAGGGAACAGATGCTGACTGAGACCAGTACGAGATGCTAGTAGTGACCAAGGGAAGCAATACCCGTAGTACTGTATGGTCAGGTAGGTCGATCGGGAACTGGGCCGGTCAAAAAAGGTGTTGTAAGGTGAGTGAGTGAAAAAGAGGAGCCTAAACGGCCTGCAAGAGAGACAGAATGAACAGGACACAGGAAGGGCTGTTGTGAGGGTGCACCTCAGCTTGTCCGATGACGGGCTTTGGGGCGGGGATCAACTCCCTGAAAATGGCCACCCTGGCGCTTACCTATGGTTTAATCGTTAGCATTTAATTAATCGGATTGGATGTTGCATTGGCCTTACCCACTTTGCTGCGGGACGAAAGTTGGTCAGAGTGAATGTGAGTGTCTGACACGACATTTGACAGAAGCCTCAGCAAGCTGCAAGCATAAATGCCGTGATGCCGTAACTCCCTCCAGGAGGATGCTGTCAGACGAACTTGTTTCTTTTGGGTCACTCCACCATGTTTAGCATGTCGCTTCCCATCGGACTTCGAGGGCAGTACTCCGTACGATCCACGAAAAAGATGCTTCGGTTCAGGCCTTTTCCCTTAATGACTTTCAGCTGCAATAATCTGCTGAGGAGGACTAACCTGAGCACTCGAAAGGTTTGTCTCGACACCCACGTTTCCTGGCTCGTATCGACAATACCCCCGTGGAAGCAGAGCCGAATCAGGGTCGCACCAGACTCGTTTTGGGTTTAGGCAACCTTCAAGTGCCTTGGGTCTGTGCCATCAAATAGTAGCGATCCCATCGTAGAGGTACTCTGCTGCCGTTCCCTATTGCCAGGTGGCTGCCACTTTACTGCTGATTCCTTCCGTCCCGAGAGACTTCGATCCGAGGATGCAGTCATATGTTTCTCTGGTAGTGAGAAGGACTCGAGAATACAACTGCTATGAAATCCCGTTCATGATTCCGTTGGAGCATGATGGAGCCGAATCTTGGTCATTGTGTCCATACCTATAGCCGAGACCACATGGGTCTTTCAATAATTCGCTGATGGACAGCGCAACGGAAAGAGAGGGAGGATTGAAAGGCATGTTGCCTGATCGCCGGTATCATTTGTGAGCCTCAAAGGCCAACTTTCATACGATCTGACCCAGAGTGGCATTGATCCGAGGAGCCGGCAATATAGATCGACACAAATACTTGTGGGAAGTGAAATTTCGAGGAGTAGAAGTTGGAAGGAAGGATTAAAGAAGAAACAATATTTTAAAGTGCTGTGAGTCCCAGAGCTTACGTCCCGTTCATCTACTCCTTCTCGACGCATGCCTCATGCTCGGTAGGCAGACTTTGCCGTGATTGGCAGATCATCCTAATCTTCTCATCCCACAGGCTGAAGCGATTTTAGACACAAATCCTCGCCGTGTCACAGGGACGACCCAGACGTAGAACGGGGACGAATCTGGTATCCCGATACCCAAGCGTTGATGCGATTCGTTTCAGGCCACTAAGGCAAATGTAACGCAAGTCTGGCGCTCCGGCCTTACGAGTTGCATGTTTTCCTTTTGGATAGCTGCCTGGCTTGTACATCTACCCGTTCTTGCGCCGAGTGCTGAGAGATACGCATTTATTTGAGCATGGGATACGTGACGCTATTACTATAACAGATCAGCAAGCACAAGAGAGAACATTCCATCCCGCACGATTAACTACCTTAACCCAGCATCTTTGGCCCCAAGTCAAAACCAAGAGTTTGAGATCAACGGCTCAGCTTTGGTGGCGGGATCTTCCACGGCTCTTTTCCAAGCCGAGCGTAATCCAGGGCAATGCAATGGTCAGGAAAAGCGTGGACTTCACCCTAACCTGCGCAGTCATTACGGAGTATTTATTGCAGCAAGAAATATGTATAACTTGTTGTAACCCTCATTGCTTTCCTGTCACATCAGACCCCGATGCCAAAATCATGAAGTAGTGACTTCAAGACATCAGACTGTAGCCGGTCTTACCGGGTGCTAGTGGTCTTCATCTTGAGTGATAGCAGTCCTTTTACTTGCAGCTTGCCGGTCACCCCCAAGGTTGATTATACTCAAGGCAGCAAACTGTATAAGTGAAGAGACATGTTCAGACCTATTTGTAGGTGACCTGGAGCTATCGGCGAGGTCAACTTGCGGCTCCCCTGTCGGAAGAACCCTTAGCGCCAAAGCCCATCTTGGCAACGCGTTCCTATGTCCGCCTTCTCGAGACTGCATTTGCGATCCAAGATTTGACCGTTTCGTTCTCTACAAACAATAACCTACGTCCATTGGCTCTTCTGTGTCATCGATCCAGGTATACCATCGAGACTATTCTTCTGTATCCTAGCGACCGCCGTCCTTTCTTTGCTCATCTTCTGCTGCAACCATGGGAGACGTCCTTGTTGACAATCCGGTCCATACTATTCCGCCTCACAAGAAACCACCTGTAACAGATTCGATCCCGGATATCGACTCTTTAGAAGGAGCTGGAGCAGATGGCGGTGATGAATACTCTACGTTGAAGAGACTACAGCGACACTTGGAGTGTGTACAAGCTACTTTGACCGTCAGACGCCACCACTGATTAACGAACAGGTACATCAAGCTGCAAGAGGAATATATCAAGGATGAGCAGAGGTAGGCAACGCGCCCTTGGAATTTCATGTCACGATCTGACGTGATTTCAGGTCTCTCAAACGAGAACTGGTGCGTGCGCAAGAAGAGATCAAGCGGATACAGAGCGTTCCGCTTGTGATCGGCCAGTTCATGGAAGCCATTGATCAAAAGTAAGGATCTCCCAGGACCTTGGGCCGTCTTTATGCTGATTCTGTGCAGCACTGGCATTGTCCAGTCCTCGACAGGCTCCAACTATGTTGTCCGCGTCCTGTCTACCCTTGACCGTGAGAAGCTCAAACCATCCTCCTCCGTTGCCCTCCATCGACATTCCAACTCACTTGTGGATATTTTACCGCCCGAAGCCGACTCTTCAATTGCTATGCTTGGTGCGGATGAGAAGCCCGATGTGACATACGCAGATGTGGGAGGACTAGATATGCAAAAGCAAGAAATCCGAGAAGCAGTCGAGCTGCCCCTGACACATTTTGACCTATACAAACAAATTGGTATCGATCCCCCGCGAGGTGTGCTGCTCTACGGACCTCCGGGCACAGGCAAGACGATGCTGGTGAAGGCGGTAGCCAACAGCACAACTGCAAGCTTTATCCGAGTGGTAGGATCAGAGTTCGTCCAGAAATATCTTGGTGAAGGACCTCGAATGGTGCGAGATGTTTTCCGCATGGCCCGAGAGAACTCGCCCGCCATCATTTTCATCGATGAAATCGATGCCATTGCAACCAAGCGATTTGATGCTCAAACTGGTGCCGACAGAGAAGTGCAACGCATTCTTCTGGAATTACTGAATCAAATGGACGGCTTTGATCAGACCAGTAACGTCAAGGTCATCATGGCAACCAACCGAGCAGATACCCTGGATCCTGCGCTTCTTCGACCTGGACGTCTGGATCGAAAGATCGAATTCCCTTCACTACGAGATCGACGAGAACGTCGGCTGATTTTCTCCACCATAGCCAGCAAAATGTCTTTATCACCCGAAGTCGATCTGGACTCTTTGATCGTGCGTAATGACCCGTTGTCTGGGGCCATTATTGCAGCAATTATGCAAGAGGCAGGATTGAGAGCGGTACGCAAGAACCGTTACAACATTATTCAGGCCGATTTGGAGGATGCCTACTCGAGTCAAGTCAAAGGAGCACAAGAAGCCGACAAATTTGATTTCTACCGATGATGTATTTGCCGACAAACTGCCATAGCTTTTCGGCAAGCAGGGGCCTTGGGATTGCTGCAAGGCTGCGGCGGCGTGGGGGCTACTCGGCGTTTACAGATGTGAAAGCATACAACTACTCGAGTACCGGGCCTTGAGAAGACATTCAGACGTGTAGCATCCGAATCCAAAATGATCCTTGCATGTGAATTGGCTTGAACCTCTACTCGTACTACTGAGATACCATTTTATTGAAGTCGTCAGTCATGCTGATACCTCGAGCTAGATTCTCCAGAGATACATCTTGTCATACTACGAGTAAGGTATGCACCTTACTATGTATGTCACTCGTACCCTGGCCCCTAGTTCGGCAAGGTCACGATACACGTTTCGCATTCTTCCACTATCCAGAATATTAATCAAATGCACACTGTGAAGTGGTACAAAGACATCCAACTCATCCCCCTCAAGGCTAATATATCCGGAAGCCCATCAATACTCGACCAAAGCACCATCTCGCTTTTGCGTCATGGTCCGGCGAGTGGAGAATTTCCTGCATTTATCTATATTATTAATGCACGGTGAATATTTGCCAGAGGAGGCAACTAGTAATTTGCTCTGCACTGAAGTGCAGAGATATTCTCTGCTTAATCGGATTTGCACGTAAAGGGGGCTTTGATGATACCCCAATCTCTACTGTGGTGTAGGTTTGGCCGATTCATATACAACAGTATACCTCCTACTTTGTATCGATCCAGCGCCAGGACTTCTACGGTGGTAAGCGAGTGGTCTGGTGTATGGCGCATTGTTGGAGGCGAACGAGAAGTTGCAGAAATCGAAGGTCCACTGCGAGCCCCACCACAATGCGCTAGTCGGAAAGGAGATGGTGCGGACGAGATTTTGAGTCTGAGTGATTGCGTCAGAATTTCTCGATTCAAACAATTCATCACGCGATTCCGTCCAGTGGCATTGTTTCATGCACTGCGAGGACCGAGTAGCACACTTCCATTTCCAGGTGCCGTGGTACTTCGTACTTCTTCCGCTCTTTTCTACCTTTGTTCTGTACTCCGGACACTGAGGTCATTGATTTTCCAACCCCCCAGATTTCCTCCATCTCAGCGAAGCCTCGCCAGCGTTCAAGCGAGGCCATTGACAATATCTCTGCTGATGAACCCATTTTGATAAGTCCATCAGTCACGGGATTTTGGCATCTGTGCAGTTCCCAGGCCTACGGTGGTATCCTTCCGGCACAGGAACAGAAACATTGCGTTTCTGCGTTTCTGCGTTTCGACGGCTGTAACACCCATCAACGTCATCACCTCTTTTGAGCCTGAGACCGCGCCACCGAGAGTCCGTTCACCCTCGATTCAGCCTCCAATCGCCAATCTCGATTTCTCATCTCTTCCGACGCTCATTTACTCGTAGCATCCGGTCGCGTGGGAGAAATATCACACAACAGAACGGGGGTTCTTTGAGGAGCAGACGAATTTATTCCTGGTAAGTTGCTACCTCGTCTGTCCTACCGTCGGCGCACGTCTCACACGCCCGGTCCCAATTTCCGTTGCAGCTTAATCGCACCTGGGATGGTGGGTGGATAGAGTGGCGATTGCAACTGGTTCTTCGATGGCTGGCGATCGCCATCCTCTGCCGGCTTCCCTGCTGACACGTCTCTGATTCGCAGGCTCTGCGTCTTTGCCCACCCTGCTAGGGCCGCTTGGTCCAAAGTCAACCCTGCTACCTCGCGTTTCCTCCCAAGCCTGTTCTTCTCGCCCGCCCTACCAGAGTATATGAGGCGCCAGCGCTTCCCAGCTCTATCGACGTCACTTTTGCAACGGCTGACGTTGTTTCCTCCATCTACGTATTGCTTCATCACAACCCGACATTATGGCGAGCGCCGCAGTCGCAACTCAACCATCACAACAACACCTCGGGGCCGGCCCAACTTCTCGTACCTCGTCGCCTATGGACAATAAGAGAGGCAACAATGTGAAGCAAGGTTCGTCACATCGTCGCTGCCCCCTATTTGTAAAAATTCTTCATCCCTCTCCCTGCAGACCATACAACAACCATGTCATCAACACCACCACCCGCGCATTGGAGATTAACCAGTGCACCACGCTGGCGCATGTCGCTGCCAGGTAGGATTCAATGCTAACATATTTTACTAGCATCATCAACCAAAACTTCACCGGTTCAGACCAAATCATCGCTACCAGGTACGCGTCGCCACGATCACACTTCCCGCGACCTTCTACTGACGTCTACCTAGAAGAACCACAAACCTCGCTGGCCGAAGAGTCAAAGCCCGTCACTCAAGTAACAGAACCCCTTGCACCGCCACCGCGACCTGCGCCTACCAATCCTGCAGAGACTCCTGACTATTTCTCCGCCCTACACAACGCTGCTGGCATTGGGCAGGAATTCAATCCGTTTGAACAATCTTTCGGAGCGCCTTCGACAGAGACGCCCGGCAAAACTTTGCTGCCTCCTGTTGCCGCTCTCACATCTCCTGCCATTCCTGGCACGAGCTCAACAGGTGGCTACAACTGGCAAAGCTCCCTTCGTTCGGGGCCTTTGAGCCCTGCTATGTTGGCTGGTCCACAACAAGGTGATTACTTTGATAGTATCGGCCGTGGTTTTCCAACACCCAACGAATCTTCACTTCGGACTGGTTTGACTCCTGGTGGTGGCGGGTCTATGTTCCCTGCCCCCAGTCCAAATTCACAAGCTCTCTTCAACTCATTACAGAGTGGCGGCGCAACGCCTGGCACTCTTGACTTCCACCGCACTGCTATGAACGCGGCTGCACGCAACAAAAACACTCAGTTCACCACCACATCTAACCCACAAGAAGTTCTTCCTAAAACTAACATGGACAACCAACACGATGCAACAGATGCTGCCAATGGACTGTTCATGCTAGCCAAGGGAGGTCAAGCTAACAATCAATTTGCTGTTCCCAATCCCGCACAGACTTCGATGCCAGCAAGGAACGGCCAAGACCAGAAAGCAACGTCGTCTAATGGTGACAGCTCCGAAAGTCCTGAAGACACGAAGCCCACCACTCGTGGAGGCCGCGGCAAGAAGACAAAAGCAGAGTCTACCAACAACCGACGGAAGTCTGAAGCTGGCGCCAAAGGAAGCAACAAGCGAGCCAAGGGAAATTCTGGATCTGCCAACGTCGATCCAGCCCTTGATCCTCACGATGAAGATGATGATAGTGAAGACGGAGAAGACGATGCTGCCCCGACCCACCACCCCAACGGCAAGAAGATGACTGATGAAGAGAAACGAAGAAACTTTCTTGAACGCAATCGGTAAGTTTATAGACATGAAAGAACATGACACAAGCTAATACCTTCCAGTATTGCTGCTTTGAAGTGCCGGCAGAGAAAGAAACAGTGGCTTGCCAACCTGCAGGCCAAAGTCGAAATGTACTCTGCCGAGAACGACAGTCTCAATACTCAAGTTGCTCAGCTTCACGAAGAAATTCGTAGTCTACGAGGCCTTTTGATGGGCCACAAAGATTGTCCTGTCGGTCATGCACAAGGTATTGGTCAATTCCTGAGTGGTATGCAAGATCCCAACGGATTTGCCAATCAGCATGTCAATCCTTATGGCATGGCCATGCCCAACGGCCCACCGATGCAGGCGGGCATGCAGCGGTCGTAGGACGGCCATCTGGGCCAAGCTCGAGCTCAGCCAACGACCCCTAATGCAAGACTAATACTTCATGAATATCCACATCCATGGTAGGTGGTGTCGGACTTGGAAAAGCAATATCATTCGAATGATCCAGCCATCCTCACACCTTGTTTTCACCATTGATCTGTGGGCTTTGGGAGCCGGCCATCATGCAACGGGCTAGCTTCCAGGCATTGCAACAATTGCTTATTACTTTTTTTATTACTGTCTTATTGTACATAAAAATGGGAATCTGTACAGCAGCAAAAGATCGGTGGATGACCTTGCGATTGGGTGCAGCCATGATTCTCCTTCTCATGCGTTATGCGAGCACACAGACATATTGCGGTATGTGGAGGGGGAATTGGGGTGGGATTGGGACCGTGGCACCTAAGAAATGGCGTTCTGGCGAAGATTTGTATGAGTTGGGATCCAGCACATGGCAGGCAGCTCTCGAGCTCTAGGGCTCTGTGTATGTCAGCTATTCTCAGACCTCGAGACATCAATCCACGAATGTTTGAGCTGTTAATGTTTCCCATCCCCTTCTGTCGCTATGAGACTCTGCCTGATAATTTTCGTCATTCTTGGCGAGCTCCATTGTTTCTTGAACACATCAGGTACTCATGCTGCTCCAGCCATCGTGGTTACTATAGAATGGGTTGTACATAACCACAGAGTGCCTACGTCTCATCTTTGCGAGTCACACAGGCGTCGTTACGCCCCCGCTAGCATCACTTGAGACTGAGTTTGGCGGAAGAGGCTGAGCCTCGCCCTATCGCTTTACGTCGGGGCTAGCACTCTACCATCCCACGCCCTCCGTTCGACAGACCGAGCGACAGAAGAAAGAGCAATGCGTCGAGAAGTCGATGCCTCTGCAGTGTCTGGCGTTCTTCCTAGTGTATTACGAGTGTGTCTACACTGCTACTAGCGGACACAATGGCCGTAGTGCCCACTTCAAGCGGGTAAGTGGACGACATTCTGGTACCACACTTTCAACTCAACCTGGTCTTACTATTGGAGTGGCGATCACGAATTCTGAATCATCAAGTTTTAGACTTCCGCCGATAAGGGCATGCCTCTTCGACCTTGACGGCCTGCTGATTAACTCGGAGCATCTCCTTACTGAGGCGCGGAATGCGGTGTTGGCAGAAGATTACTCCCGTCCGCCGATGGACTGGGCGGTCAAGGCGCGGTTGCAAGGTCGGTCCGCGACAGATTCGACGAGGATACTGTACGAATGGGCAGATTTACCATGCACCATCACAATTGAGGAGTTTCAGGGGAAACTGAATGCACGGTTACGTGAGGTGTTCAAGCGGACGGCGCTGATGCCTGGTGCCGGGGAGTTGCTGAGGAGGTTGAGCAGGGCGACGACAGGAGGAGGAGAAGGACGGGGTAAGGTTATTGAGATGGCGCTTGCGACGAGTTCGCAGACGGCCATGTACAAGCTTAAAACAGCCCATTTGGAACGAGAAGGTGGTGTGTTGAGATTGATCCCCGAGAAGCATAAGGTTCTAGGCGACGATGCGGGATTGAAAGACGGACGGGGAAAGCCCGCGCCGGATATCTTTCTGCTCGCGTTGAAGGCCGTGAATCAGGGTCTCAGGGAGAATGGGGAAAAGGAGATCATGCCTGAGGAGTGTCTTGTGTTTGAGGATGCAGTGGCCGGCGTCGAAGCAGCGAGGCGGGCGGGGATGAGAGTGGTTTGGGTCCCGGATCCCGGACTGAGAGAGCTGTACCGTGGGCAAGAGGGTGAAGTTCTTGCAGGTCGGACTGGAGAAAAGAAAGAGAACAGGGTGACAGGATCTCATGATGGACAGGTTGGGGAGATTGGTGATGAATGGGGAGAGCTGCTATCGAGTCTGGAGGATTTTGAGTATGAGAAGTATGGCATTGTGGTTGAAGACGAGTTAGATTCTACCGTGAATTTATGAACAGAGATTCTGTCTAGCGTCTGTCTAGGGTCTGTCTAGGGTCTGTCTAGGGTCTGTCTAGTATATGGAAGCATCGGTATGCTTCGTGGTATGCCTGCATTAGCGAGGAATGTCTCCCAAAGGCGTCGGTTCAAGAATGTTGGCCAAAATTGTTACACAAAGATCCACGGTATACGCTCACAACAGATCTTCAATGACTTCGAACATCATTCTTCCGCTGTCACTTCAAGATCGAGCATGTCTGCCTCATGGTGGCAACCGCTCGAGATCCTTTTCTGGTGCGTAGTTAGATCGATCCCCCTATGTTTCTCGTTATGACCTTGCCGACAGTGTTGATCTGTTCCACCAATCTATCGACAGTCTGCGTGGTAGTCGAAATGTTGACCACGGCCCTAAAGAAGGCGCCTTTCTCAACCTGCTCGCTCAAAGCCGGGGCATAATCGATCATGAAGCCGCGCGAGATCAACGACTGTGTGATGCGGCTGGTGATGGCCGAATTGCGCTTGCCAATCTTCTCGGCTTGCTTTCGCCTGGTGGACTTGTCGACTGCATTCGCTTGTGTCCTTTCATCAAGATTGAACGGCATTCGCCCCCCAGGAGCATAATAAAAGCACACTTGCAGACAAGGCGGTGGAGTCGTGCTCACAAGTACCATATCTGGATTCTTTTCCACCAGAGTCGCCATATGGCATGCCACCGAGTATGCATGTTCGATCTTCGCACGATAACCCGAGGTGCCGTAATACTGCCATGCGAGGAAGAGTTTCAAGCTGTCACCTCTCCGGCCGCATTGGAGCGTGAGATCGGCGAGGTCTTCAGGTGGTGTCCAGTCATCGTTCTCTTCGACATCAACATCACCATCAATCTCGCAGCTCGCAGTGTCGTTGACACCGTTCTCAACGTGCTCTTCATTCCCGTCGTGCTCCTCGTCATCATCCTTGTCGTGGAACAAATACCCTGCCCGCAGGGTGTTAGCTCTATGGGCGTTTCTCAAGTCCTTGAGCAACAGGAAGCTGCAAGTCACCGGCACACCGAGCATTTTGTGTGGATTGATTGCTATGCTGTCCGCCAACTCGCAGCCTCTCAACGCACGTTCGCGAAGAGTGTCCGAAAAGACAAAGCTTCCACCCCAAGCACCATCAATGTGCATCCAAAGCCCGTGTCGGCGTGCTACTTCTGAGATGGCAATAAACGGATCGAAAGAGCCCAGCACGGTCGTCCCGGCCGTGGCATTGACATAGAACGGGGTCTTGCCTTGCTGTTTCTCCCGAATGATCAAGAGATCTAAAGCTTTTGGGTCCATTTCTCCAGTTACAGGATCGACCGGCACGCTTATGACACTCTCGCTTCCAAACCCGCATTGCTGTGCGGCCTTTTCGATGCTATAATGGCCATGCTCGGACGTAAACATCACGAGCTCCCTACCTGCGGCGTGGTTCCCTAGTCGCTTGGTTTCCGGAAACAGCTTGTTTCGCGCAATAACAATACTGGTAAGGTTGCTGGCGCTGCCGCCCTGGACATTGATCCCGCCAGCTCTCGGGCCACAGAAGCCGAATTTCGTAGCCAAGGCCTTGGTGACGTGTGTTTCGATCAGTGAGAGGACCGGCGATACTTGATATACATGCAGATTCGTGTTGAGGACGCTGAGAATCAAATCTGCAGCTATACCTGGAGGTACAGGCGCGGAATAGAGTTTGTCCAAGAATCCAGGAGCAGATGTGTTGACGCTGTATCTCAGTATCGACGCCAACGAGTCCAGCAGGCCTGCCTGCCCAACGCCGCCGTCCGGGAGAGAGAGCGCTCCACTTTCCGACAAAATCGATCTTAATTCGGAGGGAGAATGGCTTTCGACGAGCGATGTTTGCTGTATTGGCTGGCGTTGCTGGTGTGCGTGGACTTCATCGTCGGCTCGCTGAACGAAAGGGATCAACTGTTTCAGGACAGCGGAAAGCAGCGCTTCCAGCTCTGCCGCGCGTGATGGAGCTGTCTCGACGGACGTGGGTGTGCCATTCGTGACTCCGTCTATCGTTTTGGGTAGTATATCTCCATTAGTCTGGGGTGAGGTGTTGGCATTTTCTAAAGGGGGATACGAGTACCCCGACATGACTTTCCAAAAGATGAACGGCCCAAGAGAATCTATGAACAACAAGGAATTCAGAACGAAAGATCTGAAGAGAAAATTATACCGGTAAGCATCCGGCGAAGTGGTCTGTTCAGACTAGAAGCGAGTCACTACTAACTCGATACTCCGTACGGAGTAAAAATCTGACAGTCCAAAATGACGCAATTTTGGTGTATTTGTAGCCACGAAAATCCACCAGGCTGGCAGTTCAAGGAGACCACAGCCTTGTCCCACGCGAGCACTATCTTCTTATGCATTCGTCCGCACGATGGTGGCATTCGCCGAAGTTGCAGGAGTCTTCTTTCGCGCCTCGTGCAGCTGCTTCTGCGCATATCTCTCCCGGGCAAGTTGAATTCCAGATTTCTTTTTTTGCGAGCTCGTATCTTCCTTCGAGAGCTCGCTATCTTGACCTTTATCATAGCCCTTTGCAAGCGCTCTCCATTCGCCCGGCTTTCTCAGGTACATATCAATCGCCCAGTTTCTCCACACGTTCTTGCCAAATAGAGACTCTCGCACCTGACTTGCGTTGTTGGCGAGTTCTTCGGCTAGTCTCTCTTTCATGAAGAACAAGCCGTCGGTAGCGGACCAGAGCGCATCAGCAACATAGGAGCCGCTCAGATCCTGCGCAACTTCAGCAATGTGGCCATAGAATTGAGGGACGAATCGTCGCCGAAAGGGCATGTTTGAGTCTGACGGTGTAAGTGCAGTCTGGATGAGCCGGGAGACAGCGGGATCCTGACACATTTGAACCAGAGTGTTGTTGTCGACTGCTAGCAGGCTGTCTTGAACCAGCGCGCAAATAGCTGGAACCTGAAGAATTGCCTGAGCTAGAAGCGAAGCGTGCACGTCTGTTTTATTCGTCTGACCTGCGGTCTTCTTCTCAGGATCACCATCTGACGTTTGTGGCACTTTAGCAGTCTCGAATTCGAGTAGTTTCGGAAGGAATGCTGCTCTGTCACTTCCAAACCCTGACTTGAGCACTTCTGCAATGTCTTCAAGATCCACTTGTCGGACAGTACATCGCTCGACCAGAACTCTGATTACACCAAGCCTCCGCCGGGAGATTAACGTGGGTAGCTCTGGGAGAATCATCTCTTTGGCCTCTTTCAGATCGTCCTTGCCTAATCTTTCCAGGACCTTAACCGCAACGTAGCTGGCCGTCTCATTCTTGACCATGCTGTTCAGTCGCAGCTTGAGGATATTTTTGTAGAGCCTTTTAAAAGTCTTGCCGGACAGGTGTTGGATCAATATCTCCACGAGATGAGAACCGACAGGGTCGTAGATCAACCCAGCAATGAATTTTGCGCTTTCCGTATCCTCTTCTAGGCCCTCATCCGGCAGCAATTTCTTGAAGAGTGACATCTTCTCTGACTGATGGTGCTTTCCGTGAAGCGTGAGCTCCAATCTCAGCAACAGCTGTAGCACAGGGTTACCGGTAGGGTGCGTCGCTAGCGCTCTGAGGTACGTGGTGTCGACTGATGATACTGAGCTCTCAATAATTTCTGCTAGCGCCTTGCCGAATGATTTAGGCACACGTCGCTTAGATTCCGAGTGCTGCTTTTCACTCACGGCGGGAGCGTCCAGTTTCTCCTTTTTCTTGCTGGCAAGGATCGTCTTCGTAGATTCGTCATCTAAGGATTCCCCTGAGAGTATCAGGAAAAGCACTCGGATAGTATGAGAAGCAAATCTCTCGGTAAGGAGGAAGCCCAGATTCGGCTTGAACTCTTCTGCTGCCCGTAGGAACAGGTCTTCCGTCGATGGCAAATCTGGGTTGTCTTCTCTCTTTCCTGGTTGTTCACTGACGTGCTTCGCCGCCTCCAGAAACAATGTTTCACAGCAGTGACTACCGAACCGATGACGGACAAGGTATGTGAGGTTTCCAAGGAATTTGCCGAAAAGTCTTCGCAGTTGCTCGCCGGTCGATAGCAGAATAATTTTCTCCAGGTATCTCGAGCACGACTGACTGGAGGCGACTTTGAGTTCTTTGCCTTCTGTTTCTCGATACACGGCTTCTATGAAGATAGCACGGTCTTCATCCGACTCGAAATCATTTGCCACGATTTTACTGTTGACATTCGCATAATATTCTTGTTCCTGAGGATCAAGAAGACCGTGAAACTGGTCCTCTTCTTGCATTTCCAGGCCCCCACCGTTAGGAGCAATGTCGATTCCTATGTAATCATCTCCGGCGTCGCCCCTGACGTTGACATCTTCGGCCACTACGTCTTCGTGCTCGTCGTTGGGCTTGAAGCGCTTGGAAGAATCCGAGTCGGCCTCCTCGAGTTTTCGCTTATTGTTCTTCGCCTCCTCGCGTCTACCTCGCTTTTTGTTTTCACGAGGCATATCGTATATCTGGATGTGTCGGTTCCGAAGCACAAAGGATGTCTGATCAGTTCTTGCGAGGAGTTCAGATCATCTACCGCTGGTCGTTGAAGAACCAAAAAATTCTTGCCAAGGCGAATCGCCTCCGCCAATAGATGGAGAGAATTAGCGTAATCACCCGGCAGCCTCGTCGGGCCGAGCGCAGCCTTGCCGTCACATTCAAGCATTGCATGGCATTGTCAAAGAGCTACTTGTAGGGCTACGCGCAGATACAAGATTCATGAGGAAATGGATCGTAAGGCTTGGATTCCTTGCACGAGCTACACCTTCCACCCTCATATTGAGAAGATCATTCCTATTCTCCCATATCAAAACAGCAGCACGAAGGACTCTTTCTAGTTGGTCTGAGGCAGCCTCGACCTCAAAGCAGTGGATTGTGCGCCCGAGATGTGAAGAAACCCATCTCTTCAAGCACCAAGAAGCCGCGGACGTCAGCTCGTCATTGTGCCCCTGCGCTAAGAAGGATGGCCTCAGCATTATTGGACTCGTGCAGCGTCCAGCTTGGGAAGGTCGGATTTGTCCATCACCACCCAGTCAGTGGGTTGGGCTGTTCCTTCGACTGTGCCGCCTGTTGAAAACCAGCAGACAGCTCGATAAATAAGACCTCCGGCAGATGTTCTTTGCAATCTCCGTGTCGGGGTTGAACACGAATAGCGCGGAGCTTCACTCAACTGCTCTCGCACATATGGCGTGGGCAAGCCTATGGCTTTCTGCCTTCCGGAGAGTATCATGGCAGCATGCCCAACGGGCCCATTTTGCAGTATACTGACACCCAAGGATTTCCGGCAGCGTCTTTCTGGAAGACAACTCATAAGTGTCTTCCTCAACCACTGCCCTGCTCTTGCGCCGCCATTTGTAGCTTCTGCTGCAGTTGCAGCAATTCCACCCTCTTCTTCTCAGCGCCTTCCTGTAGCTCTTTGATCCTATCTTCAGTTCTGATTATTTCCTTGCCAATGTAGTCCAATCGACCGTCCACAGCGCTGACAGCTTCGGTTTTGGCCTGCTTCAAGAGGACCGGGCCGACGAGTTTGTAGATTCCGGCTTCTTCGGTCAGCGACGCAAATTCCTTTTGGACGGCTTTGTTCTCTTGCTGCTGGGCTTCCAGCTTTTGGCGGGCCTCTATGGTGGTTTGAAGGTCTATTCAGCGAAGTTAGAAGGGCCGTCAGACAAGGCAAACTCATTGTGTCTTACCATCTTGAAACTTCTGAAGGGCCTCGGATAAGGTCTGCAATCTGTTTCTATCCTCTTCCATGGCGCCAGTGGAGAGTAGATCTAATGTCTTTGTGGAAGATTTGTAAACGATTTAGAAGTCAGTATTGCCTGGAAGCACGTTAGCGTGGGCATCAGTTCGCTGGAGTATTCGCGGGGCAAATGCCGACCATCTGCAACTCTTCCCACCTTTACTGCTCCAGATCTGGCGACAACAAAGAATAATTGACGCCTCATTACCTCCTTCGAAAATTTCAGAAGTCTTCATTCCTTGCCTTTCACCAGCAGGAACCGTTCTGCCCCCTCTGAAGCCTGCACGACAGCCAAGAGAGCCGATAGCGGCGCTTGTTTACCTCCAATTCTGATCACAATCATCGAGACTCAAGCACACCTTCCAACCTCCAGTGGGCCCTCAATACTCCTGTTGTCTCTCTGACCTCCTCTACCAGCCATGTCGAACACGGACTTCCTAGGTCGAGCGATCGACACGGTCAAAAAAGCCATCGAACAAGACACGGCAGGCGCCTACGAGCAAGCCTACCAACAGTACTATGCGGCACTAGAACTATTCATGCTTGCCCTGAAATGGGAGAAGAACCCAAAATCTAAAGAGATGATCCGCTCAAAAGCAGCAGAATACATGGACCGAGCAGAGAAACTAAAAGCGCACATCCAAGCCAACGACTCGAGTAATCGCAAGAAACCCGCGGCAATGGGCGTGAACGGGAAAGCGGTCAACGGCGCCGGCAAAGGCGAAGCAGGCGACAAAGACGAAGAAGATGCAGACAGCAAGAAACTACGAGGTCAATTGACTGGTGCGATCTTGACGGACAAACCGAACGTGAAATGGGAAGACGTTGCCGGACTAGACGCGGCGAAAGAAGCACTCAAAGAGGCGGTCATCTTACCCATCAAATTCCCACACCTGTTCCAAGGCAAGCGACAGCCGTGGAAGGGGATATTACTTTATGGCCCGCCTGGTACAGGTAAATCATACCTCGCCAAAGCTGTGGCCACGGAGGCGAACAGCACTTTCTTCAGCGTCAGCTCTTCCGATCTCGTCAGCAAATGGATGGGTGAGTCAGAACGATTGGTCAAGCAGTTGTTCAACATGGCGAGAGAGAACAAGCCTGCGATTATATTCATCGACGAAGTAGACGCTCTTTGCGGGCCAAGAGGCGAAGGCGAGTCCGAAGCTTCAAGGCGTATCAAGACAGAACTGCTCGTGCAGATGGACGGTGTCGGCAAGGATTCAAAGGGCGTTTTGATTCTCGGCGCCACAAACATCCCCTGGCAACTGGACGCTGCCATCCGACGGCGTTTCCAACGGAGAGTGCACATTTCTCTTCCCGATAAGCCCGCGCGAATGCGCATGTTTGAGCTCGCGGTCGGAGACACGAAATGCGAAATGACCCAACAAGATTATAAGACGCTAGCTGATTTGAGCGAGGGTTACTCGGGAAGTGATATCAGTATTGCCGTCCAAGATGCGCTGATGCAACCGGTCAGGAAGATCCAGACGGCAACACATTATAAAAAGGTATGTCAGGTTGATCTTGATCCTGTTCCTCGTTTGCAAGCTCCCTGGCGTCCAGCTTGCGTGGATCCATATATAATAAATGGCGGCTAACACTTTTCCTTTCTCTTGGATAGGTCAATGTAGACGGCGTCGAAAAATTGACGCCCTGCTCGCCCGGCGACGTAGGGGCCATGGAAATGACCTGGGTGGATATTGAATCCGAGCAACTTCTAGAACCACCCCTGACCGTCAAGGATTTCATTCGCGCCATCAAGGCCTCGAGGCCGACAGTCTCTGGTGACGATCTAAAAAAGAATGCGGACTGGACGGCCGAATTCGGCAGTGAGGGTGCATAGTTCCAGATATCTTCAGATCGATTTTCGCCCACGAGTTTTTGACTTGGCCGAGAAGGGGAGTGAGAGCCAGCGCGGCAGTGGCAGTGGGGAGACAATCTGTTGTGTTGCGTGTGTGTCATCCGGGCAAGTGTTTATGAGAGCATGAGCAAAGGCGTTTTCTCTGGCGTTTCTCTCTCCTTTTTGTCGGTGGAATGATCTGCGCTTCAGCCTGTCTGGGAATCGGATTGGATTTGCTTTGCAAAATGAGTTACTGTGTCCAAAGTAAATCGGCCGGCGGTCTTTTGGCCACGCAGAATCCAGTATTGGGCCCTGGTCTGGGTAGGGTTGATTGATGGGACAAACAGATGGATGAGAAGGATACATGGAATGAATGGCTTACATACTACATACTCTTCCATGGCAGGCCTAGAAAAGAAAGATTCTACAATTGGCAGATGGAAAATGAATTCTCAAACAAATCAACAGAATCTGACACTGGCACACACAGTATATCCTTTGGTTGTCCTCCTCGTATGTAGGTCATTATAACAGTCACAGTCATCGCAGCATATTACATGGTCATCGTCTACAGCGCCCTGCTAAAGCGCATATCAAGTCAACCCCCTCCATAAGACAAGAGACGGTCGGTCCATATCCAGCCATCCATCGTTCAGGCCCCATCCCTATAGCTCGGTGAATACATTCACACAGCTTCCGGCACTGCTCATTGCTCCCGACGTTGCGTGGTCAGAGCCAGTCACTGTTGCCAGCAGCTTCTGGACATCTCTCGACGTTTCTGAACCATGTCAAGGATACAAATATCCCTTCTCAAAATAATTTCCATACATGTCCACGACGCCCGTCCGCCCCTGTGGCGTTGGGTTGCGAACGACTTTGATCTCGCCTTTCCAATGGCCCTCGACGAATTTCATGTCGATGTCATTGATCTCTTTCATGGTAATGTCCGATCCCAATCCACCCAGTGCCGGTGGTCTCCCCACCCCGTTTGCAGCATTGCTGGCACCCTGATCAAATCCATAGCCGTATCCTCGTGGTTCGTTACCATTAATTTGACTGTTCGAACTCCCCGTCCTCGCATGCCTAATGCCAGTCCTCGATGATTTGTACCTCGCCAATTCATCCTCGTAGGCCTTCTTCCTGTCCTTCCGCCACGCGGCAAGTTCAGCAACGACATCAGCCTTCTCTTCCTCTTCCTCCTGGCTCTCTTCCAACAGCCTCGGATTCGACGTCGGAGGCAAAGGTCTTCGCTGCCCTTGCTGAATATTCCCATTCAAGAGCTTGGGCGACACCGGCCCGCCTTGCATTTCCGTCAGGAATGGCCTTCGGTCTCCTCCATTCACTCCGTTGCCACTACCACTAACAGGCCGAGACAGGGCCTCGTTCTAAGGTCTCCTATTCCTTCCCAAGGGCAAATTCCTCGGACTCCGTATAGTCCCCGCTGAACCACCGCCGAAATTCATCGAGAACGGCGACAACGTCCCCGTACCAACACCATAGCCATGACCAGTAAAGCTGCCATGTGGACTATTAGTCCCGCTATCGTTACGGGCATCCTCGGGACTCAAAATGATCTTATCATCAAAGTGTGCCGTTGGGAAGTACTTCTCTGGATCGTGCTCATAGATCCCACATTCGTCTTGCTCTTCCCCTTCTTCGCCAAAGAAGCTGAAATCATTGGCCGCAGCCGACCAGAGGTTCTCGCTGTCCATGTCGCCCGTAGATGACTTACTCATCGTAATATCGTATCGGGAGTGCTGCCAGCCACGTTGGCCATTCACCGTTTTGATCACAGGCTGCTCCATCTCGAGTATGAGCGTGCGAAGAGCAAACAGGGACCGTGCCTGCTCGAGTTCGGCCATGTGACGTGCTCGACCGGGCGGGAGGGAGTAGTCTGTGCGGGCGAGAAGCAGCGACAGCGCGGACTCGTCAGCGCAGGCGGAGATGAAAGACTTCAGGTTCTCCAGGACCCCCGATGATTTTGGAATAGTGGTAGGGACATTTGTCAATATCAGCGTTCTCAGATTGGGCAGGAGGGATGGGTGTAGGCTGCTGAGGCTCGAAAATGTCGTCGTGGCCGATTTTGTACTCTGGTTTTGGGAAGACACATTTGTAGGTCGTTTTGCTAGAAGAGCCTCTATCCGAGCTTGACGATGATGTGTTTGAGTAGGGGACGGAGCCAATGTGGCACTTGAGTGGGAGGTAGGTGGCGCGGATATGACATGCGATGGTTCCTTGATAAGAGGCAACGGAGCAGGTGCGTCTTGTGGTTTCGTTGTTGGAGGTGCTAAAGGTTGGAAAGTCCCTTGAGCGCTGATTGGGGAGATAGGGGAGAGTATAGATCGCGTTGTGCTGTGGGTGCCTGTCTCGTCCGAGATCTCGGACTCGGTCACATGCCCGTGATCTTCGGCATCATGATCTTCAGTGTGAGCATCCTCATTAACCACTTCTGGCGCAAAGGGGCCTTCTCCCCTGACAGGACTTTGTTTCTCCACGACCGGACTGGACTCCTGCGGTTTATCTCCTATGGGCGGACTTATCGCAAAGTAAATCATATCACCAATCAATTCAACTCGAGGCTGTGCAGGAGTAGCGTCTAACTCGAAGATTGGGTGATTGTCCGCTGGCAGTTCCGATGCGTAATGAGAAGGAGCAGGAGCTTCCGCAACATGTCTTTCTCGTGATGGCAGTTCTGCAGCAAGCGGCTGAGAACCGGCGACTTCTACTGAAACAGCAGAAGGTGTCGTTGATTTTGGGGCGTCTTGAGTACCTTCTAGTCTCGTCGTGATCAAGGCATGATCAACGCGGAGATATGTCAAGTTTTTGCTGGCTGATTTTGCAAGTACTGGAATAAGTTTCTCGGCACCAGGAAATCGGACTTCATCGATATATCCTGTTGGTGAGGACAGCGATCGTGTCCGTGCAATTGTCTTGACCGTGTCGACTGAGCCTCCATCCAAGATGTGTAGACGCTCCGACTTCAGAAGGCTAGCCAGTCCTTCAACAGACAGTCGATTGCCGGATATGTAAAGGTGCGTTAGTCCTCGGTGAGGGATATCTTCGAACGCAAGCCTTCCAGTCAGAGGGTTTGTCAATTGTTTGAGCAACTCATGGTCAAGGTCTTCACTGCGCAGAGCGTCCAGACTGAAGAAGTCTGGCCCAGGAGCCATGCCCACTGGCCAGTCTTCCAGATTAAGATTTCCCCGCTGCGCTGCATCTGGAGGCAGAAAGCAAGCTTGCATTAAGGAGCGAACAGCCATGTCGGTCAGCAGATTATCTCTGATGTCCAACAGCCGAACCTTGATGCCCACGGCATTTGCTAGTACCTCGGCCTCTCCATCCTTCAGCCCGACACCGCGTAGTTTGAGAACTTGAAGATCTGGCAACCATGATAGCGCTGCTAGCACAGATGCATCACGAGCAGGCGAAGTATATGAGAGATCCAAGTAGACCAGACTCGCAAAACGTGGTAATGCGACAGCTAAAGCTGATGAGGTGGTGTTTGGCTCGCTCGAAGCCAGTAGTAGTTTCAAACCATATGTAGGCAAATCGCTCTCTTCTCCAGCGGGCACTTTTCTTCCCCCACTTGGGAACCTCAAGGCATTGAGACTGTGGTGGTCGAAGAAGGGCAATTTCGTGACGATGAGGCTCTGAAGATTCGGTAGGTATTCTAGGACGTCGCGCAACCACGTCGGGTTGGGACCACCGTATATCTCGCTAAGAGCAGGCGGTAGGTGTAGAGTATGGGTCAGGCACCTCACACTTGGTCTTGCCTTACGGAGAGTCCTTTTGAAGCGCGTGAGGGCAACGTAAACTGCGTCGTTGGCGATGCCGAAATGAGAAGCAGGGTCGCCCCAGAGGAAAGGGACGAATATGGCGTACCATTTACGCGAAACCAGACAGGCCGAGCAGAGGTCCCTCGAGGGTATGTAAGGAGCGATTATAGGCCAGGCTTCACGACTAATTGCGTTCTCGTAGGATGGAGGGACATCGGGCTTCATTATGGCGGGCGGGTTGCGCAGTCTGGTAGAGTCATGTTGACCGACGAAAACGAGAGGAGAAGAGTCTCGACCAGGCAGGCAGAAAGAGATCGTCTAGGTATACCAAGACTACCAAGCAAGCGGCGGTTTGTTGTCAAGGCGCAGGAAATAGGACATTCATACGAGTACTGATTTACGTCGTATTGCAGGGAAGCGACTCCAACCGAAAACGCCCGCACGCACGTGCCAGTTCTCAATCAACGACTCCAACGACATCATTGCTCCCTCAGGCTCGAGGCTGTCACGCGAGACTTGACCGAGATCGTCGCTCAGAAATGCATGGCATCTGCCCGGCTCGCCGTCTCAGCAGTTTCTCTTCTGCAGAGGATCTGCAGTGCAGACCTACAGCTGGACGGTTGGACGGCACAACAAGCGATGCCTTAGAAATTGTTTGGAATCATTACCTGCTACATTGTCCTTCCTCGACACGAATGACTTTTGAATTTCGTAAATACTCTGGCTGTTCATAGGATATGCTTCGAAACTCCGGCCGTGCAAAGGCTACTATGTCTGTGAACCGCATCAAGGAGAATCCAGGAACCCGGGTATCATCATCATCATTCCCCCTAACGCACTCTTACATCACGTATAATAGATCGGTGTCTATGAGGTGACAGGTTAGCAATGGCAATATTTTCGAAAGGTTAATCAGCACTTACTCAAAGGGTGTGAACAACTCAATTGAGGCTTCTGGGTGTATTTGGTTGCCAGCTCGTCTCGGATGCTGTTCAGTAGTTGAACATAGCTTTGGTGAGGGTTCTTCTTCAATGCTGTCACAAATGCCCAACTCATCGCTCCCGTGGCTTCTCCGCTGATGTTGGCATCTTGACTCGTCTGAGAATCTTTGCTGCCTGACCACATGACGACGTCCGCTGGGCTAGTCTTGGTTTGCTTGTTGCGTTCATAAGCCGAGTTCCCGGTGGTAGCCTTCTTGAAGAGACCCATCGCTGTAGAAGCCATTCCACCCAAGTCTCCACGAGCATAGGATGAGACGATGGACAAGAGACCTTGGCCCGCTTCCTTGGCCAAATTGGGTTCTTTGAGCACTCCTTGAGTGGAGTAGATATAAGGCAGGTCGAGCGCTGAGCCCGAGTGACAAGAATCGAAGATTGCTGTCAATCTGACTCCAGGAGGTAGCGACTTGACCATAATCCGGTGCATCTCGTCGTCGACGATGTGACCAGCAGTTCTGAAGTCGACGGGGTAGATCACTTCGTCGTAGCCATCTTCTTCATCTCCATCTAGATCGGGTGTCTGCCCGCCGTGACCACTGTAATGAAAGAATAAAGAGTCGTTCGGACGAGCATCCTTAACTAGCCAGTGCATGGCTCGGAGTATGTTGGCTTTTGTAGGCTGGGACATGGGGTTCTGTTGGTCGTCCGTAAGGATCACCATATCTTCTCTGGCATAGCCGAAGTTCTGGTTCAAGTAGGTGGACATGTTCTTAACATCGTTTATGCAACCCCTCAATTGTCCTCGTTGACCAAAGTAGTTTATTCCTATCAGCAGTGCTTTGCGTTTTCCTGTACAGTTGGAATACTGGAACGCGTATCCAGAAGGGGCTCCGTTTCCGAACTGCTGCGGAGTGGTGGGCGGCGGCCTCGGACCGTTCGTGCCCTGAGAATAGTTGTTGTAGGCTGGCATGCCGGGACGAGGCCCAGGGTAGCCATTTGGCTGCGGAGGTGGGCTTTGATAACCTCCGTAACCGCCTTGAGACGGAGGGGGTGGATTCTACAGAATTGTCAGAAGGCTGCCTTCAATACGAACTAGATTTCAACTCACGTTGTACCCGTATGGTGCTACATTTGGTGGCGGCTGGCTGTACTGGGGGGCACTGTAGCCTTGAGGCGGGTATGGTTGAGGCGAATTTGAAGGAGGATATGCGTTTTGATTATAGCCCTGATTATAGCCTTGGGGAGGATATGGTTGCGGAGATTGTGAGGGAGGATAGCCAGCATAGCCACCATGTTGCTGAGCCTGCAAGACGTCAGAATCTTGCCTCTGTACATTATATGCTACCAAAACCCAAGGATTTGTGGTCGACCAGTAGAGAGAGTCTCTCTTGAAGTGGGAGGACTTACGCCGTAGCCGCCCTGTCCAGGGTACCAAGACATTTTATCAGGAACGGTAAGATTCGCAGGTCGACGAGGTGTTCTAGGTATTTCGCAGACGTAGGAGAGAGCGAGCTGTTATCGAATTGGTAGAGTTTGTGAGGTTGTCGCGGGTGTTGGTGAGATGAGGTGGCCAGCAGTCGTCAGGCACTCGGCTTTAGACGGTAACTTGGGGAATTTTAGGTCAAGATCAAGACTTTCGTTTCGATGTGGAGTAAGCACGAGTAAGTAACTTAGGGCCAGGCTCCCAGGCGTGTCTTAGCCGATTCGCGAACCGCTTGCGCCGCTGAGAAGAGAACCGACCCTTGGCGGTGGTCGTGGGCTCGCGGGGATTATATGATGTTACAAGAGATGGATCGAAACGAATAGTAGAAATGAAAAGTAGTGGCTGTCGCCTGCTGCGGTCACTTTGAAGGTCTCTTGTGTTTTCGCTGATGTTCGTGAAGAAGGTGCGGGAAACGGGCGCTTACGAATATGTTGTTTACAGCTACAGCGGCACCTCTCACGTTCTACCCGTCTCGCCGTACCATTCATCTCATCCACTTCTGTCACTCATCCCTGTCCCCTTATTATTTGCTCGCATATCACCCCTTCGCTTTTGCAGCCGGGGTGGTGCTGGTTTACGGACGGGTTCCAGCCTCACTAGCTTCCCGGCTATTCCTCAAAGCAGATGCAGTGCAGATGTCTGCCAGCGAACAGCAGACCTTCTCTGGAACTGCGGGCTGTGGCCCAAGATCAGATCGAGTAACCGTTCTCAAACCACGGCTCTGGGCCCCGCTGCAAGCTGGCTATACCCTCCCAAAACGGCAAGCAGGAATTTCGATTTTGGATGCCCCTGCAGCTGGCAGATCTAGACATCATCGATTCAATCGAGACGACCTGGACGACTCAAGTAACGGTTCCCTGTCCTGGAAGAGATGACTACCCCCTGATGACAGCTAGACTTCAACCCTGGAGAGCACAATGCGTACCGCTGAAGGAGCATCGGACGTCAGCTGTCTTTCCAGCCTACAAAAAGCTCTACGGCACCTTTTCATAGAGACATCGGGAGATAAAGTGCCCACGTGGGAATTCTCAAGTACGATTGAGGCTATCGAGCACCTTACCACAGATGGCCCAAAAACCCTTGATCTGGAGGATTGGGTGCGACCAGTTGTCACAGCTGTCGGTATGCAGGATCCAGCTACGCCACCACCACTGCCATAAACTCGCATCCGAACGATTGGTTCCATCTGAGATATGCTGCCCGCTAACATATCCACGGCTGAAGTGATTGGCTCAGCTTTCATGCAGCTGCCCTCATTCAACCGCATTCCCTGCGGTCTCTTGCCTATCACAAATCTGCCCTTGCGCTGCTTCCCAATTCCTCCGACCTAGACGAAGCTCAAACTGTCACCACCTCAGCTGTTTTCAGCAGGTCCTGCCCTTACCGAAGGTCACTCAGGCCCGGGTGCAAGCATATTTTTGGGATTCGTTGCCGGACACGATCCCACTAAGGCAGTGCCATCCTCAAAATACCCCGGACTTGCGAAGCATACACGAGCGAGGGATCGGCATCTCCGCAACGATCAAATGCTTAGCCATGAGTTCGTAGCATGCATCTGCCATGTGCCTGACTTTCTTTGACTTACCATGCTTACCCTTGTCAGATTAAGAATTGGAAAAGCTGGCCTCGAGATTTGGTCCTGGAACACACGTGGGATGGCGTGCACGAGCGCGCCATGGCTTACAGCCACAGCACTGACGGCACGACTGTTTACGAGCAAAGACAAAAGGACTATCCGGATCTGCTTATCAAATTTTCTCGACGCCACAACCTTCATTTAGTCCACCTCTGAAAGCACCTTATTTAAGCCACCTTTGAGGTGCTTGGATCTGTTCTCCTGTCTCCTCTTGGAAGCTCTAAAGAGCAACAACGGCCGACGACAGACCGAAACGGATGCTCCAATGTCCCTGACTCCAGTCGAGGTCTTTCCACTACTCGACGATGACGCTGCTCTTCCAAAGGACAAGCAGAGCTATTGACCATTCTCAGTTCCGAAGCCATCGTCGCCAGCTTCTGCTGCAAGACATCATCACCGGCTCATGCTAACAACCTGCAGCTTCGTTGTTCCTTCGAATCTGTCACTGAACAAGTGTTTGCACCTTGTGATATCATTGATTTCGTGTCATATCATGCCGTACGCCTCAGGCCCGTCATCAGACCTGTCAATGCTCGCTAATTTGCAGTAGACGCAAGTTTACATCCCCACATTGTACAGGCAGCAACCAAAAACTTTTCTTCCGCTTCTTGAGCCGGCAGAGGGCGACGATCTAAGCGAGTGGCTCGTTGTCCGCAGCCTTCTCACCGTCTTGGCATACCTCTGCCTCGACCCCTAAGCGCTCTCTGCGCTGCACCAGGAGGCAAGCCTCTCTGGGGGCCCTGAGGCTGTTGACTCTCCTCATTCTTAATCGTCTCGTCGACACTCAATATGAGACAGGCGGCCTCCACTGCCGCACTGATAGCATTGACCTTAACAAGCGCAGGCTCCCACACGAAAGCGTCCATGTTATTCCGAACGCCTTCATGATCAAAGTCGACGCCAGCCCAGGTATTTCCTTTTCGGTGATCCACACGTAATCGATTTAGGATATCAGTGGCATCAAAGCCGGCATTGTCGCAGAGTTGTCGGGGAATGATCTCGAGCGCCTTTGCAAACGCCTTGACCACGGCTTGCTGTTTGTGAGGAACGTTCTTGTCCGCATAGCGGTGCAAATAGCCTGAAATTTCCATCTCAGTGGCGCCGCCACCAGCGACGATCGTCTGATTCTTGATAGCGCGCTTGACAATCATAATGGCGTCGTGTAGACTTCGTTCGACCTCCGCGATGAACTGCTCGGCTCCACCTCTCAGTACTAACGTGCAGGTCTTTGCTTCCGGACACTCGCTGAACATGTTGTACCGCTCGCCACCTATTTGTCGTTCCTCGAACTTGCCACACGTGCCCAGATGTGACGGAAGGATGTCACTGCATGTGCTTTGGACTGCTGCGCCGGTAGCCTGGCAGACACGCTCGAGATCGTCTGCGGCGACACGTCCAGCACAGAAGATGTCTCTGTCGGCAAAGTATTGCGTGGCAAGATCTCCAATCGGTAACCGACTCAATACCACCTTTGCTCCTGTCTTGTATAGTGCCTCCATCTTGTTGTAGATGATCTGCCACTCCGCATCCACAATTGCTTGGTACTCCGAGACTTGATCGACCCTGACCTCCGCATTGTCTCTCTCCGCTTTCAATTCGAGCTCGACGTTCAGGCACACGATCTTCGGGTTCTTAAAGGATTTCGGTTGTTGCTCGAAACCAGCATATGAGAAAGTCTTTTTGAAAGCCACACCGTCCACGAACAAAGAGTCTTCCAAGGCACCGCCGGTGATCTTTTTGATACCGATAAGTTTCTCGTTCAGGTCTTCTTGGTCAAGGGACAGTACGGCATCGACAACCACTAGTTACCACACGTCAGTATCCGGACCAACCTTTCCACGCCAGCCAGCGTGTGTAAAAGGAGCGACCTACTCTTCGTGAAGAAATCGGCATTCCGATGGATGAGCTTGCTACTCATCGCCGTCGCCGCCAGTTTCCGCAGTGTCTCGCGCTTGTTGCCCTCGGTTGTGCTCACGGCAATCTCCTTGATCTTGTTGATGGCCATGGCCGACGCCCGCCGCAGGCCTTTGATGATGGTCTGGGTGCTCACGCCTTGCTCGACGAGCTCTTTGACTTCCTTGAGTATTTCGCCCGCTATGACCACGACGCTGGTCGTCCCGTCGCCGACCTCTGCATCTTGCGACCGCGCAATGTCCGTCAATATCCGTGCCGCGGGGTGGACGATGTCGAGAAGTTTCATGACGGTCGCGCCGTCGTTGGTGATGGTCTGTCGGCCGTTGCCGTCGACAAGGAGGAGGTCGCCGCCATAGGGGCCCAGGGTGGTCTTCACCGTGTTTTGCACCGCGAGGCAGGCATTGATGTTTGATATGACTTGGCCTTTGCCCTGAGATTGATCGGTGCCTGTGGTCCGCAACGTTAGCTTGCCTGGATTGACGGGGAAGAACCGGTGGTTCTGGCTGACCTTCTTTCAGCACTATGATCGTAGGCGTCTGGCCGCCAAATGCTGCCATCTTGTCGTACCAGGATGGTCGACTGCAAAAGCAATGGTGAGCGTTGGTAGTGGGGTTTCTGGTCTCGAGGTACAAAATCGTTCAACTTCTTTTCCAAAGGGACGTGCCTCCGACGAAACTTTGGACTGCGGCAGGCAGTGCTTGGCGGGGACTCCTCTAGGGTGGATCATTTAGCGAAGCCGTTCGGCGCATCATTGGCCTCACCATGCACTAGTTAATTCAGAGCGCCTCCTTTCGAGCTTTTTGGATATTGATGAGATAAAACCACAGCTTACAGCGTGACTACTACAGTCTCGGTACTGATACATCGCCAATGAGCTTAGCCTGAACTTGATACTGTAGGCCTGACGTGCGTCTCTGGGTACCGCAATCGGCGGCTGCCATCTTCACTGCTCGCGGACAGACCCTGCACAGCAGTACGAAGTAGCTCTCTCAACGTTACGATTCCGGCTTGTGTATACACAGTAAGACCCAGGCAAGCCCATGAGCACGCCACCAAGGATGTCCTTCCAAGGCAGTAAGTACAATATCGCTTAACGCCTGCAGGTAGAAATGTCCGTTCAGAAAGGTAGCCAGAATGCATATTTTGTAGTCATTTACAATCTTGTAGACTACCTGCTCCTACCCAGGTACAGGTTTCGACGCGCCGAGCAGCTGCCGCCTCTCTGGACAGAAGTATTGGCATTGTCTGAGCAGGAGGACGCATGGTCTCCAGCAAGTGACCTTGTTCAGGGTCGAGGCGCGAACATTCTTTCTCTCAGTACTGCTTCGCCACAAAATACTCATACCTTCCAGCCAACTTGGCTCGCCACGTCCGACCCCAGATGATCAGAGGCACAACAGTCAAAGCCACGGCGATACTCAAGCATCCGAGCAAGACGAACATATTGTACACTCCCATTCCTTCGATCCAAGGTGTGATAGCAAACACTAGCGCGGTGGAGATGATGTTCCGCACAAAGACGACGCCTGTGAGGGCATCTCCGAGAATCTGCGAGGCGCATATCAGCAAAAAAGGCCATGCTCAGCTGACCCCGGAACCCTCCCCGGTACTCACATATTGATAACAATCCTGGCAGTATGTCAAAGCAATGTCACCACAGCCTCCAATAGCTGCACCGATGAAGCCTGCCCCTACGGCGTTGATTGCCCATGGCATGCCCTGGTTAAGTCAGCCTGCTTGCAATGGCGCACGAGGGACCGATTTCGGTGTTGTACCTTGGAGATCGTCAAGCCATACATCTGCAGATCGAATCATCAGCAAGCGGCACCACTAAAAGCCAGGGACGAAGCATTGGATCTGTGCGTGGGGGGATTTCGTTCTTAAGGACGTAATACTCACAAATAGCCCAAGTGGCATGCACAGCCCGGGAATCAAGAACAAATACAACCGCTGTAGAATCGTTAGGAAGCTGTTCCCAACGTAGATGGGCACAAAGCATAAGACTCGTGCTCAAATGGCACCATCATCCGGTAAGGAGACCACTGACCGTCTCTGGTTCGTATATGCCCCCGCGTCTCTTCGCGACTTGGACAATGAACCAGTCATTGATCGGACCACCAAAGACACTTCCCAGAATGGCACCTATAGCAGGCGGAAGATTCCTATGGAGCCGTTAGAAAAGCTGTACCTGTGCAGACAGGAACAATGCACGAAGTCGCGCCCAGATGACACAAATGACACAACTTCTCCGCAAACAGGCTGCATACATGTTACCAATGCCAATAGGCGAAAAGTTGTAGGGCGGGAACGGATATAGCGTGGCTTGGGTGACGGCAAGGACAGCCAGCATGGCAATAAGAAACCCATACTGGAGTGCGCAAAATGCAACAGCTGGAAATGTGTACAGCATCTGGAAGGGCTGTTCGGCTCGTTAGCAAATTATACCTGCATATCCCCATAGGGACAAAGGCATGAATGTCGAGCGTCAATTGCCCGCACTCTTCGGGCGGACAAAGTCTTACTTGGAAGAAATGCATCCAGTAACTCCTATTCCCAGTCGTGGTTGTCTTCTCAAGCGACCATAAGCGGTGGCGTTTCCAGTATGAGTCCGTGGGGATGGTCGTATCGATCTCAAACAGCCGGCGGCGCTGGTTGTTAGCAGCTTCAGTTGCGTCGATGGAGATCGAGCTCATCCTGTCCTTCGTCGTGCTGCTGACTTTGGTCACGCCGTTCTCTTGCTGCGTTGACGGGACGATTTCTTGTCCGTGCATGATCCGTGGAGTGTACTTGGACTCTTCAAGGAAGAAAAACATGGCCAGGGTCACAATCGACATGAAGATCGTGCAGTACCAGAACACCCATCGCCAGTCCTGGTTGACGGCAACGTAGCCAGCTGCGACAGGCCCTAGGTAATTGCCTATGATGACGAGACACAGGTATATTCCGTTCATGGTGCCTCGTTGGTGGACGAAGAACAAATCGGCGACCTGTCTCTGTCAACAACGTCCTAAGTTAGTCATTGTGGCACCGACGTACGGTGACTTGGAAGATGGCCTCGTTGACAGCGCCCGCCAGTCCAGAAATGGCGTTCGATCCAATCATATCGCCGACAGTGTGCATCTCGGCTTGCCAGATGGCCGCAGCAAGCATGATCAGCGAGGTAACGAGGTATATTGGACGTCTCCCAACTCGAAGGGCGATAGGGACGAAGATGATGCAGCCGACCGAGAGAGTCGCCATGTTGGTAGCATACCCGTCATTGAGCACAGCATAGCTCATCCCGAGCTGGACGTTGAAATCTTGCCAGAGGGGAACTGCAACGCAAAGACTTGGGACGCAGTCAGTCTCTCATCCCTGGAACCAGGCGCGGGTTGTCGGGCATCGCACATTGCAAACACCATGAGCGCATACAGACACAGAATCGTCATATGCAACGTCTTCCTGGCCCCCGACCAATTCTGTCTTCGCGATTAATGAATATCACCCGCAAGATTGGGCCCCATACATACCAAAGGCTGGTTCGGATCGGCATTTGGCTGAGGAGCAAGCAGAATCTTGGACCCTGCCTTATCCTCGAGCCGCTGCGTCCCTGGGGGGAGTCTGTTGTCGAAAGCCATTCTTTGAAAGGCGACAATCACAGGCAACTGTAACAGGGTGGCGGCAATTGATGGTGCACAAAGAAAAGAAGGACAAGAGGCACCTTTGTAAAGGAGATCGCAAGCCTGGTACGGCGGGGAATCCTGCTATCAATGCCATTCTTTCTCGGGTCTCGCCTTGCGGGAGTCGACTGCCAATAGCTGTTGGACTGCACGAGTCTGGTAAATGCGGAGAGAAGTGTTCGCCTCGAAGCTAGAGCTGATGTCCGAGGTCTTGATGGAAGCTTCAGCCGCTCAAGGCCGAAAAGTCGACCAATGAGCACACTTTGCGCGCGTCGTAGCATCGTGATGAAGATAAGCCAGTCGTGGCCAGTCTGCTGAAGGCTATCATCATACTTCCTTGCCTGAAACTCCCTCTTCGAGCCTAATTCAGGTGGATAGCTGGTAGCTGGTTGGCATTCTTAATTGGTGGAGGGCGGGAGTGCAGATTTGTTCGTCGAGGACGAGAACTTCACCCATCTCTGCGTACCAAGAGTCGACTTTCTGGACCTCTATCCTAGGTCCTCTGATTCGAGCGCGCCGACAAATCGCTTCAAGGCGCCCTCGGGACTCATGCTGTTCAGTCTTTCTTCCGTGCAGGCAAACTCTTTCCTGGGGAACCAATCGAGGATCTCGTCCTCATGACCCGTGACCAGGGCTGCCAATGCCTTCCCAGCCAGCCAACAATGAACCATTCCGTATCCATCCCAGCCAGCAGCGATCCATTCACCACCAACGCGGGGATCGCAGGGTTCTCGTCCTGACAGATGACTGTTTACTCGATCAACCAATGGTAAACCATCGCCAGTAAATCCCATGATCCCAGTCCATTTCCTTTCGGTCTTGGCCCCCTTGCCGTGAGCAAATGCTTTAGCTGGCACTGTCTCCAGATGTTCCAGGCATTGTGCACTCAAAGTGCCGTCGTCTGTATTTCCCAGGTCTTCATCTTTTTCGGGACCGCCCTGAAGAATCCGCCTCCAAGGTACAGCGAGCCATCTTCAGCGGGCGATTGTGTGATGTAGTCGAAGCCTGTTGCCCATATTGCACTGTACGATCTCGTCGCGCCTGTCCGAGGGAACTCTGGCGGCACCGATTGCACAGTCATTTGCCCTCTCAGTGGCCACAATTTCCCCTTCAATGCCGGTAGAAGATGAGCTGCATGCGCGTTGGTGCAATGGATGACATGCTTTGCTGATACTACGCCTCTTGATGTCTGCACCACATACGGATGACATGAAGCCTGATTTCTCTGGACCTCCTCTGCGGCGGTATGTGTTTCCAGGATTAATTGCCCGTGATCTAGCATCTGCGACAAAATGCAACCCAGAAATCTGTACGGCCAAGCGGCCCCCGAGCGGCCTTTGATGCAACCGTAGGCGTTGACAAGACCGAGTCCCTGCAAGAATACTTAGCCAAGAAAAAGCATTACTATCAAATGGCTTACCTTCAACTCGCTTTCATCCTCGCATATGGTCCATTTGTCTCGTTCTTCGGGAAAGTCTTCGAGGAACGCGTCTAGTTTGACCTTTGCAAAGTCCCAAGCTTCCTTGTCGTATACAGCACTAACGCCTTCGAGGCGACGCACCAGGCCAGCTTTTCCAGCTTCACCCAATGCCGCTGCTTCGGCGACCATTGCATCGAGATGCGCCAGACGGAACTTGGTAACCTTCATTGCACTCTCCTTGCCGAAAGCCTCCTTGAGTGCATAGTAATCTGCCCATGGGACCGCTTTGATATGCCCACCATTCCGTCCAGTTGCGCCCGATATAGCATTCCTGGCCTCGAGCATGACAATGTTCAACGAACTGTCCCGCCTGAGAAGATGCAAAGCTGTGCTTATCCCGGCAATTCCAGAGCCAATGATGACAATTTCAGCTTCTTTGGGCAAGCTTGGTGAGGCTCGCTGAGCAAAGTGGTGCGGAGGATCCTGCCAGAACGCTATGGTCGGGTCCAGTACAGGTGTACCAGGATCTCGGTTCAGTCTTGTGGCCAGTGTCTTCCATATTGAGGCATTTTGGGTCACATTCATCTTGAGAGTACCCTGGCCCATTTGGAGAGTTGTAAAAATGGCAACGATGTCAAGGCCGATCAATTGTGATACTGGTCAATCGTTGGAGACTCATTTAGCTCGCGTGACTTGGTAGATCTGGCGACGGGCAACGAGTGTTGGCCGCGTGCAAGTACGTTCTCTGCCAGTCTCCGTACAACAGAAATGAATACACCCCCTCAATCTAGCAACGCCCGGTCAGATTGCCAGAATGTCGTCGGACTTTGTGTCTGGGAATATTCAGCTTCAGAGCTTGATCTCAAGAAGATGCGGCTGCGAACCACGATCTGATTGGAGGGCGCAACCGGTGCTGATAGGCTCAGACATGACGGAGAAGCGCGTGCTTCTTATTCCATGCAGCGAAGAGGAGGACAAGTTGTACGAGTACGAGTGCAGATGAAAGGCTTACCGCGGTAGTCGAGATCGATGTTGTGGTCAATAGTGCATATCAGCCAGGCCACCAGTTTGATCGGCAACTTCAGATATCGTTTGCGGTTGTGCCGTAGAGCCGACAGCCAGGGAGTGCACCCTTGGACTTATATCCAGTTTCTCGTTCCAGTCACACCCACCAGTGATTGCAAAAGATCAGAGCCGTCTCAAACTCTGAAGATGGCGGTCGCCGAAACCATGACTGAGCAGCAGCAGAGCTGGCAGGACATAGTCGCACGAAAACAGCAAGAATCTCGAGATCTCATCCCCAAGGAATGGCTGCTGCCCTCTACGATCATGGATTCGTTGTCCTTTCCGCTTGAGAAGAACCCGAACAAGTTGCTCGCCATGGACATCCCAAGGAAATCAGGGCTCTTAACTGACCGTGAGCTGGCAATTACAGAGAGCTATTCGGTCGCAGAACTACTGGCCAAACTTGCATCCGGGGAATTCTCATCTTCCGAGGTCACAATGGCCTTCTGTAAAAGAGCCGCAATCGCTCAACAGCTGACCTCATGCCTCACGGAGACGTTCTTCGACGAAGCTATTGCGAGGGCCAAATCTCTCGACCAGCGCAGGACCGACGGACAGCAACTGGGGCCATTGCACGGTCTTCCTGTCAGTATCAAAGACGGATTCCAGGTGAAGGGGACTGAAGCAAGCATTGGATACGTATCGTTCCTCGGAGAGAAGTCATCGGCAAATTCGGCTTTGGTCGAGATACTGCTGAACTTGGGCGCCGTGCTGTATGTTAAGACCAACATCCCTCAGACGCTGATGACTGCCGACTCCGACAACAACATCTTCGGTCGTGCTCTGAACCCTCACAATACGCTCCTCAATGCTGGAGGCTCGAGCGGAGGAGAAGGCGCTTTGATTGCGTTCCGGGGCTCACCTCTCGGTGTCGGCACCGACGTCGCGGGCTCCGTCCGCATCCCGGCATTGTGTTGTGGTAAGTCTTAGGAAGCGTAATCACCCGCAAAGTGCAGGAGAAATAACGAAAATAGGGACTTTCGGATTCAAGCCCACCTCGAGTCGCATCCCTTACAGAGGTCAGAAGGCACCTTCACTCGAAGGGTGGAAACCCATCACCGCCTCTGCTGGTCCGCTTGCAAACGACATGGAGGCCCTCGGCATCTTCACAAAAGCAGTCATCGATGCCACACCAGCACTACTCGACTCCACAGCTATTGACGTACCCTGGCGCACACTCAATCCAGCAAATAGAGCCAGGCTCAGGATTGGCGTTCTTCAAGAGGATCCTTTGTACCCATTGCATCCTCCCATCAAGAGGGCCTTAGCCGAGGCTGCGAAGAAACTCGAAGCCGCTGGGCATGAACTCGTCCAAGTGACCTCTGAAGAAGGTCAGGTCGCCGATGCCATGGAAGTCGCATGCGAAATCTTCTCTCTTCATTCCGAGACATCTATGCAATTCATCAATGCAAGTGGTGAGCCGCCGGTTCCATCTGTCGCCAAACAATTTGGGCCTGCAAATGTCGGCAGCTACAAATTCGTGCCAAGTCTGGAGGGCCTTGATTTTGTGCGCAAGTATGCTCTTTTGACCGTGAAGAGACAAGAAATATCCGAAAACTGGCGCAAGATCTGGTTGGAGAAAAAGTTGGATGCAGTCATGGCGCCAGCAGCGCAAAGCACAGCCGTGCCGCATGATACTTTGTGAGTTTCGAGCAATTGGATCTGGCGCGTGACTTCTCCGGCAATGACCTAATTCATCTTGACAGTGGTTGGCCTCCATATACATGCATTGTCAACCTACTTGACGTAAGAAACTCCATCTCGAATATGGGATGCAGCTAAAGCCCGTTTTAGTACCCGGCGTGCGTGATACCGTTTGGCAAGGCGTCTCGGCAATTGGATCCAGTGGCTACCAAGATGAATGCGGAGCAAGCAGGGCCAGAATGTAAGTCGAGCATGACAGGACTCTTCCACGATCTGATCAATGCCCAGATGACCCCGAGGTCCTCGATGATGCGCCATGCTCTATACAGATCATGACTAGCCGCATGCGGGACGAGGAGTGCTTGAAGGTGGGCGCTGCTGTGAATGAATGCTTGAGACGAGCTTGAAGGGTTCGTGCCCAGCTGTCCGGTCGTAGGTTGAATCGCATGTCGACGGATGACCCCAGTATCGGCCTTATCGATTGGGCCTAGTCAGGATCCTGGGCCACCAATGCCTGTCCTAGACCATGCTTGAATATCAGAGCGTTCAGGCCATCATAATCAATCCCAGAATCCCCGTCACCATCTGTCGAGGTCTTGAGCAAAAAGTCTGGCAAATTCCAGATCTTTTCCAGAACGCCAGCCGTTCGTCTGACATAGCCAGAGTAGGATGTCTTCCAGAGGTGCAGTAGTTGCCGCTGGATAAGTTTTCGCATATCTAAGCGTAGTCTGGCTTCGATTGCATCGTGAAAAGGTCCTCTGGCTTCGGCGTGGGAGACCGGGCAGGCTGTGCAGCCTAGGATAAGTATCGCTATTCGTATCGTCAGTACTGAGTTCAACGCCCCTGTAACACTGGTAGAGGTCATCGTGCAGACTTACTCCAGCAAATGAACTGTCCACAAGCAGCATTTGCGTCGTATCGCTTCAATAGCTCGTACCCTTGCTGAAGAGTTGTATAAACCTGTGGCGACGTAGTGTGCGTACGATCTGGATACAGGATTTTGAGAATGAATACCTTGGTCGCTAGGAAGTAGAGCTTCGCCGCGATCTCCGTGTTGCTTAGCGTTGCTTCCTGATCGTCTCCGAGGACTTCAGCGTCATCGAACCTGAGGACCGGGTTCATTCTGAGTAGCTCGTCCAGCTCACCCGAGCACTGCAAGGCCAGCGCACAGTGGTTGCTGCGGTGGTCAAATGGTAGCTGTCTGCTGAGCCAGGTCATGTGGTAGATGAGTAGAAATAAGCTAGGAGGTGCCAGACCGAGAACAGGGAGGATGGACAATACTCTTTGCGGCCCTTGGCTTCCGCTCTCGAGCGCTTCGATGTACATTGCGATTGTTCGAGACGGGAACGACTTGCAGGTAGCGTCGACGTCTTGTTCAAAGATCAACCTGGTGGAAAAGTGGTACAGGACTGAGTCAAGAAGCGTTCGCTGAAATACCGACAGCTGACCAATGTCAAGACGAGGAATGCTTGCCGTCTGTGCTTCAAGAACCTGGGCGATCGCTTTGTAGTGAGTCAGACTCTGGCTAGTAGGGGTGGAGTAGAAGTCCTGCGCTGGGTCAACCGATGAACAGATATAACAATATAGCCACCCACCTCAAAGACACCCAGAAATAGGGACGCGGCCAAAAAAGTTTCCGTCCTATGAGTTAAATGTCTCGAATCCTGGATAGCCTGACGCAGACCTTGAAGTGCGCTTTGTGTGTAAACAATGGCATCCTCTTTGGGCATCAGTGAGGCGCATGAAGCGTGCAGTGCTGCAGGAGCCAGAGCTGCATGCATTACCCATGGTTCCTCAAATCCGATAGCGAACACAAAGGACACATCCCGAAACTCGGAGGTGGCATCAGGCGTTGTCAATAGCGGAATGAATCTCGCCGAAGCGTACTGAAACACGTGCCAATCCCGTTCGTTGTTCAACGCTGCGGATCGGAGACTCACGGTGGTGCAACATGGGGACGGTAATGGCAGATCGGCCAAGGTGACTGTCGATGCAGGAGAGATATATTGCGCGCTTGGTGGCGGGCTCTCTGTAATGCTCAGTCGCCGCGATGACTCCGCGAAGCTGCAATGAAGGTTCAGCTTCGAGCAGGCGCCACATCTCGGTTTCTTCTCATCGCATTTCTTCCGACGTTCACGGCACTGACTCAACAATTAGCCGACACAGGGCGCATTGACCGGGATGAAAGCGAACCTTGTGGCAACCAGTTTTCGTGCGTAGTTTTGGCGGAGGTCGTGGCTGTCGCTGAGGCTTGATAGAATCCATTGCTGCAATGCATAACGATGAAAGACCTGATCAAACCCCGATTCATGATTGACGGGACGCTCATCGGAGTCCGTGTTCGAGAAGAATGGTAGATCGAAGTCATCCAGAACCATGAGGAGGGTTGGTCACTTAGAATTGAGATAGCTACGGTACGAGTTACCTTGCAAGTGACGCGTATCGAGGAAGCGAAGGGTTACCTGTAGTCCGGCAATCGAAGAAAGTCATCTCGTCTGGCAGGAAATCACCGCCCAAAGAACGCATAATAGCAGTGTCAGACAACGGACTTTCGAAAGACAAGCGCAGCCGACCACCTTGGTACAGAGTGTCAAACGCATCAACGGCCACTTGCGAAGTGATTTGAGAAGTGTTCAGTGTCTGGATCTCACCCTGGGCCACGCTTCGTGCCTTTATGCATACTGGCTGATGCTGGAACAACTTCAACTACAATGTCTTCTCGCTGTATCAAAGCTGTCTGCATTTCAACTCGTGAAGCCAATAAGCCCGTTGCTGAGCATGGTTTCGGCGCGCATTGGCTCCCTTTTGTCTAACACTGTCTATCATCAAGGTCATACAATGTTCACTCTGGAATGGCTTCATCTCCAGTGACACCTGCCGTCACACAAAAAATAGCCTCTTCTTAAATGTATGTTCATGTCGAAGAGAATGTCGTGAAATTGCTCCAGAGGTCACCCATAACCTCGATTCGTAGTGTTCCTTTGTACTCCGATCCGGTCCCGAACGCCTGCCTCATATTCATTGCTCAAGTTTATACTGCTGATTGTTCGAAGCATCGAGGTAATCCATGGGCAATACGTGCTGAATGGGTTGCATATTGCTCAGTCCTGTCCCTGCGCCAGTCTCATCCATGACATGGTCGTGTGTCATCATACCACCGTTCGTGTCATTCATGAACTGATGTTCTGGGGGCTGATGATTGAAGTCGTGCGGGTCATGTGGCTGTAAATGTGGAGCGTCGAATTGTGCCAGCCCAGCTTGAACAAACGCGTGAGGATTTTGATCGTATTCAGAAGCCATTGCCTGAATTTGCTCCATGATCTGCGGGTCAATTGCCATGTCATCGTAGGGGTTCAAATGTGTATCGGGATGTAAATGCGCATCAGGGTTCAAATGTGTGTCGGGATGTAAATGTAAATCAGGGTTCAGATGTGCATCAAGGTGGCCGTTCGGATCATTGAGATGGTCGTTACCCAGATCCATCGGTTGCTGCATCGATGCGAAGTCGTGGTTAGATATGTGGTTGGTAGTGAGATCCTCCTGTGGCGCCGTTGGCACTTCGGTGGGAGGCTGAGCAGACGGAGGAGCAGGAGGCGGTGGTGGCGCCGCCTCCGCTGGTAACGTCGCCGGAGCTTCATCGATGGTCTTGCTTCGGCCTCTGTTTTCGGTCCGTAGGAGAGGAGGTTTGTTCACGTCCTTGCAGTCGGGACAATTCTTGATCACGTGGCTGACAGTCTCCTTTATCCGGATCCAGTGGTATTTGGTGGCTATGATGGCAGTGGTCTTGTTGATTCCTCCATGCGCTTGAAGATGGATCTGTTTTGCGATTTCATATTGCGCCTGCGGGTCCGATATCACCTCCTTGTCCTTCAAAAACAACTTCTCGGGGACTCCATCTTCACCTCCCACCAATTTGTAGTGTGTAGCGGCACTCCTTAGTCGGCTTTTCTCGGATCTGTCGGCGCCTTGCGGGTATAAAAGATGTCTCAAATAGTATCGGATTTTGTCAAACCGCTCCTCTGATTGGTCATTCTCGCCGTCGGCCTTCAAGTCCTTTCCGTAGATGATCGCGTCAACGGGCTCAATAGACGACTGCAGGTGACCGCAACCGGGTACTCTGCCAATCCGTTTGAAGCCAAGAGAATCCCATATCCTGGTAGAAGCAGTGTTGGATTCGTAAACCAAGTTGAAGACGGAATATGTGTAGCCCTGGCGCGTGTCAACAATAGCCCCACCATAGCAATGCCTGCATCATCGTCGCAACCTACCAGTTGAGGTGCCCAGTCCAGATAGCACTGTCCCATTGATTTCCCTACGCCCTTGTTTCGAGCGGCTGGAGTCACCAAGAACCCACCATTGCAAACATGGCTGCTGCGACCAGGATAGTTGGGCTTGACATAAAAACTTCCGAGGCAGATTTTATTCCAGTCGGCACCATTGCGATCTAACTCCTGGACGCCTTCGATACCACCAATATCTCCCAGGATCATGACCGCTCCGAAATTACCAAACCAGTACGGTCCGAAAGTTTCCAGTGGCAGAGGATTGATCATCGGATAAGTATCTCCGCTTTCGATCTCCTTGTTCAGGTTTTCCGAAAGGTAAGCCAAGAGGCTCTTGGGTACGGCCTCTGGTGAGAAGAAGGGGACTAAGGTAGCAATAGTAACGCGATCCCGAAGTGTGACAGGCCTTGGGAATATGGAGGATGGAATTTGCGGATTATCTGGGGTCGGATACGGGCCCTGCCCAGATTGCCGATAAATCACGGCCGACTCTGGGTCCTCCAACAGGGCCGGCATGTTGGACCATCAACCGCGGATTGGGAAGGGTGATGACGCGAGGTCAGAGATATCGTCTTGCGTTCAATGCGCCGGTACGAAAATGCTGGCTCTTTCGGGACTGTAAGGAAGTGAAAAATGAGAAAGGCCAGGCGTTCGGGCACTTTTGACGAGGACTACCGGCACGTGATCTTTGCTTGGCAGTCTAGGCGGTTTTGGGCAGTCCCAAGCAACATCTGCTGGTTCGCGAAATAATCAGGTACCTCTAGCACCTCTATGTATGTAGGTACTTCCCTGCCTTGTCCTTGGTCTCGCAAGAAAGGGTCGGTTACTGACGCTGTTGTCCTCAATCTAACCCGAGGACAGTACGCATCTTATCCATACGAGTTATCATCCTCAATACTCCGTACCTTACTCGTAGGTACTCGATAACATATCACCCGCAATATCCCTGTGGATTGGCGACGGCCGGCGTCAGACAGCGCCTCTTTTCCATTAGCCGATTCGCTTATCAGTTTGGCGGACTGGGCAAAACAGTGATCAGCTAGGCGACGAGGCGATCACAAAACTTGGTCTACCCGTAAAGCAGAAAGACATTAACAACCCCTCGCATCCAGCCTCACACCCCGCTGCCGCGCCATTGGTTCCGCCCATTTGTCTGGGGCCAGTAACGATGATTTCAGCCCGTGCATGTGAGTAGGGCGAGGAATAGTGATCGCCCAGCCAGGCCCAATGTGCAGCGACAGTGAATGCATCTGTGTATTTCGTGACGGTCGTCGTAGTATTTCTGAATGGGGACCGTTACATGGAACGCCGTGGGGTTCAATATGCAACAACTGCCCGATTTGGTGAGTCGTTACAGGTTTGCTGCGGCAAGCCTCTGGTGAACGCAGTTGGTCTGTTGCAGCTTCGGTGGGAGTCGCCAATGAAGCCTTTTCATAGTTCCTCCTGTTGCGAAGTATGGCAATCGGCGTGCTCGCGCAATACTGACGAAATATGGCTCGATGTCGAAGGGTGGGCAGTCGTCGATCGAGTGTTGTGCAGCACGCTAGGTGCAAATTGCGGTTTCCGGATGGTAATTCCTAGCTCGTGCAGAGATCACTTATACAACTGACGTCGACCGCATGGATGAGGTGATGTATTCGGTGGGTCTCTCGAAGAAACAACGCTGTGCCAACGCGATACTGTCAGAGTTGATGTGTCCGGGGTAGGTCGAAATCCAAACCAGAACCCTGGCTATGGTGAGGCCATCACTTTTCATACTCTTTCATGCTCCATCGTTTAGAGCCTGACATGTAGGTCGGCACCCCAACGTACATGTCGTTGTCCTTGAATTGTGGAAGGGCTGACAGATCGCCGTTGTTGTTGCTGTGGTAGGCGGGAGCAACTGGGCTCGACATGTCGTGGGACTTCACCCCTGGAGACTCACTGCCTATTTCCGTTGTGGCTCGAGAATAACCATTTTTGCCAGCCAATGGATCGACAGCATAACGATCCGTTCTGGTCTCCTCATATGGACGGCCAGCTTGGAAAGCATCCTTCTCCTCGGCATCAGAGGGCGGCCCGGGAAGCGCCTCGGGGGCATTCCTGTTTCGTCGACGTCGTGAACAGCGTAGACCCAGGAAAAATGATACAATAATGAGTCCGAGTACACCTATCGCAACACCAACACCAATCCCAGCTTTGGCTTCCGAAGATAGTGATCCGGATGGCGACGAGGAAGACGATGAGGACACACCGGTTGCAGCTGCTGTAGGAGCCAAGATTGAAGTCGAATCCGTTGTGCTCGTGTCGCTGATGGTTACACTACTGGTGCTGGAGGAGCTGATGATTTCGATTGGTGGAGTTGTCGACACGACAAGCGGAATGCTTGAAGTAGCTGATGGGGTGACTGGGTTTGTCGTTGCTGCTTCGGAAGCGACGGCTGCAGGAGTGGTCTGTGGTAGATGTTAGCTTCAGAATGGAACTGCTGCAAGGCATTGTGTCTGTGGTGATGAGAGCCATTTGGAACTGAGGACGTTTTCATCCATGGATAGATGCATGCACTGTACACCAGCAACATCCGCGACAAACCAAGACTCAAGAAGAACTTACCGCTGCGATTGGTTCAGGACCGAACACTGTCGAGTATCCAATGGTACTGACGACTACTTGCGTAGTCGTCAAAGAGATTGTGGAGATAATAGTACTTGTGCTGGAACCAGCGATCACTCCGCCAGGCGAAGTTACGATCGTCTGCTGACCGTCGATTGTAGTTGTGATTGTTGATATCGCATTCTGGTCATCGGTAGCAGGGACAACGGAGTAAACAGTGACGAGAGATGGCAGAACCGTTGAGATCGTGGTGGTGGTGACAATGGGGTCGGTCGCAACAGGAACTGAGGGCAAGGCATTGCAACTCGAAATCCATACGCTCAATGCCACTGCCCAAAGGGCTTTACGAGGGCTCATCGCGCCCAAGGCACGGTAGAAGTTCCAAACAGTCGCGTAGAAATTATGGGAGCACAAGAAGCAAGGGATTATTGAGGGCGAAAGTACAAGTTCTCAGGTGGAAAGCGAGGAACGATCGACCTTACCCTTGTTGTCTGATGAGCAACACCCTTTTCTTCGGGCCATCACGCTACGCGTAGGGGAAGACGGAAGTCTCGCGTGAGGTTTTCCCAACAGCCACAAAAGTTCCTTACCAGTATAGCGTTGTGCGTTTGCGGTTAAAGGGTCGATAGAAAGTGAGATGGGAGGAAAAAGGTGATGAGGTTTTGAGAGAAGGCTGAAGACGACAGCATATCATTGGTCTGCTAATGTCCACATTATTCCGCTTTTGGAACGCGTCGGAGATTGGATTCTTGACCATCTTGACCATCTTGACCACTTCCCCGGCGCCATCACATGCTCAGATGCATTCGAAGACGCCGTTAGCATCTCATGTGCAAGTTTGAATTATGAAATGCGAGCAGGCAGCAATGTTGACCTCAAGCTCACAGTGGCATCCACAACTACATATCGAACAGATTCCTGCAGTAGTAACGGATCATCCGCCAGAATCTGTCCGGAAATTCCGGCTTTCATTTGCAGACCGAGTCACTGGACTTGACCCTTGCCTTCAACAAGAAGCGCTCCATTCTCAAACAAGAACCCTTCCCGGCGTATCTGTTGCCGAACACTCCGCCATCGTTATGCTGCGCAGAACTTGATATAGCCCGAACGAGATGCACGTAGACCGCCTCTTGGATCTTCACACCAGCCATTGACCACGCTGGAGGTCAGTTTAGAGGCGAGCCTTGCTGGTGGCATCACATATCCTTATTTAGGCCGTTGTGGTTTCTGCTTGTTTGCAGTGTTGGAGAGGGCCCGGATCTGGTGACCTGACCCTCGCAGCAGGAGCCAGCATCCATCGCCGCCATCGTATGGGCCGAACCCGGCTGAATGCACAATAGTTCTCTTCACCGCGCAAGGATGATGCTGATTGAAAGTGATGGAACAGTGCCCAGTACGGCGGTGTGGAGAATATGCTTCACTTCCCCAGGTCGACCCTCTCAAGAGTTCTCTCAACAATTGGCAGGAGATCTGGCATCTGGTTTGCGTCCCGAAGCACAGCTGCAACGTCGTCTCTCCTCGATGCTAGCGCGTCACGGACTTTATCGTATGATTCTTCTCTGGCGATGTACTCCCTGATAACCTCCTTCTTTCCAAAGTCGACATAAACCCTCGTATCCCGCAGTCTGAGCATGACATTATCGAGCCTCATGAAGAACCGACAAAGCAGGAGCAATCGGGCGGGCATGACACGAATCTTGCAAGAGAGCATTGTAATGCCGTTGTCGGCAAGCTCATCCTCATAAAGTATCACATCGTCGAAGAACAATATTGGATCTGGCCTCTTCAGCAATTCCAACGGAATTGGTTCGGCACCTTCCTGAAATCGAGGGCTTTCGGGAGGGTGATCACCCTTGTAGTCAGTCGTGTAAGACCAGTCAAATGGTTTGACCACTTCCTTGATGTCGTGCGAGTCTTCTCTGCTCTGCTGCCATTCCTTGGAATATGCCACTTTGAGCCTCTGTTCTCCCGTCTTGTCGACCCGGTCCAAAGCCCCGAATGCGTCAAACTTGATGCCCCAATGTGACTGTGGATGCTCAATCGCCACGAAGTTGTCCCCGAAGATCATCTCAGGAGGAGCGATTCCCAGCTTGCTTGTCATCTCTTCAATTGGACCGGCCTTCAAGATTGGTAGTTTCTGGGTTGTGATAACAAATCCCTCGATCGAGAACGATCGCGGAGGAGCCGTCGTGGAGGAGGGATAGTTGGTGTCGATGGCATCACTCGTTCGGTGGCCATTGAGGGCCATGTTGACGAGCCAGGCCCGACGATGCCTTGAGCGTACTGATGCCGACCAGAATGGGGTTCGAACTGGATTGCAGATTATGTGTTTCCAGTTGGCTTGTCACTTAAACAACGATCCCCGCCGTGCCCGCACTTATTGAATTGCATTTGGTGGTATGACTGCTGTACCCTACACCGTACCTGCGGTTTGGTTGCTGGGCGACCAGTGTTTGACTCGGCTTCCAGGCGATCGCCAGCGACGGCGTCTTTCGAGGCTCGACAACAATAACCAAACGCTCACTGTCTTGACACCTGCGATCTAACTACTATCCTCCCAAGATGGCAACAAAAGCACTAGAGGCTCGCTTCGAGCACCTCACAGTCAACGACGAGAATGAAGCACCCACCAGTACCACGCTGAAGTCCAAGGTACTTTCCTCACTCTGGTTGCGACTATCACTTTACTGACAAACATTAACAGACAGCACCTACAGGCACCATAGCCACTCTTCCTTCAAGTCAAGCCAGAGCAAACCTCGTTAAATACGCTCTCCAAGCCACGAATGAATCGAGACAGAATGCAGCTCAGGTCACAACGATCACAACAACCACAACCGTGCCAACTCTCCCTCCTTCGCCAGTACGAAAGATCGCACAACCGTCGCGCGCCTCCGAGGAGCATAATGATAAACAGTCCGCAAACTTCTTCGACCAGCCACAAGCTCCCAAACAATTCCACCTGGGCATGTTTGAGATTGGGAAGCCATTGGGAAAGGGAAAGTTTGGTCGAGTATATCTTGCCAAAGAGAGGTCTTCTGGTTGGATTTGCGCGCTGAAAGTCCTCCACAAATCAGAACTGCAGCAGGGAAAAGTTGAGAAACAAGTCCGTCGAGAGATTGAAATACAATCTAACCTGAGGCACCCCAACGTTCTGAGGTTGTACGGCCATTTTCACGACAGCAAGAGAGTATTCCTGATCCTGGAATTTGCGGGCAAAGGGGAGCTTTACAAGCATCTTCGCAAAGAACATAGGTTTCCAGAGTGGAAGGCGGCGCAGTACATTGCTCAAATGGCTGCGGCACTTAAATACCTGCACAGCAAGCATGTTATGCATCGAGATATAAAGCCTGAGAATATCCTGGTCGGAGTTCATGGCGAGATCAAAATCTCAGACTTCGGTTGGTCAGTCCATGCACCAAACAACCGGAGACAGACAATGTGCGGCACCCTGGATTATCTCCCCCCGGAAATGCTCAAGCCAGGCAGCTCCGACAACTTCTATAACGAGAAAGTCGACCTTTGGAGCTTGGGGGTCCTCACCTATGAGTTCCTGGTCGGAGAAGCGCCATTTGAAGACACACCGATCATGACACAGCGCAGAATCGCACGAGGCGACATGACGGTGCCGAGCTTTGTGAGCGCGGAGGCGAAAGACCTGATACACAGAGTAAGCCACATTGGCGTCTTGACTTTGGTCGCAGCTAATGAGTCTCTAGCTTCTTGTTCTTGATCCCGAAAAGAGGATAGCTCTTGACGAAGTCCTTCGACACCCCTGGATCATCAAACACTGCCTGACCAAGGGTGGTGAGAGAGGAGCGCAAAGAGCCTCTGGCAGCAGCAGAAGCAGCTCCGGATCATGACAGAAACCAGTATACGATTTTTTTGTTGTTGCTGTGTGGCGTCTTGACAAGGCTATGGCGTATTTATTTTGGCGGCTTTGGTGGCATATGCGAGTATTTGACCGCAACGAGAGAATCTGAAAACGGCTTGATGGGTTTCTGGAGCGAGGAGTTGCAATGATCATCAATACTATGGTTCATAGTCATGAAGAGAAGACGTGTAGACAGATCTTGTCCGGCCTTCTAATATTTTGATTCCCTCAAAGTCGATGATTGGCAGTGTATCTCATCCGACTTCGGTACGACCAATGACGAAATATTTGTTCTCCGTATCGCCAATTGTTGATCATGCACGTAGCTATGGCTTCATTGCTCTTACAAACATACATATGCCTTTTGCATGCAACGATAACGGGATATCTTTGACACAAGATTCCCATCTCCAGTCTCGGACAAAGCTGAGGTGTCGACTGTGGGCATAATAATATTGTGCAAGATCTCTGGAGCGGACTTCTCCATCGGGCGACGGTCTGCTTTGAAATTCGAGGTCTTTCAGTCTTTCAGTCTCAAGATATTTGGCTGAAACAGTGTTTTGGTATTTCGACTCGTGCAGGATTGCCACAATGGGGGACGCCGGAGGCGAAGCGAGAGGCATTCGTATTGCCATAGACGTAAGTCCGGCAATCTAACATATCTTCAATCTTCGGGGTCTGACCCCAAACAGCGTGGTGGCACATTCACCGACTGTGTCGGAAACCCAGGTACCGGGCGTATGGAAGATGACATTATCATCAAGCTTTTATCAGAAGATCCGTCGAACTATGATGATGCGCCGCTGGAAGGAATTCGACGACTCATGGAGAAGTTCACCGAGAGGGAGATCCCCCGAGGAGAAGCACTGGATACCTCCAAGATTGAGAGCATCCGGATGGGTACGACTGTGGCCACCAATGCTTTGCTCGAGCGAAAAGGCGAGAAGATGGCTATGGTAGTCACTCGTGGGTTCAAAGATTGCTTGGAGATTGGAAACCAGTCCAGGCCCAAGATCTTCGACCTGGCTATCCGTCGGCCGGATGTACTCTACCAAAAAGTCGTGGAGATTGACGAACGAGTGACCCTCGAAGATTATGCGGAGGATCCGCAGCGGAACCAAACGAAGGCTGACGCCAAGCATGAGGACTACAAGACCAATGATCTTGTCCAAGGTCTATCCGGCGAGGCTGTGCGGATATTGAGAAGACCCGAAGAAGACAAGATTAAGGAGTCGCTGAAGGGACTGTTTGAAGACGGCTTCCGAAGTATTGCAGTGTGCTTGATGCATGCTTACACATTCCCCGACCATGAAGCATTGGTAGGCAAGCTCGCAAAGGAGATTGGGTTCCAACATGTGAGCTTGAGCCACGAGTTGATGCCTATGATCAAGCTCGTGCCCAGAGCCACTTCAGCATGTGCTGATGCTTACCTCACCCCTGCGATCAAGAAATACATTTCCGGTTTCCAGGCTGGGTTTGAAGGCGGCCTGGGAACAGAGAGCGTCAAGAACGAGGAAGGTAGCAAAGGAGCTAGATGCGAATTCATGCAATCTGATGGTGGTCTCGTGGACGTGGACAAATTTTCAGGCTTAAGGGCCATCTTGTCCGGTCCAGCCGGAGGGGTGGTCGGGTATGCCTTGACGTCCTATGATCCGGAGACAAAGACGCCCGTCATCGGCTTCGACATGGGTGGTACAAGTACAGACGTAAGCAGGTACGGCCAGGGCCGATACGAGCACGTCTTCGAAACTACCACAGCTGGCGTCACCATCCAATCCCCTCAACTGGATATCAACACTGTGGCCGCAGGCGGTGGATCCCGCTTGTTCTTCAGAAACGGTCTTTTCGTGGTAGGTCCAGAATCAGCTGGGGCCCATCCCGGGCCTGCGTGTTACAGAAAAGGAGGACCATTGACAGTCACCGACGCCAATCTCTTCCTCGGCCGCCTTCTCCCAGACTTCTTCCCCAAAATCTTCGGCAAGCACGAAAACGAAGGCCTCGAACCCGAAGCGAGTAAGAAACTGTTTGAAGAATTAACCAAGGAAATCAACAGCCAGACAGACAAGAATATGTCGCCAGATGAAGTCGCGTACGGCTTCATCAAGATTGCCAACGAGACCATGACTCGACCCATCAGATCACTCACAGAGGCTAAAGGCCACGACACCGCGCAACATCGCCTCGCCACGTTCGGCGGCGCCGGCGGCCAACATGCCGTCGCTATCGCAGAGTCCCTGGGCATCCGCCAGATTCTAGTCCACCGATACTCCTCCGTCCTGTCAGCCTACGGCATGGCGCTAGCCGATGTCGTCGACGAAAGCCAAATCCCCGAATCACACGTGTGGGACATGAACGGCGGCAAACGCGAAGGCCTCCAGTGCAAGATGAATGACCTGAAAGAACGCTCACGCAAACACCTCAAGGACCAAGGCTTCTCTGACGACTCGATCGAGTACGAAGAATATCTCAACATGCGATATCGGGGCACCGAATCCGCTCTGATGGTCATCAAGCCGACCGCCGACGAGGCCAAGGAGCTGTACGATGGCGACGACTGGGCCTTTGGCTCCGCCTTTGTCCGCCAGCACGAGCAAGAATTCGGCTTTACCCTACCAGACCGAGACATCATTGTCGACGACGTGCGCGTGCGTGGCATCGGCAAGTCCTTCCGCGGCATGTCCAAGACACCGGACCAGCAACTCAAAGAGGTCAAGCCGAAGGACGTCGTCGAGGGCAAAGCATACGCCACCTCCAAGGTATACTTCGAAGGCGGAAGGGTAGACACAAAGATCTACAAACTCGAGGACCTGGACGTGGGCACGCGGGTGGAGGGGCCCGCCATCATCGCCGACGGCACGCAGACTATTGTTGTCACGCCGGGCGCGAGCGCGCTGATCATCGAGACACACGTGGTCATCAACATCGGTGAGGAGGGAACCGGCAAAAAGGCCAACGCCAAGGAAATCGACCCGATTCTGCTGTCCATTTTCGCACATCGCTTCATGGCCATCGCTGAACAGATGGGCCGTGCCCTGCAAAAGACCAGCGTTTCCACCAACGTCAAAGAACGTCTGGACTACTCGTGCGCGCTGTTCGACAGTGACGGCGGACTGGTAGCCAACGCTCCCCATCTCCCTGTGCACTTGGGCAGTATGTCAACTTGCGTCCGCACACAGGCTGAGATCTGGAAAGGTAAGCTGAAGAAGGGCGACGTGATTGTGTCGAACCACCCCGAATACGGCGGCACACATTTACCCGATATCACGGTCGTCACGCCCGCATTCAGTCCTTCCGGCGAGATTATATTCTACGTCGCCAGCCGAGCGCACCATGCGGACATTGGCGGGATCCTACCAGGCTCAATGCCTCCGCACAGTCGGGAACTGTTCCAGGAAGGTGCGGCCATCAAGTCTGAGAAACTCGTGTCCGAAGGCAAATTTGATGAGAAGCGTATCACCGAGCTTCTGTACGACGAGCCAGCGCAGTACCCGGACTGCAGTGGCACGAGATGTTTGGCGGATAACTTGAACGATCTCAAGGCACAGATCGCGGCGAATCAGAAGGGGATCAATCTAATCAGTACGCTAATTGAAGATTATGGTGAGGATGTCGTGCAGTTTTATATGGGCAATATCCAGGACAACGCGGAGCAGTCGGTCCGGAATCTGCTCAAAGAGGTGAGTAAGCGGTTCGAGGGCCAGGATCTACAGGCGACCGATTATATGGATGACGGTAGCCCGATCTGTTTGCGCATTACCATCGATGGAGAGAAAGGTGAGGCGAAGTTCGATTTCGAGGGAACTGGACCAGAGGTGTACGGCAATATCAATGCACCGGAAGCAGTGACTTATTCGGCCATCATTTACTGCCTGAGGTGTCTGGTTGATCAGGATATTCCGCTCAACCAGGGATGTCTGAAGCCCGTGGACGTTCGCATTCCGCAAGGCTGCTTCCTGAGTCCGAGCGAGAAAGCCGCCGTTGTCGGTGGTAACGTCTTGACGAGTCAGCGTGTCACTGATGTGGTCTTCAAATGTTTTGAGGCCTGTGCGGCAAGTCAAGGGGACTGCAACAATTTGACCTTCGGGTTTGGTGGAAATCTCAAGACTGGGACCGAGGAGAAGGGATTTGGATACTACGAAACAATTGCTGGTGGTAGTGGTGCTGGTAAGGATTGGGAAGGAACCAGTGGTGTTCATACCCACATGACAAACACTAGGATCACAGATGCGGAAGTGTTTGAGAGGAGATACCCTGTGATACTGAGGGAGTTCAGCTTGCGAGCTGGAAGCGGTGGCGTTGGACAGCACAAAGGTGGCGACGGCGTTATTCGTGACATCGAGTTCCGAATTCCCGTGCAAGTGAGTATTCTCAGCGAGAGGAGAGTGTATCGGCCTTACGGTCTGCATGGCGGTGGTGATGCTCAATGTGGTAAGAACATTTGGGTGAGAAAGGTGAAGAAGGTCAAAAGCAAAGGATCGGGCGGCGAACATGAAGGCAAAAGAAGAGAGGATGGTGAAGCCGACGGAGATGAATACAGACATATCAGCCTGGGAGCGAAAAACACCGCTTCTATGCAGCCTGGTGAGAGGATCATTGTGGTAAGTCCTGCCTGACAGACCCGATCGTGGACCTCAGCTGACAGTCTCGTTTCTCAGATGACACCCGGAGGGGGCGGCTATGGTAAAATTGGTGAGAAGTCGCAGGTTGAACGCAGAGAAGACCATGAGAAGCACTGGAAGAAGGGCAGTTTGGCTTCCAGACTTGCTGAATGGGAGAGTAGCTCATGACCCTTCTGAGCGCATGCCGGTCTGCCTGCAAAGATATAGCTGTCCCGTTATTGTCAGTAGGACAACATGCTGAAAGCTGTGTGGACACATACCGCTCGAGCAATTGATGTACTCAACAGGGTACTTCGAAATCTGTCGACCTTGGGACACATTGGTCTTGCACGCCGGTTGCCTGAAGCCCTTCATTCCCTTATTCGTTGTGGGTGAACATGGCTGCTTCGTGCAGTCATGGTCGAAGATATACCTATTCTTCTTCATCACTGGTGGCTTCGATGTTGGCTTTCTTGTCTGTCTCTTCATCCTCCTGTGGTTCACCACTGCGGTCGTCTTCAACGGGAGCACTTCCATCATACTTCGGCCGTGACACTTTTTCTCCGTGATTTCGTAGTAGTCCTTCAATTTGAGGCATGGCGTCAATGAGTGCAGAGTATTGTTCGACTGTCAGAGAGATACCCTTTGAATCAATTAGCGAGGGATGTGGAAGCTGAACAATGAAAGAGGCTGACCTTCTTTCCTGGTAGCCACTCGCTGTCTCTCTGATAATATTCTCGGATGTTCACGAGTGTCGTGCCTTTGTAATCGGATATTGTGACCCGTCTGCCCCTCGAGAGTTCCCAATATTGGTTTCCTTCCGAGTCTGTTTGTGGTTTGTTTGAGGGTATGAATGCAGCACCAGAAGCACCTTTGCCGCGTTTCGTCGCTACCTCTGCCTCGACGTCACTATCGTCGCGGACAATGGAGGAGGATTTGCGCTTCTTGGAAAGGGGGGGCATTTCGGCTGGCAGATATAGCGGATTTGAGGTTCTTAGGCACTAGGGAGCAGGGCAGTAACAATAATACAGTGATTGTCGTCGACTCGTCCAGCGGCCTCGAACGCGTCCAATGTCCATTGCACTTTCCCCGACGTGAAACTCCACGTTGGAGAGACGAATTGATGTCATTTCAATCTAGAAGGGTCTTCTAGCTGGATGTAGACTAGCGCAATAATCACGTGCCTCTGACGAAAGACCGAGGGGTCCGACTTTGCCTTCAATCATTTAATCTGCATCCTACATCTTTCCCACGTACGATACTCAACAAACCTACACTCAACTCTACACGATCGAATCAACCTCCTAAACCATCGATTGAGACTTTGCTACCTATCGCAACAAACCAGACCACACGCAAGATGTCACGACGAGCTCTCCTGAGCGTCCCTCGCGCAATCAGCGCCTCGGTCCAATGCTCCGTTCGACCTACTTTCGCCTCCCGCACACCTCTTCTCAGACCTGTTATTACACAACCGACACAGAGGAGATCATATCATGAAAAGGTGTTGGATCACTACTCGAACCCACGAAATGTTGGATCCATGGACAAGAATGCAGACGATGTTGGTACAGGTGAGTCAAAATTCGCCGTCAACCTTCTATCTCCGAAGTTCGCTCCACGGACAATCCGACCTTCGGAACCGGCCACCACAAATGCTGACGCCTTTCCAGGTCTCGTTGGTGCCCCCGCCTGCGGTGATGTGATGAAGTTGCAAATCAAGGTCGACCCAGATACGCAGAAAATCTCCGAAGTCAAGTTTAAAACCTTTGGCTGCGGTTCGGCCATCGCTTCGTCATCATACCTCACAGAGCTCGTCCGGGGCATGACCCTTGAACAAGCGGGCAAGGTGAGAAATACAGAGATTGCGAAGGAGTTATGCTTGCCCCCAGTCAAGCTTCACTGCTCTATGTTGGCTGAGGATGCTATCAAGTCAGCCATCAGTAAGTCAAGCACAGACTTATCTCTGTTCAATATACTGACTTGACCAGGCAACTACTACACCAAGAATCCTAACGCCAGGCAGACCGACTTGGGCAGTGCGTCAGCAAGCATGCCGAAGATCGAAATTGAAAAGGTTACTTCGACGACAGATACCGGAGCGAGCGCCACTGCATAAAATGCCAACCGAAATAGGTGGATGGTGGAGGAAAATATTGTGTGAATATACCCTCAACGAATGCAAATTGTCTGGGACGGACGGCGTTTGGGCAGGACGTTGTACATTGCGCTTGCAACATTTCTTCACTCGCTCGTCGATTCCGATTCCCCCATGCGTATTGGAAATGATGTGGATACATAAGTGATCCAGTGGTCGTCGGTTGGAGGAAGCAAGGTTGAAAATTGCAGGACCAGTGATCCGCATCTCCACGATTCCAGGGTTCCATGGCCGAAGTTAGCTGTTATGGGGGCCCTGGAGTTCGTGTTGAGTTTGTCCTCGGACAGTGTGGTTTCAGTCTTCTTTCCTAGTTACAGAAGCCTGTCTTTATTTGTAACCAATGCAAAGTCATTTTCGCGCTGATTGTCTTTCCTGATGTGCTCATTCACGATCTTGGCGTATTGATAGGCCCATCAAGGCATTACTAAAGGTATGCGACGTAATGTCTCACTAACTCAAGTAAATGTTAAAACAGATTAGAAGCAGAAGAAGTTGGATGTTTTGGATGTTTCATGGTCAGGCCGTTGATCGCATTGAAGTAATTAACTATTAGTTTGATGATATAAGTAGAAAAAAAGAGTCTCAACTCTAGATCATCATCGCGGCTCCAGCTGCAACAATCATTCCCAGGCCTGATACGCCCTTCAACGCCGAAGCGCCGCCAGTGTAGGTGACCACCGCAGGCACAGTCGACGAGGCCACTGAGGGAGTCGTGGTCGAAACTGTCGTTGCTGGTACGACCACCGTGCTGGTGCTGATGCTGGCCGACGACGATCCCCAAGGCTGTGTCCAGCTCGAAGATGCAGCTGTAGATGCAGGCGTGCTGACCGACGTGGTCCACGCACCACTCGTCGTCGTGGTCACCGTCTTCGTCGATTTCGTGCTTGTACCGGTGGTGGTGGTGGTCACGGGCGTTGAGCTAGCTGGTTTGGTCGTGGTCGTAGTGGTTGTGCTGCTACTCCCACCACCACCAATCTTCAACCCATCAATCGCCTCACAATCAGCAATGCCCGCGCCCACAGGCATAGCACTGGTGAACCCTCCAACGACAGTGCCCTTGGTCATCCCATACGGACTGGTCGCATTGACACTGCACACCCACCAACTCTCCACAGCATCGAAATTCACGTTCCCTTGAGGGTCCAGCGTCGCCGTGATCGGATAGTTGGCATTCGTGGCGGCGCCGCACTCCAAGGGTCCGCCTGTGCCGTTACCAATGCTATCTTCGTCGATGATATAGCACGGCAGGGACTGTCCGGACACGATGCTCCAGTCCATGTACATCTTGCTGGTGAGGTTGTAGGTGAAGCCATCGCCACTGGCGGACAGAGATGACCCGGTGCGCTGGGAGAGGGCGACTTGGTAGGACTGTGCTGCGCCGACGTGTTGGCCTGCGATGGCTTGACCGTCATATGTGCCGCCCTGGATGGTGATGGGTGCTTGCGCGAGGACCGTTGTGCTGATGCTGGCCAGGCTGAGGGCCGCGACGATGGGGAGGTTCTTGAGGGTCATCTTGTTGTATTGTCTTGTGTCCTGCGTATGTGGGGACAGCACGAAGGATTGTCTTGCGAGCGAGTGTAAGGGGATAAACGAAAGCTTTTCTTGAAGATGGAAGCGAGCGAGTGTGTTTGAAGCTGGTCTGGTCTTCCTGTTGACAGGGGTAGGGAATAACCATTATATACACCAGGTAGCTTACCTTGTATACGTACTAGTACTTTCAAATTGTCTGAGACCGTTGACTTCGCGGTGTCCTTCTTGCCAAAATCTCCGACTGCATCTCAATGGCTGAGCTGAAACTTGCGCACTCGATGGCACCAAAATAGCAGCTTCACCTAGAATCACCTAGAGACTAGGGGTTGCCAGTGTAGCAATGAGTGACTATTTGAGCCAAAAATGATGCTTGCGTCGCAGCGAGCAACGGATAGGCTCAAAGGGTAGTCGGTTAGGTGGTCGGGAGCGTCAGAGTAGCCGTGCTTTCATAGATCAGACTTTATTGAAGCTGGAGATCCAGCAACGAGATTTTGGAGGTTCTAGAAGGCGCCCCGGGATCTGTGACCGTTGGGGACCGTGCTTTGAAGCCGATGATACCGAAATTGGAGCTCCCGACCCGGGCGCACAGGAGTTGTGTGCAACCCTAGGGTTTTCTTTGAATTTATCTGCGGTGGCTGTGCTCGATAGTATCGCGACAAGCATCCGTATGGCGAGCACCGACCCCAGAAGCTCATCGATACCTAGGTAGCACGTGGGTAGCTATTACTGTCGCAAGGCGTCGTTCCCTCGACTTGCCAACGAACATAGAGTCCTAGTTTCGGAAGTGATGAAGTGTCTGTGCAAGGTGTGCTGCACGCACATGGAATGAGAGCAAGTTTCTACTAGTCAGGGGGGTCTCGATTTACTTGAACCACTCACAGCAGGTTGATTTGGTGACTTGTTTCATGTTCATTGCTCGGAGAAGATATGCTTGTGAATGGCTTCTCTGTGGCAGTATTATTGTGCTATTTCATGCAAGAACATGAACCCTCAGCGCAGCTTCTCAGATCTATGACACCACCTTTCGCCAGTTCGGAGCTGACGCTGCTCAATCTAATGCTATCCCACACATTTGCCTCAACTTGACGGTCGTTGGTTGGTGTGCCAACGACACGGAAGAGATCGCATCGGTCGTCGATTCTCGTTTCCTGACCTCTGTCGCCGGAGAGTCAGTCTCCAAAAGCTATCGATGCCACGACTTTTCATCTCAGGTCAGGTCGAGCAGCTGATAGCCATGCTCATAGTGGCCAGACGGGCTACTGCTCAGAGCACTCCGCAGATGGTCCATGTACATCAGTTCCGATTTCTGAGATGTTCAGGGAAAAAGAACACGACGCTAGTATTCTTCCATCATGTCCTCGTCAACATCGTCAGCTCGCGCTCCATTGGTCGTGCCATTCTTCTTGTCTTCATCCTTCATTTTCTTCAACTTCTTCAAGAAGTCGATGTACTCTTTGCTGACTTCCATTCGGTGCTCGGTATTTTGAATATGCGCTAGGAATGCTCCGAGTTCTCTTGTCTGCGAGGCCAGTACTGTCTCGACCTGAGCCTCCGACTTCTGCGAGGCAGGCAAGAAACGAAGTACTTCGCCTTTATCTGTTCCCATGATGACTGCACCCAGTTCTCCACTCACAATCAAACCTTCTAGATAGGCCTTGGTCTCATCAACATTGCTGGGAGACGGTGATGTCCTCCCCGCAACCTCGGCTACGGAAAGCGCATCGAATGTCTTGCCCATTCTCAGGATTGAAAACTTGCGGAAGGACTGGAACAACTCCACCATCAGACCGTAGTTGCCGTCTTCCTGCCAGAAGGCATTGCCCGCCTCGATCTCTGCGCGTAAACGATCGATGTTGTTTGTCTTGAAGGCATCAGCGACACATTCGTAGGGTTTGGCGATGGCTCGAATATGTCTCATGGCGGTTTGTGATGCATTCTTGGGGGCAGTCGGAGCAACACCGTCCAAAAGCAGGCCGACCAAAAGCCATTTCTTATATGCTTCGATCATGATTGAGCTGGCGACGTTTTGAAGGGTTGGAGTTGAAAGGACGACTTCGAGAAAGAAAAGAGCATCCCGGTATCGTCTCATGGCCATGTAGCACATGCCACCCAAAAGGTAATACTCCATGTAGGTTCGACTTGAGATTGGGTGTGTCAGCCCTGTCGTTGGGCTTAGGTACTTCCAGGTCGGCTGGGACGAAGAGCACATTTCTTTCGAGCCCTGGAAATCATTTTGCTGTGTTGGAATGTGGTAGATCGGTCGGTCAAGGATGTCGAGAGCTTCCGCGTATGCTTGTGCCAGCAGACACAGCCGGATGAAGGTGCGGTGAGTGGAAGTGAGGGTGGAGGAGGTCTCGTCGAGTCGTAGAATGACATGGTGTATCAGCTGTATGGCCGGCACATAGTTCAGTGTCTGTTCGGCTCCCAGCGCCACACAGTCGACCACTTTCAAGAATTGTGTTCCGCAGTATCGTATCTGTATTTGGTCGCATTCTAGAAGCAGTTGAACAATGTATGGCCATAATGATCCTTCCGGGAGGACTGCAGCAGGTAGTTGTCTCGGCACGGCTTTTCCACTGGCTGCGGACACATCGATGCCAGCTAGGAGGATATGGAGGTAGAGGACGGTGTGAGTTGAGGGTGAAAGAGTCTGGATGCGTGTCAGTATCTGAAAGGAATCCGTCAGAAACGTCATTTACATCGAGCTCGTTCTTCGCAGCGGCCAGATCCTGAGGCGAGATCTTGTTCAATTTCGAGACCAACGCGTGTGCCTGCTTGTCATATTGTTCTTCTTCAAGAGCCTCCAAGAGCAGATTGAGCGCTGTACTCTGCTCTAAGAGCTTATCCATGTTGACTATCGCGCGAGCGATGGCAGACGACGGATCGATCACGATGAGGCTGCCATGTGAGACAGACTGCACAGTGGGTTGTTTGGGGAGACTTAAGCTGGTCGCGCGGGGGACAGCGTCGGCGAGAGAGGCGGTGTTGTATTCACAGTCAGTGACTGATTCGAGAATGAAGCGATTTGAGTTCGTAGACGAGACTGATTGTCATGAAACAATAAAAGCGTTCGAATGGTGAATGTGAATGTGCTTCTCCAAACTGCGGGCGGCGCAGGCAATGCATGCCCGTTGTCACACCCGTCACCGTCATCACAAATCTATGACCCACGCGGAATGGCAGCCTTCCCCAGACGACTCTCGGCTGATACGACCAGGACCACCAAGTACTGGCTTTGCTGGATATGCTGGATATGCTGGATATCTACATGCTATGCTGTTAATTCCATATCTGATTTATTTGATCATCAACGGATGAGGTTGGAAAGCTCAACTGGGTAAACGTGCTCTCAGACACAAGTGTAATATTGCCTTGCTGTCATAGGGCCAGCAATCTCTAGACAAGGCTGCCTTAAATCATGGCCTCGATATGATACAGCTTCTTCCGTGTAGCCAGGCATTCGTGAGCATCATCAATTCATCAGATCCTTGCAGACAATAGACTAAGACAACAGGCAATCCCTCTGGTTCAACGACGCATAGGTGAACTACCGCCGGACCCTGTCAGGACCTCAACATCTTCAAAGTCCATGTCCCAGGCATCAATATCTGCCCACTTCCCTTGACTTGCCGTCATTACAGGCTTGTCTCCCGAACCGGAAGCCCGGGATCGATCTGAAGCACCTTTGTGGATTTCTTCGACGCTCGAAATTTCACCTCCAGACTCGCTTCTCAAGCCATCTTCCGGGTTGTGATTTTCCTTGTCCGGCCGGTCCTCGCCATTTTGCCGCCGTCGGTGGAAGCCACCATACGACTTTCGCTGACTTTCGATCCCCTTGGTTTCGGTCCGGTTGGAGATTTCGATAGTAGAGAGCTGTGACGGAGACTTAGTTTCGCGATTCCTTCTGGAAGATGTAGATGCAGAGGGCGTAAGAATAGGCGCGGTGTGAGTGAGATGTTCCGTACTTGATTTTGATTTTGATTTTGCCACGGCAGAAGTGCCCGGCTTCCTCGTCCTGCCAGCCTTAGTAGCACCAACAGCAGCTTTAGTCTGCCCTCTACCGGATTTGGACAAAGGCTCCTTCCGCCTTGTTTTACGACTCTTCTTCGTAGGAAGAAAGCTGGACTCGTCGTCCTGGTCGGGAATTCCGCCTCTATCTGAGTTCGGAGAGTCTGAGTCGGCCGGGATGTCAAATTGGCCAGGAGTATGAGAACGTTCTCTCGTAGTTTTTCTTCGTTTGATAGGCATCATCAACGCCCTAAGCGCCTCGGTAGTCATGGTAGTTCCTGGTTTGGCCGCTTTCTTTTTCGGTCTCCTCGTCGACTGAGGCGTTCGCACCTTGGCAGGAGACGATGATGGTGAAGAACTACTTTCCGGAGGAGCCAATATGTCATCCTTGTCTTGGACACGTTCCTGGTATTTTCTACCTGATTCTCGAAGAGTAGACACAGGCACTGGTGGGAGAGCGGGCTGTGGAGTCGCAATATGGGAGCTCATGGTTGTAAGTGGTGAGCTCGTTGGGTTTGTGGCCCCATTTGTACTGGGCTGTAGAGGATCAGACGAGCCAAATTTTCGTTTCCTCGATGATGAGGAGGGGTGTGATGAGATTGTGACTGGAGTTGCAGGAACCTGCTGAGATTTCGATATGTTGAATGGAGTCGACTCGTCATCAGGGAGGAATTGCTCTTCATCTTCAAAGTCGAAAGTCGAAGAATCGTGGCCGATATCTTGTAGAATGCTAGGTTGTCGTCTTCTCGGCTTCAAAGTACCGAGAATAGACACATCTCTCGTTGGCGTGGGCGCCGTTGTGCGCTGAACAGTGCCCGGAGCCTTGACAGCAGATGATAGTGTTGCGCTTGTTGGAGCAACCTTTTCCTGCTTCGCGCCTGTGACTTTCCTGGCCTTTCCATTTGCGAGAGGAGCATTTTCCTCCGGCAGCTTCGTGCTGGACGCGGCCAACCCAGCATCCTTCTCGGCGGAGTGTTGCGCGTTGGCAAGTATCTCTTTGGTATCCCTGAGCATGTTTTTCCTTCTCTGCGTTCTGCTGGGATATGCGCCGGGCTGGTCACCTGAAGCCACTGCGCCAGAGGCGAAGATTTCCTGCCGCGGTCGAGCTCTTCTTCCATTTCCTTTGACAACGAGCCTATCGCTGTCATCGCTATCGTTCGGTCTCTGGCCTATAGGTTTATGCGCCAGCTTTTTTTCGAGTTCTAGTTTGGCCGGGCCGCTGTTCGGGATCTTCTTACTGGCGCGGGGCGAGGGAGCATATCGGTTGAGATGCCTTCGTCTGAGCGCGGGTCGAGGCATATTGGCGAAGCATCCGAGGAGCTGCGACAGCAGCTCACAACTGTAGAGCCTCCAGCGCTTTGGACAGAAGGGAAACGCAGTATTCGGTATGCGAAAAGCTGGTGGAGGGGCAGGGTCGGTGGTAAAAAGGCAAGTGTGACGCGACCGGTGCGCGTGATGGTTTTGTTGATCGAGCGTCATGACCCCGGCCTTTCTTGGCGCTGGGCGGTACTCTTCAGAGGACAAAGGCATCATAGGGAATGTACAGCTGACACCCGTGTATACGACAACTCTTCTAGGTTCTCTACGAGACCAAATGTGTGACCAACCCGAGCTATCGATATTCGATATTACATACTCGTAGCAGAGAAGTTCGTCCTTGGTCGTCAAGGCATACTCAGCTCGACGACCTTTTATCCTTGCTGCCACAGCTTGGTCTTCTTCCCTTCAAAGGAATGCTTGTCCAACTCTGCAATCTCCTCCTTGGTCAACCTCCATCCAAGACACTGCATGTTCTCAACAGCCTGCTCCTCTTTTCTGATGCCTACCACCGGCAGCGCGCCCTTCGAAATGTTATAATTGAGCGCCACCGCAGACATACTCACGCCCCTCTTGTCCGCAATCTCCTTCTGCACCTTGTGAAGCGGTTCGATCTTCTCCATAGGGTACGAACTGAACCTGTACGTCTTTGGCGGAGGGTTATCTTTCGTATATTTACCCGTGAGCCGTCCCTGCCCAAGAGAAGAGTACGACTGGAACACGATGCCGTGGTCCTTGCACGTCTCCAGCATGCCCTCGGTCTCCGGCAGCCGGCGCAACAGTGAGTATTCGCACTGGTTCGTCGCGAGTGGAATGCCGTGCTGCGCCAACGCGTCCTTCATTTGCAGCATGTCCTCGACGGAATAGTTCGCAACGCCGACGGTCTTTGTCAGACCTTCCTCGACACAATGTGCCAGACCCTTGGCAACTTGCGAAATCGACGACATGTGCACGTGGCCATGCACCAGGTAGCAGTCGACGTAGTCAAGGTGCATCCGTGCAAGCGATTTCTTCAGTGCTTTCAAAGGTGCGTCGACCGGGTGCAGGACATTTCCCAATGCGCCGTCGGAGACGTTGGGCAACCACTTGGTCTGGACAATGATATTTTCTCGAGGTACGCCTGGACTGTGGTTGTTGACGAGATCACCGACAATCTCCTCGCTACGGCCGTCACCGTAGGCTTGTGCGGTGTCGATGAACGTTTGCTTCTGCTCTATACACTTCTTCCATGCGGCACGCACGGCAGGGAGCTCATCATCGGACCAGTGGAAGGTGGCGGTGTCGCCCCATGGCCACGCACCCCAGATCATGACTGGGATCTGTACGTCATTGCCACCTTTGCCCTTTAAGGTGAGCCGCGAATCTTCTGTGGGCGTGAATGAGTCTGGGAGGACATGTTTCAAGCCGTCATAGCCGGGCGGCATGGGGGGTGGTTCAGATGAATGGAAGCCATCGGTGGCGGACATGCCACTGGATAAGCCTGTTTGGAGAACTTTGTCCATGATGGGTGGTCAAGTGTCTCTGTTGAAAATATCAATGGAGAGGTAAGCAGTACAATTGAAAGCAGAATGGACTTGAAAGCATCCATAGCCACTGACATACTTTCCCTTTTATTATAGCTTTCGGTTGCCGGGATCCGATGTCCACGAGACCTCATAACTCCATGATGAAAAGAATGTCTTGAGATCATTCCGAGCGCTGTAGACAGGGGTATCGACAGGGGTATCGACAGGGGTGTACGTCAATGAGCATGGAGAATGAGAGGATGTGCCGGGTTGATTTCCGACCCACAGTTCCAGGTTCATCAGTTATTAACAAGACAAAAGAGAGCAGAGACCAAATACTTGTACCAGAGACTATCATTCCAGGTAGACGTCGTGGACGTCCGGCTTTGCTTCCCGTAAAGGAGCCGGATCTCTGCCTTCCTTCGTCTTTCTCCTTAGACATTGATCTTCACCTCCAACTACCTGACTGTGAAATCTCAATTTGAATCTGACAGAAACAGCATTGATGCCTTGAAGCAAGGTTCGGCATTCTCCCCGTGTCCGGGATATCTCATGTCAATGCGGTACGAGACAACGGGTCCCCACACCGAATATCCATAGCTTCGTCTGCCATCATCTATTCGCCGGTCAGCGATTATGAGTGTTTCAACACGGAGCGTGCCTTCCCATAGCCCTGTTGCACTTTCTTCAAAGGGAGAAGCCCTTCAGCAACATCCTCAAGGATCTCTTCATCGTCAAAGCTGTGCGGACCTGCAAGTTGAGAGCAGAAGAACCTGCAGCGTGCGCTACTGGGCAGTGTGACTTGTGGTCCCTGACCACAGTAATGCTGGCGTGTCCATTGCCATACTGAAAAAACGTCATTCAACGTGCAGATTTCCCAGGGCCATGCCCCAGTAAGGATGGTTTCTCGAACACCTTTTGGGTTGTTGAAAACAAATCGCATCTTGCCGACTCTGTTGGGCTCCACCTTGATATCCTGTCGGTTCTGAATGACGTGTGACAAAGCTTTGCACTGACGGACGATGCAAGCTGAAGCGCAGTTGAAGTTGCGTTCTTCGACATGGATGCCTTTTGGGGGAGTTTTGATGAGTTTCGGCTTCTCAAGAGGGCATGTGGTCTCGAACAGATCAGGGGACAAGTGAACGATTATTTCACTGAACCGCTGAAAAGGAAGGCGAGCTGCCTTACCCAACGGCGTCTTGCGGAGCTTTGAGGGCTTCTCCAGGGTTGGGCAACGACATCTTTTACCATTCGTGATGTGAATCCGTAATGGTTGACTAAAGACTGTTTGCAGCACTTCGCTTTTGATTCTCAAGTTGGTCCTCAGCAGTGACCTGACCGTGAAGAGATCGACATCGTAAGTGGGATCGTTCGAGATGGTGAGGCCTTTGTGCCGGAAGAGGAAAGAAAGGATATGAAGAATGATTTCGTATGGAGGTTGAGGCTTGTCTTGAACCTGGAGATTGTGACTGCTAGAATCTCGCGTGGTTGCCGCGGAAATGAACCGAGGAAAGTCGTCTTCGTTTGCGCGTTTGCGCGTTTGCGCTGATGTCTCTTTTTGGACTTCATGTTTCTCCAAGTGCTGAAGGCCGTCACTGCTGAAGAACCAAATCGGTGTCTGGACGACGACGGGCCAAATTCGATTGGAGAGACGTGACGATGTGGAACGGAGTGAAGGCTTGGATGAGGACAGGATTAGGTGCAAGTAATCCAGCGGCTTGAGTTGCAGCAACGAGATGCTCAATTTGCACGAGTGAGAACTGTCCAATATATAGTGGTTACATATCCCAGGGCAATGGATTCACCAATAGCAAGTGAGTCATAAAATGACAGTGAACCGGAGTTGAAGACTTGGATGTGACGCATCAGAAGGAGAAAATTGACGAGTTCTGACAAAGGAATGGTTCCAGATGGAAGGATGTCCTGAGAGAAAGATTTCCCTTCCCATTGCTGTGATACCACTCTAACAGGATCAGAAGAGTGAAAAGCGTTGACACTTCTTCAGTGAATTTTGCGATCCAACCGCTCGTGAAAAGCCCTCAACTCTGACACGAAGAAGTTCATCCTGCTGAGATGCATCCGATCACCGCTTCATTGTAGCCTCAGCTTGGAGTCCATACTGTGCCTTCAACGTGGCAGGAACATCGGCACTTGATGTTTGTGCAGGGCTTGAAACCGTTGTCATCAAGGCTCCCTCTGTAGTATCGCTGGCTCCCAGATCCCAAGGCCATTCCCTGCCGTCGTGTCAGGCGTGATCTTGATACAAAGCAATCCGGAGGCATTGTTCAACTCGTTGGCAAAGATTCCTGGGTGTCGCGTCCACCGCCAGTTCGTAGGGTCGAAATTGAGTCTCGATAACGGGGTGTATAATGGGAGTTGTAACCGGGGCGACCACGAGGCAGAAAATTGACGTTCAAGATCCTCCACAAAGCTTCGAGAGCGAGAAGCCTCGCGGCCGTCAGGGCTGTCGTGGTACGAGTGGTAGTGCCCTGTAAACATCATAGGGGGAAAACTGATCTGGCCAGTAAGGGCTTCTGTTGTCGCAGCTGTCCATCCCCAGGGCCTCATGAGGTCAAAAACCGTCCCTATGTTAAAAAAGCCCTGCTGCTGCTGACTGTTATCCATTCTGTCCACCCACACCTCCGCAAAAGTGAAAGCAATCTTTAAGGTAGCATTGCTTTCATGCGCAGCATATTGTTGTTTCAGATGTCTCGCAAGCATCTCAGACAGAAGCACTACACAATTATAGACAGCTTCCATCTGGAAGAGATGATCTTCTCTGGCTACGGATATGAAGTCCCAGGGAGCTGTATGGAGGCAGGGAGACCCAGGTACAGGCGTAAACGGGATGTTCAATACAAGCCAGTTGCTGAGTGGTAGGCTCGCCGCTCTGCCCAGTAGGGATTGGGAAACATTTCGGAACCAGCTCGTGCTTACGCTTGTAATGCAGATATGTAGTGGCTGTCGATAGATTTGTCTCAAGGTTTCGTTTTTGGTCTTGATGCTGGTCTTCAGAAACGAGATGATGGTGTCGAAATGAGAATTGCAGTCGGGGTCATTTGATATGGTGAGGCTGCTGTTTGGGATGACGAAGGAGATGATGTGCGAGATGATCTCAGGGAGAAGTCGTAGCTTGCTCGGAGGAGGGTGCGTGGAACCGTACAGGCGACCGTGCATTGAGTCGACGCTCTCGTCTCTGAGGAATGCCATAGCTGCGGAGTTGTGCCTCGAAGAAGACGAGTCTGAAGGCAGTAAAGACTTGGATTGTAAGATGTCGAGAGTCGCGTTGCGGAGGGCGAGAAGGTCTGAAAGAAGATTGAACCTGAATATTAGTCGCAACTGAGGTTGGCTTGTGGGTTTGGTTATTCACCGAAGAGTGGCGGTAGTGGGCGGTGAAGTGCTCCTCTGCGGCAGAGAGGATTCCATTTGGTGGGATTCGAAGCTTTAGCTGTTGACTACTTCACCAATGAAGTGGATAAATCTCGATGAATGGTGTTGATGGTGTTTTAGAGATGACTGGATCGAAAACCCGCAGGCTGATTTTTCATTCTTTCAGTTGACTGCGGCATAATGACTTTGTCGCCAAGGTGAAATCCATCACAGCATCTGCACCGAATCATCGATGACATATTAAGATATGGCGGGCTCCCAAGCTGTTCTGAAGATGAAACAGTGTTGGACTGGCCTGCCTACTCTGGCCCAAAACCTCGAAGCCCATCTCGCCAGCTCAATGCCTCCCTCGAAAGGCCACTTCCTCAAGCTGGACGGTTCCATCCTCCACGCCAGTCAGGAATTCTTTCAATCCCATACCCCAGCGCTTTTGACCGACAGTCTGTAGGTCCATATCAGCCGGGCATGCCGGTATCCTCCCCCATTTTGACTTGGCAACAGACATCGTCTCTGCAAGAGTGTCCCCATCCTCGTCTTCTTTTGCCTCGTCTTGAGCAACATCATCGTCCGCATCGTCATCAACTTCAGCGTGTTTACCGCCTTCTGCCTGCCCACCATGCCTTTTCTCCAGCTCGACCCTTTCCATTTTGACGAGAACCGGTATGACCGAGCCTGTCCCCAACGAGAACGGCCTATGGCCAAGGACTCTCAGTATCGCGCCGATAGCTCCCGAGTGACTCGTAAAACTGATCGTCTCCGCTTCCCTGAACTCCCCACTTTGCATGAGCTGATCAAATAACTTTCCCAGTCTTGCGGTTAGCGCATCATCGGGCTCTCGCAAATCCGCGTCCCAGAACTCATCCGTTTCCGTAAGCAGCGGGTCCTTTGTCGTTATGTACTCAGGATATCTGCCCCGGACATACGAAACTGTACTCCGTCTGTCGCAAGTATGTATGCCTGTCCCTTCCCGAAGACGCTCCATGACAGTCGGCTGGAACTTATCTACCAACCCCTGAAAGGTAATCTCCGCGGTCTGCAGAGCCCGATCGAGAGGACTCACAACGTACGCTTGCGGCAGGCTCATTTTCTCCTCTTTGATCTGCGCCTTCCAAAAGTCATTCACTTCAGCTGCTTGCCGGCGTCCTTCCTTGCTCAAATGGGCGTCCGACCAAACCATGATGTCATCTGGGTCTCCGTCGAGCGCGGAGAAATGGCAGTCCCATGCCTCATTACCATAGTACCGTTCTGCAATGTTGTGGTACCCATTACCGTGCCGGCCGAGGAAGAGTAGCTTGTATCGGACATGACTACCTTGTTCGGAACCATGTCTTTTTTGTTTCGCAGCGTGGTTGAGGGAAGTGACGTGGTTTTCGAAGCGTTGCCATGGGGTCATGCCCTGGCCCTTGTTGGGCAGGCTCTCGTCTGAGTCGTAGGGCCGCTGCACTAGTCCGAAGTTCGTCTTCATGAAATCAAAGGTCTGAGCCTTTGTTTGAGGATCATCTTGCAGAAAGTAACCCCGTAATGTGGTATACTTGTATCCATATCTCTTAGGCTTGTCACTCGTCTGCTCCGGGGTCTCTGCTGCCCCCGGGTCGGGGTCGGTATGTATGTCGAGCACTTTCTGGCCGTTCATGCTGAGAAGGGTTGCGCCTGCGTCGCTCGCTTTGAGCAAGCCGCAGACGATTAAAGAGACGGTGAGGAAAAGAAGGAATTGTCTGTAGTTTGGTTTCGGTTCTGGTTAGCCCGAGAATCGCAGGTGGTTTGGTGGGTCGAGATGGCGTTTACTTACATTATGACGGTTGTTCGACAGATTCGTGTCGGTCCGCCCCACCGACGATGTGTTTTGCGATGACTGGAATCAAACAACATCATTGAAGCTGAAACATATTATATACACGCCGCATTGTGCAAACGGTGACACAAGGAAATGTGCTCGTTCGTCGACCCGCGATTGCCGGCGAAACTGTAAGGAACTGCGCAAGGAGTGTCAATGCGGGGCCGTATCGATTAGGTGGAGTTGGGTGGTGAGTGCGACGTCGCGGGGTCGTAAGCATGGCTGTCATTGTGACATCTATTGGATTGGAGACCGCCTTTAGCATCGCTGGTGGTCGATCTTACGCTGGTGTTAAGGGGCCATGTCGGATACAGCGCCCGTTCTTGGAGGCTTAATGTCCTCGGTCGAGCAGATGCGCTTCAATATGTCGCTGGCTTTAGCGGACATATCTGACAATGAATCGAGCACAACGTCATGTTTACTCCGGCAGCTCGACTCGGTCGCGTCGGCAACCCGCTCGGCGGGTCGAGTGTCTCCGTGAGTGACATGGCTTCGAGCGGGCGTTTGTGGTCCCATTCTCGCAGGACCGATTCGAGTTTCTCGGCGCTCTCAGGCAAACGCAAGAATGTGCGCAGAGCATTCTCGACGATGGACCACGTCTGAGAGCTGGTTCGTTTGATCACGCCCACAAGTCTGGACATCTTCCATACTCTGTCATAATGACCTCCAGATGTGGATGTGGATAGCAGCGTCCAGAGGAGATGTTCTGCACTTAGACCGCTATCGTCATCATCATCCTCGAGAATACGTTGCAGAGACTTTAAGTACTCTTCTGTGGCTGCCGAGAAATCTCCAAACTCTGCCATAACTAAATTGAGGTGTATCAAAGAGGCCATACGGCAATTATCCACAGCTCGCCGTTTGTCGGGATCATCATACCCTGTCTCCAAATTGCTTAACGCATTGTTCAGCTCAGAGCCCGGTCGGAAGGTCTTTTTTCGATATGGGTGATCTCTCAACGTCTTCTGCTGAGGGCAAGTTCAGCGATTATGGCTCTTATGTGCCCTAATAGAAGCTGCGACGTGAGCACGATGGAGTTTAGCTCCTCACTGCCTTCATGGCAACAATAGCTAGTGCTTCTCATCCATTCGCATAATGTATGTCCATGTTGGCATCGGAGGCAGCAATCGCGCCCGTGGCCTAAGATACATCCCCGCTAAAGTACCGGTACAAAGCTAAGTCATATTTGTGAACCGGGCGGACGAGATAGCAGATAGCGAAGTATGAGGGAAGCGTCTGTCAAGTATCGGCACTGGCTGCTAGGAAAGACATGTATTTGGGAGATATCGGTAAAACTCTCGTCAAGAAAGACGCGTGAGGAATTGGTAGTGATCAAATTTTGTGACTACCCATGGCGCAAGGACCGGCGATGCGTTCATTCTCTCACTCTTCCTATAATAAAAAGGCATGACTCTCGAGGCCTGCTTACGGGTACTGGTCTCGCCTGGGAGATCGCTGAGGTCCGATGAGCACATGGCATCACCCAGGTCCCGATCGGGGTTGAGCCACGAGCAGTTTTTACTCACCTTGGCGTTGTGGAATCTCCGCCGACTCTGAGGGGGCCAGCTACTAAGTGCGAAAGCGACGAGTGTTACTTTGTAGAAATGAAATCGGTAAGCATTCGACTCCGTGAATGAGGGAATCTTCTATGCCTCAGTCTATGTTTTCCCTGCCTTTGGTGTCTCCAAGCCCATGCTATCATGTACCAGCACCCAAACTCCTGGCTAAAGATTCCGCATCTTTACTCACGGGTATCAAGGTCAATCATGTCTTCGTCACCTTCGTCATCAACGTCAAGATCTGCCTACATTTCATGCGATCAGTACACGACCAATGTAGTGCCAATAACGGCGACAATACTCCGAATCTTATTCTGGACTTTGACCGCTCGATTGCCAGCATTGTCAAACAATGGTCGGGCCGTAGCGCTGGCTGAGGGATCCTGTTGCGTAGCTGTTGCAACGATGGTATTGGAGGGAGACGCAGGTTGAATATTGACGTTGCCCAATGTTATTGGGGCGTTGGTCTGGTTCACCATGAGTGCATACATTGCTTCCATCGCGCACAGTTGTTGACCAAGACCACTCGTGCCATCCCAGCCGGTAATGTACCATTTCGACCCACAAGCAGTGCCGTCCTTCCCACCCGTGCAAGCTTGAGCCGCTGCTTGAGCGGAAGCTCGGAGGATCTCTCCCACGCGGCCTGATGTGAAAGGGGCCATCATGGATGTGCCGGCAAGCCATCGGATGAGATAAGCCTTCATGGAAAGTTGATCAATATTGCAGGTCATGTCGAGCTCACATTCTGCCTCGAAGAGGACACCTGTGGCATTTTTGAAAGGTGTAAGGAACGTGTTTGTGGCATCAAGAAGGCCGACAGTCCGCTCAATCCAGGGTGACGATGAGTTGGTGTAGTTCTGAAGCACTGCAGCACCGTAGAGAAAGACCCCGACATTGTATGTCCACTGGTGGTGATCAACGCCAGTGCAATTGATCTTCTCATCGGTACCATCGAATACGTTGTAAATATTGTCGATAAGTCCCACTCCAACGGTCCAGTCCCATATCTTGTTTGCCCAGGAGACATAAGTTCCATTGCCAGTAAATCTTGCCAAACGTGCCGAAAGCTGAAAGAATGCCCCGTTCGATATGCTGTTCTTGTAGAAGTATCCTGCGTTTTCTGGATGGAATTGCCACTTGAGCCCGCCATTACATGTCGCAGAGTTCCAGCGAGAGAAGTAATCTTGCCAGGCATTCTCTACAACGTCAAGCCAGGAAGGTGCGGGCGCAGGAGGTTGAGGAAAGGAGTACTCGGCGGCTGACATCGCAGCAAAGACCCAGAAGGCTTGATCATCGTTTCCTTCGTCAAATGCCTCGGTTGGCATATTGAAGTCGTATGCTGAACCGAGTTGAGACACGAGAGCTTCCATCATGACATTGTTGTACGAGTCATCGTGAGTGTAGTGCCAGTACTCCATCATGCCACCCCAAGCACCCCCGGACTCCCACCTGCAACTTGTTAGCGTGATGTGCTGGTAGAAGCAGGAACGAAGCATCCTGATTCAAGTAGCGACTCACCAGTAGTATGGAGGGTATGGAAATTTTCCAAGGACACCACTGCTCTGATTGCCATTGTACAGTTGTTGCACGCCGGAGGCCGCAAGTGCCGCAGCTGCAAGAATCGATCCTGGATATGTCAGCAAGGTCAAGAACATCTGAGGCCTTTGGCGAGATGTACACACCTGGGTCATCAACATTGAGAGAAATGGCCAGCACGTTTGTCGAGATTAATGGGAGTAGGAGGAACGAAGCAAGATCGAAGCCACCCATGGTGAAAAGCGAGGGGCCGTGAAAGTGTTGCGACAGGAAATTCGGTTCATGGGAAGATTGATCAAGGAAAGACTAGAAGGACAATCTTCATCGCCAACCAAATGAGTGTCATTGAAGGATAGCGACAACCGGGGAGAAGTGAATCGGTGTTCTGGAGCTGAAAGCAAACATCGGCAGTGAAATATCGACCAAGAATAAAATATGCAGAACTTGAGGCACTTCACCTTGACTTCACTTTGATATCGAGACTGGGTGCGAGCAAACATTGAATTTTTGAAAACAACCTACACGAGATGCGAATGCTTCGCGCTTTCTTGACGTATACAAGGGCTTGGATCAGTTTGCCATGCAGGATGACGACGGTTACTTACCTGCTACTGCCAGTCAATTGGCAGACGCCCAACACTGCATGCTGGGTGCCATGCAGGGTCCGACCTCATGTCTTTCTGCAACTTCCCGAGCCGACGCATATAAAAATCTCATCCAAGTCTCGAATACAAGGTGAATCGACGAATTTGGATCTTCGTCTCCTGCATCTTGCGGGAAACGGGCTCGTGTTTGTATCCCACGATTCTTCTATAATTCTTTGCATATTTGGCCGTCGGCTAACCCTCTTGGTTGTCCTCTCCGCGCCGTTGGCACTATGACACTGCTTCTGAATGATCTGGAATTGACAGGTGAGCAGTTGTGGTGGAAACATCCCAGTCGACATCTGTGAAAGTCTCGTTACCTTGAAAGCCAGAAAAAGGTCGATATCGAAGCCCGATTATTTGATAAAATTCAAGCACACTCGGCTTTTAGATCTTACCTTACATGCATTTGTCCCCGGCCATGCCCCGCCTAGCGCCTCGCTGCAACATACGAAGGGTGGCAGGTTTCTGTGTAATCCACGAGCCGGAAGATTTCCGCCTATGCGAACGTTGGAATCTTTTTAAAGTTGGGGCTGCGCCGGGCACGAGCGCTGAATATGGTATGCATTATCGAGCAAGCAATCGATTGGCATGGCTGTCAGCGTCTGACTAAACGCTGCTTGCTGCTAAAAGTCAATGTTACTCAGGCTGTATAAAGGTAGGCCAGGGGAGAGTCTGGATGAGTTTCTTGAGAGACGACACTGTGCCGTCTTCTGCCAGGCCTCCCATCTCGAACAGATCTTCTGACCGCGAACATGATCGATTTTTCGTTGTCGCCGGAGCAGCTGGCCCTGCGCAATGCTATTAGGGCATTTGCCGAAGCTAATCTTAAGACAGCCCGATCTGTGTACGAGTCTCCAGGACAAACCTCCTCAAAGTGGGAAAACAGGTTCCGCTCAACTCAACCCATCTACGCAGAGGCAGCAAAAGCCGGCTTGATAAAGGCTCAGATTCCGAAGCAGCTTGGTGGAGCAGGCGGCCCTTTAATTGAGGCGGCGCTGGTTGTAGAAGAATTTTATGCGGTCGACACCAGCGCATCTCTGACAATCCTCGGAACTGGTCTCGGCTTGACCCCTTTGATCTTGGCAGGATCACCAGAGCAGCATAAGAAGTTCTTCAAGCCTTTCCTCGAGGGTGCAGGGACCCCCTTGGCCAGTCTCGTATTCTCAGAACCCGGAGGAAGTGCAAACTTTGCAGAACCAGGCGCGCCAGGGTTCCAGACTGTTGCTCGCCTGGAAGGAGACGAATATGTCATAAGCGGCGAAAAGGTAAGCAGACGTTGAACTTGATCAGGCGGCCACCTTGCTGACACATACGAGATCTGGGCAACGAACTGTTCGGGTTGGGATGATAGAGGCGCCGATGTACAATGTGTGTTATGCCGTGTTATTGGCTCAGCCTCCACCGAGGATGTTCGAGGCCAGACAGCCATCATCGTTGTCACACGAGAAGACATAGCGAGCAATGATCCTGGAGCATACTCTGTCCTTTCACATCCAGAGACCGTTGGACTAAGAGCTGTCAACGGACCACATATTCGCTTCAAAGACTTGCGAGTGCCGAAGTTCAATCTCCTTGCTCCCCCAGGCAAAGGGGTGGACGTGGTAGAAATGACCTTCACTGCATCGGCTGCCATTGTAGGCGCGATGGGTGTCGGAATCATGCGACAAACGTTCGATCGTGTTCTTGCCTGGGCTAAGGAGAATCGTCGCGGGTCCAAGGAAGCGATGATTCATAAGCAGAGCGTGGCAGACCTGTTGATCAAGATCAAGATCCGATGTGAGGCCGCACGCGCTCTGGTCTGGAAAGCCGCATGCTGTTTCGGCAGTACCCAATTCGGAGCGGAGCTTTGCTACGAAGCTAAAATCTTCGGATCTGAAAGCGCTGTCGCGTCTGTTATGGATGCCATCAACCTGGTGGGAGTCTCGGCATACTCTCGAAGTCAACCTTTTGGCGACCTGTTGAATGACGCGGTGGTCTTGCCAATTTTCGATGGGGGTAATGTGGGAGTGCGAAGGCGACAGATCGAGGCCATCTTTGCCAATGACGCGTATGATCCGTGGGAGACGACCTTCGGGGCCGACGAGTAAGGTCCCTGTCAAGACCAGACGAGCTGGTGACGAGCAAAAACAAGGATGAAAGGGCAACACAGAAAAGTGATCTCGAGGGAACGAGCACCCAACGCGTGTGCTGTTTCTAGCTAGCACAGTATGTACCTACCAACGCTACTACGTACCTGACCTTTGGAGACTGCTATTACATAAGCGCCAAGCTGATGGCCCGGAGTTGCAGTCCCCCGGATCTTTTCCAACTATGGTGACAATATCTGCCATCACAACTTGCAGTCTCGTTTTCGTACAGGGAGATATTGCTTCTGCAATATCCACATTGAATGTTTAATTGAGCAGGTTGCATGAGAAATTCGTTCCGTCAAGACACTTACTGTGACTCGGCTCCGCCTCACTTTGTTTCACTACTTGAACTTCCGTCGGAAGGTGTCCAGATATGCCGAAAGCCGTCAAAGGAGCACTTCTTCAATGTGACCCGCCTCAAATGGCAATGGTGCGAAAGATAGATCGGGAATCCAACAACGCGTACATCATTGAGGAAATCGACGATCACACTTGCCTGGTCAAAGAGAACAAAGTGGAGGAGATCAAAGCAAAGGTCAAGGAGTTGATGGATGCAGCGATGGGTGTAGACGAGGACGACCAGGAAGACAAGGACAGCGACCTTGACTGAGAGCTTGCGGGGCTCGGAGATGATTCAGCTTGTGGTCCTGCTACCCCAGACACTGGCAGAAGCGGAACCGCTCATACGAGCTCTGGAGTCATGAGCAGAATCTCATGCAGCCATGAGGAAGGTCACGTAGGCCTGGAAGCGAGTCACATAATCCCTGAAGCGGATCATCAGTGACAAAGGTGATGAGGTTGATTGTGCGGATGGTCCCGGCAAAGAAAGTGTTCGACAGGCGTGATGGGCGTGTAGGGTGGATTTTGGGGGACGAAATTCAAGGCAGCAACCGTCAGTTTCATGCGCAGCGCATATCGGCCATCGGAGCGTGCCCCGTAGGGCTACATAGGCTATCGCTGGTGATGGTGGGCTAGGGGCTACTCGTATGCGTTGGCAAATTGGTCGATCAGACGGCTCAACGTCGAGGATGGGGCGGAGATGTTTCCGATGCGAAGAACAACAAAGGGATGATCTACAACGATGCGAGGGAACGTGGCCGAGCGTGGGCTAGTCCCTGGCAGTGCTGGCTCAATATACCTAGTACCGAAGAGTTTCGACTTGTTGTTAGGTTTTCCTTCAAGATTGTTGCGTGTACGTCGAAATTACCGTGTCTTCATCAAGAGAAAGCATGCTCTAACGCGATGGTCGGGCGGGCGGATGCGGGTATACGAGAAAACTCAGTTAAGCGCTGCGCTGGGGACAAGAAGGGCTGACGGGGGGTGGCTTGGTGCCAGTGGAGAGCACCTCGAGCATCCGCTGTGAATGCCCCAAAATTGATTAGGGCCAAACTCGTAGCTGATGACTTGCTTGCAGCCACCGGGAGCCGTGTCTAGACTGACATCAGCACCACCTGATCCGGGCATTTGATGCATCTACCACAGTAGCTCGTAAGAGGCAAGAAGTCGAAGTATCAGGTCTTGTGACGGGGCAGATGAGGGAACAGACAGAAACAACGATGGAGAATAATACTACTGATATGGTACTCGATAAGTGACTACCTGAGTTACTCGTACTGTGGTTAGTATCCGTATCTTCATAGGCAATGAATCCCGGTGACGACTTGCAGAATATCATTTCATTCTTCACCGCTGATCGTGCACTCCAACTCCCTCACCTCCCTTCAGCTACGAGTGGTTAACTCGTGGTATGCATCCCGATTTCTTTTCTTCCATATTCTTGCCCAGGCACCCAGGCTGACCCATGTTGCTCTGGTGTCATCTCCATTATGTACGTAGTATTCCCGTCTCTCCTGTCCATTTGCTGACCGACCAATGACTGGCACTAGCCCAGCATGTCCGTGAATGTCTCATCAACACATGCACCACTTTCGGTTCGTCTCCTCCCATCATCCCTGCAGCATTCTCCGTCCATGCCTGTACCCTGTCTGCCATGCAGCCTGGCACCTGCCTACTTGGACGTTCTGTTCGTTTATGGCCCTAGGTGCATGCTAGGATTCCATTTCCATTTCATGAGTTTCCTTCACCGTTATCCGTACACTACACAGGACCCATCAGAATCTCCCTTTCTGCACATCATTCTGAGCTTGCTCTCTTGGAGCAATTTCTCTCTCTCTCTCCCTCTCCCCCCTCCCCACTCACGAGTGTCTGGCCGATTGACGTGACCCCGCCATCCGATTGTCCAAGCGTCGCCCACAACCTCCATCTCGGCTACCTCCGCCAGCACTCTGATGATACGAGTACATACTGGTCACATATCCCGCGCATGGCCTCCAAGTCATTCACATCTACAAAGCCATTGTTTCGAAAAGCCACATCTGAGCCATCGCTTATCATATTGTGGCCCTTGATGATCCATTGCTGCCCGCCATCTATGAGAGTACTAAGAACCCCCACGGCCACCTCATCAGCTTAGCAAAAGAATGTGCCGGTTCACATCCACCCGCGCCGACTCGTCACCGCCTAACACCGCCTAATCTTGTATTCCAACAAATCTACCTACACTTCACAGCCACAAGGTCCACAATCAAGTTCCTGTTCGACAGACGCTATCCTTCATAACCTCTGGAAGGAGAAATTTCCTGCGGCGCCGGAACCGCCGCAAGCACTCCAACCTCACCTGGGAAATCCCTCGAGGCATCCCACTCCTCTTTCAATACTCCCAGCACTGTCGAGCAGTCACTATCTGGTCCCAATCCAGCATTTACGTTCTCGACGAGTCTCCCACCTAGGGCCATCTGACCCTTTGAACTTCTTCGGCTCACCGCTTGCAGCCTAGCAATAAATCCATGGCAGTTTCCACTGGCGTTCCAAGACGACCGTATTGCTTTTGACCAGCATCGACGTGGATTTGTTTGCCCAGCGTCGTACCAAGCGAAGAATGACACCAGCTGTTACGCCCTCGGAACATGCTGTTTGCCGCAGAGTCATTGCCTGCGGGCCCGCCCATCGAGACCAAAAAGGCTCTAATATTGCTCGACTTCCAGAACGATTTCGTCAGCCCTGGTGGAAGACTCCCAGTGGGCAATGTTAATTCATTTCTTTCCAATATGACCTCACTCGTCGCCGAATTCCGTATCAAGGGAGATGTGATATGGGTGGGAACAGAATACAGGCAGCCTCGCTCGAATTTTTCCGCCGTGACGGGCTCCCACTCCATTCTCCTCAAGCAGTTTCTCAAAGGCGGAGATGGTGATGCTGAGGCGGGTGAGTCCTTTGATGATCCTGATCACACCCGCTCACCTTCGGAAGATCCCCTGTCTCCCTCAAAGAATCCCGACTTGTGCCATGATCGCGAAGCATTTCTTGCCCCTACTTTGACTATGACAAGATACAGGTGCTGTATGCCTGGCTCTTCTGGGGTCGAATATCCACAAGACGTCCAAGCTGCTATGGATTCGAAACACGATCTGGTCATGATCAAGTCTCACTACTCTGCATTTGTTGACACGCAACTCCTCACCCACCTCAGGACACGGCTGATCACGGAACTCTACATCTGTGGTTCACTGTCGAATATCTCCGTGTATGCGACTGTCCTGGATGCTGTATGCCACGGATTACACGTGACCATCGTTGAGGATTGTCTCGGCTATATTGATGGAGCGTGTCATTTCGAGGCGGTGCGGCAGATGGCAGACAGCATGGGGGCTGAAGGTGTCGACTGCCAGGAACTTCGAGACGATCTTGCCGGTTTGTTGGGCGACGTGATCCGAGAAGAGGACTTCACGACCAAATTCCAAGTGAGCTTGCCGCCTCCGTCCGCCAGGACAAAATCGCATACTTCCACCACACAGATTCACGAGTGGATATCCAGGGTCGAAAGTGACCATGCGTCCACACCGCCCTCGGAACATGACAGGAAGTCGACGAAGAAGGGTGCACAAGCTGTTGCTGGCAGGCAGGAGCTCAAAGCCAGGAATGAGTCATCCGAAAAGTCAAGCAAACCTACTTCAGTCGAGCATAGCCCACCTCGGAAGAGGTCAACTAGCGATCTTGACTCGCTAGAGGAAAATCGCAGTTCCAAATTGTTACATAAACCGTCAACACGGCGCAGTTCGGACGATAAATGCATCACGGAACAAAGGAAACAGAAACAGAAACACAAAGCCCCAGTCCGGAAGCGGTGGCCTTCTTACGACGCTTCGATCAGATCACCCATACACGGTATCAACACTGTCCAGGATCGTGCCTCACCAACCGGGCCTTCCACCGCTCCTCAGGAGGCCAGATCAGAGACCGACAAGATTGATAGTGAAATCTCGCCTTTGAAGGCACTTAAGGAAAGCCGCTCACCAGGACAGAAGAAGAAAAAATTTATCCCCAACGTCCTTGGGCCTGGGGATAAGATCGGCCAGGGTGATTGTCGCCTTTGTGTCGACCTGATCAGCAGTGGAGAAGCCCAGAGGGCATTCTACTCCTGCAGAGAAAACATCAAATGGCAGAAAATGTACCACCGATCAGGAGAAGTCCCACGTCTAGTGGCAGTTCAAGGCGATGTTGCCGAGGATGGATCAGAGCTCCCTATCTACAGACACCCTGCGGACGAGTCTCCAGAACTGCTTCCCTTCGATACCACGATTGACATGTTGCGAAAAAGCGCTGAGAAGGCCGTTGGTCATCCACTAAATCACGTCTTGATTCAGTGGTACCGGAACGGCGAAGATAACATTTCAGAACACTCTGACAAAACGCTAGATATCGTTCGAGGATCAAGTATAGTAAACCTAAGCCTTGGTGCGCAGAGAACGATGGTGCTGAGGATGAAGAAGTCGGCCATTCCGACTGCTGCCGAGGATTGTCAACAAGAAGAAGACAGCGTCCGACCATCTCAACGCATCCATCTTCCACACAACTCTCTTTTCATTCTTGGCGAAGAAACCAACCGACATTGGTTACATTCCATCCGCGCGGATAAGCGACCTGCGTCGGCGAAGGATTCTGCCGAGTTGGCATTTGACGGAGAAAGAATAAGTGTGACCTTCAGGCACATCGGCACCTTCATCGATCCGGTCAAGCACACAATCTGGGGTCAAGGCGCAACCAGCAAAAATATGGCCGGAGCTCAGAAGCTTCTTCTACAGGGCCGGGAAGCCGAGCAGCAAGGGGAAGTCATGATTCGAGCTTTCGGTCAAGAAAACCACCGGAGTTTGGATTGGGACTGGAATGAATGGTACGGTAGCGGCTTCGACGTTGTCAACTTTGAGACCAAGACTGTCGTCACACAGGAGGAGCTCGAGACTGTCATCGATGGGTCGTGAGAAACGACTTGCATTGCCACCTCTTCCGTTGAGTCGGGAGTGACATCCTCTCATAAACACAAAGTCTGTAGCCTAGGTCAGGTCTATAGCTCATCAAACCCAGGAGTTTCTTCGGGAGTTCAAGTGAATATGACTGTTTTGGAAAATGTGCTTTCTTGCCATTAAAACACGATATACCGAGTCTCAATCATCCACGCTGATGACTATTTAGTGCTCGGTCTTGTCAGGCAGAAATACCTTCATAGCCAAGCCTGGAATTTCAGCACCTCTTCGCCATATGAGAAAGCCTGATGTTTGCTTGTCAGGCGTTGTCTTCATCACTTCGTTGCCATGGCCGCTGCAACTTTCAAGTCATTGATGAATGAAACTCCGGATCCCCATAACCTTAGAGCCCTAAGCGTCGAAGAAATCCTGACCTCCCCATTCTTCATTCGAGGCCGACTTCTTAATCATAATTTCCCACCGTCCCCAGAAGACAGGTAATAGCCAATCGCGTCATGTAACCATTGAAGCCTTTACTGCATACGACGATAAGCGACATAACCATCATTCATGCAATTGGAGGCAAAGCAGCAAGACCGACAATCGTCCCAACGGTGCCAATTGCCACACCGACGATAGCAGCTGCAGCAAGTTTGACGAAACCACCAGTGCCGCTGCCGTTTTGTTCTGCAGATCGTTGTTTGTTCTTCTTGAGCTTCTTGCGTGCTGGTTGGGTGTCGACCTCGGTAGTCTGGACGGGGATATCTGCCTCTGATCGGTCAAAGGGACTCTGCACTGCATTCTCAGTCGCAGCGTTGGCGATAGGTTCTGCATTGGCGAGGGCCATCTTAGAAGGCTCAGGAGACTGAGCACTTGCGTAGGAAGACGCAGCATCAGACGAAATGTGGTCTGCCTTGCGCTTGAGTGACTCCTTCGGCATTTGGGGTACCTTGAGCTCGCAGGTCATTGTGCGTTCAGCGATACTGGAGTGTCTTGAATGCTCAAGAGGTGGTAGAGTCAGAAAATCGCGAGACACAGGAGCGTCCCAGCCACGTCCAAGGGAGTCCTGAGAATAGCAGTAGTGTGGTTCAGCGTACTGCGTATGCACGTCCGGCATGTAGTCGTACAACACGGAGTTGTGTCCAGCCCAGGCGGATGTCGAACGAGCCTGCGAAGGGCCAGGAGCATCATCCCACGCTTGGACATGTTGTGAAGCTTGGATGAACGGAGGAGCTCGAATCATGTCATAAGTTGATGGTCTGGCCATTGCTGCGTCCGATGGGCATGGTGTTCGATGGACGGGAGCTCTGTCATGTGGCGTAGCAAGAGTGTCAAGGACCGGACGGGTGATCTCAATGTTGTCGACAGTGATCGCGGGAACCTCGCTGGATCCGGCCATACCCGAAGAAAGAGGTTGGTCGCCATGGGATCCGTCCGCACCTGGTCCAGCCTTGACAGGATCCGAAGGCCAACCATTCGTATGTGATTCGTTATAGGAAGCAGTTGAGTGAGACATGATAACGTCTGCAGGGCTTGTGGCAGTGATGTGCTCAGACTTGGTAGCCTCCACTTTATTGTCCATGTTGGCTGCTTTTTCAAGCGCTTCCGTCGTCTGCATCATATGCTCGACTTCTTTGGATGTACTGATAGGGCTCGAAGTTGGACTCTCGCTCTCAGAATCTTCTCCACTAGAGATGTAGCTGTGAGCATCAGATAGGTCAGAGTCGGGGACAGTAAAGGTGCGCGGTGGTGGCACGGCGACTTCGATGCTCGGAGAACGGAAAGAATCTTCAACGACTTCGATTCCCCGGTCGGCATATTCTTCCTCGTATTGGTCGTATTGGTCTTCATCATCGAGGATCTCTTCAAGATCATAGCCGTCATCCTCATCGTAGCTGTCTTGGTCGAGATCGGCGTCGCCCTCGTCTTCGCTGATATCCGCAGAGAAGGTGTTACGGTTTGGTTGTGAGGAGGGAAAATTGCCGCTCATGGGCGCAGCACTGCGGCAAGTGTTAGCTCAGCGTCAACGCTGGTGTTTCGGAGCTAGCCTTACCAACCATCACACCAGGCCCAGCTGACGTCAAGCTTCACGGCATTGAAAGAGGCTGGAAGCATGTCAGCATTTGAAGTCGAACCTGCGGCAGAATACTCACAAGGTCCTCTGCTCACATCAGCACCCAGAGTGACAATGTCTCGAGTCCAGAGAACAGCGGTCTCGTTGGTTTTCAATCTTCTGCCTGCGAGATGGGTGCCATGCATTGAACCGACGTCCATGATGGAGATTTCCTTAGACGTGTCAAATGTCAACTCTTCCAATGTGGTAAAGGCTGCATACCTTGGTGTCTGGGTTTGCAGAAAGTACGGCATGACTTCTTGACATGACTCTTGAATCGAACCAGGCATTCGTTGCAGCAGGACGTAGAGTCTCATCACCGTTTGTGGTGCTACGGCCGATCTTAACGCACCAGTCTGGAGCGTGCAGATGGACACGGCGTTCAGGAATTGGGTTGCGGTTGTCGAGGTCTCGAAGGTTGACGATCACTGTAGAAGTCAGATCAGTTCCACCCTAACTGCGCAAGAAGTCAAGGGACACCTACCATATTGGCGACCGTGAGTCGAGGCCATGGTGGGCACTTCTGTCAATCAAGGTGTGTATGTCTTGAACAGTGGAGTTGTAGGTATGAAAGAGTAGGAAAGTACTCTTGTGGGGAAGACAACCAACTGCGGCAGTGACGATGAGGGTTTAGTAGGACACGAAGTGAGGTGGAAGTGAGGTGGAAGTGAGGTTAAGTCTGCAGGCAGCCGGAGGAGTCGAAGTGCCAGTGAATCACGCCGTCAATTTGGTGTCAGCGGCACAACAGCCACAGGGCGAAGGGAGGATGGCTAGCAGGCGGGAGTTGTTAAAGCCTTGACAGAGTTCCAGTTGGACAAGAAGGCGGTCAAGACGACCCAGAGGCAGACTACCAAGTCATGATGTAGCAGTCGATGAGGACCTTGAAAAAACAAGTACCTAGTAGTCGAGGTCTGAGGCAGTCAGTCGTTGTACAGTCGGCAGGCTACAATGAGGGGTCTCGCTTCCCCATCCAGCTAGACCGTCCGCCTTATCGTTATCTGGGGACCGTGACTAACTTTAGCGCCAAAGCTAAATAAGGGACATATGTAAACTTACTACTCCGTACCTAGGTGAGTATAATAAGGCACGTAAGGCGAGGAAGGCTGTCATGTCAAGAACCTTGGAAGCATGTCATGAGCGTGTCCGCTCGTTTATCTCCGCTGGTAGACAATCATCAGGCCGAAAGGTGTAGAAATAGTCCAGAACATTTTCATCTCCAATTTATTGTACACACACCATAATTTTGCCTCTCATGCCCGCCCTGGGCCATTTTGCGTGGCCTCAGCCTGGCATTGATCCCACGCACAATGAAGGCTCGCCTGCCGAGGGCGAGGATGAGTATTACGTACAAGTCGGGAAGTCTCACATAGATCGCTCATCAGTACGTTGGCTCATTACGCCAAAAAAGAAAAGGAAGAGGAGGGAGAAATGCTTCGCCGTCAACGGAAATCGATCAAGATGCGTGTTGTCTTGTCATCCTCTTTACCTCAACTGAGGTCCACCAAGTCCGGCTCCTTCCATCTGCTGCAGACGAGCGGCCAGTTGAGGATATTTCTGAGACACCTCGAGCTGTGTTCGGGTGGCTTCAGCGTATGAAAGCGCGTTCACAATCTCGCCTTCTGTTCTCGAAAGCTCTGCTGCGCGTTCGAAGTATTCCAAGGCCTTGACGACCTTGCCTTGTTGTAGGAGGAGCTGTGCCATCGTTGCAACCGCGATGTCGCACTCAGGGTCCACTAAAGAAAAAGGTCAGCATCATCACCACTTCGCCTGCCGTACACAACTTACAAACGAGGGCCTTCTCGCAAAGATCTTCTGCCGCTTTGAAGTCTTGCTTCCACTGGAAAAGAGCCAAGGCCTTGTTGATCAAAGGCAGCACATTTATCGCTCCAGTTGGCTTCGTCTGTCGTTCCATATCGATGGCGGTCTCAAACCTCTCGATGGCTTCTTGATACTTCTGCTGATCGAGCAGCAGCTCGCCGTAGTAATTGTACACATCCGGCACCTTGTCGAAGTTCTTGATCGTTCTGCGGAACGTTGCCATTGACGATGCAATCGACCCCATCTTGTACTGTGTGACACCAAGCTGAATGTGTGAGTAGATGAATTCCCTATCCAAGTCAATTGACTTCTGATAGTCTTTAGCGGCATCGGCAAACTCTCCGAGGATGAAATGCAATTGAGCTCGGTGGTAGAAGATATCCGGGTCGTCCTTGTTCTGTGCCATTGCTTTTTCGAAATCCTCTGAAGCCAAGTCCTTGTTGCCCAACTCTAATTGCATGCTGGCACGCTTGATGTAGGCCTGAGTCAGGGATGGTTGCAGTTCGACGGCTTTAGTGAGATCTTCCAGCGCTTGCGTCGTATCGCCCTCAAGGTACAGGAACGTCGCACGCATGTTGAGGGCAAAAGCTTCGTGCTCTCCCAGGCCGCCGAGTTCCACAGCTTTCTTGAATGCAGCCGCGGCTTCGTCATAGCCTTCTGCCGTCTTCTTCTGCATGGCGACAAGACCCCGTTGAAGCTGACCCGCGCCGGTGTTCTCGTCATGTTCAGCCGATTCCTCTAAACCAGCCGGGGGAGGTCGAGGTCGGAAGCTCTGAAGGTAGTTGGAGACGAATGTGGCACTAGGCAATTTGTTCTTCTTCTCGGCCAGAATAGCCTTCCCCTTCTTTTCAGCCACCTTTTTCAACAATCTCTCGACGCTTTGGGCACTGTTCTCATTCTTGAAGCCATCGATGATGCAGCTAGCAGTGTAGTCGAGGAGAGCTTCGGAGAACATGCCCAGGTGTTCATACGCATGAGCTCGTCGATTCAATGCCTTGACGTATTCTGCGTCCATGGAAATGGCCGCACTGGTGTCCTCCACCACTTTATCCCACTCGCTGAGGGCATTGTAGCACGCGGCTCGGTTGGAATAGTAGACAGGATCAGGTTTGCAGAGGATAGCTTTGCCATAGAGGTCAATCGCCTTGTTGTAGTCTTTCGATCCGTAGGCTTTGTTGCCAGCAGCTTTCAGCTTGCCTGCATATGTTGCCCTGTCCTGCTGATCGTCAGTGCTGCCATAAGCTCAACCCAAATCCATTAAAGGCGCACCTCTTGCGAAAAGCTCTCGATCGTGGACTCACTGATCTCGGGCAGTTCGTCTTCGGTCTCGACACTTGGAGGTTGAGGAACAGTGCCTGGGTATTGTCAGCCATATGGCGATGTCATTAAGCGTGACAACGTGTACTAACCAGCTTCGGCGTCTTTGAGACTGATCTCAGATTTCTGTGCTTCTTCCGCGGCCTTCTTTTCTTTCCGCCGTTCTTTCTTGCTCTTTCTCTTTTCTGAAGGCGCTGATGACGCGCCTCCCTTCTGACCGGAGAAATAGTAGATTGCTCCCGCACTGGTGATAACCACGACAGTCCCAGCAATTGTGTATGCAACTGCTTTGTTTTCCGACACCCAATTCGACATGCGATCCCACAAGGACGGTGCCGCGCGTGAAGCATCGATACCGACGGGCTCCGCCATGTTGACGTCTAATGTACAAGGAAAGAGGTGCTAGAAAGATGCAATTGGGATGCTGGGAAAAGAAGGGCGGAGATAGCAGGCAAAAGTTGGAGTGACGACTTGAGGATTCAAAATGTTCAGAAGCACAAAGCGCAGATGGAGATGCAATTGACAGGTGACCAACCAACGAGCTTTTCGACTGGTTTGCGGAGTGCTCGTAGCCATCGAAAAGTGCGCGACTTGCTACGGTGAATCAAGGCATCACTACGGCGGCCGAATCATGCCAGCCTAAGCACGCCTAAGGTTTGCACAGCACGGCACGGGTACGCTTTCTTTTGACCAACTCAAGCCTGAAATGCTCCCCTAACAAGAACCAGCAATAGACCTATTGACGCCTAGAAACTACCATCCGGCCAAGTCAGTCAGAAGCTGCACCTCGTCAGTGGACCTCCAGCCCGGTGGCTTATAGATCTCTGACGGGATATCTGCGATATTGAGGGTTGGCACCCTCCCATTCACCAGGGAAAGAAGAAGTCGAAATGTCCTCCATGCTCTGTAGCTAGACCTTGACTCGGGAGCCAGACACTGCAGGTACGACATCGCTTTGATCATGTAAGTCTCCAGCTTGTCAGGGGATCCCTGTAAGTGTCTGGCATCTATACAGAGCTCCAGCACAAACACGGACAGAGCTTGGCTAAGATAATGCAGAAGATTCCACCATGGCAGAATTCGAACGGCCTCGTGTATAGCAGGCAGTTCAGGCAGAATGTCCATCATGGACATCGCTGCACGAATGCAGTTTTGCCCACTACTCATGTTGAATTCTCGGGATTCGTCAGACTCATCGGGAATGTCGAGTTCGCACAGACACGATCTGTAAAGCGTCATCTTAAGGCTCTGGTGATATAGTGCCAACGAGATCTTTACGCGGAGATCTGCATCGACTCCCTCAACGCCCCAGAGGTTGAGTTCTCTCGGGAGACTATTTTCCCACGCCGTGAGATGTCTTTGAAGATTGCTAAGCCGTTGTTGAACTTCTAGCCAGGAGGCTTTTGTCTGAGGCCCATAAAGGGACCGTTCAATCAGGTGACTAATTGTGCAAAGTCTGTTGTAGTAAAAGTGGTGGTTCCAAGGGGAATGGTTAGCGATACTTGAAAAATTACGCCACGGCGTCTGATCCTGGCCAGATGTCCAGGTAACGTCCCTTGTACGACGCAGAAAAATTTCCCACACAGCTTTGTGTTCAGAAGCGCGTCCATTCTCGGCTGACAGCTGCCGCGTCTCATGTTGGTAGGATGCCATGGGGGCCGTCATGTCAGTGACAGCGGTAGAAGTAGGTCGACCCAGGATTTCCGACAACATCACTTCCAGATTGTACAACGAATACCAGGTATTAGCCCTCTCCTCGAACTGGACAGGACCCAACCGTGGGTCGGTGGTTTTGAGGTGCAAACCCAGACCTGTCGCGTGGCGAATAGCTAATCCTACCATAGACCACGCGCTGTCAATAAGTCAGTCCCTGGAAATCGCACCTCGGGGATCCTACAATACCGATTTATCGAGCCATTGACCCATAGATAGAATGACAGGAGGCCCAAAGCCTGTACGCCACCGACGTTCGGATGGTCTTGGACAATCCGATGGTCGAGTCCTAGGGCTCGGGCTCGGGCGTAATATACCAAGTGATTCTCAATACCTAGGTCTTCATCTTGAAGCTTCGCCATGTGCAGCCATTTGGCTCCGATGGCCCACATGAGGTTCGCCGAAGCTAGCCAGCGATGTTGCTCCCACGACATATTATTCAGGCCGTGTACGACTTCAGTTGACCTCTCCAGGAATTGAGCCTTTGCGACAAGATTGAGAATGGGCTCGGAGGCCTGAAAGAATGCTTCCGAAAGTACAGAGATGGCTGCACTACTGGGAGGTTGGAGGGCATTGACAAGGTCTTCATCCACACTGAGAACATTGTTGTCGTCGACGAAGCAGGAGAACTTGGCGTCAGCAAGCCACTCCGGCTCTTCCAGCCAGTCGAAAGGGCTATTTGCTGGAGTGAACAGATACCTGGCGGCTCGAGCTATCCAGGAGATTGGTGACCTCTTCCCAACAAACCCTCCAGCCCCGGAACCTTGGCCATAATCGACGCTGTGCGTCAGGATATCTTGGCGACCGGGCGAGCCAACACTGCTGTCCGCATGTTTTTCTGCACCACGGGGCTTTTTAACGCGTGGAGCAGGGGGAAACTCCTCCTTGGATTGGGACCTGATAGACGAGGTGGGCGCAGAGGCACCAGGAACGGCTTGCTCCTGTGATTCGGTCTGCAGGCGTCATGGTCAGCAGAGACAGTGGGCCATGGAATGAGCAACCAACGTTGGAGATCAAGTCACGGAATCTTGTGAGGGCTTCAGAGTTCGTGCTTGAAGGGGTCATCACCGCGTTCAAGGCTTGTCGGAGGGCGTTATTCTCATCCTCCAGCCCCCGGATGCGCTCCCTGCTTTCCTGCAATTGCCTGTTCAGGGCTTAGTCGGCATTCCCGTGGTCGGACTAGTTTTTTCTCAACTTTCTTGTTCTCTCCTTTTTCCCATCACTCAAGGCACAAGTCGCAACATCTTTGGCGCATTTACTGCACGGTTGGCCTCCTGAGCATCTTGTGCGCATCGATCGGCATCTGTCGCACGCGCGGGCCACCCGCTGGAGGCTTGCCCTCCTCCTTTCTGTATCGTTTGCGGAGATACGTGAGGTTGGCTGGGTTCCATTGTTCAGAGCCCATGTATTTGACGCAGAAGTGCTTCCTTCAGATTGCTCAGGAGAAACAGGATTCTTCTGGATCGCTGATCCTATTTGCTGGTCATTCGAAGGCATACTTACCAATAGAGGGGTCTCGTCAAGGCGGGTACGACACGAGACAAACAGTGCATTGAAGATAAACAGTTTATGTTTCTCTCTTGCCAAGGGTGCTCTCTGCTAGACCCGATTACATTCTCCAGGCCAGAGTTCGGGAATGGGGATGGCCTCGACAATTCTTTGTCAGAGGGCCCTGCAGCATGTTCTAAGAGGGCAATTGGAAAGGTGGGAACTGGAATATCGGCATTAGGGAGCCCTCAGCAAGGGTCATCGAGCGTGCTGACCATTGAGAAGTACCGGAGGCGCATCAGCTGGCAAGGGCCCAGGGCCCAGGGCCCAGGGCGAAGGGAAATGGATGAACCAATATTGTTAGTCCCATATGCCAGCGCTCTCAACGTCACCATTATCCAACGTCCCACTGAGGAAACACGTAGAAGACCTACAGCCAAGCACATATTCATCAAAGTTCCCTGCACGCCTTTGATGCTCTCATAGGGTGTGGTTCGAGAGACAACGTGCATCGAAAGCCCATGTTGTGATTGCGATCATCAGCAATGGAGTCCACTACTTCGTGAGGATCGAGATGATCGACGTCACAAGCCCGCACCTAGCCAGACTGCAAGCAGCCAAGGCGTTGGCAGTCGCTGTCCGATCGAAAATCGACCAACGAGATTTGTCCACGGAGGGGAAAGAAAGACCCTTTTAGTGGTGGATTCTTAATATCGAAAGAGTCTGGAACACTCACCGCAAACGGACCCCTGCCTGGCGGAAAAGGAAGCCGACTACGGTGCTGGAATTATCTTGTACCTACGAGTTAACCACAGAGTAGGGATGGTGGTATGAAAGGTCCACTGCGAGGACAAGCCAGCTGACAGGAAAGGAAGATCCGATAAGCGCAGCTGGGCGCTCGTACGAAGCTTTTTCCCGAGACTGACTACCGTTAAACGCTTCTCCCTCGGGCCGATAAATTCACAAGGCTCATTTCCAACGCCCGTTCGAAGAGCACAGTAGCCACCTATTGAAGCGAAAGAGTGGTTCTAGAATTGGCTTTGTCCGTTGGTTGCAATCCGGCGGGAACCTGCATGGATGCATCAGCTGAACAAGACCCTACCTTCAGGATCATCACGACATTGAGAAGCATCCTCTTCAACACTGGTGACATCCAGAAATCGCGGCCACTCATCACGCAATGGCACGAAACGAGCAAGAACCTACTAATTTGGCATCGACGACGTCTTCGAGCTGCAGCACAGGCATACAAGTGGACCAATGTCTGCGAACAGCTCGACGAGCCTGATTGTATGCTGGCTCTGGGACGTGTAATCGAAGACGCTACCACACGATACGCACAGCCCGAGATCGGTATGATCAAGGACATCAGAATAAGACTATTGATAGACCGTAGTGGGAGTCTCCAAGTGGAAAGCGTGCCAATGGGCGAGGCAAAGCCCTTAAGGACTCTCGAGACCGACATCTCGCATCAGCCACCTTCAAATGGCCCTCCTTGGTCTCTATCGCCAAATGGCCGCGGCTCGTTGATCTCTCTTGACACTGTCCCAACAGTACCAGCGTTACACACTTTGCACAAAACGACATATCGAGCTCCTTACGACGCTGCACGAGAGCGAGCAGGCATTGCGAAATGCCCACCTGGAGAGCGTGAAGTGCTTCTATTCAATCCCGAGCAGGAGATTATGGAGGCAAGTCTCTGCGCGGTGTATTTCTATCGCAATGGCAAATGGGTCGCGCCGTCATGCGAGACCGGTGGTATGATCAGTGCCACCAAGCTATGGGCCATGGATTCCGGCTTTTGCACAGAGCGGCCCATCAAGCTCGACGAAGTCAAGGATGGCGAGACCGTCTGGCTGAGCAATGCTCTTAGGGGATTCTTTCTAGGCAAGATTTCCATCTAATTTTCAGGCTTCGCCCGTCCAACGCTCATCTTTTTGGTATGCCCCTGACTGGCCTTCTCCTTTTCACCCTCCTTCTTATCATCTGCGGCGTCCTTTTTGACAGGGTTTGGGTTGCCCTTGTACGCGAGGGGCTTGAAGGCGAAGTATTCCTGTCGTACTTCCTCGGTGACCGCCTTCCTACGCTCCTGGAATCCAGCAACATATTCCTGCAAGTACCTGATGCAGATCTGCTTGATCTCGCCAGTCATCATTTCTCCGGACTCGTAAGCATTCTTGATTCGGGCGAGCTCCTCGTCGTCTTCAAGAAAGAATGTCAGGTATTGGAAAGGCACGTCAACCGTTGTGTCCCCGCCCAATTCCCGTTGCTTTTCCGCAGTATCTTGTCCACCAGAAAAGGCAAATCGGTTGATTTTGTTTTTGATTTGGTTGGGGGTGTCGGTCAAGAAGATGGCGGACGCATCGATGCTGGCGGACATCTTGGAACCAGGGCCCTGCAAAGCCGGCAGAAAAACCGAGTGGATAAGGGAAGGCTTCTGGTACTTCATTTGTGCCGCGTTCTCGCGACATTGCCGGAAGTAAGGGTCTTGATCAATGGCACACGGAATAAGGCACGGTATCGTGCGAACTTTTGTAGGGTTGTCGCCAAAGATATGAGGGAAAGATGTTGCGAAGGAGGTTGCCGATTGTACCGCACAGAAGAAAATCTCGCCCACATTATTACCACCGTTGAAGCCAAAGGTGCCGAAAATTTGGTTTGCCGTGATTCGTTTGGCCATGGAGATCACATTGTCGAAGAACGCCGTGCCCATGATGCCGCCTGTGTCATTGAACATAAAGGTTTTCGCCGGGTCAAAGCCTATTGCGATGATGTCTTTTGCATTGTCCAGTGCGAAGCGCTTCACGTCCTCGAGCTTCAGCTTTTTCGAGTGCATGAACTTCTCATCGTCGGTCAATTGAATGACAAGTGGGCAGTCGAATGTGTTTTGCAGGTATTTTGTGAACTCGAACGGTATAGCGTGTCCAACGTGCATGCTGTCACTGCTGGGGCCACGCCCGGTATAGAGGTAGAATGGTTCGCCCTTCTCATATCTGTCCAGGATCTTTTCAAGGTCGCGGTGCGAAAAGACGATACCTCTCCGCATAAATCTATGTGGTTTCTTCCCGGTGACTCTTTCAAACCGCTCGAGCAGTTGCGGGGTGATTGGTGTCGCACCGAATTCCCGCGTGAGCTTTTCATAGTCAACAGGTAGGAGTTTGCCGCTCTCATCCACACCGCCTGATACCTCGAAGGGAGTGATCAGTTGTGCCACGCTCTTTGCTGGGGCTTGCTCTGCTAGGGCGCTTGTGGTCAATTTCGGAGGCTGGCCAGGTTCATCTGCAGGCGCAGAACCTGTTGAGGTCTCTTTCGTCATGCTGTGAGGTTAGGCTCAGGGCCAAAAGGGAATGAAATCGTCCGAAGGGGCGTAGGTATCGCTGCTGTGTTGCGCAGAGTCTCTGTGGGTAAGGCTTTCAGGGTGCCCGCAAAAAGATGCCTATAGAGTGCTCCGGAACTATTGTGGCATTCGCATTCAAGGGCAGGCTCCTAGATTAGATAAGATCTTTGGTGATGATCTGCTCGGAATAATTAAGTCACCAGTGCCCGACCTCCGCAGCCAAGACCTTCTCCTCCTCAAGTGGCAACTCTCGGATTATGCAAGAGCTCACGCGAGTAAAAAGACCTTCGATTTCCTTCCGCATCATCACTGCCCGCACCATCTTCCATCCTTCCTTATGTCTTGATGCCAGAATGAAAGTCTACGAAAGCTCCTTCAACTACGATTACACCTTCCCTGCTGTTACACTAGCATATTTCCTCCGCTACCCGAATCCTTACTCTAGGCATGTCTTGAGCTCGGATGTCATCGATCGCCATGTCGATCCCGAAACGCATCGATTACACACTGTCCGACTACATCTGAAAAAGTCAAAGGTGCCTGCAGGTATTCTCAAGTTTCTCCCTCGAGGCCTCGCAGGTCCTGGTGGCGCAAGCCAGAGTTATATCTTAGAGAAAACCACGATTGACATCAAAGAGGGATGGATGGAGACCGAATCAAAAAATATGGAGTGGACTGGTGTATTGAGCGTTGTTGAGCGCCAAACCTTTCGACGTCAACGACTGGAGGATCTGGCCGCAAGTCCGAGAGACGACCTTGAGCGAGCAAAAGAGACCACCTCATGCAGGACTGTGGTGACATTTGTATCCAACCTTGGCCAAGGCAAGCTCCTAAGCTGGAGGCACAAAGACAACCCGCATGAGGCTCACGAGGAAGAGCCTCCGAAACAAGGATTTTTCGCTTCCTTGTCCACGGCTGGCATTCAACGCACCGTTGAACTCATTGGGGTCAAAAGGACAAAGTCGGCTTTGGTGAATGGCAAAGAGGGAATGAACGTGGTTTTGGAGAGACTCAGAAGTGGTGGCATCATTGGGGTTCTTGAAGGCATGAGAAGAGATCGCATGGAATCGATGGCTGGAGAAGGACATTGAGCACAGCTCGCCGTGGTGATGTTGACGCGTGGTCGAGCGGCCTCGGCCATGCTCTCGGATGTGTATTACTAACTTAGCTGTGATTTAAGCAAGGTGTTGGGGTTTTGAGATTGGACGCTTCTGTTGGCGTGCAGAACCGAAAATGTATCTATTGCCAGTGCTCTTCTAGGTAGGTAGCTAGCTGGGCAAAAGCTATTTCCACTCAACCAAATGTGCGTGTCACAAGAGCTCCAACAACAGTCTGCAAATTGGCATCATCGGTTGAAGCAGTTGTCAGGAATGGCCATGCGAGAACTCGTTTCGAGGTTGGGAGTGGGCGTCGAGATTGGAAATGCGATCACGACCAAATCCCAGCTCGGCTTTCTGCAAAGTTCGTCTCTGCATTCAGCCGCACTGTGTATCCAGAGAATCTCACCGACGGCAAGACTAAGGTGGGAGAAGGATTGCTCCTTGACTTGGCGAGAAAACTGAGGTCAATATGAGGTGACATGATACCCATGATTTGAGATCCCATCTCTCTTACTCTGTCTTCACTTCCTTCCACTCCTTCCCTTGACAAAATCAATCATTCATTTTCAGGCGCAAAGAGAGCCACATATGACCACCTGTCATCACTACTCTTGCCATTCTTTTCAAGAGTCGTGATCGGAATGGTTGTACTCAATTCAGCCTTGTGGTTGACTGCGATTAGTCTGTCCAGGTGCATCCCAGTGACTGAAGCTGCCCGGCTCTTCAGTCGACGAAGTGACCTCGATGCAATTCCTCCTATCAACGTTTCCACTGCTGGCTGGACTGTGCCACTTCAAGGAAGCCAGACTTGCAATAGCAATGGAGCCTGTGAGTACCATTCAGTTGCCACGGTTTTGAAAAATCTCCAACAGTTTGCAGGCACAGACACACTCACAGCTCCCCCTGCGGACAAGCATCTTGAGTACCTTGCGATAGCCCGCGGCCTCTACTTTTACACCTGTAGCGGTGCTGGACCTTCAGAAACCCCTGTCTTTGAGTCCCAGTCAACTCAGCTCTACAATGCAGCGCCGCTCGTTACTCAACTGAAGACAGAAGCGACCTTCCATGCCCTGGTCCCCCAGCTGTACGATTACAACTATGCGCAGCTTGATAATTCCACACTCGAGTGCTTTGGGACAATAGGAACAGACAACAATACAGCAGTCGTTACTCTTTTCGAGATTGCCACTTTCGAGGCAATCGCAGACGAATCCATCCTTGCTCCAAACGATCCGGACGAAAATGGCCGATGGGCCCATTCGACCAGCCCTGGCAAATCTTGGGACATCTACCGGGTGGAAGTGGTTGGTGGAGGTCCACCAGTATGCGGATCTGAAAACACCACCTACGAAAAAGACTATGCAGCAGAGTATTGGTTCTTTCACTCCGAAGGAGAAGACCTGTGGACAGACGTCTACATAAATGATCAAGGAGATGCCACAAAGACCAGAGTTCTCATATGACATGGCGACATATGGAAGGGGCTGAAGATGAAATTGAGAATCAGTGGGTTGGGATGTACCAGAGACATGGCGAGAAAGATTACAGGAGTTGGACGAGAGGCACCAAATGGCAGATTTTCACAAGAAGATGGAGAATGCGCAAAAGCAATCGTGAACTGTTTTCTTTCTACAGAGTACCTCAGGGCCATCTCGACGAGGATACCGATTGTGCTCGAGCAGGACTGGCGGATAATGATGATAGTACGGATAATGATAATGTCTTCTGTCAGTCGCGTGCATACTCCGTGATACTCTCCGCACAAAGAATAGCACATGTTCTCTAATGAAGTTAATAATGCAAAACCAAGGATAAACTCCCTAAAGCAGCTAGCTAAGCGAGGGCACTGACGGCGCGACTTGACCGTTTCGTCGCCCGCATTTGTGCCCCCCTCCTCTCACTTCTTCCCCCAGTCTTGCGCATTTCACCATCATACAACTAACGACGCGACTCATTCTTTTCGCTCGTGCATGCCAGAAGCATATCTTACAATCTAGGTCGCGGTCACTGCATCAGGTTTCCGACTTCGGAACACGTCGGTCACATCTCAAACTGACCTTACCGAGACCCTTTTACTCAGCTTCCCACATTACGGCCAATTCTGGAGATGCTTGAACACCAATTTAGCGACTACTGGTGACAAAGATATCTCATCGAAGAGTCTCACCTCACATCCACCCTCCTGAAATTCCCATTGGCACATTTCACAGACGGACAACTGGATCTGCCTGCGGAACCCTCATCTACCATCATGACCTCCGCAATCCATGATGACGAACTTTCAATATCCCTGCCTCAAAATGACCAGTCGAAGTCGAGACCTTCTTTACCTCCAGTCATATCTCCTCCTGCGCGACCAAGTCTCAGTCAAACTCCCATGGCTGAATCTCCAGGCACGATCCGATCCATGAATCGGTTACATCAATACAGTTTCGTTCGGAACATTGGTGAAGGCTCGTTTGGCAAGGTCAAGCTCGCGAGGCACAAGGTCACTGGTCAAGAGGTTGCCATGAAGACGATCAACCGTCGAAAGTTGATCAGTCGAGATATGGCTGGTCGCATCGAACGAGAGATCCAATATCTCCAACTGCTTCGGCATCCCCACATCATCAAGCTCTACACAGTCATCACCACCAAGACCGACATTTACATGGTGCTCGAATACGTACCTATGGAATTGTTCGATTACATCGTCAAGCATGGTCGGTTGGGAGAAGCCAAAGCTAGGAAACTGTTTCAACAAATCATATGCGCTGTCGAATATTGTCACCGTCACAAGATTGTGCACAGAGATCTCAAGCCTGAGAACCTGCTTCTGGACAAGAACATGAACGTCAAGATTGCCGACTTCGGCCTCAGTAACATCATGACAGACGGCAATTTCCTCAAGACGAGCTGTGGAAGTCCAAATTATGCAGCACCTGAAGTTATTGGCGGAAAGTTGTATGCCGGTCCCGAAGTTGATGTTTGGTCCTGTGGTGTCATTCTCTACGTCTTCCTTGTTGGTCGACTTCCGTTCGACGACGAATTCATCCCTGCCTTGTTCAAGAAAATTCAAGCTGGTACATTCCACATCCCCTCACAGACGCCGCCAGGCGCGGTCAACCTGATCAAACGATGCTTACAAGTGCATCCTGTCCACCGCATCACGATTCCCGAGATTCGCCAGGACGAGTGGTTCAAGAAAGACCTACCTCCTTATCTGGTCGAGCCTGTTGAAGAATTCCTCGATACCGGTGTTGACCCATCCAAAGCCATTGACCCTCGGCAACTTGCACCTGGAAAGCCGCCCGATGTTGTGGAACGAATTCATGAGCAAGTCATTGGCAAGCTCGGACGAACAATGGGTTACGCAAAAGAAGATGTCAAAGATGCTCTGAGCAAAGACGAGCCCAGCGCTATCAAAGACGCCTATCTCATTGTGAGAGAAAATCAGCTGATGGTCGAGGCTCCAGAATACCAAGTACATAATCCCGAACTTGAATCGTTCATGGCTTCGTCTCCTCCAGTCGAGCCCAACTTTCCCAACTTTCCCAATATCACCGGGTCACCCGTAACCAACGGCCGCCGATTCGGGGATGACGTGAAACCGCTTACACCTACTCGTGGAGATATGCATCGCGCGAGCCGCACATTATCTGATACTCCGGCACCACCGAAGGAAGAAGAGAAATCTAGAACTTCAAATGTTCGGGTCTTGAACACATCACTGCCACATGTTCACGAGGAACTTCTTCAAATTCGGGAGAAGGCAAAGGCGAGAGGCGACGATCCAGACACCATTCTCCACCCCTCTCAAGATCCTGACACCGAGAGTCCGATCCCAGAAGAGATCAAAGACGAAAAAGGAAATCCTATTTACCGATCTAAAGAAGAACAGGAGGCGACATCGAAGGCACTGAAGCCCCATTCGAGGTCTGTGACTGCGCTCAATACCTTACGAGATCCGCAGGCACGACCGGAGGGATTGACCAGCATGTCACAAGACGAAAAGCGTCCTCCGATGTCGAGGTCCAAACCCCGAAAATGGCAGTTCGGCATCCGATCGCGTAATCAGCCATACGAAGCCATGAAATGTCTCTACGCTGCTCTCAAGGCTCAGGGGGCCGAGTGGGAGGTCAATCCCTGGCTGAAAATGCAGCCCGAGGGCGGCGAAGGCGAAGAAGAGCAGGACAAGGGGCCAGCACCTCAAGTGGAGCTGGGTCCTGGTGAGCGTCATGTGGTTCTTCAACAGAAACACTCGTGGTTGAAGGAGGATTACTACGTGCCTCGTGACCCGTGGAACATCCGGGCTCGTGTGCTGAAGAGGGGAATGCTGATGCCAGGAGAAGCGCCGTCTCTCTCGGCCCACAGTTCCGCTGTCAGCCTGCCGGCCGAAGCCCAAAATCAGCTCAAGAAGCATATTGAGCAGCTTGGTGGTTATGCCTCCGAGGATGTTGCAAAGGCCCTGGGTATCAAGAACGGAGATCTGCCAAGAATGAAGTCACCACTCTCCAGCGCACAAAGCACGAGACCAAGCACGGGAATGGGTGAACCGGGCGGTCAAGGACAAGAAGCATACACAGGGCCTGCACACTACACCGGCCGAACCGACAGTCAGTCAACGTTGAACAAGAAGCTGCCAAGCGAAAATATCGGCGTTTATGTGTTTATTGACATTCAACTCTACACACTCGAGACTTCGACTTATGTAGTCGACTTCAAATGCGATGGTTACCAGAATGTCATTTGGCACGATTCAAAGAAGGATCGCGACAGAACCAAGACTCCTAGCAGCAGTAGCACGTTCACCAGTCCTTCCACCAGCCGACCAACTAGTGGTTTCTCCGAAGCCCACCGCGTCAATTCCGAGCCACTGGACGAAGAAGCATCGGAAGGGTATTGGAAACCAGTCAGCAAACGATACAGAAACGTGGAAAAAGAAATCTCAAGTCCGTATCCATATCTTGATGTGGCCAGCGACTTGGTGGCTCAACTGGTAAGTTAGAGTGCCGACGACACAGGACGGTCCTGACTGAATCTTCACAGTGGGGTGGCAATGCCTAGTGGGTGACGTTGAAGCCCTGTATGATTTGTAACGACTCACGACAGAATCATGAAATGTGCGGCAGCTTAGGCGCATGGTGATCGAGCTGGGAGCATGGAAGACCTGGTGTATTGCTGGAATTGTCTCATCCGAGCTTGGAGCTAGACAGGATATTCATGTTTGAAGCTGACAGTGCTGGGAAAACTGGATCCGGCCTGGAATTCTAGAGAAGTGTACGAAAGTATGAGGCAAGGCATAGCCAATGCCATAGATAGAACGAAATCTCTTCTGAGAGACATAATGAAGATCACAGAATACCAGGTAACCAGGACAATGTATTTCGTTTGTCGAGACGAGAAAAAAGCGATACTCACAAGTACCATCATATAGTTACTAGTAGCTAGTATACCTAAGGGACCACTTGGGTACCTAGGTAGCTGGTAGATACTCTTGCTGGGTGCTTGCTGTCCTCTAGATGTGACTGGAGTTGTGATTGGCTGGAACCATGCTTTACCACAGCCGATTCTAAACCTCACTCCTTCACCACCCCATGACCTATCTCAACTTTCGGACACACCCTCCAACTGAAGCTCGCGAGGGTTTGTCTAGGTGAACCACTCAACACCGAAGGTCTGTTGCAGTTTGCTTATAGACCTGTTGTATATCCGCAGTCCTGGTGCCTGGAACGCGGTTTGAAGGACAGCAAAAAGGACACTCCTCCCATCCGTGTCATAGCAACATTCGGTACGCCCATCAACCATCCAACACAAGCTGCTGGATTGCCGTCCGCTGAAACTATACGGCCGAAGGTCAAACGACATCATGGGCCTCTCCGCGAAACTGAAATCCTGGTCCGAGGAGTTGACGCCTTACTTCATCTATCTCCTCTTCGTCGCGACTTTGGGGCCACTCTTATTCGGGTACCACCTTGTATGACTTTCTCTGCTGATCTTTCCCTCCTCCTCTAGAACGATAAATTCGTGCTGACTATTACCGAACCATCTCCAAGGCCGAACTCAACGCTCCTCAAGAGGTCATCACATGCGAGAAAAAGTCGCCCAGTCCTTTGTCCGCGGCTCTGCCCCAGTGCATCCCCATGGACGCAGCGCAACTCGGTCTAGTTTCTTCCATCTTCACACTCGGCGGTCTCGTCGGCGCACTGGCCTCCGGCGCCCTCGCCGCACGATACGGTCGACTCTTCGTCATGCGGATTAATACGCTGCTCCTGGCTCTGGGGCCCCTTGGCGAGACGCTAGCTCCCAATATCACTGTTCTAGCTTTGGGACGACTCGTCTCGGGTCTAGGTGCAGGTGTGTCTGTCGTGGTCGTGCCGATATACATCTCGGAAATCGCCCCTCCCAAGGAGAAAGGCTTCTTCGGCGCCTTCACCCAGATCGCGACGAACGTGGGCATTTTCACGACACAGCTGCTCGGCTACTTCCTGAGTCACGGACAGATGTGGCGCGTCATTCTCGCGGTCGCGGGCATAATTGGCGTCGCACAATTTGTCGGTCTGCTGTTTGCGGTCGACAGCCCGAAATGGCAGGCCAATCATGCCAATCCACGACAGGCCAAGGACAATCTCAAGCGGATTAGAGGACATAAGGCGGATCTCGGCGAAGAGATCGAGGGGTGGGGGTTACAGCGTGAGCATGAGCGGAATGGTCAGTGATAGTCAACACTACCCTTTCTCTCCTTGTTCAAGAAACAACAACGCCACGAAAGGTTTCTAGTTTATGGGGTTGAGTCCTCGGTGATATCAATGCTAACAACCGAGACGATACAGAAGAAGAGCAGACCCTTCTCACAAACGAAGACCACGTCCACCACGGCCCTTCCGATACGTCCGCGCACCCCGACAGCAAATCTCAAACTCAAGCATCCGTCGGCATTTTCTCTGTTCTCCGCGACCCAGCAAGCAACCGCGCCATCCTCGCCGTCGTTGTCGTCATGATGGCCCAACAACTCTGCGGTATAAACAGCATCGTCATGTACGGCGTGTCTCTGCTGGCGGACCTGTTGGCGGCCAACTCGGCATTGCTGAACATTTTCGTCAGCATCCTCAACATCGTCGCGACAACGGGGTTTGCGCCGCTCGTCGACGTGCTAGGCCGGAAACCGTGCATTCTCGGCTCCATCGCCGGCATGGGTGTGTCGAGCGTGATGCTTGCTGTAGGGATCCGTAGCTCGATCCCCGTACTCAGCGCCATATCGGTGCTCCTTTTCGTCGCGAGTTTTGCGTTCGGACTCGGTCCCGTGCCGTTTATTCTGTCGAGTGAGCTTGTGGGCCCCGAGGCTGTGGGGGCGACGCAGAGTTGGGCATTGGCAGCGAATTGGATCTCTACGTTTGTCGTTGCGCAGTTCTTTCCCATGGCGAATGCGCGGTTGGGCAAAGGTATGGTGTATTTCATTTTCGCCGGGTTGGCGGCGCTGTTTTTCGTCTTCGTTGGTTGGTACGTGCCGGAGACCAAGGGTAAGAAGGATGTCGATGAAGTTTGGGGCAGGACTGGGAGGAGGGAGGATTGAGGTAGGAAGGGGAGTGCACTGAGACGGGATTGAGATAGGAACGGAGGGAGAGAAGATCGAGTGTAGGTCCTGAAGGAGACATGACTGTGATTGAGGGCCTAGGCAACGCTCTGTATGTGGTGGGTTATTACGCAGGTGGACAGGGCTGTTTGGCAAGAAAGCAGGACCGGTGATTCTGGAAATCCGACCCGTCATCCGAGCATAGGGGCAAGCATGATGGGCAAAAGGGCTGGGAAGGGGGTCTCTCGACCCATGCAACAGGACGGAGGATAGCAGAAGGACATGAGAGGTGCACGTATTCAATGATTCGGAAACACACTGAGCCTCTTGAATTCCAAAGGCCCATGACCATGCCGGTCAAGGGCACTCTTGTCCAATTAAACACTTAATCTCCTTGGTGTGCGAGTCACATATCATTCAACTTCCTCCGTCCCTTACGGCGTCGTAAAGTCCCACAAACTACTCACCGTCACATCCTCCACCCACCGCCCATCCGTAGTATCATTCTTCACCTCGAACGCGACCGTCTTGGCCTGGCCCGGAACCAGCCAGAAGCCATTGTCCTCGAAATTGCCCAGCACACCACTGGGGAAGTCCAACCACGTCCACGCAGCCACGCCAGTCGTCGCTTCGACCGTGAACGCCGGACTCGCGCTATCATTATTGGACTTCAACGTCAAGCCGGGGTCGGTGAGCTTTGCATCGGCCAGCGACAAGATCGGGTGGTAGAAGAACTCATGCGCGAACGTGCTCGGCGTGTCGTTATTGCTATTCGGCAAATGCCCCATTGCTGTCAGATTCATCCGCAGCAGGGCGTTGGTCAAATCCACACCAGTCTTGCTCAGCGTGTTCGTGTTGGTCTGCATCACTTTGGTCGTGTTCAGGGCGCCGACGCTGAACGGCACAGACACAGACCCGCTTTCGGCCGGACTGTTGGTTGAACTACCACCACTGTTGCTCGTATTGCTCACATTCGCCAAAACCTTGCCCGACCAGTCGTACCATGTTAGATCGACGGTGCCGTTGACCGTCTCCCACAGATCACTTGTCACGTACACACTCAAATCTCCCGTCGTGTAGTTCCAGTAGGGCGCGACAATAACGCGCGAGTAGATGTCTTTGGCCACGTAGTGCAGCACCTTCCAGCGGCCCGAGTACTCGATGCCTGCCCAGGTGGGTGCCTGCCATATGTCTTCGAGCTGCCAGTAGAGCGAGCCCAATTGGCGCTCCGGCATTCCCGATCCGCGGCGATAATACGTAATCTGCGAGCGGTAGAAGTCTGCTTGGAAGATCTGCGTGGCGAGACACCAGGACGAGAAGTTGGCGAGCGGGTCGGCCTTGTTGGGCGTTGGGTAGTACAATTCGACGGCGACCGTCATCTCGCCCATGCCCTTTGTGGTGTTGGGGAAGTTGGTCGTGTTGAGACTGCCGGACGGGTAATGATGGTTGCGGAGCTGGATCGTGGTCGAGTTGAAGTGCAGGTCTTCAGGGGCCACGGCGTCTTCCCAGGATTGAAGCGACGGCATGGAATGGAAGCCGAATTCGTTGGCAAATCGGCCCACCGGGTACGAGGACAGGTTGAATGCGACGCTGCTGTCGTAGTCGTAGTGGTCCGTGTCTCCGTAGATGTAGCCTGGTGTCAGATTGTTGTAACGCTCGATCATAGGATGAGCCGCTGAATGGTTCAATGTCAAATATCCGTTCGTCGTGCTGCTGGGGATGTACGAGATCGAGCGGGAATTTTCGTAAACAGCAGGAAGAAACACATCCAGAAATAGTGTCTCGTACTCTTGCTGCCAACGAGAATAATTGCCCGGGTCACTCAGGTTGGCAAGGTACAGTTCGAGGTTCTCGAGTTCATTGCCGCCAGCCCACAACGCCAGAGAGGGATGGTGATTGACTCGACGGACGTTATAGATGGCTTCTTCTCGAACATTATCGAGGAAGCTTTTGGCAACTGGATAGAGCGAGTCGCTGAACTCGAATTCAGACCACAAGAGTATCCCCTTCTCATCGGCAATGTCGTAGATGAAATCGGGTTGGTACGCCCCAGAAGCCCACACTCTTAGCATGTTTTGGCCCCCTCTAACAACAGAATCAAATAACTGCTGTATCCGTGTCTCAGTGACCCTTGGCCAGAAAGCGTCGGGTGGAATGAAATTTGACCCTTTAGCGAAGAATTCGTGGCCATTGATCTCGAAGTGCCAATTGTTGCCATTCTTGATGCCTTGAGCTAGCTGCCTCTGAGATATAGGTTCCATGTTCAACACAATTGTCCTGAAAGCAGTACGCTTGGTGGAAGACGCGATCGTATTGTTACTGGAACCCAACACAGTAACAGTGGCATAGTACAAATTTTGGGGACCAAGCCCATTTGGCCACCATAGCTGGACCGCGTTGCCAACGACCAGGATGTTGCCGGTGATGGCCCCTCCGGATATGGTGACATTGCTGGCGGCGCTGCTTGTTACTGTTTTGTTGTTGACGTCCTTGATGTCAATGCGTAGTCCAGCATTTTGTGGTATGCTGCCCAGAACATCAAGCGAGGCATTGACGACCCATGACTGTGTCTGATCAGGTGGTAGGTTATTGAGCTGGCCATGACGATAGATGTCAAGCAATGTGTTGCGGACGTACAACTGGTTTCGACTCAGCTGGACAATGTAAGCTGGCTTCCAGACGCCCGCCGGGGCAAATGCTGGACCCCAGTCCCAGCCGAAGTCGGATTGTTCTTTTCGAATCAACCAGCGATTAGGAAACTCGTAGCTCAGCTGTGTACCTTTCCATGGCTCGTTGAGCGACGTGTTTGCAATGGCGTTTGCAATGTTCGGAGCCGAGCCAAAATTGATCCTGACATCTGGTGACTTGCAGTTGCTCAGGGCTTGAGTGACATCAAAATAGTATTGTCGAAACTGATTGTTTGTACTTGCCACCAGCTGGTTGCACACGCTGATCGTGCTGAAGGTATCCAGACCATCGAATACTAGCCATGTTGAAGCACTAGACGACAAGTTTCTCGGGCGCCCGCCTTAGCCACGATTTCACAGCAGCAGACGTCAACTTACAAAGAAGATAGACTCGTCGTATAGGTCCAATTTGTTTCTGCCACCCATCTCAAGTTGAAATCGTTCAATCCGTAGTATGGATCACCAATGACCTGCGAATCATACAAGTCGAGATGAGCTTGAGATGGCACATTTCCTGGCACAGATATGCTGTAATTGGAATTGGTCAATGTCCACTCCAGGTCGCTCATCGAGGTTGCGCTTTGAGCAAGGCTGAGGAACGGTGCTCTAGACAGAGCCAAGCTCAACATCAAGACGGAGAGAGCCATGTCCGAGTATCAATATATGTAACTCTCAATCACCTCGTCTTGAGGGTATTGCCGTTGAACGAGGAGCAATGAACCTACCTTCAGACAGCGCCGTGATCATGTCATAAAGCCTTCAGTGGACCAAATATGGCCGGGACCCTCGGCACTCGTCGAAAACACAACAACACCTGGTTAGTGCTACATTGCTGCAAGGTACCATTTCATAATGATCGACAACTTGAAAGAGGAGAAGCAAAGAGGAGGTGTACTGTACAATGATGCACGGATGGCGAAATTGGGCTCGGTATAGCTACTTCCGAGCCTGAACGGGGAAGGTGTCATCAATCACGAAATGCAAGTCAGGTAGAGCGGTGTATACCCCTATACGGCCAGCGCCATTGGGGAACAGCTTCAATGGATGGATGGATGAACTGCTCTTCATGATACGTATCATTATGTTCTGAGTAATATGCAAGGCTCGCTAAACAATGGCCCAACGCCTCATAACATCATGACATACCTTTCCATCCAAGCCTCAAATCAAAAAGCTACCGAATCTGTTCTTGCCGTGGAACACCTACTCCGCCTTGACCTTGCTGCGCAGCCTGGATCTGCCGCTGCCTACCCATGGCGAGGTAGTCTCTATTCTCTACAGTCACACTCTTCGTCATGTGGTTGACCTTGTAAATCCCAACGAGTCGTTCGGCAAGTTCAAACATGTTGTTCCGCAGTGAAATCACGATAAATTGCGCATTCTTGGTTCGTTCTTTGATGTAGCCAGCAACAATCGAAACCTGTAATCACACCATGGTTAGCACCCCATCAATAGCTAAGTTAGAGTGTTGGGAGTCTCACATTTCTGAAATCCAACGCAGCATCGATCTCGTCCATGACATAGAGCGGTGTCGGACGGTAGACATGGAGTGCGAACACCAATGCCAGAGAACTCAGTGTCTTCTCTCCACCGGATAAATTGCCAATATTCTTCCAGCTCTTCTTGGGGGGCATGACACTGAACAAAATACCTTCAGAGAATGGATCCAGACTGTCGACAAGTTCGAGCTCAGCATTGCCGCCGAGGGTGATGAGTTGGTACATGGACTTTAAGTGCGACGAGATCGTCGTGAAGCCGGTCATGAACTGGGTAAGACGAAGATTTCGAAGGTCAGTGAGACGCGTTTTGGCGGCATCTCGTGTCTTGACGGCGCTTTTGAGGTCGCTCGTGCGTGAGGCCACCTCCTCGCAACGTCGACGGTATTCGGCTATCACCGATAGGTCAATGCCCGATGCGTTGCTGACCTTCTCCTCCAGGGCTGCAATCGAGGCGACAAGGCGATCTTTAGACATGTCACTGAGTTCATCCCGGGTGAAAGTCTGCAGTTCTCGTCTTGCCTGTTGGCTGTCAGTCGTCTGCTCTGGTTGTTCCTCAGGATTCTCCTGTTCGTCAACATCCATAGCGTCTGGATCTGATTCTGCTTCAGGAGGAGCATCCGGCATTTCCTCCTCATTATCTAGCGGCTGCTGTTGTTGCTGCTGCTCTTCTTGTCGTTCGGGGACACCTTCCAGGTCGGCAATGTCATGTAATGCCAACTTCGAGAGCTTCTCTGCCCAGTAGCGGGTCTTCTTGTTGTTGTCTGCTAAAACCTTCTGATTCTCTTCGAGCTTGTTCTTCATCTCAATCTCAAGAGCTCTAGTCGAGTTCAAGTCTGAAGTCTGGGCATCGAGATCTTTCTTCAGCGTTCCAAGCTCTTCTTTCATTATCGCCTGCTCTTCCTGAGAATGTTCCGTTCGAGCTCTCAATTCGGCCGCGCCAGTCTTGTGCTTTTCAATGTCGTCTTCCAATCGTTCCAAATCTTTCGCCAACGTCTCAAGCTCTTTCTCAGCATCAGCTCTGGCTTTTTCGTTCTTGACCTTGAGCTTTTCGTTTTTCGTCTTTGCAATCTCGGCATTGGAGATGTCATCGTGCAACATGTCCATTCGCTCTTTCAGCCCGTCAACTCTGGCCTTCTGTGTCCGAAGCTGAATACCTCCAACCTCCATAATCTTGTCTTGCAGTGCCTGGATCTCTCCTTCGACGCTGGCAGTCTCCGAGTGAAGCTTCTCAAGTTCCTTGTTCATGGATGCAATCTGCTTCTCAAGTGCTTTGATCTGCAAATCATCTGCAGAAGTCCCAGCAAGCTCGGCCACAAGATCCTGTACCCGCTTTTGCGCATCTGTGAGGTTCCTGCTGCAATTCTCGACCTCTAAATTGATCTTTTGGATCACTGTCTCCAGTCTGGGAATCTCCTCTTGCTTCTCCTGCAAACTTGCCTCGAGCTCTCTTTGTCGTGTTTGGAAGGTCTCAAACTGCCTTTCTAATTGATCTCGTTCACTTTCCAGCTTCTGCACCTGATCTCTCGTCATTTCGGAAACTGGCTTGGACGACATCGCACCGCGAGCTACACGAGTGCCACCACCGCTCATAGTACCGGAAACATCGATCAGCTGGCCGTCAAGTGTCACCACACGCCATCTCCTCGCACCATAGGCAATGCGGTTCGCTTGGTCAAGATCTTTGGCGACAAGTGTATTCTGCATGATGCTGTAGAATGCTGGCGCAAATCGTTCGTCTTTGGGCTTGATCAAGTCGAATAGTCGTGGAACATTTTCCGGTGTCTGGATGGGTGATAGATCCCGTTGTGCCAATTTGTCCAGCAGAATGAAGTTGGCACGTCCCAGGTTGTTCTTGCGCAGGTATTCGATGCATTGCTGACCAATTTCGACGTTGTCAACAACCATGTTTTCCAGAGCCGGACAAGCAGTAGATATGGCGACGTCAAATTTCTCATCGATAGTACCGAGATTTCCAAGGCGACCATGGAAGCCATCAATTCGCCCCGTGTCTTTGAGTCGCAATAATCCTTTGAGCACATTACCTTGATTTTGGCTGCTTGCGAGGCTGGCGCGTGCTTCATCAGCTTTCTGTCTTGCTGATGAAATCTGTGATCTGACTTCTGGTTCGCTTGCGGTCAGCTTCTGTAGAGCGTCCTGGATCTTCCTAACATCCTTCTCCAGGCGGGCCTTTTCATGCTTGCGCTGCTCAATCTGTTCCAGCTTTTCGGCTCGATTGGCTTCAATGCTCTCAATCTTCTCCTTCGCCTGATCAATCGCCTTCTGTCCACTGTTCGCTTTTTCTGTCAAGATATCGAGCTCGGATTGAGCCACGGCGATCTCGGACTGCTTCTGGTTCATCTTTGCATTCCACGGTTCCAATGACTTTTGCTTTGCTGCTATCTGGTCAGATAACCCTTGTGTCTTGCCTTTCAAGTTGTCGCGGATCGCTGCGAGTTCCTGTTCTTCTTTCTGTGTCTCTTTCTCCAGTTCGGCGACCTCACGGCTCTTCCTCTCAATATCATCTGTGTGTTTCTCGACCAAGCTTTGTGCTTCTGAAGCTGTCAGGCGGCTTGAAGTGGCTTGCTTCTCGGCTTTTTTCTGCTTCCCGTTGATGAATTTGCGCTTCTCCTCGAACTTGACGTTCTCCTTGTCGTACTTGGCCAGCTCTTTTGAAAACTCCTGCGCTTGTTTCTCGATGCGCTCATACTGCTTGAGAGCTTTGTTGTAAGCCTTCTCTAGTTCTTTGATAGCATCTTCACTTCCAGTGTGTTTGTCAAGTTCAGCATTGAGTTGCTCCTGAATCTGCTGGATGGCTTCTTCCGTAACTGCGGCGTTGTCTTGACATTCAGCAATGTAAATTTGATAGAGAGAGGATTGTTTCTCCGCCAGTTCATTCTCATCTCGAATGAACGTCAGAGCTTTGTTCTTCTTGTCTTCGAGACTGTTTTTCTCCTTTTCAACATGCTGGACACGTCCTTGCTTTTCGATACAGACTTCGTTCAGACTTTCTAGCTCAACTGCAGCTTCTTCAATCGGGGTCTTGTATTTGGATGTCCCTATGATATCTTCGAGGTATTCCAGCAGCCCGTCGTCATGCTCGTTGGCTGCTTTCGGCTTCATCTGAGCAATCGACTCGACCTCACCCTGCAAGATCAGGAATCTCTTGTGATCGAGGTCGATGGCCTTGTCCTTCAACAATGTCGTCACCGTGGTGAAATTTGTCGCCCTGCCGTTCAAATAGTAGTTGCTGGTATTATTTTTGAAAGCTTTTCGCGAAACCACGAGCTGGGAGTCCGGAACAATGTCGTGCTTGCCACCGGGTAAGTCGACGATCTCTTGGAAATAGACTTCCACTTCACAAAAGTCGAGGTCTTGGTGTTGTGCTGAATTGTGAATGAGCGCTGATATCTTGCCCTGCCTCATCTTGCTGGCTCGAAACCCGAAGACAAAGAGCAGCGAGTCAATGACATTAGACTTGCCAGAACCATTCGGCCCAACCACAGCGGAGAAGGAAGGATGGAAAGGCCCAACCACTTGTCGTCCAGCATAACTCTTGAAATTTGTCATGACCAATTGTCTGATCACCATTCTTGACTTTGGTTCTGTTGACTCTTCCACCTGCGGTATTGCCTGAGCTCTGGCTCGAATGACAATGTCCATGGGCTTGTCCAAGGCCATTTCCACTGGGGGCGCTGGCTTGAGAATATCCTGAGCCAACTTTGGCGGGGCATGCTTGTTCAATGCCTTGCTCGTGATGTCCGTCAATGGTGTCGCTTGCGTCTGTGGTAGATTTGGCGAGATGGAGGCGTCTTCGGTGGGCAAGGGAGGCATTGGAGGAGCTATAGAGGATCTGCGTCCTTTTCGAGGAGAGGTACTCTTTCGCTTTCGCGGTGAGGGACTCTTGGATGGGGAAGTAGGTTCACTGGGTGCCAGGCTTTCTTCCGGGTCGAATATCTGGGTTGGCTCGATTCCTTCGCCGGTCTTGGCCTTACGCGCTCTCGCCGACCGTTTCGGAGTCGCGCTGACGCTTGCCGTCGTCTGTCTTCTTGTTGACTTGCGCGGACTGCGCTTCGGTGCCGGTGTGAACTCTTCATCGTTGTCCTCCTTGATCAGACTCAGCTCATCCTCAGATTCGTCGACAACAATGGTTTTGCGCGTGGCCCGGCGCGACGGTCGAGCAGGAGATTCGGCTGACATGTCGACAATTGTCGCATTCAATGTTGATGTTGGACTGTTTCGCAGCGACGCAGGTGAGGACTGAATCCGCGAGGTTGTTTTGATGGGACCTAATCGGGTCTAGCTGGTCAGACGTGCTTACATAATCTGACGGGGTCCAAGTACCACACTTGTGCACACTCTTACAGGGTATCGACATCGATCGTGAAGAGCTTCAGCGCGGGTCAACAACTCGCTGCTGTTACTATTATTATCTGACTGATGAACAGCTGAAAGCACTCGGTCTCTAAAGCTTGATACTCTCATTAACATCTGCGTAAGAATCTCTATGCATGGTCATATCGTCCTGCTGGTCAAAGCCCCTTTCCATGATGCCATGCCACCAGTTATTTCCGTTACCCAGCCGTTATCAAATTCCCGCTCTAGTCGTCTAGAAAGGCCAGACCCATTTCCTGATGTACTCTGGATCGATACCCTCATGGAAGGCGTCGTTCTTGCACTTGATCTGTTCGTTGAGCAATTTCTCCCTTGCGCTCGAGCCCTTGTTGCCAAGGTTAGGCATCTTGTCTAAAGCTTCCATGGCCAGACTGAATCTATCCGTCTTGTTGCGAATTGCCAGTTCGAGGGGCGTATCGATGTTTCCTTTCTCGTTGTATCCGTGGACTTGCAAATTGTGAGATCCCTTGCGGTTGAAGGTCAATCGGTGAATGAGCCATGGGTATGAGTGGAAGTTGAAAATGACCGGCTTGTCATCGGTAAAGATGGCTGAAAACTCCGTGTCCGTCAAGCCGTGAGGATGATCACCGTGTGGGATGAGCTTGAACAGGTCCACCACATTGACGAACCGGATCTTGAGCTCGGGAATGTATTGGCGGAGCAGAGCAGTAGCGGCAAGCGATTCATGAGTCGGAACATCACCGCAGGATGCCATAATAACATCGGGTTCTTGACCTTGATCATTCGATGCCCAGTCCCAGATGCCAGCACCCTTTGTGCAGTGTTCAATTGCAGCTTCCATATCAAGGTATTGCAGGTGATTCTGCTTGTCGGCAACAACGACGTTGACATAATTAGTGCTTCGGAAGCAATGATCCATGCACGAGAGCAGGCAGTTGCCATCTGGCGGCAGGTAAATGCGCACCACTTCAGGTGACTTGTTGGCGACGACGTCGAGGAAGCCAGGGTCTTGATGGGTGAAACCGTTGTGATCTTGACGCCAGACAGTCGCTGTCAACAAGATGTTGAGGGATGCCACCTTGGCTCGCCATTCAACTTCGAGGCATTTCTCGATCCACTTACAGTGTTGATTCACCATTGAGTCGATGATGTGAATGAATGGTTCGTAGCTGTTGAGGAGACCATGTCGTCCAGAGAGAACATATCCTTCGAGCCAGCCCTCACAAGTGTGTTCGCTCAGCATTTCCATGACACGACCTTCAGGGGCAAGGTTGCCACCATCGGCATCTTCCTGGAAGTATTCACCCATCCAAACCTTCTTGCCAGCCTTGTACACTCCGGCAAGCTTGTTGGATTCCGTCTCATCGGGCCCAAAGAGGCGGAAGTTGGTCTGATTCTTCTGGATGATGTCTCGGAGAAAGACAGCCATGTTGGCCATGCTGGGTGCGTCGGTCGTTCCACCATGTGGGACATTGATCTTGTAGTCGCGGAAGTCGGGCAGCCTCAACGGCTTCTTGATGAGTCCACCGTTCGAGACCGGGTTAGCACTCATCCGGGCGTTGCCTTCTGGCGCGAGCTTCTTGAGTTCTGGGATCAACTTTCCGTCTTCGGTGAAGTACTTCTCTGGTGTATAGCTCTTCATCCAGTCCTCGAGGAGTTTGAGGTGTTCAGGGCTCGAAGCCACATCAGGCAGGGGAATCTGATGAGATCGCCAGTATCCTTCCAGGTAGTGACCATCAACAGTACGAGGGCCTGTCCAACCCTTTGGACTTCTGAGCACGATCATAGGCCAGAAGGGACGGAAAGCCTTGCCAGACTCACGCGCCTTCTTCTGGTAGCCTCGAATATCCGTGACACATTTTTCCAAGGTGGCGGCCATGGCTTGATGCATGCTCATAGGGTCGCTTCCTTCGACGAAGTATGGAGTCCAGCCATAACCGATAAATAGCGATTCGAGCTCTGTGTGGCTGACACGAGCAAGCACTGTAGGGTTGTTGATCTTGTAACCATTCAGATGGAGCACCGGGAGAACTGCGCCATCTGTAATGGGATTGAGGAACTTGGTGCTGTGCCAGCTGGTGGCCAAAGGTCCAGTCTCTGATTCACCATCACCGACCATGGTCAGAGCAATGAGTTCTGGGTGGTCAAAGACGGCACCAAAGGCGTGGCTGATGGAGTAGCCCAGTTCACCACCTTCGTGGAGACTGCCGGGCGTCTCAGGAGTGGCATGACTGCCGATTCCACCTGGAAAGGAGAATTGCTTGAAGAATTTCCGCATGCCTTCAACGTCCTCGGACTTGTCGGGATAGACTTCGCTGTAGACACCCTCGAGGTAGGATTGAGAGATGACAGCCGGGGCACCATGGCCGGGGCCGGAGATGAAGAGAGCATTGAGATTGTACTTCTTGATGAGACGATTCATATGGACATAGGTGAAGATTTGGCCAGCGTCAGACCCCCAGTGGCCGAGCAGTCTGGCCTTCAGGTCATCGACTTTGAGAGGTTCCTTCAATAGAGGATTGTGTCGGAGGTACAGCATGCCCAGGCAGAGATAAAGACTGGCTCGCATGTAATCATCTGTGAGTTTGAGCTCTTCGTCAGTGAGAGGGGTTTCTTTGACGGTTGAACGAGCTTTGCCGTAAGCTGAGAGACTCGCCATGGAGACATCCATGTCAGCCATGGGCGCCATGATGAGTGTTGATGATTTTCTGAAGGAGAGGTTGGTTTTGGGGATGATTTCCTGAGGGAGAGGAAAGAGAAGGATGTAAGTGAGGAGTGAGGGAGAAGAGAGACAGCTTATATATATCGTTACGACATCAGGCAGTCGACAGTCAATACTGTACAGTGGGAGGCGGCAGGAGCCGTCATTTATCATCGATCGCAGCGTCACTTCTCCGGTTTACGTGTCTCTCTTCCTTACTACTACAACTACTAGTACAGACGTGGTAGGGGTATCACGGGTATTCACTGCTCGGTTTGCCGGCCCGTGCTTGTCAGTGGGTGGGAGCTCAGGAAACGGCCTGGAGCTCTCAACCCTGCACGTGGCTCTACAAGGTTCTGGCTGATACCTATCATAGTACTTCGTTACGGGTGCATACTACCTAGACCTGTGTATGGTGTAACGAGCCAAGAGTGCGGCCATTTCTGTGCATGCATCGTCAGGCTGACTGTTTTCTCCATCACAGAGTCTGGCCAGTCGGGAGGACCTTCGCTAAAGACTTGATGGGCTTCAAAATCAAAGCCGGGCGAAGCTAATAACCTGCTGAGACGATCACAGCCTCCGATTGACGCAGCCGTGAACCAGGCCAGAGTGCAAGAGGATTCGATACAAACAACTCGGATCATGAGATGTCAACCGCCAGAAAATCCTGTGCGTGTCAATCGCTTTACCACATGCCATACCAAGTGGTGTGATGATGAACCCTACCCTACAAGATTCTGCAAGAGGCATAGCGGAAATTCTTTGGTGTTGCCGACGAATCCGAGGACGATCACGGTCCTCACTGTTTTTCAGCTCATCAATAACTCCGGAGAGTACCATCAATACCACCAATACCACATCTGTGCAACATCTTAAGACGGGTGCATTAGCATATCGTTCCATCAAAAGCATGCAAAGTACTCGTATCCATCTGTCGAGGTCGCAACCGGCCGATCGCCAACACTGTGGTACACAGCCTAGTGAGCCCTAAATCGCTATCTGGGTGCCATCTACGAGTATCACCTGTCTCACCTGTCTGTCATCCCATCTCCCTGCTTGAAGCAGGGGAATAGCATCCGAGCTTGATCTGCTCATCCATCCAATAATGACGCAGCATGAGAATACGAGGTCGAGGATTGCCAGAGAGCCAGGCACTGCATGTTGAGAGCTTTTCGATGGGACCTGCCTCATCAACTTACCCAATGCGCCCTCAAGTCGTCACCCCAACGTTGCTTCCAGGTTGATGGTCATGGTGACGATGATGGTCCGTTGGCTGCAGGTCTCGACGACCGATCAAGCGGCATCAGACTGATTTGTTCTGATGGACAGGGAGTATAGTATGCACGACAGAACTTATCGATGCTGAATAATCTGCATGCGATCTTTCATTCGAAGCTTTACCCCAGATCTATCCCCTTTCCGGTTACTAGTTCTCCATGCGGGTTGAGCTTGGTCAAAACTTGAGTCCAGCACGATCTTGACGGGACACCCGGGATGCTGGTCGGCGAACTGTGAGAGCTGCTGTGGACCACAGCCGCTCAGATCAGGAACGACCCGATCACTCGCTATACCCATGAGTCAGCTGCGGCTTGCAGCAGGCGTTCCTGATGACTTACCTCGATTGGCCTGGTGATATTTCCTGCTGCCGGCGAAAGCCTGGGACCGGCATGTGGTTCCTATTGGTTGGGTCAGGATACTGACCGAAAACCAGCTCTGTGTAATGACAGCCAGATTATAGAGCTGTGAGTATCCCCTGCGTGGACGTCGCTGTTCCTTGGCTCTGCCTGAGATGTGCATGGGCCTCGCTATCCCTGCCCGCAAGCCCGCATTGAGAGATGCTCCAGCGCTGTTCGACCCAGCTCACTCAGCAGCAAGCGGCATACTTCGACGTATACCCGGATCGACTCGGTGGCGTGTGTGCCCAATGAGGCACCAGCTCATGGCACCGCGTAGCTACCACGAAGCTAGCTGCAACGTTCCGAGACCCAAATACCGATCAATGCTGATTCGAGGATCACCTTCCACAAGGGTTCCCCAGATTTCCAGCTCTCATGGAGGCTGTTCTTTGAGCTCGCCTCAAGAGCAGCCTGCTCATGGCATTTCGACTGCATGTCCCACTTGCGTCATTTTGGTGGGTTTCAAGTTCATTCCTCGACCGGTTGCAGGATTGTGCCCTCTTCATCGTCAACAAAGTCTCTTCTTCACTTCTGCCCTTTCAGAAAAATCCCCAGGCCTCTTTCGTCAATGCATCAAGGACCTGCTTTGTCGCCTCGCCTACCTCGCACAACGCCAGGCGGATAACATTCAATACAGGTCAAGAGTGCCGGCTTCTTTCTGCCTGCTCAAATTCGCACATCGGCCTTCTTTCCAAGTCCCACTGTGAAGACGGTTCTGATCGCTTCTCGTGCAACGGGATGTCACCTACCGGTAACGGCTCGTGGAGCTGATATATGCTTCGACTCGAGACCGAGCTTAGAATTCTTCGTCTTGCCAAAGTTGTCACAAAGGCCGCTGAGCCTTGTAACGCAGACAAACCACTGGCAGCATTTCTCTCTTGCCACAAAGGGAAATGCCGCTCATCTCATCTGCGGGGTTGCTTGGTCGATACGGACTTGACCACAACGACACGATAAGCAGCACGACAGATCGGGAGGGCCTGATATCGATCGCGCCCTCTCCTCTCTTCCATTCTCTCTTTCCTTTATCAGAACATGCAAACACATCTTACTGCCCGTCGGACCTTATAAGAACCATCACGATGGCACCTAATTCGAGGTAATCATTTCTCTCTTCATCCTTTTTGCCCTTCGATCCCCAATTATTGCTTCCATCGACTCCCACCTTGACACTTATCTATACAATTCCCCCATCACCATGTCGACAACCACCACCGCCACAGAAACAACCACCCAAACGATCCCCCCATCCTCCGAGGCTCAATATTATGGCAAGCTTCGCTACATCCCTCATGGCCAAACGCCCACGCCGTCCCCTCATAACTTCCACCTCCCCGCCATGGCCGAGTTCGGTGACGTCCGCCTTCAACCACTAATAGATATGCGCCCTGTGCCAACCATCGCCGAACTCCCCTCCGCCAAAGAGCCGACCGCACAACTCTCGACCCATGGCTTCGCGGCCGTCCACCACCCGGTGTCCATGAACTCCGCCCCGTACACCGTATCATCCTGGAAAGACCCCAAACTGCTCAAGAACTCATACGTCCCCGAGACAGAAGCAATGGTCAAACAGATCACGGGCGCCACCACCGTGCTCACCGAAGCCCTCCTCCTCCGCTCCGCCATCTGGTCCGAACAAGACGCCCTGGCCACGCACGCCGGCCACGGCGAGGAAAACGGCTCCTCCACCACTACCACCGCCCAATCCTCCCTCCCAACCGAGAAAACCCAAGAAGAAACCGATCTGGAACTCGGCTTCCCGCAATTCATCGGCTTCAGCGCCCGACACGGCGGTGCCTCACCGGCACCCAAAGTGCATCTAGACTACGCCCCCAACGGCGCGCGCACGCACATCCGCCACTTCCACCCGACCATGGCCGCGGCGTCCCGCAAGATCATCGACGCCGAAGACCGCCTCACATCGGAGGGCAAATCGCTGCGCCAGTCCTACGCCTCCTCAGGCCTCGGTCCGCGCTGGGCCCTGTTCTCCATCTGGCGGCCCCTGAAGCGCGTGCACCGCGACCCGCTCGCCCTCGGCGACGCGAGGACCTTTCTCGAGGAAGATTACGTGCCCGTCATCGTCAGGACGCCGAACCTTGGAATCCCCAACACCACCTCGACCCACGAGACCGAGAGTTACCTCGCGCACTGGTCCAGCGGCCAGAAGTGGTACTTCGTCTCCAACCAGGAGCCCGAGGAGGTCTTGGTGATTGGCTTGTTCGATTCCGATCGCGACAAGGAAACGGTCGCCGCGGGTGGCACGTTGCATAGTAGTGTCGACCTGCCCGGTACGGAGAACGAGGAGGCCAGAGAGAGTTTGGAGTTGAGATGTTTGGCCATTTGGGACTGAAATTTGAGATTCAGAAGCAGGGCAGTTCGTGCTATGGTTTGGGTTTTGGAGTTATGAGAAGACAGTTTACTCTATAGACTTGGTTCGGTCGGGTAGATGTTTGGTACGAATATGCTCCATGACCAAATGTCAGCTACATACCCGTACCACGAGACTCAACTACAATTGACGGTCCGGATTCAGTAAGAAATCTTTCTTGGTTAGACTTTCATCGAAGGAAACGAAACGAACTTCATCATGGTCAATCTTAATGCTTGGGTACTAGTATCCTTTTATTCTATGCAATTCGTATCTCATCACCATGCCAGGCCAAGTCAAGTCCTAGCCAAGTCCAGTCAAGTACTCGCCAAAATGCCCACACAAGCGCCGCCATGCTGAACGCAGACACAAAAACCACAATCACCATCATTGTCGAATTGCAACCCCAATGCTGCTCAGATAGTGACACCGTGCACGGACCGAAGTGCTCACATTCTCCATGCCGGTGGTCTTCTCGGTGTCCAAAAGCATTCTCTGCCATCGCTCGCCTTCCACAGTGTCGTTGTCATCGCCAGAACCAACAAGTACACCTGCACCTCCACCGGCAGCAGTAAACTCCTCCCACATTGGCGCTCCTTCCACCCGATACACATTCGGGTCCAGCGCTCTGATGAAACTGGCCCAGTAGCCCTGCATGAGCGGCACGATCCAATGATTCGACTCCCCGGCATGATAACTGGAAGGAGCACTACCACCAACATTTTCGGGACCCCAGATCGCGCCGAGCTCGGCTGTATGCGGCACCCCCAGTCCTTTCTTCATCTGTGCTGGATCTTTCACATTGTATCTGTAATTCCAGTTGCCACTGACACCATAGCGCGCGAAGGCGCTGGAAATAAACAAGTTCGGACACATGTACCGCATATCGCCGTAAGCGTTAGATAATTGACGCCACCAGGAACCCGAGTTGGGGAAATCTGGACCATGGTTAGGGAAGAATTCCTTGATTCTTTGGAGATGTTGTAAAGTCAGGTAGGGAAACTGATCGTGGAGAAAAGTGTCGGACTGTTTTAGGCTGGATGTCGACCGTGGGGTAAAGATCGTGCCGCCGTTCGTATCATCACCAAAGATGACAGGTACGTAGATAAAAGCGCCAGAATCGAAGGCAGCGTATGTGTAGTTTTGAATCAGATCGTCATCCAGCACCGGGTTCCACATAAACAATGGTGGTTTCTGCGAACCAGGATATGGTGTGTTGACATTCTCCGATTGTAGTTCGGCGGCGGTTTTCGAGCGCATACAGGCCAACGTGTCCTTCTCTTCTGTTGTACTTGAGCCCTTGGCTTCCAATGTTGAGCTGCTGCGATGTGCACAGCCCAGTCGCACAGCGAAATCGTCGTATTGATACTGGCTCTCCTCAACCGTCAGGATTGTGGCGAAGCTGACCGATTCTGCCGCTGCACCGATGAAGAGTCCATCATCTCGGCCACCATAGGCAGTCAGATGCAAAGCAATGGATGTAGCACCAGCTGAATCTCCACCAAGCACAACATGACTGGGGTCGCCACCGAATCTCCTGATATGCCGTTGCACCCATTGCAAAGCCTTCCGTTGATCCTTGATGCCGTTGTTGAGACTGTCGATCTCGCGACCTGCGATGAATCCGTACGGACCGACACGGTAGTTGAAAGTAACCACAATAATGTTGTAGCCAGAAGCGGCAATCAGTCCGCTGCCGTCGTAGTTTGCATTGGAATTGAAGTTGAAGCCACCACCTTGAATGAAGAAATAGACTGGTAGTTTCGATTCGCTAGTGGCATGAGTTGGTGCAAAGACATCGACAAACAAGCAGTCTTCTGACTTTCCTCCCTTGTGCGGACTCTGACCGGTTCCGAGACAGATCTTTCCGTGCTAAGAGCTGTTTAGTATCCATGCAAAGTGACGGCAGTAGGTTTGATTTACCTTGTCGGCCTTTTGTACACCGTCAACAGCAGGAGGGTCTTGAGGAGCAGCAAATCTCAGATCGCCAACAGGAGCCGCAGCATATCGCATTCCCAGCCAGTGTGTGACACCGTTCGGATGCGCAAGTCCCTCATAGGTAGCGTAGCTAAGATCTACTGTGACCGTGATCGCCGTCACTGCTGTGAGATAATAAACTGCATAGAAGAGGGTGAACGACATGAGCATGATCAGCAGTCCCCGGCTGAAGAGCTCGTAAGTAGATATCGCGGATTTATTGATTGCTATCGCAGCTCGCTCTTGCAGTACCTCACCTCCGACACCATCTTCGTCGCCATCGGCAAGCTGGTGCAGCGAGTCTGAGAGCGCATGGTATTTGTGATCTGAGAAGGTCTCCATTTTTCGTCACCGTCTATTTCACTCCAACCACTTGCAAGGCCAGTGTCATCGCTATCTTGAGGCGCAATGCATGACATGATGTGGCTCTCCTGGAGCGGGAATTGGCCAGCCAGTAATATTTCCGAAACAGACCCATGCATGGAAGCTGTCAAGGCTCGAAGGATGGCAGTTAGGAAGCTCGATCGCTCGATAGCTGGTGTTGGAGAGTTGTTTTGGCGGTGCGGGGGGTTGTTCAGGCTGGAACGTTGTCACCAACAATTCATGCTAATAAGCAGCACACGCAGCATCATCGGAATCCCCCAATCACCCATGATCCTGCTGGATTCGCGTCCCCAGTTGTTGTTTAGTCTGGATAGTTCGAAGAGCTTGACCACGTTCCTGCATAAAAAGCTTACGTCGCCCAGAGCATCAAGTGGTCCCACCAGGATCTCAAATCACGGAACAGCTTCCGTAATCCCTGTCCTCACATAATCCCAGCTAACTCCAGCGATATCCTCTCCCTTCAGTCTGTTTAGAGCGCTGATGTCGGACGTCGACCTTCCCAGTGCAATCCTTCGTGCCATGACTGAATCCTTTGCTCCAGCAAGTTTCGATCCACCACCATTCAGCAAGCATTCCTCGAACCATCTGTCCTCTTCAGCAGTAAATCTTAGGCCAGCAAGAAGAGTTGCGCGTTCGGCATGCTCAGACCCCGGTGTCTCTTGGTGGACTGTGATGACTAGCTCCTCAAATAATGCCTTGTGTCTCAGATGGTCCTGCTTCTTTGCAAAGTAGTATGCCTCCACAAGATTGTTACGGAGCAGTAATTGGAAATATGCCTCAAGTGCCGCTTGGTCTTTTAGTGGAGGAGAAACCGCAATGTAGTATGCTGTCGCGAGAGCGGGATCGCACTTTGGATGCTGAAGGAGCGCTAGGAGGATATCGTCGGCGAACGTAGGAGTCAAGGAGGGATCGGTCAGGTGTTCCAAAGCCCGTGAGAACTGCGCATGGTCAAGCTCCCACAGCCCGGCCACAAGAAGCTGGTATTTCTGAGGAAGATAGGTTCTTCGAGCGAAGTTTACATCTGCATTGGAAAGTTGCCGACAGTCTCGGAGGACGTAAAAGAGGAGGGCGAGTTTCTGCTCGTCTGCCGCGGATGACTGTACAATTTTGGACCACAGATTGCGTAGATCTTGGTTTGTTCTAGGAGGGTAGTTGTTCCGTGAGGCTTCAAGTAAGTGAGCGTCTATAGTATTGCTGGGCTGTTCCGTACTCACGTCGCATCAAACCAATTGACTTCCATATGCGGTCAAAGAACAACTCGCCGAATTCCTTGCGATGTCTGGTGATGTTCTCGACGGTCTTGTTGTCGTAGGCATAATCAGGCTTTGCCTGGAATACAACGTCAAAGTCTTGCCAATTGAGCATCATGACGATGTACGACGGCAAGTCTGGTGGTGGAATACAGCAACAGCGCGTTCTCTCCGCGACGCAACTGCGCCCATCGCATGGGCGAGAGATTGTACAGCGAATCATTTAGGCCATATTCACAAGTGCAGTAAAAATGTCGCGCCGTATAATTCTCTCCCGCCCCAGCGCCATCCCCACACAACACAAAACACCCGAAGCGGATTGTCAACACCATGGAAATTGGTCAAATGGGTTTAGTCATTGAATTGTTTGCAGCCAATTCTCGATGGCGGGTTCAACATCATCTTGTGGAGATGCATCAATGACAAGACGCGACCCCGCCTTTTGGTGCCTCGATAGCATCGACTCGAAACTTCTCGTGTTCAGATATTCCCTCCAAATGGGTTATAACCGAGGTGAATCGGCTTCTTCCATGATGCCTGGTACTAATCACCCTTGATTAGTTCCCAGCTAGGTGTTTTCATTCTTCTTTCTCAAGTTTGACCTCATTTCCACTCCTTCGATCGTAACACTCTCTGATATCCGTCAAAATGGGTTCTGAACGCTATCCAGTCCAGCAAAAGGGCATCTATCACAATCTTCCTACCTTCGATCCGTCCCTCAAGGGATTGACGGCCATCGTGACAGGAGCCAATGGCATATCAGGTTTCCATACCATGCGAGTCCTGCTCGAAAGTCCAGAGCGCTGGACGAAGGTCTACGCTCTATCACGCAGGCCTCCACCAAAGGAAATGATGAGCCTGCTTACCGAAGCTCAGCGATCCCGTGTACAGCACGTAGCGGTCGATTTCCTCGACGAGCCCCAGAAAATCGCAGATGCAATGAAGGCCGCCAATATTACTGCTGACTATATTTTCTTCTATTCGTACCTTCAGCCAAAACCACCGCCGGGCGCAGCCGCTTGGTCCAATGCGGACGAGCTGGTCAAAGTCAACAGTGCTCTACTCGACAACTTCTTGCAAGCACTGACTATTGCGAAAATCACTCCCAAACGCTTCCTTTTGCAGACTGGAGCAAAGAATTACGGCGTACACATTGGCCGCGCCCGAACTCCAGCGATTGAATCCGACCCTCAGCCCTCTCATCTCGAGCCGAACTTCTACTATCCGCAGGAGAAGTTGCTCTTCAACTATTGTAAGGCGAGCAACACTTCCTGGAATGTCATCCGCCCAGCGTGGATTATAGGCGCCGTCAATAATGCCCAGATGAATGCTCTACACCCTTTCGCGATCTATGCAGCAGTCCAAGCCCAGAAAGGAGAGCCACTCTACTTCCCAGGGGATTGGAATGCTTGGCAGCATGAGGCGCATCACTCGACCGCAAGATTAACAGGATACTTGTCTGAATGGGCGGTGCTGGAGGACAAATGTAAGAACGAGGCATTCAATTCGCAGGATACCGGCCCATTGAGTTGGGACCGTTTTTACGAAGAACTCACGCATTGGTTCGGCGTTGAAAAAGGTGTTCATCCGCCAGAAGAGGACCCGAGCAAATTCACCGAGATCAAAGGCAGAGCTGGGAAAGATACACCGATGGGGTAAGTTTGCTTGACCTTTCATGTTAAACTCGTGACTGACCATCTCTAGCTACGGCCCTCCGACCATCGTTCGCAGCTTGTTTTCACTTGTTGACTGGGCTACTAAACCTGAAAACCAAGAAGCTTGGCAGACTCTGATGAAGAACTCCGGTGGTCAACTCACCGACAATCCTTTCAAAGACCCCGACGCAAATTTCGTCTTTGGGGATGCCGCTTTTATGGGCATGGGCAGTTTGTGTATGAACAAAGCTCGAAGACTGGGTTGGACTGGCTTCGTGGATACCATGGAATCTCTCTTTGAGATGTACGCTGATATGGCCGAGCTCGGTATGGTGCCACGAATGAAAGTTGACAAACCAAAGCCGTTGGTGTGAAGCGGCCAACAACAAGCAGAGAGAAATGTCAGAAACAAGTATTGAAAAAGGGCTTTCCAAAATCCAACTTTCGTTCCGAACCACCTCCTTCCAGCATGGCTGTTTTTCTTCTTTCTTCAAGTACTATCTCACCCGTTCTTCTGTTCTGGGTTGGTCATTCAAGCTCCACGTGGCGGAAGTTGCAGGGTACTATACAATGTGTTCGCTCTTGACGAGGGCAGCCCTGACCTTCGCACCTAACCCCTTCAGCCGTTCACAAGGCTCGTTCGAAAAGACGAACCGAACATACTGAGAGCCATGTTCGATGCCCCAGCCATCCATCGGCGTGACGCAAACACCATGCCTCAACAGCTCCTCCGCAGCCTTGCTGCCCGTCCATCCCAAGCCATCCACACGGAGTACAAATGACCACCCACCCGCCGGTACACCAACCGGCAGCCCTGCTAGCTCTTCCATGCAAACATCTCTACGAGCCTGCAGCTCATCAACAAAGCTTGAGATATCTTCTCCTGACCTCTCCAACGCAGCCTGTGCTGCCTTCTGCGCAATCCCAACTGGAACCACGACGTTCGCCATGCCAACCAGCGCAATATCAGCAATGAGCTGCTCCGGACCAACAATCCATCCCACCCGCCATCCTATCATCCTCAGCTCCTTCGACGCAGACCCGATCGTTATCGTCCTCTGCGCCATACCAGGCATGGAAGCAGGATGATCTACCCGGCGGCCGTCAAACAACAACCTCTCCATCGCTGCGTCTAGAATGAGAAGAATGTCGTGCTCCACGCATACCTCCGCAACGACCTCCCAATCCCCTTGGTCCAGAACAGCTCCCGACGGTAGAGCAGGAGACATCAGCAGCATGGCCGTGATTTTAGCCTCGGAGGTTTCGACCACTGCGCGGAACTTTTCTCGATCGAACATCCAGGCGCCGCCGGGGACAAAGTCGAAAGGCACAAGGACCGGTATCCCACCAGCTAGTTTGACCCGATTAATCAGGCCCGAATACGTAGGGTCCGTCAGCACCACGCCATCACCCATCTCGACGGTGGCAAGTAGCGTGTTTAGTATTCCCGAAAGCCCGCCTGCGGAGATGACACAGTTCTTCTCTCCGGTATAGCTGACTACGTTGCCGGCCATGGCACTGACGTGTGTCGCAGCCGCGTTCCGTAGACCGAGCTGTCCGATGAATGGAAGGTAGCTATTCTCTTGGTCGGAAGTGGCGGACTGGGCGGTGATGGAAGCTGCCACAGTAGGAGGAGGGATGTCTGTGTCGAGGTTCTCCATGCGCAAGAGGCTGGAACTACTAGTACGTGGACTGGCGTTTTGAGTCTGCTGGTCCGCTATCGCGCCCATTGTGTCGACGCCTATACCTCGTAGGGCCTGTACGCGGGCAGGACGGCGTCTGGTCATCATTGTGCTTGGATGCGATACGGATGGAAGTTGTCGGATTGTGTTGCTCTCAATATTCGTATATCTTCCTTATGGTTTCAGAAGAAGTCATTGTACTTTTGGTAGGATTAACTAGCTGTCAGTTTCCACCAATATCGAGGATATGGGGTGCTTGTCATAAGGCGGGGATGTCTCAGCCTACTCAAATGAATCCGTCTTCATCGTCTTAAGCGCCAACTTCTCGTTCCCCTCCCTATACTTCTGCATCTGACCCTCAAGATACTGCTGCACACTGGTCGGCTCTCGACCCAGCAACCACCTCATCACGCCCGGGTTCCCTTGCAATCCTCTCCTCCTATAGAACAAAATCAATCTCTCCGCTCCATCCCGATCTCTTGGATCCACCTTGTCCAACGATCCACGCGTAAGCGTCAACAACAGATTCGTGGCAGCTTCGACGCTCAAATCATCAACGACCAACTCCCTCGCAATGGCCTTGCTCGCCGCCTGCATCACGTCCCCAGGCTTCAGCGGCATCGTACTGCACAAGGGATACTGCGCCTGATAATGGACCTCCCTTTCTCGGATGACTTTGGCGCCGATTTCGCCTAGATCCGCAAGAGCAGTGACACTCGACTTGGTATTGTGCCCCGTGATATTCGGCCACTTCACCGGCGTCCCGTCATTCTCGACTGCCATCCAGTCCTGAACGGGGAACTTCATGTCCATAAAATCAGCAGGATTCAGGATCGTAAAGTTCAGCCCTGATTCGAGCAAATACTCCTCGACATAGCGCTTTCGATCGTGGTTGAGGAGTTTCCGGAACTGCGGGTTCAGCACGGATGAGTAGACGAAATGCGCGAACGTGTTTCCGGGGCGAGCGGTCTCGCGGACAGCGGCGTCGATCATGTTGTAGCCTATCTCTGTCTCGTGCGGGTGGAGAGGCGGCCCAACGTGATATACTGTCGTTGCGCCATGGAGAAGTGGCACACACTGTGCGGGCTCGGCGAGGTCGGCCTGGACAACTTCTGCGGAGGGATAGAGTTGGGAGAGGCGAGAGTGCGAGTTTGAAGAGTGCACGACTAGTCGAAGAGAGTACTTGGGCAAGAGGTGTGGAATGAGATGTGAGGCTTGTTGGCCCGAGGCGCATGTTATGACGATGAGGTCTTCGGGCATGTTGATGTCGAGTTGGTGCGTGAAAGTAGCTTGGGTATGGGAGAAGAGATTGGAGGACCTTTGATTGATATCTTACCTGTCAAGACAAGAAGTTGGAGGCCTGTTCGAAAGCAGGGGCGCTGTTGCTTATATGTGCATGAATGGTGCTTGTATGTACGGAGTAAGCGTGGCAACATCGCAGTCGATGAATGGCCTCCTATGCGGACTTCGCCATTCGATTACTGTAACGCCGTTGGAATGGGCAATCAACGTAAGGGAGTACACACTCTATGGTGATGGGGTCCTCCGTCCAACGCTCCGTCGTCTATGCGGAAGCTGCAAGTTGGGTTGCCTGATCGGCAATATGGCATAAACCCATTCATGCGCGTCTCAGAAAGGCAACAGTTCCGTTGTCGATGCTGTACACGGCTCGGCGGCTGATCAGGCCAGCAATACATTATATCAGCTGCAATCAGATGATTACCTAAGGGGTCTTCAACCACAGCATGCTCGGGAGGCCACATTGAGTCGGCGGGAGGCTCAGAGCTACTTAGGTACCTTGGTATTTATAAATCCGTAGTCATGACAAAAGGAATTATGACAAGATCCCACCCAAAACACATCCCCGGCACAAAAAGCGGCCCAAACCCCAATTCTCACCAAAAGTTCATATTTTCAACCAACACAACGACAACAACTTTTGGTAGGAATTATAGCTCAAGTTGAATTGAACGATAAAGAAGTACCTGAAATTATATCTCTTAAGATTTCATTATGAAAAGTCAAAGGAAAAGGGGTGCGCGAGCGCGTTGAGGCTAGAGGAGTCGAAAAGTAGCGAGATTTCCACCAAAAATGTCTCAATATTACGATGATAGTAATTTACGCCCGCACTCAAGGATTTCGACTTAGTTTTTTCTTTTTAAACTTATAGGAGATATAACTTTAGCTACTTCTCTATTGATCTATCAAGTTTAAGCTATAAGTCTCGCCAAAAGTTGTTGTGTTTGTGGTAGTTGAAAACATCGATTTTTGGTGAGGATTGGGGTTTGGGCCGCTTTTTGTGCCGGGGATGTGCCAAAAAAAAACTGGCGACCACACCTTTGCCAAGCATTTGGTCTGACGAGAGGCCATTCTTCTCATTGGACAGTCGGCAACCGATGCTCACTGAGTATGGTCGTCCACCCATATTCTGATGAGTATTCCAGTATTGGACCGCGCCTTCGCTGGCTTCATATCGCGTTGCAGAGGATGAGGGACCTAGTGTGCTTGACTTCAACCACGATCAAGGTCAGATCGAGATCTCCGTTGGAGATGCCTTGAGAAACATCACACATTTCGGTGGGCCGACAAGTGATTGTTGCAGATATTTCATGGACATGGTGGGACACTTCCACTGCGAACTGGTGGACGCGGAGGGCGCGAGGGCCGAGGAACATGACTTGAGGAGGGTTGCTTAATGCTAACCCGTAACTCGTAGAGAAGAAGGGACGTCAGGAGCCTTGAGACCTTGAGACACCAAGCCGTCATGTTTGTATGGTATGTTGGATGTGACCTGGGCTTGGACCTTCATGAGCCATGTCGAGTTGGACAGAAACACTACGACTAGACCTGCGCAAAACGTATCTGAAAGGAGACGTGGACACTACCGCACCACCAGCATGATGCTCGTGCAAGTGCTTGCACGATGGCTTTGTCTCTGACATCGTGGGACATTCTAATGCCATGGGTGCCGTCATTTGAGGTAGAACGGCAATGTGTGTGGTTAGTCAGGGAAGAGTCAAAGGCAGTGAAGAGGCAGCGGCGAGACTTGAGTTCCTACTTCACCGCCTCTAGGCACCCACGTTGCAGGCAGTGCGGCCACTTCGCGTCGCTGCCATGCAACACGGGCCTACAACCAGACTTTCGATCCTTCAACAACAAACGTTGGCACTCTTTGCGTGGTACATCATTCTCTGCAAACAAAGGGTTCCGTCAAACCTGCTAACAGAATTGAAGATTGCGTTCACAATGCCGCGTCCGACCGAACTTGACCACGTCGCACACCCACGGGATGAACGCGATCTCGAACAAAATCCCTTCCCTTTCCTGGCTCTGCCGCCTGAGATCAGACAAGCAGTATACGATTGCTGCCTCATCGACAACTCCGACGACGATCCACAACAGATTCCGGCGTTCCACAAACGTGTTCGATCGCTAAAGCCACTCCTCCTTACATGCCAGAAAATCAACAAGGAATTGACTCCTTTGTTTTTCCGCACTGCTACCTTCAAAGTCGACAGTAAGAGAGATGCTAAGAATGTTGCTGGATCGAACCGAAACCATTCGGTCTACTTCGAGTACCTGTTCATGAACACTCTACCTGGCTACAAGATGCGAAACATCCGGAAATTGAGCTACAATGCCACTGTCGAGACTCTGGTTGACGCACGCACTCCCCTGTCGAGTGGTGTAGACTTTGATGGTCTCCAGTATTTTTCTGGTGTCCTCTCCAGATATGGAGACGCCCTCGAATGCTTACAGGAAGTTCAGTTGTATGCCGACCTCAGAAAGGTCTACCGGCTGCGCCCTGGTTGGCATACCGTGATGGACGCTCTCACTGCCGATTCCACCCATGCCTTGTGGTCTAAGAATGCCGCACTCTATGCACCGGAGGTCATGGATCGGAGCAAGAATTGGGAGTCCATTGAGAACAAACTCTGTGGAGGAGCGCTGAAGGGGTGGAATGTATCACGGATGGTGTATCGCATAACGGGGAAGGAACCACCACCAGCTACCTTTATCACAGCCATTGTTGTCACCTTCTACAAGCCGAGTGACCGAGTTACAACAACAACAAAAGCTGCTACGGACTGTTTCACTGTCGTCAGAGAACGTGCCGGCGGAGATACTCGGAGAAGGAGGAGGAGAAGGAGAAGCAACGCAGTCGTGACTTGGGTTACAAAACGGTTCCGACCCATAGACGGAGTGTGATCGTTTTACAAGGGTCTTGGTGTTGGCCTACGCGGACATGGAATAATGTGCAGCGATGAATGACAACTTTGCTGTAGGAGCTGCTAGCTGGACGCAGTGATTTTTCGATTGGGGCCTGTTGTGAAACTGACCCGGATTGCATTCACAGCTGGATGCGGAAGACACTAGTTAGTAGCCAGGGGAGTTGTCAATCTCATGAAGTGACGTTCAGTTGAAAACAAAGACATTCACTTCGTATTGTCAAGCCAGCAACCGAATGCAGCAACCGACTGTGGCAGTTGATTTTCCTGCGTTGATATAGCCTGCTTCTTTGCACACTTCTTCCGACTCGTCTTTCTCTCCCTCTCCAGTCCACTGTTTCCTTCTTGCCAATCTCCATAGCCTTGTAACACCAGGGTGCCAGTATTCTGACTTGCAGGCCTCCTCTTCACTCACCATGCCGAAAGTCAAAGCCAAGCAGCGAGGAAAGAGCACCATCGCATACACCAAAGCCCCTACCAGCAAACAATCATGCACGAAGATACGACACCACCACAATCTCACTTCCTCAACCTTCCCTTCGAGATCAGATTGCAGATCTACGAACTCTTTGCTACCGTCCCGCCCCTCGAACCTTTTCAGGAACGATTCAACGACCACTTCATCGCTGTCTGGGCTCGAAGAAATTTGATGCTGGTGTTTGCCATAGCATCAGTCGAGAGTCTGCACCCATCTTTTACCAGTCCACAACCATCAAAGTGCATACCCCCAAGGAGCTTCATGAACTCAATCCACAACGATTCAAATACGGCCCCTTTACGGGCAAACACATAGAGAAGAAATTTGTTCGGCCAGAAGCTTGCTGTACGCTGGCAGAGTTTGATCATCACTTTTTGAAAAGACTCCAGCCATACAAGATATGCAACATCCGAAAATTGGAATACAATGGACCCACTTGGTTCATCAACTCCACGGATAGTACGAGTACGCACGCGCTCGATCTGTATGTCGACTCTGCCGCATTGAGGTCCCTCGGTCGCATCCTCCGCTCATACAAGAGTATCATGACGTCGTTGTCAGAGGTTGTGTTGGGGTATGTATGGCCCTTCAGTCCAGATAGTCGATCATGGCCCTCTCAATCCAGTACAGACCCCAATTTCGAGGCAAAGGAGGTGTGGAGGAATGCTGCAAGCAGCGGTAATTGGGCCGGGACCATAAGGGCGATGCAGAGCTCGACGCGCTCGGGAATTTTCAGAGGATGGGGCATCGAGAAGGAAGTGGCCATTATCATCTGGCGGCTGTCGCATCGGGCATATAGCATCAAGGAAGCTAAGGTCACTTTTCGTAAAGCCCAAAGTTCACAAGATTTGCCCCTAGCGGACCAAGTGGTTCCCCAGCTGCATATTGAATGGTCGCGCTACTGAGAACGAAAGGATACGGATCGAGCCATGAGGCACAATGAGAAGCTTCGGCTGGTGTGAGCTGCTAAGACGAGCTGCGGTGTCTTGCGTCTCTAGCACGTGATCAAGTTTGGCTAGAGCCATGGATGTGTGACAAGGGGAAAGCATTCTCTAGCTAATTGTCCAACAATTGAGTAGAGGCTGCGTAGCTTGCAACAGAGTTGATGACAAAAGAATTACTTGAGATGTCTCCTTGATCGCTATACGGCTCGACGGATACTTCAACCAAGTGCCACCGTATAACGGTGAAGCATAGAGAGTGTTTGGCGCAATTTCAGGGGCAACATTTGTTCATTCAACTTCACTCTTTACCCATCCGAGCGGCGTCATCTGCATCGTATCATGTCCTGTCGCTCTTTGATATATGCATCAGAGGACCGTTGTCCTTGATGCGAGACCTTCTTCTCGAAGTCCATTATGCGTGTTCGGCGACCATCATCACCATTCTACCACCCTCTATTCGACGTCGTTTTGTGCTCTGGAACGACACCGTTAGTCAATCTAGCACGGTTGATTCAGCTTGAAGATATACAATGGTGAGGACTGGCACTGATATGATTCTCGCTCTATCTGCCATACTTAGGCCGCGACGTGTGCTCCTCATACTTGACTAGTCTGGTCTAGTCATACCTCGTCTCGTCTCCTCATCGCTCTGTCTCTAGACACACACGCACATACTCTCTAGAGTCTCTCAATCTTCAACTTCCACCAGATGACGGCCCTATTTCCGGTGCCCGCGGGATTCTCAATGCCCATCTCTCTCTCTACTCCGAAGCCGTTCAAAACGCCCGTGACCATGGCGCGCGCAAAGCCCTGCCAATCCTGGTTCGAATCCATCAGGCCCCATCTCTGTCGGTAGGCGCTGGTCGGTGCATTGCCGAACATCCTGGTGATGTATTCCGGCAATGGTTCTTGAGGTTGAGGTCTGAAGAAGACGGACAGCTTGTCCAAGTTGCTGAGGGCCGGGTATCTGCTCACGACTTGTCCCAGCTCTTGTATGCCACTGAAGTGACCCATGTACGGGCTATCGTTCATGCTGTCGGTCAAGTATCCGAGGGCGAGGTTCACACGGTCGCTCGCTGGATAGTACACGAGTCGCCGGACGCAGGACAGCAAGGGCCGCTCGATCTTGGACAGGAAGGTCTCTTCGAAGCGGCGGGGCGAGACATGATCCAGAAAGTCGGGGCGAGCAGGGCGAGGATCACCGACGTGGATGGTGGTGGTGCGCCAGAAGATCGGTGCCCATTCGAAGCGGACGGCTTTGCTGACTGAGAGCAGCGACTTGCGTGTCGTCGTGACATCGCGGTATTCCTCCCACTCCTTGGTGAGTGGATGATTCTCGAGCTCCCAGATGCTGAAGTGTTTGATCAGCGACTCGTCGGGCTGAGCTCCGAAGCGACCGGGTTGTTTCCACTGCAGAAGATAAGTGTCAGCATGGTACGTGCAGCCACACAAAAAAATAGACTCGAGCAGGACGTCGAAGACATTTCGCAAGATGTCTTGGTGATGCGCTTCGAGAGGTCGTTCAATTGCAATCGCTGACTGCAAGGCGATGACACCGGGTAGTCCGTCGAAGATAACCGGAGGGATGCAATGGGGTTGGGATTGCCAGGTAACACAGGGTGAAACTTACAATGATGCCACGTTCGACATTGACGGCGTCGACGGCGTGAGGCTTGTTGGCTCTCAGGAGGGGATATGGTGGAACACCGGCAAAGTATCCCAATATCATGCCGCGGACCTCCGGCGACAAATCTAAGAACCGGAACGGCGAGACAGGCGGCGGACGGGCTGGCATGATGATGCCGTTGCACAGCGCGCAGGTCTCGACGATCTTGTTGTCGTGCGAGATGGTCGGCGCGGTGTGCAATGGCTCAGTGCAGGAGCAGGTCGAGACGCACGGGGAGGACGCGAGGTAAGCCATCAGTTTGTGCGACAACAAAAGGCGAAGAAGGAGGATGAGATGATACCACAAGCGAGCAAGAAGAGGAAGATCGATCTGAAGCAGCCGCAGGAAGAAGAAAAACACCATCGCGAGGTCCGCTTTGTTATTAATTGTGATTCATCCATTCATTGATTCACTCATTCATGGGCTATGTGTTCTGGCACTTCCCAGACACCGCCTGGCTTTCACCGCTCCTGCTTCTCACGGAGAGTGGACGGAGGTGCGGCGAGAAGCATGTACGGGCGGCAGGATGGGCGGTCTCAACATCAAAAGAAATGATACCAGCATGGCGGAGGAAGTCCAAATGCTGGAGGCCAGATCGGTTGCCGCAGCAGAAGAGTCGGACTATGGAAGATATATGGACAAGGCTGAACAACGCCTTATCGTCTCTCGAAAGTTGGGGGATACCGAGCGATTTCAGAACTCCATGCAACAACCAGAATAGATGGAACAGAGAAACCAAGGCGCTACGACAGACAGGACTTAAGGACTCTCGACAACTCAGGGGTGTCCGGCCTGACACCTGGCACGGTCTCCACGATCATTGATTCTCCTGAGTGCCATCGCCGAGAACAACAAGATCAACTAGCAACAGCATGGCCTAGATGAAGGCACAAGAGAAACCAACCACTACTTGATACTGATATTGATCTTCGAATTTCAATTCTTCAATTCTCAATTCTTAAAGCTGACTCCGTCACACCTCAAGAGTCGGTCAGGGTACGTACGTACTGTACATTTCAATCCATTTCCATTTCCACTCCACAAACGAAAAAACAACCAACGCCGCTGGTAATACTCCGCCCGTATGCTGTCTTTGTAGCCTTGCCAATGCTGGATCTATCTCTACGCCCATAACCATGACAATGCGAAGGTGGTATGTCTCAAAGGCTCCGTACCATGGACCAACCCCTCCCATCACATGCATAGCGGATGCAAAGATGCATAAAATTTTTCGATTTCGGATTCTTCTGATTCATGTCTCATCACCAAAGCCCATTGTTTTCCTTTTTTGCTTCAAGTCCCCAATATTTCAGCGTCAGGATTCATATTCCACGAGCTCAAGATCGGTATGGACTGGCAGTTCGATCAGTGTCCTTAGCATACTCATGCCTCCACCAGTCTCGATCCCAATATCCGCTTTCGGACTTTTCGCTCATCTCCATTCGTCCTCTGCGATCCTGGCTTGGAGGGTAATTTGATGGGCTTTGCCTTTCATCTCGCGCTTGGCCCGAGTGTTGTCAATCATAGCCGGCCCCTCGTTGCCAAGGGCTGGCATTGTTTTGTGCTCGGAATCCTTGCTGTGGAGGATAGCCACCAGCAGATCGAGGCGGTGCATAACCGCTGCTTACGTTGCTCACGCTATCACTGTACTGGTAATTGGGCGCAGTGGTTGGTCTGCTGGGATATCCATGGTCGCCGCTGTGATTGTATCCTTGGTTGTACATTTGTCGTTGCTCGTACGACTGCGGTGGTCCACGTCGGCCGTTGTTTTCACTTGGATACATTGGAGTCTCTTGTTGACCGTAAACTCCAGGGTTTTGTGACATGGGTCGATGCGACATGTCCGATTGATGCTTCAAGGACTCGCTAGAGAAGGAAGCGTCGTCATCGTAGTTCTTGTAGGCTGTCTTGGGTTCATTTTCGCCTCTTGCGGTTGCACCCAGTGCGTCGAGCTCTGTCGTCAAAGCAGCTTGAGACTTGATGAAGCTACCTCTGTCGTCCCTCATTGGCTGATATCTGACTTCAGGATTCTTTGAAGCAATGGCGTAGATTGAAGCGACGAGAACCATGATCAACAGGACAGCCGCGAAGATGACGTTGTACAAGGCGAAAATAACACCCATGACACCTGACACCATTTCTGGCTGGCCGAATGCGTCTGAGAAGACAAGAAGGAAGATGGCGTTGAGGAAGTTGACTGACGCGATCGAAATGTTGAAAACGTTCGTCTTCTTGTCCATGAATGGCCGGATGACGCTCACACCTATCAGAGCAACGGCTTCGACAATCACGAGACCTACAGCCTGAGCGACTGGTGAATTTTGTGCAAATGCGATGAAGACAGCCTTGGCCAGGATGTAACACAGCACAGCGACAACAAAATAGTAAGCAGTTGCCCGATACTGAACATAGAGGAATCCCCATTTGTTAAGGCACTGAGGATCGGAATAGAGGATGTAAGCCGGGTTCTTGTGCATGGTGACCGACTTCTTGGCGAGTTGGATGACTTTGAATGACGCCCATCCCAGAGCTGCAGCCATGGAGATGAACACGATGAGCGCCAGGATGACCTCGGCGGCCGAGTCTCTTTCAACCAACTCCCACAGGCAGAGAACGGACATTTGGACGAAGCCGAGCAAGACCTACCATGGTTAGTCGGAGAAATTACATAAGGAGTTCGAACTTACCAATCGAAACAAGATACCCTTGATGACAATCTTCCAACCATTGCGGAACTCCAAGAACTTGTCTGATTTCATCCAACCAGCCTTGGCGCAACCATCCAGAATGGCCTTAGTCAACGCAACCAAGATAGCGGTCATGAACAGGACGAAGATGAAGAAGATAAGACCAGTCATGAAGATATTGGTCTGCTCAATCCCCGCCCTGAATCCGACTCTATCGATGCCGCGGACGACCTTGGTGTTAGCAACAGTGGTGGTGGAGCTGTCCGCGCGCTTGGCGAGATAGCGAGCGCCCCGAGAGGCGTATGAGGCCACTGCGGCCATTGACTGAAGAGAGCGCTTGACGGCGCGCTTCTGGACTTGGACGGAAATAGTGCTGAGGGTGGAAAGATAAGTGGTAGGAGTACCGCCCGTCGCTCGCTGATACCATGTGGCGATGTTCTGAAGGAAACCAATTCTGATGATACCCATACTCCATTGGAAGTTCTGGGTCCATGACTGGACAATCGGAGGCATAGTCACAGACGTCATACCAATGATGGCCTGAGCCTGGAAGAACCCAAACAGCGAGACGGCATTAGCGGCAACGTGAGCAGCCGTGTTAGGATGTCCAAGTCCAGAAGTAACACCGGCAGCGACGAGACCAATTCCAGCAATAACAGCCGTGGCCCAACCGACGGCTGGCTGGTATACACTCTTTCTGTTTGACAAATCTGCCTCCATGCATGCAATGACCTGGTTTGTATCGAGGGAGGTGACATAGACCCGAACGACACCATCCAGATCAGGGACGCTGTATGCAATACCTGGCACTGTTTTTGAGACATCAGATGGCACATCAATATTTGTTTCGATGTTGATCTGGCCAGTCTGCATTGGGCAAAATCCGGCCAGGTCTTCCGCACAAGGGTCGATTGTATCATTCAGAATGGTGAAGCCGTAGGCAATGACTTCCAATTGTGCAGTGACATTTCCAGTAATCGACGAGACACCATTGATGTTGACCGTTATACTGTTGTTTTTTGGAGTATAGGCGACGTTAAACAACGTGGCCGTGAAGTTGGAACCGCTCTTACACGAGTTGAGAGAGTTGGACTCGATTACATCTTCGGCGAAGGCGAGGGACGATAATGAGAGAGCGGCGAGAAGAGACAGGAGGTAGCGAAATGAGGTTTGCGGTCGCATCTTGACCGTCGGTGTCGGTTATTGCGACCAACGCGTGTTGTTGCAAAGGGGCTGCGGTGCAGCAGGATCGAGCGCCAACCAGTGGCGACGGCAACGTCAGGAGTCTACTATGGACTGTTCGTTTGGTGATTGTTCTGGACTGAGATGAGTATGTAGGATGTAGTTTGGAGGTTTATTCGCAGGTGCTGGTCGATTGTGTCATCGATTCTGGAATCCGGCGAGGTTGGCGGAGGAGTGGGACACCGGGTTGGGGAACGAGCGGCAGACTCTCCTGAGCAACAGGAGATTTTCAAACGATGGTCTCGGTGGTCGATCGTCAAGGTGAACAAAGGGCCGTCAAAGTCGTCGTGCAGACTGTTTACAGTTGAGATCGAGGAGAATAGCGAACGTGAGGGAGATTTGGGTCAAGGTCGAAGATGTTGGCAGAAGCGAGTGCGTGCCTCAGAGTGGTGACGGGGCTGGAACAGGAAGAGATGCAAGTTTGACAGGATGTAGGAGGAAAGATACTAGCAGCTAAGGACACCCTGACCAGGGCGAGGATCGAGCTCGGCTTGGGTCGAATCGGGTGGACACTGGACACTGCGGGCAGCCAGCGGCGGGCCCTTTTTGTCTCGCAGGGGGTGTGCCGCGAAGGATGGGATGAATTTGCGGTTGGGCGAACTCGTGTGTGAGAGTGAGATGGTTGGCTGAAGAGGAGGGAAAAATGGAGGCCGAGAGAAGTGAATGTGGGTGAGGGTGGTGATGGTGCTCAGTGGGTGCTCGAGGTCGACGCCGGAAAAAGCGCAGGCAGACTCTGCACTTGGCAAGCTAAACCCAGTTTGGGATGATGAGGGCAACAAAGGGATGACTCTCGTGACGCGCGGCGGGCAGCTTCGAGGCGCAGCACAACACTTCGCAAATTGCTTTCCAAAACACCGGCCACCCAGGGCCCAAACTCCAAGACTGCCACGGACTGCCTCGCCTGGCCTTGCCGCCAGCGTCGCCTTTACAAATATTCTACGGAGTACCTTAGTACTCATGGAGTACGGAGGTAGTAATGACGGAATCATCTTCTGCCGAACGATCACAAACAACAATGGTTGCATCAAGAGTTGTCTTCCGTGGCCCTTTTCATACTACCATACTACCATAGTACCCATCAGCTACAGTCAAGCGGCATCTCGAACACAGTGATGCTGGCCCGTTAACGACCTACCAACGACGGACGTCCGCTCATGCAGCCAAATATATCATCGTCATGTGTCTGTTGTTCATCACACCAGCAGATCACGATCCAGCTTCTGGGGCATACTGTGCTAGTCCTGATTTCCATATCCACTCGATTTCTGATGTCGCGGCACTGCAACCAAGAGACAGGTCATGGGCCAGATTCATTTCTTGGGGTCGTTAGACTAATAATATGAGAGCTGTCTTTGTCCTGGGCAGATGCGGGCACTCTGTTTACGAGTACGGGGAGTCCTCTCTTTGGCACACCCCTGCGCTGGTTTCCCAAAGCCACGGTTCCATCGTTAAAGCCTCTCACGTCATTGTGTCTCGGCCTGTCGGCAACCGATACCTATGCAGTATATCCTGGTGGTGACCCGGTTCAGTTTCCGTTTCAGCAAGCGTTTCAAGACACCTCTGTACCACACCTACCCTTTCTTGGGTCTTTAGATCTACAAATCTACGTCGCAGGACACTCCCATCATCCTAGTTGAGACCATCTGGCTGCTTAGATATCTCGCTTTGACATCTAGACCTTCCGTAGCCCGGCAGCATACCGAGAAGTCTCAGATTCGGAATCACCCAATGGAGATTACTTCCCACTTTGACGTGGATTATCATGGCGGCTTTCAAACTCCCGAACCCAAAATGTACAATGTCATGCTATCAAGCACGAGCTGGGTATCACTATGTTCACCTTCTCCTGGAATAGGAACCACACACGTCTATTATACACACAAAGGTTCTTGTTGAACCTCTCTTCCACTTCATGCCGGTCGCATTTGCATAATAGACGGAGGTCGGAGAGGTTGCTGCTGCTGCTGCAGCGGCCCACCTGCCATGGCCTGTTCTCCAAGTTCCTGCGCTCGCTTTCGCTGCATGAGATCTCCCCGAATGCCCCTCAGATATCTCGTGGCCTGCTCAATCAATTCACGGCTCTCCGTGCTTTCCTTCAAGGTTTGCAGCAGGGTCGCAACTTGTCGATTGTCATTCAGATGAGGACAAGTTCTGCCATGACCAAGGTGGGCAATCCCGCATAGTCCACAATGCTCGACGCCCGCGACCTTCAGTCGGCACCAACCCATAGGATGCTGCTCACCACATGCAGAGCATTGGTGCAATGGGGGCATACTGTGGACCGGGCCGAAATCATATGCGGCATCTCCATTAAAATGAGGTGCTTGTCCAAGGGGTACTCTGACTCGTTTAAAGGGCCGCGCTGTACAATCATTCCATCAGTTTCGGCGACGTCGAGGCGTAGATGCTGTCCTACCTTGAATGGTCCGCTTGGGTCGGACATCCGAGTCATCGGCGCTCAAGTCATCGACAGATTCTTCTTCGACTTCTGGGGCCTCCTGATAGTCCGGGTCCTGCCTCTTGGGTCTTCCACGGCCTTTACCTGGGGCCTCCACCTGTTCCATGGGTTCGCCGTCACCAGTACCACCATAGTCGACAGCCTACGCAGTTAGTTCTCATCCCCACACGAGATATACAATCCCAACTCACGTGTCTCTTGCGTTTGCCCCGGCCGAAAGCCTCTTCCTTCCTGGCCTGCTCTTCTGCGAACACTCGTTCGCGTTCTTGGAGAATCTTGTCCCAGATTCCCGGATTAGGAGTGTTGCTGCCCGTGTCAGGCATGTCTTCCTCAAGGCTGGATTTGTCGTTGGCCCAGATGCGAGCGAAACTAAATTGAGACTCGGCAGATTTCTCCTCACTTGTCTTGGTGTCCTCAATCTGGGATCGATCCAGGAGACGATCGACGGAAGCGGAATCGTAGACAATATCGTCAGCACCAGACTCGTCTTCGAAAAGCCCTTGGGCACCGTGCCGGAGAATGGACTCCAGATCATCGCCAGCCTCATCCTCTCGATCCATCCGCTCGATCAGTACATGATCCAGAGCCATCTTCTTACGCCCAATCGCCATGATTTTCTCTTCTGCGCTGTTCCGGATCATGAGTTGGAATACTAAGACCTTTTGCTTTTGACCGATTCGATGAGCTCGTGACAATGCTTGAATGTCTTGATGAGGGTTGAAGTCTGGGTCCAGGATAATGACGGTGTCTGCCGTCGCCAGGTTGATACCAACACCGCCGGCTCGAGTGGAGAGCAGAAATGCAAAGTAAGGCGAATCGGGAGCATTGAACTCGTCAATGCGTTTCTGCTTCTCAGCAGCAGAGATCATGCCATCAAGACGACGATGCTGCAGTCCTAGTCCATCCAGGAAGTCCTCAACGACATCCAAATTGTCGAGAAATTGACTAAACATGAGCACACGGTGTCCGCGTTCATGCAGCTTTGGCAACATGATCGAAAGCAGTTGTAACTTTCCCGAGGCTGCCACCAGATTCTGGAATGCAGTCATGCTGTCAACATTCCGCTCTTCAATCTCACGGCTGTAGACAAAAGGATGGCAGAGTGTCTTGCGGAGTTGCATGAGGATGTTGTTCAGATTTGTCCGTTCCTTAGGAGGAATATTGCCGTCCCGGGCAAATATCGATCTCATCAACTGTGGATTCCTCGCCAGAATGGACTTGTACACCTTCTTTTGCACGCTCGACATGCTTACTGGCACAATCACTTGAGCCATCGGTGGGAGAAAGGTCAAGACTTGTGCTTTGGTTCGTCGTAGGAAAAACTTGCGAAGAGTCTCATGCAGCTCCGGAACGTTTTCTTGCGTGAGATTGGCATATTTTGCTTCAAGTTCTGCAGCATTCACGCTTCGGTCCAAGAATTGGAGGAGGTTGAATAACTCGCGAGCATTGTTCTGCAGCGGCGTACCGGTCAACAAGACCTTGAAGGGAAAGCGGAACTTGGACAATGCATCGTAGATCTGCGTCCGATCGCTCTTCAAACGTTGTCCTTCGTCGACTACTAGAGCTTGCCATGGTACCCTCATGAGATTTTTGCGTACCGAGTCTTCGACGATAGACTCATAGGAGGCGACAACAATATGAGCTTTAATGTCTTTGGCTTCGGGCCGATTTTTCTTCTGCTTTTGCTTTTCTTCTTCATCCTTGTTCTTGGGGAATAATTCGTATTCCTGTGTCAATCGCCTGGCCATAGAAGAGCCATAGTAGGTCACGACTCTGAGAGACGGTGCCCACTTCTTGGCCTCTCGGCGCCAATTGGGAACAGTAGCGTTTGGCACAACTACGAGGAACGGCCAGCATTTGTGATCTTGAGCCAGTGTAGCAAAGAAGGAGATGAGCTGGATGGTCTTACCCAAACCCATTTCGTCTGCTAGAATGGCATTCTGATTCTGATACCATTGAAAAAGGAGCCAATTCAGGCCTTCCAGCTGGTACTGCATCAATTCACCACCAGTCACAATGGACGGTTGTTTCTTTTTGATCAGGGTTTTCTGAAAGTCCATTGCCCGAACCTGGACCAAATGACGCCTCAACGTGGATTGAGCGGGTATCGAAAGGTGCAGTTTCGTAACGTAGTCTTCGTATGCTTCTTTGAAGTCGTTCCAACGTTCGGTATCAGAATAGACCGGCGGCTTCTCCCATATGGCATCTTCATAACCCAGACCTTTGTACTTTACAAAGGCCATGTCGACTTCTTTGACTCGGGCCAGGTCGATTTCCTTCGTGCTGTTCCTGACAACGCTTGAGTAGCGAACGTCGAAGACGATGTCAACTTTGAAGACCTCTTCTGGAATCGCATCTGCGGTGGTCATTTTTGGCAGTTGGTTTTCGGGCTTCTTCATGAAAGCCGTACGCATGGTACCCACAGCGATTCCCCAGACCCAGGTTCCGGGCATCCAATTTGTGCGGAAGTACGATTGAGCTCTCCATTTCACTAGATACTCCTTTTCGTTTTCTTCCATTTGGTCGACTGTAGTTCCTGGAACGTAGGCCTCAAGATCGACAGGTCTCCAAGCTACCAGAGTATCAATCTGGTGTTGATTCTCGATACAGTCTTTACAAGTCCACGATCTGTGGTAATGCTCAAAGCGCCTCTGTGCGAGTTCGGATTTGTCTAGCATTTCTTCGTCATCGTCGTCATCAAGTGAATGGGCTGTTTTGCGCTGTGGCAGATGATGCATATGCCATGGACGATTACACTGCGCACATCTGAACATGACGCGTGCAATGTTGTTGATCATGCTCGGCTCGACAATGGTAATTGGATCTTTCCCGCCATTCTCTTCTCTCTGGACTTGCTCTTGCCGAGTGGTAAGGCGGTTGCGCAATGGCCTAGAGCAGGGGCCCAGCTCATTGCAGACAACACAGCGACCCTGGTGAGGCGCCAACTCGTCCTTTATATGAGCAAGACCAATACATCGCCGGCACTGAAGGACGAACAAATCGTCGCCTACTTTCGTGACCAGATGATCTCTGCTCCCTCTGGGGCCTAAGCAAGACTTGTGGTAAGAGTTCGTACATCCCTGGCAGTATACAAGTGGCCCTTTGGCGGGATCGTCACCAGTGTAGTTGCAGGTATCGCAGTCCTGACGATGTCGTTTCCTAAAAGGATCGTGTTCCGAAAGACGAAGAAAATGTTCTTTTGTGCCGATGACTTTAGGAGCCGTCTTCTCCTCTTCAAGGCTGGAAATGTCGTCTTCCTGCCGTTCGCGCATGCTATGTTGAGGCTTTGCACGTGTTCTTTCCGACCGGCGCTTGCCAGCTTCGGGCTCGGAAGAAGAAGAGAATCTGGATCTGGTGGCACGTAATGGTCGTGTTCGTCCTCTCGAAGGTTTAAGCGCAGACTGACGGGGCCGACCCTTTCGCCGACGGGGCGTGTCAGAGTCATCATCGAGTTGGACGAATTCTTCTTGGAAGTAAGCAGTCTTTGTCTTCGAGGTGAGACGCGCTGAGCGTCTGCCGCGAGTGTGAGGAGCATCTGAAAGTTCTTCCGCGGCTGTTTCCGATTCATCTCTCATCTCCTGTTCAGAGACCTCGCTGTCGTTGGCCCTAAACCGACGTCGACGCGGGCGAGATCGTTCGTCTTCGTCTGACTCCGAGAGGTTCATCGTGCTCCAGTCCATCATTCCTGATGCCATCGGTTTGCGCGAGCCTCTTCTATTGGATTTGGACTCGCCGCGCTTTTGGAATTCTCGAAGTGAAGCAGAGCCGTTATTAAGGCCGCGTAGCTCGCGTGAAGAGACCTGGTTAGGAGACATCGTTGAGCAATTAGCCAACGCATAAATGAGGAGGGTGAGTGAGGAGAGGAGGTAGGGGTTGAAGAAAAGAGTTTTGGATCAGGAGGGCGAATAAAAGGACGACGTCGGGAAGTCTCAAGGACAAGTGAGGCCACTTACAAGATCTTGCTCGTCACTCTTCAGCCTCACGAGATATTTGTCGCCCTTGAGTTTTTCAAGCACCTTCTGGACCGAGAAATGGCCCGGTAGATGTTCATATTCCTCCTTCTCTTCCTCTGACAGCTTCGGGACGTCGATGTAGAAGTTGTGCTGTAGACGAGTGACAATAGACCTAACAAGTTCATCCTCACTCGATAGATCTTCTGCAGGACTTCCACGACCGTCGCCGCTCATGGGTATCGGATTCTCCTCAATGTGCTGTATGTCACCACCGCTGCTGCTAACACTTGGTGCTGACACTGCGCTTTCGATATCAGAGCCGCGTGAACCCTGCGACGCGGTCTCCTTGCCAGCATCCTGATCGGCCTTCTGATTCACTGGCGGCTTACCTAGCCAAGAGGATATGTCCATAACGTCCATCGTCTTGGAATGTTGGGGGACAAGGTGACGCTGAAAGCGTCCTTCGAGTCTCGGCGTGTATTATGTCGGGTGCGGACCGATTGAATCTGCCATGCAGATCGCTAAAACAGTCTACATTGGACTTTTGATAAGAACAATTATTTGAAGGGTTCGTATTCGCAATGAGTTCTGGAATCAAGGCTGCGACTCGCGGTTGCGACTTTCGGTTGGAGCATGATGGAGTCGACGCGCTGCGCGTTGATGGCGTCGTCGGCAACGGAATCAATTTCACGTTTCATTTCTCCAACTCGCCGCATTTTTCTGCCATCAGTCAACCACCCTTGCGGCCTTCCATATTCTTTGAACTTGTGAATGCAGTCCGTTGTACGCATTGCTCTGCGCAACAAGCTTGCATGTGCGGCGTCCGCTGAAACAACTACTCGCCGTTGGATCTCCCTAACTGGCGCCATTGAAAAGGGTAAACGAGATGGCCAGTATAGCAGAGTCAAGCATGAACGCCGCTATGAGGATCAGCGAGCTTCTCCTGGCACTGGAAATTACAAGAACATAGAGAGCCACGATGGCTTGGAGTTCGATGGATTTAAGAGCTATAGACAACGCCTAAAGAATAATGGCCGCGGCAGAGACTCAGTCGATGTCGGCATACCCACGAGCCTTCCATACACTACAGCAACCTCGGAATTCATCTGGGGCACTCACTCCGTCTTAGCCGCTCTGAAAGCCAAGCGACGCAAGATATACAGGCTCTATCGACTGCTACCCGATATTGAAAACCCTGACAACGAACAAGAGGAGGAAGAGGCATTGAAGTCGTTCAGTAGTCCAACTCAGGATCGAATGAGAAGGAAGAAAGAGGCCGGTGTCTCCCAGACTTTGGCGGAAATCTACACAATTGCCGAGCAAGAGGGCCTCCGTGTCGAAAGGGTTCGGGGTCGTGACTGGAAGAACAAATTCAGCAAAGCTACCGGTGGACGACCGCATAATGGGATATTGATGGAGACGTCGCCGCTCTCTCCATTACCCGTCACGGCCTTGCCTCCCGTCAAGCGACCCGACGATGACATTTCTGCTACCATTGGATGGGCAAAGCAGGAACAAGCCCATAGCCCTCAAAAGGTCTTCGCCTTCGAGAACTACGTGGCCAGTAACCGTCTACATCCACATCGTCCGGCTCACCGTTATCCATTCATGCTGTTACTGGACCGCATCACCGACACCGGAAATTTTGGCGCAATCGTACGTTCAGCCTGGTTTCTCGGTGTAGACGCCATACTTATCCCCGAGCACGGCACCGCTTCTGCAGCAGGCAGCACCAATGCTCTGAAAGCCTCGGCAGGCGCACTGGAACATATGCCAATCCTGCATGTCAGGTCCGAGGGGGAATTCATCAAATCTTCTCGTGAAAATGGCTGGAAGTTCTTTGCTGCTGATGCATCTGAGGCTGCTGGTGATTGGAATAGCCATAACACTCGAAAGTTCAACAAGGTCGGACCATTGAAACCCGAAGGTGCCTTGTTGAAGTATCCTTGTGTCCTCGTCCTCGGCAACGAAGAGACCGGTGTTCGAAGTTTCATGCATAACCTCGTCGACGGAGTGGTCGGAATACCGAACGCAAGACCGGATGTTGGAGACATTGACAGCTTGAACGTCAGCGTCGCTGCGGCTTTGTTGATCCAAAAGTTCTTCAACTCGGCGCGAATTGAAGACGCAGCAGTATGATCGCGGAATGTATGCAGTCTCCGCTCCTGCCCTCTGTCCAGTCCTGGCAAAAGGTTCATAGTCTTAGGAAGCAACTCACTCCTTAGCCAGCCACTCGAGAGAATAGACCGGGCTGTTCCTCCTGAACGGAACGATGACATCTCCCGCCGCATTCGCTGCAGCACTCTGAACAGCCACCTTCTCCATAACTTTCTCCTCGCTGGCCGAAATCCTGATCTTCGCCCCACTAGCCTCTATACGATAGAATTTCCGTCCAAAGCCGCCTAGAAATCCCTCCAGCACATCTTGCGACACCCTCTCTTTCTCAATCATGCCCCTTTCTACCGCTCTTTCAAAAGCTTGCAGCACGTACTGCGTAGCATAAGGCTGCGTGAACACACCCGCCGCACACTTCCCTACCTCGAAGTCCAACCCACCCTTCTTTGCGCGCAGCGGGTGCGGTGCACTATCCGTGCCCAGAAAGAACTTCTCATCCCCACTGGTCGCGGCCTTCAACAGCGCAAGCCGATCCCTCGGCAACTTCGCGACGGGCTTGCAAAAATTAATCGGATCGCCTGCCCAGTCGTCCACGATCAGGCTGAGATGATGCGCCGTGATCGTCGCCACGACATTATCCCCGCATTGCTTCACAGCCTCGATGGCCGCGGCCGTGGTGCAGTGTTCGAGGACAACGCGCAACTTCGGAAACCGGTGGTGCAGATCAAGGAGTGTGGGGAGGAACGCTTCTTCGGCGTTGAGCACCGTGATGTCTTCTGCGGGTGGTGCTTCGCCGTGCAGGTTCAAGACCAGGCCTTCCTGTTCCATGGCCCGGAAGACGGGGTAGAATTGCTCGTAATCGACAACGCCCGAGGCAGAGTTGGTGGTTACGCCTGCTGGATAGGACTTGACGCCGTAGATGATACCGGATTGTTTGGCCTGGCGGATCGTATCGGGCGTGACGGATGGGTGCAGGTACAATGACATTAAACATTTTGCATCGGTGTACTTGGAGATAGATTGCTTATAAGATAAGGCGTGCTCGACCGTGGTTATGGGTGGGATGAGGTTGGGCTGTAGAATAGAAGTCAATTCCCACATATTCCACGTATGCCCCATATGCGGTTGACCTCGTCTACTGAAAAAGAGTAGATGCTACGAGCTCAGCTTCAAGAGAGCTTACCATGACAAACACAGTCTCGACACCACCCTGCTTGATTGTAGGAGCGACCGCTTCGAGCATAGCACCGTCACGAAGATGGACGTGGAAATCCGCAGACGCTGGGAGGACCAGCCCGTCGAAAAGTCGGTGCGTCATTCTGCACAATCTCAACCAGAGTCTGAGGTCCAAGAGGGTAGGCTGTGTACAATCAAATGGATCTTCGGTTGAGAGTTGGAAGCAGCAGTTTGATTGAACCAAAAAAATATGTGAAATCCAATGAGGTGTCAGTTTCTTGGATTTGTACTTTAGCGTATCAAATACGGCGGAGCATAAAGAAGGTCAACAGCTTGCTCAAGTATCTTGGAAAATCTCTCGAGAGAAAACCAGTTGATGTATGACTTTGATGAGAGGAAACGAGACAATTGAATCTCTTCATTTGTATTGTGTCAGTTGTACATACGATGTTCCATTCTCGAGAACATCTCCATCATCCCAGGTACCATGTCAAACCATGTCACATCCCAAGCTCCAGAGTATTTGCAATTTTTTGGTCGAACTTCGGGGTCCTTCATTATGTACCGACCACAACTTCTCTAATGAGCTATCTTTCATAGCTTTACCATTGATAAAATGCTTCTTGCTGAATAGAATCCATCTTTGAACGCCGGTTGCTCTCATATTCATCCATCAGTGAGATGCTTGTCGCCTTGCCGTATGCATAAATCAATCAAAATCGCTCAGGTTTTCGTGGCCGTTATGCAATTTCAGTCCTGTCGATCGATCAGCACGATAATTCGTTCATCAAGATACTGGTGGTCATACTTCATCAGTAAGTCGATCCAACAACTGTATGCTCAATATCATCACAAGCAATCCTAGTGTCACAATCACCAGGAGCCCAAAGCCGAACCAACCCAATACCATTGCGGCTGTTCCGACTCCGGACTTGACACTTCCATTTCCGAGGTCTTTGACAACTATGCTTGCAGCCACAGCCGCAGTGTGCTGCCACATCACCGACACCAGCACAAAGACTGATGCGATGAAGATGGTTGCCAATGCCACTTGTGACACAGCCCTTGAGGGAAACGGGCGCACTTCGTGTTCGGACCCATCAGGACCAGTGCTCGTGTGCCAGCCAGGGAATGTTGCGAGGAGGAGGAACGTCAAAAAGGCAAGTACGATGGCGATGATGAGCAGGTAGGGGAAGACAATGGCGTTCTTGAATGTGCTGGCCACCCATATCAAGTTGAGAGGATCTTGGTCGACACTGACCAAGTCTGCCAATGCAGTCGAATTCTGGTTGCACATCCATGCTCCACCGTCGGCTTTGATGCATATTCCAAAGTATCCAACTCGTATTGTAAGATCTGCCTCATTGACAATATTCGCAATGGCTGTCGAGACTCCTGGGTCGACCTGGACAGTGCTGAATACAGGAGGGTATTGTTGGTAGTAGAGTGAGATGAGGTAGATGTCGGGAATTAGAGGAGAGGTTGAGGAACATCCTGCGAGTAACAGAGCTAGAGGAGATAAGTTAGCTTGGGGTGAATGCTGGAAACAGGACGATACTCACATAGGAGGATGATTGCAATGGCTATCAAGATCATAAGAACATGATGGTAGCCTATGAATGGAACAAATCTCCTCCACCCTGTTGCGAATCTGGGTGCCATACTGCTCGGAGGTCAATGCAGATGGATCGGGGGATTATGTTGAAGTGTCTGCGGGTTCCCGTCCGTGCGGACGGTAGGCGGTATGGGAACTCAGCACGAGCAAGAAATTGGCACGCAGCCCGGTTCGACAGGTGGTCAAAGCAGATCGGTCGACTGCAGGTACCGAGTAATAAGGACAGTACGTCGATATGGTGTATTGTGCTTGAGGTAGCGATATTCACAGATTGCTGGAAGTTGTAGGTCAGCTTCCTGCGTCTTGCAAGCTGGGTAGAAGGATAGAGAGAAGTAGGGGAGGAGAAGAAGGGGAGAGGGGCGTAGCTTGATTTAGTCTTGGAATATTCTGAGACTGGGACTGCAAGGCACCAATTGTCATAATGGCTCAGAGATCTGCCATTGATAATCGTGGAGGTTGGTCTGTGTGGTGAATGGAATATAGATGGCTGGGCTGAGATGCACTTTTTTCGAAATGGGAACGGTTGTCAGTGTTTTGATTTAACTAAATTAGGCTTAGTCCAGCCTTCCCACTTTAATTCCAGGCTGCGCAAAAAACCACAAGGCTCCATGACATCATCTCACATCTTGGACTGTCTCTCGAATGCTCATTTATTTGCATTTCGACTTGACTGGCCTTTTCTTCAATCGTATTATCTGGAAGTTCTCCAGTGGTGTGTACCGAGTACTTGCTTCGAACCGTAACGCTGCACGAATTCTCCATAACCAATAGTCATTGATGCTTACGCTTCACGCTCATTCCCAATCCCAGTTTCATATCGACCAATCCAGACAACACACGTTGCCGTTCAGGTTGGCATACATCTACCACATTAAACAAACGCCGAACAAAATGCCGCTGAGACACATCTCCAATGCATCATCTAGGCACGAAAGCATAAGCACCAAGGTCGAGTTTCGGCTTTCGTCCTGGTGACCCAATTTCAGAACTATCGTCTTCGCTGTTCGGCACCATTGCATCCTCGCTCCCCCGCAACCCAGCTGTATTGCTCGCTGCTTTGGACAACATGTCTCTGTTGACAGTGGACGCTCCAAGTGACTCGAGTGCTGATTGTCGCCTCTCGGATGATTGGTACTGGAATGTCTGCAACAGATCCGGAGTTCGCCGACATCGTGATGATGGCCCTGTCTTGCCAAAAGTATTCACTAGACGCGCGTGCACTTCTTGTGGCTGCGCTGACATCCTAGATCTGCGCTGTTGTGGGCTTGAGGGCCAACGAGAAACTGAGGTACTCTTTTCCGAGGATTGAAACGCAAATCTTTCCAGCAGCTTTTCATTCTGCTTTCTGACGTGATACTCCAATAAGTCCTCGAATGCGTCAGGATCGGCATCTTGGCTTATTTCGCGTCCTGCTTCAGGATCAGGTGAAGTTCGGCTTTTCGAGTTGCTCTTCGACGGAGAGTTGTGTGAAAGGGATGGGTAGAAAGGGGAAGGTGATGCAGCTACGGGAGAAGACTGAGGTATGGACTCAGGAGCGTCATCAGGCTCTTTGTGCCATTCGGAAGACTGTTTTGCAGGCTGTTGGAGAGATATCTCCTTATTTGGGCTGACTTTTTGCTGTATATCGCAATCGAACAACACCTCTCCGACAGATGACTCAGAGAAAACCTCAAATCTGGATCGACTGCTCTTCTTGACTTTGCCCCTCTTCTCAGCTAACGGGCTAGCCTCGATCTCTTCACCTGTAGAAGCAAAGAATGGACTTTCCCTGACTTCTCGACTGGGCGAAGGATCCATAGAGTCAGAGCACAAGCGCTGCCGTTTCGGAGGTTGATAGGTCGACATCATCGAAGCTCTTGCTAAAAAGGCTGAACGGTCTGTAGCCGCTGCGGTGCTGACCGAAGCAGTCACACTGCGCCTGAGCGCAGGAGCCGAGTTGATTAGCCTTGGTTCCCAGGAGGCATTTTGATGACGCTCGAGAAGTCTCTGCTGTGTTGGCGAAGGTGTAAGACTGTTTGGGTCCAACTCAGCAAGCGGCTGTCGATGAGGCTTGAAGAACGTTTCGATGGACTTCTTGGGCTTCAACTCTGCAGGACCTGCGTAACTCTGTCGTCTGTTCTCGCCAAGTGCCGGTCGGCCAAGCGATTTGGTATAGTCGAGTTGAAGAGGCTTCTTCGAGAAAGGGTCCAGGTCTCCGCATGCCACGCCTATTGCCGTGTCTGGGTCGACATAGGGCCCTAGGTAAGGCATATCGCGCTCTGACATACCTGGACTAAGCTCTTTCAGGAAGACCATCTTTTGTGTAATGGGGCAAAATACCCGGTGGTGGAGAAAGGTCAACTCGGCTTGCTGGAAACTATCCAGATAGCCGTTGGGAACGACTAATTTCCCCTCGAACTGGATCATGCGCAAGATCTTCTCAACGTCCTTGTACTTCCGAACGTAGCTGTATGCTGTCTTCAGACCCAGCTTCTCGATGTTTGGCAAGTAGTCGCAGCCACTGAGGATAGCCAGTCGCATGAACATTGTGTCTGTCCAGCCTGCAAGACTGATGTCTTTGCATAGAGGGAAATCTGCCCTCTCAATCTCTACCAATTCGCCATATTGGTTGAGTTTCGTCAGTAGGCGCTTAGCACCAAATACTAGGAGATCTGAGTCTTCAGAAAGAATGCCGTCAATGATGCCCTTCTGCTCCAAATAGACTAGCTGGGCGTCAGCTTCGTATGGAGCTACGATATACTGAACGTTGAGCTTCTTCAGTTCTTCGATCAAATGCCGGGCCATTAGCGGAGTAACATCGACAGACTTCTGGAGCTCTTGTTGTGCTTGACTCATCTTCCCAGCTCTATGCAACTCCAGACCCAATGTTTTGCTTTCCTGTCTTCTTTTCCGCCGAGCAGCATTCGTACCGGCCTTGCTGGGTAAGTTGTCTCCGTCAAATATGAGGTAAGGCGTCACGCCGAAGTCAAGAAGCATTCGAACTCTGCTTAATACAAAATCGATATGGATAGTGGTGGGTTTGCCGAGGGCAAGGGCAAAGGCGCAGCCCACAACACCGCGGTGTAGCCATCCGTATGCGTCGACTCCAATTGTCTGCCCGCTGAACTTCTTTAGAGTACATGGCTTCTGGATCGATTTGAGCAAGGGCAATAAGCCTATTGCCTCGTCAGCTTGCAGCCAGAGATATTGTGCCAGAACTTGCCCTTAATGCCCATTTCAAGAGTGGTTTTTGGCGCTCACCGCCTATTCCCAATGGTGTCTGATATTGTCAAGCCGACACGCAAACATGGAGTATCGCGCGAGAAACCCTGGAAGACAAGAACTCTGTTCCCTGAACGAACCTGTGCCATTGAAAGTTATATTCGTTGCTGTAGGACAATATTTGCTTGCGAGGCGCATTGACAGGGCATTCCGCCTAGATTCAACGCGCTTCAGCATCCAGACGCGCCTTGGGGAAGGAATCAGCGCGGGAGGAAAGTGCGAACGTCTGACCAGTCCTCTTGTGACATTCACACGTGTGCGATAGGAATTGATTGTCACCATGATCAGTCTGACTGATCCAACTTCTAGTGCGGGCTCCGCCCTTTCCGAAGTTCTACCGCCCCAGGAACTTTTTTCGAAGGGCTCTCCGACTGTGCAACGACTTGCCCAAGATATTCGCATTCTTTGAAGCGGTCATATGAGAATCTTTCAGCCTTTCGAACGTGCTTGACTTATTCAAATGGCTCGTGCTCTGAATAAAGTGCACAAGCAAATCTCCAAAAAGAGAGGCGGGAAAACCAACACTCTTCACGAAAACAGTCGAGATGCGAAAAGGCTACGGTCAGCGGGTGCAAGGGAAGAAAAATTACAACGTGTAATGGATGCCGCTGTGAAATCGAACCAAGTCTACGGTATGCCTACCCCTGAGAATTGCTATGTGCCGTTGCTGATCAGGATGCCCATACAGTCGACAGAGTCGCTTGGTTCAAATCAGCCTTAGAGGGCTCGGTTGGCGCTCTAAGTGAAGAGGAAATGCATCTGCTGACACAAAGGTATGCCTGGGTCAACACGATGGGATACTTGTTTCTGACGTGTGCAGCTACATCGACCGTGACGATGAACAGCTAGAAGAAGCCCAACAGCAACGGCGACCTGGTCGGCCACCCAGCAAGCTAGAGGAACAAATCAAACAGAGGAAGGAGGCTGAGGAACGTGAGTTCCGAGGTGGCTTCTGGGTCCCTGATCTACGAAATGAAGCAAGCCGATCCAAAGTGGAAAAATGGGGAGGAGATTGGAGTGGTTTGAATACGCTTACTTTCGTGCGTGTGGTAAAGTCAGGCGAGGTCAAACCATCAAGCTTCCCACCAAAAGGGCTCTCTTGAAACATGCACGGCTCTTTTCTAACGTCAAACAAACATACGGCTGTGTACATGATTGACTGGACCCCATCAATCAAGTTCCCGCAACGAAACCCTCGGACTTTGAAACCCTGGAGATCTTGTTCAGACAGCATGGGACATCAAGCAAATGCATGTTGTTGGCGAGGAAGTGGAATATTCAACTCATCGGTCAAGACCGGAAGACTGATCTTATAACGGTTCTGAATATTCCGATTGTGCCTGACGGGCATATCATCAGTTAACTTGGAGGACCCGATACGCAGGCCAAAACTCGTCGGAAGGTTATCCCCCTGTATGGAACAGACCGTTGTGGCCTACCAAGAGATGGACAAGGCTCTGTTAATGAGCTGGCGGCTTCGAGTTTCGTCTGCCACACTGGTAGGAAACAAGATCAGACGGGACCTATTGCCCATGTGGACATGTTAGGTATCGGCAAGAGCAGCTGCGGAAGAGGTGTCCATATCATAGATGATTGAGGCGGACCATTGGTGATATCAAGGAGCATGGTGAAAATCTATACTTGTATCCCCATCTTCGGTACGGACTACACCTAGAACAATATCCGAGGAGTCGAGACGACCGTGACAGAAGGCTCCAGGTGTACCTAGGCGTCGAGGGCGTGCTAGGGAAGTCCGTCACGTCCGTCACGGTCCGTGTCATTTCAAACCTTAAGTTTTGGAGATGGCGTGTTTCCCAAAAAATTATCTTGTTACAGGACAGCCATTGCTTTATCCAACTGCGCAACTGAGTTCTTCGCATCCATCACCCTTTCGTTGACTATTTTGCGTACTCATCTACTAGTACTTACGATGAACTCTCTGCGGCTCTTCAGCCGGGCTCTGCCCAAGGCCTCATTACGCCAATCTGCCATCCGATACTCTCCCTCAGTTTCGAGGTTTACAGCTCGCCGACCAATATGGCAACCCGCAATGCGAACATCATACCCTGCGTTCTCGACTTCTACATTCCACAGAGAACCCGCGGGGGACTGTAAGCAGAATCAATTCCGGCCAGGAAATCTCTCTAATCCATCAATAGCCGATCTCGAGCTCGCCGAGAAGCTGAATTCCGAACGACAGCTCGAATTGGAAAACAACGACGAGAGCACAGTTGCCGCCATCGATGACTTCTTGAAGACCCACCCTTGGGAAGTGCAAGATAAGCCTGGTACACATGAAGTCACATTGACAAGGGAGTTTGGTAATGAAAAGTGAGGATGCTGCCTTACCAAGATCAAGACTGAGTGTTGACAATTCTCCTTCTAGGATCAAGGTTTCCTTGAGCGTTGCCGAGATCGACAACATGCCCGAAGAGGACGAATTCGGCGGATTAGATGAAGATGGCTCCCTTGAAGACGAAGCAGACTACGGCTCGAATAAGGCGACCATCAACCAGTCAGGTACAAGAGGAGGCAAAGTTGATGTGATGCCAGAGGACAGCATCGCACCTGCCGATAGAGAGGGAGAGGATGCCGCCGGTATGACGAGCGAGACACCAGCCTACCCTATCCACCTGACAATCACCATTACGAAACCTGGTAAAAAAGCCCTTGAGATACGAGCTGTTGCGCAGGAGGGTACTGTCGAAATCGATACCATCAGCTTTTTCCCCAAGGAGTCGCTGCTGGAGGCGCAGAACCCCAAAGATGCTCAAGAGGCTCGCAGTCTGTATGCTGGTCCAACAATTGGCAACCTTGACCCCGACCTCCAGGCCATGCTCGAGAAGTACCTTGAAGAGAGAGGAATTGATGCAGAATTGGCTACCTTCTTGTTTGAATATGTCGACTACAAGGAGCAACGAGAATATGTTAAATGGCTCGATGGTAAGTGCGGTTGCTTCTTTTTGACTGGCGGCGAGCTAACTCTACATGCAGATGTGAAGTCCTTCGTCGAGGAGTAAATACTCGTCGGCTTTAGGCGTTGTAATCTCCAAATTCGCTCCTGTCCTATCTAGACCCTCCACTTTCGGCAGAAGCTTGATATCAAATTGGTGTACATTATGTGATGAGGCAAATTGTAGCCCGACAATGCAATTATCAGATACCCTTTGGATGCGCTCTCAAAACTGGGCTACCACCAGTGCAGTCTCTAACGAGCACTCTTTTAGCTCTATTTTCTTGTGACTGATCAGGGACGGTCCGAGTGTAGTAACCAGACTTAGTACATGCCATGCGCGATGGCCTGAGTCCATCGTAGTACAAGATCGTTTTTCTCGGGCATGCCTGAAGACTCGACTCAACGAGGACCGCCGTGGACCCTGTCTCTACCTTGGTTTATCTCCGCCACGGCATGCCAACTCTCACTCGTCAATCGTAGGCGACTAGGCGACGCTGTCAGCATCGATTTTCTTGAGTTCTTGGGTGTAAGGTTGGAAGCGCGATCTTTGCCACGACCTCAACTCATATACCGGTTGACAGTATAACACAACAACCTGATATGACCCAAAGTACACATCGATGAACTTGACATCGCAGACTCCAGAGTGCGAGTTTTCCCGCTTTCATCGACGATGACTCGACCATAAAACAATAAGGAATGCCGACAAAATCAACGTCAGTCGTCGTGTCACCCGCGAAGTCGTGACAATCACAACCAGCCGGGTCAGTACGAAGAGAGAAAATATCGCAGACGCCTTTACGGAAGTGCTCTCGAGGGGACTGCTCAGGAAACACTTGCGGATCGTTGGGTGCATTGGCCAATAGTCCTATACCAAAGCGCGTGTTACCAGTATTTCATCTCTCATCTAGACAGCGCCATCATGGCGCTGTACTTTCCAGCCGGGAAGTTCGAGTCAGGTAGGCTGATGATGATCCAGGTCAAGTCGTGTCCTGGACCGAGGCAAGTTTTCACGGCTCTGCAATCGGTTCAACTCATAACCCCGGCTCCTTCGAACAAAGAGAACTCTGGCCAATCGCCTTGGCCATATTAAACAACATGACCTCGACGTTGTTCCTCGTTCCATATGACACGGGAGATGCAGTGGAACGCAAAGTCTCATGCCGCCAAGGTCGGATTCCGTGGACCTTTCGGCTTTGGCTTCATCCACAGATTGCGGGGGACATGATTCCATCAACATTGACTCGCGCAGTCCGACTCACCGTATCACATCGTCTACAAGGGTCCATGATTGCAACCGGAGAGGTCAGCAGTTGGGTGGGATTACGGCAACAAACAGGAACCGCTAAACACTAGTCCATCCTACAGTAAGCGCCCCTCAATTCTCAAACGTCGCATTTGGCTAGTTGTATACGCATCTCTCACACGAAATACGAACCTGAACCATAACCAGGCGTGCCAGGCGCACCAGGATATACCTTATTGTTCCCCTCGACTCGGCCCTCCTATTTCGTCCTCGACTTCCCATACAATATTCGATTCTCGACAGCATTCTCTGCACATTGGTCTGTTGACATAACTCCAGCTCGTTTTGTCTTTGTGCTACTGTCGGTTTTGTTGCCTCTTCGTATCGTTTTCTGTTCACCATGGTGAACTACAAATTCGCGGCCCTTGGCCTGCTTTTGTCGACTGTTATCTTCTTCGTTATCTCCTCTATCATCTCAAAGACACGTCATGCTCGCAAAGCAAGACAGTGGGGATGCCAACCCGCCCAAGAGCGGAAAGCTAAGCTACCACTCGGTATTGATCTCGTCTGGGACATCATCAAAGCCGACCAGAATCAAGTGGTCCCTGCATTTTTCTTCGACATATACAAGGGGCAAGGAGTTCCAACATGGCGCCAAAGCATTCTTGGTACCGAACAGTACTTGACAACGGACCCCAAAAACATTCAAGCCATACTCGCCACGCAATTCAATGACTTTGAAATTGGAGAGCAGCGTCGCGGGAATTTTTTCCCGGTATTTGGGAATGGAATATTCACCTCAGACGGCAAAGCATGGTAAGTGGAGGGCGTGCAAAGGTGCAGCGTCCAGTTGATGCGCAGTATCTAACTCCGCTTCCAGGGAGCACTCCCGCGCCTTGCTTCGTCCTCAATTTGCCAGGCAGCAAGTGTCCGACCTGAACCTGGAAGAGGTTCATGTCCAAGACATGTTCCAACATCTTACCACAAAAGACGGCTGGACCGATATAGTGGACCTTGGGCCACTGTTCTTTCGCCTGACTCTCGACTCTGCTACGGAGTTCTTGTTCGGCCAAAGTGTGAACTCCCAACTCGCTGCTCTACCAGGCTATTCGAGCGAGAAAGTCAAACAAGCCGGCAATCTAGATTGGACCTCGTTCGGACGTGCTTTTGATGCTGCTACCATGACGGTCGGGGCACGGGGTCGGCTGGCAGAGTTATATTGGATATACTCACCTAAGCACTTCCACGAGAACATCAAATTGGTACACCAGTTCGCTGACTACTATGTCAATCTCGCCTTGACTACGGACTTGTCGTCTTTGAACGAACATCACCTCGAAAAAGGACAGAAGAAAGAGAAATATATCTTCCTGAAGGAACTCGTCCAGGCAACCCGAGACCCGGTCGAGCTTAGGAGCCAACTTCTCAACATCCTCCTAGCCGGTCGTGATACAACCGCTGGACTTCTCGGGTGGACATTCTACCACCTAGTCAGACATCCTGATATCTTCCAGAAACTGCGTGACACCATCGTTGAGCAATTCGGCACGTACGAGAATCCCAAGGAAATCAGCTTCGAAACACTCAAGGGCTGCTCGTATCTGCAACACACCATGAACGAGGTCCTTCGTCACAATGCTACGGTTCCCATAAATAGTCGACGAGCAACCAAGGACACGACTATCCCTCGAGGCGGAGGTCCAGACGGCAATTCTCCTTTGTATGTATCCAAGGGAACAGAGGTGGCCTATTCGGTCCACATCATGCATAACAGGGAGGATATCTGGGGCCCGGATGTTGCTGAATTCAAGCCCGAACGCTGGGTCGGACGAAAGCCGGGCTGGGAGTTCTTGCCGTTCAACGGAGGTCCACGGATTTGTCTGGGTCAGCAGTTCGCCCTGACGGAGGCCGGATATGTTATCGTGCGCATGCTTCAGAAGTTCGACAAGATTGAGGATTATGAGACGGATCCCATCATGCGGCATCAGTACAGCGTCACGACGGCGCCTGCGAGAGTGCCGCTTCGGCTGCACGAAGCGGCTGCAAGTTAGGCATCTAGGACGGATACAACAGAGGGGAATGTTTGAAAGCGCCGGATCTGTCAATCTCCATTTGAGACATTGGTAAAAGCTTCAGGTTCAGGTTCAGGTTCAGGTTCAGGTTCAGGTTCAGGTTCAGGTTCAGGTTCATTGGTGTGTGTTACTTTTCCTGCGATAGGGAGTATGCGAATGTCACTCCGGTCCATATCTGATTTTGCTATATGTACCTGCCAACTAGCCTGCAAAATTTCATGCCCTTTTGGTGACATGTAAACGATAGCCGAGCAGCGATCAGAATTTGATTGACCAACTTCGACACTCCGCTCGAGTGCCGCTTATCTGAGACTTGTTTCCACATGGCATTTGTCCACTTGATTACCATTCTCTCGCCAGGGGTTCGAGTAAATCTTTCGACTTTCAGATGGAGTTCCTCTTCTCATTGGATCTCCCAAGAGCCGTTGTGTCAAACTTGAGTGGTCCGGCGTCGATGGGTCGCACGAGCCCGTCCAGCACGGTTGTCGTAGACATGACGTCGGAAGATCCTCAAACAGGTTTGCACGGCAGTGAATGCTACACAGATGGACTGAAGTGATTAGTACCGCACCGATATCTGGGTTCTCTTCACTTTTGTCTCCTTGATTATCACTTGCTTAATTAAAAGGATTTGCCAAACGAAACACCCATACATACCCTTATTCTGCAGGACCATCGGGTTCGTTGCTGAGAATTATTCATCGCAATCATCCATTGGACGAAGACACTTGAGAAAGCCAAACAGACGCGGAAGACTACGAGAAAATCAGCCAACGGATCTCATCGCCTCTTCACATCTTCCTTCAAAATGTCATCCGCTAGCTCAGCCGTATCCAGCGCCTTCTCCTCCGCCACAGCCAAAGCCACCAGCAACGGCCCTAACGCAGGCATGTCGACCACCGGAATCATCTTCACCAGCCTGGCCGCCATTGTCACACTGCTCGCTCTGGTCGCTGGGACAATCTACTTCACCGGCTATGCGGACGACGTTGCTGAGTGGTGGGCCAAGCGGTACTACAAGGCCAAGGCCATCGCCGAGGTCAAAGTTCTCGAGAACGTGGGAAGTGAGAAAGTCGAGGGTGCGCTGAAAGGTATGTCACATGCCTCCTCCCCCCGGCCCAAATTTGTCAAAAAGCAAGCGCAGGATATTGACGTATGGTGACTCTAGACTCGCTCAAGAAGAACCCCATCATGGGCGAGGACGAGCTCGACAAAGTGTCGGGCGGTTTGGGCAAGGAGGCAGCGGAGCAGGGTCTGGGCGGTGTCAGTGACAGGTTGGGTGGGTTGGGGAAGTTTTAGGATTTCGGACTCAAACGATATGGAGCTCACCGTCCAAGGGAATGGTCATGTTAGGGGTCTTGGATTGCAACGGCAACGCGTACAGAGAATCGACAGACAAGGGAGCCGAAAGGAATACAGCACACTCACTGCAATGATTAGCTGGGGGGACTATTGAGTTAGAAGCAGCTCTCCGGATCCAAGCATACGAATGAAAAGTCCAATTAATGCATTCATTAGGTAAGAAGGGATTCATTCCAAGTAATCCGGCCTCAATTCAAAATGCGTGTCTTTCGTCAATGTCTCGAACTCGTCATCCTCATAGAAATCCGCCCGGACCTCAACCATATCCTTTGCCGATCTCTTGAAGAAGTCCCGCTGAGATACGGGCAGGTGGCACCGCATCCTGGAATTCGGGTAGAATGGGCTCTGATACCACGTCTTTTCGTCAGCACATGTCCTGCGGCCAAAACAGGAGAACGTCGACAGAACAAGTACCTGATATCCCAATCCGATCATGATCCTATGCGTCTCGGTCCCGTTGGGCATGCCCGCGTGCCACAGTCTCAAGTCACGGATCATGATATCACCAGGGGAGCACGGCGGCTGGATCGGTGGCCGAACCGCTCTGCGCGCCTCTTTGGCTTCCTCGGTGATCGCGGGTAAGGGTTCGCCTAGACGACCGTACTCTGCAATCTGTGCGGGTTCGGTCGCGATGATCTGCTCACGGTAGCTGGCCTGCGCGTGCGAGCCGAGCCAGAATTCCGTCGCGCCGTTGTCGATGGTGAACTCGCACAGGGGGATGTTGGCGATGAAGTAGTACGGATACTGCGGATGGGCGAAGGCGCAGTCCTTATGGGGCGGTTGGCGCATGCCCGAGGTATGGGAGAGCGCGACGTTCGAGGTCAGCCAGGTCCATATAGGTGTGTGGCCGAGGTACCTGTTCAGCAGCAAGATTGATCAGCTGGCGGAGGGCGAAACCAGGGAAAGAGTCGGATGAGCGAAGGAGATGGACGTAGGAGATGGGAGAACAACTGACGCATTGGCTAGTTGAAGGAGGAACGGGTTGAAGTAAACGTCCTCGAAGAGATAGGTGGCATCTGTGACGGGTGGACGTTGGAGGAAGTTGGCTTTTCCAATATGAGCATACTCCATACCAGTCCGGGGATATAAGTTACAGCATTGCTGGAAACGCACATTTGACCGCATGATTGTATATCTGATCCGGATCTGCTCTTTTCTTGTCGGCTTCCGCGCACATCTTCTCGTTCAAAGCGTTGATGTGTTTGACGTCGATCACGCCCTTGAGGACGACGAGTCCCTCCTGGTGCATCGCCTCGAGGGCCTTCTGGAGCGTCAACTGAGAGTACTTGCCTTTACGACGTTCGTCGTCGCTCAGCGTGATGATTTGGACGTGGTCTTTTTCCATGCCTGCAATCCTCTTGTTGGGCACGATGTCAGCCGTTGTTGACTTATGCGAAGGGGGAAACTGTTCGATTCACAGCAGCTCGGAGTGAGTCTATCAAGGGCACGACTTGTGGAAAATGGACATGTCCGGGGGTGGTGTTCATTGATAGGCGTTCTGCGCTTTGAGGACAGACTTCGCCTCTTCACCAAAGCATTGATATAAGCAGCTTAGATGGCCCTTAAGCTCGCACCATATCCTCTTCTGTCAGGATCCAAACAAGTCCGACTGCTGTCGTTACCGATCCTCAATTCTGTGCGGAGTCAGAACATCCGCCAAGGGAATGAGCGAGACACCTCTCACCGAGCGAGGTAGGTCGATATTGCTACCCTACGCAATTACATCAGACGAATCACCACGATCTACGCTGCGCGTGCAAATGGCCTCACATCCAAGGTGCCATCGGGTCGACCGTGGAGATAAATGAACGTTTTGCTCGGACTCCGCCATCCGCACCCATTGCAGGGGGCCATGAAGCCATCACTTTCACAGGCAAACTCCTGTGGTTGCGGAGTTGATCGGCACTTCATATTATGAAAGTGACCGCACTTCCATGGCCATCGGTACAATGCCTGCCGAGACCATTGGAGATGTTGTCTGGACGATATATTCAGACTGAAGAACTGATCCTCCAGCGTTCTTCTCAACTCCTTGGTTCGTCTCAGAAGCCACAGAAGATAGCCATCATCGACATGAAGCTGTCAGCATTTGAAAGCCGAACATGGAGGCGCTCGAGCTGTCTTGCCCTCCTGGTTGCTCGTACTGCCACCTGCTTGCCGTCATCGAGGAGCTCAACCGCCGTTGATCTGACCATCCCAGCTTCTGCGCAAGGTGCTTCATATGGACAGTCCACCTCATTCGCATCATTCTCCTTCGAGCCGGCATTTTGGGTCGAGTTCTTCGGCAATGCAAGCGCTCCGAACAAGCTCACTTTCGAACTGCTCTCACGAATTACCGAGAGAGGTGGAAGGCCCATCATCCGACCAGGAGGCATCACAATGGACAGTATGATATTTGACCCTTCGGCTGGCGACCCAGTCCGAACCACCAGCCCCAGTGGTGGCGTTTACCGAACCACTGTCGGGCCCAATTACTATCACAGCTGGAACAACTTCCCAAACGGCACCAAGTTTGTCTCGACGCTTAACTTTGGCAATGATAGCCTCGACATCGCTCGTGATATGGCGGTCGCTTCGGTCATGTATCAGGAGGACAAGATCGAATATTTCGAACTCGGCAACGAGCCCACGAATTACCCGAGCACACGATGGGACAACAGCACAGCAGCATACGTGCAGCAATGGAAGCAGTGGACAGGTCAGATCGATGCAGCAGTCAACCAGACATTGGGAGCCAATGCAAGCCACTTTGGAAGAGAGCGATGGTGGGCATCGTCTGCCACGACAGACAAATCTGGGTTGAATGTACGACCCGCCGACATCATTCCAGCTGGAGTCGACGCTGCGGATCAAGTCGCCGAGTACTCGATTCACTCCTACGCCTTCTCGACGTGTGATCCTGCTCGTGCGGCACTAGCCACGACTCCCAACATCCTCAACCATACCGAGCTGACCAGGTACGCCGACGAAGAGATCTATCCATCCGCAAAAGCCGCGCTAGATTCCGGAAAACCATGGGTCATTGGAGAGTTCAACTCGATTTCATGCTCGGGCCAACCCAATGTCACCGACACATTCGCGCAAGCGCTGTGGACGGTCGATGTCGAGTTGATTTATGCCGTCCGAAATGCGTCGTCGGTACACCTCCATCAAGGCGCCACCTTGGTGTTCCAGAGCAGCAATCAGGTCAATAGCGCCGGCAACGACGGGTCGCCAGGCTACTCGACATATGACATGCTTTACCCCCGTGACAGCAGTAAGCGTGGCAAAGCACGCGCCTTGCCTAGTTTCGTCAGTCAATTGTTCATGGCCGAAGCCTTCCACACGTCGCAATCAGGGGCTGGCGTACGAGTGAAGGCTCTGAAAGCTCCGGCAGGTGTAAATCAGGAAAGCTTTTCAGCCTACGCCTTCTATGTTAAAGGCCGATTGAGCAAGGTGGCTCTCTTGAACATGAAGCCGTTCTACGCCAACTCGACTGGTGACTACACAGTTGACCTGAAACTGGGTGTCAGTGGTCAAGCATGGGTCAAGAGAATGACAGCACCGCATGTTAATGAGGTGAGTACTCAGAACGTGACCTGGGCAGGTCAGTCGTTTCAAGACGGAAAGGCTGTCGGCAAACTGCACATTGAGCATGTTGGGAAGGACGGGGCTATCAGCGTCAGAGGGAGTGAGGCGGTACTGATTTTCTTCGACAAGGATGATGTTTACGGCTTGTAACGACCACTATGCTACTGCCGTATGGTCGATATAAGAGGTTTGAGTGAATCTGCACTTGACCATGCCGCTATCCGTACAATATGATCGCTGTGGAGCTTGTACTTCATAAGTGCTTGCGCGAATGACCCTGGCATTATATCATGCGATGCCAGAATTCTAGTATCTGCCACCCGTCTCGTTGGATCGGTATCCTCTTCGCTTCAGCTCGAAGGTCTCTCAAGCTCGGCTATCAGTAACGCCTCAATCCTGTCTGCTCAGCTCGGGGAAGATTCTCCACGTTCAGTACATAGACTCCGAGCAATCCTTCGTGGAACAGTGTTCGCAACTGGGAGCTTGGCTGGACCTTTTTCGCGTTGCTTCTGCAGAATAATCTCCTGTTGCATAGAAGGGGATTTCCTGGATGCTTTTGAAGCATCGTCCTTATCAGCCACCCAGCAGCGGCACCAAGGACGTCCGCGGCTACGAGCTGGAGACACAACGCTCACCTACCATCATCAATAAACTATTTCGGAGACATAGGAGCACTCCCTCTCGATCAGATCTCGATGTGCCGGGCTGCGCGGAGCGATCTGGACAGCAAACGGAGCATAGTCGATGGCCGGCCAGACCACTTTCTCCAGCTCGATCTCTTGAGCCTACACATATTGTCAGCAGTGAGATTCTCCCATCTCAAAGTCAGCGGACGTGGCCTACCGGGATGGCCTCGAAATCGAAGCAGTACAATAAACGCGACAGGAACATCCAAAGATTCGTCTCCGCCACATTGTACCCCGGACAAACGCGTCTGCCTGTGTACTTGTTAGTGGTTGGACGTCTTGCTTTCGACAAATGGACAATCATACCTGCTCCAAATGCCCAATGACCTTTCAACGGGTTGTTCAGGTCGTCATTCAGAAACCGCTCTGGCCAGAATCTCTCCGGGTCCTGGTACTCGTCCGGACTCCTCGAAAGATGATGCATGTTCCAGGTCACCATGGTCCCGGCTGGCAGCGTATACCCTTCGTACTCGTCATCCTGGCTCATCATGTGCGGCACGCCGATCGGACCGAATGGGTACCACCTGAAACCCTCCTTGACGGCGGCAGTGATGAAAGGCAGGTTGGGCTTGTCTTCGAACCGTGGAAGACGCTGAGCATCACCGCACACTCGGTCGAGCTGCTCCCTTGCTCTTTCAACCCAGTCCGGTTGCAAGACAGCCGCAGCTATAAGCTGGCTCATGGTCATTCGCGAAGTATCGCTTCCGGCTTCCAACAAGCTGCCCAGCGCAAACAATTTCTGGTCGTCGTCCATGTTGCTCTTTTCGGTCTCCTTGAGGAAGTCAATCGCAAAGCAAGGACGTGCATCACCTTTGAGCATTCTCGCCCTCACTCGGTCCACTTCCTTGCCATACACCCTGCATCATTTTAGTAATCCATCAAAAGTGAAATGCAGTCCAGGGGGCATGCAGCTAGCTACCTCTTGGACTCCTCAAACATGCTCAACCCTTTCGCTCTCCACCACTGCATCCACGGCGGCAGCCTGCTCAGGAACGGAAAAGTGTCCACCAACGTAGACCCGGGCTGCAGATGCTTGACCATGTCTTCCGCCTGCTTCAGCAGTGGTTCCAGGTTCTCGTCGTCGAGCAACAATCGCCGTCCGAAGACCACGCTCATGATGACGGCGTTCGCGTACCTCTGATTCGCCTTGAACCACAGATCCGGCTGCTTCAAGTAATCCCAGAGCAATTGCTTGCTCTCTAGGTCCTGGTACTCGGCGAATTGGGTCATCTGCCGCGAATTGAGGATGCTGTGCATGACCTTACGGAGCTCGCGCCATTGGTCGGTATAGCCCATCAGCACGATCCGCTTGCCGCCGGACATCAGGTCCTGCACGAACGGCATGGGGTTGCGAGACGAGTACTTTGACGCACGCTTTTCGAGCAGGTCCGTCACCACTCGCGAGGAGTTGAGGAAGACGAAGTCGGACGTGCCGAGCCGGAGGGTGAACCTGGGGGAGTATAAGTTAAGTTAAGTCTGGATTCTGGAATTGAATACTGGTGGTTGGAAAGGGGGAAAACAGGTGAGTATGAATTGCTCACATTTCGCCGTACTTCTGAGCGAGTTTCTGCGCCCACGGTGCTTGCTCGACTTGGGTCAGGGGCATTTGGAACGAGTTGCCGAAAATCGGTATGCCAGGTACTTGAGCGGGAAGTTTGTATTGGCGTCGGCGTATGGTCGAGGAGATGATGAGGTGCAGCAGCCATAGCAGCGTAGCGGCCGCCACCGCGAGGAAGACGGTAGATGTCGAGTAGCCCATTCTCAACTCGGTGGCATGAATAGTATCAGAGAACTTTTCAAGCTTATCTTTTTGTTCTTCGTAGCCTTGCTGAATGTGCTGCAATTGTAATAGGATGCCGAAGGGTGTTCGGACGCGTGCTCAGCCGGTGTACCGGATACTTGAGATCATATCACCTGACACGACGAATTGTTATATACTAGTCGTAGCACCAACCGATTCTGCTCCATATAGCCATAGTCTAAGGCAAGGCAAAGCAAAGTACTGGGCATGGCAATGGACGGACTGTATGTGGAAATTGTGGGGTAAGGGATACATACTCACACACTCGGTACAATTCAAACTCCCCACACGGCCAGCGTCCACATCAAATGTAACTCAAGTTGATGAGATTGATTGGAGAAGAAAGGGCAAAAAGGATGGTGTGAACCTGAAAAGAGACCATACGACGGGCGTTGTTGATCACGAAGACCTAAGCTTGACCACTGCACGAATTGTGACGAATGTACCTCGCTTTCCTGGCGCTGAGTAGAGTAAGCATAGCTACCTACGGTCAAATTAGGGGTCGTCTTAACTGAGCCACCGCCTGGCAAGGGCCCCACGAACTGGTTCTTGGCCTTGTGGCCCTCTATTTATCCCCAACGTTCCCCGTGACGCCCCCATCATCCCCCTACAGTAGTTACACTCGGAACTTTGCAAAGTGCCATCATGCAATGGACTCCAAATCTCATCCCAGTCCGCTGTGTTCACACTATACTCACTCTGCCTGACATCTGGACGCGTAAGGCGTCGGCAGCGAGGTAAGTCCTTCACCGCGAGTGGACAGGACAGATCGTTGTCACGATCGAACGAGACCTTCAGGCCGTGGCAAATGCGTATCGAGCTGAAGTCTGGTCCAAGAGGATTCCTCGCACGGCTTACAGCATACATAGTCGCGAGATCAACAGCAGACAATGTGAAGGCCAGTGACTCAAGGATCGACAGATTTTCATTTCGAGAAAGGCAGGGACTCGGCTCGATGACACGGCCCTGATTCTACTCAATGTCCACGGTTTCGTACACCAAAGCACTCCCGTCCTGTTCTATCTCCCTCCACAACTTCTCGCCTCTTTCTTTGTCATCAATCAACCTCCCGTCCTCCGCCACGGCCAGAAACAGTCTGGTCTCTTGACCTTGCATACTTTCCAGCATACTCTCATCCTCCTCCTCCTTCTTCTTTGGTTGAACGACCTCAATCTCGATATCGTCCAAGCACACCTGCCAATCTCCATCAATGCGATAACTCTGCTTGGCCTCATCCCACCGATACAGGTCCGCCACCACCTCAAGAACATCCACCCCCTGTCCAAATCCAGGGATAACTCTCGCGAACCGCTCGTAGTCCAGCTTGACACTCTGATGCGGGCCCGGCCCGAAGGCAACCAGCAGCTGGGAAACATGCGCCCCTTGTGGAATACTAGGTGAACCGCGCACCAGCCCAGGAAAATCAGCTTGTGCAGATGTGGCATCCTGAAGGGACGACCCAGACCCATCAGATGGTAGCTTGAGGAGGCTGATTCGAAGTCCGACCAGAACTCGATCGTCTCCGGCCGAGACGTTGCCCGTCGGCGACAAGGTGACGGAGCGCATGTTGAACGTGATGTTGGCGTCTTGTGGCTTGGTGGGATGACCGCTGAGATCGTGGAAACTGAAGCGCGGCCACGGGTAGCCAGCTTTACGGGACGAGAACAATGCATTGGGCGCAGAGCTGGCGCAGAGGAGGTCGATTGGGTGAGGCAAGGAGTCGCGAGCTTTGGCGACATTGACGACGGTGAATGACTGGAAGAACAGGTCATTGTAGTGCAGAGGTTTTGACTGCTTCCATGGATCGAATCCGATGCCCGAGCTGTTGGTTGGGATGTCGTCGAACTGTAGAGCCATTAGCAGATTGAATATGAGCCGTTGAGTAACTAGGGTGGTGATTGTCACTCACGTTCAGTGTGACGTTGTACCTCTTGCCATGCTCTTCGTCGAGATGGACTTGCTGCTCCTGGGCGATGGCGGCGGCCAGTAGGCTCAAGAAAATGACGACTCTCCACGCGTGCATGTCTGCAGTGTTCAAGAGGAGCTCCGTACGCTTCTTGCACTCTCGGACAGAATAGAATGAAAGACCAGCGAGGTCGTAGTCAAGTCGGGTTATACAGAGTGACAGAGTCGTTGCCTATTTGACCCCGCAAACGGCTTCATGCATACGGAGGACAGGGCACCCAGCAGGGTAGTGATTCAGACCCTGACTAAGTAGTGTTCGGTAAGGTGCTGGCTGCTCCTCGACTCAGGAGGTAAGTGATTGGCAGGACAATGAGTATCCTGCGGGACCAACATGGGGGCCACACTAGGCTGAAAAGTGCACTCGACATATCCGGGCACATCAATAAAAGGCGTACCTCGCCATACTGCAGGGGTAACATTCTGCTTGCAAGTAGTTACCAACAGCGAGACCGTCAGGTACACTGATGGCGCCATCGAGCATTGAGATGGGTATGCCAAACGTCCATAAGGTGGGAGCTTGGCTGTGTTGATGTCGGCTTGCCACAGACTCCATACCGATAAAATCGTCTACAGTTTGTAGCTGGTGGTCGGCTGGTGACCAAGCTGGCTATCACAACAGGGGCCAGCAAGAGCCAAATACAGGCTGCTCCTTCGGGGCCATCGACGTCGGCATGATCATAGAGAGACCGTCACTTCCAAGGCACATAGGACACCTAGCATTGAGAGACGCTACCATCACGGTCTCATGGAACAGAATCACTCTCGATGGCATCATGGAACGTCTGGTTTGATCAAGGCATGGTATTAGACTAGTTGACCGCCCACACCACCGTCCCTACTCATGCCTATTTAAATGCAAGCCACCACCACCACCACCCAGGTCCCTAGACCTTCTCGATTCTCCTCAAGGAGTAGAACAACAAGTAGGCCTCCTGCCTCATGACATCTTCCGTCGTCGTCGCACTGACGATCTCGTCGTCGAACCGGAACCACTTGTTGTCCTGGCGGCAGAAGGCGAAATAATGCCCATTATGAGCATGCTCCCCCTGGTGTACCACCACACAGTCAAGGTCGTACATATACTTCTCCGTGTCTTCGCCATTCTTCGGTGGTCGCGTCGTGTACGGCGCCATGTCCAACTGCAGGCTGAACTCCAGCCTTCCTTCGTACTTCTCTGGCACGAAGACGCCCGTACCAAGCTGTTTCATACCAAATCGCTTGACATGGACACACAAAATGGCCGGCAATTTGCGAATGCGTGTTTGTTTGCTGGCAGACCGACGCTCCTTGCATTCCTGGCAGCTGTACTGTTCCGGCGAGAGAGGTTCTGGGGCGGTGAAGCTTCGGAGGCACTCGTGGATATTGGGGATTGCAATCTTGAGTGGTTCCTTGTCTTTGCTGTCACTGGCATTGGCAGCGTCTTTGGCCGCCTTCTTCTTCTTCTTGACTTGTTTTTTGAAGTCCAGGCTGATGCTGGAGAATTCATCTTCACGGGAAGACACGGTATGACATGTGTCGCAGGTGATTTGGTTGTTGTATCGACCGTAAAACACTTTGTGGAAGAAGCACACGCATTGCTTGTCGAGGGGTGGGATGCCGTTGGCTTCGTTGATACTGTTGGTTTTCTCCGGGACCTTGTATTGGGCTACGGCTTCGTGGAGACGGTCGACGATCTGCATGAACCATTCTTGTGCATCTTGCTGGCCTTTGCCGGACATTGCGGGGATGTTCTTCCAGGACGCAAAAAGCAGGTTGACGGCGTGGGCAGGAGTAGGCTGGTCCACCATCGTGACGTCGGAGAAGACTTCGGTCATGCCGCAGGCGACACAGGTTTGTTGTTCCTTCTTCTCATCGTCCTCGTCCTCGGAGTCGGATTCGTTCTTCTTGTCTGGTTCTTTGGAGATTGGACAAGTATGAGTAGGATGGCCCATGCCGAGGAAATAGCTGGCCAGGAGTGGATTGTGGACCATCATTTGAAGAACAGCGTTCATGTAGCACGTCTCGCCGAGGTTGAATAGCCCTCGAACACCGTTGCGACCACATGGACGTTGGGAAGTGTTGGAAGTCAAGTACGAGTCGTCATCCTCATTGGTTTCTGCAAGTTTGCGTTTCTTGCCAGTGCTAAGTAAAGTTGGGTCATAGACCAAGTCATTGCAACGGCCACAATAGACGGTCTTATGGCTGACGGCGAGGTCATGCTTGGTTTCTGTGAAATGCTTGTCCAATGTGGGAAAGCTTCCAGTGGTTGAGCATTCGAGACACGTGTATTGTACAAGGTCTTCGCCATTCAGGTGTTTGGATCGAAGTTGGCGGATTTTGGCGATGGAGTCGTTGTCCATATGCTCGCAGCCAGCTGTCGGCATATGCATGGTGAGAGCCATGATCGTCAATCTTCAAAAGATGGGCAAAGGCAGGTTTGGATAGAGGAAGATGGAAGGGAAAGTGTGCTGCTCTTCTTTCAGGAGATGGTTCACGATGGCGAGGCGATCAAGTGTCGTGAACGAGCGAAAGGTGTTTAAGTATCTAGAACCGTGTTCAATAGCTCTATTTCAGCTATTGCAGCCTGTTGAGTGGTTCGCACAATAGGAGTACAGCGATTCAGGAGTTGATTGTGAAGTGTGGCAGAAAAAGACATTGTTTGATGGTTCGAGATTCAAAAGTTCTCCGGATCTACGGGCCAATAATCAACGCTAAAAATAAGCCTTGCCACATCCAGCCTCAGCCTCGTTCAGCCTCGTCAACCTCAGCCTTGCATACATCGATCATTTGTCCTCGACGGATACCTCTCCTGCAATATCTCTACTACAAAGGATGGATTACAACTATGCAACCCGCTTCAAGCAAATAGCTATTGAGCACGTATCACGTCGGTGCAAAGCACCCCGTGCTCCAACTTAGAGGATGGTCGCCGGTTTTGCAGCGATGGAGGCTTCTGGCTATGCTGAGAACGACCCTATGCACAGAGCTGATGATGCTAGCCAGGGACGACAGTCACACAGGCATTCCGCATCTCACTGTGGTAGGTGCATGACGTATATATCTTACAGGCACGAGAGATGCGGTCAGCGGTCACTAGGAAACGAAATGATGCATAGGAAGCACTTGAACTTGGCGAACGGCATCTAGACATTGGGTTCATTATCTTGCTGTTCCTAACATCCAATTCTCATGGAAACAACTCATTCAGGCGAGCCAAGATGGCCACGGCGTTGCGTTCGTGTCGAAGCTCCTGGGTGAACATGCCACTGAGGTCGCGTAAACGATTTGCCTCGGCACCACCCCAGGCACCATCCACGACTTGGATTCGTGTCATGCACTCTATTATCTGTTCCAACAGCCAAAGGATGTTGTTGCAGTATTGCAACGCTTCCAAGGCCATGGCGCGATGGCATAATTCCACCTCCAGTTCGTCCACCGCGTCCACATTTCTTCCTCCGTCGAGTCTGCGCCGGATAGATATGATTTCGATGTCGAATGCCGTGAGAGACGCACGCAATGCGGTCACCCGTAGGAGGTTTGTGCAGCAGGTCTTTGCAAAGAAAGATATTATCTGCGTGCGAATTATTGCATCGAATAGAGTGGCTGAAGAGCAAAGTCAGTGTGAAGGAACAACGTCTAACCAGAGGCCTTGCTTACTGCGACCGGAATTGCCTTGCGACATGGTGGTGGTTGTATTGAGCAGCTCGCGAAGGTGAGGATGATTTGTATGCTTTCATGCAACGAGGTAGGGGCTGGTCAATTTGGATGTTGTCGACAAGGAAGAGTGTGTGTTGGTCGTCAAGATGCTTTCGCAAGCTTCAACAGTCGAGATCCAGTTCTGCCGCGCCATCATAACGTTTGGAGAGCATTCACACGCTCTCTTTATCTGGCTCCTCTTCCTCTACCCCGTGGTAAACCACTGGCTCTTCCTGCGCGACCAGTACCTCTGCTTGCCCTGCCTGCATTTCCTCCGCGACTGCTCGGATTGCTTTGTTTCATTGTTGATGTTGTGCTTGGTGTGACTGAAGGTGCGATTGTCTTACGACGTGGAGTTGCTTTCAGACTTGTGAAGCTTGCATCTGCAGTCATGAATGTTGCATCCATGTCTCCAGTTCTTCCTTCTCCAGAGTTGTTCTGCAAAGTGGTTGTTTCGTCCATATTGCCTTGTCCCTGACGTTTCTGGTAGCGCTTAATGGATTCTGAGATGGGTGCCTATGACAGAGTCAGCAAGCGCCTGGTCAAGCAAACGGAGCATCCTACTTCAGGAAAGTCCACCACAAAGGCATTCATGTTCAAGCCGTACAGAAAACTGGCAAAGCTTTCCCCGAATCTGCTCAGACTTTCGTGCATCAATTGAAGATGCATCAGGTTGGCTTCTAAGTCTGCAACTGAGTCGCTAAGTTCTGCAAATTGAGGCTCAAGGGCGTCCAGAGGAGATGGCCCTGCAAAGGCGTTACTTTGAGAGGTCCTGAACGATGACCGAGATGATGCTCGAAGCGGCGTTGTTGGTCGCGATATAGGAGACCGAGACTGAGTACGCCCACCCTGGCGACTTTGAGACGCCGCACCAGGTTGCGACATCTTTGTGAGCAATGGAAAGCAGCTGACTCTGAGTGTCCTGAGATGTGCAGTCCAGTCTATGTTTGTGGAAGACGCGTCTGGAAAATGACGTCGGGCAATCGGTCAAGCAAAGGACCGATCACACCGATGCAATACGGTGTCACGTGCTGTGCTCAGATCAGGCCGGAATGTCCACGAAGTTCAACAGATCGGAGGGAGAAGTCTTATGTAGGATCAATTACATTGGCATTGCTCTGATCATGCCAGTCACTGTGATGACACCACTGTCTAGTCATCAGACGGACCAGATTCAATTGGTCCATGAAGGCCCTGAACTCCGAGTATCCGCCCTGTTCCCCAACGCACGAGGTTCGACTGCTAGACGAGGTCTTGCATTCGTAGTATCAATCCAGATCGCCTTAGGCCACCCCTAGATCTATACTGCCCTTGAAAACAGTAGGAGATGGTGGCATCCGGAATCACAATCCCTCAAAATCGCCACCCGGAGCATCATCGTCATCCATTTCACCTTCCACAATTTCCTTGGCCAGCTCTCGCTCACGATCGCGTGCTTCTTGAGCATTCTTGAGTTCCAGACGGTGCTGGTTCATGGGAAAACGCATGGCCTATGACTATGTTAGTATTGATTTCAGTATGCACAAGACATCAAAATACCTTGACGCTCTCATCGTGCAGAGCCAGACAGGCTTGAATGCGTTCATGGAAGGCATCTCCGGGTTCTCTTGTGGCGTAGACATCGCCAACTTCCTTGCTCTTCATATAGCCACGCTCATGGTCAAGACTAGCCTCGATAACCCCATCTCGGATGGCTTTGGCAACAATATACTCGGCAGATTCTTCGCTGTCCAGCCCCAAGCGTAGACACATATCACGCAATGAGATCCGGGCATATGACAGAGACATCATACGAATGCCTGTTCTGATGACGTTTTGTCTCAGTCTCAGAATCAGAGTGTATGTGTCGTCCTTTCTGAAGGTGGCATTGTACCGTTGAACCAAGTCCTGGAAGCCAATCACATCGCCAGAGCTGACAGCTTGAACAAGCTGCAAATATGGTTGCAAAGCCTTTTCAAGACTCGGCTGACGGAAGATTGCTCGGTCCGGAATATCGCCCATCAACAATTCAACCACAATTAGCAGCTTAGTTGACGCCTGGTAGAATCCGCTGGCTTTGTAAGATGTCGGTGACTTCCGTGTGGCTCCTGTCAGATGCTCATGTGCCTCTGTGTAAGAGAGTTGGATGGCTCGAATCCGGCCAAGATAATACAAGTATCGGGCGAACTGGTTGTTGACTGCTGTATCGGGAAACTTCGTGTGTGAGATCAACAGGTCTGCTTGTGTGACATGAGAGGTAGATAGGTAGTTTCGGAGAAGCAACGTTGTAACGGCTGCCTGGGTGTCTTGGTCTTTTCGCAGTGTAGCTGTTCTGAGAGCGTCGAGGAGAGGTTTGCGGATCGAGATCACGGCCGCCGCAGGAGAAGGAGGCAACGGCGTCATTTCCTCGAAGAACAGAGCATAGTAGAAATACACACGAGCTGCTAGCGAATCCAGGGTTCTTCGGTTCAGCGTCCGTAGGTGGTCGACAAGAGCACTCGAAAATTGAGAACCAGCATCAATCGACTTCTTATCGTGAAGGTAGACCTGAACCAGGATCGATAGGTAGACATCAATTTCCGGGAGAATCTCTTTTGTAGAGGCTCGGTGGTGCGACGCGTCTTTCCTATTATGCCACTCTTCCACCTTTTGTTTGGGAAAGGATTGGTCATCTTTGACAGCACTTAAAAGAGATATTGCCGTCGCGGTGGGGACTGGGTAGCTCTCGGTGACAACCGTAGCGATAACATATGCGGATAGGTGTTTTCGGACGGATGGTATCGATCTGAGGACTCTCAGGCTGAATCGTGGATCAAATTGGCTGACGGCTCTTTCCAGTAACGGGAGATTGGCTTTGATTTCTGCGGAAGCATTAGCAACACCATGCAATCAAACAAGATCGCGAGACTTTACCTGCAATGGCCTTCTCTTGAGGATCAACCGGTGGTTCGGTCTCTTTTGCAGAATCCTCAGTCATTGCTCCATTCATCACGTCGGCTTCGGTCTTTTTGTCAGGAGCAGTCGGAGTTGACCCTTTGGACGGCGGAACCACCACGGTCATTTCATCATCGCCATCCTTGTCCTTGTTTTGTTTCGATCCCTTTTTAGGGGTTTGTGATTGTTCCTTCATTTCGTGATCACCAGCGCCGTTCAGACCATTTCCGGTGCCGTTGAGATGGGGTTTGTCGCCGCTCATATCTCTGGCTGTAGTCGGCGGACGTCGGCTGGAAGGTAGTCCTTATTGTGATGAGGTAGGCAGCTTGGACCAAAGGGAATCGAGCTTCCGATAAGTCGGCTCTGTGCCTCGTGACTTTCGCAGGAGTGATCGATCTGTAGGTGCAGATTCCGACTAGTAACTGGCCTGATTCGCCCTGGCAAAAGGTTCGTACCGGATTTGATCACAGATTCGAGGCGAAGGATCTTATGGAGGCGACAAGAATTGTGATGAGGGGTCTGAAGGTCCGTAGATAGCAAGACTGGGTCGAAAGGCGAAGGAAATGCGATGAGGTAAGTAACTTTGGGATGCATGGTGATTTCTAGCTCCGGTCGAGCGTAGCTGCAACTGCAGCCACAACCGGCAGGCACGACACAGACGCGTTTACCCTTCTTTCTGCACCAATAATGCAGCCGAGCATCAACAATCACCTCCAATGAAGCAATTACTGTTCAAAGACACGGTAAGAAATATGTCTGGAAGTTGCTATTGATGATTACGGACTCAACTATATTGATTTTCCTTTCTCTTCCTGCAACTACTCTGGAAGCTGGGGACTGAATTGGCTACACGTGCTCGCCACTGTAAACAACAATGACGCTCCTAGCAAGCCATTTAGGGCAAATCTCTCTATCTACGAAATCAATAGCAGAGCTCGAGTATGTCTAAGGGTGTAATGCGCAGATACATCCAGCTGACTGCACTCTAGATTCCCCCCTCCCAAGATCTTTACCAATGCACTATTGAAAGACCATGAGATTACGACGTTAATCCGCGACACTGAACCTCACGAGCGTGCCTTATTCACATTAGACCCAACTGCTATCTCCAGACCTCGCCAGCAAGATGCCACTCAACCGAATGGAAGCTTGCAGACCAGGAAAAGCCTCTTCCCGAATGCTCATCCAGTCAGACAGTCAGCCGTTACGAGGTTATTGGGTAGAGACATGCTTCAAGAGATAAGACAGTCGAGCAACAAACGCGATGGGGTCAATGTTGAGGTGCTGCTGCGCGGAGCAGAGAAATTGTGTGATGTATATGCAGTTGCAGGAGTGCCGGAGAAGATTCGAGCATTGCGGAACCGCTACCAAGAAGTCGCTGCCTCCCTATCATCGCTGGAAGAGAAAGTGTCAAAACAACAATCGCAGCTAGACCGACGAAACAAAAGCTTCGAGTTTGACGATGAAGCAGAAAATGACCTGAGGAACACCGATGGTGACAACACTGTCATGTTGACGGAGCAGGACTTTCAGAACGAGGAAAATGAAATCAGAGAGCTAGAAGCAAAGAAGAAGGCTCTGGAAGAGCGTGTCTCTGGCATGGAAAGAGATCTCGGCGGTCTCCTTCGATGAGCATGCTTGCGAGCTCTGAAAAATAGACACAATATCGACATCGACGGGCGCACCCAGCTCAGACGGATCCATGAGCCATTGGCTTGCCCGTAGGACGACCCTTCTGCAGTCACCTTGGTGCAAGACTTGTACAGTCTGACATTCACTGCACCCTACTCTCCCGGTGCCTCTGGTCAAGGCAGGTAGGTCGCTGAAGAACACGGGCGATATCGATACTGTTACCTGGGAGGCAGTCACGGCCAACCCGATCGTTGTCGCGATCTTGATGGTGATGACTGTAGGCCAAGACTTGAACGGCCGGGGTTATTGAGGACATCAGCACTGTACTCCGTCTCGAGGTTGCGATAATATGCATCTCAACACCCGGAATGGGACTCCAACAATGTACTACCACTCAGCAAGAGCGAAGTTGGAGTGACAGCCCCAGGATCAAGAGTTGGCTAGGAACCCTTGTCGCTATCGACCTGGCATGCGGTTCCAGGGAAACGGATTTTGTGCTCGGCTCAGTATAGCCTTCGAAGAAACAGCTCGGTCATCCGTACCAAGTTAATATGTTTCAGACAGCTCTCAGCGCTATGCTTCTTGCACGATAGATACGAATTATTGACATACCTCTTTTGACATTTAGTTAGGCTGAGGCGAAAGTGGACTAGGCATACCTTCTTTCGGCACGCGAGATTTGCGATCTTTGTGGGCTGAAGAGTATATTCTAGCTACAAGTGTTGTACTCCGTATACAATGGCTGACGTGAAGTTACGCGAAGCCACATGCTCAAAGAGTTGTCGAGGGGTCTGATCTGGAGACGAACATCCTTCGACTGGCAAGGCTGGCTTGAAGGGTGCACCGTCTGAAGGATTTATCGGTATCCCCTCGCCCTGACATTAAGAGACCATTTCATACTCGTATGATAGTAATCAAATGCATGGATTATGGCTCCAAACTACGAAGACCGATTGTGGCCGGAAGCAAGCTAGAAGAACTCCAGTCTCTCAGACTCCATAGGGACGCAGCAATCTGTAGGTAAGCTAGCTGTGGATTCAGGGGTACTCGCTATCAAGCCATGTTTTTTCACGAGGTTGGTAGAATGATTTTGGGCTTAGGATCTCCCTATGCTCCTTACAATACGAGTAGCACACGGATAAAGGCCCCAATCAAGCACTTTGCGTGCGCCACAAAGGCCCAATGGTGGATGAACCTTTGGCGTACCCGCATGCTACTCCAGAGCCGTCAAAAGGTGTCCGCTAAGGACAAATGGCAGTGTGGGAGTGGTTACCGTGAAGGTCGCCAGTGGTCCACCTTCATGCAAGGTCAATGCAGCAGCAGAGACGGTGTCAAACCCGCATCTTCCATCCCATGTCCCAATTGAAACACCAGCCCGAAAATGCCCAGCTGCGTTTGTCTTGTCGGTCGGTCACTGCGGTGGGCTGCGCTGTGCTCGCTCCAGCCTCAGCACCGTGTTTCAATCATTAGGCTCTTTCATCTTCACGTATCATTCTCTTGACGTTCGCCTGCCCAACTGATACGGACATCACATCGTACTGAGTCTCAAGGCCTTGTCGTATGAAACGCAACGAATCCGCAGTGTTGCGTCATCCCTACCTTGTTTGCGACAACCACTCCAACCGAAGATCTGTTACAAACACGGAGAAGAGAACAGGCGGGGTGTAACAGTTCCTCGAGACTGCTATCGGAAGCGAGGAAACGAGAACACAACGTCTACTTGAGCTCGGGCTGAAGAATCGCCATGGAGAACTGACTGCCATCCTTGCCTGCGACTACACCGGATACCCACTGTAGAGAACGACTTGCCCGTCTGCTAAAATGGCCCAACGACCTTTGGCCTCGGAAAGCCTAGATTCTACTCCGAAAGGGTTGCGCAGCATGGGCTCCCATACCGATATCCTCTCGATGTCTTCGAAATCTGGAAGGCCAACCCTTCCATATGCGAATCCTCCACCCGCTTACGTCTCGGTATCCGAGGCGGAAAAACTTGTCTACGCAGAAATGGAGCGGCCGGTTACGATATCGGAGGGTGCAACTGGCTTGGTCAATGGCTTTTTGGATCAGGTCCTGTATGATATCCTTTCCAGGTCGCATTCCACATCCTTGTCGGCCGTACGTTCTGCTGTGCCACTGGTCTTGAAGCAAAGACTAGGGAGGTCGGCGGTACAGGCTGCCGACGAGGAATTACAAGATTACATACCGGAAGATGAAATGGACGAGGTTCTCTCGGCGCCGCCGGCCCTCGATCCCAAAGCAGACTTTGACACTGATCTGGCTTGGAAGCTCACTAGACTGCGTTGCATGGTCTATGCGAAGCTGGGCGATATGGAAGAGGAAGACGAAGAGGACTACCTGGAAGACTTTCACCTACGGGATCACATTACAAGAGTGCATGAGTCGACAAGAGCCTCGGCGGCTATCGCACCGGCTGCTGCTATCTTCCTAACCACTGTCCTTGAGTTCTTGGCTGAGCAAGCCCTGTGCATTGCAGCGCAACATGCTACGAAACGACATGCACCGTCGAAAGGCACAAACGGCACCACACATGGTGGTCATGTTCTACTGGAAGAGATAGACATGTCAGGTATCGGGAAAGAAGGGCCTCTGATAAGACTGTGGCGGTCGTGGAAAGGCAGTATGCGCAGCGGCGGCAGCGGATCATCACGGCCAACGACGCCTAGCGTCATGTCGCCTGTCAGCCCCGAGTCGCCCAACTACGAGTGGAAATTTCCAGCTGTACCACCATTTTCCACAATCAAGGAAGAACAAAGCCCTCTCATCAAACCCAGATCCAGTCTGTCACCGGCTGATATTCCATTACCCACGAATGATAATGATATTGACGAGATCGAGGTACCGGGACTAGCTCGTTCTGCCGATGAAGAGGCAAATAGTACTGCACGCCCTACGCTTGACACCCGGCGACCGTCAAGTATGCTAATCATGCCTGGGAAATTCCCAGATCCTTCAACGGCCCCTGCAACCGATGAATTGCCGAGACCTATGTATGTAAGGAAGAGATCGCATTCTCTGCCTACTTCAGGTCCCAGCATTGTTGCTACACAGTCGAGAGCTGATGTCGGCGGAAAGCTCTCAGATCAAGGTGCTTCCAGCTCACTTGAAGATCTCCAGGAGAAAGTTGGCGGTACAACAGAACCGGAGGCGCGCACTCCTCGACAATCAAACGAGGAAGCGATACCCAGTCCACGTTCGGACATCGTGAGCAGCACCGTGGCTGCCATTGCAGGAGCGTTAAGCGTGGAAGCATCCAGAGCCTTGCGACGGGATCCTACTTCGTCGAATCAAACTTCTCCGGTAGCGGCCACCGGTGGTGCTCAGAGGGGGCTGGGTATTAACACTGAAGAGGACTACGATCAAAGAGCCAGATCTGTCACAGATCATGAAGGTGCAAGTGACCCAGAAGATTTGGCATTGAGCTTGGCCGATGAGCATGATGGCCCGCACAATCAAACGAATCCTCGAGATTCGGGCTTTGGTGTCGCTGGGGCTGAGGATGATCTTCCAATACACGGTCAACAAGACCACGATCTCCAAGAACAGACCGCGAATTACCCTGATCAAGTGAGAAACGAGCGTGACACAATGATTGTCAGCACCCCCGGGCAGGATCATTTTCCCCAGCGTGCTGCCGCTGACAATTACGACGACTATGATCCCTATTCTACTCAGGACTCTGCCCGTCCCGATGTCCGAATGAATACATCGACACCAAGACAGCAAAATGAACCAGTAGCGGCTGCATTTTCTGCATTCAACAATCGCACAACATCCCTGGAACATCGCGAACGCTCACCTACCGAAGTGAGGTTCCCTCAGCACTTGCCAAACTCTCAGCGTCTGCCTGCCACAGACCATACTCAAGACCGAATTCCTCGATACGCTACCTCATCCAATTTGGTACAAAATCCGCATTCGAGAACAACCAGTGCTGGCAGACCATCAACTGCTGGCTCTGCGACAGCGCGACGACAGCATATCAGACTTCGGTCGGATGATGAGAAGGTCGAGGAATTGGAGAAGGCGAAGAAGAGTCTTGATGTTTTGATTGATAGCGATGAAACTCTTCACTATACACTAACGCCAAAAACTGCTCGAGAGGTTTGTCTGCTCCATGCCACCTACTTAGTAGGACTAACAACTTCCTAGGGAGTCAAGCCGAAAGCCAAGAGCCAGACACAAGAGCTTGCAGACTTCTTCCGCAACACTGCACCCCCTGGAGAGGAGCCTGCCAGACCCAGGTCGTCTCGATCTACGAAGGAATCCCTGGGTGGCCTCAGATCAAATCCATCGAATGCTCGACCACCACTTCCACTGAATACGCAAGCAGCGGCATCCGCCCCTGGGCAACAAGCCATCGGCTCGCCTTCTAGACCTAAAAATCCATTAGGCGAGCCACGCGATCCCAGGATGACAAGAAACAACACACGAGATCTTGCAGACTATGCGCGTTCAACTGGACCGGAGCATGAGATGCAGCTTCCGAAAGCGCTTGGCACTCGACCAGGTACCGCGCAGGTTGCAGGCTCGGGCGCATCCTCTGACGACATAGCAGAGAACCGTCCAGTAACGAGCCCCGAGAAGCCTGCTAACCGTCTGAAATTCCAGGCACGGGATGCTCGAGCGCCAAGGACAGCTGAGAGCTCAGATTTGATCGACTTTATTAGAGAAGGTCCACCTCGAGCTCCTGGCGACCATCGAATCGACCGAAGAGTCGCACCATTTCGGTCGACCATGGATTCTGATGACTTGAACGCTCTCGTGCCACCTCCGGAGCTCGATACAAATGGACGGAGGTCTGATGGGAGTGCGGTGGAAAGTGCGATGACCGCCAAATCCATGCCGTCGTCTATGAACTCTCGCACCGGCTTACTGGAATCGACCAATCGCTCGGCTGCAAAGGCCACAAACGGCGTTGCGTCAAGACAGCCCATAATCCCTGAGACTGATGGCATACCCAAGAAGAACCGACGAAAAGTTCGCGATCCGTATGCGATCGACTTCAGCGACGAGGAGGAGGAAATGGAAGACGAATTGTTCCCACCAAAGCGCAGGACCGATGAAGAGTCGCTTGTGGACTTCCTGAGAAACACGGCCCCCGGACCAGGCATGTCAACGCAGCCTATTCTCGGTGCGACTCCTGGAACGTCTCAAGCTGAATCCCCGGACACGGTCAAGCCGCAAACGAGCAGCTCAAAATTGAGAGTATACTTGCAAGGTTCAGGGGCTAGCAGAAACGGGGTGAGCGCTGGCAAATCGAACGGCGCCCGAGCAGAGTCTCCTCACCTCACGCAAATAGGCTCGAAAATGGACAAGTACCGCCCAACACAGGTCACCCATGCGCCACACGTCGAGCGGAATAGGGCCAGAATGCGTGCAGAGCCACGAGAAGCGACGGTGACCAATGGCAGTGCCACGGCCGACCTAGCCGAGTATCTGATGGCCTCTGGGCCACCGCCTGGGTCGGACGTGCCCGTGCAAAAGCTCGGAAGTCATAAGGATCAGGCTGGATTTAGGAGATTCTTTCAATTGAGAGGGAGCGTGAGGAAGTAAGGTAATGAACAAGTCAAGATGAGCGGCATGATTTCTTGGTTTTTTCATTTTCATTTTGATGTAATTAATGACGTGGACAATGTGTGCTTTCTTCGAGCCTGAGCGGGTGATACAGCTACAATGGTAGTGTGAAGATGGTGCCGAGCTTTTACTTAGGGACCACTTAGATAGCAAACCAAGATGAAATGATTGTATTAGTGATGAAGATTTTGATGACGCTGTTTTTCAGCTCTAGGCCCCGGCGTCCACGAGGGGGCTGATATGTATGTTGCCTGTGCTTGGGACTCTTCCCTGTATCCTTTTATCGTGGAGCCACCGAAGCCTCAAGCACCACCCTGCGGACACGCCACGTGACAAGAGAAAAGGGGTCGACGACTTCTCACCGCCCACGTGACCCGCTGAGACACGGTGTTTCTGCCAACTCCTGAATATTGTGCAATTCGAGGGTATATCGCATGCAAATAAACTTGTAATTGTTCTTTGACGCTTCGTTTAATTTACAGCCATCTGGGCGCCTCTTCGCACTCCTTGAGGTGAATAGCTAGTTGAGGATTTCGCAGACAAGATGAAGTCCATCCTCAACCTGGCCGTCCTCCTCTTCCTCCTGCCCTTCTCCTACGCATTGAAATTCGAACTTCTCGCACAACCGGGTCACAGCGCGAAGAACGAGCGATGTATACGGAATTTCGTCACGAAAGATACTCTCGTCGTTGTCACGGCGATTGTGAGCGGGAGCAGAGGGGATGGGCAGATGGTTAATATGCATGTGCGTGACCTGGTCTAAGGAGTCGGAGCTGGGTGTCAGTGGAAGGCGAAGAGAAGGCAGAAGATGGATGCTGACAATTGTTGTTGTTCTTCTAGATCAAAGATGCTGTTGGCAACGACTATGGCCGACCGAAAGATGTCGCAGGCGAGAAGAGGATGGCTTTTACAAGTCTGGCGGACACTGCGTTCGATGTGTGCTTCGAGAATACCTTGGTTGGACGAAGTATACTTCCTGCCAGGCTCTGCATCAAGCAGCCGGACTGACATCTTGCGCAGCGCATCTGCAGAACCCTTCGCGACACGTCGAACTCGACATCGATATCGGAGCGGACGCACGAGATTGGTCGGCAATTCAAGCCTCCGAGAAGCTGAAGCCCGTCGAGACGGAGCTGCGACGGATAGAAGAGTCAGTCAATGAGATCGTGCAAGAATTGGAGTACCTTCGGATTAGAGAGCAGAAACTCCGTGACACGAACGAGAGCACGAATGAGCGAGTCAAGTGGTTCGCCCTGGGGACGATGGGAATGCTGGTCGGACTGGGAGCGTGGCAGGTCGTGTATCTGCGAGCTTATTTCAGGTATGTGATGACTCCCCATTTTGGTGTTGATATCTCTTTGGGGGTTTGCTGCTAATCCTCGTATCCAATTTAGGTCGAAGCATCTTATCTAAAATCTTCCTCGGCGGGGGTACAGCATTCTTGCCACACAAATAATCGGAAATAGCATGCAGGTTGAGGACAAAAAGCAATGATGATCATTTGGCATGATCTATGAAGATTCCTTTTGCTCCTACCCTTGAGATCAGGAAGAAGCCTTGAGCAACGATTCGGATAGGTGATGCTCCTCCTTCAGGCTGGAAACGCTCTAGATCTGTGAAGGGACTTGAACTCTGCTGCGCGGCCAGTCAAACCTGTCCCACACAGCAGCGAGACCCGAAAACTATTGAACAGGCCGTCATGTAGTCTGGGTGTTCGCAAGCACGCACTCAGCTTGGCATACTCACCAGTCCTCGCCGGACTCAGCTCTTTTGTCCTGGCATGATCGGCATTACACGTGTGAAAGAGGCGAAGCAGTTTGCTGGAGGAGATGTGAAACTAGATGGAAATTTCTCCATTACTAAAGGCAGTGAAGGAATTCTCAGATGTTCCCTTCACTTTCGTTAGACCTTTCCCTCTTTCATATTCTCCCTCCATGTCCTATTAACGACTCGTCAAACCACATGCTGACGTTTTAACATCCCTTCACCGAACCTCCAAGCCATCGGCAAGACACGAAGCGATGGCTAATGTCAATCCGTCCACCCCTAATCAAGCTCCAGGCAACATGAAAAGCGCAGCAGAGCTGTACGTCAAACCCGAGTCTCTTGAGGCTTTGAGAGCCTCCGCTAACAATACCACCTCGTTTAGCTATGCCGCTGCCGATATCATTACTGTCAATGTTGGACCAAACAAAGTGGCCTACGGCTTACACAGAGGCATCTTGGTCTCCGGGTGTCCTTTCTTCGAAAAATGCCTGCGATCCGGAATGAGAGAGGCGCAAGAAAAGACAGTCAACCTACCTGAGGAGCAGACTGAGGCTTTCGACATATTGGTGCGCTGGATGTACAGTGGGAGAATTGCCCTTGGAGGAGCCAAACAGCAGGAACGCTTTATTGACGCCTATCTGCTTGCCGACAAATTCTGCATGCATGCCCTTCAGAATGCGATCATGGATGCTCTCCGAAAGGCTTGCAAGCCCTTTGACATCTGGCCAGAAACCCTGCATTGCGTGTGGAAAAATAGTACGGGGAACTGCAAGCTTCGGAAGTTCTGCTTCGACTTTGTTTATTTTACTCTTTCCAACCTCCGCATCTGGCACGGAACGCATTTGTACATTACTGCCTCGAAGGTTTTCAGAGAGCAGATGGACGAGCTGATGCAATCTGGCAGCCCAGTGATGAATGCGTTGTTCTGGAAGCTTGCAGATTCTGGAATGGAAAGTAGTCGGATGACGGGTGAATTGGGTCTCAATCCAGCTTCATTGTCAGGGTGTTTCTATCATGCCCACAAGGATGGAGAGAAGTGCAAGTCGTCGGGTTGAAGGTATGGTGTCTTTCCACCACATTTCCTGAGTCATGCTAAGCTATTTGCAGGGGCGAACCGATTGGAGTATCAAAGTGCATGAAAGCCATCACCTGAAGGATACCTCAACCATCTCATCGCAGACGGCGGGTTCCACGAAGACACATCTCACACTTCGAACCAGAGATAGCCTTGTCCAGCTAAAGCGAGCGTGTATTGCAACGTACAAGAGAATCTCATACCGTCGCGCCTCCTAGAATGCCAAGTAAGCACACGGAGTTCATGTAGCTCCTCGACACTAAAAGGCGAATTCCAGAGTATGATGCATCAACCTTCGGATATCTTGGCTGCGTGCCTTAACCTCGTACTTTCGAGACTATACTTGACCTGCAGGGTGGCGCTCTTTGCCACAACCATACCGCTGTTGCCGTCCGCAGGCTGGGCAGCCAGTGGATGTTTGGCTAGATGGCAACGTCTTCACTGTCACTGCCTCCAGGTGTTTAGCGCGCAGCCTCGCCAAGCTGTGTCTGCGGTCTTATGCCACTGTCTCTCAATCCCGATTGACATTTGCAGCGGAAGACTCGTTCGAACCTTCAGCACCTCTTCAACTCTGTCCAGACGCAGGTGTAACAGCCATGGCTACCAAGAATAGATGTTCTCGGCCCCCATTGCCCATCCGCTTCCAATCAATCGGCCAGGGGCCAGGACAGTTAGTCACTTTGGTCACCACCATCCTGATATTGCCGCTAACTACGGCTTCTCTACAGTTTTGCCCGCTCCCCGATGATCACGGTCTATGTTGGCGAAGAGAAGACGCCGTTCTATATCCAAGAGGAGGTCTTACGGTCCCAGTCACCTTTCTTTGACAAATGTTTGAGCTCGTAAATTGAAGAGCAACACAAAGACGGTCGAACTTCCCGAAGATGATCCAGATGTCTTCGAGCAGGTCGTGGCTTATATGTACGGAGGACTACTTGGTGCTGCGAGTCCAGCACGTGGCGACTGGAAAGTTATCGTTTCGGCATACATTCTTGCCGACAAATTATGCATGCCCAGGATTCAAAATGCTATCACCGATAAACTTCGTTGGTCAAACTACTTGGGTCTGATTCTGGCGAGGCCGAATACAGAAGTAGTGGTGTGGGTTTAGGAGCATACCGACGACGACTGCAAGCTTCGGGATCTCGTCTTGGATCACCTCTTCTACGATGCCATCTACAACCTCAGCCTTCACAACAGATGCGATGATACCGTGAAAGCTGTCGCTCCAGCGCTCAACGAAATCGCTCGGGCTGGAGGTTGTTTGGGCCAGGCAGTAATGCAAAGATGGATTGATGCTGTCGTCAGGCTAAGACACGATGGGCAGTGGCTACCGCCGAATCCGACAACATATATTGGTTGTAATTATCACGTACAGGGCCAAGGGGGAAAGTGCATGCGAGTAAAAGTCTCGAAGTCAAGACAACGACTGCTCCTCCATGCATCCATCAGCATCGGACCTGGGCAAGACTGTTTATGACCAAACTTATTGCAATCAGAAGCAGGACAACCTGCGTTTTCTACTACAGTTCAAGTAGCTAATACTGAACAATCATTGATCCATACCTTATTGCTAAGTTACTACATCGTGATGTATTTGATGGAGATGAAGTAAGAATGTGTATCGAGGCCAGGTGAAGGCAGTACCATTCACTCAACGGTGGTACTGCCTTGAGTGATTATCACCCACCGCCTCCACGCAGAGGCACACCAGATGTTCGCAGTGCGCAGGCAGTTCGAAAACTACCTTGATCAGCTCTGCCCTGTTTTCTACATCTACCCAGAGGTTGATCACTCCACTCAGTGTCTCGACCACTACCATTACTGGATCCATCACCGGTAGGTCCTCAGCGGACGCTCATTTCCACATCCTCGGGACCAACGCTATTCTCATATCCGGATTCAAAATGCCTAAGACGGGCGATGGAGCAGCTGCGCAAGGAGACGAACAGGTCAAACAAGACGACAAATTGTAAGTCCGCCCAATGGCCCATACATATCCTCAGAGACGCTACTAACACTCTATGCTTTTCAGCTTTGCCTCTTCAGTAATCATCACAGTCAGCGTCGGCACGGGCAAACACAAGCGAATTTACAACTTGCATGAAGATGTCCTGGTTACACAATGCCCTTTCTTCGAGAAGTGTCTTCGCTCAGGTATGAAAGAGCAAGTAGAACAAGCCGTCAATCTTCCGGAGGACAAACCCGAGTCATTCGAAATTGCGGTTAAATGGATGTATGCTGAAAAGGTGCCGACGAACATCGACGACGTCCGCATTGGGGCTGCGTACATCCTTGCCAACAAACTCTGTATGGCAGAACTTCAGAACGCGCTTGTCGACCAGTTTCGGGCGATCTGCAGGAAAGGTTCGTTCAATCTACTAAGTGCTGTGACTTGGATTTGGCAGCAAACTCCAGAGGGTTGCAAGTTGCGAGAAGTGTCCTTGGATCAGCTTCACTTTGCAATCCTCAAGTCCCCAGCTTCGTACAAGAAAGCCGACGGGTTCGAGAAACTGAAGACCGGCGGCAAATTGGTTACTGAAATGTACTGGAAAAGTGTATACCAGAAGCAAAGCGCAAATCCGGCCTTTCTGACAGGATGTGTCTACCACGTCCATGAGGATGGCAAGAAGTGTACATAATTGAAATGCTGATCCCGGTGGAAGCCCAGATCTGGAGAGAGGTTGTGCATGCACTAGGCAAGATGATGGCGAGCACGTGCACAGCTACCAGTGGTCATGGTTGGAAAAGAATGATAGTCTGGATACAAGCTATCAAGTTCATCGACATGGCCCATAATGAATTCAACACCTTGCATACTAGCACTGGCTTTCTTGATATTCTGCCCAAGTGTACTTGTTGCGCAGACGTCTTATCTTATGCTTTGGTCGTTGTAACATATTTTTCCCCAGCCTCAACATTGTCCGCGTTATCCGAAGACCTCAGCAACCCCGCGTAGAAGCGGTGGTTGCTGCTGAGATTGTCCTCCCCTGTTTGACTCCATTGCACAATGCACAAACTTGACGATATTGTGATCAGACATCAAACATCAAACAGCACTTTAGAGGCACGCCCATTCTTTGTGAGAATCCATCGCTAGCAGTATGGATATAAACGAGGAGCACCCCATTCTCACGGAAACAAGACTCTCAGTTTCAGGCGGCACAGTCGTGACTGCGCAATTCAAATCGGAGATCCGACCAGCCTCATGTCCGCTCGGGCTCTAGGCGTCACTCTCGGCATCATGGATACCGGGCATGGGAGATCCCTAATGGCCAATCCATGACGACTACAAGGCCAACGAGGAGCATCAGCGTGCGAGACTTCTGTCTAGGCTTTTGAGAGGCGATTAAAGGCTGAGAAGAGTCGTCTGATCGAGGAGGTTGTCTACTAGACATTATCGGGGCTTGTACCGGCTGTACCAGCTGCGGTGGTTTTTGTGCGGCGGATGCTGTGCTTGTGCTCAGAGCTCAGAGCCCATGGCTATTGAGACTGCAGCGAGTGAGTGTCTTGTGGATAAGCTGCGCCTGCCTTGATCAGCTTGACAGAGTGCATACCAGCCATCCATTCGATATCGACAGCTTAGGTGATTTACTCGGATTCCTCCCGCCTCGCTTTCACTCCTTACCAGGCCGCGCTCGAATTCTGTGCATCGCGATCCGATCCCACCCTTCATGTTGCATATATATACCACTATATTCCGGCTTGTTGCTCGCAAAGTCGTGCTGACCTGTCGACCCTGTCAACATTGGCCTGCCTTCTCAATCTCGCCAAGACAAGGCTGCACCCCTTTACAGCCGCCGAATTTTATCAGGCCACAAGGCTAGGCGTAGTGTTCGACTACGACAAATGAGGAGACCATACACGATAGCGTTTCCACTGTAGAGACTTACTACAGTTAACCAGTACCGCCTCAACGGATATTGTTCTTTCCAGTGGATTGCTTGGGCTTTCGGGAGCGCACCAGACACCACCGTGGTGTAGTACTCTGGTAGTCGTGATACCAAAGCCGCCGACAACCAGGGTGAGGGACGATTAGGTTATTAGGAAGAGAAGAGAGCTCTTCCAAGGCCTCCACCGACTTGTCCGTCTTCAAGAACATTGCCGGGAAGAAACCGTAGCCTCAAAAGAACCATGAGATAGCGAGACGCGGCAAGTAAAGGAATCTAATTTGATCTATTTTGAGTAGGGTTCGGGAGCGACACCCTCGAGGATAGCTTTGATCCTGAGGGCCAGCTTCTTGGAATGATATCGGCCGTGCTGCAGAGTTCCAAGCATGAGCCACAAGCCGGGGACACCGCTAGTCTTCCACGCGGTGTTGAGCTCCCCCTCTTCGTCCATACCCCAGATGGGATTACACCGATCGGCAACCTCGTCACCGAGAATGTTGCGGACGGAATCGATGGTGTTGGAGAATCCAGTAGCCAGGACGACTAGATCGTATTTCTGCTCTCGGCCGCCGTTCAGCACGATGCTGTCTTCTGTGAAGCCGATCGGGTAACCTTGTTCGACCTTGATCTTGCCGTCAATGATGGCCTTGCAGGCACCGGCGTCGAAATAGAAGCCACCGTTCTTGGTATAACCGAGAGTGTGGGAACCAGTGTCACGTTGACCCCTCCAGACTCTGAAGCCTGCTGCTTCCATCTTGGCGATCAATTCGGCGTCGGCATTCCAGATGTCCCGGGCCGTTCGACGGTTGAGCTCTTCGGCAGGACCGACAGGGAGGCTGTAGTTTAACCGGTCGGCGGTCTCCAAGTCTGGTCTTTGATGGTCTTTTGGCTCGTAAAGAGGAGCGAGGATCTGTCGGATATAGGGTCAGTATTGGATACTAGTACTCCTTTTGCATGTTGGGGGCAATGGATCGAATTCCTTACCCTTGGGACAGACTCATCCAAAGACATCAGATACGCAGGCGACCTTTGAAGGAGCGTCACGTCGATGTTGCGACGTGCGAAGTCATATGCAGTATCGAAGCCCGACGAGGACGTTCCTACGACGAGGACCTTTTTGCCAACCCACTCGCGAGCCGAGTCGTGTTCGGTAGAATGCCTAATAGTACCCTTAAACCTGTCCATACCAGGGATATCCGGAACGAATGGGACGCCGGCGAGCGAGGTGGCCATGACGACCTGCTTGGGATGGAAGGTTCGAGCGTAACGATCCTCCTTGGTTCCACGTTGAATGGTGATCTCCCAATCACCCGTGGGACTCTGCGAGGCGGCAACGACGCTCGAGTTAGTCCATGCGGTTAGCTCGAGGGCGCTTGCGTACCACTCGAGCCAGTCACCCATCTTGCCAGCCGGAGTGTATGTCGGCCAGTGGTCTGGGTAAGGGAGGTAGGGAAAGTGATCGGCCCAGTGAGGAAGGTGCAGAGAGAGATACTCGTATCTGTTACGCCAGTTGTCCCCGATACGGTTATTACGCTCCACGATAAGGGTTCTGACGCCTAGCGCTTTGAGTCGAGCAGCGATGTGAAGACCGCTGATGATAGCTTAGTAAAAGTAAATCCTGTCGACAATACGACTCTGGAGCAGGGCAACTCACCAGTGACCACCCCCGATTATGACAACTTCAGGTTCGACGCCTTCCAAGTTGTCATCCTCGATTCTCTGGTGGTGCCAGGACTTGTCTCCGATCATGTGTCCATCCGGGTTGGGCACCTCCGGATGACCGTTCAGGCTCTCGATAGCGGTATGCAATGTCCAGATCTTGAAGCCAGCTCTGGTTTTGACAAGATTCAAGACGCCACTCGCACCGACGAGGTCCGTTTCAAAAGAGTACACGATCTGAAGCCAAGCAAGGTCTGGGTATGGCCGCTGGATTGATGGAGCTGGGTCGATTAAATTGTAGTTGCGTGTGGGTGTACGAGGGAAGAGGTCAGAAGCGGCCTTTTCGATATTCTTCGGAGTGTTGAAGGAGCGGTAGTCCCAAGTGAAGGCCACCTTGTCCCTCCACACCCCTGTTATGGTCAGCTTCGTGTCTCAGCACGGTTCGTTCTCACGAAACTCGCCAATCTCACCACTGTACAGAAACAAATCCGCAAATGCTTTGGAGTCACGGCTCTGAATCACCTGTTCCAGCTGTTTTAGAAACTTCTCTGCGACTGCCCTTGGATTCGTTTCGTCATCTTCAATGAAATCGAGCACTTCCAAATCGTCGCCGTGGGTTGGAAGTGGAAAGTTGTACTTGAAGGCGTACATGTAGTCATCGGCGACTGGGCCTTTCGAAGTATCATTGCGGTAAGCGGTTGGCGCATTTTTGACCTTGAGGAGCTGTTTTTGAGCCACAGGTTCCTGGGCCACAGTCTCGTAAATTGCAGATGGAGCCATGATGGTTAGGCGACATCAGTAGGAGATCTTGTAGCATTGGGTTATGTTATATATACTTCGTTCTGTGGTACTGTGTAACTTAGAAGTTATGTCTTCGACTCTGTTGGTGAAGGATGGACGTATGAGGAAATTCTAGCCCGGAAGGCGAGTTTCTTTCTTGGCTGTTTGTGTCGGCGAGATTATAGGCCACTCCTTTGCCAGCTGGAAGTTTTACTATACCTATGTATGCCGTTGTGACGGTCACCACCTGCATTCCCAACCACAGTACTATGGTAGTTGGGGTTACATGGTAAGGGGGTAGCAATCGCCGAAGCCTGCCTAAAGTGGATGTTGGCGAATTGTACGTATTTTCATACCTTGACAGAGTCTGACCCACTTCCACCAGCCTCGCCGAGTATTCAGAGAACCCCGAAGGTGCCAACAAGCTTGAAGCGGGAGGTCTACTGAGTTCCCAGGATGTCCTGTGCAACCGGGAGGAAAATGGTGACGAACTTTTCATGGTTCTCCGTACAGAATTTCGCCTAATTCAACGCCTTCAAGGTCAGTGTGCAGAGATCCATATAAGATAGCTACGGTGTTCACTCGACTTGGTTCCAGAGGCATTTTTCCCGTCGATAGCATGACTACTGCGCAGCCCGGCAGGGTCACATTTGCCGATGGACGCAGCATTCCAGCCATTGGTCTTGGTCAGTGGTCATCCTTGCATGCTCACCCTCATTTGTGCTAACGCGTTCATAGGAACATGGCAAGCCCCTCCTGGCGAGGTCGAGAATGCCGTAGCTACCGCATTGCTGGAAGGTTATCGGCATATCGACTGCGCCCTCATCTACAAGAACGAAGCCGAAGTGGGTGAAGGCATCAGGCGGTCCGGTGTTCCACGGGATGAGATTTTTATCACCTCCAAACTGTGGAACACCTTTCACCCAAACGCCGTCGAGAGTTTGAGGAGTCGCTACCGAACGCTCAAATCCAGTAATGATACATTTCATGCAGAGCTCTGCCCAGCCCCCGTCGCAGTCTCAAGTCTGCGACAGCAGAAACTCCGGCCCAGGATCATCGTCCTCGCTCTCAGAAGTATGACCAGATAGTGGCACCTTCTTCGACACAGCCTGCTGTCCAGAGTCCGTGCCAGTGCTCATCTTCATATCCGCTATCCCAGTAACGGACCCTCCAGTTCCACGAGCGCCACTCAGGCCGCTGTCGTCCTTCAGCTGTGGCTTTCCCTTGTCCATGGCATTCCCAAACTCTCGCACCGTGTCCTCTAAGCTACGATTACTCTCCTCGCCAGGACTTCTGGTCTCAGTCCCAATTCCAGGGCCAACAGCATCAGTCTCCTCCAAGCCGCCACTTAACAAGTCCTTATGTGGCTCATCGTGCTCCTCTCCATCGTGCGTTAGATTCTTACTTCCGCTGTTCGAGTCTCCATTTGCCAGCTCTGTACCAGTTTGCAAGGCATCGCTGGCCTCCTGGAACGCCAGCAATTCCGCCCCGATCGCACAAGTCAGAAGCCTCCATCCTCTCTCCTCTGCCTGCGCGAGGGCTTCTCCCAGAAAGTCAATCAAGGCGTTCAAGCTAGACTCGACCATCCCTATCTGCGCTTCTTCACCTCGCGGCGTCACAGTCACGCCCTCCTCTGCATCGAGCCATGCTTGGGACTGCGTCGATCGTGTCGTCTGCACTTTCACATTTTTTTCAAACTCCCGAATTCGGTGCGTGACTTCCCGCCAGAGCTTGCCGCCTTCTTCCAGCGCAGTCCTTTCATTCTCAGCCTCCGCCTTCCTTGAGTGCAACATCTCTAACTCTCCGGTCCACTGCTCCTGCGCCATCTGCAGTGTGCGTCGCTCTGGCTTCAGATCGTACATGCCACGGTCAGCCCCCACACGTAGACTCTGCGAAACAGGTAGTTGTCGCAGAAAATGCTTGATCTTATTTTCGTTGAGGGTCAAGGCTTCGCTATAGGAGCTCAACTTCGAGTCCTTTGAGCTTTCGAGTTCCCGGACCTGGTTGAGCAATTGTCTATGCCGGTTCTTCAGCTCGAACAGCACGGTCTCCAGGTCCTTGATTTCTTTCTCGACGCGTTGAACTTCGTTGCACAAACCTTCAGCCGTACCCTGTTTTTGGATCTTCTGTACCTCATCATTGAGCATTTGTTCTCGGGTTCCCAGGTCTGAAGCTTGTTTCAACGCATTGTTCCTTGCCACGACTTCGCGGTCAATTAGCGTGAGCTCATAGTCTTTCAAAGCGGCGAACTCGGCCATGGAGCGGGACAGGCCACGGCGAGCGTCTCGGAGTGTCACTTCCTTCTTCTTCGGCTGCCGTATCGGTATCGTTCTCAGCCCTGATACCGATCTAGGAGACGTAGTAATAGATGGGGTCGGCGTAGGACTATCGATTGACGATGTGTCGCCCGTAGGGTCTGTGCCGACACCGGCGCTTAGTCCTTCTGACTGTGCGTCTAGAAGGCTTTGAAGCGTACGCTCGAGGTTCTTGGATGCTCTCTCGACAGGGAGGAAAGGGTCGTTGTGCCGTATGAGCGGGGAACTCAGCGACTGAGTGACATGACGGTTCGACGAAGGGGAACCATTGCGACTGCGCGAGGACGACGCGACGGATTCCTGCAGGAGTATGTTGGGGGGAGATCGGGGTGAACTGGGGCGTACAGGGTCGTCGTAGTCGTACTGGTAGCGAGTATTGCCTGGTGACGGGGGAAATATGCGGTCGATGAAGGACTTCTTCATGGCACTGCCCTTTCTCAGACCGGGTCAAAACAGCGTACGCTACAGGGTTGGTAGCATAGATCATGACAGTAGGCAATAAGAGGCCGTCCGCGCAGTTCGTTTGCGCCTGGCAGCGCAGCCTGTTCAGTTTGTCATGTGTACATGGTATGAGAATGACTGGTCGTGTGCATGTGCTTCTATGGCAGGAATGCCCGAAGTTTATCCACAGAGCCTTGCACTTGCATTTCTGCTTGTAACCACTCTGCGTAGACATCACCCGACATAGGCCTTAAATGTTGGTTACAAAAGGATCTGCGGACCGATAATTTGCAGTACGAATTTCATTCTAGCGTCCCGGCTCTATATGTCTAGACGATTTCGGCTCTATTGCAACACCACAATGGAGAAAGTATCGGTTGTCCATTCCACCTGGCTAATTAGCCTTGACCTTCCCGTTGGCCACATGCCCATTGCCCTCACTCACGTCCGCCTCATGTGCTGCAGCTGTGGTATTCAGGAAGAATGCTCGCTCCATTGCCTTAAGCACCTCATCGATCAATATGACTGGCACCGAGATCCAGAAGACGGCTGACCACTCCGCCATATTGAGCGGCTCGATTGAGAACAAAGTCTGCAGAAACGGCACGTACAATATGGCAAAGTGGAGCGCCATGGATAGACAAATTGCATAGATCAGCTTCATGTTCTTCCACAGCGGCATCGTGATCAGCGACTCCGAGCTCGACAGGGCATTCATGGCGTTGAACATCTCGATCACTACGAGGATGGAGAGAGACATCGTCGATGCAGTCCGCGTAGTAACCGCGGCGGGCGAGAAAATCGCGCAGTCGACGTTCGCGTATAGTGGGTTGACGGATGAGCACTTATGAAAATTTCGAAGCTGGGCGAAACCGACTTGCGGGCCGGCGGAGTAGAACATGAACCACCAGACATATCCGAATACAGTGGCCGCACCGACGTAGGTGCCGGTCACCATGTATCTGAAGAACAGCCAGCCACTGACCAAGGGTTCGTCGCGTTTGCGTGGGCTCCGGCGCATAACGTCGTTGTCGGCCGGGTTGAACGAGAGCGCCGTTGCAGGCAGACCGTCGGTGACCAAGTTGACCCAGAGAAGTTGCACGGGGATTAGGGCCTCGGGAAGACCTAGTGCGGCAGTAAGGAAGATGGATACGACCTCACCAATGTTGCTCGAGATCAGGTATCGGATGAACTGCTGCGTGTTTGAGTAGATGGTCCGGCCCTCTTCGATGGCGACTTCAATCGTGGCGAAGTTATCGTCCGCCAGGACCATGTCGGAGGCCAGCTTGGCAACGTCGGTCCCCGTGCCCATAGCGACACCGATGTCTGCTTTTTTGAGCGCAGGCGCGTCGTTGACGCCGTCACCCGTCATGGCGACAACTTCACCTGCGGCTTGGAGCAGGTCGACGAGTTTGGACTTGTGGGTTGGTTCGACACGCGAGAAGAGCGAGGCTGTCTTTGCGGCTTGCAGTTTCTCGGACTCGCTGAGTGAATCGAATTGTCGGCCGGTGAAGGACTTGCCGACGAGGTCTTCACCAGGGCGGAACACGCCAATTTGCTTGCAGATCGTCTCGGCAGTGTTCTGGTTGTCGCCAGTGATAACGATGACGCGAATTCCTGCCTCTCTGCACTTCTGAATCGAGCCGGCGACTTCGGGACGAGGAGGATCCAGCATGCCAACCAGCCCGATCAGGGTCATTTTCTGCTCGAGTTGGGCGTAGTCGGTTGTGCTCTTTGCGCTGTGGAGGAGTTTGTTGTCGCCGACATTGTCGACGTTGGCGACGGCGAGGACACGGAGGCCTTTGCGGCCATAGTCGACGACTTCTTCGGCGATGAGAGCAAGGTGCTTTTTGGTGATTGGCACTTTCTGACCGTTCGGCCCAAGGATGACGTGGGAGCAGCGTTCAAGGATCGATTCGGGAGCGCCTTTGACGAGCAGCTTTTGGTTTTCACCACTTCCAGCCAACACCGACATACTCTTTCTGTCTCTTGAGAATTCGTAAATAGCCTGCAAGGGAAGCTTGTTCTCGTAGTATTTGCTTGCATAGTGGACTATTTCAGCGCCAGAAAGACCATTTCTGGTGTTGTTTGTCGCCACGTCGTCCGTACCAATCTTCTCCACAAGCACCCGGAGAGCTCCTTCAGTGGGCTCGCCAATGCTCTGGTAGGTGTTGGTCTTAGGATCATAGGACAAGTTCGACTCGTTGCAAAGAGCGAGGACTTCGGACATTTGTTTCAGGGTGCTAGAAGTAACGGCGGGATTCACGAGTGGTTTGCCATTGTGGATGAGATCTCCAACGGGCGCGAAGGTAGTACCCTTGACTTCAATCTCTTCCAGGTCATTTCCGGCCTCGTTGAGATAGACAATCTTTTCCACACTCATCTGGTTGGTGGTCAGAGTACCGGTCTTGTCGGAGCAGATGACGCTACAACTTCCCAATGTCTCGACTGAAGGCAGACTCCGGACAATGGCATTCTTAGTGGCCATTTTCCTTGTTCCCAATGCGAGACACGTTGTGATGACAACAGCTAGCCCTTCCGGAATTGCAGCAACCCCCAACGAGACGGCGATCTTGAGATAGTATATCGCACCTTTCGCCCAGCTACCGCCGTGGGATGGGTCATTGAAATGCTGGATGTTGATCAACCAGACTAGGATGCAGATCACCGTAATGACTTTGGCCAAAGTGTCGCCGAAGTCGTTCAGCTTCTCTTTCAAAGGTGTAGGCTCCGAGATCTGGGAGGTGATGCTCTCGTGAATATCGCCAATTGCCGTCGAACTTCCAGTGAGCACGACAATCGCAGAGGCGTGCCCAGTGACCACAGTTGTTCCTGAGAAGAGCATATTGACCTGGTCCTGTTTCACAGCCTGCGCGTCTTGGACTGGTCTACAGTCTTTGCTCACGCTTTCGCTTTCGCCCGTCAGAATGGCCTGGTCCACAGCAAAATTATTGCTGTGAATGGATAGGAGCCGACAGTCGGCTGGTATGCGGTCTCCGATTGTCACTGTGACAATGTCTCCAGGCACCAACTCTTCAGCCTTGATTTTTTGTACTTGACCATCTCGGAGAACCTTGGCTTCATTGGCAGAGTATTCCTGCAACGCTGCAATGGCCTTCTCCGCGCTGCTTTCCTGCGTAACGCCAACAACTGCATTCAAAATCAGGATAGTCAAGATCACCGCCGGGTCCACGAAGGCTGTCCAGTCGTCCGACTCTTCAAACAATGCCAGTACAAACGAGATAGCGGCCGATCCGAGTAAGATCAAGACCAACTGGTCTTTGAATTGTTCGAGGACGAGTTGCCAGAGGGGCGTAGGGGGATCTTCGGGCAAGGCTGCATTGTTCGTTAGTAATTGTTCTTGTCGTGCAGGATTTCCACGTACAGTTGCTTCCATATCGTCTTCTTGCCTCTGCGACTTGCGTAGAGGACAGGCCAGCTGCTTCAGTGACATCGAAGTGTTTCAGCAGGTCGGAAGTCGTGCGGACATATGCTTGTTCCATGCTGGCGCAGGTCAAAATTGCTTCAAGGAACGACTATGTTTGGCAATGAGAGAATTAGACCAAGAGGGTTGCCATCAGTCTGAATTTCATGCACCCCGAAGCCACCTGTTCTATTTTCCAGAATTCGAGAGATCTAAAAATCTACTGTACATCAAAAGGAGTGACTACTAGTGACGTCCCACGTGCAGAATACTGGACACGGTGGACTTTAGTTTTTGTCGAAAATTCCAGACGGGCATCGGCGCAGCCAAGGAGTAGAAGTCCCCATTGGGTTGTTTTGCCCCAGGAATGAGTTGCCGGCCACAGAATCTACCGGCTATGTCAACGCGGTCACAGAGACAAAGGATTGATCTGTGTCACCAATACGGTTTGAAGGAGGGCATTTGCCAGTGCAGAAACCAAGGTCCGGAGCCTCATCCAAGGGATCCAAGAAAGGCACCTTTGCTGAAAGGTATGTCCTTCGATCTTCGGCCGTTCATTTGGAGCGAGATCGCCGGCATACGCCGGCTCATCGTTGTCTGGTCTCGAGCCGCACGTGAAAGTTGTCAATGTGGCACGATGGTGTTGTTTACTATGGGGTTTCAATGTTCGTAACTTAGCCAACGGCAACTCGATATCAAGAGTACCAGGTATACGTGGCTGCTGTCTTTGTGTACTTTAATCAGGCAGCCTCCATCTTTGATTGGAAGTTTCAGCCTTCTCGTGACCCGGCCATGGCTGAGAACTTCTGGAAAATAGCTGATTGAGGCTGACAAGGCGTCCACTGGCTACAGCCTGTTCAAAGTTGGATGACAGGTCAAAAAGGCGATGAAATCAACGGCGTAGATAGTAGACCATGGTAGACGTAAGCTTGACAAGTCAGAGATGATCAGTGAACCCAAGTACTCCGTAGCAAGCTGAAAGTTACTTGGTCGGTTACAGAAAGACCCTGCCGTGTGCTGCACAGTGGGTGCTGGGTGTGAGAGTGAGGCGCTTGAATCAGGTCTAGTTCCAATTCTCTTTCACGCAGCTGCGCTTCCCTCTAAGCCCCATTCATTCGTGCACTCACTCACAGAACCAACTGCACCCATTTCCATCACCAGACAATCAACTCCTCCTTCAATTTCCATCCCACAATCTTTCAGAACCAGTCCTAATCCCATTTTCACCTTCATCCTATCTCCTATCTCTTGTCCATACAATCGCAACCGTCAAAATGGCCACTGATGTAAGTCCTTCCTGCCGACACGGGAGCGAGATCTCAGCTGCTCCTGTCCAACAACACTCTCAATTGCCTCATTGATAAGACATGATGCTGACTTGAATGCGATGTACAGCGTGAGAGGTACCCGAGAGCCATTCCAACTCAACTGATTCTCCCTTCTGACATTGATTCAGTAAAACTTTCCTTGCGCGCCTCTGTGAGCAGGCCGAGCGATACGATGAGATGGTTTCATACATGAAAGAGGTTGCCAACGTGCGTTCACATGGACAATCACATCACAACCACCAATCTGACATTCTCTAGATGGGCGGGGAACTCTCTGTCGACGAGCGAAACCTTCTTTCCGTTGCCTACAAGAACGTTGTGGGAACCAGACGTGCTTCCTGGCGCATCATCTCCTCCATTGAGCAGAAGGAAGAATCCAAGGGCTCTGAGAAACACGTTGGCATCATCCGCGAATACCGCCAGAAGATTGAGAGCGAACTCGAGAAAGTCTGCCAAGATGTCCTCGACGTCCTGGATCAAGCTCTCATTCCAAAGGCCGAGTCGGGGGAGTCCAAGGTCTTCTACCACAAGATGTATGTGAACAATGAATTTTCAGGACAAAACATCTGACAAACAACTCCAGGAAGGGAGACTACCACCGATATCTTGCTGAGTTCGCTTCCGGTGAGAAGCGCAAGGTTGCTGCTACTGCTGCCCATGAGGCTTACAAGGTATAATGGCCGTTATCAGCACGACCACGAACTAGGGACTGACTCATATCCAGAATGCCACCGACGTTGCACAGACCGAACTCACCCCAACACATCCCATCCGTCTTGGTCTCGCGCTCAACTTCAGTGTCTTCTACTACGAGATCTTGAATTCTCCCGACCGCGCATGCCACCTCGCCAAGCAAGCTTTCGACGATGCCATTGCTGAGCTCGACTCGCTCTCGGAGGAGTCCTACCGTGACAGCACTCTCATCATGCAGTTGCTTCGAGACAACCTGACGCTCTGGACGTCTTCCGACGGTGGTGAAGGTGAAGCTGGCGCAGCCGGCGACGCACCCAAGGAAGACAAGCCTGCGGAAGCTGCTCCACCAGCAGAAGGTGCTGAGAAGCCAGACGCTGCCCCTCCTTCCTAGAGAATGCCAGTCGAGAGGAGCGGTGCATTCCCTCGACATCTGGAGACTCTTGCTTACGGCACTTGACGTTTTGTGGCAGGGTTGTTACTCAAATGGCAGTATTTACACCGCTGGGCTTGTGAGAAGGGTTTTCTCGGGTTTAGCACCGGATGGCGCGTGAAGTGATTTGTTCCACGGCCCAATAAGGCAGAGCAAGCCACCCTGAAGAGCAGGGTCAATCTTTTCCCAAACATCACCGTTCCCCTCTACATCAAATGCGATTCAAAGACATCATTGTGTTTTGCTTTTCGTTTCCTACGATACCACTTAGCCTTAGCTCTGGCGGACGGATGAGTGGATTAGCAAGCGTGGAAGGTCCCAATGGCACTCGCGTTATCTTTGCTCAATATCTTCGCTTGTGCTCCCGTATTGTCTGCGGTCTAACTGCTTTCCACTCTCGTTCGTGTTCGTTCTTCATCAGCCTGGCCGACAGTGCGAGTATGATCTGAGCCACGTGACATGACTAGCGGCCAACGGATTCGATCCCGAAATCAATGACTTCATCTACACTTTGGGCTGTCTTTCACTTTCAAACACTCGTCAGAGTGATGTTCTGGGCGAAATAGTGTCAGGTCCCTGAAGATGCTGCATTCAACAATTTCGCTCCGTCCTCCAAGCGGTTTTTTGCATGCCTTTTTCACCTGCGTCATAGTTGGCCTGTGTCTCGCTTTAGTACTTCATTCTGGGGAAAGCACCATGAGTAGTAGATCTTCCGGAATGCTCTTCCTCCTGAAGTTGTCTCCTCTACATTGACCAGCTTACTCTGTGCCAGTGTCATTCTCTGCTTACCCAGTAGAGCTTGCCTTGTTCTTCATTACAATCCTTGACCGACACCCTCCTTCCTGCTACCACCTACTCATCCAACGCCTAGCGACACCAATCTGAAATTCTAGAGTCTTCCATCATGTCTGCTGGTGGCCCTGGGCCTGCTCCTTCGAATCCAGGCCAACCGAAGCCTCCCAGAGCCTCTCCAACAGGTGGATTGCTTGGTCGTCGACTCGCCATTGGTGCTGCCGGATTCGCCCTGGTCTACTATCTGCTACCAGCCAGATCACCAAAGCCTCCTGGAACTCCTGCTGACGTGTTGAAAACACCGGGTGTCAAGAATGTCGAAAGAGCATATCAGAGTGGAGGGGCGACATCAACTCACACGAAGGCATATGGAGGCACAATACAAGGCCAGAGAGGAGATGAGACGATGAGGGAAGGAGCAAGCACAAGTGCACCTCGTGGACATGATGAACCGGGCGTTGGTTATGACCAGCGACCTGGACCAATGTCCAAAGCCGGCGAGAAATGGAATGAGATTCAGTATGGTAGTCCGAAGGGAAAGTAGGTGGGACCAGAAAGTATGACAGCCGCATGCAGCATTGCGCCTGGGTATTGGTCACCGGAAAGGAAGAGAAGGAGCTTTCCATCCAAGATGTCCTCCTCGTAGGAGATATGTGACCTAGAAGTCTTGCTACCATTATTGCACAGCGCACAGATAGCGCCACAAAGTCTGGCATCACAGATTAAGCATGGCTCATTCACAATTTCAGTACTTCATCTTTTTGTTATGTTTGCATATTACATGTAACCTTTGCCCTCCATAGATTCCGGGCACACTTCACTACCACAAGGATTGGTATTGCTCTGAAGTGATTACGCAACTAACAAGTCATTCTTGAAGAATATTGTATGACCTCCACAGACTATACTCATAATCGATACTCGGACCAAAAATTGAAGAAATGTTGCCACCACTCAAGTATGGAGAACGATGTCGAGAATTCGGAGATCCCGCTCCGAGTCTAGAACGAGGGGAGGACGCAGCATTCCACCGGTGGGTGGCTTGCGCATCACCGGCTGAGGACTTCTTTCGCTGTCCTCTCACGATACAAGGTGAATCATCTGGCATCCTCGTCGTTCCTTTGCCCTGGCGCGATATTGGTTGTGCTCGCAAAATGGTCACCAAAATATTACGAGGATAATCGCCCTGCATATTTATTCGACAACAGAACATCTTAGCTAAGCATGGCCCTGGGCATCCTCGAACCTCGTGTCGAACACGTTCCCGGCACAGTCTACGTCTACGAGTCCGAGCAACGACATGCTGAGCTCTTGCAGGCCGCTCGACACTTGAAAAGGGACAGGACTGGTCGCATGATCTTGGTGCCTCAGCCATCAGACGACCCAAATGACCCTTTGGTGAGTCGTGATAGCATGGTTGACAGGCTGCGCACAACTGACCTCTGCAGAACTGGCCTCTCTGGCAACGCGACCTTATCCTTGGAATCCTCTGCTTTGTGTCATGTCTCGCGACTACCGCTTCTCCTCTACTCGCGGCAGATTCTGTCACCCTTGCCCTGCTCTTCAAGCGGACCTTTCAAGATGCGGCACTTCTGACGGCCTACCATCTGGTAGGTGTGGGCGTTGCTGGTTGGCTGTTTGTTGCATCGGCAAGAGTCTGGGGCAAGAGACACCTGTTCCTGTTCGGATCTCTTTTGATGGTGGCGACTTCTGCGTGGGGTGGTTCGACACATAACAACTATAACTACGCGAGTATATTGTGGAGCCGTATTTTCCAGGGAGTCGCTTTGGCGCCGTTCGAAGCACTCGTCAATGCTTGCGTCGGTGATCTGTATTTCGTGCATGAGCGCGGCGTGCGAATGGCTATCACCAATACCTGTCTCTTCGGAGGAGCGTTCTTGACACCCGTGTTCGTTGGTATGATCTCAGCGCATATGGGCTGGCAGTGGAGTGTAAGTGGTCTTCGAGTCCTCTCTATGGTGGATGATTTCGTCTACGGCTTTTCTGAATGATATGGATGTTCTGCATTCTTACTGACATGTTCGTCAATAGTTCTACCTACTTGCCATCTTCATGGCCCTCGGCTTTTTACTAGTGTTCTTCTTCGTCCCCGAAACAGCCTATCGACGAGCGCACGCACTTAACCTCGACCTTCTCGCGGAAGGTTCCTCGACCGAGTCGCTCCCAGGCCCTCAAACTTCCTCCATGCGGGAGTCGGAAGAGAAGCCTTTTCGTTCAATGACGGTGACGGAAAGCTCTGGCCGAAGAGTCTCCTACATGGAAAGACTCATGCCGTTCAATGGTCGCAAAAGCGACGAATCGTTCTTCAAACTCCTCTTAAGGCCGTTCCCACTTTTCCTGCATCCGGCTGTTGCATGGGCTTGCCTGATCCAGGGCGTCATCATCGGCTGGACAGTCATGGTTGGTGTCATTTTGTCTCTCATCTTTCTGGGTCCACCCCTCTTTTTCAACGAAGAACGTGCCGGAAAGATGTACACCAGCGCATTCATCGGCAGCATGATCGGGCTCGTTCTAGCTGGTTTGTACAGCGAGCTTGTCACTAAATTCATGGTCCGACTGAACAAGGGCAAGTACGAACCCGAATTTCGTATCCTGCTGGTGATACCAACACTGATCTTCTCGGTGGTCGGCCTCTATGGTTTCGGCATCACAGCAAACAACGTGATGAGATACGGCTGGCTTGTCCCGGAAGTTTTGCTTGCCTTCATCATCATCAGCATGGTCATGGGAGCTATCGCATCGGCGCAGTATCTCTTGGATGCCCATCGTGATCTTGCGGTCGAGGCATTCACGAATTTGCTGATCTTCAAGAACATCTTCTCGTTCATCCTTGCTTACAACGCATACAATTGGGTATTTGCGATCCGCATCAACAATTTATTCATCATCTTTGGCAGCATTGAAGTTGCGCTGTGCCTGCTGAGTATACCGATGTACGTGTTTGGCAAGAAGAATCGGGAATTTTTCCACCGGCACGATATTCTGAAGATGGCGAAGTTGAGATAATAACGTCCATGAGATCCGCAAATAGGTAATAATGCTAGCCTTACTCTGCAACTCTTAACGATGTTTTACTATGTACTGCTTTACAAGGGGGCCAATGTTGATCTGGCGAAGGATCCTGTAGGCCAAATGACCTACCAAGCCTGCTAGTATCGATCCTACAGTCACATGAATGGTGATGGTTTTAATATGGGCGCCACCTCTTCGGCCAGAAAACCAATAGTGTAGATGGGCCCCCTCAAATTGTAAAGTGCGATGTGATGGCAATCCGCCTGGCGCGTATCAAATTGATACTTTCGAGAGACATGCCGCCTCTGAAACGGCTTGTTTGATTCGCGTGGCGTTGTGGTGTCCAGCCCGCAATCGGAAATTAGATCGTGGTGTTGGCGAAGATCTCAGGAGAACCCAGCGCACTAATCACTCCGTACGGGCAATTCCCTTTGACCAGAGAGCCCCGACGTCAAACTTCAAGTCTTACCTTTGCGTGGTTGTGGTCCGAGTGCTTTTGGTTTTTCATTTCGTCAACAACATGGGGACCACCTGAATAATCTCGACGTTTACGGTACTTCGAGTGTTTTTGTTTGGGAGAAAGAGAAGTCGGTGACTAGTATTAATACTTACAGTAATACTATCGAAGCATGGTCGGAAGAGATACTACCGTACCAGGACTTTGGGATAGACAACAACAATAACAACAACACAAACAAACGGCATTGATAACGACGACATTACGGATATACTAGGGATGCTAATATGGCCACGACAACGACAACGACAACGACAATAACAGCAACAACAATGGCTGGTACCACGGAGACACTCACACCCAGCACATTGTGTGTTGCATGTCAGTCTATTTTCCGACCCGACACTGCGCGCAGCGAATCCGGCGAGACAGCACACCATGGACTCGAAGCTCTCGCGGCGCGAGCCAGTAAATGCCACCTGTGCCTTACGGTGTTTATGAGCATTGATCCGGAAGCGTACCGGAATTTCCGGCGCGGGTCAAATCAAGAGAGTGTGGGCTTTGCGTGGATCAGTCCGATCGCGAGGGATCAGGCAAGACTTAAATTTCGATACGTCCGACCAGCAGGAATGGAAAGGGAGTGGGAGAAAGGGAGAGAGAGCAGTAATGGGAGCAACAGTGCTGTGAGTTTGCGGTCGACGGACAGGGAAGGCGATGGGACGTTGGTGGTCGAATTGATATTGATGAATCCAAAATGTAAGTTGCCCTTTCTTACACGTCCTTCCTGCTTGAAACCTTCCCGGGGACTACAAGTCAAGTTGAGAGTGGATGTGGAGTTGCGCAAGGGCGCGGTGAGCGGTGGAAGATGGACTTGAACACGAAGGATAACATGTTGTACTGGGCGAGGCTGACAAAAAGCGTGATAGATGCCGTCGAACCCGGTGTACGAACGATCGACACGCGGAGCGTGAGTACGGCGTCGAGCGAGAGTTTCGAGCTCGCGAGGCAGTGGATTCAGGATTGCACGTTCAACCATATGAAGTGCTCCGTCTCGGAGATCAATGCGGCCTGGAAGCCGACGCACCTGCTTGACGTGACTGTCCGAGGTGCGAAGGGTGCTCCTGGGATCAAACTTGTCGATGGGATGTTCCTCGATCCGCTGAGTGAATATGTCACGCTGAGCCATTGCTGGGGCAAATCGAAGCCCCTACGGCTACACAAGGGCACGCTCGCGGCGCTACGGCAAGGCGTCAGCGCGGCGAGTTTGCCCAAGACATTCGCCGAAGCGGCGGCCACGACGGAGCGGCTGGGGTTCAGATACCTCTGGATCGACGCGCTGTGTATCATGCACGACAACGAGAGCGCCGTGCTGAAGGAGATGAGCCAGATGCATAAAGTGTACAGTGAGGCGACGCTGAACATCGCGGCGACGAGTTCGCGGGACGATGCGAGTGGCCTCATTTACTCGCGGAATGTGAGCGCTCTGCACCCTTGCATTGTCGAAGTTAATGGTATGGGCATTGATGATGGGATGTACAAAATCCTGCGGTCGACGCTGTGGCACGATTTGGTGGACTCGAGTCCCTTGAACAAGCGTGCCTGGGCATTCCAGGAGCGTTGTCTAGCAAAGAGGACGCTGCACTTCACGAGGAACGAGCTCCTCTGGGAGTGTCAGCAGATGTGCTGCAGCGAGGTGTTTCCCAAGGGGTTGCCGGCGAACTCGGGTCCGCCGAGCAGTCAGGAGAGCGTCGAGTTCTTTGCCAAGCGGGCGCATCACCAGAGGCACGGGAATTGGCATCAACTAGTCAAGATGTACAGTCCCAAAAGGCTGACGTACAGTTCCGATAAGCTCCCTGCCATGAGTGGACTGGCGAAGCAGTACATGAGCCGCAATCGGTTGCGGGAGGAGGATTACCTGGCTGGGCTGTGGAAATCCCACTTACCCCATGGGTTGCTGTGGAGGGTTGAGCAAGGGAGACGGCCGGCCAAGTATAGAGCGCCGACTTGGACGTGGGCTTCGATCGATGGGGAGGTAAAGTACCCTGAACCAGCGCAGAATGCGAAAGAGACGTGTGTTGAGGTGCTGGATCTCGATATGCGATACAAGGCGGACAACTTCGGCATTGTCGAGGCCGGCAAGATGAAAGTGCGTGGCTTCATGGCCAGAGGGTTGCTGAGAAGAACGCACGATTACTGGGGCCAGACTCCGTGCGTGATCCAGTGCACCAAGGCGCAGGTTGAGCTTGTGTCGGCCAGCTTTGACGACAGACTGCCCAAGTTGTCGGAGGCGTCGGGCATGTTGACAGAGATGCTCGAGGTGTATTTGCTGCCGATCATCGATGTAATTGACAGAGTGGAAGGGTTGCTGCTCTGTGCCACGATGAAGAGAGGCGAGTTCAGACGCATCGGGGCATTTGATGTCTCGAGATACGACCAGATCAATTGGGACCGGTTCAGGAGCGTGATGAAGGGCGAGGCGGATATGCATAATTACGAGGAACGGCTGGATCATACGAATGGGTATTGGTTTGCAAGTGATTATACATATACCATCAATATTATATAAGGGGAGGAGGGTCTGGCGGGAGTGGTTGGACTGCACCGAAGAGATGGACATCATTCACACGCGAGGAAGTCGTCTTTCTTTGGTATTGTGAGCTAGGGCTTGCTTGTGCCCATGTTCTATATCAGTCTGGGACTCGACCGGCCTGGGATGGACGACTTTCCAGGATATGTTGGCTCAAAACAAACGGCGGGGAGGGTGAAGGTCTATTTCGTTCTGGACAGCCTGACGAGACTTGCCCTACAAGTGAGGAAATTTCCGCGACTGATTGATGGTGTACTACGGTCTCATGGGTACATCGTGTGATTTACCGCTTGGGTGCCACTCGGCGACAAACAGCAGCGAGGACAGTTTACATAGCATGAGGGCTTCCTATTGAATGCAAGGTCCAACGGTTGCTTCGACGCTTGGTTACGGTCTCATCGGTAAATCGTGTCATTTGGCGCTGCGGTGCCACTCGACGACAAACAGCAGCGAGGACCCGGCTCAATATATACTCGCGGATCCAAGGTTTCGACCTGAGGACCTCCTGCAGCTACCTCCAATCTCTAAATCCGACTACCAATGGGGCTGTTATGTCGATCTCTTCACAGACCGTGGGACTGGTCTTGTCGTTGGATGGTATACCAGCTCTGCCACTGCTCGTGGTAATTCTTCTTGGCCAGGTGGACCGCTCCGTAGACTTTTCACTTATTTCCCGGCGACTACCCATCTCGACCTGACTTACAATCATGCGCGATGGCTAGCTCGACTCAGCACACCATCCTGTACAATCAACGCCAACTTTCGTCGCGTCACGGACGCTCCCATTGAATGCGAGGTCCAATGTTGTTTCGACGCTCGACTACGGTGTCATCGGTGATTTGAATAATTTGGCGCTACGGTGCCATTCGAGGATAAATAGCAGCGACGACAGTTGTGTGGTAAGTGCCCGCTGTGGCCACAGCAGTTGGATCTCACATTGAACAGGGCGTCCTCCTGCCGCACAAATTGTCGTGGACCTCCCGTTGAAGAGGAGGCCAACCTCTCCACCCAAATTCTTCTCGTTGCTATTTGCTATTAAATGCCATCGTAGTGCCAAATCATAGGATTCACCTATATAACCGTAGTAGTGAATGTCTCTCGTCCTCGGATAAGTCCGAGGTAGGATGTGATTTCTTCTCTTCTTCAATATTAGGAGCGATAGAAATCCTTCTATATAGTTGCTTAGGGTCGTCGTCGAGGGTTGGAAAAGGTATGATATACTGAACGAGAAAGATAGACCTCGTATTCAGTAATCTATATTCTACCTTAGAGTATTCCTAGTAAATATTGAAGGAATGATTTTTCGAATGATTTTTCTATCTACGTAGTATAGAATATACACTTAAACGATCTTACACTTAAGCCTAGGATTCAAAAAAACATGTATTCCCCTCGACCGGAATCGAGCCGGTGACCTTTCGGTAACAATAGGGATCTATGACCTTTTGCGAAACATAAGGTAGAATCCGAAGTCCATTACAGCCGAACGTCTATTTTCCGTTAGAAATAATGGCCATGTGCCTAACAGGGGCAGCTTTTTGGCTGTGTGAGTACTTACGATATCCAACTACACCACAAGGGGGAGTGAGAGAACCCAGATATCCTGGGTCGATTGTTGGCACAAATTATGGCCATTTTTTAGATCAGCTCATCTCAATTTTGGTACCCACTAATGAATTGTTTGGGTTAGGCTTGCCAAGCCTCAGTCGAGTCATACACACGTGACACAGTAGGTATCTTGCAAGGATTGCAAGCCTTCACACGACGGCCCCTCAGATTTATCGGAGGAGTCATCGTAAGGTCGAGTTGTGACGGCGATGCCATCGAACTATACTTGTAGGTACGCAAATCGCAACGACGCGGAGAAAGGGCAATAAGCGTGGCAATGATGAATGGCTTGGCAGTGTCGGTGTGGTATCGAGCAGAGTTTCCGCACTGCCATTGCCTGGTGACACGATCGATATCACCCATTTCTGGTAAGAACGAATCCGCGCCTAATGGCCAACGAGTTGCGATTCTTGGAGCCCGAGTAGTGCAGACTCATATGCAGGATAGGCGAGGATGAATTGGTCGTATTGTGCGGTGCTGATATCGTATCCCCCATCCCAGGATGGTGTGGGGGTAGGCGCAGTGACTGATCATCAGAGCCTTGGGGCTGGAAAGCGCATGTACGGCAGGAAACCGTTCGGATGTTTAGGAGGTCCGTGAATCTAGTCGAGCGACGTTCGATGCATCCTCACGGGAATCCCCCTTCTTCGCACGCTGACCTTCCAACGGACCCAGACTGCGGCGTTTCATGCTCGGCAGTCGTGTGTTTGGGTTTCAAGTGTATTGGTGCAAGATACACTTAAAGCCTCGGGCTGAACCGTCAAGTGAAGTGTGCTACAAATACATACTTGTCAGCTTGCTGACCGCGCAGCATCTGCAATCGATTGGTGGCTTCGGTAAATTGATGGATTCCCCGGGAAGAGCTGCTGCCATGACCAAAGTGTTCCGTTTTTTTATACATCTTCCTTTGGGAACAGCGAAACAAGTCTCTTCCACAAGTACTATCCGCCAGTACCTTGGGCCGAAGAGCAGAGGTGTCATCTAGTATCCTACTGCTTCTCAAACAGCCGCAAGGTATCCCTAAGACCCCAGAACAAAGTAGCGATGCACCATATACAAAGGACGGCTAAGTCATGGCGATGAACTCGCAAATCCTATTCGGGAAGTCCTAGGCATCTTCAGCTAAGCAATTAGAACGCATCCCTGTATACTGATTTTCTATTTGAGTATGTAAACCATCAGTTAGCTGAATCGACTAATTAGCTCTCCCTCGTACAAATCCTCAAAAACTCCTGTTAGTAAAGGCTAGATACCGAAGTTGATTGCTTAGGGTTCTTAACTCCTTAGGCGTCTATATATCTCTAGCTCGCAGAGGAAAGATATCTAGTGAAAGGTTGTGCTAGAGCAGACCAAGTAGGCCTAACTTAGTCTACGCTGAGGCTACCGAACTCGAGCTCTCTACTGGAATACGGTCGATACGCTTATATAAAGGGACGCGTGGAGGGAAAGGCTAACGGGGACAATTGCATAGTGATAGAGATCATATGCAATGAGGATGGGGAGGACGTCCTAGTGAAAGGACGTAGCAATTATGATTGTGAGGAGAGGACGACGTGATGCGAAATGATATATTTAGGCCTTGAATCCCTCCATTCATATACCACTCTCGTGTGCTATTGTATTAGGAGGCCCTCACGTTTCTACTGAATGCAGGATATACTCTTGAAAGGGGTGTCCACTTGATGAAATATTGAGTTTGGTTTTGTGCCACTTGTGCAGCGACCAATGCTGCTTCATCTTGGAGTCTGCGTGGGTAAGTCGATAGAAGAAAGATACGTTGGTCATGACATTCAACCCGTGGATGCGATCAGCATTCTGAGTCTCGAGGGCAAAGCGTTGTGATGGAACGGTTCAATTAGGAGTCCATGACGCGCACGGTTGAGTGTCATGCCTCGACCAGTGATGGCAGAAGTCCCGATGATGCAACAAGGTCTTGACCGTGAGATCCAGCAGCGCCTAGGACCCCCTCAACTTTGAGATCGGAATCAGAGAAGATGGCCTGCCTCAGCCATACGCGACGATGATTTGTGAAGCCTGTTAACATGCTGATTGATATTTCCGACCATCATCGAAGCGTTCTGGTATCGCTCCCAACCAGGTTCGCTTTTGGCAATCCGGCGAGCTGCTTAACGTGTCCTCTCGTGTCCTCGATAATCTGGATTGTTTGAGTGATGGCATCTGCTTGATTAACTCTTGAGGGCTTGGGACAGTATTGCTTTCGCAGTTTTCCAAGCTTTGAACCGTGCCTGCTCATATTTGTGAAACAAGGGGAGATATGGGAATTCTGAGTGCAACGAGAGACAAAATTCCAGATGGGTCGGCGAATAGAGACTTGGAAGGATGTTGTGCAAAGCCGAATGAGCGGTGATAGTGGATGTTGTTCGCGTCTAAGTAGGAATGCGCGCCAGACCTGAATTGCTGAGCTAATTCAGGAACAGTCACCATTCTTGCTCGGACCGGAACATAGTTATTATGATATGAACTTTCTCAGGAGCTCGCCGTCGGCTGTAGTTTATGGTTCACGGCCTATGGCTCTTCTGTGTGCCCCAAGTGAAACCACGATGCTGGATAACATGGCCAGCCGTGCCAGCCTTGTTGATAATTCGGCGGATGAGATGGATATCATGTGGAACTGGACCCTGGAAGCCGCTTCCTTGACCTTCGATTAGGGCATGATGGGGCCTGGAATCATCGATCTTGGGTCCATAATGGTCACCTCGGTCCCATCATGTCCCCCCGTAGCCATCTTGATTTAGGCTGTTTAAGGAAAGCGATGCACTGCCGATGGAGCCTGTGGATTCTCCATAGCGGGGGGAATCAGCTCGAGACTCTCCGCGCCACTAAAGATTCCATTGATTCGATCTCGGTTTTTTGTGAAGAAAGGGCTATGCTCAAAAGGCGACGTTGGGAAGAGCCGACTTCTGAAAAGACTTTTGCCAGCTGACCACATCAGTGCGTAGCAGGAAATTCTCAAAGAGTAGAAATACATGAACCTTGGGGCTTCGGGTCTAGGCCAGGCCCGTCAATGATGAAGAGGTGGTACATACCTAGGTAAGGTACGGGTAGTGACACCACTCGTAGAAGGCCACTGCCGATGATAGCTTCAACTTGGACCCGAGCGACAGCACATGTCGGGTAGGCAAGGGTCTTCTATATCTCCTTTCTTTCTCTTTTCTTTCGTCTTCCTGTTTTTGTCTCGTTGGCGATAGCTTCATTCCCATATAAAGATATAAAGAGGTATCATCTCGTATTTCTTCCACGAGTATTCTTACAGAAGGGAGACATAGTAAACAATGCGTTCCGCTATCGTCGCCGTCTCCGCAATTCTCGCAGGCATCGTGTCTGCGCAGACGAGCCCGACAATTCCTACATGTATGTGACCACCACCCGAGGCAGTGGTGCGCTTGAGTCTATGAAACTGACGTGGAGTCAACGTAGGTGCGAACACATGTATCACGGACGCTCTACCATCATCGTGCAACCTCGATCCATCGTGTTAGTAATCCTGCCATGCGAGATTTTCCCACTCGGCGGTGCGATGAACAAGGCATCGCCGTACTGCGAAAGAACCCTTCGGATTTGAGTATCAACGCTAACGGCGGAATGGACAGGCATCTGCCATACACCATCCTTCATCACCAGCATCAGCTGCTGTATCTCTCAGAGCTGCGACGTTGCTGATCAACAGGCCGCACTCGCTTACGCGCATTCAATCTGCGATCCTGTTGGTGCTTCATCGCTTCTGGTGAGCGCAATGTCACAGCGACTACTCTTCCTTCAGAGCTAACACTGTCTGTACAGCCCGCCTCCGCAGGCTGCTCCGCCAATTCGACAGCCTCTGCGACAAGTGGCAGCTCCAGTGGCACCGCGGCCGCCAGTATCACCGGCAGTGCCTCCTCAGCTTCAGCCTCGATCTCCTCTGCCCTAAGCAGTGCCTCTTCGTCCATCAGTGCCGCTACCTCCTCCGCGGCGTCGAGTGCCTCTGCTGCCGCGACTAGCGCCTCCTCGAGTGCTCTTGCCGATGGAAAGATGAGCGTGCAGGGCGTCGGTTTAGGTGTTGTGGGCGCAGCGGTTTTGGGGGTCGCTGCGCTGCTTTAGGCCAAGATATGGGCGGTGTGCGAGATATACGGTGGAGAAGGAGATGATACAAGTCATGTTGAAAAGATTGTACAGTTTGAATCAGATTCGAGTTTATACAATATAACGCTCTTTGGCAGGTACTGGACAAGCAATATAGATGGTGGAAGCTGCGCAGCGGATACATGTTGAAGGGTTATTCATCCTCTTCCTCAATCTCCCTCCTTCGTGCCAGCAGTCCACCAATTTCTCTTCCCTCATCTTTCAGCACCGTCCAAAGGTATCCCCAGAATAGCATGTCCGCCAGCCCGGCAGTGAACGTCACACGGTTCGCTAGCAGGACCACTCCAGGGAACATTGAGTCGGTGGCGTCAGATTGTGCATGCGAGTGGAACATATATATCCAGAATACAAGTCCCGCAGAGGCGAGAACGTGCAGGCCAGCGAGCGTAAGCCAGCGAGACTGTGCTGTGAGCAGTGTATGGAGTTCTTCAGCAAACCGGGACGAGCTGGAGCTGGGGCTGGAGTTGGATGTGGATTGTGTAGCAGCTGATTTCCCGCTCGATTTTATGCTTGTCGGTCCGGACGGCAGCATCAATGTCAAATCTCCTGCAAAGATGAACTGCATAAGAGCGTATACGAGGAGCAATAGTGCGAGCAGAGCGAAGAGTTCGCGCTCAGATGCCGAGCCGGTGACTGGGGGTGTTGATGACTTTGCACGGATAGGGTTTTGCAGTAAAGCCGGCGGCCGAAAGGCTTGAGTGTCAGGTCCAGCATTCGAGGGAGGTTGGCCTGATGCGTAGCCTGGAGGGCGGATGAACATGGATTCGCCGATGAGCCATATCGGCGCGGAAGAGAGGAGGGATGTGGGCGATGTGAGGAGGTAGTATGCGAATACTACAAGGGTGAGGGAGTGAGTGCGGAGGAGGAGCGTTGAGGAGAGGAGTGGCATTGTAGAGGTTGCAAGCAGGACTGAGGTCGAGGAAATGGCAAGGCTGAGTTGGTAGAGGTACTGTGCACACCATCAACAGTACGGAGTAACTCCTGAAGAAACGATGGGAAATTTTGGGTGCTGGCTCGAAATCCGGGGTATCAACTCCGGCTTACGTACACATTGTTCTGTAGCAGAGAAGCCCAGAGCCCAAGCTGAATACTCTCATTGTTAATCTGTTGGCGTTCCGTACACGCTCAAAGTCTCTCTTCTTTGCCCCCGTTGTGAAAATGCCCTGATCAAGGGCGGGCTTCTGCATCAATCTCGATCGTGCAAGGAAATTTGGCAGGTTCTTCGCCGTGCCTAGAGCTATCCAATACCTCAGCTCATGATGGCTCCAAATACAATACGGCTTGCGTGGTGTGCTCAGGGTCTTTGCATTCGACGTAGCATCAACACGATATCCGTATGGCATGTCCCTTCATGATGGGGCAGACACACCATCTCCAGTTTCGACTGCGGCCAGCTGGTGTCCCAATTAAAGCGTCTGAACCGCCTTACCTCCATAATGTGTATCTGGGTCTTTGGGTAGCCTCGACTGTGATTTGATGACCCCTCCTGGGCATTTTGCTGGCCGTTGCAGTTTGCGGGCCCGGCTTGGGCGCGGTAAAGCTGCTCCGCCAGTTCAACTCCGTCGATATCCTATACCCGACGGCTTCATGCGACGTGGTGCAGAGTGAAGTCTGGATGAATACTATGGTAGACCACCAGAAATATCCAGCCAGTAGGGAGCACCTCTAGGTAAGGCTTCTACCGGCAAAGGTGATTCGACGGCGCTTTCTGGGCGTAAAAATAGAAGGCACCAATGGAAGCGCTGAAGCAGACACCTAGCAGGAGTCGCTCACTGGGTCGCTAAGGTACAGAAGAACCTGTCGGCTCTCTCATCTCCACCCTTCCACACTTTTTATCAACTTCGTTGTCACTGCCGGCGCTTATAGACCGTTGAAGGGCTTCATTCGTCCACAAGCACTATGTGGTGGCCTGGCTTGCCCCTGCATAGCTATGCGTCTCATCTTCCTCTGCCTTCCAATGGCTAGTCATTGCGAAACGCCGCATCTCCAACCATCCAATGTCAACCCAACATCTATCGCTTCCCACATGGTCCCTTGCAGCCAGATTCTATCTTCAGCATCTCGGTACTGTCATGCATCTCTCGAGATACCCAGGGCCTAGAGCCTCTTCTATTGTTGTGCCACAACTTGACGCTTTAGGTAAGGACTCTCAAGCACTCCAGAGTACATTTTCCTTCTTGTGCCGCCTTGTTTTTCCAACTGTGGTACTTTCAATCATTCAAGGTTTCATTCTTGAGGGAGGCAGTATACTACGTTGATATTTTTGTTCGGATTTCTTTTCTACGTCGGTCTTGTGAGACTGTATAGCCGCCCGTTACTGCTGTTACTCCGTCCGAGGGCTGGCCCACGAACAGAGCAATCTCATCCACTGCTTAGACTCCAGGTGTTCTGGTTTGACGCAGGCGTTTGTTGTTACGAAGATCAAACATCCAATTTATCTCGACCCTGCCTCAAGCCGGACAATCCGACCGTACATCTAACACAGTCGACCATGGCTCCAGTCTTTGAAGGATTAATGCCATCTCGACGTCGACCGTCAAGGTCTCGCTCAGAATCTGGGAAGCCGTTGCATGCAAGATGGGGCGACGTTGCCATCTCGGCTCCTCATGATGGAGGCTGGGCTCAGCAATATCCTGACAATGACCTCAACAATCCGGTCTACCAGGCCCACGGTAGTCCCGATTCCCAGAAGACCCTGGTCAACAATTCGCCTGACTTGAACTTTGAAGTAGCCAAAATGGAAAAGACGGCCATCGAAGAGATCAGGCAGCCAACACCACCTTTCATCCAGAAGGAACGAACTGCCATCACCATCACCATTCCTCTGCCATGGACACGAAAGAAGGAGCATCGTCGTTCATCCTCAGGCATCAATGCTCAGGCGCTGGCCACGCAGGTGGAGAAAGTCATCACTGTCGAATCACGACCAGCTCTCAACAATATTCAGACCAACATCGACGAAGTCATTGTTGCAGAAGCTCGACCACTCGCTGAACCATATCGCGCTGATTCTCCGATCGTCCAGACCGCCTCACCCGTATACGACGATGTGAGCACTTTTTTCACAAGAGCAGCTTTTCCCGACAAGGGCTATGCAAGCAGCCGACTTCCGCCTATCCAAACTTCAGTCCCACCAACCATAAGTCAGCCAACCTCTGCGATCTCCATCCTCAGTCCTGTCGCGGAGAAGTACGACGGTTTATCTGAAAGCAACAATGCCACGCCTATGGACAACACTCCTGTTGCTGGTCGGACCGCAATAGGCTTGCCAACTTCAGCTGACAACAACGAAGTGATTGATGTTGGAGGTCTTACCTTCAAGCTCGCCGAACATGTCCGTGACAGTCCTCCATCGCTTCCACCATCTCGAATCACCAGTCCCATCGACACTTCAGACGTCGAGATCCCACGGAAGTCTTCCCGCAGCACGATGAGAGACACTTCCCGTCCCGCTTCCCGTGGTCCTGGCCTGGGAGAAGTTGCATACATGCGAGCTTCGTCTCGAGGGCCACCAGAACAACCTCGTAGTGCGTCACGAGAAGCGTCAGCACGTCGATCAGAATCTCAGGAGCCTGATTCTCGTCGAGCTGGATCGGTCGAACCAACACACAGAAGAGCTTTATCCCGCGACCCAGGCCGCCGCACTGTTTCTCCTGCTCGCCGACGCACTTTATCTCGCGAGCCTGTCTTCCGTCGTGCCTTGTCTCGAGAACCTGATGTGCGTCGTATTGAGACACCTGAGCCTGTCAGCCGCCGTGATACATCTCGAGATCGGGCCACTCATCGTGCCGACTCCCCCAATCCGACTACGCGTCGTGCCCAGTCAAGAGATCCTGCCAGACGTCGAGCTGAGTCGCCTGCTCCGACTAGCAGACGAGAACTTTCTCGCGAGCCAAGAACAACTCCTCGAGCCAGAACTCCTGACCCAACAACTGCACGACCACATTCTCGTGGCCCATCTAGCCGGCGTGGCATATCTCCAGGTCCGGCCGGCCGTCGAGCCGTGTCTCGCGAGCCCTTCACCCGTCGTCGCATTTCTGGTGACTTCACCCGGCGAGCCGCATCACTAGAACCTGAGCGACGTCGAGCCAGTCCCAGAGAAAACTTTGATTTCCCGTGGAACGGCGATAAACCAGCGGGCAAGTCACCTACCGACAACACTTCCACAACCGACGCATCGACCACGGATGATATTACCTCTGCCGACGAAACCACAGACATTGACACTGAGACGGATGACATGTATTTTGAGTCCCGCAAGGGCTGGAATGGGCACGCTGGAGTTGGAGACGAAGGCCAAGGCTTTTACGCTGGTGTCATTCAGGACTACAAATTAATTGCCAGGGACGTTGAAGCAGAGCAGACTCAGACATCTGAGCCGTCGGGTGTGAAGGAGAGTCTCGCCAGCTTGGTTACGATCAAGAAGGAGAAGGAAAAGTATCCGGAACAGAGGCAGGGCAAGTACGCAGGCCCAGACCTAGTACCATCGCAGGAGGAATTATGGGGTTAATGAAAGAGGATTGCAAGGTTATCATCAGACCCTTCGTTTGTTCAGAGGCAACTCGTCTGATGCATTACAGGAACGAACAAGACCAACGTCCCCGCGGGCGAAACACCGAAGCTTCAGTAGCTGGCGCGAAGCAGCTATTCGTTGCCTGAACATATTTGCTTGATGACTTTCCCGTCTTTACTGAACGACCTCCACACCAGACGGGATCACCTATGATTTATCACGAAATTTCCTTGAGTCGGAGACATCCACACTAGGATGGACAAAGATACCTGTTGTTGGACACTCTTATATTTAACACCTTGTTCTCATTCGCGTTGAGCTTGGTGACACAGGTCGTCCGTGTCTGGCCGAGCGGTCGAGAGAATAGAGAAGGGAGAGGCAACTCAATCGTTGTGGGGGACTTGTTTTGAGTAGGAGAACGGCATGCGAACTTGGAATGAATGAGTGAATTTGGGAACGATTTGAAGGACGGGATATGCTTGGATATGCGGGAATGGTAGAAAATGAATGTCAACAGGACGAAAACGCCAGTGGGCAGGATGGACATGGAAAGGCCATGGGGAGTACGTACATTACACGAACGACGCACACTTTTGGACAACTTTTGAACAATCTTGGTGAGCAATAAGAAGTATAGCCCTCGACACAATGGACCAGTCTAAGGACCGCACTCAGTAAGACCGCACTGCTAGTAACCAGCATATTACGGCATAGAAGCAACACCAAGCAAGCTCTGGAGTGGTGAGGGCTTTAATTATGTACGAGTACATGGGACTGGGCGTTGTAAGCACCGAGTAGAGCTGTGCCTTTTGCTGTAAGTTACTGGCAAGTAAAGCTAGCCGCCTCATTGACATCACCGTTGGTGTAGGTCAATTTCTTGGGGAATCTGCACAGATCCCTCGTGATCTCGACACCTGCCTCGGTTGTCCTTGCCGCTGGCAGCACATCAGGCGCCTTACCTTCCTCGACCCACGACACGAGCGCGCCCAAGGGGTCGACAGGATTCGGGCCATGCCCACCGAAACAATGACCCGCGCCGGGCGCGAAGAAGAGCCTATACCATTCATCAACTGCATCCGCGCCACCAAACTTGGTCTGGATACCCTCGCGGTACCGCATCATGCCGAACGGAGTGATGTACTGGTCTGCCAGGCCGAACCATGTCAGCAGCTTGCCGCCGGACTGCTTGAACCCGGTCAGGTCGAGTTCCTGGTTTCCCCAGAGCGGTCCAAGACGTGTGATCGATAGTTCATGGGCTTTCACGTAGTCCTCGTGCGTCATCTTGGTCATGTCGTATTCGGGATCCTGCAGGGCAAGATACTTGAGGAAGTTCTCGGCCACCATGAAAGGGACAACTTCTCGAGTGTCGTTCTCTGTCAAGATCACACTGGCAGTGACGTCGAAATCGGCGCCTGGAGCGAGGCCGTACCAGAGTTGTTTCCCGTCCGCGGTGTGGGGACCTCGTAGGATCTCTCGGATGATGTCGGCGTGCGCGGATGTCAGGGTGAGATCGCTGGTCTTCTTGCACGGGACTTTCTTCCAGCCGATGACCGGGTCGAGCTCCTGGCAGCCTTCGCCGCAGGAGATGGTCTTGCCGACCAGAGTGTCCGGGTCGAATTTGCAGCTCTCCAGACTTTCATGGGTGGAGATCAGGCCGTCGGTGACGCCGTCGAGAGGATCACATTCAGCGATGATGGACTTCTGATACTCTTCGAAGATACAGGATGGCGGGATGCCGGCGTTGCGCAGCACGACCGGGGGCCAGTAGTCTGCAGGGACGAATTCCGTGATATCAATGGCTGGCGCTGTGGCGAGGATCCCGTCGAAGTCGTGTGGATACTTGGCTGCAGCGGCGTAACCCTGACGGCCGCCCTGCGAGCACCCCTGCCAGTAAGAGTAGCTGGGGTCGGAGCCGTAGAATTGCTTGATTACGTCTTTGGACACGACTGCCATATCGTGGATCGATCGCCACGCGAGATTGAGGTGGAGGACATCGTTGGGGGTGCCGTCTTCTTTCAACGCCCACAGACCGCTCATCGGGTCGATGGTATTGTCCAGCGTCAAGCCACCGTCGGTCGAGGACGCCGCATACCCGTGGGCGACTTGGCCGCCGAGTAGGAGATCACCAAAGCCCGCAGCGAGGCCGCCGCCGCCGATCGCCTGATACCGCCCGTTCCAGTCTCTCAGGGGTAGCCACACATTGACGTAGACGGTATCATCGGCTCCAGAGTGTCTCAGGGAGACGGTGACGTTGCAGAAGTCCAGGGCAGAGACCGCTGGTGCTGGTCCTTGGAAGATGGGAATCGTCGGGAAGCTGTAATTGTGTACTTCGGCTGCTTCAATCTTGAGTATTTCCGCCTCAGGGAGCACAGGAGCGACTAGCTGGGCACATGGTGTGCCCATGTACTGTTGACCGAAGTTGACTTGGGCAGGCTCCATGTTCATCGGGATACGAATGCGAATGCGAATGCGTATGCTGTTGCAGGAATGAGAGATCGTTAAGTTAGTAGTAAGATATGTCGTGCCTCGGTTTCTTGTTTCGCGGTCTTATATATGGATGGGCTTGCGGAGGTTTGCCGTCTTGCCGGGCCCTTCAGTAAGATTCATGTCGAAGGAAGTATTCGTACGGAGTACAGTCATTGCTTGCCGACGTGCCATCGCCAGGCTGCGGGGCGGGTGTCGGTCGAAGTTATCGGACGACGCATTGTCAGAAGCCGTGTCCGGGGCCTACGTTAAAGCCGGAGTAGTATGGTCCTAACAACAACAAGTCAAGTAAGAGAGCACTATCATGGACCATCGTCATCTGCTTCAAGAGTCTGGATTTTGGTTATGGCCGGGATGGTGTATCTGTTGGTGGAATGCATTTTCTCGGAAGGGATGATATCATGATTGAGTTTTTGACATGGAACAACAACCTTGCTTTCCTCTCTCTCACGTGTCACGGTCACTACATGTCGCAAGGCTGCGTCTCGTCTTATCTCCAAGTGAAAGCTGACTCGTGTTGGTGTTGATGATGACGCTCCGTGCAAGTTCTTCGCCGTCTCAGATAGTCACCCTGCTCGTGCTGGGAGCGGGCTGGACATGGCAGTTTCTTCAACCACTTCTCCACGATGAAGACATCACATATGCTGCCACAACCAGTACAGGACATGACGGCACAATCACATTCAGATTCGACTCCGACTCCGATGATCTTGATCAATTCAAGAAGCTCCCTACCGCGCAATATGTGCTTGTCACTTTCCCGCTCAAGGGCCGAGGACCGTCAAACAAATTGCTCAAGCTCTATGCTGAGACTCATCCACAGACGGGCGACAGGCCCGTAGCCACGAAATGGATTCAACTTGGTTCAACTGGGATCTACACAAATCCAGACTGGAACAGTTCTTCGTCTCCTATCGACGAATCGAACGAGCGTGGCATTGCCGAGGAGGAACTTCTCTCTCTTGGAGGTTGCGTGTTGAACCTTGCGGGCCTGTACGGCGGAAGTAGGGAGCCGAAGAACTGGCTCACTCGGGTGGCTAAGACGAGGGAACAGCTTGGAGCGAAAGGAGCCTTGCACTTGATCCACGGGCGGGATGTCGCGAGGGCTGTGGTCAGTGTCATGAACGTGGACATGGATGGAGCTGGAAGTAAGAAGGAGAAGCTCTTCGGCAGGCGATGGATCGTAGCTGATTGCGTTTCATATGACTGGTGGAGCTTAGTGTGGGAGTGGACGGGCAAGAGCCATGAGGGTGCGGAAGAAGACAAACAGTCAACGGACGAGAAGCTACAGTACAGGCGGTGGGTGGTCGAGTTGATGGACGAAAACAATGTGCGAGGACTACCTAGGTCAGTGGAGGCTCTGGGCAGGAAATTGGATGCCAGAGATTTCTGGAAGGCCATCGGAACTCTACCGGAGCGGACACTGGCTAGATGAACAGTGACGGGTATTGCGGTCATCTCTTGACTTGCTATATCGAGGAAGCTCAAAAAGTCAACGGGCCAAGGAGTCTGCTCACACCTGCTGCTCTACCCAGGATTCCCTGCTCTGTCGTAGAAGACGAGGCCCCGCCCACCAACCAAAATTGGCCTACATTCAAGGGGAATTCCCAGACACATACTGCTAGACCACCTAGGTAATTCTAACAGAGTGCGAACATGAGGCCTCTACTTCAATCGGTCCAATTCGAAGGAAAATTGGCAGACTCGAATATATGACCTATGGTTTATTCGATGTGGCAGACAATCGACTTCACAGGCAGCAAAACACACCGCTTATGTTCGCTTCCTCAAGCTTCGTTGTGCTGGTCACAGCGCGGAGGCAAGTGAAGGGTAGGTAGACAAGAACAAATTTTCAGGGGCTCAAGCCTGACTATGCTCGATCCTTCCTTCCGCATCACCCTCACATGATGAGACAAAGGCCGGTCAAGTGGTTCACCAGGCTCATGGGTGTTCGCTTTCGGTAGACTAGGCAAGGTCATCAATCTCTCGAAGGGGTGTGCTGTTGAATCCGATTCTGTGAAGCCGAAATCACGCCTGTGGCAATATCACAAGCTTTCACGAACGCCTGATGAGGATATCCGACTCGACCGGGGCCAAAATATTTTCAGTTCTGGATCTGATCTGACACGAATTGAATCTTATTCAATACATAGCGCTCCACAACTCTAAAGAGATCTTAAAGAAAAAATGTGTTAGAAGGTAAAGATCGCAGTGATCGCCACGAACAAGGCAAGCGGACATCCTAGACCCGATGCACCGCGAACAATATTAGCAGATGACTGCGAGGTGCTGGAAGCCGCGGCACCAGATCCCGTCGAAGAACCCGATGCGCCCGCGGTTGATGCCGCGAGACTGAACGTTGGCGAGCCCCAGCCATCGTATGACGTGATCGGGGGGACGGTCGACGTGGTAGTATCTGCGCCCGAGGAAGCTGTCACAAGCATCAGTGTCGCAGTGCTGCTGGCACCGGGGATGCTAGTGCCCGTGGGGATGGCAGTGATATCACCTGTCGCGGTGGCATTCAGAGCAGCAGTGGCGATGGCGACCTGGTTGTTGGCGACATCGTAGACGACGTAGAAGGACCGCAGGAACGCGTCGCCGAGGATGGTCAGGCCGTCCAAAGATGGGCCTACGAGTAGCACGCAGCCCTCGGGTTGGCCGTCACCAGTATCGAACTTTGTGAGCGTGTCGATCATGGCGGACACCGGCACGGCCATCGAGACACCATCGGCGCCTCCAAACTGGAACGAGACAGTAGTGGTGTTGGTGTCCGCGAGAGAGCAGGGGACAATGGTGTTCCCATCCTCGACGACTCCACCAAGACCCTGGACCAGGTTATTGAAAGCGACGTTGGGGATCCTCGCCATTGTCGTGCCACTATCGAGCAGGGCGTTTGCGCCTTGGAAAGCCTTGCCTGTCAATGATCGGACACCTGCCTCGTCGTCGATGGACACATCGGTAAGTGCCACCCAGAATGCGTTGATGGTTCCGTTGAACGGCTGAAGTGGCAGGACAGTCAGATCTCCCTTGTACTTGCTCGGGTCAACTCCGCCGAACAGGATCGATCCCTTTCCAATCTCGGTGTCGTCCAGGTACAGACTGTAGGCTGACCTCTCGATAAGGCCTTGGTCGACCATCTCTTCATATATCGTCGGAGTACCCTCTCCTCCTCCATACATGACAGCGGCCTCGTTGGTCCGGTAGGACACGCCGAGGATACCTTGGCCGGAATTGTTGAGTTGTGGCCCGTTCACGGTCCTCAACGTCAGGGCCATGGTGAAATTCTGGACGGTTGCGTCGCCGAGTTTGACGACGTCTGTAAAATAGTCTCCGAAATCTGCGGTTCGGTCTCTGTATCACTCCAGGTTAGTCTCGGATCATTGCTCGCAAGCTGACGGACTCCGACATGGTGGAACAGTCTAACAGGATCGGTCGTCTTCTTGTTCCCGGGATGAACCATATCAAGACCATGCCGCCCATGCCCCAACAAGTCAAATGGTGCACTCACCCATAGCCAATTTTAAAATCTTCTGATACGACGTGGAAGGTGCTCGACGCGTTGGCATCAAAAGCGCCACCGGGGCTGGTTTGCATTTGATTAGCATCCATGGGTTCGTCTTGAATCTTTTGGGAGTGCTCACCAGCCACCATCTTGCGTCAGGCAAGCTTCAGCATTGACGGACGGCACCCAAAGGTCACTGCTGCCAGTATCAAGCTGGAGTTGGAAATCCTGAGGGGGAGTGCCAATGCTCAGGCTGATTTCGTAAAGCTGTCGAGATGGTAGTCAGCATCTGCTTTTTTACCGTCCAAGAAAGAATTGCGTCAAGGCCAGTGTGCTGTGAAGGTGCAGCAACAAGATCATTTGAGAGAGATGTGTCTGTTGGTCCAGCTACCCTGGCCGTAACAAACAAGAATCGAGAGTAGTCGTCCTGGCTCATGTTGACCAAGAAGACGAACCCAACGCCACTTTATCCACAACGTGCTGAATAGGTCTAGGACATACCGATGCTTGTTCCGCCTGGATGATAGGCACCTCATGAGCATTGACAGCTCTCCGCTCGATCGATCTGGATGTTGCTCTCCTTTGGAAGTCCAGCTTCACATGTCCTGCTGAGACAACGGCGCTTAGAGCTGGCAGCGCTGCCAGATATTGAATGAGACTTGCACCACGATACATTCTGATCAGGAGGAGGAGGAAGACGAGGAGCACAAGAAGTCAAACTGGGTCTTCAAGTCGACGGCAAGGGAGGTGTGTAGCCGGCTCGAGAACAATGACTTGAGAACGGATCAGGGGAGCTCCTTATAATTGCACAATTGGTAGACCATTCCGATCCTCTACAGGCAAGTCGGTGGAAGCTGTATGGGCAGTTTGATGCTGGCCAGCACAGAGCTGAATCTTGGCCATCGAGCTTCCCTCATAGCCTCTTCTCAACCTCGTAAAGATTGGTTCGTTTTCGCTCGAGCGCCGAACTATCAATCGCCCATGGAGCGATGAGCGAAAAGAAAACAGCACAAATCGAGAAGGACCCGACCCATGCTCATAGGGCTGAGTGTTTGGGGCATCTTTCCGGGCCCCGATGCGGAAGAAAGGGTCGTTGAACCCTTGAGCATGGTGAACTCGGTCCTCGATGCGGTTTGTTACCCAGGCATCGGTCCAGGGCAATCCATCTGCCAAGTAATGGCCAGCTGAAGCCACAGAGGGCGGGAGCAGCTGGAGGTTACTTGCTTTAGGGGACCGGCGAGGGTCCGTGTGTCAGGCCTTTCGTATTGAAGTTCTGTGTTGGACTTTTGATGGCCAGCTAACATTGTGCATTGACCAAAAGTACCGGGGAAACAACCGCACCAGCACAAGCCATGTCTCGAAAGAATTACAGCCTCGTGGGAGTCAACGTCAGTAACTTAGGGCTGCAAGGCTTCATGTTGTACGGACATTCCTGGGCGCATCGACCCCATACTCATACAATGTTGTGGTCAAAGGCTTTGATACCGTGACCTCCCAAAAGGCGTCGGCGAGACTCCGAGCCTTCGAGTGTTGGACCTTTCATCTTCGTCCCCACAAGGAGCTGCGATGTCGGGGATTCATTACCTCACTACCCACCCGAGCAATGAGGGGATCGCAGGGGAGCCTCTGTAACCCTGTGGTCACTGGTGTCCAAGGTAATGAGTCCACGCTCAAACTCCGTGGGGTAAATCCAGGGACCACGAAGGGGATCATCAGAGCAAAATGCCGAAGGTGAGGCAGTTGGATACAATACATAGAATATCCGTTGCGACACACTGCGCTGCGATATTCCAGCCATCCAGGCCTTGTCAAACAAAGCTCGGCGTCACAAGAGAACTGCTTACGCTGGTAGACCCGAAGAAAACAGCATAGACATATAGCTACCTGAATCTTTACGCAGAAAGATCCCACCATGGCAACACAGCGCCTTGCCGCGTGGGCGGTCTCACTCCAGTACACCGACCTCCCCGAACCTGTCACACAAGCCGCCGTCCGGAGTTTCTACAACTGGGCGGGCTGTGCGTTGGGCGGCTCAAACCATCGCACCACGACCACCGCGCTGGAAGCACTGGCGCCGTTCTTTGGGCCCGCAACTTCGAGCATCCTCGGTCGCACGAGCCAGAGCAAGGCTGCTGACAACAACTTGAATCTACCCAGCCGGGCAGACGCATCGCACGCGGCCTTGATCAACGGGATCGCGTCACACGTGCACGACTATGATGACACGCATCTCGAAACCATCATCCACCCTACAGGTCCCGTGGCGAGTGCGTTGCTCGCGCAGGCAGAAGCCTTGGGCAATGTCGACGGGCAGCAATTCATTCTTGCCCTCGTCGCTGGCATCGAGGCCGAATGCAAGCTTGGCCTGGCCGTCTGGCCGAAGCATTACGATGTCGGATGGTACGTACACGTCTCGCCTCCTTCACACTCACTCTGACACACACTTAAACACAAACTCTCTCGTGTTTGCCAATTGAGTATCTCGCCCCAATTGAGCGAGAGACGCCTTGCTAAACATTCAAATCGCATCTAGGCACATCACCAGCACAACAGGCTCGATCGGTGCCGCAGTGGCCGTGGGCAAAATCCTCCATCTGTCAGAAGAACAAATGGCCCACGCCATTGGCATTGCCGCGACCCAAGTGACCGGACTGCGCGAGATGTTCGGCTCCGACACCAAATCATTCCACGTGGGTCGCTCGGCTCAGAACGGACTGATGGCTGCAATTCTCGCATCCAAAGGCTACACCAGCTCATTACAGGCACTCGAGGCGAAACGCGGCTGGGCCAACGTCGTCAGCGAAACACAGAGACTGGATGGCCACATAGCTACCCTCGGACAGGTGTGGGAGATTGGAAAGAATTCTTTCAAACCCTTTCCGTGCGGGATCGTGGTCCATCCCGTCATAGATGGGTGCATTCAGTTGCATCAAGAGATGAAGGAGAAAGGCTTCTCATCAGCTGGTATCAAAAGCGTACATTGCAGAGTACACCCTCTGGTGCTGGAATTGACTGGCAAGAAAACGCCTCAGGATGGTTTGCAGGCCAAGTTCAGCGTGTACCACGGCGGAGCTGCTGGTCTGGTCTTGGGCAAAGCAGGTCCCGCGCAGTATGACGACAAAGTTGTGAGATGCGAGGATATCACTTCGGTCAGGGACAAGATCGATGCAGTTGCCGACAACAAGCTCGGCGCTGACGAAGCAGAAATTGTGGCAGAGTTTTCGGATGGTCACAAATTGACGAAGCACGTCACACATGCCATCGGCAGCTTGGAGGTTCCCATGACCGACAAACAACTACAAGACAAGTTCATTGATCAGGTCACACAGGTACTAGGGTCACAGAAGGCATCGGAGGCAAGTCAGTCCTGTTGGACGATCGGGAATGCTGCAAATGCTGGAGATTTTGTGAGAACTCTATGATCTAAAATTGATACCGAACAATAGAGTACGGCGAGAGTTGATGCTAAGCCTGGGGCTCTGCGCCTCTACCATCATGGCGTATCAAGACATGCTCCTACAACCAAAAGCTATTTTCCGACATCTCAAGCATTCAGCTCACCAAATGGCTGGTCGCTCGTCCAGTAACCCAATCGAATGCTTGATCAAAGAATGAGATAGTCTCGGTTGAATCTTGCCCATCCTCTTGTTGGGCATCCACGGTCGTAAGAGGAGCGTTCTGATTACACTTGTTCCGAATCTAAAACGAATGTTATGGCGCTGACCCAGCTTCGACCGACACCTTCGCATTTTCGAGGTCCATATCACCACAAAAATTCCAATGGACAGAGTGTTTGGTCCCCTGTTCTTTCCAATCATTCAAGGTCTGTGGATAAAATTTGACGTTACCCAGCAGGCCCGCGTCGTGGGCAATACACACCAAGATGTCCTCGTTAGCATCAAAGGCTTGCATCGCGGAGACACTGCGCCTCGCCTCCTCTGGATCCTCATTGACTGGGGGATTTGCTGAAATGAACGGTTCATTTGCACTCCTTTTGGGATGAATATATTCCTGAAAGCAAGACCCGGGGCATGGTGCAACTGCAAAGCGTGACCTTGGGATAGCAGGAACTTCCTTTGGCAAGGGGAGATATTCTGTTGGCCTGAAAATGGCAGGATAGTGAGCACAGTCGCCACCCATGAAAACAAAGGACGGCGAAGGAGTGGTCAAAACTCGTGCTAAGGCGCACAGGTGGCCCACAGTATGGCCAGGTGCAGACAAGAGATAGAAGGAGCCATCTCCGAAAAAGTCGTGAGCTGGAAATTGCCCGATTTTAAGAGTGAAAGATGCATTGTCCAACTCGCGTAATGTATGTCGTTCCAGTTCGGATTCAAGGATGCTGCTTTCTGGGTTGGTTGGATACGCTGGTAGGTATGCTGCCTTGAAACCTGGGCCTACCACAATGTCGGTGGAAGAAGGGAAGGCGTTAATGTCCCCGCGATGATCAAAATGTTGATGCGACCAGATGACGGCTGAGATAGATTTGGTAGTAATCCCAAGGTTCCCAGCATCCTCATTCAACATTTCATCGATGTTCCTCTTGACGTCAAAGGGCATATACTGCTTGATGAAGCCAACAGTTTTGGGTGGGAGGGTGTGCTCCCAGTCCTTGCGCATGCCCATGTCAAATAGCACATGCTTGTCTTGAGCTGTGTTACTGACAAGAAATGAGTAGGAAGGAAAGCTGAAGATGTCGTGACCCGGGAGGGTAGGACTAAACATCAGTGATGCAGGTGCCTGTCCATAGGTAGTGGTGTCAACGATGCGGACGTCTACCACGGAAGCCGACACCGGTATGTGCAATTCAGGAGCCGGCTTTGGTGTCGACAGGTACGCGTGCTCAGTCATGGTGGAGGAGGGTTCTCCGAGGAAGTTTGTTTTGAGCATCTGGCACTCCAGGCTCGCAGTATATATGGCTTGGGACTTGAAATAGGAGTTGCCTAGCTTGGGGCGATCTTCGTAATCGGATTCTCAGATTGAAAGCCGTTTTGGGGTCCCGGTCGAATTTGGCTGAACTGCAGAGACCAATGGAAAAGCACGATTAATGTCCGCCTCAGGTAAGAGACTCTGTAAAGAGCGTATGGAATAGATGCTGGTAATGATCACATGCAGTAAAGACTAAATCTGAGCGATATGCGAGCCAGTCCAGTCAAACCATTAAAGGCCTACCTCGATGCAACTGTAGAGAGCTGCTATTTGTGGCAGAACTGCATGTTCAGCATGAATGTACATCCGAGCTCATCAAAATATGCCATGTTGCTGGCTTGACGACACGAGGATATTCTTTAGCTCAAGGTTGAAGGTGAAAATCAAATCAAAATGTAAGAGTAAACGACCGTGAAGACTCGAGACTCAAGGAAGGCCGAATGCGCTGTAGTCACGTGAGACAGGGTAGCCGACGTAGAGATCACGTGAAAGGAAGCTCCGTCAGTCTTGCTGTTGAACTTCTTCCCAGGCCACGCCTTTCGCTCGCACCTCAGGCCTCGCTCACATCTAAGACTGGGAAGCAATGCCCACCATGAAGATGAAACCATTAGCCATCTTAAGACTCTTACGACCTACCGGCGCCCAACCCGTCTCCTTCTGGTCGATCCGAACATTCAGCACGACACGTCCGTTCCGCCAGTCTCAACCACAATATCCCTCCGAAGCTCCAGAGAAGCCCATCAACTTCTACAAGACACACGGACGAGCTTTTTTCAAGGCTATTACGCTAGCCTTTCTCACCTACCAAATCGCCTATTGGGGATGGTTGACTCTGGAAACGGAAGAGATCAAGGACCAGAAAAATCGCGAGATCAAATCGCTTGAACGTGAAGTGAGATTGCTGGAAGAGAACAAAAAGGGCCATAGACCTGGTAGCTGAAGGTCATGCAACCGACTACGTTCGACACAAAAACACAGCATGCAGCGGTTCATCAATGAGCCAACAGTTTGCGAGTTGGGACCAAACAAGACGCAAGAAGTCATGCGACCCTGGTGGACGATACGATCACACCCGAATGGAAGAGCTTCGACTTGGACAAAGTACTCGAAGCTTTTGGACCGTTCAAAGAGCCAAATCTCAACGAAATTCTCTTGTAGCCTAGCGAAGTAAGTCGAGGCTTGCTGGTCCAGAAAGTTCTTCAGTTCCAACACTCAATACAAGACACCTGCTGCAATACAGCCTGAAGCATATGGCCAAAGCCTGGAATGCATAAAGGGCGGGATCACAGCACCTCGATGAGATGCATCATGCTTCGAAACAGAGACAAGCAGTTTCAGTTCATGCAGTTCGGCTCCAAGATGCTCATGAAACATGACGACCCTCTCAACAGGGATCAATCAACAGCCGCCCATCACGACTCATTTACGGTCAGAGCCGGCTTACGAGCTTCGACGGTCACCGGAACGCTATGTCTTCCCAGAATGTGTCCCTTCCGGCTTTCGAATGGTTGTTGACAAGCCCGGACTCACCAGATCGTGCGATCAGGCGACCCCCAGCATCGACACCGATACCGATGCCATAATCGAGCACATGGGTAAGGGGAGCGCTGCGACATGGAAGCTGATCGCAACATTCACTGCATACATTGTTTCCGTCCTCGGATCTGGAGCAGGTTGGCGCCGTCTGCGGCTAACTCATGGTTTGTTGGATCTGATGTTGGTGCCTTACATCTACGCAGGTAGTTAGAGGTGACGAGGATGCCAGGCTCGAGTAGGACGATCTTCAGCCCTCTTTTTTCTCAATGAGAGTTTAGAATTTATCTGTCATTTCTATACCAATGTGCCCTTTCGCTTCGTATCGTTTTTCTTGGTCATAAGAATGTCCTTTAGTCTACGGTCTTTTACTTTTCCAGCATCGCAGCCGGCCAGCCATGCATGCGTACCACAGTAGCACAGGTCTTGCGTAGCCCACGGACAGCCAAGTTATAGGACCTCACGTCCTGGAGCCCTGACCAACCCAACCCCCGCTCACTGCACGACAGAGATTTATTTCGCTCGAGGCATCCGTATTGACCAGTCCACTGTTCAACCAGGCATGAGAGGCTTGTACCTATCATTCAACCCGCCCCTGGCCGCAGTGTTAGTGTCATCATCTTGGTCCATAAGTCCTGCCGCACTTCCCCGTTCGCTCTGCCGTCGAGACGGCAACGGCGGACCAGGTTTCTCGGCTGCTTCGCTCGGCCTACTGCTTGCCGGTGCCGGCGGTGGTGAGGATGACAGCACCATGCTGCTGCCATGAATATTGTCAAAGCCTCCAGTACCCTCGCGTATTCGTTGTTGATACTGCTGCAACGGGGTCATCCTCGTTGTTGGAGGCGCCGGTAGCGTGGTGGCACTCGGAGAGCTCGAGGTATCCTTTCTCGGAGGCGGCAGTGGTGCTACGACGACGCCTCTCTGGGATCCATTGGTGGTTGGACTCGTTGCTATGTCTGGCGCACTGACGAAGGACGCTGTCGAACTCATTGTGCCTGTACGTTTTGGCAGTGGCGGCGGTCTTTCTTGTTCTTGTTCTTGTTCTCGTTCTTGTCTCGGTTTTGTCGCTGGCTCAAGCGACACAATGCCATCCTGCCGCGACAGACTGGCTAGGCGTGGCAGGACCGGTGCGGGAAGTGGACTCACCTGAGGCACGGCGGTCTGGCTGGACGACGTTGTCAGAGTAGAAGGCTTGACCGGTTTCGGAGGTGGTTGTTTCTTCGTCGCTGTCGAAGACGATCTCATGGGTATCTGCGGCGAGTCTCGTCCTGGTGCGGACCTCGCTGGCGAAGACGCCGCACTCGATGTTACAGCTCTCGTTCTCGTCGCTGACACTCCTCTGGGCGTCGGCGTTGGCGGCGGCAGCGCTGGACGTCTCGTCTTTTCGACCTCGAGTTGTTTTGCGCCACCCGAAGACGACGACACTCTACTCTCACCCTCCCACGGCGGCGGAACCATCCTTCTTGTCCCTCTCGACGGAGGCGGCGTCGGCTTCTGCGGTCTTTCAACCTTGACCCAATCGTCCTCACCTCCCTCCTTTTCTTTCCACGGATTTGCCGGTCGATCTTTGTTCAACATCATGCCGTCCTGAGGCGCCCGCAGCGTACTCCGTGCCGTCTTGTTCCCATCCAGCCACCACTTCCTCTTATCACTGCTCGCAGGCGGCAATCCTTCCTGGATACTCGTGTAGCCACCCAGACTCTCCATCTCATCTTCATCACTGCCATCCACCGTGTCCGAGATACTCAAGCCCTCTGTGGAATCTCCCGCTCCAGCACCCTTGGCTTTCATCTCCTTGGCCCTTTTGCTGTACAATCTCCTCGTCAAGTCATCCTTCTTCTTCTCATCGACGACCAGTATGCCCATATCGAAGACCGCATACACCGGCCGATGATCACTGAACCTCAAGCTCATCACACTATCATACTCCAGCTGTTTCATCTGCGAACCCAATACTTCTCCGCCTTGCACAAAATTCCCCTTGTGATTGACCTTCCACAGGATCCGATCCGTCCACGCCGGTATTCTCTGCTTGTCACTGGAATCGAATTCATCCTTCCCAATGTCGTACTTGTACGTCGGCAAGAACTTGACTCTCCCCTCGCGGTAGAAGTTGAAACAATTACCCACCACCATCTGGATATTGAGCTGGTCGTTCTCATACAATCTCCCCAAAGCATCTTCTCGGACCTTTTCATTCCCAATCATCGCCTCATTGACCAACGCCTTGACCTTTTCATATCCAAGACCGATTCGGTAGTTGAAATCTCCCGCCCAAACGACGATCTCATGGTCTTCGATACTCCTGTTCCGTTGAAACCTCAAACCGGCTGTAATGGTCTGGTAGTCGCGGTTTCGTTCTTCATAATTCGCAAACCCAGCCGCCAAATGCGCCGTGACAAAGCACACGCTTGTACTCTCAATATCCATCCTAATGGCCACGGCGCCCTTGTTCCCCGCGATCCCACTCATCCCGGTCTTCTTGATCGCGCCTTCGACATTCTTGATCCGTGCCAGGATACTCGACCTGACAAAGACGAGCAATGCTGCTCCAACCAGCTGCCCACTCCGGAGCAGTACGTAATCATCAGCCCCTTTCGCCCTACCGACCATCTCAATACCCTTTTCATTCTCATCGCCCGGCGTATGTCCATTCAAACAATCCCTCACCGTCCTCTCCCACATCATCCGCCGATTCGGATCTGTACTCATTATCTGTTGCGGACTCAACTCGACAATCTCCTGGAAGCCCACAACAACCACATCGAGCCCTCTCTCTCTAGCTGCTAACCAAGGACTCAAATCCTCCTGTGCCCCACTGATTCTCCCATTCAAGTTGAACGTGCCCACGCCCAATTTGATCGTATCTCTCGTCTCAAACTCGGCCCTCCGCCGTCCCACTTCAGCAACCACCCAGTCATTAATTGGATCGAACAAATCCACGCTGTTCTGGCCCACAAGCCGCCCGAGCAACAAATCCACCGTATTCTGCCGATTCTTGTCCTCAAAGTGGTTCACGTACAACCGGGTCGCGCTCTTCCTTGCATCGGCAATGGCCCCCGCCAGACTCATCTTCCCGTGCCGTGTGAAACTACTCTTCAACGCCCCGGTCCCCGCGTATATCTTGCTTAGCGTGTCGCCATTGTCGGCCCACAGCGCAGAATGTCGCATCCAAAAATCCGAACTTCCGCTTTCGCCCCTATGTGACATAAAAAGCTCGAGAGCCATCTGGCTGATCATGCCCTGGATCAAGTTCGTCCTGTCCAGACAATCCAGGCAGTTTACCCGGAACACGCCGTTCTGCTGCATTATCACGATGGGTCTCTTGACCGTTGTCCGTTTCCCATGTACAATGGTCTCCTCACTGACCTCTTCGGCCAGAAAGTACACGAAACTCTCCGCACTGGAGTCGAGGTACGGCCGGATCGCCCGTGCCCCTTCGTACCCGGTCGCGCCTTTCGTGCGCTCATGAAAGTCGAATTCAGTCTCCCGGAGTAAATGGTGTTCCTCTTCTTCACCTTCCTCGTGCCGTCGGAGGGGACTCCGCGTGACATGCTGCCGATACCGCTCTGTGAGTTCGACTTCGCCAGGCTTGAACGCGCTGAGCAGGTTGACGATATGTACGGCGCCGTACGTCCGTTCGAGCATGGAGAAGTGCTTGTCGAACGCGGGCTGAGTGGCTTCGGGTGAGCGTGTGATTTGGATCTTCTGCTGTCCGGGGATCAAGCTGGACGAACTCTCCCAGAAAATAGGAATGCTTCCGCGGATTTGGGTGTACGAGAAACACAGGCCCGCCGGCGACCAAAAGACCGTTTCGGTCTCGACGAAATTGGCAACGTTTCCGTTGTCATCGACGCCTCGGGAATTGAAGCGTGTGCCGGCCCGGCGCGATGAGAGGCGCGATATGACGGTTAATGTCGCTGGGAGGCCCGGCGCTGTGGCTCGGATGGGTGATGACGACGGTGGGACTGGGAGACTCTTGACGAAGCCCCGAATCACGGAGGTGAGAAGGCGAGAGTGGTCGAGGGCAAAGCGTTCGTGGTCGGCGAGCCTGCTGCGGAATTTGAGGAGTGGGTCGATCATGTACGAGTTCCAGAGGAGGCCTTCGTCCAGGCTGGATATGTCGATGGCGGAGTCGACGTCGGCTCTGTATGTGGTTAGTCATGGTTTGTGCGCGCGAGAAATGACTGACCGATCTTGTAAGCGACGGGTAAGATCAAAATCGAGACTATAATAAAAATGGCCATTACTGAGAAGCTTCTGCAAAGCGTGAAATGGGTGTTCGGCTGTAGAGTCGCCTTGATCGTAGCCTCCGCCATAGTCGACATCATCAGACTGGAAGGATTGTCCTGGATAGGGGTTTGGATAAGGCCCATGGGCGTGGTCGTAGTCTGCTCGGTTGAGACAATCTAGTCGCCAATCAGTAATTTGGACTCGAACCGAGAGACCGACTCACAGAATTCGACAGCGTATATCTTCTGCACTGTCTCTCCTCGCCTTACCGATGCAACTTCTTCCGACCCTGTAATGACACAAAGGAAGACATCGTTGTTGAGCGTGATCAGACCCAGAGTGCCCTTAGCAGTAGTCACTGAGTGAAAGTGGTTCAAGTCGATGGATGACCTCTCGGCGAACTCCACCATACAGCGTGGCGTCGTATTAGAACGCGCAGAATTGAGCGACAACGGCAGACTGGTTGAACTTGAGCTTCGTCCGTTCTCTGGCGGAGTATGGGTATGTCGGAATATCAAGACATGCTCGTCCGTCGCTAATGCCACTGTACGGTGGGGATAGTCGTGAATCAGAACTCGCATCGACATCACGACGTAGACTACCGGATCAATTGCAGTTGATCCCACATGGCCAGGCTAGGTGATGGTCTCAGGCTTTGGGCTGCAGTAAGGGTATGCAATGGACTTCGTTAACTGATATGGCATCCGGTCGCGTGCTGATGTGCTGATATTTTCTGTCAAAGGCTGCACTGCTCCGTATCCGTCCAGTCTATTGCAAAACGTCGACCTGTTTGTGATTGTTGGTGACGACTACCCATCATTCAGTCAGTGGCAAATGCTCATCAGAGTTGAGGTGGTTAACTTGGTTGGTGAATGATGAAATGTTGTACAGTACCAGGAACACACGTTCTGGCCAAATCCTGGTCAGCTGACGTGGCTTAGTCAGACATCTATACTGCCACCCAGCTCGCCAGCAAGTACCTTAAGCACCCTAAAGGTACCTGAGGTACGGCAAATGGCCGTTCGTGTCTGCTCGGCAAGAACTAGCTCCTATATTGTGTTACCCGTTGACAATCGCTGGAAGAACCTGACAATCCTCTCATCATGAAAGCGATTGATCTCATTGCTATATCACCTCTAATGGTGAGTGGAAAAAGTGGTGTTTCTGGCCAGCCATGACACCGACCCTTCCTTGATGCATTGGGGGTATCTCGAATCGAATTCACCAGAACAAACGCCCGAACCTGAGAATACATCAGGTACTCCAACATCCTCTTGTATGACATTCATCGATTGTCGCTCAACCGCAGCACACCATTCAAATGCGACATTCTCTTTCAGTCCACAATATCGCTAGATACCAAAGATAAATCAAAACTCCCGCTTGGTGCCGTTTTTCATCAATCGTCACAAAATAAGTGAATGTTTTCATCAACTGCGTCTCATCTCCTTGAGGCATGAAAAACCGATCCCGAGTCTTCGGGAGGATAAAGCCATGCCTCCTGATGTAGCCAATGCGAGAGGCCATCTCATGTCGATGTCATGAATCGTCCTCGTTTGGTGATTCGAGTGGGAAAGAACCGAGAGTCATGACTGTAGTAGAAGTGTGCAGTGCTGCGATGGATGAAAAGTTCAATCGTGCCACCCGAGCTTTCACCTCTTCGTCGTTCCTCACCGAACCATTCCGCCACCCGGAAAACCCAACGTATCCGATTCACAATGCCAACACAAGCACAGCCGCTCACATAACGGTGCATGAACCTTGTTCAGCGGCACCGTGCTGCGAACGAGCGGCTACATCAGGCTTTTTTTCACCTTTTAAAGACCGCGAGGAACGACTAGGGGCGCCTCCTAGCATCCATGCGGCTAGTCCTCCTGGCTTTTTCTTCTTGCCGTTTCCTGTGCCTAATTAGCAAACGTTGACCAAGAACGGATGACACACCTACCCTTTCTCCTTTCTCTCGGATTGAGGATGTCATCCATCATCAGAATACCGTCGGTGTCCAATTCAGGAGGTGGCGGTGGCTGATCCTCCTTCTTTGGTTCTGGAACCGGCCACAACATCATAGTAATGTTCATGTCGGGCTCAATAGTCGATTCCCAGTAATTGGGCATGATGATCTCTTTGTCAGGTCCGATCAAATCGTAACGTCCAGCCATCACAGGTTCTGCGAGGCCCTCAACATGTGCAAATGCTTGATTTATCAGACCCTCCATATCCTACATAATGTCAGTGTCAAAACTGGGATGCAAATCACCGGGACACTTACTCTCCACCGGCAACATCGCTCCCAAGGGAAGTTGTAGTTGCGTCCGATGGCATCTTTGAACCTGACAGGAGCCTTCCTCTCCGCAGGTACTGCAGCTGCGGCCTTCTTCTCCGCTTCTTCGGCTTCTGCTTTTGCTTTCGCCGCCTCGGCCTCTGCTTCTTTCAACTTGGCTTCAGCTTCCTCTTGCGCCTTTTTGGCCTCTGCTTGTGCCGCGGCCGCCGCCTCTGCAGCCTCCTTCTCGGCCTGGGATTTGGCAGCAGCTGCAGCTTCGTCAGCTATTTTCTTCTCGGCGGCAGCCTTATCCGCCTTTGCAGCGGCCTCCTCGGCTGCTGCTTTCAACGCAGCTTCAGCCGCTTCCTTGCGAATTTGTTGCTCTCGGGCAGCTTGCTCGGCAGCTTTCCTAACCTGTTCTTCGTAGGCTCGTATAGCCTCTTGTCTTGCTTCCTCTCGAATGCGCCGTTCTGCTTCCATTCTTTCATTCAGAGCGGCAGCATCGGCACGAGCCTTGGCTTCTGCGGCCAGTATGGCTTCTTCTCGAATGCGTCTCTCTTCTTCGGCACGTGCTGCTGCAGCTGCAGCCTCAGCCCTCGCCTTATCAGCGGCTTGTATAAGAGCATGATCCCGAATACGCTTCTCTTCTTCGGCACGGATGGCATCTTGTCGCGCCTTCTCTTCGGCTTGTCGCAAAGCATCTTGTCGAATTCGAGCTTCCTGTTCCGCCAGCGCGGCATCAGCTTTGGCCTTCTCGGCAGCTTGCGCTTCTTTGCTTAAATCTGACTGAGCTTTCTGTTCTTTCATCATATCCGCAAATCGCTTGAACATTTCTTCAGGGTCCGCATCTTTCTTCACTTCGAACTTGTCGGCTGAGACGTTCAGGGAGCCAGGCTGTGGAGAGGGTGCAATTGGGGGTGGGATGCGATAGTCCAGGTAAGGGTAAGGCATTTGCTGGGGATATTGAAGGTACTGGGGAGGGTATTGTTGCGGACCGAATTGAGGAGGATATTGAGGGAAATAGCCACCGCCGGGAGGTCCAGCGTAACTAACCATCGTCGGTGCGCCATAAGGAGAGGTGTAAGGGGAGGTGACTTGGGACGGAGCGTGGTGGTACCCACCAGAATATCCTGACGGCGGTGGATATTGTACTGGCTGACCGGGGGCCATGGGAGGATATTGGGCTGGATAAGGCACTGCCATGGGTTGCGCTTGGAGAGGTATCATCTGACCAGAATGAGGCACAGCGGGGTACGCATATGAGCCAGAAGAACTGCTGTGAGGATACGGGTTTGGCCCATAGTATGATTGAGGACGAGGCATCCGAGGATCTAGGTCTGTCCGCAGGAACTCTTCCGTTGAGTCACCGCTTTCCGTGGGTGCGGTCTCCCGCAGTTCTCTCGTTCGGCTATTCGTAGGGTGGCGGATGGCTTGTTGACGATGATCTGGTTGTCGCCGAGCGGAGTTTGACCTGGAGTCGTATTGTTGTGCTCTATCTCGATGATCTACTCTTGAGGCCGAGTCGGAGCCATCGCCTTCTTGCAGTTCGTGGGGGTAGTCCAGTTGTACAAAATCGCCAGGATGGGAGGAGGAGCCACTCTGACTCTGGGTAGGCTGGATGACAGAGTATTGGGGAGATATTTCCGCGGGGGAGACTTGAACGCCGTTTTCGTGAAGCTCGTCGTCTGGAGAGCCCGGGGAAGGGGATCGGGAGCGAACGTGGGTGATGTCGACCTGGACGTGACTGTGCCGCCTTGAAGACCTAATAAGTGGCGAGTTAGCATTGACAGAAGAAGGCAGGCAGACGACGCACCCCATTAGAGAATGAATGAGGTCAAGGAATTACCGCGTCCAACCCACCCGCGCAGGGAAGGTTGAACGAGATAGCCTTGAGGTGTTGTTAGTTAAGGGATGCTAACCGATCCAAAAAGAGAAGCTGACTTCAGGCTGCAAGGACCGTCCAGATGGCCAGGTCCAACAGGTCCAGTGAAGTTGGTAGTAGATGTCCTTCAATTCGGGTGGTGGTGGTTGAGACAGGATGTTCGAGGATGGTGGTGACCGCCTGCGACCTTCTGAAATTCCGACGATGTGGATCCGCGGGGAAGGAAGGCACGGCCAGAGGCGCAGAGGGCAGATGCGTCCAGCCGGAGGAGCAAAAAGTAGAAGATCAGACTATGGCGACGCCGCCGGTGGTATTTGCTGGAAGAATGAGGATGAGTATCAATAGGAGGAGCTTGAAATTTGTGATGTTGACGCCGACAATTCACAAGCGAGGAGTTTGAGAGGATGGACGTGATGCGAATCGTCTTGTGTTTGGCGACAGGTGATTGAATTGGGAACTGCCGCTAAAAGTGATGCCCAATGGGTCCCCTAAAGGCCCAAAGCAGGAGAGAAAATTCAAGGCCCAAGTCAAGGTCCAAGGATGACGGTCCCAGGGATGTTGGTGCGGTCCGTGGGAAGGGAAGAGGGAACGGCGTGGGTGTCAATGGGCTCGTGGGCAAATGACTCGTTCCCGGTGGGATCCTGTGTGGGGCCTCAATGCCTCAAGCCTCAGCGTCCACTTTATTCATCCGACACAATCCTTGCTAACAAAAATAATATTGTCCGAACGTCGGCGACGAGAGACACCTCAACTGCAACCACAACGTCGATGACGGGCTTCGAATCCGTAATAGATGCCTGTGGATGAGGCTGTCATCCAGACCTCGATGTACGGCTGGTCGAGTCCTGCTCGTCAGACACGAGTCGTCCACAGACCCTCCTTTGCGTAAGTGACTCTCTTCCAACAAAGGTCAGACGGATAAACTGTTTGTCGGTATGACTGTCAAGACCTGGCTGGGAGAAGATGCCAGTCTGGAGTCACAGGATCTTCGACCGTCAGCAATGGTCCGTGATCCAATTGACCTGATGAGTGACAGTGTAGCTATCCGATGGTCTGGTCGGAATGCTGGTTGAAAGACGGAAAGGATCTTGCACCTCTATCAGAATATTGAAGAGGGAAGAAAGCAGAAAGCAGCTTTGTGTGCGCTGGCGACAGGAAAGACCGTCACCACAACAACCTGCAGAACTCTTGGGCCCTCTCAGGTGACGCTGTGTGACATAAGGATTCCCGCCGGGGATGCAGAGTATCTGTAAGGGGTTGGACCAGGTAAGCGCTTCTTGCGCGCTGTTTTTCTTTGGTTGAAATAGACTCGGGTTGTATGAGACATTGAGCCTCCTCTGCAAGGAGATGCGGACATACAAAGATACGGGGGAAAGTGTGCTAGGCAAGAAGTGGTTCAGGCACGGAGAACAGGTCAAGAGTGCCTACATTGGACTCGCTGCAATGCATGCGAGTCTTTCTCGCTCTGTTCGATTGTGCTATCCTCGAATCTATATCTCGGAGATCCAGGCCACCCGGATATATTATCTTGAATGCCAACTTCCCATCCCTCCATGACTCACGGCCGCTGGCTACCCGGATTCCCTAAGCCGGTGTCGATAACATGGTGTGATGGCCTCGACAAAACCTCAAACATCTCGTGCAGATAGATCCTCGGGGCTGCTCGACAAGGCCGGTTCGTGGTTCGCAGCGCGTGGTAAGGCGAGGCTCTCGGTACCTATAATAAGACGGCGTGGCAAACCAGACCCCTAGAGGCTGATGGTCAACATTATCATTTGTCCCGGGTTGGGTTGCGCGGTAATCAAGGCACCCTCAGAAAGGCTGCCACGTCGGATGCGACCATCTGCTGCCCAACTACTTCTCCTTGCAGCACGCTAGCGTAATGGCCCGCATCTGCATGATCTCCCACGAACCATGATTTCTCCCATGAAGCACTTCGGCCATATGCAGATTTTCTCTAGTGCTCTTGACCGTTCCTCCAATGTTGAAAGTGATATCACGACGCAGGTGGCGTTTTGGACGCTGTCCCATTCGAAGGAAAACCAGCTCCTCAGCATCCCTCTGCCAATCCTGTGTCCGCGTTCCAATCTGGACGGTGTTCAACTCTTGGATCTGCTCAACAACTCCTGGGCTGCTGTCACCTCGGATTCTTTCACCCCAGGTGATCTTCGTGCAGTGTGGTCTTTAATGATGGCTTCAAGTCTCGAAGTTGCCAGCTGGCTCAATTTCTGCAGTTTTTCCGCAGAGATGACCACGGCGCTGTTAGCCTTGCTAGTCGTATGGGTTTGCAGGAGTTTGTCTGACGCCAGTTTGAGCCCATAGAACCCTCGTAGGTAGTCATCACAGAGTTCAATGCTTCGGCTAAATCGCTTGACGGCCTGTGACAGGTGGTTCTGGGCCTCGGCAGAGTCCGTCGCTGACACTCCAGTCATGTATTCTAATTCACCCAGTCGTGCATGCAGATTCCAGGCATTAGGGGTAATAAGGAGGGCCTCCTCCAGACAAAAGATGGCTTGTGCACTGCACCCCTGGGACTGATACAGGTCGCTCAGCTCGCACCAGGCCTCCATGTCCGTGGGAAAGGAATCGACGAATTCCACCAAGTCTGCAATAGCGTCTTGAGGTCTTCCGATGGACCTGATGAGCGCGATCCTTCTCTTGTGAATAGGCACATTCATAGGGTTCTCCGTTAGAATCTTGTTGTAGTCTTCTAGTATTTTCTTGACGGCCGCCATGTCCGATGCCACTGCTTCCTGGTATAGTCCCTTCAGAGCCATCACCCGCTCGTTGTTTGCCCCAAACCTGTCCGTCAGCTTTTCCACGCACAAGAATGCCGACTTGTCATCACCCGTACGCAGGCAGGCATACAGCAGTTGCTCGAGGTCGTTCCATAGCTCAGAGGAATCTGCTGAGCTGAACATCGAAGCAGGAAACTTAGTGCTGACCGAAGATGCTTTTGCGAGGAGGGTAGGAGCTCGTTGAGCCATCTGAAGCGCAGCAGCCGGGTCGGACAAGTAGCTGTTGGAGCTGGTGGTCGCCATGATTGAAGGCTCGCCGGCAGGTCGCAGACACAGTTCCGTCTCAATGATTGACCTTGAACTGCAGTCACCGGGACTTAATAAGAGTGGTTCTGACAGTGAAGTCGCAAGTTCGCTAGAGAGATGATTTTCTCGGGTGCCTTCGTAAGAGTATGAGAGTACGAAGGTACCGTACGGAGTACCTGAATCGGAATGTACCAGGTGCAAACTGACCATTCAGCGACGTCCGCATAATTTGGCTTGGCATTGGAAAGGCAACCTTCGATCTCGCTTCAACCAGATCATAACCTGTGAACAACCCTGGAATTACGATCCTAGAATAACGATCCCTCGATCAGGGATATAAACAAATTGACACCGTTCCCTCCCGCATTCATTGTCACGAACTTGCGATGCAGGATTATGATGTCCAGGCGATGGAGGTTGATCTTCAACTGACGACATATTCTTCTTGTCCAGCCTGCAGTGTCGCGTGAGGAATCATGCCCATTGGGGATTTATAATATCGCTCCTCAAGCTACTCACCCTTCAGGACTACGCATTAAGATCTTGTCAAGATGTTTGAAAAGTCGCTGGTTGACCTTATCAAAGGTCTCCGCGGCCACAAGGGCACCGAGGCGGAGTACATTCAAAACGCCATCAAGGAATGCCGCAGCGAGATTCGGTCCCAGGATCTCGATATCAAAGCCACGGCTCTTTTGAAATTGATCTACCTGGAAATGTTCGGTTACGACATGACATGGGCGGCATTCAATATCCTAGAAGTCATGGCTTCACCAAAGCTCATGCAAAAGCGAGTGGGCTATCTGGCTGCCGTACAGAGCTTCCGACCGGAGATGGAAGTGTTGATGTTGGCCGAAAACCTCCTCAAAAAGGATCTCACATCTCCAACCATCCCAATTCTGTCCCTGCCGCTCACGACCCTTCCACATATTGTGACTTCGTCACTGGCACTTTCAATACTCACGGATCTTCTTCCTCGCGTATCACATTCACAACCTGCCGTACGGAAGAAGACCATAGTCACCCTCTATCGACTGGCCTTGGTCTACCCGGAGACCCTCAGGGTCGCATGGCCCAAAATCAAAGAGCGTCTCCTGGACGAACAAGAAGACAGCAGTGTTACTGCCGCGACTGTCAACGTGGTCTGTGAATTGGGTTGGCGACGGCCACAAGACTTTCTGCCCTTGGCTCCCAGACTGTTCGACCTCCTGTTAGCGCAGAAGAACAACTGGATGGGCATCAAGATCATCAAGCTCTTTGCTGTTCTGACTCCACTCGAACCACGACTGGTCAAGAAGCTCGTCCGACCACTTACCAAATTAATCCAGGAGACCACGGCCATGTCTCTCCTTTACGAATGCATCAGCGGAATCATTCAAGGTGGTATTCTTGACGGCGCAGAAAGTGGTATCGACGTGGAGGAAGTTGCTGATCTCTGTATCTCCAAGTTGAGAGGCATGATCGTTCTGGACGGCGATCCCAACTTGAAATATGTTGCACTTCTAGCCTTCAACAAAATCGTCGGGACCCATCCTGCTCTCGTCTCCATGCAACAGGATGTCATAATGGCTTGCCTGGACGATCCGGATATTTCGATCAAGATGCAAGCACTGGAGCTGGTGTCTGGCATGGTCAATAGTGACAGCCTACAAGGTGTCGTCAACCGTCTCATAAAGCAGCTTGCCAGTTCACCATCCTCCAACGACGTTAACGGACACCATGAAGAAGGTCAGACAGATATGGAACAACGGCTGGTACCCGATAAGAGAGGGTCCGAAAACCCTCCATTGTCTGACGAGTACCGCCATGAGATCATCACAAGAATCTTGGACATGTGTTCGCAAAATACCTACGCAAATATTACGGACTTCGAATGGTACATCGAGATCCTGGTGCATCTCGTCCGTCACCTCCCAGCCGACAAAGATTCCACTTCAGCAAGGACTACCAGCGACAGCAGAAACTCTTTAGGAGGCCGAATAGGAGGACAACTCTGTGATATTGCGATCAGAGTCAAAGAGCTTCGACCCGACACCGTCAAAGCCGCCGAAACGCTTGTGCTCCTTTCCAATCGAACGATCGCATACCCAAGACACGGTTCTGGGCAAGGTCAAGTCCTGCAATCAACAGTCTGGGTTTGCGGCGAATTTGCAGAGTATCTGTCCAACCCTTACGAGGTCCTCAATTCGCTGATCCACGAGTCCTCCCACAACTTCCCTCCTGCCACGTTGGCAATTTTTGTCCAAGCCATTCCGAAAATCATTTCACATATCGCTGTCACGACCAATCGCGAATGGAACATTTCCAGAGGCACGACCATATCGCTACTACTCGCCCGAGCTACCGAATTCTTGGAAAAGCTCTCATCTCACCCCAATCTAGAAGTGCAGGAAAGAAGCGTCGAATTTCTAGAACTTCTTCGACTGGCCACAGAAGCGCTGTCGGGCCAGGCTAGTGACCACATTCAAGCACCACTTCTCCTCACTTCTGCCATTCCATCGCTCTTTGCTGGAGTGGAACTTAACCCGGTCTCCACGGCTGCGCAGAAGAAAGTGCCATTGCCCGAGGACCTCGACCTCGACACACCCATCAACCCGGACCTGCCAGCAATCCTCCAAGCTTCGCAAGTCGTTGACGAAGACGAACCCGGTGATGATGTCTTCCATGCCTTCTACTACGAACGAGAGCCGACTCAGACAGCTACATCACTTCAACCGCAAACGACAGCCAAACTACACAACACCCCTACCGAAAGCGAACCGCTGTCTTACCAGTCGGCTCCCGACTCGCCAGCTACCCTGGCCAGGCGAAAAGCAGAAAGACTGGCGCGAGCCAGAGACGATCCATTCTACATCGCACCATCAGATGATGCTGACCCCCATATCCACGAGATCATCGGCAAGACAAATGGCGATGAAGAGTTCGACGTTGACTCGATCCCTATAATAGACCTACAGATCGACTCTACACAAACGGCCGCCGCTCACCATCACCCCGCAACGGAACCATCGTCACAACGGACAACGAGAAAGAAGAAGCCCGTACGCAAATTCGTGATTGCAGCTGACGAAACCCTCGATCCCGGCGCCCAGACTCCCCCAATGTCGCAATCTCTTTCCACTTCGAACGCGGCCTCGCACTCTTCCACGCCCACAGCCAACGCCGCACGTCCGCGATCACTCAGTCCAAACGCACAGCCTCGCGCCGGCCGCGCTCCAGCCCCTACAGTCCGCCCGACTCGGACTCTCTTAACCGTGGACTCATCCACGCTGGAGAACCTGACTCTCGAAGGAGGCTCCGCCGAGACAGAACTGGACATTCTCCGCCGCGAAGCCGAAGAGGCCGAGATGGCCAGAGCTCTGCGCGAAGTCGAGAGGAAGAGACTCGAGATGCAGCGCGAAGCCGAACGTGAACGCACCACGCTGGGCGAAGGCGTCGACGTCGAAGGCACAGTCATCCGACGGAAGAAGAAGAAGCGCACGAAAGTCGCAGACGAGACTGGCGCGGTTGCTGGACTGGAAGGTAAGACAAAACAACAACAGGAGGCCGAGGAAGGCGTTGTCAAGAAGAAAAAGAAGAAAAAGGTCAAACCTGCTCAGACGGACGAGGCTGAAAATGAGGCCCAGGCTGAGGCTGAGGCTGAGGCCGATGCTGAAGTTCAGCAGGAGAAGGAGAAGGAGAAAGATGCAGCGGCGCTACAAGCATGATGGAACGCTTTATCCACGTCTCGGTCATGCAATATAGCTCGGATACTTCCTTGAGCACGATGGATCGTGAGTCCAGAAGATGGTCTATTCGTCAACCACAAGAGGTTCTACCAAATGTCCACCCTGTCAACTCTTTCTCCCTTGGTCTTCGTTTTCTGTTGCTCTTGCTCTGTCACTAATCGTTAATGCTGCCAACAACTGTTCTGGCCCAACCAGGGTCCGTACAAAGAGTCCATGGTCGGCTGGGTTCACTATTCGAAGGGCGGAAGCCGGCATTTCGCTCCCTAACGACGGCGAGATACTCAGATAAAGTACCGTCATACCGCATGGATTGGTGCGCCGGCTTGGGTAGGAGCCAAAAGCAAGGCAAATACCGAACGGCATTGCATTGTACTATCTCACTACTTCAAAGACAACAATAAAGAGCGTCAAGTATCATGCCGTCGCAACCCATCCTAGTCCATATTGCTCCATCTTCCCAGCACTTATCCATGGCGACGCCAAACACGTACAGCCGACAAACAGCCAGTCCGCCTTCAATGGTTCGGAGCAGCATTCACGTTCACATTTCGGTTGTGGTTGTGGTTGTGTCTGGCAGCCTCAAATCGAGCAGCGTCATACTCCATCTTGTGTCTGCCTCCAGTGAGGTGGACAACAAGCTGGGACATACGTGCGAACCCGTTTCCCTCGACGCCACGAGGGCACATGGCGATGTGACACAGGTACTTCTTCCCATGGGCGTGTGCCTCACGCTCGTGACGGTCACGGTCTCCTTTGTTCCTATAAGACTTGCCGCAGTATGTGCAAGTGGGATCCGGAGTCCACATTGCCCTGTCGACATCGTGCTGGAGTATTGGTTGTTGATGACTCGGCTGCGCACTATCCACCATGCAGGGTGGCAGAAGATTCCATCTTTCGCCGTCTTATTAGTTCGGTCTGTTAAAAAAAAAAACTCACCCGACCTGAGTGGGCCCAGTCTGAAACTGCAGCGCATCATTGAGAGACGAGTTTAATCCATATCCGTCCTGAGTGGGTGGGTTGAACATGCTGCGTGGCGGAGTGTAGGAGTCGGCTTGCATCATGGGGCAGTAGTGGCAGTAGGGGCAGAGTTGAGCAAGGATGCCATGATGGCAGACGATAGTGAGATTGTCCACGACTGACGAATGAGACCTCGAAAAAATCGAGGAGGTGCGAAGAGAGACGAGAAATTTGGAATCGGAGGGGAGGGGAATCTTATGCTTGAGTGGTAGCCAGCGAGGTAGGTGCCTCAGGTGCCATCAGTCAGGGCATTGCCAGGGCAAATGGGGGCAAGAGAGGCTGCATGAGGGCTTGCATGATCATGCAGCCTGACCGGCACGGTTCGCTAGGCCATCCTCATGCTGTATTGCCATCCAGGTGAGAGCCCAAATAAGAATATGCATCAGTAGAGTGACTTCTGCTCCTTCGCACTCGTTGTTAAGTAGCAGGCATTGGATTCTTGCTGACAGACGGGGCAGCGCGGGTCGGACCATGGCGACCAACGCAAGGACCTTTCTGGTTGATATTTCCCCTTTCGGTAACTCCATTTCTTTTTGCGGAAATCTCGGCCCAAATTTCGTGGCTCACCGAACTTTGTCTCGAGGCAGATTCTCTTGGCAGATGCAAATCCATCCGCTGCGAAGTTCTGCTCCCCTCGTCATCCATAGCGAGAAGCAGGAGCAGCTAACCACTCCACACTCACCGTATTCTGGAGAGGTTGTAGGATTGCCGGAGTCTGTTCTCCATGCGAGGCTCTGTCGATCACGGCCAGACCTACCAACGGACTCAAGGATGCATTGGTCAGACCATCGACTGGCCAACCCTGCGGTGTGAGTCCCTCGTCGCTTATCCTCTCCAACCATCACGCAGCCCGAAGCATTGCCGTCGGCTGATTGTGCAAGATTCCAGGCATGGGCGTGTAAGCGGTCAGCTTGCCAAGTGCTTTCCACAGCCAAAGGGAAGCTTCCTGGGAGGGACGCGTCCTCTGCCCTCCAGGGCAGTGGAATGGACTGCAATTATGTGACGCAAGACTTTAAATGGCGAGGCTCTGCATGAGGAATTGGAGGTGGTTCCCTGAGCCGCAATGTCGGGCATATGACGTGCACGCATCTCCCACACAGGACGACATCCACAAGGCCGTGGTATGGCAAGTCGACCGCGGAAGACTACAGTAAGGTTCGATCAAAAAATGTCCAACCTCGAACGGTAGAGACCCCAGAGGCAGTGTTGAACTCGATGAATGATGAACTTTCTTCTGGTATGCAGTGTTTCCCTGGCATTCGTAGGGCTTGTCTCAATCCGCTCAGGAGACGGAGGAAGAGTATACCGAGCATCTCACTAGTTGACATGGATGTCTTCTTCGTCAATAACTGCCGAGGCCATCTGAAGCTTCACCAGCCCGTCATCATCGTTGTCGAGACTGGCAATGGAAATGGGTCGTTTGTTGGCTGCAGATTTGGCACCCAACACGAAGTATGGAGAAACGGAGTCTTCGTAATGCCCATGATGGTCGTGGATGGTGTGCCCCTCGCTAAGACATCCGCCCCTCGAAATCAGCCCCCAGAGTCGAGTCCCAATTCCCCCCAAATCCTCGCCTGGTGGCCGTCATCTCGCGGTGTTCTCAACACCTGTCAGAACATTCTTGTAACACACCATTGTTATTTCAGGCCGAAGTGTGTTGTCTCGACCGGTTCGATAAGGCCAGAAATTCGTTTCCAAATCCAATTCCATCTCCATCTCCATCTCGATCGTAGCGAGTTCCATATCAGAATCCCTTCCGTAGTGTGGTCTTGAATACCACCTCTTGCCGACGGCACCACTGTCCAATGCACCCTTGCGCAATCAAGTCGAAAGTCCCACGCATCGCACCAACCGTCATCCATCATCTGACACCCTTTTCTTTTCTTTATCTCTTCACGCTTGTCGCCTTGGACGCTTTAGTTGCATTTCGTAAGATCCGAATCACAATTGTGTTTCCCACCGTCACTTCTCGACCACCAGGCACAGGAACACAAGTCCCATTGTTGGCCGGAATAGCAGACGGCGCCAATGATCTCACCTCTGATCGTCTCCTACCCCGAGCCGCATCACCCATTGTTCCTGCAGTTGTCCGTTTCCCTAGTGAGCCCTCAAGCCCTGCAACACTCATCCAGATCTGCCCCGCTTACGGAGTACATGAGGACCGACTAGGCAGGGATTTTGTTTCTTCAACTCAGCCCTGGCGCAGAAGTTACCGTGGTGAGCCTGACACCGGTCCCAGGCATCACCCAAGCCACACCTTCTAGCGTCCTTCTAGAAGACTTTTAGGAATGCGAACCACGCAAATTCTGCCTTCCCACACATACCAAATCTATGCTCGTTGGTGTTGTGGCCTTGTGGCCTCTCAATCGCAAAAGGCATCCATGGGCTGTGTTTGGTTGCCATTCCCCCCTCCAAGGCACCATTGACCCAATGGGACTTGCAATCTCCTATTGAGTCAGAGTTGTTGAGCTGCGCATGTGCCGTCGTTGCGGTTTTTGGTCGGAGTAGGCTCTTCAACCTTCTTCCGCCGTCCCCAGTCATTGCTTTCATAGCCTCATCTCCTTCGATCCAAACCTGTTGCAAGGCGCAGCGAAACTTTGCACATTTCCCAACGCTATATCTCGTGTCCCAACCGTGTCAATTGCAAGTGTCGCTTCGTTTCTGTTCACTGACTCACCGTGCCATCTTGGCCTAGGCCTCAACTAGATTCATGAGACTCGCCACATATCGAGTCCTCCGTCATCCCGTTAGCCTTCACTCGCCTCATGTCGTCCAATAATTGGCCTCATTGAGTCCTGCCTGCGGCAAACTGCTTGATGGCTTCGTCACCCTAGCATTCCAAGTCGCGCTGGTTCATGCTATTGACCCTCGCTGCCATCCTCGCAGCCTGTGGATTGGCCTCTCGTCATAGCCCAATGGTCATTTTCCCTCACCATGCTGGCTGTGAGTCGTCCAGAATCCTCAAGCTTTCCTCAGCGTGGTATGTCTTTACCCAGCCATGTGGCAGTCTGTCTCTTCCCGCTCCGCTGTCCAAGCCTCGTTATACCTTTTACTTCTACCCATCAATTCCACTTTTCGCACTTCTGTTCAGCATGATTCATACCCGCTCCACTGCGACGAATCTTCGTAAATTGTCTCATCCTCGTGACTGTGGCCTACTGCCATGCTGAGGTTTCAGGCATCGGGACTTTTGTTGCCTGGAGCCATGATGTCGGCTCTTACCCGTTTCATTGCCACGCTGCCTGGCCTGCGGATGCTGTCGTGCCTTTCGCCTGTTGCTTTATGTCTTGCCAACCCGTGATTTGTTCTTGAGCCTTCCGACTCCTTTGCCTGAGGGCACTGTTCTCGTCCTGTGCTTGGTCGTTGCACTGCCGCCACCATTCCTGCCTATTATTCGCTTCATTTCGAAATTCCTCCGTGGGCAAAGGTGCATTGAGCCACTTCTTTGATTGACCCCACCAGCTTCGAGAAATATAAAAAGGCAGTTTTCTAGATCGTTAGTAGACTCTTCATCTTCACGACATCACTTACACTCTCAGATACAGTACCACAAATACTCAGAGCCCTCTCACTCAAGAGCAGACTCACATCTCACACACAATCACAAGCAAATACGCCGCAACCAACTCTACCGACGGCATCCATCAAGTCAAGAAGAACAATGTCACAGAAGCCAGTGCGAGGAAGTGGAGGTAGTGGTTCCATCAAGCGTAAGTCCTTACACTCCCTGTCTAGATATGCACAATGCTGACTGATGAACCTAGCTTGGGGAGGAAAGTAGATGAACTGGGTGAACATCATCTTTTTTTGTAAAGGACAGGAGCAACTGTATGTGACTCGAACGGTTAATATGCACGTTGCTGACATGACCACAGTTCAGGAAATCTTCACAATGGCGTGGAACGAGCATTGAGACACAATGATCAATGTCATGGCCAACATGGTTGAGCATCTGGCGCGGATGGGAGTTGAGGTATTGGCAGCGACTGCATCTTGGCTTCCAATAGATTGTACAACAAGGTTTGGATAGACTGGGAAGAGCGATCTACCTGTTTGTGTTGGCACAGATTGGCCATTTTCTGGTATGAAGACGAGGATGAAACGTATTGAAGAATTTCTATCATTTTAGAGCTCAACGTTTTACTAGTTGTCTCGCCATGGTGACGTCATTGTGCTTGAGTCCACAACTGCGAATCGAGAGTTGGATGCCGAGTGTCGTTGTACAGTTAATCACAATCAATCACATACCTCAATCGATGCCCAAGGCTTCAAAAGCTCGTGGGGCTGAGGCGCTGTCTCGTACATCCAGTCCATCGACCCCATTCCGTTCAAATCCACCAGGAAATCTCCTGTAAATCTCCAGTGGGATATTGGGCGATTGGTCACAACTCTCGAAACTTCAGTGATTACCGACTCTTCGAGGCATAATGCTGTTAACAGCTATCTCCATGGTCGACTGTTTGGCCACGAAACTTCCATACATGAGACCTGTGCTAGGCGGAACTATCGTGCTCCAGATTCTGGAGGAGCCGCCAGCAAAGCCGAGGGACGTTTGTATGTCGGAACGTCTCAAACTCCAATGCACCTACCTCCAGACTACCGGGTCTCTTGTCGACTACAGCTCGGTCAGAGGGGGAGCAAGCACTGGAAGTGACAAGCTTACCATACTCCGGGCCAACCTCTTTTCGCAACCGTCCAATCAGATCAAAATGTTTGGCGTGGCGTTCAAAGGCTGAGTCGTCTTCTGTGGAAGCTTTTGGCGACTTTGACGTATTCCTGCTCAACGTATATTTGTGGAAGGATAGCACATAGTCTGTGACAGACTCCTCCATTTCGTGTATCTTGGCTTCTGCATCTTCGGCAGTATAGTGCCGGCCAGGCTCCGTCTCGGGAGTATCGGCAAGTAGGAGCAAAGTATGCTGAGTTCTTCCCAGGAAAATCAAGAGGACGAAAGCCAGACACAGCGCAATATCGGTGCGCCCTTTGGACAAGTTCTGGCTCACTGCCATCCTGAACATCAGCTCATGGAGTCTTTCGAGTAGCACCTGTCCCGCTTCTTCCGCCATCGGCAGAATAATGCCTTTGAGAAACCGGTTGATGGTTTCTGGGGCTGTTTGGATGCCACGGGGTAAACCTGCCGGCCGACCCGACTCGAGGCTGGCTTCAAGAAAGGGCACCGCTTCGGCAAGAACTTCAAAGTTCATGAGGAGCAGGTGCTCGTACCATAGCAGGCTCAAAGCGATTTTGAGGACCACATGCTCCTCGATGCTGCTTCTATAATATCTTCCAATCCAGCATAATATATCCGTTTGGAAGTCCTCTTCCTGGGAGGGAAAGTATTTCGTGGTCCACTGGTCCCAGCTTTTCGGATCACCAAGCACTTGTTCAAAGATTGCTTTGATCTGCCGTTTCAGAGAATATACAACACGTTGAAGCTCACCATCTTGGATGAAAACGTTGATAGGTGGACTCCATACCTGGTGTCTGCGGTAAGTTTCGTGGCCCGCTGGATCTTGGATCAGCTTATATGCATATTGGATATCCGGGGCTGAGTCCAAGGCATGAAACTCCTTGACCGTGACTTGCAGAGGTGTGCCGACGTGAAGATCCAGTGGGATTTTGAAGTGAGGACGGTTCCACATTGTAAACGAAGCCTTAGAGAGATACGGGAAAAGATGCCCGGACCGCAAGGGCTTGGTCAGCTCGTCTGTTATCATCAGCTTGATCCTGAATGCTGGAGTCGCACACAACTCACTTGGGAACATGATATGTTTAAGCTTTTGCCAGTCGGCCTGGGCACGGATGCAGGCTTTTGGGAACTTTCGCCGTTCCTTCGTGGAACAATTGTGACAGGAACGCTGGAGGTCGCACTGCCAGAAGTTAGCATCTTATCGGACGCGAGCAAACATCTCTGACCTTCTCTCTCATTATCGTGCAGCGAAGACAAGCTCCCATTCTCCGGACGTCGCTAGCCTCTTTCCTCGCGGCAGGTGACAATGGCCTTGTCCTACCTCCTCGTCTCTCTCGCGAGTTTTGCGTCTGCACATCTTCTTGGATTTGTTGTCCCGAGGCCCGATGAGTTTCTTCCTCACTGAGGTATAAATCTTCGTGGCGAAACGGGTATGGAGCCCATGGCTCGTTCGAGTGTGGATATCTTTGATGGCTTGTAGGGGACGGTCCTCGGTCGGACACATATTGGGTAGGAAGCCCGATGTATTGTTGAGTTTGGGCATTTGAGAGACGGAGATCGATGCCAAGGACATCTGTATGTGTAAGTCGGGTACTGTCCATATCATCTGGTGTTTTGGAGTTACCTGTCATCTGTACATCTGGATCCGCCGTGCTGCCGGACGTGAAGCTCTGAGGCTGCCGAGAAGTTCCGTGGGCATTATGCGCATGATAATTGGGGTTGTATGTCGAAATACTCGAGCTCGTTGGGGTGGGCGGATCGGGTGAAAGATGCCTCGCTTCGGCAAGATGGCTGGTGTAGCTCGTGGTGGCAGAATGTACACAGCTACCATGAGAAAGCGTTGAGCGGTTACTGACGGGACTCAATGGATCTGTTGCCTCGCTGTACCGATGTTGTGCAGCGCGCTGCTGGTATGGCTCTTGCCGAACACTGGTGTGTGGATTCTGCGGCCCTGAGGCAAACGTTTGCTGGGTCGATGACAGACCCCTCGGTCGCGGAGCGACATTTGCAAGAGGGAAGTGTCCTTGGAGATGACCACTCTGCCGACGGCGCCGCCCCATGCTGGATGAGGCTGAGCTTTAGCTTGATCAAAAAGACCAGTTAGCTGTTGCAAGCAGGTGCACCCAGCCACCCTATCAGGCTGAAGGACGCCTGAAACAACACAAATACGATTTGAAAGATCTTTGATTGCCAGCAAGTGGAAATGGGCAGGAAGATTGGAAAACTAGGCAACGAGGCGGTCAAGGAGGGGTATATCAGGAGGTTATAAAGAGCCGCCAAACGGACAATTACATACCTATGAGTGATGCGCCTGCGACCATGCATGGACTGGCTGTGTTTGCTCTCCTTATGCCACATCGCGCCCGATTGCAATAGAAGTGAGGGGCATTGCTGAATGTCACTGGTATGATTGAGCCCTCAGCAGTATGGCATGGCATGGCGGGGTAGGCCGTGCAAGGTCAGATGGCATACTGAAGTCGTGCAAACTAAGCCGTCCTCTCCAGATTGGGCTGGGATCAAAGCTGACAATCGTCCTGTCTGCTGAAGATGGGCAGGACTCGGCGGAGCAGACCAACCGATGGCTTAGATTCAATGCAGCCGCACGAACACCAGCCAGCGATTGATATGCAAGGCCTAGCTTACCGGTCAGAATATCTACCAATCAAAAATGGCTATGCTGACATGGACAAGGGTGAGATCGCTAGCGAGCATGTTGTGTGCCGAAGCTGCCCGATGAGTTCTTCGGCAATGAGAGGCGAGCCGCAGGGTATGGTGCAGAAATCGACAACATTTCCCCCATGGAGCAACTCCTAGGTGTTCAGACCAAAAACTGGGATGTTTAGGCGTCCCTCGGGCTTGTTCGAGGCTTTGTCGATGAGAGCCAAAGATCCCGAGACATTCATGATGACTGCAGCAGGAGGAAATCGTGGGATGTAGACTGGTCAAGGCATAAGCAGGAGTCCGGGTGGACAAGACGTTCTTGGAGGATACAAGAGGAAAGGCACAGCCTTAAATAATTCTTGCGCAGCTCACGGTGGCTTCTCTCAACAACTCGCTTGCCACTACGGGGTAGTATCCAGCCGGCCAAATGGCTCATAATTGGTGCACAATGGGAGACTCAGGCAGCAAGAACCTGTAGTTTGGTTTAATCCCGGAAGCATATGTGAATTTGGCAATCATATTCTGGCGAAACCTCAGTGGACGGCCTTTATGCTATGCTGATCCTTCAAAGAAATGCAGGGTATCCTCTTTTCTCACACACCAGCCCGTTTGATCTGGGCAGAAACGCCATGAGACTCCTTTGCGAGCCCAAACCATGCCGCATACCATAATACCGTGATGTAGATTAGACCGCCACTGAAAGTTTGAGCAATCCTGCTTAGACCGTGTACTTGGCCTTTGCTCTGGTGCTACCGGCATGCGCTGCATCAGTGTGACCGCTGAATTCGAGAACGTCGTTGGCTCCGAGCTGTAAAACTTCCTTGAATCGTGCACCGATCTTCATCAGCGTGTCTCTACCACCAGCTTTTCCTGTTGTCCGAGTCCACAATCCAATTCTGTAAAAGCCCTTACGAACATTCACAACCACGCCCATGATCTCGTTGTCCCCTTCATCTTCCAGGGTTTCACCGATTGCAGCGAGTTGAGTATGTAACCAGAGCTCGTCGATGTTGATGAGTTTTTTGTCCTTGAAGGAGTATGACCATTTGCCGCCGTGCTTGTTCTGCGGATCTTCCCACTCTGGCCTGACGCCTTTCTTGAAGAGGTGGTAATCTGACTTGAGGCTGAGATCGGAGCACGCTGTGATGTTGTTCTACTAGACGTTAGATAATGTTTCTCCCAGCGACAAAATCATGTTACATACATAGACGCCCCAGAACTCTTCGACCGTGTCGAAGGTGATAACTTCTTTCAGCAGGTCGTTCCAATTGTCACCCTTTGAAGAAGGCGGCTTGGTGAACTAAAGTTGATCAGTGAGTGGACCTGTGAGGGGCCGCATATACTCACCCACAGACTCCAGGCGTTCAAGAGCGGATGCTTGACGTTGAAGTTGTTCATATCATGGAAGACAGTCTTGATTTCATCGTTGGTTGATGGCGCAGCGTTCTCGTTTGAGACGGGGCCGGGCACCGGCTGTGGCATCTCGACTTCCGCCATAGTGAAGAGATAGAGTCAAATTATATGTGTTATTCTGGTTCCAGGAGAAAAGTTGAAAGGGAGGAATAGCGCCAAAGTCGCGACAGCGTGAAGAGTTGTAGTTTTGTCGAATTGAGTGAATCAGAGGTGGCAATGAGACCAAAAAGGACGCTGTCGTTGGGAAGATGCGCCTGCACTAGGAAGTCACAATCACAAGCAAGTAAATGCCTGCTGAGGACAAGCTGAAATTATCAGGAAGGCAAGAAGAAATTCCAGCCGCTCGGCTAATGTGTCGTGTCGTGCCTTTGATTCATCCTGCGGAAAATCGAAAAGGCCGTTATAAAATCCGAAAATGGTTTAGCTTCATGTGGTAATTCATGATCCTGCGGTTCTTCTCGGCAAACAAGTACCTGATCACTTTCTCAGCTCTTAACACCTCTCATCCGTGATGCTAGACGTCTGTGCTAATTTTGCAGACTCTCTCCATCTAACACCCCTGTCCTTCTATGCCAATGCTACCGATCCAACTACGGGCCCTCCTTGGGAACTCAATGGGCAGTCACTCCCGCGGATTTCTATTATCTCCCACATGCGCTGGTTTCATTTGGAGCTGTTCAACCAACTCAAGAAACAATTCCACCCCAGACTAACAATGTTGACGACAAGAACACGCTGATCCAGAGGCACAAACTTGAAGTTTACTGCCTGCACAGCGGGCCATAAAGCCCAGTTGGCTTTGAGCCCAGGCCAGTAACTCTTTTCGAGCTTCTTCTTGGGATCGGTCCCTTCGAGATAGGACATGCTTGACAGGAACAATGCAAGATTACATGTGGAGAAGATGGTCTGATCTGCAACCACTCGAGCAGCGATGGTTGCGTTATGCGACTGCAGGTTGATTCGTTTCTGCAAGAATTGATACCACTTAGTGGCGGCTGGTCCAAAAATAACTGAAAAAGTCAGCTTGAAGATGGGACAGGGACCTAGCAAACTGACGGCCTCCATATAGGACCATTCGGCCTGTTCGTGCCGCATCATGGTTGCGAAATCCTTTCCGTTCCACAGCCTGTTGTGCCAAAGTATCACCAGCGCCAAATAAAATCTTCCTGGATCAGCTGGGGCAAGAACATGTGTTGCAAGGACGTACAGCAGTGGTTATAGCTTGTGTCAGGAGAGGCCTTCTGGCCACCTTAGCTTGATACCTGACAACACAAGGTAAGCATCCGCGACGCGAGATAGTGTTCAATTCACCGCATACCAGCTCAACATAGTGCCGCCCTCCGCTTTTTTTGCCTAACAGTGTCCCTATACCCCTTCAAGGCGACATGCTAGATCTAAATCCAAATAGTCTTTTTGTATGTGCCGTCCAGATTTTGATAATAGGAAATAGGGATAGCCAACATCACTATCAATAGATTCAGGGAGCACCTCGAGTCCCGTTTGGAACTGCGTCATTGGTGCCCAGCAGGGTCTCCATTACCTCCGAGTCGAGGCTCGCTAAAATATACTGCATGCGGACCGCACTCTAACACTCTTACTGATATTTCACGTGACACACAATTCTGGATTTTAGGGCTTGACTTTGCTTGGCAGGAATTTCAGCGACCGCAGTTTTGGCCTTTGTGGGAGCAGCATCAATTCAGTTCGACACCACCTTTCGAACCACACAGCGCATTCTCGGTAATCCAGACAACGCGCATACTCATACAACATGGCTGACGCTCCTCGTGGTGGACGTGGTGGATTCGGTGACCGGGGTCGTGGTGACAGAGGCCGGGGCGATCGTCGAGGACGACGAGGACCTCGCCGTGGTGGTGCCAAATCTGACGAGAAGGAATGGCAACCAGTCACCAAGCTGGGCCGTCTTGTGAAGGCTGGCAAGATCCAGAGCATGGAACAAATCTACCTGCACTCTCTTCCTATCAAGGAGTACCAAATTGTCGACTGGTTCCTGCCTAAGCTGAAGGACGAAGTCATGAAGGTGAGACGATGCCACCCCTGCGACATTCATACAATGTGCAGAATGCAGCGAAATTCAAGGATCTAACGGTGTCTGTTCCAGATCAAACCCGTCCAGAAGCAAACCCGTGCCGGTCAACGAACTCGATTCAAGGCTATTGTGATCATTGGCGACAGCGAAGGCCACGTCGGTCTCGGTATCAAGACCTCCAAGGAAGTCGCAACAGCTATCCGTGCCGCCATTATCATTGCCAAACTCTCCGTCCTCCCTATCCGAAGAGGTTACTGGGGTACCAACCTCGGTGAGCCTCACTCTCTCCCTACCAAACAGTCCGGCAAGTGTGGTTCCGTCAACGTCCGCATGATTCCTGCTCCTCGAGGAACTGGCCTTGTCGCCTCGCCCGCTGTCAAGAGATTGTTGCAACTTGCTGGTGTTCAGGATGCATACACTTCATCCGCTGGAAGCACAAAGACGTTGGAGAACACCCTCAAGGCTACTTTCGTTGCTGTGAGCAACACATACGGTTTCTTGACTCCCAACCTGTGGAAGGAGACCAAGCTCATCAGAAGTCCTTTGGAAGAGTACGGTGATGTTCTGAGAGAAGGCAAGCGCTACTAGAGGGCGAAAACAGACATGAGCAGGGGATAGTCGGTTGCATTTTCCAGCGAGCATAACTACCGCTGCAGATGGCGTATGGACGCAAGCTCACGTCTGTACTTGAGAGAAGTCTATGATTCGATATGATTCATCCATGTTTCCTGTGACATTCCTTTTTGTGCTTTGATCGTTGCGACATACTATGCTTCGCTGTGCACGGCAGGACCAGAGTCTGCAGCGTTCTCCTTAACCACCATTAGTAGTCACTCTTACAGCGTACTATCGGTCTCGAGAGCATATCCAGGTATTCCCATCGCAAAGCCATCGTAAGTCTTGACTCGTTTGATGTACGCCTTGGCATCAATGTCGCCAGAATGTCTTTGGTTGTTAGGTCCGGACTAATGCGATATGAAGAGTGCGACTCTAGTCCTCCATGGCCCTTTCCTCCATCGCCTTGATAGCATTTTCTAACTCGCGTATTCTTTGGCCAACTCTGCTCTGGATTTCTTTGCCCACTTCAGGGGCACTCTCTTTGACGGCCTTCTCAAATCCGTCTTTTAGTGTCTGCAATGCGGCTGCCGCAGCTTCTCGGTCATCAGCCGCGTATACGGTCTTTTTCTCCGTCTCTTCTGCAGCAATTTCGAACTCGTCTTTTGCGGTCGCATACAAGTCTGTCAAATTCTCCATGAGGGCGTCTGCAGTTGGTGATTGAGCCTGCCATTGTGATGATGTGTGGAAGGCAGAGGTCTGTGATACTGGCCGAAATCGTACCGTAGTAGGTGTTCTGGATAATGCTGACCGAGTAGAAACAGCTCCTGTGTGTAAAGATGGTGTTTGTCTTGTCCGTATCGACTGTAGAGAGGCGGTGGTGCGTCTGAGACACCTTGCGGCACTTCTTGAGATCATCTTCGATATGGAAACGATATCAGGACGAGGGTTAATCTTGGGGGATCGATTCACGCAGTAACGTGGTAGACTTCACAATTCGATTGGCACCGAAGCAAAATTAGCGAGGAGCGGAGATGACGTTGCTATGCAATTGATATTTTCTGCTTATCGCCGAAGCCACTCAGAGCTCCAGTTGGCCTCCAGCGATAATCTGGGGTAGGCGTGGGTATGGTACCTGGCTAGACAGATCGCAACCCTCCTCCAGCGTCTCCTGCACATTTTCCTCTACAAAGCAAGATGACATTGACCATGACGCATACTAGTACATCTGCAAAAGCTATTGTTCCTTCAAATTATAAGCCTCAACTAATGGTTTCTGTGACGTCGAAATTCGTGCTATTCAGATTTTGTGCCACGATGACGTCCGCCGCCCGTTGCAACTCGAGAACCTCCTGCTTCCTACCAATCAAAGCCCGTGGCCGTGTATTGACAGCTCGGAAAGCTCAAGCAGAGGCAAGACGTCATTTCCTTGGTCATGAAGCAACTCGGTTTTGTGCTCCTGTTCTTTGCGGTCCTTGCTTGAACTATTTGTGTACCCTATTCCTTCGCTTTCCCACCATCAATCATCCTCCTCAAACACAAGTAAGACCTTCTCTCAATCATTCGCTCTCTCCCCTATTTCTCATCCAATCCTCTTAAAGATGCTCGCAAGCACACCAAGAGCGGCGGCGCGGTCTACTCGCGCACTGAGATTCCGCCAACCTGTTCCTGTCCGACCTCGACAGCCTCGCAACGCACGTTTCCAATCCACAAACACCAGTAATGCGTCCTCTTCATCATCTTCACCCGCTTCCAGTGGTGCACTTATGGGCGGTCTTGCTGGTGGTGCTACTGCACTCCTAGTTGGATATACGTGGTACCACTTCTCTGGAGCGAAATCCGTAGTCAACAGTGTTCACCAGGCCAAATCATATGTCAACTCCGCCTTCAAGAAGACCACCGAGTCTGCGCCAGAGCCCAACCAGGCGGTCGAATGGCTGAGAGACACTGTCAAGAGCTACACGAAGATGATTCCCGGAGCATCGAAATACGTTGATTCTGCGTTCGAAGATCTCGAGAAGATCAGACAAAAGCACGGAGAAGAGGTGGATCAGATCATTAAAGACACCTACAATGAACTCAAGGGAGTGACGAACAAGGGCTTCAGTGTTGAAGCAGTATCCCAGGCTTGGGATGTCATCCAGAAATGCTTCTCTCGAATCTCTAGCCTCGCTGTTGACGCCTCACAAGACATCCTGAACAATCACCCTCAGTTGAAAGAGAAACTGGGCGGCAATTTCGAGCAGCTGCAGAAGATGGGCGAACAATATGGACCAGAGGCGAAGGAGAAGGTAGAAGAGACATACAACCAAGTCCGTGACATTTTGAAAGGCGGAATTGGCCTTGGCACGGTCAGCCAACTCCAGCAACTTTTGCAAGAGAAGGTGCAAGATCTCAAGAAGTACGGTGACCAAGCGTGGCAGAAAGGCATCGAGCAGGCCAAGCCGATTTTGGAGAAGCAGCCTCAGTTGAAAGAGCTCATTGAGAACAACAAGTCCAAGCTGTTGCAAGGCGATCTCGGCCAACTCTGGCAGAAATTGCAGGAGGCGGCTAAGAGTGGGAACACAGACGACGTCCAGAACTTCGTGAAGGAGCAGGTCAACAATCTGTCTCAAAAGGCTGGCGGTGGCGGCATTGAGCAGTACCTCCAGATGATTCCTGGCGGTTCTGAGATCGCATCAAAACTGCAGCAGTTGCAAGAGTTGAGCCAAAAGCACGGACAAGAGGCTGAGAAGCTAGCCAAGAGTGCGATGGAGGATATCAAGAAGGTGCTGTCCCAGAAGGTGGAAGAGGGTAAGAAGCTCAAGGAAAAGGCCGAGGCGGATGCGAAGAAATGATAGTCTGCGATCTCCTCCTGGCCAAGCCGGTTACATAAAGGGGGCCGACTTAATGGACAAGCATCGTGGTTTGTCTTCAAGCCTTTCGATCCAGCCACTTGAGTATCAGGGACTCGTGGCGTTGCTTCGCTGTTTTACAACGAGCACAGCTGTATCATAGTCGGGCATAGTTCAGCAGCTACTGAACTACCAAAAAAGTCATCAAATGTTGCATGATCACTTGACGTCACAGTACGGAATTTCTGCGCGGCGAGCGCGGGTACTTTTACATTGACCACTCGTCTAAATGGTTATATCGGTAATCAGTAACAACGGTTCTCAGCAGCAATTCCACTCCGAATGAACATTCTAGACGCGCAGTAAATGAGCCGTCTCGAATCCATAGCAAGACAGTTGATATCTATAAGACCTACCACGAGTACGACCCGCGATATGAGCACATCACAGGCCGCGCCAGGTCGACCCAGGCCGAGTACGGTAGCCGAGCATCTCGCCGGCACTGCAGAATCATGGCATGGCAAGATCACGCCAGACGGGCCTTTCCCACCTCAGTCAGAGAGGTACCATATGTACATTGGTCTCTTTTGCCCCTTTGCGCATAGGGCCAATCTGGTCCGGCACTTGAAAGGGCTGACAGATATCATCGACATCTCGGTGGTCAAGCCGTATCCAAAGGGCGACGAGCACGGCTGGCCGGGCTGGCGTTTTCCCTCGAGCGACGACGATTATCCTGCAGCCACAGTCGACAAGCTCTTCGGCACCAAGTTCCTACATGAGGTCTACTTCAAAGCCGACCCGCAGTATAAAGGACGGTACAGCGTACCAGTGCTGTGGGACCGCGAGAGTGGGACGATCGTGAACAATGAGAGTGCAGAATTGCTTCGGGACCTGCAGACGAGTTTCAACACGATCTTACCACCCGAGTATGCGAAGGTCACGCTGTACCCAGAACATTTGCGCGCGAAGATCGACGAGGTGAGTGGCTGGATGCAGGAGCATCTCAACACGGGCGTATACAAAGCTGGATTCGCACCGTCGCAGGAAGTGTACGATAAGAATGTCGTGCCGGTGTTCGCGGCGCTGAACAAGCTGGAGAAAATGGTCAAGGAGAACGGCGGGCCATATCTCCTGGGTCAAGAGCTTACCGAGGTCGACATCAGAGCGTATGCGACATTGATACGCTTTGATACCGTGTATGTGCAGCATTTCAAGTGCAACTTAGGCACGATCAGGCATGATTATCCCCAGTTGCATAATTACCTGAAGAACCTGTACTGGAATGTCAAGGGTTTCAAGGAGACGACGGATTTCAAGCACATCAAGGAAAACTACACGAAGAGTCATGCCGACATCAATCCAAAGGCAATCACCCCTATGGGACCATATCCGCACATTGAACAGGGCTACGAGCCTGATCTGAGTCGGGTCAGGGTGGGCCGTGTGTCAATGCCTGAGGTGGTAGCATGGGAGAACAGGTTGCTTGCATAAAATAAGAGCTTCCAGACCGACTCACAAGAGCCACTAACGGTTCGTCCCTTGTTTGGCGATCGCGCAAGAAGCAGGAGATGAGCGGTGAGAACGGATTAGGTGGGCTCGAGAGTAGTCATGATCTTGGGTTGTCTATCCCGCCCGCGATAAGTCGCGAGGAGAAGGTTCAAGATGATTGCCAGGGTTGCCGCTCGCTTGCAAAAAAAAAAAGAGTGCAGTGATCTGAACGGAGTCGCGCGTTTTGTGCTGAAACGGCGATGCTTCGATAAAGTCCTTGTTCGACATCAAGTGTGCTAGGACGTAAGTAGATGAATAATTCGAGGCTATCCACTCCAAGTGGTCAATCGACCTTGAAGTGTTATCAAAACGAGGTGTGAAGAACCAATCAACGAACCAGAAATGAATGGCAAGGGAGGTGGCCGGGGGGTGCCTCGCGCAATTTAGCCACATCACCCTCTAGGCGCCTCTAGGTAAAAGCACCGGAACCAATTGGACACTTGGCGAGTGCCTGAGATACCTTACCTAAGTAGAGATCTTTCCGTCAATTTCTCCTGGGCGGACGGCAAAACCAAAGTGCTATTTGCCTGGTGGCCATCCTTCTCGCTCCTTCTGATGGCAGAGAATCCTCAGCCGATATCGTCTGTTCTTGTGTTTATTGTTATTCTGTCAGAGAAGCACATGTTCATCTCCCATAGGCCTTTTTTCAGCCACCCGTAGCTGTCAAGTCTCGTGGAATTCCCATTCTGCCGGCCTCAAACATCGTCCAAGCTCGAGATGTGACTGGAGACCTTGCTGTTACCTCGACCTCGTACCAGTCCTCCCCAAGTTTAGTCGGCGGCAAGAGACGCCTCCTATTCCATCCAACCCCACAGGACTCTGATGAGCCCATGCCAATGTGGCTCTCCGTTGCGGTGACTTAAACCGCATCGGGATAAACGTAGTGGAGGTAGACGCGACTACACCTGGTTTGGAGACCTCGTCCACTCTCGTCCTTTAACTTCTCACTTCAATTTTGTGTGCTGCTTGCGATCGAACCCCATATTGCAACCTGGTTTAGACAATCTTCCTTTCAGAAACGACGGCTGGACCGCTTTCGAGGATAGGAGAGGCAAGATGCTCAGCTGTTTGATTGCCAACATTCCTCGAATTCTTCAAGAATGCTCTCACGAACCAGACACCTGTCAATGTCAGCGGGCATGTGCATGCGTGTCTTATCACTCGAGCCAATCTAACTGGTTCCGAGTGGTCCATGTCTCCTGGCGAATATCGAAGCTAATGAGCTTGACAAGCCTCTGATCGACGGTAGTCCCCATCATCACAATCAATCATCCTGGTCATGTTTAGTCTCGAACTTTCTCAAAGCCTCATCTCCTACCCCGGCCACCACTGACCTAGTTCGAAAAGCCTTGTTGGTACGGTGCAAAATTATGTCCGGCGTCTACCAGACATTGGTCCGTTACTAGCTACGGAGTAATGTCCTCGTCATTTCGTTTGTTTGAACAGCAGAAGCGACCTCGAACATAGCCTCTATCTCGCTTGCTTACCACCTTGGATTCAGGCCTTGTGACCACTTTCTTTAACGGAGCAATGTCCAGCTTATACATCGATGACCCAACGTGTTCTCTCTGTCAGCCACCAACTTTGATGTTTGCGCGAGTTTGAAGAAAGCCAGTTCCCGTGCTTGATGTTGTATTGACAAAATTTGGGACCGGGAAGGAAGGGATATTGGATCAAGTCGAGCCGGCGGAAGGAAGCATGGAAATACCTGCCAGAAATGCGACCGCTTCACCATCTGTCAAATGCTCGAGTTGCGGTCAAGATGTTGACTTGTCGGTCATGACCGACCACAAATGCGCCACAAGTACACCAGGCACACCAGGTAATTATGCTCGCCCTGTGCGAAGAAGTTCAGAAGCACTGACCGTATAGCGATGTCCATGCCACCGCCATCCCTCCCTCGGACAGAGTCGTCGCAGAGCTTAGGCGAACCACGTCCACAACGGCCACTGCTACCTAAAATTGACGCTGCAGCTGCCTGTCAGTCGATGTCCTGCTCCTACCTGCCCCATAACATTCGAGTTGACAAAAATACAGTTCGACCACCGGTCTTTCACGGTGAACTTACTCCGGCCAGCAGCGGACACAGCTCGATGGTCTCCCCATTGAGTGCCACTTCTGGCCCAAGGTCTCCATGGCCTGCGGTGCGAAAAGGTTCATTGCCTGTTTCACGTCGACCGCCCTCTCCAGAACTCACAAACCTTGACTGCGCCTTCCCACCATTTCCTTTGCCCTCGAGGGCTCCTACAACGAAACGGAGAGACAAGTCTTCCACACAAAGAAGCGACACGCAACGATCCAGGTCGAGAGATGCCTCCAGATCGTCCCGCCAGAACAGCAGACCAGTTCCTTTGTCAAGAGCAGAATCTTCAAATAATTTGTCTCTGGGTGCGCAGGAAACGCAGCTCCCGGACAAGCGATGGCCTTCAACGCCGTCGAGCAGAAAGAACTCGTCGAGCACCAGGAGTAACAGTCGTCAGCAGAGCCTTGACAAATTGCCGGAGCTTCATGTCACATCATCGGAGGAGCAGCGACCTTCGACATCACCATCACCATCACACCCGAATGAGCCATCTCAACCACCAAACCGGCCTGCTCAACTCTTGAGATCAAATACCGAGCCACCTGCGCGGCCTGACGCTGTAGACCCGGGTCTCAGCGCATTTGACTTTGGCACCATTGAGAACAACATGACCAAACATCCAGATACCAATAATGACTTAATGTTTAATTCTTCTCGAATCGCGGAAAAGCCCAGGACTGAGACCCTGCCATCTTACAAATCAAAAGCACCCCCTCCTATAGCTGGACCTCCGCCGCCGCCTGCTGTTCTTAGCAAGATGAGGTCGCCTACGACTCCCCAACCTTCACCACCTGGTGTTTTCTCGGCCACATTCGGAAGGCTCTTCGGTCGACGCCGATCCCAGTCTACCAGTTCTAGACGCGAAGTCGTGCGACAAGCTCTGAGTGATGAGCCAGACATTTACGAGGAAGGCAGTGAAGGGCGAAGTGTCCTCAGCCTGGATAGCGACAAATCCTTCCTGCTCGACCCGTCTCCGATCTTGCCAACAACGCCGTTAACGCCGCCTGCGCCCCTGCCGGTCCATGAGGAAGCACTAAAAGCACTCGAAGGAGAGACATCTGCTCCCTCCACTACGCCAGTTGTGGTAATCGAACCCACGCCGGAAGACGAAGAACGGGAAACTGCTCCTGTCACACCGTCCGAGCCTGTGAGGCATCCCAGAATTTCAACTATCGTGGAAGAACTTCCCGAAATCGAAACCTTGCCGACCAGCAAGGCCACTCCTCGAGACTCTATTGACTCTGCCTCATCCTACGGCTCGATTGGATTTTCCGAACACACTTCCAGTTCGAGGTCCAGTTCTCCTCAGACCGACCCTTTACACATCAAACCCATTGGAGCCTCGATTTCGGGCCTGCTTATTCCAGATAGCGTCGATGTCCCGGCACCGTTACGACCTCGTATACCCGAAATATCTTCCGAATTGCCCGCAGAACCACTTTTCCAGCAGGGCCACAGCCCTCCCACTTCAGAGAAAGGATCTCTAGATCAACAGCCAAATAACTCTGTCATGCCAACATCCCACGGTCCTGGGTCAAACCCCACGCTAGCTGAAGCGCCTGCAGAAACGACAGCAGTTGTGCAGTCAGAGGTCCGCATAAATCGCAAGGTCAAACCGGTAGCCCCAAACAAGGGTATCTGTCGTGGCTGCTCGAAAGTCATCTTGGTGTCACAGAAGTCGGTATCGAGCGCTGACGGTTTGCTCACGGGCCGGTATCACAAAGAGTGTTTTGTTTGTCACACATGCAAGACGGCATTTCCTACAGCCGAATTCTATGTCCACAGTGATCACCCATATTGTGCGCATCATTATCACGAGCTGGAAAATTCGTTGTGTGCTACGTGTGGCAAAGGCATCGAAGGTCTGTACATGGAGACGGCCAATGTGGCGGGTCGAGGCAAGGAAAAGCACCACCCAGAGTGCTTGAAGTGCACGACTTGTCATGTCCGACTCGATCACGATTACTTTGAATTGTCTGGCAAAGTGTATTGTGAACGGGATGCGTTCCGACTTGCGAGTTTGCCCAAGTCTCGAGATAACGCTCCTAGTCGCCCGAGCCCGCTGATTCGGGAATACATCAGCAGTGGGCAAGATCCTGGAATGGTGAAGGGAAGAAACTTCCCGGAACGGAGGGTGACCAGATTGATGAATATGACCTGATTTCACGGCAGCGAGGAGTTTCACGAATTAGTGGGCGTCTGTGAGCTATCAGAGGGATGTATATCGTGGGACAAGACATTCATGATCTAGTCGGTAAGGTGCAAGAATGGTTTGTGGTTTGCACGACATCAATCTCGATTGAGATGCACTTGATTGTCCGGGTCCTTGCTGCATCGCAATTGTGGTCTCTGTGGGTGCCCCGGTGGGTTGGCGAATTGTTCGCGGGATCGACAACGCCTCGTCAGTCAGGGAGTGGATATACTATATGATAATGTATGTACCGCATTGATGTGCCCCGCAAAAAGCACGCTCTCATATTCTTGTCTCATTGGGTTCTTGGGCCCGTATCCCGTCCTGAACTGGACCGGTGCTTGATACATCAAGGGCCTTGCCGTTTCACATGAAATCGGAGCTAACAAACATGTCATGCGCCAATGCATGCTTTATGTCTACTAATAGGGGACGCGGTATGATTTGGTTCTGGACAGCTACGTGGCTAAGACTATCATGGAGGACGAGAGCTAACCTGTCCGAGAGACCTGCCCGCCGTAATGTTAAGAGACAGACAACGGCATATGCCTCGTGGCACACTGGAAATGCATAGAAGATTTGAAAGACGCACACTCTGAGGGCGTCGCGTGATCGCACTGGGTGAGAAGCAAACGTGGCACAGAGACAAAAGGCGAAGGAAAGATGGGAGATTGGGCGACCACGACTTGGATTCAGCCGGATATCAAGACTGAAATCAGTCGGAGGCTCGCGGATGAATTGTGGTCAAAGGAGTGATTGGGTGGAAGTCCATTAGCATGAGAGCATCGACGAGGAAGATACGGACTCGGACTATGATTCATGCAGGCCAATGCAGTCCAGATGCAGCCGAAATGACTGCAGATAGCATCTTGATTTCGACCTTGAAAGCATCTTGGTTAGGGCGATGGTGATGGTCGAAGGTCGAGAATGTTAAGCGTTAGGCGTCAGGCTAAGTTATCAGGAGTCAGGCATCAGGCAGACGAGCCAACACACCACACAAGCAGGCTACTAGGAGTGCTAGGCGATTAGGCGGAACAAGATGCCCCTCGTGCCCCTCGCCTCTTATCGATTAGTAGATGATGGTAGTTTGTGGGTTTTGTTCATTCTCGTAGCTCGTATCTCTTTTTCTAGCCCACCACTGATCATTCGAACCAGAGATTAGAAATGGAGTCTAGAGTCTTGTTGTTTTCTGGCGGTGAGCATTATTATTGAGGACGAATGTCATTCAGTGATGTGAGTTTTCTCATTAGTCACGGCTACGGCCTCAGCCGGAGGGCAAGAATTGCATGCCCAGTGCCAATGCCCGCTACCGAGGACCGTGTGTACGTACCGCTCTCTTTCTTACAAAACCGTCTGATCTTTCCTTCCGGCTCTTCCTTTTCACTCTTTCTCTCCCTTCAACAACTCCCGGTTCTTGCACAGGAAAACACATCTCAAGGTCACTGCCCGGCCGTGATCTCTTTCCAAAACCCATTCACACCCTGTCAGATCACTCTCGAGTGGTCTGCTCAACCGCCAAGACGTTTTCCAACTTGTTGCCTTCGTAAGTACTTTCGTCCTACCACCAACCAGACCCTTTCGGGGCCCCCTGTCGTTCCCTTGTCGTTCCCTTGTCGTTCCCTACCACACTGGTACTGGTACCTGCATGCCATCGATCCCGGATCAGGGACATTGGCTTCCGTTGGCGCCGGCGTCAATCGTGACTGCAGTCCATTTTGCACCTTCATGCGGTCGACCGTTGCTATGATTCACTTCAAACCTTTTCCATCGTCGACATCGCTGGCCTCGATCCAAATCCTCCCACCCTTTCAACTCTCTTCCAAAGTTTGCTGTCGACATGGCTTCTGACCCATCATCTACAGGTCTCACCACCCGTTCAACGGCAGCCGACGCTCTTCCCCTCCTGGAGGAGCATCGGAATCACCCAAAACACAATAAATTCGCTATAAATTAGACCACAGCTCCAGCTCAAATCTTCTATATAGCTCTTCGGCCAAATAACTCAATCGCCATGGCTCCTCACGCGGAAGTCGGCGTCGGCTCCATGAACGGGTACAGCACTCACGAGGCAACCTCATCGCCCAAGGATCTTTTCACCGTCGAGTCCCCCAGCGTTACTTACACTGACGACCAAATCAAGAGCAAGTATGTCTATCGCACCACGGCCGTCACCAAGAATCAGGACGGCAAGTACACGGCCTTGCCCAAGGAAACCGTCTACGACTTCAAGGTCGACCGTAAAGTCCCCAAGACCGGTGTGATGTTGGTCGGATGGGGTGGCAACAACGGCTCCACCGTCACTGCAGGAATCATCGCCAACCGCCGTGGTCTCGTCTGGGACACACGCGAAGGCCCTCGTGCTGCCAACTACTACGGTTCCGTCATGATGGGATCGACCATGAAATTAGGAACCGATTACAAGACTGGCGAAGAGATCAACATTCCCTTTCACAACGTCTTGCCCATGGTTCACCCCAACGACCTCGTCGTCGGTGGTTGGGACATCAGCAGCATGAACATTGCCGCAGCCATGGACCGTGCTCAGGTTCTGGAACCGACCTTGAAGGCTCAGGTGTACAAGGAGATGGCTCTCATGAAGCCCTTGCCAAGTATCTACTACCCAGACTTCATCGCCGCCAATCAGGAAGATCGTGCGGACAATGTTATACCGGGCCAGAAGGCATGCATGGCTCATGTTGAGCAGATCAGAAAGGACATGAGGTAGGCCACTGTCGCTTCCCTGACATTTCCGCTGTGCAACAACGCCATGCCGAGTAACCGCTAACACTTTTCCTCCAGCGATTTCAAGACCCAGAACAATCTCGATAAGGTCATCGTTCTCTGGACCGCCAACACCGAACGGTATGCGGATATCATCCCCGGCGTCAACGATACTGCCGAGAACCTATTGAAAGCCATCGAGCAAGGCCATGAAGAGGTCTCACCATCCACCGTCTTCGCCGTGGCTTGCATTCTCGACAAGGTTCCCTTCATCAACGGCTCTCCCCAGAACACCTTTGTGCCTGGCGCTGTCCAGCTTGCTGAGCAGCACGGTGCGTTCATTGGAGGCGATGACTTCAAGTCCGGCCAAACCAAGATGAAGTCCGCACTGGTCGACTTTCTGATCAACGCTGGCATCAAACTCACCTCGATCGCAAGCTACAACCATCTCGGCAACAACGACGGCAAGAACCTGTCTTCGCAGAAGCAGTTCCGCTCGAAAGAGATCTCCAAGAGCAACGTCGTGGACGACATGGTCGCCGCTAACTCCGTCTTGTACAAGAAGGACGAGCACCCGGACCACTGCGTCGTGATCAAGTACATGCCTGCCGTGGGCGACAACAAGCGTGCCCTGGACGAGTATTACGCCGAGATTTTCCTCGGTGGCCACCAGACCATTAGCATCTTCAATGTCTGCGAGGACTCCTTACTCGCGTCGCCATTGATCATTGATCTGGTGATTGTCGCCGAGATGATGACGCGTATCTCGTGGAAGACCGAGACCGTGGACGAGTACAAGGGTTTCCACAGCGTGTTGAGCATTTTGAGCTATATGCTCAAGGTAAGACCAAACCTCCCCAGTTCGGGAAGTACAAGACAATGCTAAAACATGATTCTTTCGTAGGCACCACTCACGCCTCCCGGCACCCCTGTCGTCAATGCCCTCGCCAAGCAGCGCAGTGCTTTGACCAACATCTTCCGTGCCTGCGTCGGTCTGCAGCCCGAGTCCGATATGACTCTGGAGCACAAGCTGTTCTAGTGGTCCGGTGCCCGTTGTTTTGTCAAGACGGCAAGAGAGAGAGAGTCAAAACTTTCGGCAGTCATTGGTGATCCTTTTTCGGGATTGACTTTTCGAGATTTCGATTGTGAAAATGGGGGTGGCTAGACTGCTTGCTGCTTTGATCTTCTTTTCTTGCATTGCGACCGGCGAACATCCAGACACCTTGCCTCCTAGATTGCACAGATATTGTTCTTTTGATTTTTTGTGGTTTGATGACAAACTCTAGTCACTCCTTTTGCAGAGATAGTTAGGAAGTACATTTAGGCCTCAGTAACAAGAGATATATGGGCTTCTATCATTGTTCAATTGTTCACTGGTCGCCCTCAGTCACGTATCGCGTACTAAAAGGAGCACGTCCATCTCCTCGCCGTCGAAGTCTCGCTTCGGGGTGTGTAAAAGTCCACGCAACCAAGGACGAAAGTGAAGGAGCCTAACGCAGAGTTGTATGAGGGAAGACGTCAAGCTTGCACGAGTGAATGACTTCTAAGTCCTGTTCTTCGATTCAGCATTTACAAACGCATAGGGCCAGGTCTGAAATCCACAACTGATAGACACCATGATGCTGGCGATCATGTGCTCATGCTGATGAGACGTTACTAGGGACAAAGTCTGTGCAGAGGGTGGACAAGGGTGACTTCGCTTCACACACTGCGAAATACTGCAAAGCACACGTTGCCCAAGCATGAAGAGCTCGCCTGGAGTACGCGTACCGGTACGTCCAAGACAATATTGTCGGAGATGCTGTAGGGATAAAGCAGACAACTGACGAAATTCCAAATCAGCCGAGACTGACCAAACAAGAGCTCCACAACCGACCGCCCTGGATCACGACTCATCTAACTTTTGTAATTAAGCAACTCTTCCACTCTACCACCGCTCTGACCGTCACAATACTTAATGGTCTGGCAGCTCATGCGCAGGCACCGGCCTCGTTCCGTCGGTCCCGAGCTCGGAGTAGTGGTAAAGTTGCCGGTCCGGAGGTTGTTGCAAATGTTGTTGCTGATGATACGCGTAAGGCTTGGTCTCGACATCCGCGGAATTACTTGGCTCCACCTTCGATCCGCCATTCCGCTTATTGCCAAAGCTGCGTGCGAAAAACCAGCCAAGACCGAGGAGGAGGGCAGCGCCGGCGATGGCACCAACGGCGAGCCGGCTTTCGAGCCAGTGGACAGGCCGCCAGATGAGGAGACGGCAGGAATTTGGGAGGTCGTGGGCGTAGCTGTGCAGGTGGCTGTTACCGAGGTGGATGTTTGCGTCAAGGAAGGTTCAGTGCTTGAGGTAGAGGCAGCGGACGTCATGCTCGAGGTGCTGCTGCTGGAGCTGCCGGACGTCGTAGCAGCGGACTCGGTCAGGTTTTGGAGAAAAAATCCCGGGCTAGAGACCTGCTCTGAGATGTCGGAGTAGTCGACGTCCTGCGGCAGCCAGCGGAAAACCCATTGATCAGTGCCCAGAAAGATCCTCTGCCGGGACGTCCACCCTCCAAGAAATGGAATCGATTGAGCCTAGGTTTTGTCGGGCTGAGGTAGAAAGGCTCGTCAACTTCCGCAGCCGACCAGACGGTCAACAACATACCGGCAATGCGATGGGAATACACATGTAAATTGTAGTCAGTGATCCATAGATCGACGCTGCTGACGTCCACGTCGGGTACGTACGAGGGGAAGGAGTCTACAAGGCTCGACTCCCAAGTAACCGTATAGAGCTCTCCGATCGTGAGGGTGGCCGTGAAGTCAGGGGCAGCCGGTGCAACCCAGTCATCTTGGACTGTTTGTGCCCATGTCAACGCCGCAAAGAATAAGAAGACGGTTTGAAGCTCAACATGAAGCAATTTCATGGCGAGTCAGCCAGATACATACGAACATTTGGAGGAGACGCAACACAAAGGTCCATGGCGCGAGGCGGTAGATAAAGCTCCATTCTCCGATTCAAGACGAGCAGAGTACTGTGCTACCTACTGCAGGTTGGGGCGTCGAAGTGCATTGGGCTGACCAGGCTCCCTTGATTAGCGCCGTGGTTCAGCAATCAGTCAGGCGAAACTCGAATATGGCGGTCCCAGGGGGTTAGGCTCGATCACACTTCTGGCCTTCTCGCTGTCCGACTCACCAAGCGAAGCCCCATCTCTCGTTGGAGCTGCTCCAATGTCTTGGTGATATGGGTGATTCACAGATGAGAACTGCGAAGATGACCGAAAGCAGAGCGGGATGCTAGACCAGTCTCACCGTGAATATTCCTGCGAGTATGTTACTATGGCAGCAACTTGAATCTCAGGCTGTTTTCGGAATCGTATTGGTCACGTGCGGGGACCAGCTACAAATTGGTGGCGCGGTTCAACAATTGAACGACCCTCCCTTTCGTTCTATTCTTATTTGTCTCTGTATCACCTTGTCAGGCATATCGCTTGACCCTGCAGATTCCAAGCACTGGCGTTGCAGCAAACCAGGTTGGCCCTCAGCTTTCAACACTGCGGTATTTCCACATCCTTGCCCTTCGTCCCTCTGGACAGGTTCTCCCTTGCTTCACTTTATGATTTTGGTCTGCTTTGGTTTTACGTATATGCCTCTGTCCTGTTACTGCAGAACAAGTCCTCTCATGATCGTCGGAAAATGGTCGTCCTACCAACACGGCGAGTGTTGATCGTCGTCGCCCTTACAGCCACGACATTGATCCTTCTATATCAGCTACATGATAGCGCTATACCCCTCTGGCGAAACACCGTTCCTCCAGGTGCAAGCAACCGCAGATGACATCTGCTCTTCAGAAGCCAGAAATAGACGTGACCAATTCGTTCTGGAAGAGCCGCCCAACGCATTATCCCCTCGATAACCTCACCCCTGTGCCCACCAGCAAGCCCAAGCAGCTGCCGCCGATACAGCATTCGTTCTCGTCCGAATCTACTCAGGATGCGCATTGCGCCTGAGCCGACAGCAACAGGTCAAAGAGGCGTTTAAGAGATGCTGGCGCTCTTACCGAGAACGAGCGTGGTTGCGCGACGAGCTAGCACCCGTATCGGGCGGGGGCAGTGATACTTTTGGTGGCTGGGCTGCTTCTCTGGTAGATGCGCTTGATACACTCTGGATTATGGATTTGAAAGACGACATCATGGAGGCGGTGGCGGCAGCGGTCGATATCGATTTTTCGACTTCAACCGATCCCACAATCAATATCTTTGAGACCACGATCCGCTATCTTGGTAGATTCTTGGCTGCTTACGATCTGAGCGGCGACAGGAGACTGTTGACCAAGGCTGTTGAAGTCGGTGAGATGCTGCTCGTTGCTTTCGATACGCCCAACCACATGCCCATCACGAGATGGGACTGGAAGAAGGCCGCTGCTGGTGCTGAGAAGCAAGTCGCACCCGACTTCATGCTTGTTTCCGAGCTTGGTTCATTGTCTTTGGAGTTTACACGCCTCAGTCAACTGACTGATGACTCGAGATGGTACGATGCCGTTGATAGAATTACAAGACTCTTCGATCAGCAACAAGCACAGACAAAGCTCCCTGGACTCTGGCCAGTTGTTGTCAATCCCAAGGACCAAGATATGACATCGGATCGCAGCTTCACCTTGGGTGGGATGTCCGATTCACTGTATGAATACTTTGCTAAAGAATATGCTCCCCTCGGCGGCCTTGCACCCCTTTATGAAAACCTCTATGAGCAGTCGATGGCGGCTTCAATTCAGCACTTGTTGTTCCGGCCAATGACACCCTCGAATGCAGACGTCCTCTTTGGTGGAGACGCTCGAGCAGATGACCATGGTGTCGTTCAAGAACCAAGGGCTCAACATCTGACATGTTTTGCTGGTGGCATGTTTGCCTTGGGCGGTCGTCTGTTTTCCAATGACGAGCACGTCGCCATCGGCCAAAGGCTTACGGATGGTTGTATCTGGGCGTACGAAAACATGCCTGTGGGCGTCATGCCTGAAATTGCTCACTTCGCGCCCTGTCCGGCGAAGGATCGGTGTGTCTGGGATACAGCAACATATGATGCTGCCATTCTTGAGCGTGCCGGATCCGCTTCGGCAAACAGCAACATCGACGAAATTGTCCTCCTCCAGAAGCGCCTTCCTCCGGGCTTCACCGACATTGATGATCGTCGCTATATCCTCCGACCTGAAGCCATTGAAAGTGTCTTTATCATGTACCGAGTCACGGGCAACAAAACCTATCCAGAGAAGGCCTGGCAAATGTTCCAGTCGATTCAGAATATCACCAGGACCGAGTTCGCCAACGCTGCCCTCTCTGAGATTACTGCTACCGGCATTGACGGCTGGCCTCCTAAGGATGACCGGATGGAGAGCTTCTGGCTGGCAGAAACGCTGAAGTATTTCTATCTGATTTTCAGCGAACCAAGCCTGATCAGTCTCGACGAATATGTGCTCAACACGGAGGCGCATCCTCTAAGACGGCCAACCTGAGATGGACTCCTCATCAAGGACTGCATTCTGAAGCTTTTCGATTCTGGCAAATGAAACTTTCAATTGGAAATCGGCAGTCACGTCTCCAGATGTCCTGTCTCCTTGAATGAATGAGGCAGTCAGTGATCTGTAAGTTGCGCCTCCGTCTGAAGTCATGATGGTCTTCGGCAGCAGGTCGACCAATGACATTTACTTATCCATCCACAAGAAGGTGTACATGTCTGAAGGCCTTGAAATGGACTCAGGAACGTCTGGCCTCTTGTGACAGATATTTACCTTGCGCTGCAACTGTTTTACTAGCAGCACGACTTAGTCCACGCCCTCGAAAACATTTCCGTCTCGCATGTCTAGATGTAGTGGCTCGTCTAAAGTTGTGTCACTGCTCTGGGAAACCAATCTGGCATGAGATGAGAGCTCGCATCCCCCACTATTACCCTCAGGCTCTGCGCAAACGCAACTGCACCCAGGGATCACAGTAAGAAGGCCTTCTGCATTCAGCGGACCACAGTGGAGGATTCTACGACTTGTCTAGAGGGAGCACGCAAGACATGAAGCCAAGTGTTCGGTTAGCTCAATTACAGTGATGGGGTTAACGTCTCTGATCTCACTTGGCTCAGCCCCTGACCCGAAGAGCTCCTAGCTTGACGATGTCCGGCAAGCATATGCCTCGTATGGAAGTGAGCATATGGCAGGGAAACTAGCCACTGTGTCTTCTTGTATGACGCAGAGAGCTTTAATTGAAGCATATGTAGAGAGCTACAAGCTTATGCAGCAGGGCCATCAGAAATGACCGCATCTGTAGGCTAGGCTTCCTTAAGATAGTCTGATAGAAGCCCTCCGTGGCCCTCTTGGTGAGCATAGAATCATGTCCACGTGACTCTCGGATATCATTTCTCCGCATTCGCTAGAACTTCGGCAGCATTTTCTCTTTTCCGCAAAAAAGTTGAGTTCAAGACTTCTACTTCGACCGAATTAACAAACATCCAGTAATTGGGCATCTTCAATTCATTCGCCAGCGAGCTCATAGCCTGCCATCCTGAATCATGGCGGCGAGCACAGGCGACACTAACAATGCACAAGTGCGCGTCAGGCTCACAACGAGAGACACGAATCTTAGCCTCGAAGAGAGTGCACCGATCCTGATTCCTACATACTTCCGTCGCTACACCCTCTCCACACTTGTCAACAACCTGCTCAAGACCGAAAGAGCAGTTCCTCTCGAGTTCATTATCAATGGGACTTATCTTCGGACCACACTTGAGGAATACCTCACAAACAATGGCATCTCTACTGAAACGACGCTCACCGTTGAATATGTTCGAGCGCGGATACCACCTCAATACGTCGCCTCCTTCGAACACGATGACTGGGTCAGCGATGTTGACGTCCTACCCGGAAACTCTCCCAGAATTCTGTCTGCGAGTTACGATGGGCTATTAAGAGTATGGAATACGTCTTCACAAGTCCTGGCAAGCTCACCAGGTATGTCGCAAGGGGGACATGGGTCATTCGTAAAGTCTGCCAAATTCGCATCGGCAAACCAAATCGTGTCGGGAGGGTTCGATAGGACGTTGAGGTTGTGGAAATACACGGAGGAACAAGATGGATTCTCGGCCAACATTGCACCCCAAGTTGAACTGTATGGCCACAAGGCCTCTGTTGACTCTGTCTGTCCGCATGCTGCCTCAGGACGTATCTTATCCGGCTCCTCGGATCATTCGGTGGGAATCTGGTCTACACGAAAATCGGATGCGCCTGCCGCACCAGAAGCCCTCGTCCCTCGCTCAAAGACCAAGGACGGCAAGAGGAGGAAGTTGAACTCTGAGGTGTCCGTAACGCAGAGGGGACCTCTGGCGCTGATGCAACAACATACTGGGCAGGTCTCGGGTGCCATCTTTGACAGCAATGACCCTACAGTTGGGTACTCCACTTCTTGGGATCAAACGGTACGCACATGGGACTTGGTCACTGCGTCCCTGGTCGATACGAGAACGACGTCTAGTGCACTCTTTTGTGTAGAGCAAATGCCGTCACTGCATCTGATTGCAGCCGGCTCCGTCAGCCGTGTCATCAAGATGGTGGATCCACGAGTATCCGCGGCCACGGTGACCGCCATGACATTAAAGGGCCACAAGAACTCTGTTGCAAGCCTTGCGCAAGACCCGAGCAACGAGTACACAATCGTCAGCGGTAGCCATGACGGCACTTGCAGGGTCTGGGATGTCCGAAGCGCACGGCAAGAGAAAGAAGGGGCCGTCGCGTCAAGTATCTACACTCTGCCCAGAGCTGGCTCCAAGAATGGCACTGCTTCAGCTGTTGGAGATGGTGTCAAAGTGTTCGCAGTCTGCTGGGACAAGGACGTGGGCATTCTCAGCGCGGGGGAGGACAAAACGGTCCAGATTAACCGAAGTGACAACCAGACTTGAAAATGCACAGTGACAAGAGCTGATGAAGGCCATATTCTTTCATCATTGAGGAGGTCGACTCTTGTCAAATGCTGGCTCTTGCGGAGTATTCCTAGCTAGCGCAAGCTACCCGCGCACAGCATTGATGTCCACGGCGGCAACAGAATACCCGACTGGTTGCAATGTCCGGTCAAAGAAGGTGGCACTAGGGAGCTATCCATTCGGAGGCTGGTTAGTAGTCACTGCGGACTTTTGAGTCGGAGAAGGGCAGGCAAGAGCATCATGATGCACTTGATTCTTCAGAGCACTAGGCAGGAAAAAGCGAAAGCATTAACCGCAAGGATTGGCTGGGGTAGGACGAAGTGTCAACACGTGCATCAGGAACAGATGACACCATGGCGAGCATCTTGGGGTGCCCGGAGATGAGAAGAGGCCGAAAGTGGCAGGTTCAGGTGCTACTGCCGCCAGGGAGGCCAGGGGGGAGCAGCAGGGAGAGTCAAGGAATACGGAGATGGAGACGGACCAAGTCTAGCGGCGTAGGCCGTGGATTTGCACGAGCGAGAACATGCTGAGTTACTACGTAGTAGTCATTGCAGGCGTGGTGTGAGTGTCTGTGTCCAGGTATTGATCAGACACTGCTTGTAATCTGTAACTCTCGCAAAGAGAAAAGAGAGAGAAGTGGCCAGGACTCCGTACGGAGGACTGTGAATGAAAATGTTGTTGAACTGCTTAACGTAGTTAGCCTGCCTTCGCCTGTCACTGGATAATTCGGTGAATAAGAGACCCAGTAGGAGTAGCGCCCAGTACCTTGTTCGCGGTGGCTGATCGGCTTCGGCTCGATGGGGCCTAAGGGGGTCGCCCGTAAACAATAATCCCTGATCCCCCGACCGTGTCTTAGTTAAAGTCAAGAGAGGGCGAGAGGGGAACCACAGGGGACCTCTCATCAGGGCGCAGGCACCCAGTAGGCACCTTGAATAGCGCCGCTAATGCACGTCGATGTGGTCGATTCACCACAAAAACTTCGCTCCCTCGCCTGCCTGCGTCTTGCGTGTCTTGTCCCTTCTACTCGGATCTCCAACAGCCTGCCATCTTTCTCAACACCTTTCGTCACTTCATTTCATTGATTTATTGTTTCTTTCTTACACTCGCTATATAAAAACATCGTTGACGTTTCAAGCATTGTAACTGGTCCTGTCAATCTCCACCGTTTTCACGATCCCAACGGCGTCGAGTCACTGCATCCACTTCCGCGGTCGACCAAATCTCTCGCTTGTAGCCAAAATAAACCTGCCATCACAGTCTGACATCAACGCTTGGTCCAGCCACGACTATCAGAAGACTCTCTATCGCTCCAACTCAGTGGCCCGAGTGTATAGGGCGTGTATCTCAGTTGCTGCGGCCAGGAGTTGTCGAGACTGTGTAAGGATCATAGATTGGTCTTTTTGTTATGGGGTTTGCTGCTGATCACATCTTATGCAGGTTGCCGTACGCGATCCAACTCCTTTCCATGGTCTTGTCCTAGTCTCGACTTGCATACCCATCCCTTCTTGCTCTTTGGTCACGGTCCTGAACCGTTGACCGTACAGTCAGCCAGACACCGAGCTCTCCTTGCCCTGCTGCCCCGGTCGGGTACCTGCGACCGGTCGAAACCACCTTCATGCCAATCAAACTGCCAAAGGGTTTCCAAAGAAGAAAATCCTCTGCAAATGCCTTGGACGAGGTGCAAAATCCTCCGGGAGCTTCATCTTCCTTCAGAGTCTTGGACAGGCCAGCGAGTAAAGGAAAGTCTTTCGATGGGGGTGTGTCGTTGAGGACGGGCGGGTCTCCCGTCCCAAGGCCTCCTCCGAAAGATCAATTTGGCGACGAGGAGGGCGAAATGTTTGCAAGTGGACGTCTCGATGCAGGTAACCGGTAGGCGGAACCATGACCAATTTCAGGAACTGGAATACTGACCGTGTCCAGTGGGAGCGCCGGTACTGAACACTCGCATTCGACTGCACAAAACGACAGTGCTGCATCCTCTGCACGCCTGAGCACTTCTTCGACAAATCCATCTTCCGTCGACACGCGTTCAGAGAAGAATATACAAGCCCCTGGATCGGGACCCTTCAATGACATTCCTGTGCCGCCTCCTTCATCGGCACGGCATGGGTTCCTACGGAGTCCACCCCGTGCCCTTTCTTTCGGCGTCAACAAGGGCAGCCGATCATCGCCAACCTCATCACCTAGCGGCCTACCCCCGCAGACTGATAAAACTAGGAGCAGGGCTGTTACGACGAGCACAGCAAGCACTGTTACGCCCCCACGGTTGTTCGATTCCGACCTTGCATTGGAGAACTCCGAACTAGATGGCTTCGGGAACATGTTCGACCATATTGGGTCAAGCCCGGCCCCGGTTCGGCTTATCCAGCAAGAGGTAGGAATTTTGTGCAAATAAACTTAGCCCAAGTATCGTGCTGACAAAGTCCAGGAACCCACTTCCTCTCCGACAAGCTATCCTCCTACCAGCTACTCCGGTGCAGCTCCTGTCCGCATGAGTCGAGCACCGGCTCCGCGACCCATTTTCACCGATCGCTCACAAATAGTCGAGTCCTCCCCTTACTCGTGGACTTCGAAAACCTCCCACGATGGCCTGATCCGCTCACCCAGTCCCTCCAGGACCATCACCCAGGGCAGCCCGGTTAAAAAGCGGGAGCCAGTTGCGCAGAGCCCTCAGAAACAATTGCCACATACTAGAATGCCCTCTAGAAGAGCAGTTGGCCAAAGATCACCTTCGCAAGATCAGGGCATTGGGTCTCCGCCACCACTCCTGCAGGCGAAGTCAACAGACAGCAGTAGCAATCTTCTATCTTCTAGTCCGACCACAATCTCGGCTGAAAAGATGGAGGGAGGCCTATCCCCGAGTTCGACGCACAGCGCAACCTTTGATCCGTCCATTGCGGCTGATGCTCAACTTGCCCACATGTATCAAGAAACCCCGGCTGCACCTCCGAAACCAGTCTTCACAAACAAAGTCATGACTCCGGCACAATGGGAACGCTATAAGCAGCAGAAAGAGATGGACCGCAGACTGGGTGCTCTATCAGACGATAGCAGTTCGAATGCCGATGACGACGACGATGAGGATGAGATGGAACGTGACCGTCAGGCGACCAAACAGCGGCGGAAGCAAGAGGCTCACCTCGCTGTTTACCGGCAGCAAATGATGAAGGTCACTGGTGAAAAGACCCAATCTCGACCCGAAAGTAGTCTCAGCATCTCGCGGCCTGGCAATGGGAGCTCCACCGAGCTCAACAACCGACTTTCGAGTATGACCCTGGACCCAAATCAAGCTGGCGGAGATGATGTAGACGAGGATGAAGATGTTCCCCTCGGGATCCTGGCCGCGCATGGGTTTCCCAACAAGAACCGACCACCTACACGATTGGCAACTTCGCCGTCAAATTCAAATCTTCGCAGCATCAGCCACGCTCAAACGGCCCCTTCGGTGGTCAGCCAAGCTCCAGTTGTAAGCCAACCTCCGAAAGGCGGTAACCTGCCTCCATTTGCTCGACATCTTCCCCAAGATCCATACTACGGAGCTAGCCTCGTCAATCCGTCAAATCGGGAATCTCTGTCCATTCATGCAGCTAGTCCGCCCCAGGGTACTGGATCTTCGACTGCTCATCCAATTCATCCCGCTGGACTTGTTGGCGTCATTGCAGGCGAAGAAAGAGCTCGTGCTGCGAGGAGAGGAAGTCCAAACCCGTCTGGAAACTATGATGTGCCTGGCATGCCTCCACATCCAGCAATGGTCAGATCGCAGACCACCGGGACGATGCCTGGTATGGGTTACCCTCCAACGGGAATGCCAGGAATGCCTCCATTACTGACCCCAGGTGATCAAGCTCAAATTCAGATGTCACAGCAAATGAATCAAATGATGCAGATGCAGATGCAGTGGATGCAACAGATGCAGCAGATGATGGGAAGCCAGTTCAATCCAAATCAGGCTATGCCTCCTCAATTTGCACCACCACGGCCACAATCAATGCACATGCAGAATCGACCGGCTTCTCAAGGAGGACAGAGGACTATGAGTGTGCTCAACCCTAGCATGGCGCCGTGGAACACCAACCAACCATTCGTCCCTTCAATCCACCTCAACGCCGACTACGCACCTTCGATAGCACCTTCGGAGCGAAGCAATATTGGGCTTGCCTCTAGGTACCGGCCAGTCTCGATTGCACCGGAGCCTGAAACGACTTCTAGCAAGCGCGCTTCCACATTCACATCTTCAAGTTTTCAACCGTGGGGTCGAAACCACAACAGCCCTCCGGTGCCGATGCATGCTGCCAGACCCTCCGCCAATATTCAGGGTAGGAAGTCCCCTCTGGCGGCCCAGGACGATGAGGACGACGAGCAGGGTTGGGCTGAGATGAAGATGAAGAAAGATAAGAAGCAAAAGACTTGGGCAGTCCGTAAGGGACAGAACACTTTGCAGGAATTGTACAACACCGCATCATAGTATGATGCATCACAACAACTAAGTGCCGTTTTCGAGTAATTTGAGGATCAGCAGTCTTCTACAACTCCACAGATGAGGAGATTTTTGGAAACTTCACAGGACCGACGACCGTCGGAATCTTCTCAGAATCAGCATCCTCCAAGCAAGTAATGAGCGGCATCTTTTGGTTATTCGGTTCGGACAAAGCGATAGCATGAAGGATGGATTGGCAAAAGTTTTTGAGTAATTGGTATAGGATGAGGGACGTGTAACCCTCTTGGTTATATAGAAGGCGGTTGGACTTCTAAGATACATACTATTCACAAGATCAGGATAATTAATACGTTGGCCTCGAAGACTGGAAAGACATTCAAGACCTGGAGGGGACTTTTCCACTCATCAAGTTGTCCTGCATATCAAATGCCAAGACTTTATGTAGCGTACTCCATAGGTATCTTGGTGTGCCACCTCGGATGAAAAATGGTGGAGGCGGAATGTGGCTGATGATGTATCGCCAGTGCAACCTGGCCTCAGACGGCTGAACGAAAGATCTAATCCAGTGTCAAGAAAGGGACAAACGCAGCTGTTTTATTGCGGTATCTATCTGGCTGCCTCCGCTCATTTCGACAAACGGGAACTGTCTTTGAGAAACTGTCGCCTTCTCTATCAAACCAAATATTCTTTCTTTCCAAACCAGTACACCGTAATCTGATATCTCACGTGGTTTTCGAAGTCAGATCGACAAACGGACACATTGGAATGCATTCATAGAACAGACTTAGAGAACCGGTAAGTCTCATTCATCATGGTGTCAGTCCCTTTGAATGTTTACGAGTGTCATTCTTTGGCCAGTCGTCCTGGCGACTGACACCAATCCCTTGAGAAATACGCAACTGCCCCTCACGATCCGCTGCGATGAGGCTGACGGCCCTTGTCATCTCAATCGTCGCTGGCTTCCTGGCTGTTCTGCTAGCTGCAGGACACTTGAATGCGTTGTTGTTGCATGGACAAGCACCTAACACTGACTTGAACCTATCTCCAGAGTTGCGAGTCGCGAAGCAAGTTAAAGAAGCGCTCTCCCACTTTCCATTCATTTCCAAAATGGTGCCAGCCAGGGCCAGCCCTCGCTTCCGCCTGCTTCAGAAGATCGAGCCTGACTACTGTCCGAGCAAGATCACCCAGTATGAATCAGAGCGTACCGGCATGAGAGTGGTCGTGGTGGACCAGGAAGGGCCTAAATTGCATGGCTTCTTCGTCTTGGCGACCGAGATCCATGATGATTCTGGAGCACCTCACACGCTAGAACATCTGTGCTTCATGGGCTCAAAGAGTTACAAGTACAAAGGGTTCTTGGACAAATTGGCCACTCGAGCGTATGCCGGCACCAATGCGTGGACGGCCACCGACCACACCGCGTACACTCTTGAAACGGCGGGTTGGGCCGGATTCGCACAAATCCTGCCCGTGTATCTTGAACACGTCATCCTCCCAACACTGACAGACGCGGGCTGCACGACAGAAGTGCACCATATCGACGGCAATGGCAATGACGCAGGCGTCGTCTACTCGGAAATGCAGGGTGTACAGAATACCGCCTCGGAATTGATTGAACTGCGGTCGAAGAGGATTGTGTACCCTGAAGGAGTGGGTTTTCGCTATGAGACTGGAGGTATGATGGAACAGCTTCGTGTTCTTACGGCTGAGCGGATACGAGAATTCCATCGCGATATGTACCAGCCTCGGAATCTATGCCTGGCACTGTTCGGTGAGATCGATCACCAGGAGCTCCTGGCCATCTTGGATGAATTCGAGACTTCCATCATGTCCGACATTCCAAGCCCAGACGCTCCTTTCAAACGACCCTGGATCGAGTCCAAGCACGCGCCTGCCTTGACAGAGTCTACGATGGCACGTGTTGAATTTCCCGAGGAGGATGAGTCCTACGGAGAGATTGATATTCGTTTCCTGGGCCCGGATTGTTCGGACCTGGTCTCTTCATCAGCGCTCAATGTGGCGCTTCTGTACCTCGCTGGCTCGTCAGCCGCGGTGCTCGACAACACGCTTGTGGAGAAAGAACACTTGGCAAGTGGTGTATACTACCAGGTCGACAGCCGGCCTCGCACGGAGATTGCATTCTCCATGTCCGGCGTCGAGACCAAACGTCTGCAACATGTGGAGAAAAGATTCTTCGAGGTCCTGGCAGAGGCTATGCAGTCACCCTTGGACATGAATTTCATGCAGGACTGCATCGATCGACAAGTGAGGACTTACAAGTTCAACGCCGAGGCTTCACCAACAGCATTTGCCGACTACATTATCTCGGACTACCTCTACGGCAAGCGGGATGGTTCGACACTCGACATGATCAAGTCATTGGAGCATTTTACGAAGACGTTGACAAGTTGGAGCGAGCAGCAGTGGAAGGATTTCATCAAGCGGTACATTTCTGACGCTCCTCATGTTTCCATCCTCGGTGTCCCATCAGCACGACTGTCTGACCAACTGAAGACCGACGAAGCCTGCCGGATTGAGGAGCAGAAGAAGAGACTGGGTCCAGACGGCCTGAAGAAGATGCAGGAGAAACTCGACGCTGCCAAAGCCGAGAATGACCGGGAAATCCCACGAGAACTCCTGGGACAGTTTAAAGTACCCCCGACTGAGTCGATCCATTTTGTTACGACCTCTGGTGCTCGCGCGGGGTTGGCACTTGAAGTCGGCAAGCCACATAACAAGTACCAGAAAATCATTGATGCTGATGCTGGGGATGTGCCCTTGTTCCTTGACTTTGAACATATTCCGACCAACTTCGCCCGGGTCAACTTGATCATCTCCACCGAGACGCTTCCCGACGAACTCAGGCCGCTGTTATCAATCTACATGGAAGCCTTCTTCAACTTGCCTCTCAAACGTGGTGACAAGGTCATTGATTTCGAACAAGTCGTGATCGAGCTCGAGCGGGACACGGTCGGCTACAACATCGACTCGGCGGGCAGCCTGGGCAACAACGAAGGCATACGAGTCAGTTTCCAAGTCGAGATCGAACGGTACGAAGTCGCAATCAAATGGCTGACCGAGCTGCTGTACAACTCCGTGTTCGACTGGGAGCGGCTGAAGGCCATCAACACGCGTCTTCTGGCCGATGTGCCCGACGCAAAGCGTAGCGGCGACGATATGATGGTCGCTGTGCGGCTTATGACCCACCTCGCGCCGAAATCAATAGGTCGTGCGCGGAGCACGCTCGTCAAGGCTTTGTACTTGAAACGCATCAAGCAATTGCTAGCTGTCGATCCGACTGAAGTTGTGGACCAGCTCGAGCGGTTGCGCGAGCATATGTGTCGCTTTGAAAATTACCGCCTTCTGGTGATCACTGATCTGGACAAGGTGCAAGAGCCGGTGAGCGCGTGGAAGCCATTCCTCGAGGGCATGCAGACCAAGACCAAGACAGAGCTCAAGCTCAATCCGATCGGGAAGCGAATCGATCGACTGAGCGAGGCGGGCAGGAACCCTGGACAGTTGGCCTACGTCGTGCCGATGCCGACAATCGACAGCTCGTTCGCATATGCGGCAGCGAGGGGCCCCACGTCTTGGGACGATCCAGCAATGCCGGCTGTCATGGTCGCCATGGCGTATATGAATGCCGTCGAGGGGCCCTTGTGGGTGGCTGTCCGAGGGACGGGCCTCGCGTACGGCACCAACATGGGCTACGATATCGATAGTGGGTATGTGCATCTGGATGTGTACCGGTCGCCGGACGCGTGGAAGGCGTTCGAGGCGAGTCGAGAGGTTGTGCGCGGCCATATGGATGGGAGGATTGAATTTGATCCGCTGATGCTGGAGGGCGCGATCAGTAGTATCGTCGTGGCATTCGCCAATGAGCAGCAGACGTTGGCCAGTGCGGCGGCGGCGAGCTTTATCCGCGCGGTCATGAAAGGCCTGCCGGAGGATCATATGGAGACGTTGTTGAAGAAGGTTCGGGACGTGGGCGTGGAGGACATCAAGAAGGCTTTGAGGGGTGTGGTGTGGAATATGTTCACCCCAGGACGCGCGGATGTCTTTGTTACGTGTGCGACGGGGTTGAAGGAGGTAAGTCGTCTCTCTCTCTCGGGATTGGAGAGGAAAATGGGGGTGATGTGCTAATGAGTGTTTTGATACAGGCTATTTCGGATGGGTTGAAGGGAGCCGGGTTCAAGCCCGAGATCCGGGATTTGACTTACTTCCAGGATGATTATGGGTTGAAAGCTGTCGATGGTGAGGACGGGGAAGAGGAGGATGTCGAGGTTGAGAGTGATGGAGAGGGAGAGTCGATTGATATCGAGGGCAGTGAGGGCTATGAGATGATCGAGGGCGACGACGACGATGATGCCTGAGGGGAATAGATTCGGAAAGAACCACTTGATATTGGCAGCGAGGTCAACCCTGGCTAGATGGTAGATTTCGGGTCAGTCGAAGCATGGAAGAAAAAGATAGTTGAAGCTCTCCAGCAGTTCAAGACGTATGAATGTTGAATGTGAAATGACCAAGAAACTTGAATGACTGAATGCCTCATTTCTTGGACCAAAAGATAAGTAAGGTAACCACCCTGTCATATAGTCGCCAGGTTGCAGCGCTGTACAGTCTCCTCGCACACTGCTCGGTCAGCTCTGAGTATCATTTCCATCCATGCTGCTCCGGGTGGTGACTTTGCAGAAGATGAAGTCCCTGGAGGGCGTTCGCTCTCGTCAACAGTTCCCCTAAAATTGTAGCCAGGGTCGTCAAGTTGATCCCCCTTGTTTCCATAGCTCCATCAAGCGGCTGGCACACCAAGGCGTTGCGGCCCGTGCTTGTGGAATCGCCTGTCTTCAGCGCACGCGTCTTCGGTTGTGGCAAAGTTTTTCATGCGTTCAACTGTCGGCACGAGCCCATTGGGATCCTTTCTGTTGTTGACGGCTCCCACCTCGATGAGTTCGCGAATCAGGGCTTGAAAATGATAGCCATATCGGTACTTGATCCAGACGTACGCACGTGTGTTAGCGAGCATCCATACAAACTCGAGAACGGTGCCGTAAGGACCTGTAGCGTTGACGTCCGCTCCCTCCGCAATCAGTAGATTGAACACATCATTGTTATAGTGATGACTATAAGCCATATCAGCAACATTGTCGAAATAGCTATGCAACACTGTTCCGAATGGGCCGCACTGCTCGTTGATGTTCTCTCCCCGCGATATGAGAAGGTCAATGACCGCTTCAGTGTCGGCAACATCCCGCTTGCCAACGGGCCAGAATGGCCGCATTTCTATGTCACCCAAAGGTTTGCCCAGAACTTCGTGATGGATTAGCTCCGTGTATGGAGGCGTTTTGAGTCTCATAGACTTGTGCGATCTGAGTAAGAGTTTACCAGGAGAGCGAAGACTTATCATGCACTCTATGGCTCCAAGGTTTGCCATTGCTATTGCGGCGAGGAGCTCATCATCGGTGACGGTGGGAGCGTGTAGTAGTGCTACCCGTAGGGTAAAGACCCTAAGTGAGTTCGGATCAGAGATAGCATATCGTACAGCGTAACGGCGAATTGCCTCCTTTTTCTGAACCGGATGCTTGAAAAGCCCGCTGATCGAATGAGCCGAGGCAGTAAGCCAGGAACGTACGGACGCGTTGGCTGGAAACGATGGCAATGACTGCACTGCTTTCATGGGTTGATTGCCCTCAGCAGTAATCCATTCTTGGATGTACCCATTGAGCGAACGACCCACAACAAGACGGAGGTCCATCGGAATGTTGTCAAATACCGGTTCCTCTTCCTCTTTAGGGAAGTACGTGATGCACACCTCCCTACAGAACCGACAATGAGCAGCGCAAAACGATGGTGACAGTACATTCCTCAAAATACGGTAGCTTGAGAGTTTCACGCGTTCTTCGAAATATCTCGCGTGGTCTGGCATATATGTCACTGCATAAGCCATCAACAGTCGCACGCCAACTGACGGGCATGAGAGCGCTGTCCGCGTTCCACGGTCGCGTGGATCCAGGGCGGATTCCGAAGGGTCAGTATCTTCAAAATATTGTAAAAGACCCCAGGGATACAAAAATTGGACGGAGCTACCTGCTGGCTCTGATCTCCGCAAGTAATCATCGTGCGATGCTTGACTATGGCAAAAGATTGCAGCCACAGGCTTTGTTCGCAGCCAGGGTCACTCAAGGATAGTGAGAGCTCCGTCCGACCTCTGTTTTCCAGGTAAGTCTTCACAGTACGAAGCAACAATCGCACATTGGCTAATTTTTCTTCTGATTTTCGAGCGTCTGGATCGTGATACGTCTCGATCAAGCCACCTGTCGAAGCGAGAACCTTCCGCCTGAATGGTTCTATGTCCTATAGCGACCGGTCAACGTAGGTGATTTCTCGAAACCACGGCGAAGGGTCGCCAGTGTGCAACTGTAGGAGGCTTTGCAACATGATCGTTTTTGGTGTGTCCAATGCATGCGCCACATAAACCAAGATGACCCGCGCTAGAGCTCGATCTTCTGGGGATGCCCGCCAAGTGATCCGGGAGTAAAGCTCTTCTAGATCGGGGGACAGCGCGTGTACTGCAGCTACCAGGTCATCGCCGGGGCTCAGATCGCCTTTCAAGAGCCGATTCACGATCTCGAGCGTTGCAAAACGTGCCCAGAGAAACACACCTCGTGACTGGGAGACTATCTCTTTTGCCAAATTGTGAGGCTGGTCCTGATTTGCCCAGTGTCTTTGTATGGCCGCATCATCAAACATTTGACGTGCGAACGTGTAAATGCCTGGCGCATTAACTTCGTGCATTTTCAAAGACAGCATCGTGGCAAACGCGTCAGGAAACGGTGCGTCAGGCCGACTAGCCAGGCACACCTTTGTGTTCAACTGTGCCATACCTTTGATGAAGGAGACAAGCCCCATCGGCTCACCAGCGTATTCGTCCAGGCCATCGAGAGTGATGAAGACGTGTCCTGGGCCGGCATGCAGGGTTTTGAGAAGGACTTCACAAAGATCTGCGAGTTCGAACTCCCCGGCACCAAAAGACCGCCCTTGCTGAGCTGCACGGAGCAGCGCCCCTAGTCGTGGCGCTTGATCAGAGGGGTGTGGAAGCCTGGAAAGCAGCTGCAGCAGCAGCGAGCGGACAAAGCCTGCGAAGTTATTCCCTAAGCCACCAGCAGCGCAAATGTCGAAAAAGTGGTAGATCCAAGTAGTCTGCTTGCCGAAAGTGTGCTGCAGAAGCTTTTCTGTGGTATCCGACTTGGCAATGTGATACATCAGAGTCGACTTGCCGCTGGCAGGTTTCCCGCTTATCCAGAACAAGGGTTCCTTATTCGCCAACCGTCTTGCGAACTCAGAACTCCAGACCCATTCAAAGGTGGCTTTGTCAGTCAGTAACTTGGCAAGCAGGTGTTGGCGCTGGATCCTGGCGCCAAAGTCAAGAGCTTCAGTCAATGCTGGCTCGGTAATCAGTTCTGCGGACGACAAGACGAAACGGCAACGAGGTCTTCGAGTGTTTGTGTGGGCTACGGACCTGCTATTAAACGTTCTTGCTCTTCCCGCTACGGTGCTGTGACTTGTGCCTGTAAAGGGCTCAAATGACCGGACAGGGCTGCCCGGAAGGAGACATATCCAGGATTCTGAACATTATCGAATTTGCACATATCCAAATGGTTGGCCATGATCATCGATGTCTGCTCGATGTCCCTTCAGTTGTAGAAGGCCGAAGTATCTGGGACTACCTTTTGACCGTCAGGGCAAGTAATACAAGTTTCACGTCTGCACCTACCTTGCCATCGAACTTCTTAAGATTCGTCAAGGGCTTGCCCTCCCTAAAGCTGTAGAGCTGGATTTTGTTCGCTGCCGGCATCTCTTTGCTAAGTTGATCATTGAAGTCGGCTGTGACGTTGCTTAACTTCTCGCCGTCGGGTTTAAGGCCCCGCAGTACCTCTTTGTACACGCTGGGAAACAGTGGTAGAGCCCCAACAAGATTGGCAAGCATCTCGCCATAAGCTGCGGCGTTCGCACCCTGGTGAGGCGTTCCGAAAAAAGAGTATGGCTTTGCATGAGAGTGACACATCCTTCATGGCAGGCTGATGCCCGTACTTACCGGACAGGATGATGGCGTCTTTGACGAGGATACCACCTAGGCTGTGCACGACAAAGATTATTGGCCTTCCCTTGCATTCCCGCCGAAAATCCGTGATAGGTTGAAGCAATTGCTGAGAGTGTTGGCTTATGTTCATTTGCACCGTCCGCCCTGTGTAAAAATGGCTTGGATGCGAATCGTAGCCATAAGTCAAGATCCGCAGGTTGCCAAAATCATCCGGGACAAGGTCGTAAGGCCAAAAACAACCCTGGCTCTGAGATTCGCTTTTGGGGGCTTCAAGCGGTCCTGATGGCCCAGGCGCAAAAGGCGTCTTGTCTTCCGCGCTTTTGGATGATTTCTTCGTCTTGAATCTGTTCATGGAAGTGTTCCACCTCGACCTCTCTTGTGCTGCACCCGCTGTTTCTTCAGTCGCAGATTTCTCAGCCTTGCCGTACTGCCATGTCTTTCGAGGGTGGCCACCCAGGCCATGCACAAAGATAACATCAGCAAGGGTGGCAGACCCTTGTTTTGGCTCCCAGAGGACCGTCACGCCATGCTCTTGAACCATGGGTATGTCTTTCGATGATTTCGGTCTCGGTGGTGTCTCTGTATGCAACGCTCCATCTCGACTCGGCTCGTCTACGGCTGCTGCATCTGCCATTGGAGACGGACAGCGCTCTTTGAGATTGATCACAGACAAAACATCCGCTATCTTCTGGTCGACAGAAAGCAGAAAGAGGCTGAGCGGCACGCTCTGAATAGGGCGCATGCTGCAATTTGCTCCTCCAGTCCCACGTGACTAGGAGGTGTTTCTGGTGTAACAATCCCTGTAACGCGCAGTCGCACAATCAGGCTGCAACCAGTTGGGGCTTTGAGAAAGACCTGCTCAGCCACCCGTCAAGCCTGTCATTGGGCAACCATAGGCGAGCGAGTGAATTCCTTTCTCTTTGCAACATAAAAGGAGGTTAAATCGACGAGGAGCTCACCTCGGCGCTCGCGCAACTCGCGTCGCTTTTAAACACCACTCATCGTCACAGGCATTTCGCTGATGGAGCCGGAGTCGTGGCAGAGTCGTGGCTCATCTCAATTCAGTACTCGATAGCAACAAAATAGCAACGGGAAGGAGAGACTCGATAGGGTAGGGAGTGTGTAGGTCCAGTCCTCTATTTCTCGAGGTGTCTCCTCCGTTGTCGGGTTCCGGGTCGTCCATACCTTACTGAATGGCTTTCCTCTCTTCACTGTGGATCAGCAATGTCCAATCCGATACAGACTTAAAGATTTTTCGAGACAATGGGCAATAAATTTTTACCTCTTTGTGCCAGGCTCTACTTACACCACATTTGCTTCAAGACCGGCGCTCCAAGACCTTCTTCTGAGGATCAACGGGCTCTTCGCAGAATCGACATGCGAGGCTCCGGGAAATCAATACAGCCGTACTTGCTCTGCGTGTCGTTCAATAGACCCATTGACTAGCCATATAATCATAACCATGGTGCACTTTGACGCCCTGTATCAAACGCGGCAGGGTCTGCCTCTCAAGCTCCCCCATTACACGTGCTTCTGTTCTTATCTCCCCTTATGTCTGCCTCTAATCGAGCGTCTCTCATATCAGACCGCGCGCGCAACCTCAGTGCGATGCTCAGCCAGGTGAAGTGACGAGTCCCCAAGCACCTCAAATCATCAGTCTCTCCACCTTGTTTTTCAATTCCCTGATCTGAGGCGTAAGGTCGCTACTCTCGTTCGTGGTGATACTGGCCGCAATCACAGCTCGGCTGACCCCACAAGCGCGACCAAGGGCCACTTTACTCGGTACGTAGACATACGGGACGTTCTTGTCCTCGGCGAGTAGGGGTAGATGAAGGAGGATGGCGAGCGGAGAGGTATCGGCTGCGAGGATAACGATCTCTGAAGTCCCGCGGTTTAGTGTCTTGGTGGCTATTGTCAGGGACGCGCAGTTAGCATTCACGTTTATCTTTCGCAGGGAGATGTTTTAAGAGGACAGAGGACATACCTTCATTGGCTCCCTTCTTCAGCTGGCGATAGTGACTGGCTTGTTGGACCAGGTCTAATGTCAATTGCGCGAGTTGCTCGTCGGCAATCGGCCATGCTGTGCGAAAATCAATAAAAGTACACCGAGGAAGAGGAGATGAATATGGCGGTCGCGTACCTGCGCTTTCGTTCATGGTGATGGTTTTGAGATTGGCTCACTCGGTGGATCACGGCCAGGATATTGCGGCGTGAATGTCTGAGAAGATGTAGATTGTAGATTGTAGAATATCTCAAGCGGTCCTGGAAAAAAAGTTATCGAGCAAGTCGGCGAGTCGGGACTTCTCGGCTTGGCGCCGTTTATCACGTGATAGAGATATTGCGATCCACAGGGCGGCATCAGCCTTGACCCAAAGGAGGATGAGCATGGTTGAGTCACTGAACTCTCTTGGCGTCGAGTTGAGATGCCACAATTTTTGCACCCCGCCGGCAACACCGTCTGAACTGCTTCATTTGCCATCACATCTCTCAACGACCTCGACGACTGCCGCTTCAACTTCACTGTTGATCCGCACAAGCTTCCTGAAAACTCGAAGTGACAACAACCTGAACGTACTTGGACATCATACTCCAGTGGAACCACCCTTCGAAAATAAAAAGCCAACCGCAATCATGGCTACCAACGGCGACCTCCCCTCAGACGACGAGTTTTCCCAGCCCGGGACTCCTCCCGGAGACGAGAATGATGTCGAAGAGATAGAAGAGACGAACCAACCTCCCAAATCCGCCCTGAAAAAGGGCACCTCAGCACCTATACCAGAACCTCAAGTCGCTCGTCCTCCTCTACCTGAACAACCCGATCCGAAAGACCTCGACATCTCCAAATTGACACCTCTTTCCCCCGAGATCATCGCAAGACAAGCCACAATAAATATTGGCACGATAGGCCACGTCGCTCACGGCAAGTCTACTGTGGTCAAAGCCATCTCCGGCGTGCAGACGGTCAGATTCAAGAACGAACTCGAGCGGAACATTACCATCAAGCTCGGGTACGCCAATGCCAAAATCTACAAGTGTGACAACCCCGAGTGTCCCCGGCCGACATGCTACAAGAGCTACAAGAGTGAAAAGGAGGTTGATCCCCCCTGCGAAAGAGAAGGATGTGGTGGCACATACCGACTGCTGCGACATGTCTCATTCGTCGATTGCCCAGGCCACGATATTCTGATGAGTACCATGTTGTCAGGAGCCGCAGTCATGGACGCCGCTCTGCTTCTGATTGCCGGCAATGAAACCTGCCCGCAGCCACAAACATCCGAACATCTTGCAGCCATTGAGATTATGAAGCTCAGCCACATCATCATTCTTCAGAACAAAGTCGACCTCATGCGGGAGGAAGGCGCACAACAACACTTCGAGTCCATTCTGAAATTCATCAAGGGTACCGTCGCTGACGGCTCGCCTATCATCCCCATCTCCGCACAACTGAAATACAACATCGACGCAATCAACGAATACCTCGTCACCAAGATCCCCGTCCCCATCCGAAATTTCCAGGCTGCACCACACATGATCGTCATTCGATCATTCGACGTAAACAAGCCTGGTGCCGAGATCGAAGACCTCAAGGGCGGTGTTGCAGGTGGTTCGATCTTGACCGGTGTACTGAAACTCGGCGACGAAATCGAAATCCGACCAGGTATCATCACCAAAGACGCCATGGGCCAGACAGTCTGCCGACCCATCATGTCTCGCGTGGTGAGCTTGTTCGCTGAACACAACGATCTCAAGTTCGCCGTTCCGGGTGGTCTCATTGGTGTGGGTACCCGCGTCGACCCGACACTCTGCAGAGCAGATCGTCTAGTCGGCCACGTCCTCGGCCTCAGGGGTAACTTGCCAGAAATCTACATGGAACTCGAGGTGAACTACTTCCTGCTCCGACGCCTGCTGGGCGTCAAAACTGCAGATGGCAAGCAGGCCAAGGTTGCGAAATTGGCCAAGAACGAAGTCCTCATGGTGAACATCGGCAGCACGGCAACGGGTGCGAAGGTTATGGGCGTCAAGGCCGATGCTGCGAAGCTGACGCTCACCAACCCTGCTTGTACGGCCATTGGCGAGAAGATTGCCCTGAGCCGAAGAATCGAGAAACATTGGCGTCTGATCGGGTGGGCAAATATCGTTGCTGGAAACACCATTGAGCCCGAGACTTCTTAGGGATGCGTCCGTCCGGTTTCTGGCGGGGTGTCGTGCTGCCAGGGTAGATGAAGGGAAGGTGGTGCAGGAAGGAGCCTTGGACGCGCCACCGGGGCAGCAGGTGAGAATATCTGACGTCGCACTGCTGCAGACAGAATAAAGGTGGGGAGCGGCATCTGAGACGACATGGCCATCTCGGACGACAGGCAATATCTACACGAGGCATAAGGTCATGTCGGTCCCTGGCCGGGCAGAGATAGGGAATTCGCAGGTCGAGCACTTGTTCGATTACAGGGCACCATGAGGAATTTCTCAGCGCTCTTGTCTGGGACTCTCGATTTTGCCTTCGGAACCTGGCATCTTGCAGACTTTCTGGTGTTCAAGGCGTTTGCGATACGCAACGCAAGCAAATGTACTCCAGGAGCGACGGGGCCGGAGTAGATTTAAGGCCTAGTTCGAAAAGAGAAGCAAGAAGTGAGTTCGACCAGGACGGGAGCCCGTTATGATGGAGGCTGCTTCCTTCTGACTTGATAAGGAACACTGGGCACTTGGTTCATTCTCGAGAAGTCGAGACTAGGCAGAACATCAAACCCCAGGGGCTACCTAGACATGACTTGACCTAGAGAAAAGCACAGATAAACATGAAATGAGACGGAAGATAGAGAAGCCATCATTCCAGACGTTGGTTTCAACATTTGGTCACATTAATGTGATATTAGGACACTCTCGTACAATATCCGTCCAATCTAACCGACTGTCATGCCGTGCAAATATCCCCAAGCTGATTGTCCGGCTTTTGTGATGTCTGATCCATTCCCACTTTAATCCATCCAAAATACTACCTGGTACTCATCCCATTGCCAGGTCCAGCCCAGCCCAGCCCATACTGGCCACCAGCCCTAGCCGACCCGGAAAAGTCGCGTCGTCCGCCACTGTCGCCCAAAGTTGAAAAGCTGACCTTCGTTTCTAAATGCTCTGTCCTTCATCTGTGCCCGCCTTGGAAGCTCGCATGACTTCACCGCTTGCGGAGCCTAATCGAGGGAATGTATCGTTCTAATATGCTGTTTCAATACATCGGAGCGCTTGAAGGCCCATGCACATTGCGGACAAGAGAAAGGTCTCCAAGGAAGATGTGCGCGGATGTGGTCAATCATGTGGTCCCGTCGGCTGGTGGAAGCGCGGCATCGGTCCCAGGCGCAGGTGAGATTGAGCGAATTCGTCCGGTCCGAACCAACGTGATCCTCCTTCACGTGCTTGTAGAGATCCTCGGGATAGAGTTGTTGCTCGCCGCATCCTTGCCACTTACAGAGCAGCATTTCCTTGGGAGGATTGGATATGGGTGTACGTCGATTGTTGTTCGATCCACTCTACAGATCATCATCCTCGTCGTCGTCGTCATCATCCTCTGAACCTTCATCGGAATCCACGCTCTTGTCACGAATACTAGGGTCAGGCTGTCCGAATGGGTTTCTGACAGCACTTCCATTGACTCGTGCCTGCGGCGTCTGCTTGTGCGCGTTGTTGTCAGATAGAGTTGAGTGGGCAGACGATGGTACGACCTTAGTACTCGCCGCAGGTTTGCCCTTGTCACCGTCGCTTTCACTTTCACTTTCACTCTCTGATTCGGACTCGCACTCATCATCGTCGGACGCATGCAGTGCCGACCGATTGAGTGCTGGTCTAGAAGACGCACGTGAGAGAGAAGTTGATGTTGTTCTTCCCGTACCATTGACTGCGTGATCTGCTTTGCGAAGTGCTGCACGTAGGTCTGTGAGGCTTTTCGCATTCGCAATCGTTGGTGCTGCGTCACGCACAGAAGTTAGAGCTGGTCTTGATTTGAATGGAGTTTGAGTCTCGTCCTTGGCTCCTACGTTGGATGCTGGTGCTCTCCCAGAGTTTGGATGTGCTTTTGTGGACGGCGCAGGCTTGGATGTTTTAGTGGTTGTACTTGATGCTGAGGTCGCTGATCTTGGTTGCGCAGTGTGGGCAAGCTGACTTCCTGGAGGTGGCTTTCTGGAGGCGGTTTTTGCTGCAGGTGTAATCGGGGCAACAACCGTATCCGACTTTCTTGATTGGGAGGAACCGGCCACTGATGTCTCATGGTTCGATGTTGCAGACTTAGGCGGCTTTGGCTTCTCACGCTCTAAAGCAACCTCGCCGGCCGTCTTGTTTGTCGTGTCAACCGAACAAGACTTTGCCGTGGCTTCTGGAGGAAGAATTTTGCTGCCGTTTCCCTTCGCAGACGCTGTGCTGATATTTGGCGGCCGGCTTGTGCTCTCCCTCCGCGGGACACCAGCTGATTTCTTTTTCTGCTCTTCCGCTTGCTTTTTGGCTTCAGCTTGTTTTCGCTTCTTTTCAGCTTCATATTGCTCCTTTGTCATGCCTTCGCGGCTTTTCATGATCATGATCTCCTCTTCAGTCAATCCGATCGCAACGGAAGGACTTTTCCTTGGGTCAGAAGATCTGTCTGCGCTCAATGACTTCGCATGGTCTTGCTCGATCGATGATTGCTTGTTTAGCCTGGCTGGGCCAGAGCCCCAGTGTGGAAGCAATTGTGGGGGTGGGTTTGACCGTGCAGTATCCTCTCCCGTGTGATTCACGACGATGTCCGGGGTTGCTGCCTTTGTCAGGGCATTTTGACCAACTTCTGAAGTCTTTTTGTCCTCATGCGCCTTCCGCTGCCGAGGCGTAGTCTCCGAAGACGCCCCTGTCTTTTTGCTTCTCGGAGCTGACTTCTTTGCCAGGGTTTTGGCCTGTATCTCCGCTGGCTTTGAGTGAATCGGCGCCGGTTCTCTAAACTTCTGTGCCGACTCTTGCAGGGACTGAACAAGCTGCTCCCCAGGACTGTCCAAACTTGGCGTTCTCCGAGCATGGCGAGGCTGTTTGCCAGCTTTGGTGGCTGTGTGGGCAGGTTTTGCCGTAGCTACTTTGCTGGACGGCTGGTTCCGCTTCTTCTTGTCCGACTTTTCGGAGACATCATCGCTGACAACACTGTTATCACCAGACAGAGACGACCTGTTGGCCCGATTGTTAGCCCGACCGCGTCTCTTCGGCGGATTCTGGTCATTGTCTGCTCCCGTCTTCTTCGCCGGGCTTTTAGCTTCGTTGTGGACGAAATGGCTTGAAGCGTGGATCTTCCTCTTTGGTGTCCCTTTGGGTTCAGCAGTATCCCGGACAGGCTTTGCAGTGACGGGGCTCGAGACCTGATTTTCTTTGTCGGCATCTCCATAGTCGGGTGCTGCTGGAACAGCTGCGGCCACGTCACCGTTGGTCGGCGCGTCTTCATGGATGTCATGCTCCGAGACCTCTAGCATGCGCGGGTCCTTTGTTGAGATAGCCTCCGTCTCTGGGATGTCATAAGATGGGCTTCCGTTATTCTCGAATATCGACTCGTTATCGAGAGCGTCAAGCGCTTCCTGAGTGCTTAACCGACGTTCAGCCTCATCGTCGTCAACATCTGTAGAACCCAGGCGTTCAATTTTGGACAAACGGTCGTTTGACCTTGATGGGCCAAGTCGTGTCTGTCTCGAGCGAGGCGACATTTGGGAATCGTCGATATCCGATGCAGGGAAGTCGTAGATATTAGGTCGCTTGAATTTGCTCGCCGAGGTAGATTGCTGAGCAGAAGAATTGCTCCGCGATTGTAGTCTGGATGAGCTCGATCGTCTCACGGGAACGTCTGTTGGAGGCGTCATTGGTGTTTGAGACTGCACTGGCGGCGGCCTGAACGGCTCCTGCAGCGAATGCAAGGCGCCGTTCTGTTGAGGCCCTAAGCTGGCTCGTTGATTGACTGAGTCGCGTCGCCCGCCATAAACCAGCTGGAAGTTGTGAGGCTGTCCGGGCAGCTCTTCTAGTTCATCGAGCGTTGTCGACGGGATATTTTGGATGTGCCTCGGCTGCTCGGGCGACTCAATCTTCGGGTGCGTAATTGAAACATGGTCATGTCCATCATCCGTACTCTGTGTGTTCTGGACAAGCTCGGGAGACCCATCTCGTTCAATAGACGAAATCAGGGTCTCCTCTCGCTGTGTTTCTGGTATTTCGATTTGTCTCGGTCTCTTTGTCCCATTCGCGACCACAGGATCATCCTCGGTGGGCAAGGAGCGCTTGCCGAGTGAAGAAGCAATTCCTGGGAAAGTAGGCACGGGCGGTCGAGAAGACTTCTGAAGTTGCCCTTGATATCGAGGGTTGTCCAGCTGACTGCCTATTGCAATAGACCCTTCTCTTATGGCTCGACCCTGCTCAAGTATGACCTTTATCGTAGCTTTCTGATCAGCTCCATCTCTTGCAGCTTTGCCTTCATCAACGAGGAGATCTGAGACGTATAGTTGAGGATCTAGGTCGCAATCATCCTCGTCGTCCTTGAGATATTTGATCGTAGGCAAGTCGCTGCAGTTGAGTCAGTAGGAAAGACAGATGCACCTTTGGACTCAGGAACTCACTGCTGGTAACAGCTCTTGTACGCTCTCTGCACCTCGAGGGCCAACGCACCAATCTGCCATCGGTGTGGCTCTCGGACGATGACCAGCAATCGCTTCTCACCTTTGATCGGACCGTGGGCTGGTCTTTCCACATTTTGCAAGTAATCATCCTCGGAAATGACTCTAACTGCCACTCGTAGCTTGACCATCATGACAGCATGGGGGAAAGACGGCAAATGCGCGAAGGATTTGAGACGCGTCAGGTAAATGAGGGAAAAAAGTTTCGCGATGATCCACGGCGATGCGGCCTGGAAAATGCGGAGAAGATGCAGCGGCTCATGGATGCATGTGGATGCCTAAACAACCACCATGCCTACATCTTCAATAGTAGTACGAGGTATTGAAGGAGGAGTAGAAGACGAGGACACGATCTGGTAAGATCTTGGAAGGGAGAATTACTGCAGAATCTGTGGAGTTGATATCTGCACTCGCTTCACCTCATACTCACCACTCTACAATTTAATTTACTCTGCGACGACTCCCGCCAAGTCCAAACTATCCCATTCACTTCCATCCGCGAGACCAGAAAGGGAGGGTGAGGGCCGGAGCTGACTGCTTGCAGAGCCGGAGTCTTTGCTGACTCCCAGAATCATCACCCGGGGGAATAGAACTTCTTGTAGCATTTCCCGCACGTTCATCTAGCTAATCGAGATATTGATGATCTTGATATCCTCCTCAGGCTTCTCCTTCCGCACCTTGGTGTTCTCAATCTGATGAATCACATCCAGCCCCTGGTACGCCCGGCCGAAAATAGTATGCTTTTTATCCAGCCAAGGCGTCTTTTCCGTAGTGATAAAGAACTGCGATCCGTTGCTATTCGGCCCTGCATTCGCCATACTCACAGTGTACGGCTTGTCGTGCTTCAAGTCGGAAAACTCATCCTCGAACTCCTTGCCCCATATACTCTCCCCTCCGGTGCCATCGCCAAGTGGATCCCCACCTTGAATCATGAATTTCCTGATTACCCTGTGAAAGATGGTGTTGTTGTAGTATCCGTTCCTGGCGTGCGTCACAAAGTTCTCCACAGCTTTCGGTGCTTTGTCCGGGAACAGTCGGATATGAATGTCGCCATAAGTGGTATGGAGCACGGCAGAAGTGCCTGTTTGAGCCTGCTTCGTTTCCTTCTTCTTGCCTCCAACGACTCGAGGCTTTTCGTTCTGAACATCGCGCGTCGACTTGGTGACTTCTTCCTCATTCGCGAACATGTAGAACCGGACTTTGCCATAGCCCGTGGCGAACAACATAGGGTCCCGTTGTTCTGCTTCGTCCAGTAGAGGATTTGCACTGGCAGCCATTGAGACCGTGACTATGTCCTTTTTCTGCGGAGCACCTTGGTACAAGGCTACGTTGAGCGCTCGGAACGGTTCATCCCTGCCATAGGCCTTCATCACCCGATTCGTGAGCGTATTGACGACCTTGATACCTAGCAATGACCCGTAGGCGATAAAGTGCCCAGACTCGTCAAAGACAACGTTGATTCTTGATCTGACAATCGGGTTGTCCAAGTCCCGCTCAACAGCCAGTCTCCGTCCAAATTCCACCTCCTCGAGCTTTTGTAGCGCCGTACCAGCCTGTTGCATGGCCGTTATTGTCTCGATAGACTCGTCGTATGAACGGTATAGCTTGCCCGTAGCAAAGTCGAACACCCTGACTTTTCGGTCAGGAAACGAATACGTGGCAAATTGACGACCTGATGGCGATATCGTAATCGAGCAAGGGGTGGACTTGGCCTTCTTGAAATCGAACAGGTTTGTTGTCGACTTCATTTTGAACACACTGTCAGGCTTTTCGTAGTTGTCTCCCGGTTGCCAATACTCGATCATGCCACCTGAGTCGGCCGAGACCACGCAGTCGAACGCCGAATTGTACGCCATAGCAACGACAGGCGCGCGGTGCAACGAAGACATAGTCCGCATCGGCGTCTGAGAGTCACCACGGCCGTCGTAGATATGAATTTCTTTGCCAACACCTACTGCTAGTACTGGCGTCTGCGCTCTCCGATGAACCCAGCAAATACAAGTCGCCGGTTGCTCCAAATTGAGGATTGATAACAGGTCGAAAGTGATGACATCAAAAATCTTGATGGTCTTATCATCCTCATCGCCAGCTGTCGCGAAGAAAGCGCCATCCACACTGACAGTAGAGCTGACGATCCGGCTCTCATGTGCACGATACTCCTTGGCGAACTCAATGCCGGTTGCAATCTTCTTCCAGAACTTGACGACTCCATCAATTGAGGTGGTTATGACAAAGTCAGCAGGTGACGGAGCGATGGTTACGGTGGAGACCTGGTCCTTGTGCATTAACGACTTGGAGTATCTCAGGCCCTTTGGCAAAGCTGCCACATACAGGGACTCATAGGGAAGCTTGCGTTTCTTTTTCGGCGGAACTGAGGAAGGCAAAGCTGGCCCAAAGTCATCGTCAGAAGAATCACTCTCTTCTGCCCCATCGGTAGACCGTGATCGCTTTCTGGAGGGCTCAGCAGACATGGCTACGAATGAGGGCACTTTCGTTTGAGACCTTTGATCGACGTTGGTCAAGACTCACGGCAAGGCTGACTGACGCTGGGAAGGAAAAGCGAAAGAGGGTGCTCAAGCAAAAAGAAGCACGCTAATCTATAAACGGATTAGTCTAATTAGAGTCTTGGCAGTCACAGCCTTGCCGACCACAGCCTTGTCCGTGTGGCCCGTTTATTGGTGTATTCCCGAGCTCCTGCATTCAGGAATAGAACTCGTGCCAACTGCTGTTCTCGCGAAGGCATCATGTTCTTTTTCAATCGGCCTAGGAAGCTGCCGAGGTGTGTATTTCGATATGGCAAGAGCACGGTATGCCAAGGTCGTCGCCGGAGAAGTAACTTTTATCAGGTCATTCCTTCGCTTTGCTTTTTGGAACTCACCATCTCTCGATAGAAAATCCTCGAAACGGCGCTAATCTGCATCGTTCCTTCCCTAGGACGTCGGTAACTTTTGCATGAATCGAACTGTTCTTACGAGAACGATGTATTATCAGGTCCATCTTGGCCAAAGAATGGAGTACTAAAGGAACATCATATCCTAGTCCAGCAGATACCCTGCATTATTGACGCAACGGCGAACAATGCGCTACCGGGACCCTTTGAGCATCAATGACTTCAGGCCGACGATTCCCGATCAAGTGGATAGGGATGTCCAATGTCCAAATACTGCAACACTGGGGTGACTGGCAACACGTGGACTGTGCCAATATCAAAAGAAATTCCATCGCGCCCCCCGAAGCTCTGCTCCCTGGCCTAGTCATCATACCACCCAACGAGTCCTCATGCACTTGGGTGGCACCGAGGGACGCCCGGCATCAAGAGCGCATCTCGATCAGACTGGAACCATATGCCAAGCCCACGTGCTCATATATACAGTGCTCATTGGTGCCATGGGGAGACACACAACAGCCTTTTTATACCAAGACCTGGATGTGGAATCTGCCCTTGTGGATGGCCACATTGACACTGGCATGACTGGTTGGCGAAGCTGCTTGATTGGTCTCGCCAACGCTCCTACTCACGACGAGCTCCAATGGTTTCTATAACTATAGTACGCCGTGTTCGTGCCGAGTCGAGCATACTTTCGATCCGTGACACTGGCGTTACGTTAGCTGGTAACTGTACGAGACGGATCTTGTCTTGACCTGAAGTCCGGAGTCCACTACTAGTATTACTCGTCGCGAAAGGTACTTGCTTTTTGTCAGTTAAGTACGCGTACTGTGGTACTATATTCATGGACGAAATCTCCGCCAAGTCCAGATCTCACTGCCAATCCCATGGATTGTCCAACGAGCCTGTCAACTGGATCACTTGGCAAGATGTCAAGCTTCGAAGGGTGCAATGAAGCTCGCCGTGTCGGCAACGTGCAGGCATTTGTCACATTGATTGGCCAATTGTGCCAGGGCTGCCAGGTGGAAAATTCAGATTGAATGCAAGGATCGAGCATCCAAGAACTTGGCGGAGGTCTTGGCCCGGCGGAAAAGTCTTGGCCGTTTTCTTGGTATGAAGCTACCTCCGCTGATTGCCTGTTAGACGAAAGAAAGGCTGAACGTGTCGATGTGACTGTGGAACCAGACAAGCCTCGAGTATGGGTGGTGTCGCCGAGCAGGTGGCCATTTTGATATCACCAGGCTGAAAAAGGTTAAGCAGCCGATCTTCTTCTTTTACATATATTGAGCTTTCACTTCCCCTGTTCACAGACCTTTCCTTCCAGAACAACATCAGAACTTGTTCCACGTCCCAGCCATCGACCCAGAGTCTCGAAATTAAAGGTCTCTCACCATGGCTCCTGCCGCTACAGCAAAATATGATTGGATCCTAGCCATCACCACCATCGCCTTTGTCTTCAGTGCCTTCGGTAATGGAGCCAACGATGTCGCCAATTCCTACGCAACCTCGGTTGCAGCACGGACCCTCACCATGCCGCAAGTCGGTTTCTTGTCCATGATCACCGAGTTCGTCGGTGCCGTCGGTCTCGGAGCTCGTGTCACAAGCACGATCAAAAATGGAATCATCAGCATTGATCGGTTCGAGGATCGTCCAGGTGCATTGATGTTGGCAATGGGCTGCGCCGAAGTTGGAAGCGCAACCTGGTTGATGGTTGCAACAGGCCTAGGTTTCCCCGTGTCTACAACCCAGACTGGTAAGTCAAAGCACCTCTTCTCGAGAGATCCTGCGGTCTGATCAAAAATAGTTGTCGGAGCCTTGATTGGTGTCGGATTTGCTTCTCAAGCCAGTATCAAATGGGCCTGGCAGAGTGGAAGTGTTTCTCAAGTCGCAGCCTCGTGGGGTATTGCGCCTCTCATCTCAGCAGGCTTTTCCGCACTCGTCTTCGGCATCGTCAAGTACAGCGTACTTGAACGAAAGGATTCGTTCAAGTGGGCCATGCGCCTCATCCCGTTCTACTTCGCAACCACCGCAGCCATCCTGGCTCTCTTCATCGTGGTCGAGGCGCCCACTGCTCCATCCTTGGAAGAATTTGGAGCCGGCAAGGCCGTCGGTATTGTCCTTGGGGTGTGGGCAGGCGTCTTATTGATCGCCTATATCTTCTTCATGCCCTACTTCGAGCGCCGCCTCATCAAACAAGATCCCCGCGTCAAGTTCTACCACATTCCATTGGGTCCTCTTCTCCGCAAGGACAACGCTCCGCTTTACTTTCCCGGAAAGCCGGACGGCAAGTACGTAATCGACTACTACGAGGACCCCTATGCGGATGAATCCTCAATGGATTCCATCACAGAAGCTAAGAAGGAACCTGCCAACGGCAACGAGGTGCCCATGGGAAGCGACAACTCCGCCTTGGAGAAGGGTTCAAACTCAAGTGCAGTGCCAGGAGTTGTCGCCCGCAAGCGACTCCCTACCCCTGAAGAGCGATTCTTGCATCCTGTCAAACACCTGAAATCAACCAACCCCCAGCGCTTGATGGGCTACCTCAAATACGGACTCTTGCAAGGAGTGACTCGCGACTGCGTCACCCATGACTCTGCAAAACTGCGAGATATCCATGCCAAGGCAGCAAAGTACGACGTCCGAGTCGAGCACTTGTGGACGTACTGCCAAGTCGCATCGGCCATGCTGATGTCCATCGCGCACGGTAGCAACGATGTGGCCAACGCCGTTGGACCATGGGCCGCCACATACCAAACATTCAGGGCTGGTGAGGTTGCCACAAGATCTCCCACTCCAGTCTGGTTCTTGGTCATCGCCGGTTTCCTGCTGGGTGCCGGCTTCTGGTTCTACGGATACCATATCATTCGTGCCCTAGGCAACAAGATCACCCAGATGTCGCCGACTCGAGGTTTCAGCGTCGAGCTCGGTGCTGCCATCACTGTCCTGCTTGCGTCTCGCCTTGGGCTTCCCGTCAGTACTACACAGTGTCTGACCGGTTCGACGATGGGTGTTGCACTCATGAACTACGACCTTGGTGCAGTGAACTGGAGACAACTGGTATTCATCTTCTGTGGATGGGTTCTGACTCTGCCTAGTGCCGGTCTTATTTCTGGCCTGTTGTGCGTCATGGCACTCAACGCGCCTCACTTCTAAGGACGATTTGAGATTCTTGTGGGACAAAGCGCTTACTCATGCTTGTGCATTCAAAGCTTGGTGGCTTCATCTTGTGGTTATTCCGAGCATTGTATTGACTTGAAGGAAAGACCTCTTCAAGCCAACCCCTCGAGATACATGCCTTGTGGATGGAAGAGGGTTGATCGTGCAGCGTTTATGAGTTGATACCATCCCCATGATGGGGGTATAGATGTATAAATTGCCTCGACATGTTTACGAGTAGATTTTAATTTTTGTTGATATCCTTGTCAATATTCCTTTTCCCAAGTCTCCAAGAGTTGAAGTCTTGACGTAGTAGGCGTTCTTCGAGGCATCGGCATCCGTAGTTTCTGTCCTACATAAATCCACTTCAACGGTGTTGAGACGCTGTTCACGCCTTTCAAGGATCGTTGCAGACCAAGGACAACCTTCTTACACCTGTCCAAGGGTTTCTTCTTGTACGGTCAATGCTTGTGTCGGCAGAGTGCGTCTACACCCACCGAAGGTATTTTCTCTCATGGACAAGGATCGTGCTGGAGGAGCATGTCCAAACCTAGTCAAGGCATCTTACGCCTCTTCACATGGCAAAACCGCCTAGTTCTCCTGTCAACATTATTTAGAAGGCGTGGACGGCATGTATGTGCAGGCGCCCATGGACGAGAGACAAGACAAGACAAGCAGCCTTGACTGCACAAGAAAACTTGCATCTCACCTAGAGAAGAGATAGAGTACTAGTAAGGTAAGTGATGTTTAAATTGCGATTATAGTCATTCTATCCTCAAGCAATAATACTCGTATTCGTAGTATCCCATTAATAAAGAGTGTCGTGGTCCCCAGATGGTTTGCATCGCATTCATAAGGAGTGTCGTAGCCCCTAAGTCGTTTGCAGGCTGGCATAGGCATTAATATCAAATTAACATCACGTAGTCTGTTGTTCATTATGCTTCTTTTCTTTCTTTTGCGGCACTCGGGTTCTTCATTAATCCAGACGTACTGTAGCCGCGCCCAGCGTTGCCGAACCATCACCACCAGCACCTTGCACCGCACTGCCAAACACGTTGTAATACTGGCGGAAGAAATGACAATTCTTATCAATCACACCCGCGTTGATCGGCGTGTTCAGGACACCTCCAGTGCCTAGGTCGGCCACTCTTGGTACGCCGTCCCATCCAGGGCCAGAGAGCGGATTGCGCGCGAACGTTGCCCATGCGGTCTGCAGATACTGGCTCAGCGCCTTCTCGTCGTCGGTAGCGTTGACACGGGGATACGTGCCCCAGACAATGGGTATCTCGGACGAATGGTACGCGCCGGCGCCCGGGAAGATCTGCGTGTTGGCGAACGTCGCGTTGAAGTAGTACCGCCATGTCGGGTAGCCGGCAGCGCGCGAGTCGTTGGCCAGAATGCCGGCGGGGCAAGTGAAGCTGAAGTCTGTCGTGATGGCGGCCAGTTGTGCTGCAGGGGCCAAGGGATACGCGGCCAGAATGCTCTGAATCAGAGCAGTTTGATTGCCCAAGACGGAGGCTAGGTATGCGGCTGAGTTGCTTTGTCCGACGGTGAAGAGCGAGCCTTCGTTTGCGTTGGTCCCGGTCAAGATCGGGACTGCGGCAATGCTCTTGTTTAGGCGCGCTGCCTCCGGATAGCGTAGAAGCGTGACATTGTCAGACACTGGACGGAACGCCAATGCGAGGTGCTCGATGGTGGACTTGATGACAGAAGCGTTTGCAGCCCGTAGACATGTCAAGTTTGAATACGGATGAGTCTGGGTGCAGTTCAATACTGCGGCCAGTGTGAGCCAAGAGGTAGGCGCGTTCGTCGGGTTGATGTAGAACGAATTCTGACCGGACTCCATGATCGCTGCGCGGAAAGGAGGGTTCTTTGGTAGGCTCGTCACAAGTGCGTCCACACTGACCCGGGAGGATCAGTAAAACAGAGAATTCTAAGCAGAGTATAAAACCATACCTTGCAGCACCAGCGCTCTCGCCAAAAATGGTCACCTTCTTGGGGTCACCACCGAATGCAGCAATGTTCCTTTGAATCCAGTCCAGCGCAAAACCTTTAGACGAGCGTCAGGTACAGATCAGCATCATCTCGGGCCTTTTCAAAACGTACGTTGATCCCAAAATCCTAGATTTCGTCTCGCAAGAGGTAGCTCTGGAGAGTTTGGAAAGCCGAAGACTTGATGAGCATAGGTCAGTTTAGGACAATATAGCGCAGTGGCTGCGAGTACTTACCGTTCGTCCGGTAGTTGAATGCGACAACAATGACATCTTGGTTGGCCGCAAAAGATGACCCATCATAGTACGTGGCAGAGTTTGATCCAAACTGCAAGTTACCCCCCTACAAGAGAGGAGTCAGCTAACCTTCTCAGCTCCAGGGTGCCGAAATGCGTACATAGATCCAAGCCATGACGGTCTTGTTTTTCCCCGGTGTCGCAGGGGCGTAGACGTTCAGATTGAGGCAATCCTCACTCTCGCCAGCCGGAGGAGGCGGAGTGTTAAACCACGCCATTGTTGCGTTTCGAGACAACTCCGGATAGTTGAATTGCTGTATGCATGCAGGGCCATATTTTGTGGCATGGTATGGCGATTTCCATGGCGTGGGCCTGACGGCTGGTGCAAAACGTGTCGGGGATGCTGCGAACGGGATACCCAGATATTTGTCGACCGCGACCGTAGCACCCGCAAGCCGGGTCGTCGTTCCAACCACAGCACCGGAGTCTATCGTGACCGTTGGAGCGGCCGAACTGGCTGCGCTGGCAGGAGCAGCATCAGCCACAATGAAGAAGGCGACACTTGCCAATATAAGATGCAGCAACGTATTCATCGTAGCTCGAAAAGGAAGGGAAACGAGAGACTCGCAGCGGCGGTACGGTCATCCTCGGACCTTATGGGTCTTATTGAAGACCGACTTCTTCTTCTCCCGCAAAGTTCTCTGTCCTTAGCCCATGCGTCATTTCGCGGTCGCGACTCAAAAATGCACCATCTCGCACCATCTCGAGCAACTTCCTCAACTGCGGGGAAGGCCGGTTAGAACGGTCTGTGTCGATGACTGCAAGATCCGGAGCTTGAGCACAAAAGGTTGTAGACAATAATCTGCCGAGGCTGCGTAGGACGAAGGGTGGTACTGAGACCATGAACACTGGAGACCATGCTCCTCAAGAGGAAATGTGACAGGCGACTAGACAGGGGATAGCCTTAGGGATCGATTTCATTCGTGGAGACTCTGTGATCGACAACGCGGAAGTCTGAAGTCTGGGGTAGACCAGTCATGCGCGAGCTGAATACCTTGAAGCCGAGGCCGGACGACTCACCCGAAAGAGCAAGGCGTTGCATTGCTCGAAGACTGGTGGATGTACCCTTATGATAGCCAACTGGCCAATTGATTGCTTGGGTTCCTGATGTAAATCAAAGCTGCCTCGGTCGTTTTCGGCTCACTTATTGCAATTCTGGAGTTTATGCAATTGACATGTGGTCCTCAGTACCTCTGACGCAGGAACGAGGACAGTGATGCTTGCTCCAATGCTCCGGATAAGGAAGGCTGAATGATAGCGGCCTGGGTAGCATTCCGAGGAGCTCAAAGGTGTCATTGCGCATCCACTTCAAGCATCTCCCATAATTTCCCTCTTCTCGTGAGCAGGTCTTGATAAGCGCCTTCCTCAGCAACGCTTCCATTTTCCAATACTACCACATGATCGGCGAAGCTCATCATCTCCTCTGCATGGGTCACAACAACCACAGTCAACTTCCCTTCCTTTGTTCGGATCAGATTGATAATACTGTCTCTGATGACGCCCGCACTCTCATGGTCCAAAGCACTCGTGGCTTTGTCCAGGATGAGTATCTTGGGATCCCGGATCAGAGCTCTGGCAACAACGATCCGTTGTCCTTGTCCACCGGAAACCCCTAATCCGCCTTCTCCGACAATGGTTGCATAGCCCTGTGGCAAAGACTGAATGAACTCGTGAATGCCTGCCGCTCGCGCTGCGGACTCGATGCAAGCCGCAGATACAAGAGAAGTGCCGGTCTGCAAGCCATATGTAATGTTCTCACGGACGGTAGCCGGGAAAAGCACAGGTGTCTGTGGCACGATTGCAATCAGGGATCGCAGCGTGAAGATATCCAATGTCCGAATGTCACGACCCGATAGCGTCAACGTGGGAGGGCCACCCAGGTCGCTAGAAAGTGGAATTGATAACTCATCAGCTGCCGGAGGGTACAGACCCAAGATTAGGGAAGTGATCGTAGATTTGCCAGATCCAGACAGGCCCACTATCGCAGTACATTTTCCAGAGGGTATGGTGAGGTTCAACTGTAGGAGAGCAGGCGTCTCCGGGCGGGTTGGATAGAAGAATGTCTGGTTTATGAAATGAATTGGCCCAGAAAGTGTATTTGGATCGTCCCTGTCGAGCTTCACTTTCCCACCATTTTCATGTGAAATAACCGACATCTTCGCAAGCCCTAGAAGTCGAGTCGCGTTGTCCATAGCAGAGCTGACCTGGGGGATGTAAGCCACAATGCCACTCGCACTGGCGGTACAGAACAACAGGAGAGCGAATACTGTCAATATGTCCCTAACCGACCATTCTCCGCCTCTGGCCAGATGCCTGCCGTACCAGAAGATCATTGGAGTGAACAGGGTGATCGCTGACTCCGATAGCCCAAAACAAAGTCCGCTGTATATGGCACGACGAGTGCCAATGGAGAATGCGGCCCTGACGGCCCTGGAATACTTCCCGTGGAAGTAAGACTCGAGTGTCAGTGCTCGAATAGTCCTGATATCGGAGAAAGTCTCAACGAAGACTCCACTGATCTCGGCCCTGGCCGAATTTGTTCGTGATGTCCATCGCGATGACACCACATCAAATGTTTTCGTCACTGCGTAAAGGAAAGGCGCCGCTGCAAGGCTCACCAGAGTCATTTTCCAACAGGTAGCGAAAGACCACACCATCCCCACTGTCATCATTGCGACCACAACCAGGACTTGTGCGGCGAAATGGTCGACCAGAATCCTCACCTCTTCGGCGTTGCGATCTAACGAAGAAACGAGGACAGAAGGTCTATTTCTTTCTCGGTCAAACCAACCCTTTGGCTGCTGAAGAATGCGTCTCGCCGCATCTGCGCGGAGCGTATTCACCCAGACTTGACTTACAGACTCGAGGAGATATTGCATGAGGAAACAAGCAAGACCATCGGCGATTGCAACCCCAAGGACTGCCAGCGAGTAAGTGATTGCCTCCTTGTGGTATCCAGAAGCTAGGGAGAAAGTGCCGAAGAGTTGGACAAGAGCATAAGAGAATGCAGGTGGTGATCCTGCGTGAATCAGCGCTGCGAGAAACCCGAAGGCAAGCTTGGCTCGTTTAGCTGTGTTCAATACTGGCCACAGAGTTGCTAATATCCTTGGGACAGAGAGTTGGGCGGATCGTTCGTCGGTTTTAAGAGCTTCATTGTTGTCACCGGGTCTCGATCCCAATGTTCGGTCCTGGAGTTCGACCATTAACGGGGGGATAGGCAGCGGCTTTTTGTCAAGCGAGACCGCTGGGTCAATTGTTGGAGTTATTGGCTTCTGGTCTTGAATGTCGTGAAAATCGAGCGGAGAACTCTGAAGATGGTCGGCAAAAGGCTGACTCGACTTCAATTGATACATGGCTCGAGCACGACTTAGTGATTGTCGCTTGAGATTTTGCAGCGCGGCTGCTGTGCCGAGGGAAAGTCCTCTCATCAGCCGACCACCAATATTGCTTAGGTCCGGCTGAAGAGCAGGTGGTAGCATGAGATCCAGCTTCGATGTTGGGGCCATTTTGACCCCTTTAGATTCGATTTTGGGAAAGCTTGGTGACAAGGCCAGCCCGCCGCAATCCGAATCTCCCAGTATGGCTCCATCAGTGAAACGCTGGGTTCGAAAGGCTTGCATGTGTGCATTGTCACGGAGTCCGGGTGGAGATGCCTTGGATTGCGTATTGCTTGTTGAGTGTTTGATCGTGCTAAACCGTCCTCGGCGTATTATCCGACCTGCATCCATCATATATACCATGTCTTCCTCACGGATCTGAGTCATGTCGTGGGTAATGATGATAGTGGTCCTGCCACGTCGCCACGTCCGGACCGCTTCCATGACAGCGCTCCTGTTCTGGGCATCAAGGGCGCTTGTCGCTTCGTCGAGAACAAGAATCGGAGTATCCCTAAGGCGAGCACGAGCGAGAGCGACACGCTGCGTTTGGCCACCTGATAACGCAGAGCCACTTACACCCACCGTGGTGTAAACACCGTCTGGGAGCTCAGCTACTAGTTGTTCCAAAGCAGCCAATTTGAGACATGGATCAGTCTGGCGATGCGTGATTCGACCCGGATCTTGACTTCCTAGCGCGATATTTGTAAAGATTGTTTCGTTGAAAAGTGTGCAATTTTGCTGGACCAAAGTGACGTTATTCCTAAGCCAGGTCGTGTCAATGTCCAAGATATCATTGCCGTCAATGGTGACCGTGCCACTTCTAGCAGAATAGAATCGCATCAGCAGATTTCCAACTGTGCTCTTTCCTGAACCAGATTTCCCGACAACAAAAGTTGTCTGCCTGGCAGGAAATGCGAAACAACAATCTCGTAGGACAAGCTTCTCCGGCCTGGATGGGTAGGCAAAGGATACCTTCGCGGAGTCAGCAGTCTGCACTTCACCAACCGTGGAGACCTACCCCTTGCATCTCTATCTCACCCTCACAAAACTGCGGCGACAGGCCGTTCACTTTCAATGTCTGTCTCTTTGCTTTGCTGATGTGCTTCAACACCGCTAGAAGAGACCGTGCTGCCGTCTGACCCTCCACAAGCAGGAAACTTTGTGGGAGTATGTCCTCGAATGACTTTGCTGCTATGAGACAAGCCCAAAATGTCGTCACGACGTCTCCAGCGTCGGTCTTTCCAGCATGGACTTGTGTCCCACCGTACCAGAACCCTGTGATCGATGATGAGCAAGCTTTCAACAGCGGTCGGCGCATACTTGCCCTGGACGAAGATGACAGTACTTGCAAACCGGACGAAGCCACTTTGCAACGCTCTGAATATCGACGACTTCAGGGAGAGTTGAGCTGCTTCTTCGATTGCTAAGGCGTATTTTCGGGTTTCTTGGTCTTGAGTATTGAAACACTTGACGAGTACAATATTAGTAATGAAGTTGTTTGCAGATCTCATTGCTTGGTTCAATTTGTCGTTGTGACCACTGATATACCTGTGTCCGTGGCGGGAAATGAAGGAAATTCCGACAACGATGACTGGCACGATGGAGAGGACCACCAGAGTCAATTTCCAATTCGTACGAAAGGCGAGCACCAGGGCGGCCAGAGCTTGGACAAGAGCTAGAATTGAAAGTCCTAGTGGTTGCGAAGTGGCCAGCTGCACTTCTTGTATCTGTCTGGTGCCGTCAGAGCTGAAGAGAACAAGAAAATCCCACCCTACGTGTGCATCGTAGCAAGCAATGCTGCCATACCCGTGGTTTGTGCGTCGAACCATTCAATGTCCCGACTCAACAATGACTCGAAAAGCACCTTGCGGATACAATGTGCTTGCATTTCGCCGAAGGTAAGCCAGATTATGAAGACGCCACCCTTGAGCAGTAACGTGGAGGTTCCTATGCCTAACAAGGCATAGATGCTTCTTGATGTTCTGTCAACGAAAGTTGATTCATCAATGTCTCCAGACGCATAGCTTGAGAAGGCATTGAAGAACTTGCCGAAGAAGATGGCCATAGCTGGCTGCAAAAGGCCTGCCGCTGCCGACAGGAGTAATCCAGCAGCGAAGACTGGCAGGTGCGATGCTTTTGTGAAAGCAAAGATGCTCTCCTTGGAGTGAGCATCGCTGCCTTGCACTTGTCGAGACTCGGTTTCGTCATTGTGTGCATCTGTATCGTCATCTATCGTGGGATTGAAAAGGCGCACATTCATCTGGGCAATTCGAAAGAAGCGCGGAAATTCTGCAACAATAAACAAGAAAGATAGTCCAATCTCTGATCAGTCTGCATTGTTCTCAGTTGAGTATTTTGTGATCCGACATTGCGGATGGTAATGGTCATTGCGCCAAGGCCGAAGAGGCAGCTTGATATTGTTCTCCAGGAATGCTGCTCCGCCATCAACATGCGTTCAAAATCCGGACGGTTCCATGTCGCCTGCAGAATCGCCTCTGGCCCAGTCTTAGATGCCGGTGATACGTATCTGGTGGGCTGAACACTTCCTCACGTCGTCGTCTGTCAGTCAGTCCTGGGTTCACCTAGGCTTTATCGAGAAGAGGGAAGCTCTCGTGCAGTCTCTTTAAAGCACCAGGTCCTCCAGACGGCTGTGCCTATTGTTTGAGAGGTTGGTATCTGCTCGCTTCGGTCAGGACTTCTTGCCGGCTTCTTTCTGGGCACTCTCGTAGATCCAGTCGTTTAGTCCCGCACGATTTCTGGCAATCTCGATGGCATAAAACTGCATCCGGATGACAAAGATGGTCTCCTTCTCTCCATACTCCATCTTGGGACTTTTTCTGAGCATAGTGCCGAAATTGTAGTCGTCGATTTTGTTCTCGCCCTTTTCATAAGCCATCGCAAACTTGCGCCACTTCTCCTTGCCCTCTTTGCTCTTCATTTTATCCTCATCAATCTCCTCGGCCGGATCGAAGTCGGGAAACTCACTTTTGAAGTGCTCCAGAATTTGATCGTCCAGTCTCGTAAGCCGAAGTTTTGAACCAGGCAGCTTCTCGAGGATATTCCAGTAGACTGTCATCTGCTGGACAGCCTTCACGGCAAACTGCTTCTCCATGTCCTCGTAGTTAGGAGCATTTTCAGGGTCTATGTAATTGCTTAGAGACATATTGGATGACAGCTCGATGGCAGGCTCAGATTATGAAAATTTGTGTTGTGAGTCGGTCCTGAACTCCTCTTCGCTTTGAAACAGACTGGAGGGACAGGGTGAGGGACACGGAACGGTCGTGAAAGTGATGATTTCTGACTTGCTTGGATGAGAAAATGAAGATGCCCGCGAAGTCGTGTATGAAAACGCTATGACAGTGTCGACGATCTCCAGGAAAATCAAAGGCCCCGAAGAGGCTTGGCAGTCCTACGTCAATGTCACGTGTTAAGGGATACCTTTCACGTGCACATTCCCGTCGACATTTCTCTATCATTTGGTCGCCTGTGGTACCTGGCACCTAGGGCTAACTGTAGAAGTCATCCTGGCCCCATCACTAGCACACAGGCTTCCTGTCGGCTACGAACGTCCCAATCATGAGGCAGTCTTTCCGTCTCCGCTCTGTTGAGAAGGGGCATGTTATCGATGAAGCAGTCGTATTCTGACGGCGGTCCCGGGCAGGGCCCTTGCAATCTCTCAATCTTGGATCTTGAACTGGTTGAATTGTCTAGTGAGTAACCTGCAGCAGAGCCTGGCTGCAAATAAATGCTCGTGTAACCTCAGCTGCGGGGTACTACATATGCTACTGCAAGCATCCCTACTTGGCGCCTATTTCAGCCTCACTTGAACAAATTGTCTTGATCACCATTAGGCATCTACTTGTGCTTGCTAGAGGCGTTTGAGAGGCCAAGTATCGGAATGTTGTGGGAAATACGCTTCAGCCCAGACTATGGATCCTCTGTCAATCAGCGCAAGCGCGGTTGCACTTATCACAGTCTGCGTTGAGACGGTGAAGGTTATCAAGACGACCGTCGAGACGGTCAAGACGGCGAAGAAAGAATTGTTGAACATTCTGAACGCCACCAACCGAGTGCGATTGCTGCTCGAGCAGCTTCGAGGGTTAACTCATCAACTTGGTAGCAAGAACAACCAGGTTCTCCTTGCCTTCGATAAGAGTGGCTGCGAAGAAGTCCTTGATGATCTTCGGCGCCTGGTCAATAAACTGGCACAGTCCGACAAATTTGTTGGCTTTCAATTTCTGGTGCGACGAAGCAAGATTGAGGCCCTCGTTACTGGGCTACGGACCCAAGAAGATGGGATTCGCACTGTCCTCCTATCGGTTGCTACGTCAGCAATATCTCCCCTGAAAATCTACATCCTGTACTGACCACGAAGATAGGGAGTCGGCAGTGTTCACCCGAGAATTCGTGCAAACACTGATGAATGGAGCAAACGTACAAGCAGTCTCGATATCTTCCATTACACAGAGCTCCAACGGAGAAGTGGACGAGCCGCCACCTCCTTTCGCTGAGCACGCTGAGCCAACGTCGTCCAACGATAAGACTACGGGGGTGGCCATCACCACTTCGTCATTGGCAGCTCCGGCCAATTCAAAGACAAAAAAATCGACTACAGAAGACCAAGGTCGGGCCGAGGACATGGTAGCTCTGGCCGAGAACGATCTGCCCGCCACGCCTGGCTCTGGTGAGGCAGGGGAACCCGACACCGATGAAGGACTCTGGTCACCTCTGACAAAATACGTCTCGAATCTGTGGCCATCTCCTGCGACAGCATCACCGGCAGGTATGGAGGGAGAGATCGCCGCTCCGACCAATCTGCCGGCCTTCGTCAAAGTATTGTCAGGGACAAGTGTATGGCACGGCCAGCTGACACGGTATCTATACGACGATGGTTACCTCAAACTCCGGGATGGTCTCGCAGATGCAGCATATTATGGCGATTGGGAAGCGGTCGAGGAAATCTTGAAAGCTGCTCAGAGAGCCGGGCTTGGATCGTGGCCGAACTGTTACCGGATAGGAGGCTGGAGAGGACCTTCTGGCTGGACGCCTCTGCATCAAGCCGCCTTTCTCGGAGCGCCTGCTATGGTGGTCAGAATGCTGCTAGACTATGGTGCTTCAAGGATGCTGCGCACATTGTGGACTTCGTCATCCGAGCTGCCTCACAAAAGTATGACTGCATTGGAGATGGCTCGGTTTCTCGGATTCCGACACCTTTACGACATTCTCTCACCTGTTCTCCACCATACCATTCCACATACGACACTGGACAAATTGCAGCAAAATTTTCATGATCTGATCCGGACTCATCTCGCTGGGCTACGGGAGGGCGCTAACTTGCGCCTGCCAGAGCTAGAATTGCTCACGGAGCTTAAGAATCCGGAGATGTACTTTCCGCTCAAATCCCCCAACATTGCCATGGTAAGACGAGATCAACAATCTAATTTAGTTGCGGGTCACTGATCGTTGGGTAGGGGTACTTCTACCGACTCGATGGCCGAGAGCTTCTGGTAACGTGCCTCGGGATATCATCGTCTTCTCGTCCCAGATATTTTCGTATCTCGGAGCGTGGGGCACGGGAGATCCAAGACGCAGTCTTATTCGACATGGAGTAAGCACAATGCAGGCTGGTCCACAATCTGGGTGACTTACACCACTACATACACTATCGACCCCTCTGGGCTATATACATTATACCGTTCAGCATCATCGACCTGTCGTAACTAATTACCGTTTCCTCGTCCAGCTTCGGGGCTCATTCATGACCCGATCACAACTCAAGACTTGGTCTGCAACAATGCCGACAATGCGGACGCAAAGGCCGCAGGATATTCAGTGTACCCAACGTGATCCCCCGGAAGGAGGTTGACCGGCAATCCAATCGCTTGCCCAATGACCTTGTTCGAACGAACCTCCATGCCCGCAGCGTTCGAAGCGTTCCCATTGGCAAGCAACAATTTATTCTTGTGCTGTCCAATAGCCGGAATGCTCCAATTGTGCAGCGGATACGGCACGACCTCCCGATCGAACCAGTAGTTCACGTTCCCCTTGCTGTATGCAGTTTGGCTGCCCAACCCACCTAGGACTTTCGACGTGCTGGCCCCCGCCGCATAAAATACCGCGAATTCCAATAGCGCATCATATGTGCCATACTTGACGTAGGTATTGTAAATATCCAGCTGGCCGGCGGTCAAATTCGCGGCATCAGGAAGGATTCTGAGCGCTGGCACTTCGTGCGAGACCAGGCCCGTGAGTATGTCTGAATGGCGGAGGAGGAGCTCGAGAGCGACGGCGGCCCCGGAACTTGTGCCGAGAGCATAAGCGGGCCCGCTTTTTGCGAGATGTTTGATGAGCGCGGCGGCGTCGTCGGCGTCGGTTGCGAGACGATGCGCATAGTCTTGCGTGCCGGTTATATTGCTGCGAGAAAAGCCACGGCGGTCGTAAAGGGCCACGGTGTAATTCTGAGCGAGGTAGGACGCCATGGGTTCCCAGATGAATGCATCGCCATTGGCACCCGAGATGAAAAGGACCAATGGGCCTTGACCACAGGAGTCGGTCTCGTAGTAGAGCGTTGCGTTGGTGACGTTCAGAGCCCCCGGGGTCGGTGTCGGTGCGCAAGCGGAACGTTCAGTAAGGCCGGGAAAAGCACATACTGTAGAAGCAAGCTGCGAAAGCAGGAGGGCTGGAAGGAGATGTCTCATTCTGAGTTTGCCTGTTCTTCGGAACCTGGGTGTGGATGAAAGTCGAATGAGCGAGAGCAACCCTTTGCAATAATGACCACATGCTTGAGGTATTCTTATATGCTCAACATAGATCCGTGGGACGCTCTTCTTCCTTCGTCCATCGCCCCGCGGCACATGCGTCTAGCCTTGCGATAGGCGCGGCAGTCGAATCGATTTCCCTTTCGGGAAGTCAGCGCTCAGCCTGGTGCTAGTAGAGCTCGAAGAAAATGCCGCACAATATGTTGAGATAACACTAGCCGGGATTGTGGAAGGTGTTGTGCTCGGCGGGTTGATGGTAGTCAAGTAATGTGATTGAGAACTGTTAGCATTGGCATTGGCATCTGTTGCTCTCTTCCACAGACTTGGATCTGGGCGATCGTCTTTCGCTCATAAAGTGTCATGACTGAGAGGCCAGAGCTAGAGTTGGTAGTACTGGCGCGATGAGAGGGTGCACAACACCTGTGGAGGCATCACTCATGGCCGTCTCAAATAGCACGACCTACCTCTGTGCAGCAACAGAGACTGCTCATTCCATCCGAAATGATGTTGTAGCTTGAGCAGAGTATCATTGAGGAGAGCCATGGCATTTCGAGAACTCCAAGACTTTTGTGTCACACGATGGCCTCTATCGGGGGGTTGGATTCCTCGATTCGCAGGGGTCTTAGCGGATGATGACAACTATGCGCGGCTCAAATCGAATCACTTGCCTCTGATTTGCAGCTTGCAGTCTCTCGGTCCAGCGACATGCAGAATCTCCTCACATGCCTTTTGTGCGACATAACTTGCATACAAAACATGTGAAAAAGAAGACCACAATACGAGTACTCGTTCCTCTCGTCTAGGCTCGGGATACGGTGGTTGCACCTATCGACTCCACCGCTAGAGCTGACTGCATTTCCGAATTCTCACTGCCCGTTCCCAACCGTTCGTCATGGCTGGGACAGCCGACTTGATATTGTCCCTTATTTTGTGATATCAACCTGACGACTCCAGCTTTCTATCGAAGAGGACGACTTTGTCTGCAAGAAACAATCGCACCCATTCGAGACGCACCCCTTTATTGTTCATGCTCCGCTCAGTCCTTCGGCACCTCCACAAATCGAATCGCCCATCATGGAAATGCCACAAGTCTACCGTCCCATACCCCGAAGAGCCTTTGAGATCGCACCTGCCTCAACAGACTCATCAATGCCTCCCTCCCCAGCCAGCGAGGCTGTGAACAACGAGTTACTCGCTGGCCAAAAATCCGATTCGACGCCAAGCAGGACTCGTTCCATCCTCAACCTTACATCGTCTACATTGCTGGGGATATATTCACCTATATCGGATGGGAACAAAGAAGAGCTATCAACACCGTGGGGCACAGGAGCACAAACACCAATTCAGGGACGAAGCGTTGATGACTCTATACCTCACGAACCTTCACTGACTTGGCCACGAGATGCTACGAAGCCTCGGCTGAAACAGAAAAGAAAGGATGTCATACCCATCCTCTTCCAGACAATACTTCTCTTTGCGTTTGGGATCGGCTACGGATCGATTGTCACACATTTGCACAAGACGCAACGCATCACACCGGTGCCGGTCCCTGATGTCGAACGCAGTTCCTTGTGGTACCTGGTGTCTTGGGGAGTCTTTGGCATAGTGCTGGGTAACGCATTGCCTCTCGTGGACGCATTCTGGGAGACGACTGTCTCCACCGCTATGAAACGAGATCAGGCCACTCAGAGCAGAAAATCAGATGCTGCTCCAAAAGCCACGCCGGATGGCACGACGGCTTCAGACAGTGGTCTTGGTCCTATGTGGTACTCTGCTGTGAGGAGTGTGGGAGTCTTTGTGGGCATCGCTTTTGCGGTCGTAAGTTGCTCCTTCCCATTCAAGCCTCCGGAAGACTAATATACAATCAAGCGACGACTTCCCTGGCAATCAACATTGCAAGTTGCATTGACTTTGGCTCTGGCCAATCCTGTTCTATGGTATCTGATCGATCGATCTTTACCTGGCTTCGCCTTCTCAGCAGTGGTCAGCGTTGCTGGCACATTGGCCCTACTACTGGTCGATCCGGATTTCGTCCCAGTTCCAGCTATTCATCAGCAGATGGCGTCTGAACAATTCGGTGTCTATACTTGGCTGGCAAGCATTCTTTTTTGCACAAGCATCTGCTTCGGAGCTATTGGCAGAAGACTGCAGTTGTGAATAGGAAGGGCTGCAAAAGCCGCAACAGAATTTTGTAGACTTTGAAAGGCTAGAATGCCCGATTGACTCCATTCCATTCAGGATTTTCCAGATAGGACTTGTAAAGGTTGTTGGGCCATGAGGCAGCAGGTGCCTTTTTAGGGTTCTGGACAGCCTGATGGACGACAGCGTCGCCCAGGATTCTCTCAATCTCTAGCCGTGGCAACTTTGCTTCAATCTCTTCTCCGTATGCCACTGCGGCCATTTCCTGTCGCGTCGCAGGCCGAAAATCCATGAGCACACCAAGCCTGACGAGTCTGGCCAACGGGGTGATACGCTCTGCGATACCCGGAGATGTATGTAGAGCTATAGCGGTCCAGACCTCGTGGGCCTCCTGTTCGGACTTGCCATGCTTCCGTAGGAGGTTTGCCGCAGCATCAGCACCCTCGACTTCGAAACGTTGGGGGCCATTGTGGTGATGTGACACACCAAGATCGTGGCAAATGGAGACAACAAACAGAATCTCGCTGTCGACATAGCTGCTCTGTTCTCTGTGCGCCAACCAATTGGCGAAGAGATAGACACGCAAACTGTGGTGGACAATTGATAGTGGCAGGCCAGAGATCATGAGGTCAAATGCATCAGCACATAGTGTGGATCCCTGGGGCACGTAGGCTCGCAACGCATCTCCAGCACTGAGGGCAGTGGTATGTGCGAGACCGGTTTCACCACTGCCGGAATTGGCATTTTCAGAGCACATTGTTGGTTGGTGTGTGCGTCAGAAGGGGTGTACGGCAAGATGGTGTAAGGATTGTCGAGCTTATAGACAGGAAAAATGGCACGGTCTGACGCAGGCGGACAGCTCCTCTAATAAGATACTCGTGGATACTATTGTACCATCTACGATTCAAGGGTAATTAAGAACGGAATATGGCGTGTATGATGAAGTCGACTCGTCCTTGTATCATGCCAAGTTTTACTTGTTTTACTTGTCGAACTTCAGGAGGATATGGCCTTGAAGAGTCAAGAGAACTACCAGGTAGTTGCTGAGACAGGAGTCCTCCTAGTCAGACAATAGCATGTTTTCCCATCCAGAGGCATCATCTGCATCATCTGCATCATGGCATGCAGACACAATTTAGGGCGACTCCAGGTGTTCGTGACCTTGTGCATATGATGGACGCGCTATGATGATCAGGCGCGTTGTGATGGCGTTCAATTCGAGAATAGATAGGCCGGCCCCTGAATAACATGGGCAACCATGGGAGTTGATTGCGTCCGCGATAGGCGCATGAGGCGTCGAAGCTAGGCGAGAAAGGGGGAAGTGTGCATGCAAGGCAAATATAAAAAAAAATACAGTAAACCTGAAAATTGTCCGAGCGTCTGGCCTGGCGAGGAGAGTAGCCGTTGTTGGTAGCGAATCTGCCATCATTCCTGTACACACACCCCATGTCGCTACCCTTCTGACCATCCTTTCACCCCTCTGACTTACTCCGTACAGTCCTCCTGATTCTATTTGACGCCTTACTTCTTACCCATCGCTCAAGAGCCGGCTCTTGTGCGACATTGCTTGTTGCTGCCCAACTGATCCTCTCCTTCACATCACAACCCACGAATAATACACGCCCATAGACCTAATCAATTCCAGACACTCACCACTCGTAGACATCCACGCAATATGGTGTCTTTCCAATGCGAGGTCAGCACGCTGCGCGACATACTCTATCGGACCAATACTGACCTCCTTCACTCAGGCCTGTGGCGACGTCCTCACCAAGAAGAAACTCGACCCGCACCGCAACCAATGTCGAGGCGCAGTCTTTACGTGCATAGACTGCATGACAACCTTTCAAGGAAGAAGCTATAGCTCGCATACAGTATGGCAAAATCCCTGCGTGCCAACGCATGATCTTTGCGAACTAACCGTGCCATAGTCATGTATCACCGAAGACCAGAAATACCAGGGCGCTTTATACCGCGAGAAGCCTTCCAAAGCCGCGAAGAGAAAGTCGGTCTCCATAGTCGAGCCGAACAACAGTAAAGCACTCGTGCCTCGTGCAGCATACGTGGAGGACGCGCCTGATGTCGAGACCCCTCCACACGTTCCTACCCCTCCACCAGCTGTACCAGATTCCAATCGCGACAGCGTTTTTGACTACATGGTGGACGAAAGTCAGCCAGAAACACCACTCATCAGCTACTCAAGAGACAAGGGCGAGATGTCAATGAAAAACAGCGCACCCTCCATCTTTTCCAACAGTCGACCTTCAAGTCAAAATGGGCATCGACACAACGAGGAGTCACTCCACAGTAAAGAGTATGAAGAGCGAGGGTACAGCTGGGGAACAGAGCCTGTCAAACCTCGCGCATCGCTGGACATCAACGGCAGTTCTTTGTCACTCGAATTCATGACCCCGGCCGCTAAGGAGGCAAAGTCAAAACTGGACAAGAACCGCCCTCGGGCGCACAGCCGTACCAACAGCAGCGAGAAGAAACGAAAGCGACCGACCGATGACCAGACCCATGAGTCAGATCGAGATACGTTGATGGTGGATACGTCCAAGACGGATACACCAGGTATCGTGCACTCTGGTCTCACAGGAGGCTTGAGCCGCATGGTGACCCAGGATGAATACCCATTCCGACGATCGCCTGAGACGGTAGAGAGGCGGCAGGTGGCTGAGAAGGACCGTCACAGCCGACGGACTCATAAACCCGAAGATCCAACTTCGCCTCTGAAGCGGACCCGCCATACTAAGGAAGATCCAAACGGCCTAGGCATCTCGATCAAGGGCAGGGCGGTCAAGGCTCTTTCTATGGTCGGAGGCGCTCTTCTTCCCGGATCACAACTCGAAGGTCAGCAAGCCAACACTCGGGTACGAAGGAGAGCAAGCTCTTCCGACCATGGTCAAAGCCTGAGTCGTGTCCGTGAAGGGGAGAAGCGTGAGAGGAAGAAACATAAAGTCCACCGGCATAATGGGACAGCGTCCGCGAACATCCGTCATGAGCACCGATCCCGGCGTCGTGGCAATAGTGACGATACTTCACAAAACGAAGGCACGACGCGCAAACTCAAGGCCATTGAATATCGCAAGCATGATGACTCGGCCTCGGATTCAGATGAGGGTGGTAAGCGGAAAGACGCAAACGCCATGATTGTCTTCGGTCAAGAACAGAGGATGCAGCATTCATGCCAAAATTTCCTTGCTAATGCTCCAGGCTTGGAGTCTGAGAAGGGCTACTCTATCCACAAGATGCTTAAGCGCTGGCACAAGCACAATGATGCGAGGAGTGGGTCGGCCAAAGCGGATGAAGAAAGCGAGCTGTGGAGAGCGCTGCGAATCCGGAGGAATGAGAAGGGCGAGTATGTCGTCTTCTTCTGATGCCTCCTCACCCTTTACGCCTTCGTCGGCATCATATGGAGAGATTGAGGCCTCTTCCCAGTTGCAAGATTTGTGTTGATGACATGAGCTTTGTCGCTTGAACACTTGTCTTTTTCTTATGACTGGGAGCGGTTATGGCATGCGCAGCATATTCATAGAGATCTAATGATTGTATAATATGGATTATGAGACGACATTATGGAGAAGTCGTGCCGTGGAAGCTTGTATGGGATTGACATCACTTGAGAGAACAATCAGCATAGAGAGAGCACTTTTGCATCGCAATTAAGGACAGAACAGAAAAACAGAAAGCCATCCGTTCTGCAGTCCCTCCGGATACGATATGCATGACGCGACCAGTATTCAGGCAGATATGTCTCCACAATACTCGAGCATACACAGTGAAGAGTTTGTCTTGTTTAACAGGTCGATCGTCATCAGTCAATTTTGAGAAGACTCCTGCGATATCGCAGCCCATGGAGCTCTCGATAAAGAAGAACATCGATTGCGCGACCATCTTTGCCAATATAGTAAAGACTATCGGCCGGTCGAGGTGTCAGCTTGACTTTGAGAGCTGTCAATCCATGCAATGTTCAGGAGGGCGGGATGATGTCACGTGTAGGAACGAAAGGATCGTGAAGGATGCACTCCTTTCGATCTTGAAAAATCCCACAAGAAAGTTGAGTCTCGCTCTCCTGTCGCTCCCAGCCATTGCTGTATTTGTGTGCGATCGATGGAAAAGGTGACCGGCATCTTGTGAAACCAGTATGTATCAGCTCGGTTAGCGAGTCTTGCGTGGAACAGGAATTCCGGCAACCTGAAACACATCGATGCAGTGGAATGATCGAGTGGCGGAAAAAGTGGTGCTGTCTGACCTAACGCGCGTCCTTACAGGCACATTCAGCAAGGCAAGGGATGTTCACACTGGAACAGGGTTTGCCATCGACAGAGCCCGTTATGCGCCCAAGGAAAACTCACAAATTTGAGCGAGAGTGAATTGAGCTCTGTACGGTGTTTCTGGACAGAATGCCTCTGATATGGTGAGATTGGCGGGCGAGATAGATGCCCAGGAGTGATGTAGATGTACTATGGTAGTACTGTCAGACAGAACCAAATACTTTTCCTGGGCTGGAACATGGCTCTGAGTGGAAGACGGAAGAACAGGGCCTGTAGCGAAAGGAATGGGGAAAGGAGGGCCGGCCCTAAATTTATCAGCCATTGGCCTTTTGGGTGGATCAGATTCACCATACAGGGTACCTAGGTACTACGGAGTCCTGTGTTACTGGCGGTGGCCATTGGCAGCACGTCTTCACCCAACCATTCCCACGCCCGCCTGGTGGCCAGCGTAACCGTGCCTGGCTTGGCCCGGTACCAGAATTCCTCCCTTGGCTCGTAAGCTGACTTGACCTTCCACTTCTCCTTCTCAACGACACTCAAGTGTATTTCTGTCTTTCGTATTATCATCACATCTCCCAACCCATGATGTTGAAAACATAAAAGCATTCGGTATCCAATCTTACACAACACTGCAATCTTGTCCACCTCAACATGGCCAAACCTCCGCTTCGGCCCCCAGGAGGCCGACGCGGAGGATCCAAATCAATGCTCACCTGGGCCTTGCTTCTCCTGCTCATTGCTGCCGCTCACCCTCAATCGATCCACCAACCCGAGTCCATCCAACGCCTGGTGGCATCAACTCAGAGCATCCGTACCGAGCCGAGTCGACGCCCTCAAGCTGGCCGCAGCCCAGCAGAGATCCCACTCGTGAAGAACGACATCAGAACCGTCAAGTTCAAAAGTACCGATGAAAGCCTCGAACACCCCAAACTCCGTGCCTTGGCTCCAGCCTACGATAGCAGTAGTGCTGTTAGAGCACCTCTTGTTCAGTCTGCCGAGTCCCCTGGGCTCTCAGCGCTCGCTTCAGCGCGGCTCCTGCAAGATTGGGAGGTGGAGAATATTGTCCTCTTAGCCACCATCGATGGCACCATACATGCACTCGACAGGAAGACTGGAAGAGAAAGATGGTCGTTGGGCATTCCCAACAGTCCCATGATTGAGACTATCCACCACAAGTTGAACCGGAGTGACCTGGAGGACGATTCATATCTCGAAGATGATTACATGTTTATCGTGGAGCCGAGCAAGGATGGCAATTTATACATTCAACACAGAGATCCCAGAATAGGTCTGCAGCGTCTGAGTGTCACCGTTCGATCTCTAGCAGAGTCCACGCCGCAATTTGTGGAGGATCCCCCTTTGGTCACGATCTCTTCTCAAGAGACTACAGCCTACGTGGTCGACGCTGCCACAGGAAATATTTTACAACAGTTCGACAGATATCGAGGCTTTTCCAATGACGATCAGAGTCGAAGTTGCCGACGACTGAGTGGGTTTGAACTGGATGACCCTGCCTGCGAGCCACTTGGGACCATAAATTTGGGACGCATCGAGTACACGATACGGATATCACACAAAATCACGAACCAACCACTGTGCACCATCAAGTTTGCCGAATGGCTCCCCAACAAGGGGGATAGTGACCTCCAAGACCAATATGTTGCACCCCTTGACAACTACCACATTCAAAGCTACTACAACGGCCGTATCATTGGCCTGGATGGCAATGCAGACGCTCCTAAAGTGCACCAGTTCACTCAGATGCTGGACACGCCGGTGGCCAGAGTTTTCGATGTGGTTCGGCCACAAGATAATAAAGAAGGAACAGCCAACCTGGTCCTGCTTGCTCGTCCCACTGACTCGCCTCTACTCGCTTCGCCCGAAGTCTGGCGAAACGAGATGCAAAGAGCTGAAAGAGTCTTCGTCAACCGCACCGAAGCTGGGGTCTGGTATGCCATGTCTGAGCTTTCATACCCGGGCGTCACCAATGGTGCTGCACCTGCGAGCTCACATTGGAACTATGACAATCATCCCTTGAATTTTAATGGCAACATGGAAGAGATTGTCGGTGTGCACGTTCTGTCCATCCAAGAGGATAGTTCCCCTTTACGATTGACCATCTCTGGTCCACCTCCGGTGACGGACTTGGCTGAAGAGGCAGAAAAGGCGATCGCTTCTATGGATTCGAGACTTCCACCTGCTCTGCTCCCCGTCATGAATAGTCCCTGGCTATCAGTGTTCAATGTCATTGTGGCTAGTATCATTCTATTTGTGGTCGGACTTCAGATGAGGCTCCCAATGATGGTCAAGATGCAACACTTCCTTCGCAAGGCTGGTGTAGAAGTGGCAGTGGACAAGTCGCACCCGCAAGGACCGGCTTTCACCACTGATTCACCAGTCGATCAGGAGATTCTGGTTGCCGGCGTTGCTCAGAAGAATGGCGCTCCCACTGATCTTTCGGAAGTGCTGGAGAACACCATTGCCACGCCTGCTCGAAGTCGGGCCCAAAGCATTGCCGTCTCATTTGCCATCCCGGGCAAGATTGTCAGTATGGCAGAGCCCAACGAGGAGAGCTCGGAAGGAGAATCCGACGAAGACAAATCCAAGCAAGAAGTCAACTCGAACGAGGCTGCCGAAAATGGCGCACAACCCCGTCGCAGGCATGCAAAGCGTGGGAAACGTGGGGGAAAGAAGAACAGAAAAAGTAAGAAGACGATGGACCCAGAGGCAATGGATGAGAAAGTGGAGCTTGCTACCGAAGTTCCAACCAAGGACGGCCTGTTACAGGTTGGGAAACTAAAGATTGACACCAAGGAAGACCGTTGTCTGGGTCGTGGTAGCAATGGCACGGCTGTCTTTCCTGGATCACTCGATGGCCGTGAGGTCGCCGTTAAACGTCTCATTCGGACATCGAACAGTCTTGCCGCGAAAGAGATCAAGCATCTTCTCTCGAGCGATGAGAACCCTCACGTCATTCGATACTTTGGGAAAGAAGAGTCGCAGCACTTCACATATATCGCCTTGGAGCTGTTCACGACCTCGCTGGACCAGTTTATCGAACGACCACTGCAATACCCGAACCTGGTCAAATTTCCAGAGGGATTTGATGTCAAGGACTGCCTCCGCCAAATCACCGATGGTGTTCAGCATCTCCACTCGCTCAAGCTTGTTCACAGGGACATCAAGCCTCAGAACGTGCTGGTCAAGGCCGTAAAAAGCCAGCGCCCCACGACCGGCTTGCCGAAGTTGCAGTTCGTCATCTCCGACTTTGGTCTCTGCAAGCCTCTAGAGGAAGGTCCGGAGTCAACCTTTGCACCAACAGCCAATCATACAGCTGCCGGAACGACAGGATGGAGAGCCCCCGAGTTGCTTGTTCATTCGCGAGCAACTGTTGCCGCACCAAATGCAAATTCGTCCACATCAAAATCGACCACTCATTCCAGCGACGGAACAGTCCTTGATGCCCCATCTGGCCGTCGTGCGACGAAGGCTATCGATATCTTCTCCCTGGGCTGCGTCTTCTACTATGTCATGACCCAAGGCCAACATCCCTTTGATGTTGGTGGAACCAGTCTGGGCCGGGACTTGAATATCAAGGACAATAACTTCAGCACCGACGGTTTGCGGCTGCATGAGTACCAATACGAGGCTGATGACCTTATCATGCAAATGCTCAAGCATGACCCTAAGGAGCGTCCAGATACGCACGAAATCTTCCGTCATCCATATTTCTGGGACGTTGCCGACAAGCTGGAATTCCTCTGCGATGTCTCGGACTGCTTCGAGCGTGAGAAGAACTCTATCAACAACTTTCACGATGAGAACGCTGTCCGAACGCCCTCAGAGAGGGCCTCTTTTGAGGAGCTTGCAGCCTTGGAAGCACTGGCCCCGAACGTGATCGGACCATCCAAGGACTTCCTCCGTGCCTTGCCTAAGAGCTTCGTCAATGAAATGGGCAAGCAGCGGAAGTACACTGGGTCTCGAATGATTGACCTATTGCGAGTCATCAGGAACAAGAAAAATCATTTCCACGACCTACCGGACGATGTCAAGGAGCAGATGCTCGGCGGCAGTGCTAAAGGCTACTACGAATTCTGGGCCAAGCGATTCCCCAGTCTGCTGATTAATTGTCATTGTCTGCTGTTGGATCGGGATCTTGTGGCACGTTTCAAGATGGACAGGTACTATGATGAGTTTTAAATCCAAGCTCTAGAAACATTGCAGCGGTTAAACAAGTCATCGAGCCAAATCAAGGGTAACCTGGGAAGATGTTGTTGCAGATAGTCATGGTCTCATTGTGTCTGTATCTATCTCGTCATATCTACGGAGTAGTATTCGTGGAATGGCAACGTGGCTTAGAATGCATTCGTGAAAGGATTCGGCTTTTGGCAATCGTCTGTAAAATCGTACATGCATCCTCTTCTCATTTCCCGAACCATTTTTGTTTTCTTGGCTGGCTGTAGACAAGACCTGGAACGAGACGAATCGGTGCTGGGCAAGTCCCACGACCACCTGAGTATAGACATGTCATTTCCTGCTTCCGTCAAATTCGCCGTGCTATGCCATGCTTTGCAAGAGACAGTAATAGATTTCGTGATTCCCCATCTCAGCACGACTAGGGCTGTCAAATTTTGGAAGCCTGTCATGCCCGTGGTCCTCGGGTCATTTCCGGCCTCGTCGACCCACCGTGCTCATTCTCTAGCCAAGATGCGCATGACCATGTTCTCAACCAGAGACTTCACACGCGTGCATCATGTAGGCGCACGCGCCTTGTTTTGGACCCGCTGCATGTCGATCTGCAACATCATAATTTAAATTTCCCTTTCCCCGGATAAGAGAACCAAAACCAACGGTTAAACATTGGGAAGTTCCGGAATGGGGGGAAGGCAGGCCACACTGCCGCACATTGGAGCTTTAGAGCAGGGGCCTGAGCTGGACGTTCTTGAACGCACGCCCACTGGTGGTGTTCAGATACCCCGAGAATGGGGGTTTTACATACGCTCTCTCCTTCTCGGCGCGGCGCGGATGATATTGTCCACTCTGAGCAGGAGTTCGGCTGCTTCACTTGCCGAACTCACGACGGCCTTCTTTAGCTTGTAGCTCTCGATGACGCCGAGTTCGCGCATGTCGGTGATGCCACCGCCTGGCGTGAGCAGATCGAGCCCACTATTCATCATGCCTCGGTAGACTTCACTGCGCAGCTCCGAGACCAGGGCAGACGAGTCCAGACCGGCGTTGTCGGCGAGGATGGTGGGTAACTGTCTCAAGGCGGTGGCGAAGGAGTCGATGGCGATGCGTTTCTTGCCGCCGACTTGCTGCGCCAGCGAGTCGACGGCTTTGGCCATGACCATCTCTGCGCATCCGCCGCCGAGGGTGACGCGGGGCTCTTTGATTGTTTGTGAGAGAACGGCGAGTGCATCGTGCAGCGACCGCTCCGCCTCGTCGAGGAGCTGTTCCGTCGCGCCGCGGAGCACGATCGTGCATGCCTCGCCGGCCGCGACGCCGGAGAATTTGATCAGCGTGTCTTCACCGATGATGACTTCCTCGATCAGGTCGCAGTGTCCCAGCTTGACTTGGTCCGGGTGGTCGAAAGTACTTGCGATTTCGCCGCCGGTGACCAGAGCGAGACGCTCGACGCCGTCGAAGTCTGCGTGCTCGATGGAGACGATGCCGGCCTCGGTGAAGAGTTGCTCGGGCCAGTTGTAGATGAGTTGGCGGTTGATGAAGCAGTTGATGCCGTGGGCCTTGATGCGCTCGACCTTTTGACGCATCTTCTCGCGCTCGGCTTTTTCGAGCTCGGCCAGTTCCTTGGGCGAGCCGACTTTCATGCGTGAGGCCCAGATCTTGACTTTGTCGGTGTCCATGGCCGTGTTGGCGACGAGGATCTTTGCATTTTCCAGGCGCTTGGGCTGGTTCACACCGACTTTCTTGTCCAGGATGAAACCTTCGTCGAGGTAGCTGTCGGACAGCTTCCCGCCTGCTTTCTTAATGATTTGGATATGGTTCAGGTCTGTGGAGCCCTTGAGGCGGAGGACGGCTTCGCAGGCGAGGTTGGCGAACTTGTCGCGGTCTTGGGAGAGGACTTTGGAGGATAGGGTTGTGCGGGCAATGGATTGGAGGTCACGACGGAAGAGGTCGGGATTCTTGCTGTTGTCGACGGCGGACTTTTCGAGGGCCGACAGTGCCGCTTGTGATGCCAGACGGTAGCCTTCTATGATGGTCTGTGGGTGGATATGGTGGTTGACGAGCTGTTCGGCCTCGCGGAGAAGCTCGGCAGCCAGAACGGTGACGGAGGTGGTGCCGTCGCCGACTTCGTCATCTTGGACTTTGGAGATGTTCACGAGAACTTTGGCCGCGGCATTGTCGAGGGCGATGGATTTGAGAATTGTGGCGCCGTCGTTGGTTACCATGATCTCGCCGGTGCTGGCGCTCTGCAGGATCTTGTCCATGCCTTTGGGACCGAGGGTTGATTTGACGAGGTCACCGACTGCGATAGCGCCGACGAAGGCGGAGAGACGGGCATTTTCGCCTTTTTCTTCTTGCACGTCGTCGGCGAAGATCTGTGTCGGATTATTCATCGCCATGTTGATCGTGTTCGGGTTGTGGTGTAGGTGTTCTGGCGTGAATCTCGTCAACGTCGTGGTACGTCCAGGCTGCTCCAAAATTTGTGAATATCAGACTGCGGAGGAGTGGTAGGGCACGTATTGGGTAGGTTACCCGAGAGGTCACGTGAAACTAAGAATCGTACCGTCTCACGTGCCTTTTTTTGTGTTTGGCTTAATGGTTGCTTGGCGGAGACGGCTGGGTATCAATTGCCGCCGCCCTTACATAGTGCATATTGCCCTGCATAAAATCAGGGTTTCCCAGCCTATTGTTACGAGTAGATACGAGCACAAGTACGAACCGGGGGGTTAAAGAGGTGGCATATCCGTACATAGTAAGTTTTCCCTGTAGATCTGTAAATTCTCCTGCCACTTGTTTCATCTTGAGAAGCTCATGTGAGTCTTTACCCAGACCTTCCTTTCCAGCCCACGCTTATCGTATCATGCTCATGAGGTGTGATCTTCATCTCTTCTGGATCCAGTCTCGCTTCGAGCTGGAGCCATATTATGGCGGTTGACTCCAGTCGCGAAATTATGTTTGTTCTCGGCGTTCAATCGTAAGGGAAATTCGGTCTCTCGGCAAGGAGAACCGTGGCTTGCGACTTTTCCCCAGTTGGGTGCCAGTTAACCTGCACCAGCCAGAGAGGCCAGTTTCGAAGGGTCAACTTTAAATCAAGGTCTTGATGGCCCTATGCAACATGGATCCGAGGCCCTAAGTGGTTCCCTGGCTGGGTCTCTGAGTGGTTCCTAGGGGTGGCTAGTCAGGCACCGTCGCATTTTACTCGCTGTCGCATTGAAGCTTATCGTCAACAAATGGGGTGGCATCAGTGGGCTCAATTTCCATAGCCATGCATAGCGTTGATCAAGCCCACACAAACAGGCTCTTGTCGGCAAGCGCTGGCTGGCATGGCAGGAACCCTGACGCGTCAAGATTTTTGCTGGTGTGATGTCCGACGTCTACCCCGGGACTTGCACTGATTGACAAGGCACGGTTCCCTCGAGATGTAAGCACCTTTTCCATCCTTCAATCCTATCTACTTTGTTGTCGCATCACATTACACCAGTATAGCCAATATGCGGCATCTCTTATACACGACGCTTGCCGTCGCCGCAAGCGTCGTCCTCGCAGCACCTTTAGCGGACGACGTCTCCGACTTCAACCTCCTCCACGCCCGCAACATCGTCACTGAGATCCAGGATTCCTATGACTTCGTGATAGTTGGCGGTGGATTGGCAGGTCTCGTGCTCGGTGGCCGTCTGTCAGAAGACTCGAACCATACTGTGCTTGTCCTCGAGGCGGGCAGTAATGGAGACGAATACCGGGATCGAATAAGTAAGAAGCCTCTCAATCAACATTCGTCAAATTGCCTCTAATGCTGGGCAGATACTCCCGCTGATGCCTACTACGAGTCCCTCTGGCCAACGCCGCTGAATTGGGCCTTCAACACCACCGCACAAGCTGGCATGAACAACTCACAGATGACCTGGCCTCGTGGCAAGACGCTTGGAGGTATGATTTTTGACACCTGAAGAGCAGAACAAGACTAACCGGTTTACACAGGCAGCTCAGCCATCAATGGAATGTACATGAACCGACCCGGCGAGATCGAAGTCAATGCCTGGCAAGTAATGCTTGGAGACATGGACGGTGCCGACAACTGGTCTTGGGATTCCCTGTTTGCTGCCATGAAGAAGAGTGAAACCTTCGGGCCTCCAACGCAAGAGATCGCGCAGGAGGCCGGCATCACCTACGACGCTTCGAGTCACGGCAGCCATGGACCTATTCATATGTCTTACCCCGGCTAGTATGTGCCCCAGGTCCAGCACATTTCTTGTTGCTAACACTGCTGCAGTACCTTCCCACTCGTTGGTCAATGGTCAGAAGCTATGGAGAATGTTGGCATCCCTGTCTCTCACGACACATACGGGGGCGAAAGTTGGGGCGCTTATGTTTCAACCTCTGCCATCAATCCAACCAACTGGACACGTTCCTACAGTCGTTCTGGCTACCTCGACCCATTGCCGCCTCGTTCCAACTACGACGTCCTTACTGACGCTCATGTTACTCGAATCCTATTCAACTCTTCGTCCAAAGCTGGCAACTTAAGCGCAAACGCTGTAGAATACTCACCCGATGGTGGCGCCACCAAGCTTACGGTCAATGTCAACAAGGAAGTCATCCTAGCAGGTGGCACGGTCGGCAGTCCTGCTGTCCTGCTCTACAGCGGTGTAGGTCCTAAAGACGTTCTCGACGCTGCTGGAGTCGACGTTGTCTCCGAACTCCCGGGTGTCGGCCACCATCTGCAAGATCATTTGGTAAGTGACTGTTGTGTGCGTGAAATTGCCAGAAATTTTCTAATCTGAAACAGAGTGCCACAGTTCAATGGAGCACAGATCAGTCGACGGCCGGTTCCTTGTACGCTGCCAACGGTTCCGAGACAGTGGGTCCAGATGTGTCAATGCCGTGTTCCTGATGACTAACCCATTTTCAGACTGACTCGGCCTTCCTCTCCTATGTCAACTCCGCAACCGCATACGTTAACGCCAGCAACATGTTCGGCGCCGGCATGGCCGATTTGAAAACCAGCATCCTGCAACAGCTCGACTCTTTTGCTGCGAGTGCCGGCACAGACGAGACCGTTGTTGCCGGTTACAAGGCCATCTACAACACCACCATCAATACCATCTTTAGCAGCCATATTGGCCAGGTCGAACTTTTGATCGGGAACAATCTCAACGGCACCATCAACATTGGATGCGCTATTCAGCATCCTTTCAGTCATGGTCAAATCTCCATCAATTCGTCCAACCCTATGGATTACCCTGTCATCAACCCCAACTACTTGACACATCCGGCTGGTAGGTCACTCGTCGCTGTTCACATTACCTTGGAGACTGACATAATATCACAGACATACATATTCTCCGTGAAGGCATCAAGATCGCCCGCAGGTTGGGCGAGGCCGAACCGTTGAGCAGTAGCATGACCAAGGAGGTATGGCCTGGCTCCGACGTCTCGTCCGACGATGAATGGGACGACTGGCTCCGCAACGTCGCTTTCACTGAGTACCACCCTTCTTCAAGCTGCGCAATGATGCCATTGAAGCAAGGCGGCGTGGTTGACGCCAATCTTCGCGTTTACGGTCTCGCCAACGTCCGGGTCGCTGACGCTAGTGTGCCGCCCACCGCCTTCTCTGCACATCTCATGAGCTCGACATATGGTATTGCCGAGCAGGCAAGCACTCTTATCCGAAAGTACTACAACATCGACTCCATACCCAAGAAGTCTCACCACAATACCACGAGCACGGCGAAACCTAGCAGCTCGGCCAACAATCCGGCCGCGATGACCACCAGCACGAGCAGTGCCGCAAGCGCTTCCTCCACAAACGGCAGCGATGGCGGCGTATCAATACAGCCTTGGACACTTATCTTTGCCATCGCTGCAACCGTTCTTTTCGAATTCTGGCTGTGAATAACGACTTTTCTCAGACTAGCGGCATGACCCAGGGCGTTTGGTGTAAAGAATTGGATCCGGCTTTCTACGACTTCATGCACATGCCTTGCTCGTGAAGACATAAGGGAGGAGATTGAGCACCCTCCCGTCCATAATTCACTAATTGATTAATAGAGGACTGCCAAGTCTTCGTACCAAACAAAACTCGTCCCGTTTCTGTGATTGAGCATTACAGAAACACCCTGTTCCTTGCGCTTGTGCATAGCTGTCAGAGTATGCCTCACGATCGTTCGTCGTGTCGTAGTCGTACTAGACGGAAACGACTCGCACCTTAACCTCATAACCATCTCCAACTACCCTCGATAGAACGTAGCCCATGCGTGTGATTGGTGATAGAGGTGCAGATCATTTGGCCTGCACCTTGAGGTCGTACAGGAAGCGCGGCAGCAAGGAGAAAGCGCAGGAACCTGTTGATAAATTGATATATTGATATGTGCTGTTGGGCCTCGGCACAGCTTCCTATTCTAGAATGCTTGGCACAGGCCGATATCTTCCAAGGCTTCTCCCTCACGCGGATTCAGGTACACACAGCCTCGAGAATACTTGATCCAGATTCACAAGCCCCAGGATACCATCACCTTGTCTTGCCTTCTACAGCGCCATTTTGCTCAGCTCTCATTGGGCTGTCCCACGCGCTCCATGACACAAATTTGTAGATCGAGCTTCTCGGCAAATTTGGTCCATGTCTTGAGGTCTGCGGCATCGGCCCTTTCGGCGCCTGTGAGCCGACGCCGAAGCGTTCGGTTTGAAGCCCGTCATACCATTTCTCCTATGGATAGCAATGTTGATACTGAAGTCCTAGTGACGCCAAGGTAGGCAGGACGATGTGCGCTTCACTAAGGTTCCTCGTATGCAAGGCTGAGCTGCCGATGCGCTAACCAGAGTTGATCTGAGAGCCATGCGAAATGGTCTGCCCTGAAATGCATTCTTTATGCGGTTAAAGGGATGTTCCCATATTCTAGAGACATACATTTTGTTTTGATGATTAGGACCTGTTACCGAGTTTGCTCAGTGAACTTTGAGTCATGAAGACATTCTCAGCAGCACCATTCTCGTCTCGTCTGAGAGCCATTGGGACGACAACATGGTCGCAGCGCAATGTCACTCAGTCGGCGGGCGCAATACCTATCGTTCGTGCGCAAATTAAGGCCAGGTCAAGGCACGAACATGCTGTACAAAACCGACATGATCGCAGCGGGCCGCTGAAGGGCGTAAAGATCCTCGACTTGACTCGAGTGCTAGCTGTATGACTGTTACAAGTGCTCGGAGCGCACTCAGACTGACTGGCAATCAGGGACCATTCTGTACTCAGATTCTTGCTGATTATGGTGCTGATGTCATCAAAGTAGAGCATCCCACAGGAGGGGTGAGTCAACAGTCAAGAATCGAAGTGCTCATATCTGAATTCCTTTTGCTCTCAGGACGACACCAGATCATGGCGTACAGATGGGGAGGACAGCATATGGAATTCAAAGGGTAGGACTATGTCCGCCTACTTCAGCACCATCAACCGCAACAAGAAGTCCATCTCACTCAACCTCAAACACGAAAAGGGACGAGCCATCTTCTTTGATCTAGCCAAAAAATCCGACATCGTGTGAGTACGATCCTTTCCACTGTCGATTGACTTATAACCTGTTTTCTTTGTCAGGGTTGACAATTTTATTCCCGGAAAGATGGATGAGCTAGGCATCGGGTACGATGTCTTGCGGCAAATCAACCCGTCCATCATTCACGCGAGCATCTCAGGCAGGTAACCTAACAGCTTGTGAATAAACCAGTGTCTAATGTTGAAGCAGGTTACGGACCTCAAGGCCCATACGCTAAGCGCGCCGGATACGATGTCATTGCCGCCGGCGAAGCTGGTCTTCTTCATATCACAGGCGAACCAAACGGGCCTCCGACCAAGCCTGGCGTCGGTCTAACAGATATGTGTACAGGTCTCTACCTCCACGGTGCCATACTTGCGGCCCTTCACGCTCGCCAGCAGACTGGTGTGGGACAGAAGTTGGATGCCTCTCTGTTCGAGACTCAAATATCTGTACTGGCCAATGTTGCGATGACTTGGCTGAATATGGGTCAAGAGGCTAAGCGCTGGGGAACTTCCCATCCTAGTATCGTTCCCTACCAGGCGTTCAAGACGAAAGATGCCTACCTCGTCCTTGGTGCAACGAACAATAGGCAATTCAAGATACTGGCGGAGCGTCTGGGCCTTCCTGAACTCGCAGATGATGATCGATTCGTCAGCAACGACGCACGCGTGCAGAATCGACAGGCACTGAAGGTGATTCTGGACAAAGCTTTCAGTGCCAGCACCACGAGTGAGTGGTTGGCTGTTTTTGAAGGCAGCGGGATGCCGTACGGTCCCATCAACACTTTGGAAAAAGTGTTCTCGCATCCGCAGACGCAGGCTCGTCAGATGGTGGAAACCGTTCCACATGAAGCTGCCGCATCTGGAAGCATCAAGGTCCTTGGTGAGCAATGCGTAGAAAGGTATCATGTGTTCATGTTGTACTGATCATAGCCCACAGGCATTCCTGTAAAATACGGCACTACGAAGCCTTCTATACACAGCCCGCCGCCAGTACTCGGAGAGCATACGGATGTCGTGCTGAAGGACCTTGGGATCTCTGAGCAGGATATATTGACATTGCGAGCGGAGAAAGCAGTGTGACCACTTCTACCATATTCTTTGGGGGGAAATCACATTTCCGCCCAGGAGGCGAACCACGAATTATTGAACAGAGCGGAGTGACTCTGCCAAGGTACCGCTATTATATTAGTATACTCCGTACACGGGAAGCTTCTCCTCTCTACACCATTGCAATCCTCGTACCTTGACACCTATTCGGCAACATTTCTGTCATTCGATATGTGACTTAGCGGATCATATCAACACGATCCCGGACCACTATTGGAGTAGTTCTACTCCAGGCCTCCAATGCCAACCGCCAACCTTTCGCCGGCCTCGGTGCATAGCTCCCGACTCATCGGTGTGCCGCCGAAAGTGCCTGCTCCTGAGTGCGAAGCGGACCCTACGCCGAAGACGTCAATAGGCTGTGACCTATGCTCCTCCATGGTCCAGAGACTTGCATTTGGAGAACTTCTTTGCCTAGTGAGCTCGAGATCGCATCATGCAAGCCTGTCTGGCCAGAATTGCCAACTTGAAACTTTGAGGCAAGTGGTTCTAACCGGGCCTGGATCTCCCTTCATAAAGCAGTCGAAAACCGATATTAAGCGCGCTCATCAGGCCGCGGATAATATTCTGGATCGCAGGTGAACTAAAGTGCCAGCCAAACCCCCATCTGTCATAGCCTACGGAGCCAGCCGCCCTTGCAAATGCATTCAACAACGTGTATCACCAGAACTCTCAGCAGAACACCCCGTATCAGACTCACACCGCGATGGCGACCACTGGGGAGACGACTGTTGCACGCCAGAGCAACTGAATATCTACAATGCAATGATCCGGATCTGACGGAATCGCAACGTCTGGTTCGGACATCCATCGCAAAGATATGTGCCAACTTCCCCGATGAATACTGGGCCAAGCAAGAGGAGTTAAAGAAGTTCCCGACCGAGCTCTACGATACTCTTGCGAAAGATGGCTGGCTGGGGATATGTATGCCTGAGCAATATGGCGGATCGGGGCTGGGAATTGCAGAGGCGGCTGTTATGATGCAGACCATTTCCGAGTCTGGTGGTGGCATGACGGTCAGTTACCTCTACTCGCTTCTGATATTGGTTCCGAAAGCGCTACAATTCAACGAGAAACCTCTATCGATCACTGACTAGTACACAAGGCAGCATCATCCATCCACATGAATATCTTCGGTCTCGAACCAGTGGCCAAGTTTGGCACCGAAGAACAGAAAGAACGCTGGCTCGTCCCTCTCATTGCGGGCCGGGAAAGAGCCTGCTTTGGTGTGACTGAACCCAATACAGGTCTAGATACCTTGAAGCTTCAATCTTCCGCTACGCGCGACGGAGATGACTATGTCTTGACTGGATCCAAAATCTGGATATCGACGGCCCAAAACGCACAAAAGATGCTTATATTGACTCGGACGACACCACTCGATCAAGTGAAGAAACCTTCGCAGGGCCTGTCGCTGTTCTACACCGACATGACCGATGCAGTCGAGATAACAGAAATTCCAAAAATGGGGAGAGCTGCTGTGGACACTAACACGTTATTTTTCGATGGCTGGAGGGTCCCGGCAAGGGACTTAGTCGGCAAGGAAAATGAAGGGTGCGTACTCCTTCCTGCCTGAGGCTGTGTCATTCTGGCATTTGACTGATCAACGTTGTGTTATTGTGTACAGCTTCAAGATGATCATGCACGGTATGAATGCAGAAAGAATCCTCATCGGTGCCGAAGCTTTGGGGCTCGGCTATACAGCTCTCAGGAGAGCCGCCATCTACGCCAGCGAGCGACACGTTTTTGGTCGACCGATTGGAAAGAACCAAGCGATTCAGCACCCACTGGCCGACAGCTGGATGAAGCTAGAAGCTGCCAGACTTATGCTATATCACGCAGCAAAGATGTACGACCAGGGCTATGACTCGGGTGAATATGCCAATGCAGCAAAATACCTGGCCGCGGAGGCCGCGTTCGAAGCATGCGAGCGAGCTGTCATGACGCATGGTGGTATGGGCTACGCCAAGGAATATCACGTCGAACGGTATCTGCGCGAGGTCTTTATCCCTCGTATTGCGCCCGTCAGTCGGGAGATGATCTGTAACTACATAGGCGAGCGGGTTTTGGGATTGCCAAAATCCTATTGATAGCACGACCGTTGCGGCTTTTCATCGACCAATAAAAGCGGGCTTCCTCTTCTCCTTGAATGCCAGTAGAGCCTCATTGCGATCATCTGTGTCAATGACCGTCTCGTACTGTGCATTCTCACCCTCCTCATTCCCAGCATCGATGGCCTTCAGAGCAGCACGGACGCCGAGCGGGCCTCCATCACATATCTGCGTAGCCAGCTTCAACGCTTCAGTGAGCGCTTGTTGCCGTGCTACCTCCGCGGTATCATTTGTTGTACCAACGAGCCTGTTGCACAGACCAAGCCTGAAAGCCTCGTCCGCGTCAACGCGACGTCCAGTCAGGATCAGGTCTTTGGCATGGCTTTTACCGATGAGTCGTCCCAGTCTATATGTCCCACCAGCTCCTGGTATGATGCCGAGTCGTGTCTCTGGTAGACCTACCACTGCCGTTCTGGCGAAAACACGAAGACTTGTGGCCATGGCGAGTTCTAGACCGCCTCCTAGTGCCACCGAAGAGACTGCTGCAATCGAGGGTACAGGAAGATCTTCAATAAGCCGAAGGGTGGAACGGAGTGAGTCGAGAAAAGCCGCGCTCCTGTGATAATGCAAGACCCCATCAGCGAACGAAACCGAAGAAGAATAGTATCGCGGGCCCGAGAAATATGAGCGACGTACTCTGCCCTGGTGAACCCAAGCCGTTCTTTCAAGTCGGCTCCAGCGCAAAAGCAGTTGTCCAGCGCACTTGCGATGATGGCCGCTCGAACGGGCGTACAGGAATCGCGACTCTGGCCCTCGATCTTTACTACCTCGGACCGAAGGTCTTTCAAGAGATTGCGAGAGATGGCGTTTCTGGTTTCGAACTTGTTCAAAGAGAGGACTCGAATGACACCAGTATGAGGAGCCGGGTAGTCTTGCACTGCGAGTGACTTGCTGCTGATCAAGCTGTAAGACCGGGTACATCGTATCGACCGGAATGATCGAAGATTGGATTGGATCGATGGTCTTGCCATGTTGTCACTTGTATTGTAGCCTTGAAACGAGGCATTATGAACCGGCGCGTCTTAAGCAGGGCTGGGTCATCAGATATTCAAGACTCTGCCTTACATAATTGCCTTGCGTCGCGTTTGTCCCCCAGAATGGCGAGAACACTGGCCGCCAGCCTTACGCACGAATTTGCATGAACATGCGTGACACGCTCGTCGGAGCTGGTCACCATAGTGATGTCGTCGGAAAAGCCGCCGACAGACCAATCGACAGCCAGCCATACAACACTAAAGACCGTTCACTACTAGTAGTTAGTTAGCTACTCGTAGCAATAGTCTCGAAATCCATGGGTAGACGTCAGGGTTCTCCGCGGTTGGCAGACCGTCGGCGAGGTCGGCTCACTCGCCTCCATGCTGCCCCTGCTTTCTCCTCAAGAACCCCCATACGGCCCCACCATTATGAGGACATTGTGGGAGCCTCGGTGCGGCGCCGAATGAGCCGATCTCGATCGCGACAGCGACTCATATCTCCCTCCTGTAAGAAGTCAACCCAGAATCTGCAAGCTTTTGTCGCACGAGCACTTATTCAAGCTCTGTGGTCAAGATGAGTTCAACGACGCAGACGGTGCAGTCGAAAGGGATTTTCCACGGACTCCCGACATATCCTACCACTCCTGACTTCCAGAACCTCACAGCGATCGTTACGGGGGCAAATGGCATCTCGGGCTACCACATGGTGAAGGTGCTCGCTGCCGCGCCTGAGCGATGGGGCAAAATTTACTGTCTCTCACGCCGACCTCCTCCCGACTATTTCTTCGAGGGTTTGGGCGACCAGGCAGACCGGGTCGAGCATGTTGAGGTGGATTTTCTGGCGGATCCCGACAGCATCGGCAAGGGTCTGGCAGCGAAAGTCGCTCGGGTGTAAGTAGAGTGGTTCTTGGGGGTGATCGATGTTGTGAGTAGTGCTCCGTACTGATCCGGTCTTCATAGCGACCATGTATTCTTTTTCTCCTACATGCAGCCCGCTCAGAAAGGCGGCATATTAGGCATGTGGTCGAATGCAGATGAACTGACCAGGGTCAATGGTGAGTCTTGGATGACCGTGCATGACGGAGATACTGAACTATGTCCCAGCGAGTCTCCTTGAAAACTTCATTGGGGGACTCAAGGCGGCCAAATTGACACCCAAGAGATTCCTCTTACAGACGGGAGCCAAACAGTATGGATTCCACATAGGCCCGGCTACCAGCCCATCTTTTGAGTCGGACCCAAGAATCACTTCCGAGAAGAACTTTTACTACGCTCAAGAAGATCTTCTCTCGGCATATTGTCACGAGTCCGGTGCCCAGTGGGAGGTTGTTCGCCCCTCCTACATCATCGGAGCCGTTCGCGATAACCTGCTCAATCATCTAGTTGGTATCGCGGTTTATGCCTCGGTGCAAGCCTATCTGAAAGAGCCCCTCTCTTTCCCCGGGGACTACATCGCCTGGGACCGCGAGTATTGCCAGAGTACGGCTTTGTTGAACGCCTATCTCGAAGAATGGGCCGTCCTGTCACCACACACGGGCAACCAGGCATTCAATGCCCAGGATGGGTTGCCCTTCACCTGGGGCAGGTTATGGCCCTACCTCGCCGAATGGTACGGCACGTCCTGGAATCCCCCAGAAGCAGACCCTTCGAAATACAGAACAACAGAGTCGAGATGGGAGGAGACTCCCAGAGGGTAAGTGAGCCCCCTAGATTTTTTTGGCTACATTGAACCCAAACTTGAAACTCACATTACACGCACAGATACGGGCCCCGAGGGGTTACTAGGTCCTCGTTCAGCTTCATGGAATGGTCGGAACAGACCAAAGTGGTACAGGCGTGGAAAGAGTTGACAGCGAAGCATGCTCTGCTTCTCGATCCGTTTGCCGATCGCGCGCGAATATTCAGCATGACTGATTCTGCTGTGATTGGAGGTTGGCCTTTGTCTCTGAGCATGCGGAAAGCCGTCAAATTAGGATGGCATGGCTGCGTGGACTCGTACGAGTCGGCTTTCCACACGCTTCGCGACCTGGCCAGGATAAAAGTGGCGCCGCCGCCTGCGAAGACCACTTTCACAGAGTAAATGCATGGGGTTGGATTGCTATCTAGGTAGATGCCTTCGCTACATGCTTAATTTGCTCCGTGGCTTGATAAGGAAGCTCATGTGGCTGTAAGTAATGAAAGGATGTGAAGGGTGAAGGGGTCTGTGGGGGCAAACACGGGGGTCTCGGGGTTAATCAACTGCCCGCGGGACCCCTCAGAACTTGGGGAGGGACGGGGATCTGGCTCGTCAAGCTTACGCGGAGAAGGCTAGTGACTAGGTTTAGTGTGCCTAATTAGTGACGCCTAGAGAGCCCATTCTTAGCAGGCCAAGGATACTGAACTGGGCGTCATCAGCTCGAAGTCCATAATCCCTGCTTCTTTGTTTCCACCATCCCTACTTGCTGAAAGAAACCACTGCCATTACAGTACTTTGGTTTCCCTTGAGTCGATACAAGGATCTTCGCACACATACAGCTCTTCAGGAACGACAAACATGACTGCTTGTGATCGCTGTCACAGTCGAAAAACGCGCTGTGATCAACAGCAGCCCGAGTGCGGCTCCTGCTTGAGGAGTGGCGTGCGCTGTACATACCCAGAGAAGCTGCACTACCGCCATGCAAGACGTCTTGAACTGGAATCCCTGCAGCAACGTGTCTTGTCACTTCAGCGTGAGAATGAAGTCTTGAGAAGCAATCGCTCTGGTAGTCCCGGGACGACTTCAGCAAATCTCGACGATAGTGCTCACTCAAATGGAGTGAGACAGTCGGATCATGCTAGATCCCAATCAACTCAGCACCGCGACAACAACACCAACAACAACCCTGTGGCGGTCCCAGCCAGCAGCCCACCATCAGATGATCTGTCATGGACACCGCTGGCTTCTGAAGCATCTAGAAAGCCAGCATCTCACGGCAAATACCTGGGATCCAGCGCCGGAGCGAACTTTATCGACCTCGTCGAAAGCGTTTTTGACGATGCACCGGTTCCAGCAGGAGAAACATCCGCCGGGGTCTCACAAGCCTATTCCAGATCGCGGCTGGCCAACGACACCGTTTCTCTGTCCGCGTCAATGCCGGATAGACGGACGGCATCACGATTGGTGGCTAGCTATTTCGATCACTGGCACGTCACGTTTCCGCTGTTGTACCGGCCAAGTTTCACGCTCCTCGTCGAGCGGATATACCGCAGTCCAAATGAGTACTTGGAAGACCGCAGCAGTGCCTTTGTCTTCAATATGGTCCTGGCCCTCGGATCAGCGGCGGCCAAGCGCTTTGAGTGGTCCTACAAGGACACCGAGTCCTATTCCAGGCAAGCCATGGTCAACTTCTATGATATCCTCAGGTACCGCGATCTTCGATCCCTCCAAGCGCTGCTGCTGTGTTGCCAGTATGGCATCCATGCAAGTTTGCGTGACACTGCAGATGAGATGTGGGATCTCCTCGGGAAAGCGGAGCGAATTTGCGTCGAAATCGGCCTTCACCAGTCAGTCCAGTCAGCACGCAGTTCCCGAAGCGATTATCATCTGACTGGCTTGGTTCCCATGGCTGTGCGAGCGGAGATGCAGAAACGATGTTTCTGGTGTTTTTACAGTCTAGACCGGTACGTTGGGAATCCGCGCACATCTCGCTTCCGAAGGTCAAGATGGCTAACATGTTCTTCAGCATCGTCAGTGTCACACTCGGTCGCACTCTGACCTTGTCAGACGACGATATCGACACGCCCCTGCCTTCGCCCTTGGATGACGATGAGTTGGAGAACCAGTCTACAAGCACCGACACCTCCGCCGTGGATGCAAATGAGCGGATCTCACCTTTCCTTCGCTTGATCTACGTTCGCCGGCTTCTGGCCAAAAGCCATCGGCTCTTGCACACCAACGTGGCCATGAGATCCCTTCAAGCTCCCGAAAAGAGAGCGATTCGCCAGAATCTCCTGTGCGAACTTCAAGACTGGAGGCAGAGGACGGCAAACGCGATGCCCTGTTCAAACGACGAGTCCTCTCTGGCCATCTCGGCATTCCATTGCGCGAGCTGGTGGGAAGCCGTCTACCATAATGCAGTGTTGGTGCTGTTTCGACCTCCGGCCACCACGACTCTGATGGGAAATGCCGCCGATAGCCAGCCCATGGTCCAGGACAGCGAAGACGTTCTCAAAATCATGTGGGAAACCTCGCGCAAGCTCATCTCGAACTACCGAGAGGTGCTACAAGCTCGACGCCTGAATTATTCGTGGATATGTCTGTACACCATCTTCATGGCCGGCCTTACGAATGTGTACAGTGTCGGCCAGTGGGCTCGTCGGCGCAAGCTTGACCCGGAATCCTTCTTGCCGCCCTGCTCGGACGTCATGACCGACATCAAGAACTGCTCGAACATCCTGACCGCCATCTGCGAGCGATGGGACGACGCGCGCCAGTCGTGCGAGATTTTCAGCCGTCTGAGCGATAGTGCTTTCAAGGAGTTGCTCAGGGCTCATCTTGCTAGTGCCGCGTGCGCTGCTCAGTCGGTGCAACAGCAGCAGCAACAGCAGCAGTCGGCGAATGCTGCGGCGTCGGCCCACCACCACCACCACGGCGGAGGTGGTGCTGGCGCTACTGGGATGATGGCAGGTGGTGGTGGTGGCAGTGGCAGCAGCGTGATAACGCACACGGAATTGCATTCTGTCAATAATTCGCTGCCTGCGCTTCACCAGGACGCGAGGATGGATGATCTGGGATATGGCTTTCAGGATCGGAACGGGAACGGCAATGCGCAGTCGAATTCCATGTTTGATGACCTGGATGGCTTCCAACATACGTTTCAAGACATGCAGAATGCTTTGTATGGAGGTGTATATGACGGATCGAGCGAGATCATGACCGGACTGGCCCGGAACTGGTTCGATCTTGAATGAACTCCTGCATGTTGATGGCTTGGTGGACTTGGGGCCACCTGTGCCACCCGTTGTGCTAGCGAAGGGACACGTTCGAACCGTGGTTCGCTGGATGTTGGTACGGCCTTCTTGAACAGACTGGGTACAAACGACAATTCAAAATTACTACTGGTACAAGTGAATTATCTTTGTACATGGTCATATCTTAACTTGGTAAAATCTCAAACCACCACCATGGCTTTCTGCTCCATCTCATCTTGACCGTTGAATGTGATGGGACTAAATTGACACACTTGGCCGCATGAGGGCCCCTCATGGAGGGCACACACTTTCATGCGAGAGCACCACCGCTCCTGTTGGGTTTCGATTCCAGATGAATAGCGGCGCCGCTTTCCTTGTCTGCCGCAATCTCCTTGTCCAACTCTGCTCTTTGCTCGTCCGTGAGGTCGGTGAGATGCACGGCGACCTGGTCTCCAAACCTCTCGCCGATCTCCTCGAGCGACAAGCCCTTTGTCTCTGGGAAATAGTACCAGATGAGCGGGATGTTGATCGCGGTGAGGATGATGAAGAGGAGATAATACTTCCAGCCGACTTGGGCGAACGCGGTCGGCGCGGCCTCCAGATAGGCGATGGTCGAGAGGAACAGACAAGCCACGCCGAACGACAAGCCGCGCGAGCGGATGTGGGTGGGAAAGATCTCCGAACAATAGACGTAGGTGTTGGCGTCGATGCAACAACCGTAGCTTTTTAAGGTAGTAACCAGTCAGTTAGTTTTCTCTCGAGTAAAACCGAAGGACGACCGGAAGAGGGGAAAGGGAAAAAGCTACTAGTACTTACAAGGTGATGTACAGGAAGAGGAAGAAGACACCTGCGCTCAGACCTGCGTGGTTGGTGGTGCCGATGTACTCTGCGCTCAGGGCGGCTTCGAAACACAGGCTGATCAAGCATCCCGTGAAACCAATGACTAGTAGTGTGTCAGACAGAGAGTTAGGGAAGATTTGTTGCAGCAGAGGATTGGTGAGAACACCTACGTAGAAGCTTGACACGTCCAACCCTGTCGATGAGGAGGGAGTTGATATAGTTCCCGCAGCATGCTACCGAGACGTAGGCCGCCGCCAGGATCAGGGGCAAGCTGCCCGTGAAACCGAGGCCTTGATACAGCAATACACTGTAGTCTTGAAGGGGTGCGTTAGCCCAGATCTCAATTCAGGGACTTTTCAGGATCATATATGTGCGAACGTACTGTAGATCACCAGAATGCCCGTCGACTCGGCCCCGAACATGGTCAAGAAGGCACAGACCATCCGCTTCCGGTATGAAGGTTTGGTGAAGAGAGTCCAGAGAGTCTCTTCCGAAGCAAATGCCTTGTCGGCGATGACCTGGCGCCGCATCTGATAGAACTCCTCGTTGGCGAAATGTGCCGCTTCCGAGTCGACATTTTTCCCGTCCGAGTGAAGTTTGAGGACGATTTCCCACGCCTCTTTGGGTCGGTCGTTCATCAACACTAGCCAGAAATTCGGTCAGCAACAGTAACTTTACTGCAACTATGCGAAGGGGAGGAGGGAGACTTACGCCACCTGGGCGATTCCGGCAGGAAAGGCGTCAGAATCAGCATCGCCAATGGCCAGAGGCATTGTAGGCACAGCGGAAAGCGCCATTGGAAGTGGTCGTTTGTGGAGAAATAACAGGCCACGCCAATCCAGGCGGCCAGAGAATATCCCAAGACCAGTACCACACCTGTAGAGCCATTTTAATGGGGGGGTCCTTTCTAGAGGGCCGGCTGAATTCGATCGGGTTTGTCACTGACCGTGCTGAGAGACCAAGAACCCTCGCGTCGCTGGCGGTGCGATTTCTGATTGGAACAGTGGCACCAAAACCACTAGAATGCCTGTGACCATTGTAAGAAAACACAAAAGCCCAATTTTAACCGGTATTCTGTTGCTTTCTTACCAACAGCAAAGCCACCTAGCAGGCGGCCAACGAGGAACATAGCAATGTTTACCGCTCCTCCTTGAAAGGCACCACCCACAATCGCGACAGGGGTGGCGACAAGTAGGGTCTTTCTGCGACCTAGATAGTCACAAGCCCAGCCATTGAAGATGGCGCCAATAAAGCCACCCACAGAAAAGCAGCCGTTCATGGCGCCGATGATGCTGTTGGTATAGTCATATCTGGGTGCTGTGGCGTCTTGCGTGAGGTCGAAGTATTCGAACCATGATGGTTGACCAAGCGTGGTGGAGACGATGCTGAAGGTATAGCCGTAGGTCAAGCTACCTAGACAAAGGGCCAAAACAATCTGTCCATTGACGGATTAGTTATATGTCTTAGTAAGAGTGTTGCATGTTTGTATCGCCATAGTCGGCTTGAGTAGTCAACGTACAGCTAGGTTGAAGAAAGTGACCTTCCGCTCCACCATTTTGCCGGCGAGTTGGGCAGGCGCGTGCAGGGTAAGTATTGTTTTCAAGGGTCAGGAGCTCCGTGAGAACCGTATATTGACTTGAACTGGTTCTGAAGAATATCAAACACTTGGGAATAGGCTGAATCAGGAAGCATGAGGTACAAGCCGGGTTCTGGAGTGTGTCAGCAGACAGAACGTGCAGGAAGAGACAAGGTCTGGAAAACTGCAAAGGGCAGGGGTTGCAGAGGCCTCAAATAGAAGCATTGCAACAAAGCTTGATATGTACTCCATGCGGACAGATACTTCCGACATCTCTCAGGCCGGAGGTCGATCTCGGCGAGTAGCGACCGAAGGCAGAGTCGAGAGTCGAGACTTGGAGATTGTCCTGCTTAGCCCCTGGCCCCTTGACAGATACCGCTATTCGCCGTGGACTGCATGGGACCATAATGCGGACTAACTTAGAGTCAAAGGGGGCATCATTTCGATGAACTTCTCGGCCTCCGCGCTTTGTAGAGAGCTTACCTGGGGAACACCCCACATTCGAGCTGTTCAAGCTGCGGTGTGTGCGCCGCCAACGTGGACTTGACACCATGATGTGCGGGACTTGAGGCCACAGGCACCCAAGGTTCGACCAGGTAACAACTGTGCTCAATATAATGTCCCAGTCTGACGCATGACCTCTGGAGACACAGGAGTATGATACCGGTTGTCTGAATCTCTCCAGATGTCTCTCTTGACCATCATCTCTTAGGGGTAATTGGGGTGGAGTGTGGAGATGAGAGTGATGAAGGCATGCTTGAGAAAGGGGGGATGGAAGGTTGATTTGTTTTTTAAAACCATGCTCTTCATTTCATGTTTGCGAGGAGACACTGTGCTCGATAATGACCGCTACTACTAATACGTATGATTAGCAATATTCCCGTGCTCCCGAAGGATACCTTAGTGAAGTAATTCGACGGTGTTTCCATGACCCGCTGTATTCTTCCTCAGAACAACCCTCCATGTGTCGACGCTAACAGTAATTTGCGGTTGGAACACGATACCGCCACTCAGCCAAACATTGATACAGTTCAGACCTTTTCGTGAGGTGGTTGTCAATTTCAGTGGCGAAAGATCCTTCGGGTGTGGCCCGTGACTTCTAGTTGTCCACAGTGATCTTCACATTTTTCTCTCCCTCAGGAATGATTTCCTTCTCCTTCTGACCCTTGAGATGCGGCAACTCGACGACAGCTTCGCCAATGATGGTCAGAGCCCGCTTGATCTCCTCCTCCGTGATGACCAACGGCGGCGCCAAACGGATGATGTTTTGATGCGTTGGTTTGGCCTGTTCTTAATTAGCAGAGATCCTCATTCCAACCTTTCGAGGTGCAGCTTACCAACAATCCCTTCTCCTTCATCAGCATACACAGGTCCCAAGCACTATGCCCATCCGTCTTAGACTCGTCAATGACAATGGCATTCAACAACCCCTTGCCACGAATGGTTGTGATGAGCGGCGAATTCAGATCCCTCAGTCCGTCACGGAAAATCTGCCCGAGCTTTTCGGCACGCTCGACCATCTTTTCCTCACGGACGACCTCGAGCGCGCGGATGGCCACAGCGCAGCCGAGTGGGTTACCACCGTAAGTCGAGCCATGCGTGCCGGGTTCAATGGTGAGCATGACATCCTTGCGACCGAGCACACACGAGACAGGGTACATGCCTCCTGATATGGCTTTGCCGAGCAGAACCATATCAGGCTTGATGCCGGCCCATTCGTGGCAGAGCAGCTTGCCGGTGCGGGCAATGCCGGTCTGGATCTCATCACAGATCAACAGCACGTTATGCTTGTCGCATAGAGCACGGATCTCGGTCAGGTAGTCATCGCTGGGCACGACGATGCCAGCTTCACCCTGGATTGGCTCCACGAGGAAGCCTGCAATTTTGTCGCCGTGGGATTCAAAGGCTTCACGGACGGCAGAGACATCGTTGTACGGAATGGTCTTGCCGGTGGCTGGGTTGACGCTGCCAACGCCGGGAAGGAACGGGCCATAATTGTCGCGTGACTCGGGATCTGTCGACATGGAGATTGCTGAAAACTGTGGCAAAAATTAATACTCAAGGTCGGAAGCAAAGGAAGGACGCTTACAGTTCGACCGTGGAAGTTCTCAGCCACACTGAGAACGAGGGCATCCCCTTGGGGGATGCCTTTAGATTTGTAACCCCATTTTCTGGCGATCTTGATGGCGGTCTCGACGGCTTCGGCACCAGTGTTCATGGGCAGAACCATGTCGAATTTGAAATACTTTGTGACGAACTCGGCGAACCGGGGGAAGACATCGTTGTAAAATGCCCTCGAGCTGAGTGTGAGCGTCGACGCCTGTTCCACTAGGGCTTTCACCAATTCTGGGTGGCAATGGCCCTGATTCACGGCTGAGTATGCGGAGAGGAAGTCGAGGTATTGTCGACCCTCGGGATCCCATACCGTCGTGCCCAGCGCTCTGGCGAAGACGACAGGTAAGGGGTGGTAGTTGTGTGCAGCATATTCGTGCTCGGCATGGATGGCTTCTTCCGACGTTGAGGCGTGGTACCTTGACCGATCTGGTGTGCCGGATGGATGGAATGCTGGAGCAGTAGCTTTCAATTGTGTGCCAGTACTGTGACCGTTGAGTTGTGTGACACCGTTGGAGCCATCGCCATCAACCGCAGATGGTGCCATCTTGTTGTTATGTGGTTGTGTGGGACTTTGGGCGCGGCTTTGATATAAGAAATGCAGTGCAGTTGATTGGTCACTGAAGTTGAGATCTATGTGACGAAGAAAGTCGAGATGGCCTTCCGCTGTCTTTATCTAGCTTTTCGACAATCAAGTGATGTGATGTTGTCCTCCGGCAGCCTGGAGGCGAGTCAGATTATGTACCCTGTGTGCCTGTCTCTTTGTGGACCGGACAATCGGTCATGTGCAGAGATTTCATGGACTCAAACTCACCTGTTTGCTAATTGCTATTCCCCTAAGTGCAGTTGTATCCCTAATGGAAGGTGAATGATCGCTAAGAGCAAGCCTAAGCGTGCCCTGACCTTGGCCCGCAATTGTGGGCAAAATGAATGGTTAGGCTTGGTGGTTGGGATATGCAAGGGCAACAAGGACACGGAGGGGCAAAACCTATCCCACGCAACACTCGTGGTTCCTGTGCGATGTCATTGTGCGGCTAACTGCGGTTGAGACTTTGGTCTCTCCATCTTGTGCTCACTCACTCTGCTATAGGGCGCGGCTTACTCTCGAATCACAAATACGTATCCTTTACTTTCTACAGTTCTACTGATCCTCCAAGATGGCAGCTTTGAAAGGTCCCGGCGCTCCTCAGAAACATGATGGCTCCGGTCTGCGCATCGCCATTGTCCACGCTCGCTGGAACACCACCATCATTGATGCCTTGCTCAGCGGCGCAAGGAAAGCCATGCTGGACTCTGGAGTGAAGGAAGAGAACATTGTTATCGAATCAGTACCTGGGTCCTACGAGCTCCCTCTGGCAGTCCAACGAGTCTATGCTGCATCTCAAATACAAAGCACTGCGAGCACGGTAGCTGGCGGTGTGGGCAGTCTGGCGAGCGGTATTGGAGACTTGCTTGGTGGGAGCAATTCGACAACGGATCTGCAAGGAAGCTTACAACCGGGCGCTCCAGAGCCAGAGAAAGACAATCAAGCATTGAGACATGCCTTCGACGCCGTAATAGCCATAGGAGTGTTGATCAAGGGAGAGACAATGCATTTCGAATACATTGCAGACGCTGTGAGCCATGGCCTCATGAGGGTACAGCTGGACAGCCAGGTCCCGGTGATCTTTGGGCTTCTGACCGTGCTGAACGAGGGTCAGGGTCTGGCAAGAGCAGGTCTCGAAGGAGGCACCGGAAAGGAAGCGAAAGGACACAATCATGGAGAGGACTGGGGCAATGCCGCCGTTGAACTAGGGGTGAAGCGAAGAGGTTGGGGTGAAGGCAAGATTGCAGGTTCGTGATGGACATAGAGAAGTCATTGCCGCTCGACTTCCATAGGATATCCGAATCGGGGGACAGCTCACTCGATGCAATTTTATTCATGCTGCGAATTGCATCCGGCTCAAAGAAAAGAACCTTATGGATGCCCGTCTCGAGTTTTGAGCCTGCTTCGCGCGTGAATGCCAGACCTATTTACCATGTTGGAACGCCAGTAGTGCTACAGTACTCTTGAAAGTATGCAAGCTTATTACTCCTGCATGGCACCCTCTTCGTCCTCATCTTCATCATCACCTTCCAGACTCTTCTTTGCCGCCTTTTCCGCTTCCTCTAATAGATCCTGTGGCACATGTTGATGTCGACCTTTTGTGGGACCATCCAAGGTTGAGATCCAGGTCATTTCCAATTCGAATTCCTTGTCTTTCGAATCCTCGTGAGCAACATAGATGATTCTCGCAGCCTCCATGACAGCATCTTTCAGAGTGAGGGAGCAGGTTGGTGAGCCTAAGTCCAGCTTTTCTAACTCAGCCTTTGCGGCTTGTCGTCCTTTGCCGGTCGCGGCACCGTAGTAGCCCTTTCAGACAGTCAGTAGGTGTTGCATCGCCTGTAATCTCTCCACTCACCCAGTACAGCCCGCTGGGCTCGATCATGTATAGACCAGGACCACCTCTCTTGACGGCCTCCTCTTCAAACTTTCCTCCTGCGCCAGACTTTGGTCCTAAGCCGACCTGGCCGTCAACACCGAGCTCAGCTTCCGAGTCCCAACCACCTAATATCGCAGTGACACCAAAGGGCCGCACGGAGGAGTAGAGTGTGTAGGCTTGGACGTAACCTCCCATTCTGGATGCCAGAGCATTGATGGGGATTGGACCTTTGTATGTTTGCCGCCAACTGCTAGCCTCGTCTCTTGCCCTGCTGATGAGATGTCGGCCATCCGGCAGTAAGCCTGAGCAGACAACACCTGCACCGCGGTCTACTGTTGATATTCTCTTGTTGCATCCCGGTTTGAGGAGCTTTGAGCTGATGATCTTCTCGCAAGCAAGGACGACTCCATGTTTTGTTCTTATTCCAATGCAAGTATTGCCGTTTTCCACTGCTTTGACCGCGTATTCGACTTGGAAGTTTCGACCGTCAGGAGAGAAAACAGAATTGGACAGATCATAACCTGTTCCTATCGACGTCTGTTTGCGAAGAAGTTAGTAACCTAGACAGTTGCAACGAGGTATGATGCTCTACCATTGCGATTCAGGTGTCTCTCTAGTTGTACGAAGGATCAATGACGACTGAAGCAACTGGGCAAGCAGTACAACGGATGGGCTCTGGAAGCAAAGTGAGTCTAGGTAGACAGTACTGTTCATTCAGCAATCATTTACGGCTTGCAAGCACTCCAGGCCTCCGCAATGCGCGTCGCTGCTTCAAGTTTCCTAAGCGCATACGGCCACCCCAAAACGGTTTAGCTCAAAGACGGAGCCTTGGCTTGGTTTCCGGCGAGCGTCGGGCACCTGCCAGCATGTCAGTTCGTCATCCACGACATCCTCCTTTCAAGTTCTCCCTTCTTAACCGCCCTTCGTCTCTCTTCTAACACCCTCATCTCTCATAACTTGACTTCATTCTTGCAAAGTTCGATCGCTCAAGCTTTGATGTTGAGCTGAGGTATCGACCTTGCACGACCAACTACATCTGCCTCGTCTTTCAAAAACCCTCTCTACCCCGCTTCTCTCCTATCTGTCTGCCTTGACCGTATCTTTTCACAAACCCGCAGCTCTCCGCTACCGGGCTACTTCAGGACCGGACCTGTCTTCTTTGAACCGGACATCCAGGACAGTTGGCCCTTTGTTCTGGACTCTTGGACCTCTGGAACTCTCCTTGAACACCGGATCCGGACACTGGACCATCGGAGCTTCTATAGCAATTGTGTGTTTTAGTTAGTACAATACGATTTTGAGGCCTAAATCACGAATTTTTGCTTCTTCCTCTTCCTGGTTGTCGTTACTGCAAGGATCTCTAACAGCTGGTGTGGTCAATCTAAAGTCTTGAGTCATGGCCTCAGCGTTTCACCGATGCCAGTATTGTGGCTGCGAGACGGATCTCTCTGGCAATATGGCAGTGTTTGAGGAAAATCCACACTGCAGACAGGTCTGTCCATTCCAATTCCGATTCATGACCTTCTGATTCGTTCTATCAGTGCGGACTATCGGCTTCGGAGAGCGACATCAAAATGCAGGACGACTTGATCAACATGATGACGAGAAACCTTCAGCTCGATCCTATTCAACACCACAATGGTATGTCGATGCCGCCGACCCCTCAAGTCGCCCCACAGTCACCACCGATCACATACATAACCCAGCATTATCACCACTCTGCACATCAGGTACAGTCTCACGATCTCCCTGCTTCCTCAGTACTTGAAGAGGCCGGAATCAATGCTTCGGCTTTGTTTCCATCACAGTTGTTACTGTTCAAGAATGCAGATCTCGAGCAGAGATCGAGATTGATAGAACTCTGGCGAATAGCGCCTCCGACCTACGGACATCAACTGCACCCCGATGACCTGGGGAATTGGCCACAGACGAGCATGGAAAGAGAAGAAGAGGCTGCAAGATATCGTCTTCAAATGGCAGGACAAGAGAGGTTGAAGAACTTATGTGCTTTGCCAGGCTACCAGAATCGAACTGCTGAGCCTTATATGGCTTCTGGTTACGGCAACAACGCTTTGGATGGAATCGCAGATGCCAATGGGACAGAGTACAAACAGTCGAATGATCCAGCCTACAACAGCCGGGAATGGTGGCATTTGTCGGAAGGAGAACCTATGGAGCATCAGTACGGCATGCTTCAGCAGATGTGGGGGTATGGATTCAATTACCCTTCAACAAAGAAGAATGATGGTGACGCAGAGATGTCTTAGGACGGATCACGAGCGGTGATGTTGGAGCATTGTGTATCGATCTTGTTTCGATCTGTCCGGCTGCATAGATTGGTCATGTAGATAGGGGCTTGACTTTCCTTTGTTTATTGGGTTTAATCACAAAGTACATATGTCACTCTTGCTGGTATCACTGTCCTGGAAATGCCAGGAATAAGCTTGTTGTGGCTTGTGTAGCTCGCCTGGTACTCTCGCTTCGGGGTCAGGCTATTTATTCGCCGGCCCAGTAACCGAAATGGGGTCGACAAAATGCGGCAAGAATGATGAACGAAAGAGTCGAGCCACTCTACGGATGAGACGACTGCGAAAGCTTTAATAGTCTTCCATCAAAGCCTAAGACCATGACTGCCATTGATCAGACATGTATGTCATAGAGCTTCGAGTCGATCCATAATCTGACCTACTCCCTCCTACACCGAGTCTACGATCGACGTCCTGCCGCAGTCGCATGCACCTTCGCCTACCAAGACTGGGATTCGCCGCCCTGGTTCCCAGTGAACAGCGACTTCGAAATGGCCTCCATGAGCAAGAGAACTCAAGCGCGCAATGAGAGAGAGCTGCATGATCTACTTCGTACGCCCGGAAACTCACAATGCGCCGATTGTGGTGCAAAGAATCCAGCCTGGGCAAGCTGGAATCTGGGAGTCTTTCTGTGCATGCGATGCGCATCATTGCACAGGAAGTTAGGCACACATATTTCGAAGGTCAAGTCACTGAGTATGGACACATGGACGGCGGAGCAAGTTGAGGTTAGATGTGCGAATGTCTTCGCCGCAAGCATTCACTGACCGCATATAGAGCATGAAACGCAACGGGAATAATGCAGTAAACAAGGTCTACAATCCCAGAAACAAGAAGCCCGATATGCCCCTTGATGCGGACGAGGTGGACTCTGCCATGGAGCGGTTCATACGCAAGAAATATCAAGAGAAGAGTTTGGCAGATGGAAGACCAGAACCTCCACGTCGCGACGACAATCCACCAACGACTTATTCGAGACCCCAGCAGGAAGACTCCCCTCCTCCCCCTCTACCGCCAAAGAAAGGCAAGCTTTTCGGTTTCAGTCTCCGAACATCGGCTTCGGCACTACCCCTGTCAAGGCACGACAAGAAGAAAGCGGCCAAAGAAAGAAGCATGGATAGCAACTTCCAAGTACCCGCGGACGATTATAACTCCATGTCGAGAATGGCGGACTCACGTTTTGAGATGACGGACGCGGACCTACAGAAGAAGTTGAACATGCTATTAGACATGGGCTTCTCGGATGTGGAACGCAATACGAACTTACTTCGGAGACTGAATGGAAACGTCGAAAGGACTATTGCAACGCTGGTTCAGCTAGGGTCAAGTGAAAGCAACAAGTCTTCAACCACCAGAAGGCCACAAGACTACACCCCTTCGACCGAATTTCCGCCCGTCACGACAGCTCCAAAGTCTTCGGAACCGTCTTATAACCCGTTCATACAGACAAGCAATCAAGCTACCGTTGGTCTTTCCATGGGTCAGCCTCAGGCGGCCCCTGCTCAGCAATATGCTAGCAACAACCCTTTTGGTCAGCCACCACGGAGTCAGACTGATGCTGGTCTTGAGCAATCGTTCCAGTCCATGCAGATCGCCCAGCCATTGTTCCCTCACAGTACTGGGGGCTATCCTGCCCAGCATGCTCCTTTGCAGGACCCGCGCTTGCAATATTCCATGACTCCTCCGGTCCCCTCAACAAACTTCCAGCAAGGCTACATGGCATCGCCTGCGGCTATGCCCGCGAACACAAACCCATTCTTTCAATCTGCTCCTATCTCGTCTCAGTCGACTGGCAACAACCCATTCCTTGCCCAGACACAGCCCAGCGCTGCACCTTCATCACATTCGACCAATCCATTTTTGGGCTTTCAACAAGGACAACCGACACAAAGTCCCCTTCGCCAGAGTTCACTCCCTGCCACCATGAATCCTTTCGGCATACCACCGTCACAGTTCCCTCCTCAGGCGTCGCAGCAGCAGACGGTTGGTGCGTCGGTGTCGCAAGCACCAGACTTCTTCGGCGCTGCTCAGGCGAATTCATTCGGAAACCAGAACAATCCATTTCAAACCCAGCAAATGCAGCAACAACCACAGCAGCAGATGCCCCAGTCTCCAGCCCCGCAAACACCCACGGGCTATGCAAACTTCCAATATGCCCAGCCTCAAAGCCAACAACAGCCCCAGCAGGCGCAGATGCCGCACTACCAACAGCAACAATTTGGCCAGCAATCTCAACCTCTCATGTCCCAACAGACAGGTCGCCACGACAAAAACTCCATCATGGCCCTGTTCAACTACCCTCAACTTGCACCCCAACCGCTCGCGTCCATCCCCGAACCTGCAGACCTGCAGCCAAATCAGCAACAAGTCGTCTCACCCGCGCCATCGGGGGACATCTTTGGTCAGCCAAATTCTCCCACACCCACGAAGCGCAGCGCTACGATGCCAGTCTCGCTGTCGAACATGCACTCGGCTGGCGGCGCTGGAAGTCGTAATCCGTTCCTGACGAACGCCGCAAGTACGAATGCGAATGCCACTTTTGGAGTCAATTCGCCACCGCTTGCCAGTGCTATGCAGAATCAGATGCAGTCGCCACAAGGGATTGCTGCGAGGCACGCTAGTCGAGATAGTATGCTCATCAGCGGCCTGGAGAGTGGAAGACATAGTCCCGATGCATTTGCGAATTTGAGCGCACGATACCAATGAGGTCTAGTGACGTGAAGGACTATCGCGAGGGCATGTTGAGAAAAGACTATGTAGCATCTACCCAAGTACTGACATCGATGTTTTGAGTCGTCGCTAGAGTACGGTCTGATACGATGCCCGGTGCTGCAGCGAGAAAAAGAAGGGGAGATAATATCCCAACGAGGGCTGAATAGCCGGAGATAGTTACGAATTTCCTTTGCTCTTGCCTCCTGCCTGCTCTTCTTGATTGTTGATGAGTGGCTATCTAAGCCATTACTGGTGTATAATATCCGAGGCGAAACAGGCGCGAAAGCACTTCAGACATACCATGATCTAGGTCTGAAAACTTGATTCTTGATTCTTCATACTTTTATACGTATCTACCACCAACCCTTATTTTATAACCCCGAAAAGGAAGGCAATCCTGTTGAGTCGTCGCCATACAAGGGCCTACGGGGTGAGGCTCACCAGCAGCGCAGACCTGACATCCGGAAATGCTAGGTAATTTGAGGTACCTGAGTTAAAGCTCGTCTTCGACCTCTCTGACTTTCCAGAACGTCTTCTCCACGACCCTTTTCATGGGACCTGGGCCGGGGTCGGAGCCTCGCTCCTTCTGCTTCGGACCCTTGCCCTTCGTCGCTCCAAGGACCTTCTGTCCACCCACGCTCACTCCCTCGCCAGCATGCGGATCCCTCACCGCGTCATCAACTTCCCCTTTGCTGACTCCGGCGTGCACGTTGCCTACGCCCGTCTTCCGACCGACATCGACTCGACTAGGATCCAAACACCACACCACAACATCGCCCGTCCGTCTCGAATCATCATGCCACGCACTGTTCCACAATCTCGTACACTCGACGTACCCGCTCCCCCGCAGCGCCACGGCCAGTGTTTGTTCGAGTTCCGCGAAGAAAACCAGATACCCGGGCCATGGCTTCCTGCCTGTCCTCGCCTCCCAGAACTCCTCGTCACGCGCTGCTTCGAGTATGTCCGCGTTTACGCCCAAATTCCTCCTGACAGAATAATCCGGGCCGAAAATCCCCGGCGCCCAGGAGGAAGACAACCGTGGCGCACGTCTCGACATGTTCCGTTTCAACCACAGACTTGGATTGTCGTAGAATTGGTCCGCCTCGTCCATGTACCTAGCTTTCTCGCTTGCGTTGAGATTAAGAGGTGGTTCGCAAGTCAATGCCCATGCTCGAATTCCTGGATGAGCGGATGTCGGCGGGTATTGCAAGTGAGAGCGCCAGGGGGTGGAGTGGCAGGGCATCAGCATGCCTACTGTCATATTCGATGGCCGAGGAGCGGGCAGATAAGCATCCTCAAATTCGTGCCGGAGGTAGGTGGTAAGCTTGATTAGGCCGGAGTTGTGGACCTGGCTTGTATAATATGCTATGCTTGCATTCAAGGCAAACAGGAGGATCAGTAAGAGCCTTTTGTAAGATCGAGCAGACGCTCGTGAGGGGGAAATCAAGGGTCCGAAGAACGAGGATAGTTGAAGACCTGTCACTACATGCAGCGCCGGTAACAGCGGGTAAATGAATCGAACCTCCTTATGAGCAATATTCGAAAACACCGCTGGGAAGAGCAGACAGATGATGCACAATGACCGTAGTGCGTTGCGACCTTCTGGGGTTGCCTCCCTGATTGGATCCCCTGGGGTAAGGATGCGGTACATGCTGATAAGCGTGAATGGTAGAGCTGTCGTAAGTAGAAGGGGATATCCCTGGGAAATGTAGTAATGCCAATCATTGTTCCCGTAGAAGGTCGCGAGAGATTGGACGACGTTGACATAGAGGAAATTGAAAGGTGGAAAGACCCATTCGTCGTAGAAGATCCGGTCAAGTAATGTCGAGATGAGCAGCACTGTACTGCCGCAAAGGACGGTCTCTCGGAGGAACGTGCCAAATTCGGTCAAGCTTGGTCTTACTGATTTCCAGTCTTTCAGGAACGTCAGCAGTCCAAGAGTGCACCAGATAAGGATATTAGTTGGTCTTAGGATTGTGGCTACCGCAGCGCAGAGAAGGGCTCGTCTCAGTCGTGTAAGCTCGTCTGTCGAGTCTTGTCCCTGGACGTCAGGGTCGCGGACCCGTAGACCTTGAGCATCGAACCTGCTTGGTCTTTGGCTCCCACTATCAACAGGCAATGTCCAGTGCCACGGCCAGTTGTACAGGGCGATGGCTGTCAATGTCGTTTCGAGCGAGTTGGAGAAGGTCCGCGCCGAACAGAACCATTGCCACGGACTGACAATGGTCAGGACGAGAGCCATGAGAGACGATGCTGAACTCCTCCCGTAGACGTATGATGCCAATTTCCAGGTATAGAAGTCCGCTACGGCCGCGAATATAGACTGCAGGGTCTTGGGTGCGGCAAGCAGCAGTTCTGACCTGGCATGACTACCTAAACGCAGCGCATCAGAGGTTGCAGCCGTGGCCCAATAGCAGACACCGAAGATTGTTGGATGTATCGCAGATCGTAAATAGTTCTTCCACTCCTATGTCTTGTATGAGCTTTGTATATTGTCATGCCGTATTCACTATCGCACCCATGTTATCCATGCGCCTGCTCCATTTCCAAATGCCCAATGCCATGCTGGCTCTAAAGCTTGAAAATATTCATCTGGCTGAAAGAATGTACGGATGCTCAAGGCGTTAAGGAGCCTGAGGCCGAGTAGTAAGAGAAAGACATTGTGAGGATCCGAAGCGAAGGACGCTGGATGGCCATGCGACTGCTGTGGCTCGACAACTTGGTCAGGCTCAGTTACAGGGTTGAGAGGCTGTTCGGATGAATTTGACTCTGCCGACGACATGGCGAGCCATTGGAAAGAGGTTGACTAGACCTTGTAGCGGTTGGGAAGGTGAACAAGATATTGGGTTGGGTACGCAGTCAATCAGTCGAGCAATGGTCGCATTGTGCAACTACTCCAATTCTCCAATGTACCTAGCGACCTAGGTAGCCTTGCGAGTTCAGCCTCGTGCAGCACCTGAGATGCATTGCCAGGGATTGATGTGCATGAATAATACACAGTAGCCGAAAGATTCAATATGTCATGATATCATTCTCATTCTCATCTAATTACGCCGCTGACTCCGAGTAGTGCTCTCGCTTTAGGAATCTCAGCGTGATTCTACAAATAATACGCTGGTGTACACCAAGGACCCTGATCCAGGACTGCACTTATCCGTTGCACCAACACAATCAAGCAGCATAGCCGGCTAGAACTGCAGGAACCTCACTGATCACAGGTTACTCGACAGTGACAGACTTGGCCAAGTTACGTGGGAAGTCAACATTCAGCCCTTCAGCAACAGCAAGCCAGTAGGCGATCAACTGCAGCGGAATGACGTTCAGAAGACCTTGCAAGCAGTCGACTGTCTTGGGCACCTCGATACGCTCCGTCTTGCTTGGTGGGAATTCAGGGTCATCCTTGTTGCAGATGACAATTGGCCGACCATTTCGAGCAATGACTGGAAGCATGTTAGCTGAGATCCGTGCATGTAATCAGGGGATTGCTTACCTTGTTGATATGCGTTTAAAGACTTGGGAAAGATGTCGTCTCGGGTAAGGATCATGATGATGGGCAAGTTCTCGTCGACCAGAGCCAGGACACCGTGCTTGAGTTCTCCGGACATGACCGCCTCGCAGTGCAAGTAAGAAATCTCCTTGATCTTCAATGCACCCTCAAGCGCGGTCGCATGTTGACTGCCACGGCCAAGCAACAACAAAGATTTCTGGTTCTGGAGGAACTTGGCGCACATTTCCTTGATTGAGTCATTCAATTTGAGGATTTCTCGGACCTGCTCGCTGACTTTGCCCAGACTCTCGATGATCTCGAAGCGGCGCTGTGCCTTGGAAGCACGGTCTTCGCTGAGTGACAAAGCGAACATGAGCATGGCCACGAATTGAGAAGTGTAGGCTTTGGTTGAAGCAACACCAATCTCGGGTCCAGCGTTGATGTGAACACCGCAGTGGGTGAGCATAGAGATGGACGAACCGACAACGTTGACTACACCAACAGTCAATGCGCCACGCTCCAAGCAATATCGTAGAGCCATCAGCGAATCTGCGGTTTCACCAGATTGTGAGACGAAGACGCAAGTATCATCCCGGAAGACAGGTGCTTGTCTGTCCAGGAAGTCAGAGGCTAATTCGACAGCGATAGGGATTTCCGTGAGCTCCTCAAAGACACCTCTGACAGCCATACACGAGTGATAGCTAGTACCACACGCGATAAAGATGATTCTTCTGCATCTGCGAATAGTGCTGATATACTGTCTGAGACCTCCCAATGTGACAGTCTTGTTCGCAACGTCTAAACGACCACGCATAGTGTTGACGACAGACTCGGGTTGCTCGAAGATTTCCTTCTGCATAAAGTGGTCGAATTTGCCCTTCATGATTTCCTGGAGCTCGAGTTCAATGGTCTGAATGGCACGAACATTACTAGTGCCATCATCCTTGGACAATCTGTGGATGTTGAGCTGTCCGTCGTGGATGTGAGCAATATCGTCGTCCTCAAGGTAAAGAACCTTTTTGGTATGTTCAACAAGAGCCGAGGCGTCCGAAGAGAGGAAGAACTCGGCAGGCTGGGGCATGCCGTCATCTGACAAGAAAGCACGAGACTGTGATCTGTGGAGGAGAGACTTGTCGGGAGGTGCGAGATGCCCACCGGGAGAGAGGAGGCCAGGAGCCTGTTTCTTCAGTGCCACGTTGTGGTTTGCTCTCTCGGCTGGCAAAGCACCGCCATCTTCAGAGTATTCAACATCAACGAAGTCCACCTTCATCTTCTTCTGTGTCTTCACACCAATCACTAACGGAGAGCCTTTTCGGGCAGCAATAACTTCGGAAGGGAAGTGGACGGATTTCATCAAGAGACCGAAAGCGCCCTGAAGTTCCTTGATGACGGCTTTGCCGAGAGTGGTGAAGTCAATGTCTGGATGCGAGTCGTAGAGGAACTTGGCGAGTTTGGCAATGCACTCGGTGTCTGTGTCGCTTTCGAACTTGAAGCCCTTGCCCTCAAGCAGAGCCTTGAGTTCTTTGTAGTTGGTGACGATGCCGTTGTGAACCACAGCGAACTCCCACTTGGGATCGGATCTTGATTTCTCGTCAGTCTGTGTATGCACAAATGTCTGTTCTCAACGGCTCACCTGTGAGGATGGCAATTCGTCCTTGACGGCTGACCGTGAGTGGCCCACCGAGTGTGTGCAATGCCAGCATGTGAATCAAAGACCTTGGTCATGTCGACACCAGACTCTGCCACCAGCTCCCGCAGCTTAGCGACCTTGCCCACCTCTTTGAACGCAAAGACTTCATTTCTCTTGTCGCCGTCAATCGCCAGACCGGCCGAATCGTATCCTCGGTATTCAAGTCGGGAAAGGCCTACGGAAAATGCATGTCAGAGAGGGTCCTTCACTGGGGACAGATTCAATCCCGCACGCACCATTAAGCAAGGTGTCGAGAATGAACTTGCGGTCCTTCTCGACCAAGTAGTTGATGTAGCCAAAGATACCACTGTCTCGTGTCAGGAACTGCGCCCTTCGGACTCCGAATTGTCAACATACCACATCTTGAAGTATTATCCTGCGGGTGTCGACGGCCAACGCTGTTCAGGAAGAGATAGGGTTATAAAGGAGCGTTACAAGGCACTGCCGGCCTGAACGTGAGCCTGAAGGAGCCTCGATAGCCCGACGTCGGACAAAGGAAGGGCCTGAGGGATTTGGCCGTTTAGGGAAATAAAGAATGGATGGGATGTAGGAACTCGACAGAACAACGATTGACTTGCTGAACGAAGAGCAGTGTAAATATACTGAAAGTACAAAGAGACAGCTGGAAGGTATGAGAGAACAGTTTGTAAGAAGGAATGAGCTGGTTATTGAATGCTTGTGCAGTTGCAAGGACGGTTTACTTTTCGGTGCTGACAACTGTTTAGACCGGGGCTGAGACGTTTCCCGGCTTGAACGAAGGCACCGCGCGCATAGCACAAAGAAAAGCTCCACCTGAGACACCATCATGGCACCAATTGGACCCTGCGCCGCGGTGGCTTCGCTGCACAGCAACCACCATGCGAACCTTGGCAGGCACGTTATGCAGCGAAGCTGGCCAAAGCAGAGCCAAAGGTGGCCGTGGGTGGGCCCGCAAACGGTAAGGGCACTGATGCCACTAGCATACGGAACTACTGGCCATGCCTAGAATCTTTGAAGATCCTATGGTCATGGTCCGTTATGCGAAGGACTATTGTACTACTAGTATCATCCGATATCCCATAGACTATACCCGTCACAGGACAAGCTATATGTGCTGGTAACGGCAATAAATACTGAGTCTATAGGGGCACCTCCTACACGCTAGCCGGGCACCTGGTTCCAATCACAATGCTTGTTCTCAGCTGGTTCGCCATCTTGCCCGACCTTGGAGGAACCAGTGCTGAAACACACATTGCTCCTTGAGCCACATTGGTCCGCAGTCTTTGTGGTCAAAGCATTCAATATTTCCACACTCTGTCGTCTAAGAAGCTGCTGCATAACTAATCGAATGCTCGCTTCAGGGTTTCGGAGTCCGTTCCAACAGCTTGACAGCTTGGGTACGGTGTACACGGTGGACTGACAAGAATAACTCGCAGCCATGACGAATGAGCGGCTGAGTCCCAAAATAACAGTGACTGTCAGCCTCCCCCTGCAAGGATTCGTGAGACGTCACTCCAATAAGCCTCAATTGCTTTCTGAGACAACTTGGACCCCAATACGATCGACTTGGTATCCGGTTTCAGAGATCGGCCCACATGCCACAAGCCTGAGTCCACGAGTGATGGCGGCGATGGATTAAGACCTAAAAGGGGCTCGAGACCACCCTTGAACGTCTTTCTATGATTGAGCAAAATATCGAATTTTTCATGTTCAACAGAAGTGTCTGATCACAGACCAAGTGTTTTGTGGTGTCCTAAGGGCCGCCACCCATCATCTTCAACATGTGCGCAAAAGCCTCTTGACGTTTTACTTCAAACCCGTCAAATGCCCGCTTCGCCATTCCAACGGGAATCTGGTCCGCGCCACCAACCAGTCCGGCATATGCCTAAAACAAAAGTGAGTTTATGGCATCTTTGCTCGAGAACACGCGACATACCTCATCCATGAATTCATCGAGAGGCATGCCAATCGATCGACCGTTTTGGATATCAGGCTGATGCTTCTCGTCGTGGAGCTCTGTTTGGACTGCCGGTGGGAAGACCTCGATCACCTTGACCTTCGAGCTCTTTAACTGTTCTCGCAGGCAGAGTATGAACTGATGCAATGCTGCCTTGCTAGCACAATAATTGGGGCAGCGTAGGATGGGAACCAGGGCCAGTCCCGAGGTAACGTATACCAAAGCTGCCTCAGTCTGTTTCTTTTGCAAGAATGGCAAGAATGCTTTGGTCAGCGCCAAATGGGCAATGTAGTTGGTGTTGAACTCTAGCTGCACCGAGGCCATGTCTATCGAATCGGGCTCGCTGAAGTCTGTTCTTCTCTGAATGCCGGAGTTGAGCATGATACCTCACAATCAGGGTCAATCATCAACCTTTTCCTGCAGAGGTTTCCACTCACAGTCAACATCCGGGTGAGTATTGGTGATGTTAGTGACAAAATGTGGTATGGAATCGAGTTGGGTGATATCAAATGGCACAGCCTGGCACTTATCATGGCCAAAGGACTGTACGAGCTTTTCGAGGTTCTCTTTTCGGCGCCCAACTGCGATCACGAAGGACCCGTCTTCGATCAATCTTTTGGCGAAGGCCCCGCCGATACCTGTTGACAAGTGTTAGAGCAAGAGGTTGAGGCATAGCTGCTCAGTTGGCCCAAAAGTGGAAATTTCAAACCACCAGTGCTTCTGAGCAAAACAGTTTGAGGAATACTACGCACCACTCGTGGCTCCAATGACCACAGCTTTCTTGTAGGGAAAAGGCATATTGTTCTAGTGAGATACAGTGGGAGATCCAAGGGAGGAACAGGACCAAAACTAAGAGACAAGTAGAAGAAACCTGCATAGGCGGAAACGTCCTTTGTCCAGCAAAATTGTGGCTTTATCCGTACCTTGACATGCAACTGCCGGCGCTTCATCCAGTTATCCATATACAAGCAGAATCGACGTATCATGACATCACGATATGGACACGAATTACAGGCCATCATAGGACGAAGTCCACCTGAATCGCGCTCTATCCGTCCAAACGAATTCGAGATGGATACGACAATTCTAGCCAGTACTTTCCGTCTACTATGGTGTTCACGTTTCCGACAATTTGACTCAGGGCAGACAATGAGGATATCTCTTCACCAACTCAATTTCCTGCAAGCCTACTAGAATCCTCTCCTGATGGTCGTTTCGGTTACCAGAATCTTGTCAGGCGCCATCGGCATCTCAGAGCTTATGAGGGGGAATGCAGTTCAGTAAGGAAGTTGTAGGGAAGGGATGAGATCACATAACGTGTGGCCTCACTCAAGTCTCTTGCAATGATCCTTGAGCATCAACCCCGAAGTTGCAATGCACGCTCAGACTCTACAGCGATGTTATCACGGTCTGTTCTCTTTCCGGGCCCTCTTTCTCCAGACATACAAGCTTCGTGAATTGGTTTCCTGTGAAGGCAAAATTCGGTCTCGATGAAGATAAAAAAAGGATACGAGGAGTGAGTCATTCGCAACAGTGTATAAGGCGGTATGAAGGATGAGAACAGAAGACAGAATATATCAAGAAAGCAAGAACCATAGGAAAGAGTAGATTGAAGCGTAATACTGGCAGTGAGGAATGTTGTCACAATAGTCTTTGCCTGCGCATCTTGCTTCTTCAGCGCGTTCTGGAGTGCCAAGCCTGCTAGCAAGATCTCAGACCGCAAACGATGCTGTCAAGGCATTCAGCAACAGCGACGCAGCTGTGTCCAGTTCACGACTTTCCTCCCTGACCCCTTCATTACAGATCGGAGTCCCAAAATCGAGGCCGGAGAATATCCCATTTCCATTTTAACCTACCTTTTGGCCTCTTTTTGTCTCGAAATACCAACCAGCGCAATCCTGAAATCCCCTTGACGGACCGCCGTCCACCGACGCGTTCACGACCAGCCCGCAGCCAACTTTCTGCAGACGACCTCTCCACCCTTCATGGTCAAACAGATCTACCTTTTTCCATGATACATACAGGAGGGTGTATGCGAAGATGATCGCGTTGTTCGGGTACTGAATCAGGATATGTCGCGCCCGCCGGGCAGTAAATTCGCTGAATTTTTCCCTGCTGCCCAGAGCCTCATACAACGGAAATCCTCAACTTTATCAGATATCGACAAAACTCGGCTCAGCCATCCTGAAGAGCGTGCAGAAGATGCGCATGCGAATTTCACCTCTGAACAGGCTTCATTGAATTCCCCTGCTCCGGTACCTATATCACTGGCGAAACCGGACACCTTGACCAAGCTCACCAACAACAACCCAACACAAGAAGAGGTGGACCGGTCTTCAGGCGATCTTCTCAATGGTGTTGGCTCCGCGAGCTCGTCAAGTACCGCTTCTTCGGTCTTCAGTGCACCTCTCACGACCACCGCAACCATGTCAGGCACGAATCATCTCCAATTTAGCACCCTTACACCTCTCACAAACTCAGACTCTCCGCCAAATGGCAAGTTGCTGAGTCCAACCATCGAATCGAATTCTCACAAATCCGTGAACGGAATCTCCACCACATCCTCTCTACATCCAGGCTCGATGACTCCGCTCCATACTCCGCCTGCCCATCGAAGATCGGCGAGGGATACAACTCTTCAAACGAAAGGCACCAAATGTACCTACGATCCGGAACTAGATAAGAACTTGAACTCCAAGGATAAGCGAAAAATGAAGGCGCAGTTTGCGGAATTTGGTGGAAAAGCCGAGGACAACTTCCAGCCTCCCGATCCACGTCTGGCGATACCCAACTATGCAAAAGGCGGAATAGGCAAAGGAAAGGCCAAATATCGTCCTGCGCCGTATAATGTGAAGTCATGGATGCCTGATGCTACCACTGCGGTTGCCCCTCCGCCAGCCACCACCGTGGTGGTGACCGGATTCGACGCGATGACTCCACTATCCCAGATCAGCGCTTTGTTTTCGAGCTTCGGCGAGATAGGAGACATGGACAACAAGACAGATCCGGTTACGGGACGCTTTTTAGGTATTTGCAGCATCGAGTATCAAGATTGCGCCTCCTTCCAGGGAGGAGGACCAATCTCTGCGGTCGTTGCGGCGAAGACGGCATACTTGGAGGGCAAGCGAGGACAAAGAATAGGCCTCAAGACAGTCCAGATAGCCATCGATCGGGATGGCTCTGTCACAGACAAATTGGTCGAGAAAGCCATTGCACTGCATCGGAAGGAGAGTGGCTTTACAAACCAACCTCGAACCCAACCGTCGCCCTCTCCGTCCACCCCGACAGTCAGCACACCAACCCCAGGTTTTGCAAAATCAACAGGTCCACCTCCAACTGCTCCAAAAGGCCCATCAGGGAAACCGTCCCTACGCCCGCAGCCAATATTTCACACGCCTCCAGTTGTCGCGCATCCACCATTTGCGAGTATTCCCAAGCCCGAAACCCCGGCCTTGACCAAACCAACAGGCGGGGTATCCCTCGTCGAGAGCACACCTATTGCCGAAACGCTGAAGGTTCCTTACTTATTTATAGCGCACTGCTATGTGCCCGTCATGGGCACGACGATCCCTCATCTGAAAAAGAGGTTGAGGATGTACGACTGGCGCGATGTCCGTTGCGATGAGACCGGATACTTTATCACTTTCGAACAATCACGCAATGGGCAAATGGAAGCCAAAAAGGTCTTTCACGGCTGTCATATGCAGCCGCTATTTACTTACGTGATGAATTTGGAACTACATCTGAACGGCCATCCCAAGGCACTTGGCTCGACAGAACAACCTCTACCGACTCCAACCGGACCTGTCGATTTTGTGTATTCAAAACAGGCTTATAGACTGCGAAAGGAGCATGACATGGATCTTGAAGAAGAGAAACGGCAACGTGCCAAGGACTTGGACCCTTCTCGGGCTGTTCTTCAGTTGGTCATCCAAGAACTCAGGGATAAGCTTCTGGAGGACGTCAAATCAAGGATAGCCGCTCCAATTCTTTTCGACTACCTCGATCCAAGTAGACACATCGAAAGGCGCAGGGCTCTCGGCATTGATGACCCTCAGGGATCGAGGAAATATGCACTGACTGACGAGGGCTCACGGACACCAGATTCACGGTTGGGTACAGGCCTGATGAACCGACGCCCGCTCAGCGGCAAGAATCTCAACATTTTATCTTTGCCTAAGATCGGCAAGAAGTCAGGCACACAGCGCGGGATGGTCGGATTCCGCGATGAGAGGAGAAAAGCTCCTCCAGCGAGACACAGCGTTCGGCCTTTGTTCCACCAATTGGCGCAATTTCACGATGAGGAGGATTCGGATGATGAGCAGCGGACCACTATCACGCGTGATACCGAGGATCTGGAGAGCCGTCCTGCGAGCCGCATGAGCATGACATCGATGTCTGATGATGACGATGAGCTCCTTCGAAAAGCGACTAAACGTCGGTTACATGCTCGAGAAGAGTCTGAGATGGGTGATAGTGTGGTCAAAGAAGAAGTCGAGGGCAAGACCACGGCGGAGGAGCTCATCATCGCTAAGCTTGAGAGGAATATCTATGAAATGTCTCCTTCCTCCAGGAAGCGTAAGAGGTTGGTACAGGAACTAGAAGCCCGAAAACGCCAGAAGGCGGACGATGAGCTCTTCGGTATTGGTCGGACCAACCTAGAGCGTGAAGGGTCAGAAGAGGTCAAGCTGCAGGATGTGGAAACCCCTGTCGAAGGTACTCCAGACGTCGAGTCCGACGTGCCTAAGGCAGTTGTCAAGAAACCCAAGCCCAAGAAGAAGAGCAAGAAACAGATCTTGGAGGAACAGGAAGCACTTCGGCAGGCACAAGCTGAGGCCGAAGCAGCTGAGGTCGTGGATAATGTTCTCGAATTCGCCGAAGAGGAAGAAGCCCTTGCAGAAGCAGCCGAATGGCGACCGGAGGTGGAGTGGGGCGTGTCAGCGGAAGAACCATTGCCTACAGTCGACGACGACGAGGACATCATTCCTGATCTCCGTGGATGGCAGGCCAGCATATTCGATGCCGAAGATCTGGAGTATCTGGCATCAGCGCTGAAAACCAAGTCAGCAATGGACATTGGGGATCCCATGGCTTGGGCCTGGAAGCAGGAACAGATCAGGAATCTTAAGCCGGGGTCACAACCAGGGGCGTTGCGGACAGAGCCTCCGATTGAAGGTTACTATGTTCCAAATACCTCGGGTTCCGCAAGGACAGAGCCCATCAAGAAGATCCTTGAGTCTGAGAAGTCGAAATACCTGCCTCATCGTATCAGGGTGCAAAAAGCGAGGGAGAAGCGGGAAGCCGAGGCCAAAAATAATCCTTCGTCCTTCAAGCCGACCGTCGTCGAACTTCCCAAAGCATCTTCTCGAGGCAAACGAGCAGACGACAGACGAACGATCAAAGATCTGGATCGACAACGAGAGATGCTGCAGTCAATGGGTGATGATGCTGATGTGCTGCGGTTCAATCAACTTCAGAAACGGAAGAAGCCCGTGAAATTTGCCCGGTCTGCAATCCACAATTGGGGTCTATACTCTCTGGAACGTATCCAAGCAAGCGAAATGATCATTGAGTACGTGGGAGAGAAGATCCGACAAGAAATCGCCGACTTGCGTGAAATCAAGTACACGGAAAGTGGCATTGGCAGCAGCTATCTCTTCCGAATCGACGAAGGCACTGTGGTAGATGCTACAAAGAAGGGCGGCATCGCTCGTTTCATCAACCACAGTTGTTCGCCCAACTGCACGGCCAAGATTATCCGTGTCGGCGGCACCAAGCGCATCGTCATCTATGCTCTCAGAGATATCGAGAAAGGTAAGGACGTCCCGAACGGGTTCGTGAGCCTGGCTGACAATTTGCAGATGAGGAATTGACTTACGACTATAAATTCGAGCGAGAGATCGACAGCGATGACCGTATACCTTGTCTCTGTGGCTCCGCAGTCTGCAAAGGTTTCCTCAACTAGTGACCGGTTCATCGATACGTAAACGGAGCTAGCGGTATAGCAATGGACGGCGTCAGAAACTGGAAGGCATCATATCCCTCTACCCTATACAAATGCATGTGACAATAAGAAGAGCATCTTGGTCGGCGTTTTCATTGTGCAACACACTAGGAGGTCTGTGAGGGGAAAAGCATGGCGACGGCTTACAGTATCTTGCATTCATGGGGGATAACTTGGATTGGTGGCATCAGGCGACATGGCACGTCTGGCTTCTCTCTTCAACATCTTGAGGCGGCTCAGAAGGCAGGAATCTGGAACTAAAGGGACGACGGCACGCCCGAATGATTGCGAATCTTCTTTCATGTATTTGTATAATGGACCATTCCCAGGCAGTGTGGGCTGGCTGACCTTGCCTGTCGCGAAGGGATGGTTGCGTACATAGTGTTAATATCCTGCTTTTGCCAGGAATGGAACCGGATACTGCTGTTCTGGTACTCGCATGTGAGGACATCGTTGGTAAGTTGGTAATGACATGTGAACTCTTGGTTCTTCCCTTTGCCGGGTCAAGTTCAGTTGCCTTTGGTATATTGAACCTGCTCGGACGGCCGGCCATCGCTCTCCAAGGCCCTGCGGCTTCGCCCTCGCCAGTGGTCGTCGCCGCTGCCTGTCGTGCGAGGGCTCCTTGTCACTCCTTACCCGTAGCCTTGTGGCTCGTCCCAGCCGAGTTCTTAATATTCGTTGGACGATGCAACTCGGACATGTGCAGTATTCACGAGTTAAACACATGAGGAGGGTGACTTCGGACTGTTTCTCTCTCTCTCTGTACACTGGGCCTCCGCCAGCAACATCACTTCCTTTGTTGTTGTGTGTTTCATTTTTCCCTGTATGGTCTTTCTTCTCCAGTGGCCATGCCTTGCGCGCGGGAAATCATCACACCAAATGCGCCGGCAACAAGAAATTCCCCACGCCCTCCTTGATAGGGTATTCGAACCCGCAATTTGCGCAGACGAGTTTCCCCTCGACAACACCAGTTTCGAGGAGGAGGTTGTGTAGCTTTTTCAAGACTTCTTCAAGTTGCTCTCCGTTTTGCCCTTCGTTGTGCTCTTCTTCATCTTTCTGGTCGTGTACGTTTTCGTTGTCCGTCGGCGCATCACTGCTTGTGATTATGGTGTCGACAGGATTGGTGGCAGGCACGAGCGCTTGCAGGCCGAGTTCTGTCGCCGTCGTGGTCAGGGCGTCCCAGTTCACGCGCGGCAGGATGTTGCGGAGAAAGAGCGGGTTGTAGTCGATCTCGGTGCGCTCGAGGGTGGCGTCCTTGAAGTGCAGTGGGAAGCTGGCGGGGGAGGACTTGCAGGATTTGACGGCGCAGGTTAGGAAGTTTGTTGTTAGGAGCTTCATCCTGAAATTTCGAGCGGTGGTGGTGTTGAGGGTAGGGAAGGAGGGAGTGGGTTGACTGACGTCCAAGCGGCCGGTAGATTTCTACGAGTTTTTACAATATCTGCGAGTCTTTATGGCGCCAAGAATTGGATATTGTTTGGTTCACTTTCGGTGTCGATGCATTCTACTAATCTGAAGAGCGGATCAGAAGCAGGTGTGGCAAGATATCTCAGAATGATCGTGCGTGCGGTTTTATTCGACAAGAAAGCACAAGAATACTGCCTAGTTCAGCACAGCCGCTCTGCGACTACGCTGCCACTGCCGGATCTACCTCTTTCCTTCTTTGCGATAGGTTGCATGCTGAGCGAAGTCAAGGCTGGCCGCCTCGTCCCATGATCGATCCATCATCAATGTCTCCGAAGAGGCGATGTTTGGCACGCAGGTGACTTTCCTTCCACCGTAAGATTTAACCTCCTGAAAAGAAGCAAATCCACAAAACGAAAGAAAGCCTTAAAGTGCCTCGATTTTCGGTCTAGTACGCCAATATGACCAACCAGCCTATAGCACGACGCAGTCCGTGAGGAAGCTGCGTCGGAAAGGATCTAGCGGTTGATTATGCGTTCGTATATGAAGTGTAAAGAACAGAAGGGAAAAAAGAGTTGGAGATGCGAGGCCGCGATTTTTGATATTGGAGATTTCGAGCTAGCCCGAAGATGGGCAAGTGCACTTGGCATTCTCGACGGCCTGTCCTTCGCGATTTGCGGGCTTGTTGACTTTTTTCTTTTCTTTTCTTCGCTTCGATTCATGGCATGATCAAATGATGGACGTTCAACTACGCTCGCGGGGCCTGTGAATTTTGTTGTGCTGATATCCATGGAAAGATGAAGAGCTTGATGTTAGCTGGCTCGTTCCTTATTTGCATAAGTGAGTGAGTGAGTGAGAGCTCCCATGGCTGTTTTCGTTCGTCGAAAACTCGAGCGAGGATGAAGAGTTTGACGTTAGCTCATCCTTGGTTGCTTGAGTGAGAGAATTGAGAGCTCCGCATGGTTGTGTCTTCATTCACCGGAAAACCGCAAGCGAGAGTGCCAAAACCTCTTATCACCACATTCGGAAGCATCTTGACTCTTCTACCTCAATGATCAAGGCGTGGATCCGGGGGCCCGTCCATAAGGCCCAAATCGCAAAGTGGAAGAATGAAATTTGGCTTTTAGCAGGGCCTTGTCCACTCCACCCTGTTTCTTCTGATTCTTGTGAGGAAGCAGGACTATTTTTACGACAGACAATACGAGTGATGCCGGTCGTGGGCTTGAAGTACAACTCGACGATAAGGCAGGTGCACCAGCAGTGTATTGGAGTGCAAGAGCAGCGACGAACAGCTCAGGATGGTCACTGGCCACACAAGCTGGCCACTTTTGCCTTAGTTTGACATGCATGCGCAAGTCGAGCACACAACTGGAGGCGGATTCCTTCCAACCAAGGGACCAGAGTATGGCCCCGTCCTGCTGGTATATGCGCAGAGCAGCGACGATGCAGTCGATACATTGAGTACACTGTAGAAACTCTCTGCTCACGATACCCCTCCAGCAGGATAAAATGCTGGCCTCAGAGTGCAGAAGCGAACACGCTTCTGTCGCTCTGATAATGTTCATTTTACTTCTCACTCTGCCGCGGATCAATGTCCCATTCAACACGCCTCTTTTCACTTTGGCGCAATGCCGGACTCTCTTTCCTCGGAGAAGTCCTTCCTTCCCACTGAGAGGCCACTCAACCTCACCTCATTTCATCCCATGCTGCCGTCGCATGCAACGACATCCTCACATGCTAAGTTGACACAGCCTTACATGTGCTTGAGGCTGTCTTCTCTGCTGTTTTTCTCTCATCTCTCTTCCCTACACCACCCCTCTCTATCATCTTCAAATTACTGCAACTGTTCAAGCCGCTCAAGCCGTTTCTTCTTTCCTTGTTCTCTGAACTTCTTCCATTCTATCATCTGCCGCCTCGCAATCCATCACGCCGTTCAAGGTGTTTCCTCTTTCTGTCTCAAGTCCCTTCATGCCTGCTACATACCAGTACTACTACTTCATCCACAAGACTACGCGCCAAAACTTCTTGACATTCGTCTTATACCTTCTTCGTCGGGATTTCGCTACTTCCGGCCCGTTCTCCTTACAGACTTCTTCCTTCATTCGAGCCATCCTGCTGCCCTTCTACTATAGCCTATAGGTGTGGGTTTCGGTAGCTGAAGCTGCGCTTACCGCCATGCCACATTCAAAGGGATCGCCGCCGGATTCAGATCTCGCTCGGAATGGCCGACGACCACATTACTGGAAAGACCCCAATGGCGAGCTCTGGTATTGCATCAGGGAGCCCTTGGAGCGTCGCGATATTCTGGGAATGACAGATGGGAGCATCGTGTCACACTATCTGCTCAACCAGAGAGTACCAAGACACCCCTACAGGTTGGCGCTTTACCGATGCCTCGGAAGTCTATCAGACGCCTCTGAATGGGTCTACTCTCACCATGTCATTGACATGAGTCGTGTATCCGCCACTACGCGAGGAATGCCGCGCTTTCTGTTCCGTGTCTATGGCCAGAGAAGCGCTGGTGATAACAGACCTGGATGGTTTCAAAGTGAGAGAGAAAAACGCGGACTCTGTGGCGATCTCGAAGATATGAGTGAGCAAGACATCAGAGACAGCCTGCTCGGTCACATGGCTTCAAGAAGAAAGGACTTCGCCAGCCCATGGGTTTCATTGTCATGCTCGGTCCTGTGGCTGATGGCTAAGGTGCTGCGCTTGATGCAAGAGGGCCACAACATCAATAAATTGCAAATTGCAGTCATCGACTCTCTAGATTTGCCTAACGCCGCTTATCTTTACCATGCTGGTGCGCTGCTCAGCGCGTACGACGTTGAACAAAAGATGGTGTACCGAAATATGGGTTGCTCAATGGCCTTGGTATGGAAAGAGATCAAAGCACCCATGGCGGTTATCTTGGTCAAAGATTTCTTGCCAGATCTTTTGGGGAAAGACCACATTCGACCCGGATATCTGTCTCTGCAACCATTCCATAAAGAATCAGTGGATGCCGAGTTCACTAAAAGGTTTAGTGCTCTTCGGGAGCCACAGAAGCTACCCGAGTCAAACAGCAAAGAGAAGAGACAAGAAGGAAGGAAGTCGCGGTCGACGAAATCTTACAGCCGCATCCTTAAACCTGCCATCATCCGCAAAAGGATCTTCCGGCAGAAGTCAATAAGGTTCTTCTTACAGGAATGTCTCAAGCAGCAAGCTCCAAGGCTATACTACAAAAAGCATGTGGCCAAGAGAATCCCCAATAAAGAATTCTGTCCGGAGCCAACAGACTTACTTAAAGGAATCTCTTCGGTTGAGGTGGCAGAATTCATTGATTTGGTGAAGAGGAATGTCAGCAATCCCAAATTCCAGCTTCCTGTTCTGATCTTTCTACTTTCAACACGGACGGATCAGTTCTATCCTGACTCGATCGTGGACCAGATCGGCGAGCTTGACAGTGAGTACTTACACTTACTCAAGCAGTGGTTATACTGACCAGTGGAACTCAACAGGCAATGATCCAATGATCCAAGAACATAAGAAGTGTTTTGTCCGCTCTGATGCCTCTGGTGTCGGGTCGGTCCCGGAGATCCTTAGTTTCGAGCCATTGTACCGAGACTGCTGCGAGAGGCTCGGAATCACGACCCATACCTTCGAATATCTTCCACGGAACTTCAGAGTCGTCGCTTCGCCGCACACAAGAATCCCTAACATTACCCCGGATAGCCTCAAGTACGCTGACATCTGCGAGACTCAGAGTTCCCGACGTCTTCGAGAGAAACACGAATTGACGAAGAACGCGACTAGCCCAGAGCAGCCATCAGTGAGCCCAGGAATTTCAATAACTCAGTCAAATAGACTGTTGACCTCGAAGAACTTGCCCCAGTCTTTGCTCATCTCGTCTGCCACCATTTCCGAGATCGAGACAGGTGTCACCCCGGCGACTGGTGATCAGGAGTCATCAAAGCCAGCCAGCATGAAGCGAGAAGCTCTGCCTGAAGCAGTGGACCCCGAACCGCAACGGAAGAGAATGTGTATAGCGCCCGCAGGCAAGGCGAGATCGACCTTGACAGCTACTCTGGAAGAAGTGACTGGATGTTCTTGGCCTCTCCCTACACCGAGAAAGGTGAGGCGTTTACGTATCGTCACCGACGAAGAGAGAATCCTCATTGAAAAGCTCGAAGCGCTCGACGAGGTGGAGCAGACGACACAAATTCCAACATAGATGGCAAAATGCACCGGCCCTCATGGGTTTGGGCATGATTTCAACCGAAGGCAAAGTCAGGGAGAGAGGGGTTTTGGACCTGGTTAGGAACATCTGAGCACAGAGCAAAGCGGCAGGTTTGGGCACTACAACATATAAATTGGAGCCCGATGAGATGGTGATACGTGGGTGGATATGTTGAGATGTAGCGTATTTAAGAGCCAGGAGAGTTTTGGACCATTATTCATTAGAGGCTGACGAGATTATGCTGGGACACAATGACATTAGCAACATCTAGAAATATTCATGAACTGAGATATAATCATGACTCTGCTAACAACAAGAAAGCTGAGCTCTCAGAAACCTTGCTGCAGACGCCATTTGTCTTCCCAACCAGGGAAGAACGGCGACTCATCGAGAGTGTGATGGACCCAATCCCTGGGAATCACACCTGTCTCAAATTGCTCCTTCTCATACCTGGCCATCAGGGGTTTGACAATGTGCTCGATGTGCCAGGTATGCTTATACTTCAGAAGGTCTGCTTTACTTTCGTTCAAGAGCTTGAGCGTCAAGCTGGGGATATATGGTTCGTTGCGGAATTCCGTGATCGGGGTGAACAGGGCCTTGAAGTTGAAGACGACACCTCCAGATAACGGCAGACGGCGTAGAGTCTGCCAGTCAACCCGTAGATGTATATTCTCTGGCTCCAGCCGAGGGTCTTGAAACCCCAGTCTCTTCTCACGAGGGTCGTTCGGCGGCATGTAGAGGGGTTGGTCGATCTCGAAAAACCAGGAGCCGCGTTGAATGGGCTTGGTGGTGGGCATTTTCGTGAAGAACCTAGAAAAAAGCGCGAACGAATCGGCTTGTGAGCCTTTACTGTGACTGTGATGGGGTTTGTTCGAGAGATCGCCCACCAGGGATTCATAGAAAAAAGTTGCGAGGTGGTCACTCACCTGTCCATGCTCATTTGCATTTTCTCTTTGTAATCCGGGACTGGGATATGGATCTCAGGCAAGCTTTTGCCGATCTTCAAGCCCAAATTCCATCCCACGGCAGAGCAGATGATGCCCGCTCGGAGGTAGTAGTAGCCGTCCGCGGGATTGCGGAGCATGATGGCAAAGTCCTCGGGTACGTTGTTGAGAAGCGTAATCAGAGGAGGAGTGCGTTTGAGATCGGTCGTTGTCTGGAGGATCCCGTTCTCGAGGACCGTCTTGTCGGCGGAGAGAGTGAAGTACTGTGGATATCTGGCACAGAGGAACTGCAGCACCATTTCCATCAGCTCTTTGCAGGCAAGTTCAGACCCTGGAAGGTGTTGCAGGACGTCTCCGCCGTGGCGGGCGTAGAGGTTCTGTCGCTCGGCAATGCGCTCTTTGTAGGAATTTTCGAGTTCGATCCAGAAGTCTGGCTCCATCTTCATCAATGCTAAGCGGGACCCGAGCGTTAGAACTTAGTTGGCCTCTTCCCTTTTATGGAAGAAGGGCCATCAGGGCCTTTGCTAGACTTACACATCGTCTGGTGGTATGACCACCTGAAAGGGCGATACGGGCGCGGTAGTGCAGTTTCTATATTGAACTGCTTGTAGGGCGCTGGAGCCGGCACGCCACTGAGCTCTGCGTAATCGGGAAAGTCGCCCAGTGCTCGAATCTCGGCCATCGAAAAGCCCGAGAAGCAATATTTGTTCGGGGCGGCCGTTTCGTAGTTCTCATTAAGACCGAGAAGGGCGCGTTGGAACGCCGCTTCGTCGAAGGGAAGGTGACCACCCATGGCTTGCTTCTGAACCTCGGGTAGTTTCGACACAATCTTGTCCAGGGTCCCGCGCTGCGTGGGCGGAAAGACGTCGACATAACTCGGTTCCGTGCGCTGAGCCGGTTTTTCTGGAGAGGACTCGAGTGCGGTAGTTGTCCGCGGCTGTTGTAGGCTCAGAAAACGACGAAGAACATGTTGCTGATCACTTCTTCTCAAATGAAATAGATATAGCAAGATGCTGACGCATACGGCCAAAGACACGAGCGTGAAGGGACTCGTTAGCATGACGAAGGACGAGGTTGGCCAGACCATGGTGCGCGTGTGCGCGGTAAGCTCGACTCCTGTTGTAAGTAAAAGGGAAGACGTACAGGCCCTCGAAAAAGCTGTATGAAGGAAGAAGGTTGGTTCGGACGTTGATGAAGTAGTTACAAAGGGCCAAGAGTTGCATCGCTATCAGTCCTCCTGTGCTCAAGAACCCAAATATGTCTAGCATGATGGTACTAAGGACATTGTATTCGGCGTGCGTGGTTCAGTATGGGCTTCGAACAGCTGGGCGATCGATCAGCCCACACTGGCGTACTGTAGCTCGGAAAGATAAGGTTAGTTGAACGGCTTATGACAATGCGGGCGCAAGCACTGACACACCTGATAGACAGGCCATAGCGAAGGCAGCAGACGGAGGCTCATTATGGTGCTGGAATAGGGAAAGACGGGGACTTCTTTGCAGAATGAAGAAATACTTGTAGGCCAGGGGTCTTGTGGTGGATCTGTGCCAGAGCCCAGATGGTCTAGCTGCTGGGTGGCTGCTGAGATATTCCAGCGACCAATTCTTGGGAGAATAGCTGATCAGCAATACTCGGGGTATCGTCCATCAAGACGAATTGCACCATCCCTGTATAATCTGATGCCTGCCTTGGAACCGGGGTAGATGTACTACCCGTATGCTACAGCGCGCACAACGCGCACACCGCGATGTCCATCATGGACGTGTGAGGGTTTTGAAGCTATTCCTAAGCCGGCAAAAATCTGGGTGGCCCCACAACACCCAAAGAACAAATGTCTCTTTCAGGCATATCTCTCCGAAGACAATAATGTTCGAACTCGATGTTGGCTCTGGACACATTCTGGGGTTTGCATGGCGCCTCACATGGGAAGAGGAGAGCAAGACCTCACCAGTCTAGCACAGAGTTCGGCCAGGTCTCGGGATCTGAGGTTGGAGCTCTTGAAAATCATCCCGACCGCAGTCCGGGGAGCAACGGCGATGCTAACAATAGCAAAGCGCGATTCTTGACACGTAGGAGATGGTAGAGTGTTGAGGGCTAACAGCAGCAAGGTTTTCTTGAGAGCCACACATAAATAAGAAAGCTTCTCCGTGTCATTGTCCATGATTGGCCTTTGGAAATGGTTCTCCCTGTAGAACGAATCGGCGTCTTTCTGGACTGTTTGATAGGCTCCTGGTTGTGAGCGTGCCGCCTTGAGGCAGGTTTGCATCCCGATTGATGTAGCGGCAACATCTGCGGAACTGTAGATGACTATGTCCTGGCCGACGAAGGGCGAAGGGTGAATCCACATTTTCAGGATAGTCGCTGTGACTGGTAGCCGCGCTGAAAGCTGTCAGGATTGCATCCAGAAGGCGCAGAGAATAGTTGGCGTTACTGTGGCCAATGCATGAGAACAGGAGATAACAGTGGCCTGGTGCGATCCAAGTCGCTGCATCTTCCGGTCCTGCTAATCATTGCCCAACCACATCTGGTGCTGGTGCTTCGGTGAACATCAAAGAGGATGTTGACTGGTATACCCAGATAGCGAAAGCATGAGCTCGTGGACGCGGCCAACATCGGACCCGATGAGTCCATTCAGCTCCTGGATGCCGGGAAGCGTGTCCGGTTCTTCGTCGAAAGCCCTGCTAGTATCCGTACCTGAGAGTACTCGTAAATAGACTCGAAAACAAGCCGGAGTGAACCATGACTACCATGTGCGTGCATGTGCAACCGGCCGAGGCCGAATATGCAGGGGCAACTCGACAAAAACCTGCAGCCTCGGTTCACTGTTTGTGTGGAAGAGTGGAAGCAAGCCTGACGGGTGCCAAATGTGGTTGCTCGGGTATCCTGCCCGTATACGGGTCAAGGGGTGTGGGGTGGCCTGATGTTGCAACGACGGGCCAAGGGAAAGAGGAAAGAGGAAACAGAAGGGGCAGTCGAGAGGGACAGTGTTTGTCATCACCTGCTGGTCATCAAATGATAACATGGGATTTGGCGGAGCGGACTTTCAGTGCGTGCTCCAACTTAGCTTGGCCATGGTACGGGTACACACAACAACATGGAGCAATGGCGGAGTGTTGCGGGCTTGGCTCAGTGAGGCTGGCGAGGCTCCGTCGTAGGGAAAATCGGGGATGTTTTCGGCGATGGGTTTCGGGAGATGAGAAAGGTCATGGAAGGTCTTCTAGAACGCTTGCAGAGGATACCTTGGTACCTTGGTACCTACTTTGGTGCTGCAGTGTGATAGGGCGTGAGGTCCAAGCTTTGTAAGTGGCTGCGGAAGCGGGCGGATGGAGTTGCAGCTGAGGTTCTGCAGATGTCAAAAGGAGGAAGCCCAGAAGCCGCAGAAGCCGGAGAAGCCTAGAAGCCCGTGATGGCCCTTCAAGCAAGCTCTCACTAAGTAATAATACTTGTAATTTTTGATTTTTGAGCAAGCCACATTATTTTTCCATTCGAGATTTTTGCATGGTGGAGCAGGAGAAGTTTGATGCAGGGCGTTAATAATTTGCATAATCTCATGACCCGTAATACATTCGGCACATGATCTGAGAATCAATTTTTTCTTGAATCATTGTTGGGGGTGAATACCTAGTAACGCGTACGGAGTAGAGTGGTCAAATAAGGGAGCGCGGAATATAGAGGCGGGAGAAGAAAGAAGGGAGAGGCTCAGAAATGCGTCATACATTTGCATGGCGGTCAAGTGAGAGCCTCTACCACAGCCCAGGACTGCGGGTACCTGTGTAGAGTCTACTACGTCTACTTACTGTAGAATTACAGAGCGAAGATCAGCCGTGGAGTACTGGAGACCCCAGTTACCTGGTACTTGTAGTTGTACGATACTACGATAGATGCTACGAGCTACGAGCTACGAGCTACTGTCAATCTGTTATTCATCAGATCGGCAGAAGAGCTTTCTCAAACCGTCATCACCTCCTTGGACTCTCCAGGACTCTTCAGGACTCTCTAGGACTCTCTCCTGGTGTCTCCGGCTGAATCCCTGCTCCCTGCTCCCCTGCTTCTTTGAATCTCGTCCCGAAGCCTTAGAAAGCAAGAGAGGCAGATCAAGCACACCTCACACACTTGCACGCACTTGCTGCTTCATACTCGAATCGTCCTGTTCACCCTCTTTCTTTGCCTATCGGCTGATGTTATAAAATGCCCAGAAAGACTCCCGTACCCGTATGGAGTTTTCCTCATGGAACCACTTTTTGTCGTCTGTGGCGTGAGGTCCTCCTTGGTGTCATGGGCTTGGGCAGCTTTTCCTCCGTTCGACCGTGCTTCCACCTTCCACCCTGGTCATCGAAACCGTGCCCTTTGACCAGACTAATGGCCATTCTTCTCCACCCACCCACTCCCCCGTCAAGGCTCTGCCATGATATCAGGCTAAACGAACATCAGACTGTTCATCATCCACTATCATCTCCGATGCGCGATCCATATCGAATCAGAAATCCAGTCTCCCATCGGAGTCCATCCACAGCCGGTCATGACATCCCAAACAGATCCTTGCTTCCGTCATAACCCTGGCCCGTTGCTCTGCAAATGTGCCAAATGATGCTCCTGCTTTTCATCCACCACACACTCGAGTCCCCGATCATCACAAATCCAGAACGGTGTCATCTGCTACCTTCCCTTTGTCCATTCGTATTCGCAGCTACATCCTCCAATCCTCCCACTGGCTCCCCGCTGCTCCCGGCCTGTTCAAAGCTCATTCCCCAGAAAACACTAGCTTGCTCGCTGCTGCCTCTCTGAGACGAAAGGTACATAAACATTGCTGTGCCCCCTTCCCACCGGACCCTGACTGTGATTCCTCCTCAGACCTCCGCCATTCAACCATCTCGTCGACCCATTTTCCTTCTCCCAGACCTGCGTCTACCTCTCAGTCCTTGCGACCTGATTACCCAGCCTGTCCTGCATCATGTCGACCAACCAGGAGCACACCGATCTTCACAACACCGCCAATTTGGCAGCCAATGGCAACACTTCCAACGAACAGCAGAAGTTCGAGCAGGCCACTCGCGGCATGAGCCACGAGGAAAAGGCCAATGCTCAACATGCCGCTCGTTTCGGCTACGGTCCTCTCGCTCACATGCGCACTCACGAAGGCAACATGCTTCCTGCTTTCGGTGGTGAATTCCAACCCGGTCTCTACAAGCCTGTTGAGGGTCGCAAATTCGCCAACCCAGCACCTCTTGGTCTCTCGGCCTTTGCCTTGACCACTTTCGTCCTCAGTCTGCTTAACTTGAACACCCGCAACCTAGCTGGCATCAACAGCATTGTCATTGGTCTGGCCTTTGGCTATGGTGGTCTTGTTCAGCTTTTGGCGGGCATGTGGTACGTACACAAACATCGCGACTATGTTTTTGTCGCGCTAACAGCTCGGAAGGGAAATCGCTGTCGGTAACACTTTTGGTGGTACTGCGTTGTCATCCTATGGCGGCTTCTGGATCTCTTTCGCCATCACTCTTACCCCTGGTGGCTTCGAAATCGTCTCGTCGATCGAGGCAGCGGGTGGTGAATCGGCTGTGCTCAACTCACTTGGATTCTATCTCATGGTATGTTCACGCTCCCACGTCCGCATGCTCGTCTCTAATTTTATTGTCAGGGCTGGTTCATCTTCACCTTCCTTCTCCTGATCTGCACCTTGAAATCTACCGTTGCCTTCTTCTTCCTCTTCTTCGTGCTCGACCTCGCCTTCCTTCTCTTGGGTATCGCTTATCTGCGTCCTGTCGACGGCGCCCCAAGCCCAGGCTGCACCCGCGCTGGCGGTGCATTTGGCATCCTCGCCGCCTTTGCTGCCTGGTACAACGCTCTGGCCGGTATCGCCGATACTTCCAACAGCTTCTTCATCATTCCTGTCGCTCACTTCCCATGGTCGGAGAAGGGAAAGGCTGCCCGCGCAGAGAAGCGGGATGTTGAGCACCAAGCATAAATTGCTATCAGCGCAACTCGAAACAAATGATAACAATGTGTCTCGCATATGCGGAACATGTGCAGTCTGCAGTCTGCCAGAGACGCTCTCACTTCTACGGAGATGATATGCTCAATGAATCAAATTGGACCCAGGGGAAAAATATCCGGAGATGATATACCCTTTGATGCTACGATCTGTTTGAATACCCCAAGACGCGTGGCGTGTTTTTGGATCATGATCCTTCTTTTGCCGCAAAACATAAGACTAATTCGATGTATCTAATCGTTGTAATACAACATTTGCGCTTATCTACAATGTCGCGAATGCCAACCCGTGGTGACACTCTTTCTCAATGAGCATTTGTTACTCCCAGAGGCCAGAGATAGTAGTACCTTGTCTGTGCCCTCGCATCAACACAATGAAACGAACAACGTCACGCTTGGTGTAAGTCGATCAAAGTCAATTCACTTGAAGTGTCGTCACAACCAAGCCTTTTAAATCTTGGGGCGTTGCCGAGGCTGACGCCAAAACCTTGGGATGATGATCGGAAGCCTTTTTTTTGTGTGCTGGCTGACCACACCCAAGGACGCCATCGCGGCAGAGACGGCACTAGACAGGCACGTTAAGCGGCTGCTTGGCGCATTCTCTTGGGCATCGTCAGCAAGGAGGGGAGGGTGTCCGATGACAACGTCCAGCATACCTATGGTAGTCCAAGGTAATTTCAAGACCCTATGAGTACCAACAAAAAGAAAATCGCGACCAACCTATGGACTATGCAGGACGCCGTACAAGACAAAGCGTCCTGCTGATCAGATCCAGCTTACATACCTACTTACCTCACGTAGATTGGGTGGGTAGGTAGCTCGTACGAGTAACGAGTAGCCGTACTTACAGAGGGATTTGTGTTCGCCAAGTTCGCCCTAAGAAGGGGTGGCGGGATGCGGAGGAAAAGCACCTAGACAAGGAGTGGGGAAGCAACAGACTTGATTGGGTGCGGACTGTGACCTAAGGTAGCTCAGTGTCTTTTTCCCAAAAGAGGCTTGTTCATGACGTCAATGGCAACGTCAATGTCCAAATGCAAAATGCAATATGGGAAAACAGCAACTGCGATCGTACGAGTAGTGCATAGAAGCTAGTCGTGGCTAGTGAAGGCATTATGCATCATTCTGGGTGCACTTTTAGTGCGACTTCTCTTGCATCTGATGATCTCGCGCGGTATCTGACTTGCGGAAAACTCCCCAAGGAACGCCAAAGCACCACCGTGGCACAACCCATCATTTACCATATGCGGATAGGCAGCTCGCTTGCTGAACAATCTTGGGGCCCCCCCACGGCACCTAGCGAGCGTTGAAAATTGTTCGCCCATCCCGTGTCTACAGAGCTCGACAGCATGCAGCTTTCTAGCGCCGGCGTGCCCTGGCTCTGCATTGATAACCACAAAAATCCACCGGCTTGAGCATTGGCGAAGCGTAACTTTCCCTTGCTTACGATGTCCGCAGATTTCTCTGCTCACTCTCGGCCTCGTCTTGAGGCAAAGAACCGCCTTGCTGAGCCAACTTGGTCTGTGGGCTGTGAACGCTATGTCGTTATGTGACGTGAATTGCGATCGGCAGCCTGGAGCCACGACTGCTGTTGCTGACCTGGGCATGCCTCCCAGGTGTCTAAAAGCCTTCATCTTCGATCAGAGCACAGCGAAAGCACTGACATAGCTAACACTGCTATCGCGAACAGTTTCTGCGTCACTGCTTCTTTCATACCTCATGAATCGAAACCGCCTCCGAGTGCCGCCCTCATTGTCAACGCCCTTCTCCTGTTCTAACCGCTCAAGTTCCTCCACGCCAGCCATGAAAACGCCAATGGGATGTCTGCCACAAACTGTGTTTCCAGTATCACGCAGGACTCTGAGAAATTCAGCATACTCGCCGGTCGCAATGGCACACATGCAAGCTCTGTCCGCATGCGCAATACTCTCGAATATCTGGGGCCCACTCTTTGGTATCTTGCTGCTGGACTTCAGTTGTTGACCCTGACCTAAAGTCGGCATCTTGTGCACATCCTCGTTGACCGACTCCTTTGCGGTTGTGAACTCCCCTCGCACTCCGTTCGGCAGCATAAGTGGTGACAACGCAGGACTTGGAGCGTCTGGTAGGTAGTACGTATAACCGAATCTGCTTCCCCAGTGACAGAAATCTGAAGAGATGACGAATGCATTGCTTTCGTCCGCGATGTATGGAGCCAACAATTTTCCCAACGCAGCTTCTGTCGCAGGATTGGTGCTGCCAACCATGATCGGAATGAGAGGAGGGTACGATGATTCAGGTTGATCGGGATAGAGGTTCTGCAACAGCCGGTGGATGTAGGGCAATTGCATTTCTGCACTGTGCTCTGCTTCGTCTACTGGCTGGGACATGGTGGTGAATTTGATGGTCCGACCGCCGGCGGTGGCCGACAGGGTGGACAGTTCTTTGATGGTTTCGAGGTCGAGCGGGAGGGGTGTTTCGGACAGAGGAGTTTCGTAGGCTTCGACAACAGGCAGGGCGGCTGTACTCAGGTGGTGATGATGGGATGGATGTAGAATGAAGATCCGCTTCGCTCTAGAGAGGTCAAGACACTTGTACGCCCACGCCGCAGCGGGACCCGAATAAGCATATCCTGCATGAGGCGAGATGACCGCTCTGGCACCGGGCAGTGGTAATTTCTCAACTCCTGGCAGACTGTCTTTCTCGGGCACGCTCGAAAGCCAGTGGTCTAATTGCGATGCAAGCAGCCGACCGTTGTCTGAGTACCAAGAGCCTGCATGAGAGGCTTCTCGAACCGACATGGTAATCAATGAAGGCCCCAAATGTGTAAGAAATCAGCAAATAACACGCAAAGTGAGCCTGAAGAGCCTTGAATGGTGTCCGAGTGCTTATCGTAGATCGTAGCCCGAGACAGTTGAACTGCGGTTGATCGAAGGGGATGTCATTGCAGGAGTGTGGGGTTTGGTCTTCCGTACTGGCCGCTTGGATCGCCTTTACCCTATCGCGCCCGGCAAGCAAGTAATGCTCACCGACTGAACAACCTGATGAGCCAGCTTTCTGGTATTCATTCATAGACTTGCCTTGGTACCAATTATTCTCCAGCGATTTTCCTGGTCCAAACACGGAGTAGATGCACATCTCAAATGCTCAAGGTCAGATCCTCGCGCAAGGCTGAATGCCAGCCTTCTCCTGCCTCGCGACGCGTACTCCGGACTTTAAAGTGCTTCTCTACACACGCGTCATTATCTTCCCATTCAATTTCTCAAGTCCTTTCCTCCCGGCCTGACCACAGCAAGCACACTACGACAGTCATGGGTCTCAAACGCAAAGCCTCCGTCATCGACAATGCGGGCTATTGCCTTCGTGGACTTACGCGCCCCTCCGCACCCTCATCAACCTCCTCCTCCTCCTTCTCTCCCACGTCAACGAACACCCTCTCCCCTGCACACAATTCTCACGACAAGGGAACCTACAATTTCTGTCAGATCGAAGCCGTACCATATTACCTCAATTCGCGCACTCGAAAACGCCACCGCGACGACAGACCAGAGGAAGAGATCATCCACGAGCACACGCTAAGGAAGCTCTACGATGCGCAGCGATTACACCTCGACGAAGCACTGCCTATCTCCGAGCTCATCGATCTCGACGAGCAAGCGCGGGTGATGGAGGAGGGCGAGGAAGAGGACGAGGATACTGATATGTCGGACGAACCGCTGGCAGAGCTCCCGCGATCACCACAACGGAACCAGAGGACACTGGAGGCATTCTTCGGTGGCAGGAACACAGCAGCAACTCCGTCGTCCAAGTCTGACCAAGGGTAGGACAATTCCCAAGGACCTCCCACCACCTCCCAGAATGCCAAATGTGAGGCACGGAGACAGCTGGGCGACTACCTCGTAGCATGATCGGAACCACAGCAAAGTCGTAACGGCATGTGGTCTCAGCCGAAATTCTGGCCGACCATGGCATCCATGACCCAGATGAAGAAAGATACAGACGCTTATCTATGGAAACCATGATGCAAGGTATCCATACAAAAAGCCACGCATGCAGCTGCCTCCGCCTCTCAAAAAGACATATGGCTTGATTGAAGAGGAAGCCCACTTGTGGCAAGGCAAGTCGTTCACTCAAAGAAGAAAGGAGGGTGTATCAATATATGTACACATACGGACAGGACATTGACTGCACAAGAGCAGGCGTTCCTTTTGCGTTGGGCTGAGTCGTCGTCTGAGAAATCTACATGACTATGAAGCGTTGGATTTTTCGTTTTTGTGAATGCGGCCAACAAGGGCGCGAACTTGTTGGATTTGAACGAGACTGTAGACATGACGAATGGACTCCCAAGGGCCTAAAGAGGAGGTACGAGAAGTCTGCGTTGTCAGAGTTGAACGACGAAAATGAAGGACACTAGTGCTGGTCCTGCTGTCTTGGATGCAACGATAACAACAATCCAGAAGCAGAACATTATGATAAGAAAAATCGGTTGATTCGTACCTATGCAAAGCTACCTGTGTGCTAATAAAATGAGGAGTTGGCTCTGTGCTATTCGTATTCCCGGTCCATGTCCAGCCCCGTACTCCATATTGGAGACCTGAGTATGCAAGCAATACTACCACCGTGAGTCCTAAATGAGCCACTCCTCAACACCAGCGCGGATCCCCGTGATTAATGCCCTACGCCCAGAAATTCATGATGGTCGTATCCTCATAAGTAGAGTGTCACTGCGTCCGACGCCTGTCGCCTGCTTCGCTGTGCTGATGACCGCTTCTTTCAAATCCTTTCTCGTGACGCACCCTTCTGCTCACTGCACAACCAGACCAGTATCGTGGATCAGTCAGCCCGTCCCACAAGAAGCGCCGGACGGGCCACGTTCCTCTTCTCGCCACGACATGTCATTTCCCGAGACTCTTCAGACTTCAGGCTACTACCTTCTTCATTCTCAACCCTCAAAGTTCCCATTGATTCCATTCCAATGAGGTCTGCCTTTGGAGCCTGTGAGCAACGCCTTGAGCCGTCTGAAGTTTCGCGGGCATGGCTGTCAAGTGTCTGCCTCTTGGATCCCTATGGAGAGGCTGTTATTGCAGATGCACTTCCGCCACTCTGTCCAGATGCCGTCATGCTCCGAGCCACCTCTTCTCCTCTCTGACGGGCACTCTCCAGCCAAGCTGCTTCGGCTAGGCCATTGAGGCGATCCAGGTGAGATCTGTGCATATAGTCCAAGTCTCTCTGAAGCTTTCGGAAACGTTCGGTTGCATTGTCCCTGGCCACTTTCGTCTCCTCCCATCTCCTAGCTAGTGGTCCGAGATCCACAGCGGCTCCACGGATCAGACTGACTTGGGCATCGCAGAAAGATCGACTTGCAGCAGCTTCGTCGTCGAGTGCTTTACTTCTCTCACTGTAAGCAGCCTTCACGTTGTTCTTCATCGCCTCCATTTCCATCATATGTTCGTGCTTTGCTCGTTCGATGGCGCTTCGGGCTCCCTCGTTCAGGTCGCTTGGTAGCCCTGGTGGACCTCGGGACGATCTGTAACTAGAAAGGTACGCAGCAGCTCCTCTCATACGTCGATAGGCCGAGCGTTCAGGTCGGGCACTAACATTCAGCTCGATCTTCGCTTCTCCTTTCAATGTTTCCGGCGCCTTCAAATCTGCACCTTCGTCCCAATTTTGGTCACTGACTGGCGACACCACGTTGTTCAATGGACGTCTGGCGTCAATAGCACGTCGGCACTTCATGCAGGCTCGACTCTTGTGATATGTCTGAGAATTCACCCAAGCTGATAGACAAGTAGCATGCATAGCGGTACCGCAGCAGCTGATGACGGCCATGAAGTCATCGGTTTCGAATTCGAGTTGACATGCAGGACATTCTCTCTTGTGGTCGTCTAGGACTTCGATGCTTTCCGTGGTCGCGCGACTGAGGATCAATCTGATCGGGGGCTTACTGGGAGTGGCGGGTGCTGTTGAAGCAGCTGAACGTCTATGTGGCAACACAGAAGAAACCATCTCGCTCAGAGCGCTTGCGTTCGAGGGGCGCGGTGTGCTATTGTTTTCGGTCCCGGGAAAGCACCTGCTGGCCTCAATCCCTGTATGATACCGGTGTCCTTCGGGAAGAAGGCCGGAAAGTTCTCTCAGACGTTCTTCAGACATGCCCGGAAAATGTCGAAAGAAGTCATTGTGGAAAGCTCGCATATCTCCACGCATCACTTCATGTGGTCTTGTCAGAGGCTGGGGTGGAGGTGGCTGACTTGTGTATGCATGCCTCGGTGCAGTTTCAGAACCAGCAGGGATAGTCGGTAAGGTGTAAGCAAATGGCAAGGTTGTCATCCCCCTCAAGTCTTGAGCAAAGCCCGTTCCCGCCATTAGGTACTCGATGGCTGCGTGTTCTTGCCAGGGAGAGTTATCCGCGGGCATGGATGGGAAGGCATCGTTGACCGGGAAATAGTAGCCAGATTGAACAGAGAACGAAGGCGGCAGAGGAATGTTGGAAGGTCGAGTAGGGTCAGCCATCAGTCGTGGAGGAGTCGAGTCCGAAGCGAGTCGTCGACGTTTATGAGAAGAGTTTTCTCTGTCAGATCGGTCCTGTGAACTAGGTGGACTAAGATCATCGTAAAACGGTGGTGAGGCCATTTTGGCGAATGTGATACTTCAGTCACCAGTGGAAATGTTTCACGTGTTCCATAAAGATCGGTCCGGAAGTCCCCTCAACGGTAAGGCAATGTTTGGAAGGACAAAAGAGAGAGTAAGTTGTCCTGATACAAAGTATGGTGTTGGATCCAAGAGTTTGCCCTAATGACGAAGTCTCAAAGTCATTCAGGCGGAGTTACGATGTGGTCTGGCAGTGACCGCTTTGAGGCGGCGAAGACTAGTGGTTTGTTTTGATGCACCGGCGGCACCCACTTCACCTTTGGTCGCAGTTGTACGGTGAGATGGTGGTACTGAAGAAGGCAGAGGTCGAATATGGGCAGAGAGTTGTAGTGAAACTAAGGTTGGGATGGGGATCTAAAACTGATCATGCGAGGTTGACACAGAATCCCGGATCGAGACCGGGATGTCAGCAAGCTGATTAGTTGAAGTTTGAAGGAGAATCAAGGCGGCTCGCTTGGTTTGTACCCAGGCAGTTATTATTGGTGACACACGGGTTGGGTTGACCTGACCTGAGGCTGGTGGGATGGTGGGCTTGAAGGGCGTCCGTATCGGTAGAGGTCCGCAGGTAGACAGGTCACATAGGTGAAGGTCAGTGACTAGCCGTGGCTAATAGTAGTAGGTGTTTGTTCGTTCCGTAGAATTATGACGGAGTTCGGTTGATGCAAGGAGGGGGTTGTGCATGAATGAATGAATGCTGTTGCTGGTGCTGGTGCTGGTGTTGGCTCTGGCTCTGGCTCTGGACCTGGCTTCCTTGTCAGCAGCTGTCGGACCATGATCGAACTTCGGCTTCCCTGCAACCCAACCTTAAAACCGCATGTGACACAGGTCGACGGGCCGAGACAACGCAGATGCTGGAGATCAGTATGAGAGGCAGAGTGAGTGCAGGAAATGACCGTCCGTGAATCCGAGAAGATTGCAATTCTACGAGAGATCCCTTCTTAAGGTACAGAATTATGTACCTTATTCATTGATTTCCAGGTGCGGTGGCCTTGTCTCATTCCAGGGCTTGCCTGCCTGATACTCCATACTGAGGGACGAATTTCGACAATTCAGCCTCTCCAGAAGCCCCCATCAACCTCAGCACGTACCTACTACTAAGGTAACGAGAAAGCAGGCAAGCGAGGGGTGGCATCAGGGTGTCAGCCTTACCAATTGCGCCCCAGGCACGCCCATCACGCCCACCACGCCCAAGATGCGTGCTCCGAAGTTCTTCCAGGCTTTGCCTCTTTGCCTGTTTCTCTCTCCCAAACTTCACACCAACACTCTTTGGTTTCTCTTACAGTGACTCAACAATAACTAGGAAGCGGCGGTAGCTGTCCAGACAATGAATTTACCTGGCTCATGATGTGCAGGCGGCCCGGAAAACACCCTCGTTTCCTTTCTGTTTCTGTCCTCGCCCTCCGGTGATGGACTGGGTTGCCTCTGGATGTTGCACCCTTCTAGCAGCATACATTCTCTACCGCTTTCTTACCCGTGAGAAGGACTTTGACGCAGCGAAAGGAGCTACGGAATCCAGACCCGCAACAATCTCCCAGACAAAACCAGCAATGGACAGGATTCCACACTCTGCGCCAACAATGGAGTTAATGAGGGTGCCAGAGGCAAAGAGCAATTCAAAGAATGACGTGGCTACGCTGCCAGTTGTACGAGGACCACCAGAGACCATCGAGACTCCTGCACTTGCACCACCCACTGTTACTATGCCTCCAAGTCCTCCTCGCCTCAAACCTCCCACGTTCGGTAGCATGCTTGCCCCGCCTCGACCTGGGAATGGTGCACTACGCCCACCACCCTCCGCAGCATCTTCTCTGCGAGTCCCTCCCACCAAAGTCCTTTCGAATTCCTCCATGGCACCCACCTCCTCCATCATGCCGCCGGGCAAGCAGGTCTCACGTAAGGTCATGCTCGAACCAGGCCACTCGCCTCTAGACTGGGCTGCCCTCACATCGAGTCCGAACAGTCGCTTGCGAGGGAAAGATGCGCCTGACAACCTGACCCGAGTCACACCTACGCAGCTGAAGCAGCAGAATGGCCGAAAAGGAAGAGACGCCTGGACGACATATCAAGGCAAAGTGTATAATATCACACCATACGTGCCGTTTCATCCTGGTGGGAAGGGCGAAATCCTGCGAGGTGCAGGCAAGCACTCCGACACATTATTCACAGAAGTGCATCCTTGGGTCAACTGGGACGGTATGCTGAGCGAGTGTCTCGTTGGGATACTTGTGAACGACGAAGAAGCATCGGATGCGAAGAGCGGCGGTCTGGACGATATGGACTGAACATGCATATCGGCGTCAATGGGTTCAGCCCAAGATATTAGACTATGATACCCCGGTAAAACAAGTGCCTAATAGATGGCTCTGACGGAGTTGATCTTGCAGTTTAGGCTTCTTTCATAAATCCCTTCCATGGTTTTCCTGTCGTGATGCCCGTTTCCAGTTTCCTTTTGTATGTATTCGACCGCCCATTTTGATACCATTTCCTTGCCGAACGAAGCATGCAAAAAGGGTACCCTCGTGGTTCTATGCTAGAATGTCTTTCGTTGCCGCCGTGAGATATAGTGGGAACCTCACTGCCAACCCAGAACACTGCATCCCTCAAAGCTCATCCTTCTTAACCCCCTTGATCCCCATCAACTCCGTCTCGAAGACAAGCACGCTGTTCCCTGGAATGGGTCCCACAGCCCGTGCACCGTACCCCATGTCCGGGGGAATCGTCAACCGCCTCTTCTCGCCAATGCACATGTCTACCAGGCCCTCGTCCCATCTGTAAGTCCAAGTATGTCAGCACATGCACATCTTTCTTGTGTATCGCTCATGCGCTCGAGGCGGACGACACGACCGGAGAGACTGTGAAGGGGAGAGGAAACGATATAAACTGGGGTATGGTTAACGTACCCCTTAATGACCCTACCCGCACCAAGCTGGAACGGCAACGGACTGCCCCTGGAATAACTGGAATCAAATTCCTTGCCCGTCTCCTGTAGGGTGCCGCGGTAGTGCACTTCGATATTGTCGCCCTTCTTGCTCTTGCGGGAGCATTCGATGCCAGGTGTGAGATAGTCGATGTTGAGGCCCGCGGCAGAGGCTATTTGGGAGAGCGAGAGGGCTGCGGCGAGCAGCGTAGGGAGGATCTTCATTGCTGGATGACTAGGACACTTATGGTTTTCTTTGAAAGAGGCGACTCGAAAGGGAGGAGTGTGTAGAACGGTTTCTTGTTTTTGTAAATCCTGAGGTCGGATGCAGGTCGTGCAGGAATGTTGAATGTCGAATGTTCACAATCTGGTGTTGCTGTTGGAGATGCTATGCTATGCCACTAGGATCTTACGCCAGCAAGCCATCGGCGACAGAGCTCACCGAGCTTCAGGGGTGCGTGCGGAGAGAGCAGGCCGGGCGTCGAGGGCGTCCCCTGTTGACGTCGTAGCCATCATCATCATCTGCCATCTCCTTCGATTTTCAGCGGGACTTGAACAAAGCACGATCCAAACTTCTTCACATTTCCTTGGCCATTTCTGTTGCTGCAAGTAACGAACAAGTAGGAGATGAAGCACGCTGAAGCCCTGACCTTTGAAGAAGCCCGCTGGCTGCTAATACCCTCAGAAACACTCGAAAACGCACACTGATGCCCTCGAACCGCGCCTTCGACACCTTGTGAGAAGCACACTCGGACCTTCTTTCATAACCCACCCATAGGACGAACAACTGTCGACACCATCTTTTTGCCACTTCTTTCAAGACAAGTGTGCCTTTTTGACATTCCCATAGCCCCAACGCATCCATTCCATTCCATTCTCATTCCCACTCCGGATCTCTTTCCTGCCACAAATCTTTCCTTTTCCCAATCGTCGAAGGCGAGAGCTCAGAATGCTCAATCACACTTGGTTCCATCCGTTCCAGCGCCGGTCCCGCTACTAGACCTTGGATGTTCTTCATGTTCTCTCTTTCCTGCAGATTTGTGGTGTCGACAGTTGTTCGTGTTGAAGGAAATGCCCCCCTTTCATGTGGGACATATTGATGCCGCTCTCTGATCCGTTCCTGCGCTGGTCTCGATGTTAGACCACGGATTCAAGAATTCTGCCGATGATTCAGATCGGCACATGTTAACAATCTGTCGTGGGTTTGTTGAGGGCGGTTGGCAAGATGCCACTTCATTCCAGGGCATCGAGCTTGATAATCGACACAAAACAGGTGTCAGAGACCCCGTACATGCTGTGAGGTTGAATTTTTTGGGGTACGTCGAGAAGAACTTAACGATGAAAACAGCAAACTTTTTGTTGTCCTTGAGATAAAGGTGCTAACTGTCGATAGCACAGTGTTGAGAGCCCGGTGCATCATTCGAGCGCGCAAACAATGCTGTAAACAATTCCTGTCGATGTTGTCGACGGTGGAAGCTCCATTTACAAGAGCCTTCCAAGAAACTGAGCCCTATAAGACAACGCACAAGAAAAACAAGTTGTACTGGTTGTACAGGGTTGCCCAGTGTTGAGGCGTTAGTGCCCTTCAACGGCAACGCTTGACAGGCTTCTTCTGCACTTCTATCTTGACGTTGATGGTCTTGATGTCAAGGGGGATTCGGCGTTTGCTCTTGAAGAACTCGCTGGCCGTCATGCGAGCCGGCTTTGGTGTGACTTTGCTGGCAACATCCTTGGACGCAAGCGGCTCAGTGGTGTTGCTCTTCTGGGACTCCTCCTTACCAACAGGCTTCAAAACCTTCGAGGCAGCTGGTACGGACTCTGATTTCTTTGTCGAAGCCTGAGCTTCGACAGCCTTGCTGCCGCCAGCCGTCTTGGACTCTGGCCGGCTGGTGCTGTCGTTCCGAGCACGTTTGAGGAGAGGTGCCTCATGCTTCGAGGCTTCCTCGGCCGCATCATCATCATCCTATCACGAGGTTAGTACACATCTCTTTGGGCCTCTTCTGGGGTCTTGGTACTTACTCGCTTTCTCTTCTTGGCCGGGGCAGCTTGCTCTGCGGCAGCAGGGGCCTTCTTTCCTCCAAGGACAGGACTCTTGATCACTTTCTTCTCTCGGACGATCTTGAAGGGTCAGCACAGGAGTTGACAGAGTCCATGTAGGTCTCGACTTACTTGTTGCTCCTTGGTGGTCGCCAGGACGTCTCTGTCCGAAGCTTCACGCTTCTGTCGCTTTCCTTGTCCTTCGTCATCTTCATCGCGCTTTCGCTTCTTCTCTTTTCCAGGCTCGACACTGTCAACAAGCTTCTTGTCGTTGCTTCCTGCACGCTTCTGGCGTTTGGCATTGCTTTCTGAGCTCTCATTGGAGTCGACAGATCTCTTTCGCTTGTGCATTGGTGGAATGGCGGTCCTACCGAGCGCTTGAAGTGTGTTGTTGGCATATCTGGCATCATGTCGTGCCTCTGCCTCGGCTTGGAGGGTCGCCAGTCTATCCTTGCGAGCTTGCTCTCGCTGGGCTTTGCTCATGCGGGTCTTTCGGACACGACTTGGCGTCTCTTTCAGAACATACAGGCGATACAATTCTTCGGCAGTTTTGTCTCCGGATTTGATCTCTTCTCTGAGATAGAAGAGGGCGATGCTGGCATTGGACTCCTTGTCGATGGGCTTTGGTGGTTCTCCACCTTTGGTCTTGGCCAACTCCTGTTGATAGAGGTACAGGGCGGCCTGGCGCTTGTTCTCTGCCATGTCCTTCTGAAGTGTCTGCTCCCGCATCTTACGGACTTCCTTTGTGACCATCTTGATTGTTGTGCTGAAGAAAAGACAGAGAAAGATGTTTCAATGTGATTTGGTGGAAGGAGGTGAGGGTATGAGGCTGTGTGAGATAGGGGGTCCAGACTTCTAATTGAGGATGACGCTTTGTTGCTGCTGAAAGGCAGTGCTAATGCAGGTAATAGTTTGGAGCGGTGTAAAGATGAACAAGGCTTTGCGGTATGAACTTGTCGATACGCTATGCAGTGTCTCTCGAGTGTGAACGAGCAGAGATGATGTGTTCTTGTTGTTGTGGGAACTATGGAAATTGGGAAGATGGATGATGGATGATGGGAGAGATGAATTTGACAAAACAATGGCAGCAGATATTTGGGAGGTGCCGTATTCACTTATTCACTCGATTGATTGAGGCAGTGGCTGCGTGACCGAGTGACTTCTGCCATACCGCTCACTGGTGAATACAATACTGACAGGAAGTACCAGCCATTGATTATCACTCTCCTTGGCGGACAGCAAATCGATTCACGAGTTGTACCAGATCTCGAGCATCAATAGGGCAAGAACAATAAGGAGAATGAATACTTGGGGGTTCAATGTGTTTCTGTTCATTTGCTATTGAACTCCGCCGATTTCCCATATCCCACATTTTCGCTCTTCTGTGGGTGCCGTATTCATGAGCCTGTCCCTTTGTCCCAAGCCCAAAATCTCGAAAACAACCTGTGTAGAGTCCTCCTGGGGCTTGTGCCCATGCCCATGCCCGCCTTGACTCCGTGCTGGAAAATCCATGTCCCGACCCTGTCCAATAACCAAAGTTGAACGAATTGCTGTCCCGCCCTTCCTGTCCTTCTCGTCGGTCTCCTTAACCTTTCCTCCAACTTCTCTGACGAATGCTCATCTGCTTGCCCGGTACGATCTGCCAAGCATAGAAGCCTCCTTCCTCAGCTCTTCCTCCGACATTGGTACTTCAGGCACCGCAGCAGGACGTGGTTGTTGTTGTTGTTGCTGCTGCTGCTGCTTCGCCTTCTCTTTCTCCTTCTCCTCCTGTGCCTTGGCAATCATGTCGTTGAACAAGGCTTCCTTCTCGAGCGTTTTGGCGTCTTTGGCGACCGGAACGATGCAGTGTTTTGGTGGTGTGGCGATTCTTGTGTAACTGATGTTGCGGGATGCCATTCCACTTCCATTTCGCGCCGTCTCGGTCATCTTGTACGGCTTCATGGTGCATGGCTCCAAGGTGTACCCCTGGACATCCTCTGCGTTGCGGATGCTGTTGCTGATGGTGGTGGCCACGGATCCGTTCTTCGACCAGGGCCTAAGTGGCTTTTGGAGGCCAGATGGTAGTGGTGCCCGTTTCTTGACTGCCTTTGGTGCTGATGGAGTTGGGATGTTGGCTGGCTTCGGCCCCAACGCCACTCTTTTCGAATGTCGCTTGAACATGTCTCTCTTGGCAGGTGGCTGCATGGCAATCTTCTGGACACCAGACATTGTGTTTTCGGTGGTTGTCGAGTGTAAATTGTGGAGTGTACGGAGTTGGCGAGGAGGTGGTTGTTGGGAGCAAGAGTGTCGCTGTGGTGTGGTGTCTGTGGATGTCGTCTGGTGTGTGGTGTGGACTATACTCAATTAGTCCTGAGGAGGATGTGAGTGTTAAGGGGTAGGAGTGGTGTTGTATTACAAGTGATTGTGGTGTCGATGTCTTTGTTTGTTGTGGGAGGTCGGCAAAGAGTTGTCGATAGTGTCAAGTGTGTAAGTGATGCAGCAGGGAGGAAAGAAGGAGGGAATATATATGTGGGAGAAACAGCAGATATTCATGAATAGGTTTTCATAGGCCCTCATGAATAGGGCATTGTAGGTCCTCATGAATAGGGTTTCTTAGGTCCTCATGAACCGAGTCATACTGTCCTGAAATTGTCGAGGACCACGGTTCATCCTTGGATGTGATAGGGACCAAATGATGAGGACCACCCACTCGTTACTCATCGTCAAGGGCATGGTGGGACACAGCCACTGGTGAGGGATGATTCCATTTCACCTTGCAGTTAGATTTGAACAGCCACCTTCTCTACCAAGGTTTGCTTCCAGTAGCGTCCATAGTGCTGCGTTCTCGAAGATTCCTGGATGAACACCTTGCCAATAACTGACTCTTGCTTCGGAAGCGATGACTCAAGCCTTCTCGACTGATGTGGACGACCGAACATTCGCCTCGACCAGAAGAAATTTTCCCAGTCGGCTTAGACGCTTGTCATGCCGTTGTCGAGTCTTGTACAGGGTTCCGCGCTTGGAGACAGCGAAATCTCGACAACTGGCATCTTTGACTACAGCAAAAGAAGTACAAACCTGAACAGCTAAGAATAAACGGTCTGTGACCTACCTTGCAGCCTCGTGTCTGAAGCCATACTCTAGCAACTCGCTTTCAGGTCAGCTGCACAAATCACAGTCGTGCGATGTGCCAACATGGGAAGGCAGCCACATACTGCTTCAGATTGCATTGTGTCCATAACCTAGGTCGAAATGTAGTTTTAATCCCCTGAAAAAGGGAAGAAACAGCGAAGGGGACGCTTGTGGGACGTTTGATAGAGATCTTAGAGGGTCACGTGTGTTCGTGAAGCCGAGGCAAGCGCGTAGATCCTCCAGTGTTCCAGACGCGTCGTTGTCAAATCGTGTTGCTGGAGTCTTCGACAATACTTTGGCCATTCAACAACTTCCGATGGACAAGCAGCTCTTGAGCGGGTTGAATGCCGCTCAGAGAGCTGCGGTTACTTCGACAGCCACAGTCCTGCAAGTGTTGGCGCCTCCAGGTTCCGGCAAGACGAAAACACTGACCTGTAGAGTCGCGTACTTGATTGCCAATGAACGTCTCAATCCTCAAAATGTCATCTGCTGCACGTTCACCATCAAGGCCAGCCGAGAGATGCGCGAGAGGCTCAGAGGACTGGTCGGTAGCGAGCTTGAAGCCAAATTGGTTCTGGGGACCTTTCATTCTATTTGTCGTCGCTATCTCGTCGCTTACGGACACCTCATTGGCGTACCGAAGGGATTCGGAATAGCAGACTCCTCCGACAGTCAGAGTATTATCAAGCGGATCATCAAACGTCTCAACTTATCGATCGAACCAAAGGCCGCGAGAGCGAAGATTTCAAGTCACAAAGCCAAAGGAAAGAGGTTGGAAGATCTTGCAAAGACCCCGCAGAAACAGGTGGACAAACAAGAGTTTATTACAGTTTTCCATGAGTATGAAGCGGCTCTTGCAACGTCAAAGCTACTGGACTATGACGACCTGCTTCTCCGCTGTGTCGATCTTCTTCGAGCGTTCCCTGGCTGTGTTTCCAATGTAGAAGCTCTCTTGATCGATGAGTTCCAGGATACGAACGTGGTGCAGTTTGAATTAATGAAACTGCTGGCATCAGCTGCCAAAAGAATCACCATTGTTGGAGACCCCGATCAGAGCATATACGGCTTTCGTTCTGCTGAGATCGAAAATCTACGGCGTATGAAAGTCTTCTACCCGGAGACAGTGGTGATCAACCTGGAAGAAAATTATCGCTCGGCTTCTGCTGTATTGAAGCTTGCACAAGATGTCATTGAGCAAGACACAAATCGACCACAAAAGCGACTCAAAGCAACGCACTGCCATGGCACCCGGCCCGTTCTCCGACGTTTGCCAAATCCGAACGAAGAGGCTGTGTGGATTGCTGGTGAGATCAAGAGAATGTCGAAAATGACTGGTGGTCTACTTCTGCACTCAGACTTCGCTATTCTACTTCGATCTGCCTATCTTTCCTTGCTCATCGAGAAGGCTTTGAGCAGTTCAAGGATACCATATCGCATGGTTGGTGGTCAGCGTTTCTTCGATCGCGTGGAAATAAGAATCATCATCGATTACCTCCGCACAATCAGCCATCCTGATAACAATCAAGCTCTCATTTCGATCATAAATGTGCCTTCTCGAAAGATTGGAGAAACGACAGTTGGCGAATTCATGAAGCTAGGAGAACAACGAAAGACATCACTATGGGCTATCATTCAGGATATTCTTGCAGGCAACCTCTCGCCAGAGAAAAGGCTGTCAAAGCCAGCTGAGCAAGAACTCGGACGCTTGATCACCATGATCAAGAATGCAAGGCAGAAAATGGAGACGGTTCATCCCGGTACTGTACCCAGCACATTGATTGACTTCATTGTAAAGTCGTTGGATCTGGAGAATTATATCAAGAGGAAATACAAGGACGACCACGAAGATCGGCTCGAGAATGTCAAAGAACTCATCATACATGCTTCTGAAGTTCTTTTGCAGCCTTCGGAAGAATCCCTCGTGCAGGTTGACGGATTCGAACAGCAAGCTTCTGGTGGCGGCCAGGAAGTCCTTGCTCAATTCTTGGCCAACATCGTCTTGTCTACTGACACGGACAATTCTGAAGGCGGCAACGACAAACCCCGCGTGACCATCTCAACTATCCACTCTGCCAAAGGCCTGGAGTGGCCGGTTGTATTCATTCCAGCTGTCTATGAAGGGTCGATTCCTCACTCTCGCGCAGAGGACACGGATGAGGAACGCCGCTTACTTTACGTTGCAATGACCCGAGCTCAAGCACTCTTGACGATGACTATCCCATTGACACAATCTCGGGACCAGACTGAATCCACTCTGACTCAATTTCTGCCTCCTCTCGTGCACCATCATCTGGCACAGGTTGGGCCGAACTTTGATGATAAGACGATTTCAGACATTGCCAGCGTCCTTTGTCGCCCAATGCCATCTCAGGAAGATCTTGTGATAGCCCTACAGAATATCGGCCCGAGCGAAAGCCAGTCTGATGATCTTTGGCCGAGTGACGGTGGTCGGCGCCCAATAGCGATGTCTCTTACAGGATTTCAAGCAATACCAGAATTTGGCAAACCACTGGCCGAAGCTGTTGCCGCCGCCCAGCAAGCATTTCATTCTAACCGTTACAGCTCTTCTGTGCCCGCAGGATATCATGGCGCAACTACTATGAGTAGTGTGAGTTCTTTCTCAACCTCCAATATGACGTTGGGATTCACCACCGCGAGCCACCAGCTCAAAGCCCAGCCGCTTGAACTTACGCGTTCTTCATCGGATGCTTTCCCTCCACAAAAGAAGCCAAAGCTTTCGAAATCTGCATCAGCACAAGGCAGCATAGCAACTTTCTTTGCGAAGTCGGCAGGCCAGACCTTAGCATCCACAGAGGCAATCTCTCCAGCCCAACCCGCGCCACAACTTTATCAAGCACGAAGAGCTAAGCCCGCGGTTCCGGCGTTGACAGGCCCAAAACACCCAGTGAAGCAGAGCGAGATCCCAGAGGAACTTGCGTCACACAGACTGAACTTCAGCAACGGAATCGTGCAGAAGCGACCCGGTGCCCTGAACGAAGCAAGCACCAATTCTAACTGCCGCTATGGAACACTGTATAGTTCTTCGCCTCCACCTCCTGACATGGAAGAGAAAGGGCAGCCAACTAGCAACGAACAGGAGAACCGTCGCCTGTCACACAGCGCAATGACGAAGCCGAGGGAAGCCGCACTTGGACCAGGAACTGCGCTTCCTGCAGCTGCTGCTCCTCGGACCGACTACGTTCTTACTCGGCCTGCGACAACTATGCATAATACTAGTATGTCCTTCATAGGACACCATGGCTTCTCAACCGGCACCTCGAACCCCGGTATAGGCCGCAAGACACTGGGCGTCCGGCGAACATTTAATGGATGGGATAAGCGGAAGAACAAGTGAGCCTTGGCTGGTGGTGCAGTTGAGAATGCTTGAAGCATCGAAGATACTACATCGTCTGGGGCTGTATCATGTATGACTTTATGTGTAGACGACGTTATGACCTTGGGAGTGTTTCTTTCTGGGCTGCAACTGCAATGTTGTATGCTTTGGTGACTTATTAGCACGCGGGATTTCAGGTCATGGAGTCTTTTTGCCGGGCACTTGGGAGCCACCTTTTGTACGCATGAGTCCGCCATCGAGCGGCTCCTGTTTCGGGATTAAGAAATTAGAAGTCATAATTGATCATTATATCCAATCTGCACAATGATTAAGTCTAAAATGTCCAAAAGCAGGGAATCGAAGGCCTCTCTGTCTGCGTTATTGCGCAAAAGCATAATTATGAAGATCCCTGTTATCATGAACTCAAAGCCCGAAGGTCCATGCAATTATGTTCATCTACAATGCGACAGCGCCCATAGCAACCGCAGCCGCACCGACAAGGGCGAGTACGTTCATCCCCGTCCGGTCCGCAGCTCCAGTGTACGTCGCGACCCATGGGTTCGTGCTGGTCGCGGCGACAGGCGTTGACTGGACAGCCTGAACGGTCAGAGTCGTGGCGACGGTCACACTGGGAGAAGGTGCTGCTGCTGCTCCCCAGGATCCGGCGCCGGTGCCGGAGCCGGAGCTAGAGACAGCTGGTGAAGTTGCCGTTGAAGTTGATGCGGTGTCAGGAGAGGCAGAAGCAGATTTGCCCCAAGACCATCCTGTACCACCAGTGGCGGTCGAGGCGGTGCCCGTGACGGTCAGGGTGCTCTTCTGAACGGCCGGCGAGGCGGGGATCGCCGGAACGGTGCACACGACGGGCGTGCTGACGGCCCATCCGGCGCTGGGCGTGATGGTCGTCACGGTGACTGGGATCGTGGGCACGGGTGTCTCGGTGCAGCCGCAGTGTGTGGTCACGACGGTTGTGGTCTTGGTGATGTAGCCGGTCGGGCACGGTTCGATCCAGGATTGAGTCAGGGTGATTGTGACGGGTTCCCATTTTGTCCAGGTCGCTGGCTCGGTTGTTGAGGCCTTTGTGGTGGTAGTGCTTGTGGTCCAGTCAAGCCACGTTGGGTCGACAGTTGCGGATGATGTGGTCGTCGTTGTCGTAGTCCAGTCAAGCCATGTTGCCTCGATTGAGGAGGACGATGTGACAGGAGTGGTGGTGGTTGTCGTTGGCGTGGTTGTTGCGGTCCAGTCGAGCCAAGTGGCGCTGTCTGTAGAGATGGGAGATGGTGAGCTGGTTGTGGTATCTGTGTTGATCGGTCCAACGGCGTGGCTTGAAGTGGTCGTGCCGTTCGGATAGAAGCCCCAGGATGTGGTTGACGAGGTTGTTTGACCGATCGGGCCGATATCGTTGCTGGTGGTGGTAGATGTGGGAGCAGCGCTAGTCGTGGTGGTGGTTGTTGTTGTTTGACCGATCGGGCCAATGTCGTTGCTGGTGGTGCTAGTTGTGGGAGCTGGGCTAGTTGTGCTGGTGGTGGTTGTAGGGACAGCGCTACTTGAGCTTGTGCTTGAAGTGGTCGTCGTCCATGTCGTGGTAGTGCTGGTAGGAGTAGCGCTCGTTGTTGTTGTTGTTGTCGTGGTGCTGGTCGTAGTGGTCGTAGTGGTCGTAGTGGTCGTTGTAGTGGTCGTGGTCGATGTCGTAGTGCTTGTGGTGGTTGTGGATGTCGTCGTGCTTGTAGTCACGGGCCTGGACTGATAGACTTTGACGTATTCGACATCCCAGTACGCCTCCGAGAACTCTGTTGGGTTGTCGCCGACAAAGACCGAGCATGAGTCTCCATAGCTTGCAGCACATCCGCTGCTGGCCCACGTAGCGTCGCCCAAATCACCTGCAGACTGTCAGACAATGCGATCTGCCGAACTACGACAAGACTTACCGCAGAAGGTGGTGTCGAATACGATACGGTGGTCCGCAAAGTTTGCATCAATGTCGCAGCTGGGCCCGTTGAAGATCGAGAACGGTAGACCCCAGCCACTTGGATCAGGCGTGCTGCCAGACGAGATATCGGATGGAATACTTCCTCGAGAGAAGAACCAGACTTTGATGGCATCAGACGTCCATTCCATAGCATACACACCCCCTCCATTGGCGTTGAGCCCAGCACCCCAGCTGCTGGTTCGGGTGTCATAAGCTCCACAGCCGGCACCATTGAAGGTGTTATCGGCACCGTAGTAGTCGCAATTGTTGCCGCCCTTGGTACCCGTCATTTGCAAGGGGCTCTGCTGAATGGTGCAGGTATTGCCTGTGTGTGCCGAAGCGAGATTGACGGGATTGGTATTTGCACCCTCGATGATGTCGATTTCACCGTTCATGGGCCAATCTCCGCTGCCCAATGTCCAGAAAGCAGGCCAAACGCTACATCCACCGCTAGTTCTCGTGGTTGGAAGATGTTTGATGTCGGCGATGAACAGACCGTGTGTCCATGACGAAGTACTTTCAATGCGCACACTCGGTCGTCCGACACCATTGATCAGCCAGTAGTTTTGAGTGCCATCATAGGTATTTGTATCATCGACTCTCATTTGAGCCGAGCCGCCGTCGAAGGTGATTAGGCCGTCTTGCGTTGCTTGGGCTCTGCTCTCGTACCTTGAGACATGGTCAGTATATAAGTACGTAGCGCCGGGTCATGTTTAGGCATACGTGACGAAACCGTGACTGAGATCAGCTGTCTGTAGATGTGTCAGTTTCTCCTCGACACGCGAAACGGAGAGTCTTCATACATCTTGGAAATTGAAGCCATCGAAAAAGCTGGTGCCGGAGTACTCAGTGTCCAAAGCGTAGTAAGTAGTGGCGGCAGAAACAGATGCAGAAAGCAAAGCCAAAGCTGAAACGAGTGTGGTGCTCGACCTCAGAAGGAGTGATGAGGAAGGCATATTGAACGAGTGACTGAAAAGCAAAGAGTAAAGAGCGACAGCGACAAGAATCACGCAACAAGAGAAAGTAAGAAAGATTGAAGCAAGAAAAGTCTGCTATATTCAGTCGTGGCGCCAGCCATGGTCGAGCTGCCACCCGATGCCATTTTTTGGCGGCTTGGAGAGACCGACGCAGCCTCATCACAAAGCGCAAATTAACTTCCACCTGGTGTTGTTCCATAGAACAGGTCAAAGGAGTTAGGCTTGGATGAAAGGGTGCCAAAATGCAACTCGGGCCAATTGCTCGACAAACTGTGCATAGGCCTGGACCTGAGGCTGGCTGGACAGGAGCAATGTGACAGCGGGAGGCACCATCGGCGTCAATGATCTCCGAACCGGTGCTTTGACCGGTGAGCCAGAATGGTCCGCATTAAATGTAGCCATCGACTGAAAATGGTATAAGGAGCGGTAGAAATGAGACCAGCGCTGGTGTAGCCGAGTATAACGTCGTCGGCGCGTCCTTGAAGAGGAGAATCAACAGCAACGATGTCGGCTGAGGCTGAAAATAGGAGCGCAAAATGGACAGAGATATATCGCCCAAGTGGACTGCAATTTCTGCCTTGGCGACGGTCGGACCAATCGTGATATGTCGATGGAACGCGTATGCTCAAAAAGGAAAGGCATCTCATTTCCCCTGACGTTTGTGTTGACGTTTCTTCTTTGCTTCGACGGATGGGCCTCGTTTACACCTCCGCGTAGTGTACAGATGCCCTGTCTCCACGTGCTCGGTGGTTTGCTAGGAGTCATCGGCAAGAGCGGTCTGAGACGAACCTGACCCACGATTCCTCTGAGGCGAGACCCGGATCTGCTTAGGATGGGCTCCCGCAACAATCAGCATCAGCGGGTATACCTCGTTGAATCTTAGCCAACGCCTCTAACAATGACATGGCAACATCAGTTGGAAAAGAATGCAGTCTGCATGCACGCATATAAAAAGCCTCATTGATGGAACGAAGTAGAACTGGAGAGGATCAGCGCCGTCACTGAACATCATGTCCGGCCATTCTCATCCGGCGTCTCCCACATTGCGCCGCGACCAACTTGAACCACGGATCCACTCGCAGAACGCCTCCCCACAGGTCCTAAACACAATCATACGGTAGAACATCCAAATCAGGGTCCCTCACTCGAAAGATGGCAGGACACGCGTTCAGCACTATGGGCCATGGCTGCAATTTGATCTTACTTTCGAAGATGGTCGGCGTCTTCAGTCCCACGGCGAGAAATTGTCTCTTTCATGACGGATGATAGATACCAGACTCGAAAAATCCGAGGCCCCATCTGGGCGACGAGTGTCTGTCCACGTTTGCCACGAGTCGCTGCTGTGAATATGGTCGACTGCGGGCACAAGCTTCGCAATGAATCTATCCTGCAGGCGGTTTGACCAGATGTCATTGAGATTGCCGTCTGGGTCGCAAGGACTAGACGCCATCCACGCCGACCAGCGGAAAACGACTTGTTCCGCCAGCTCTGCCGAGATCTCGAACCATTCTCTATGCTCCTTGCCGCATCTGCTGCAATCAATCCAGCGACTGTGACTTAGCAGTTCTGCATGAACGAGTTTCTCGACTTTCTGTGCATGCGGAATAGGCCGCTTCGTATTTGCCAGCACATGGATACCTTGAAAGCACTCCTCTAGCTGCTTCCTGCGGACATAGGGATTTTCCTTGCTGCTTCCAATCTTGACAAAGCCGGGGCTGCAGTCTGTTGCCATGATATAAACGTAGCCGAGGTTGAAGCGCTTTTGCCTGGGAGAGACTGGCTTCACTCGCTGGCGAAGGACTTTTCTAATGTTGTTATTGATATAGGCTCTCGCAGTATCGTTGAGTTGGCCTTGGCTCGGATCGAGCTTGAGTATAAGAGGAGGTAGTCGGAATACACCATTCATTGAGACTGATTTTGTGCTTGTCGGCAGTGTCTTGTAACGGGACGACAGAGAAAGACCGGCATCGCTGGAAACGCTGTATGGAGGCGTGCCTGCTGGAATGAGGGCATCCTCCATGGTAGTATCATCGTCCGAACTGTCCCAATCCTCTCGAATGGGTCGTCGCTTCAATCGCCTGTCACATTCACATACCTCCTTCATTCCGAACAGGAGGTTTCGTTGTGCCTTCACCTTGTCTCTGGTCTGCGAGTACCCTTCTAGGCAGTCCATGTAGACGCGGTGGACATCTTGAAATGTTGTCAACGAATGACAGAGGATGTTCAATGCAAAATTGTCGGCCCATATAAGTCCTCGCAATTGCGAATTGACAATTTCTTGACAAGAACAGGTCAGGCGTTCTCCAGGATGAAGACAGGACCATTTTAACGGTGGGAAGCCTTTTGACTTGGGGACAAATAGTTCGACTGACACTCTGTACGACTCCATGATCAGTAAACGGTAGGGATAACGGGTAGACTCTTCAGCACAGTAGTGCTCGACGTGAGGCACTTATACCTCGTTTGCGTGCCCGGCCTCGCGAGGGCCACGCTAAATTGTTTCACTACGGAACAAAGAAGAAGCGCTGTCCGCAGGCCCGTACAGAATCCTTCTTCTTACCGTCTGCAAGAGGCTGCATCGGTGGCCAAACGCTTATAGAATAAGTGTAGCATTGCCAATAGTGGCGGATTGTATATGTTTCATACTTGGACTCAATGCGACCTCCACAATGAGTCGATTCTGGCAGGTTTCACGCCCGTTTCAGCGCCCCCATTAGGGAATGGCACGTACTGCGCCATCGGCTGCGAGCGATGATGGCCATAAAGCGCCAGTTGGATTCAAGGTCGGCAACCGAGGGGCCTACTCCGTAGTGAGGCTCATGATGGCGATGTCGTGCAAGTAAGTTCGGACTCAGAACCTATCAGCCACCGACCGAAGCGAGCGTGTACAGCCGGCAAGGGATTAATCGGCAAAGACAAGCGTTAAGTCCCTTCACTGAAAGCGATATGCGTGGACTCTACGTCTTGCCGGTAGCTGTCCAGATTTGTCCTCCCTTTGTAGAGAATTCAGTTGAAGTGAGATGCTTGTGGATGGTGTTGGTGGAAAAGCCACTAACTTATAAGGTATTTAGACTCGAGGCTAGTTACTTAACGCCCGGAAGTCCAAGGAATGAGCGACTGAGCTTAACTAAGCTAATCGCGGGGTTGATACGATTAAAGATACGTCAGATAAGTACCCCGCTGAGCCCATCGCAGCAAGGCAGCTGTGCCCAAGACTGGCCGAAGGACAGCTGTGGACAGGCTACAAGCCAGCGATGAATGTCTGCAGCCCATTGGCGTATCTCTTGCAAACCAAGATGTGGCATGTCTCATCTCCCCATCATGTGCGCTCGCAATGTGAGTGTCATTCTCATTCTCATTCTCTGTACAGCCAACCACAGGGGAGCCCTTGTGCCAGGCAGCCACCTACATTCGGTGTCTGGCTTTTGCAGACACTCTCTATTCCCCTTGTGACTGGTACTGGTATTGGTACCGGTACCTCCAACATCGAATGGATATGCCTCTTCCCGGCGGTGAGCAACTGACCAGCAGGAAGGACTGACCAACGGAGACCGGGATCAAAACTCGGGCGTCATCTTCCGCGAGCCAGGTTTGCTTCCATTGCAAACTTGCGATGCTTACATCTCCGAACAGCCTCGAAAACCAGGCACCAGCAACCTTGAACCTGGTAGGTCCGCCTTTGCACGTGTGCTGGTAACACCAAGGTGCAACGATAAGCCTAGCCTGTACGCAACCAACCCACACGCTGTCCAGCCTTATTGACGAGAACGTCACAAGGCTCTGCCCCTACTTCGATGATCTCGTCTGGCTCCTGTCGTTCCCCATGCGGCCAGTATTCGCATGTTCTTCATCGGATTCGACACGCAGACCATGCGGTCGTGGAGAACAGCCCCGATTGGCACTGCAGGCTGGCATCGCGATGACAAGAACCGTTTGATACTACTCAGGATTCCGGAGCAGGTATGTCTTTCAGTTCACGTTCTCCATTGCATTTTCATAGCTGACACTTGTCTTTGCGAACTCAGATCCCTCTTGATCCTCCATCATCGTTTCCCTCGTCCACCCATGAACACCATCCGCATGCCACCCTCGAAATCCACGAGCACAAACCTTCCCAACCACCCACGTCCTCCAAGACTCCCAATCTGACCACCCTCCCACCCGAAATCATCCACTGCATCGCCGACAACCTTCATCCCGTCGACCGCGTGTGTCTCGCCCTGACCTGCAAACCCCTCGCATCAGCCATCATATCCGCACCCCTACTCTGCCCAACAAGCTGGTCCCGCTTCTCCGACCAGCGGTACGACTGGCTCCTCCCTGAATCATACAGCTTGATCTTGCGTCTCGCACACGGGTGGATACCAAAGGACAAACTCCGGTACTGCTGGAAGTGCCACAAGATCCTGCCGCGCAACGAAGAGTATTTCCGCAAGAGGCTGGCCTGCAGGAAGAGTCCGAAATGGAGCATCAAGTTGGGCGTGTCCAAGACAAAATGGGAGAACATGGGCCGGAAAGAGAAATATACATACCTAGTTGAGACGTGGTGCGAGTCGCCGCACGAGGACAGCAGCAGTCTGTACTGCGATTTCTGTCGCGATCGGACGCTAGAGCCGGGCTTCGGTGTCGGTGCAACGCTGCAACATCCTGTACAGTGCCCGCTGTGTTTGGAAAGGGAGTTGACCTACGTCTGGCGCCCGCCGCGGAAACCCTGGATCAGAGCGAAGGCGCTCAAAGTGCTCAAGATTCTGTGGAGGCCGTTTGACCGTATAGCGATGTATATGCATATGTATGTCACAGCTTTCATCGTCCTTGGCGGACAGCTTGTGAATGATTTGTGCGAGAGAGCCTGGGAGTATACAAGGGCGCTGAAGATCTTCAATCGCTGATCCAATATACGAAATATGGACGGGTGTAGGAGCTGCTACTGCTCGGCGCCATATCGATGACGATGACGATGATGATGATGATGGAAGAGATGAGCGCTTTGCTGACAGTATACGGCATGGTATTGAGCTAATGCATACAAACTCGACATATGAACATCATGATATCCTTCCTTCATCTTCTTAAAACGCAAAACAGGGTATCGCGGGTATGAGTGACTGTCTTTGCATCCGTCTTTGCATCCGTCATTGAAACAGTCCTGCAGATCCCCTGAACTTGATCAAAGTCACTGATAGCAGTCTTGCGGGCTGATTCAGCGTATTTCGTGTGGAGCGATTTGATCAGGATCTTGATCAAGCTTTTCGTTGTGATCGTGCCCAACTGTCACGGCGTCGTGGAATACGGTATGATCACCACCATGACCAGGCCCGTTCGTCGAGGACGACCCCGTCGCGTTGGACGTGCTGGTGGTGCCGTGATGCAAAGTATTCGAGGTTGAAGCACTGCCAGCACGCCCGCCGAAGTTTGTCTCGCCGAAATTGACCGGCGGACCCTCGGCCCTGCTCTCGATAGTAGCGAGGTTCTCACCATGGTAGCCGCTGTGCAGAGCCCCAGGCTGGGCGTCTGGAGCCACGGCAGAGCTGCGGCGGCGAGTTGCTGCAGCAGATGCGCCGCTAGCGACGCCAGAGATGCTGGTGCGGTGACGGCCAGCGATATTCTCGAAGGGGTCGGTCGAGAGTTGGAAGAGAGATTGCTTGCGCTCACGGACTTCGTACTGTTCGGCGGGAGTCATACCCGTCTCGCCGACGCCGGCAATTTCAGCGTCTAGCATTTACGGATCAGTCAGCCTTGCAGCGAAGGAGAGCTTGGGATAGTTGTGGCACTGACTAGACACCCGTTTGCGGCCGTAGTACGGATCGCTTTGAGGTTCCAGGCCTCCTTTCCTACTAGTACTGAATTTCCTGACGTCGACGCCGCCAACACTGTATTTGCGTTCTCGGTTCCAGTACTCTTGCTCAGGTGTCAGGCCGGTCTCTCCAACATTGATGATCTCAGCATCTACGAATCATGTCAGCGTTGGGGATAGAAGACAAGGAAGCAACATTCACCAGATACTCGTTTGCGGCCGTAGTATGGGTCATCTTGAGGCTCCAAGCCCCCCTTTTTGCTGTTGCTGAATCTTCTGACATCAACGCCGTTGACGCTATACTTGCGTTCACGGTTCCAGTATTCTTGCTCTGGGGTGAGGCCAGTGGTCCCGACGTCCTTGATCAGGTCGTCTGCAAGGTCAGAATTTCAGTACACCAAGCAAAAAAGGACCTAGAAGGCATGGCAACGCACCAGGGACAGGCTTGCGGTTGTAGTATGGATCAGCTGTCAAAACCATTGTTGCAACTCGGAGGGCGCAAAGGCTTGCGAAATGGTGTCCTGGCACAGTGACTGGGGAGGAGGAAGGTATAAAGGGTCTTCGTATAATGACTGCCACTGGATTCAACGAGTCAAGCCTGGGCACGATTCGGCCCTTATCGCAGCTTCAGCTGTGAACCACCAAGCAAGTACGCAAGAAGAGCTCGGGAACGTAGCCAGGGGTGGCCAGGTCGGATGCTTCACTTCCCAGACCGACGTACTATGGTCAAGGGCAACAGGCAGTGCTTACCAGCGTACTCGACCGGCCACGCTCGTCATGGTTTGGCCAGGCGTGGCGACGGTACCCTTGACAGTCGATCTCCTGACTTCGAATATCGAACGGGCATACGACCCCGCCCTGCCCCAGAAATTATTTGCAGCTTGTCCGGAGGTCAATGGGGAAGTCTCTGGCGAGGAGCAGCTTCAACCTATCAGCAAATGAAGAGGCTCGTATAAGTGTCCTGGAGACTCGAAAGAAGCGGAGGACGCATGGTCATCTCGTCCCGAAGGGTGGTCGTTGACGTAGCTGGGATCTGTCTCGTCTTGTGCTTCTAACCATGTTCGTCGCTAGCTGCAAACATTGTTGACTTCGCTCAAATTCTCGCTCAAGATGTCTGTCATCCATGTCTGTCGCACGCCTGGCCCAGCCTGCCGCGTGTTTCGACATATTGACGGTCTCGCGCAAATGTTCGGCTGGCTGCTCAAGATGCTCCGGAAGAGCCTGTCGATATCGTATGGGTGAGGGACTGCCGCAGGAAAAGAGGTCGATGAGAAGGTCATGCGACTTATCGAGAGCAAGCCTGAGTGAGCCACCCACGTCAGGATCTTAGCATACTCTCGTACGGCTTATTCGGATTGCTGCCGCCACTTGAATGCGGATTCATGGCTGTCTTGGGAATTCGGAAGTATTCCACATCATCTAGGCTCCGAGACCATCACCTATATCTCAGAACGGCATTGCGTGTGTGAAGTTGGGGCCTAGGGCTGGTGGCAGTCGGCCAGGTTGGAGGACGCAGCTCTGCGTTAGAATACTCTGTAGAGGGTAGGTATGCTAACGCAAAAGGTGAAGAGTGCAAAGAATATAAATTCATTAACCGCACGACCTCTGTCACAGCGTCAGTTGGGTGCGAACCTCCGCACGAAAGCGGTATGTAAGGACTTGACATCTCTGGCATCCTCTTGCTCTCGACCTCATTTTGACCTGTTTGACTGCTGGAGGATGGAGGCCACTGGTGCTTCAGGTGCGAATGAGACTCCGGCGGACACGAGTCCAATGTCGAGGCAGTGGTAACCGCTTAGAGCGTTGCGCAGTTTTCACTTGACCTCTACTTCAATGCAGCAAGAATTTACCTTTCAAGGCTGTTGCGACTGATGGCATTTGACCGTCAACCCCTTCCTCCCTCCCTTCATTCCTTCCTTCCTTCTTATTTAGTCGGTTTCTCGATCTGCAACAATGGCCATCTGCAAGTATCATGCTCGCGGCGTTTGCATCCGTGGAGACCTATGCAAATTCGAACACGACAGCAACAAAGAACCTCAGGCGGGGCATCAAGCAAGACCCTCACAATCATTCAATTTGCGCGCAGAGGCGAAAGAGTTTCTCCCTCACGTTACTCTTGAATGCCTCTTCTTTCAGAGCGGATCCTGCAGAAATGGAGATGCCTGCCGCTTCCAACATAGTTCGCCAGGCTCTACTGACTCAAATGTGACGACCTCTGCATCTCGGACTAGAGCCTCTCCAAACGTGAGCCTTCATCAGTCACGGCATGCTCATAAGGATAACGTGTGCAGGGAACGGGACATGACAATCCCCCAATTCCTCCATCAGACATCCAGCTACGATCTAAAGGAGCTGTCGTCCGATTTGGTCCCGATGGTCTAGTCCAAAATCTCCAATTTCCTGCCCATGAACGCTCGGTGGCTCAAAAAATCAAGAACGGCCTGCCAACGCCTAAGGTCAAGATACGTACAGTCTGCTGTTCATGGTTCAATCCCTCAAAGATTGCGTATCTGCACTACAAAAGCCGCAAATGGGCGAACTCTGCTATGCGACGGTTTGAGAGGAAGTTCCAGGGTCGCCGCATACAATGCAAACTGAAACCACCACCACCACACCATGGCAGCAAGATCTCGATATGGTCAGTGCAATTGAGTAATGTCCCTGCAGATGCCACAGAGAATGAGCTGAAAGTGGTGTTGAAAGGTCTTCCACCAGACAATATTGTCTTTGGCAAATCAACTTGCAGCAGAAAGCCAGACGAGGCACTCAACTTCGTCAAAGATCTGCTTTGCCCATCAGGCCAGCAGCTGGAGACTTTTGAAAGCGCACAATCAGCCAGCGGTGCGAAGACGAAAGTGTTTGCCTGTTTCAAGACCCTCTCGGATGTGGAGACGGCGGTTGGTATATCGGGAACATACAGTTCTCACTTAGGCTCTAGGATCTATGTGGAACAAATGTTCATCGTGAAGATTCCTACCCTGGCCGACATCTACTCTGTATTGGAAGATCAAGTCCAAGAACTCCAGGTGAAGAACTCGACAACTGCGCGCATTTCAGTCCTCCGTGATGAACCTCATAAGCCCGTCAGCATTCGAATCCACGGCCACACGCCGATGCCGGTTGCTAAGGCAAAAACCGAGGTCGAGCGATTGTTGAAGGGCACAGTCGTGCTCAAAGACAACCAGGGCGTGCTATGGGATGACTACTATGCTACTACCGCAGGCTTTTCGTACCTGCGAAGTCTGAGTCAGCCTGGGAAGGTCCTGGTCTACAGAGATCTGCGCAGAAGACAACTTGTGCTGCACGGCTGCTCGACACTCTTCGCTTCTGTCAGGTGTGCTGTTGTGAAAGATTTCCGGCAGCGACGAGAGTCACTACACTTCATTTCGTTGGAAGGAGATCTCTGGTCAAAGGCCCTCCTAAGTGGCTTTCGCCGGGTTACAGATAGCTTGGGAAAGCAGAAGGCCAAGTTAGACGTTACGAGAACGCCGCGTCTCGTCACCATCACTGGCAGTGCTGAAGACGCTCGGTTAGCTAGGAAGCTTCTTGACTCCAGCTCCGAGCATTGTGAGCAAGAGACCGACGACAAGCGCAGAGAATGCCCTGTCTGCTTCCACGACGCCGAAGATCCGGTGGAACTGTCCTGTGGGCACTTTTACTGTCAAGGCTGCTTCGAGGACCAGTGTCGTACAATCAAGGACGGCACGATTCCCATCACTTGCCACGGCAACGGAGGTAGCTGCGAGAAGGTTGTCACGCTGGACGAGATCCGGAAATTGCTTCCTCATGAGCAATTTGAAGCTCTTCTAGCGGCATCGTTCGATGTTTACATACGGCGACATTCAGACGAGCTCGACTACTGCCCTACCCCGGACTGTGACACCGTCTTCAGAACCACCGAAGAAGCCCTTGTTGTTCCCTGCGAAAACTGCCTTGCCTCCATATGTACGAAATGCCACGCCATAAGTCACGAAGGGTGGCCGTGCTCGGTCAACGACTATGAAAAGAGCGGCGACGCTGAGAGAGACCAGCAGTGGATGGACGAACACAATATCAAGAGGTGTCCGAAGTGCAAGACTGCCATCGAGAAGAACGGTGGCTGCAACCATGTCATCTGCAGTGCCTGTCGCCAGGATATCTGCTGGGTCTGCGCCGCGACATTCGATGACGAACGGGATTGCTATCGTCATCTGCGCGAGGTACATGGCAGTATCGGCGGGGAGTGGGCACACTTGGACGCGCAATAGCTTGAACCTTGCCCCCCAAGACCATGTTCCTTGGGTCTGAGTGAAGCATGGAAAAGCACTCATGTAAGGATGGTTCTGGTATGACTCACTGTTGCACCCGCACAAAACTTCGGCTTGTGTCAAATGAGAAACTGATCGAAAGAGATGATACCGAATGACGAGAATTCGGCATGAGAAAACAAAAGGTCTCCATTCGCTACGAGTCAATTAATTATGTACTGAGGATGAGATGCCGAGTTCAGCGTACACGAGACTGGCCATGGACAATTGCAAATGGAACACTTCTCGTACTATAGTCTTCGCCTCAGATTCCCGAAATGATGCGCATGAGGCACTCTTTATGCTTTCCAGAAGAGCAAAGAAGACAAGATTCAGACTTGTATTGACACATAGTACGGGGAATCCTTGGTGAACAGCACTCAACAACGGATTCGCCCCCATTGCAGGACCTTCAGATCCAGCGAAGTATCTATCTCTTCGAGAAACTCCTTCCAGCCATGGCTAGTTCACAATTTTGCAGCCCTTTCACATCCTCTGTCTAGCCCGGTAGATTACGTTCCACCGCCCTCAGACCCGAAACATGTTCTTTTTGCTGACCCTGTTGCAGAATTGCAAGCCAGTGAGAAAAGATTGGACATTCCCGACTTTTTCCGGTGATATCACACCTTCACGCGCTTTGAATTAGAAAGAACGCTGCCACAGATATCCCTTTTTCCTCCTTCCTTCCATGACTCTGAGGACTAGCTTTGATGCCGAACTGGACGCTTGCAATGCAGAAAAAAAAATTACATCCTCACAAAGACGATTGTGTTGTAACAGAACACTCAGTGTTGCAGACAGACTTAGGGTGGTGGTGAAGCGAAACCATGATCAACATTCTAGTTTCTCATCCGCCGCGATTCTTCAGTAGGATTCGCCGCTCCTTTGGCGAGTAGATGCAGAACATTGAGAGGTGTACTGCTGACCGAGCACTGCATTGGGACTGGGCGTGGGTGGAGCGTATTGATTGGGTGCGCCGAAGGTCTTTTGAGTCACGCCGAACATCTCACCTTCTGGAGTGATGGGAGGTGTGTAAAGACCGTTTTGGACGATGGACGGAAATTGAGGCTTTTGCGGAGTGGCGTAACTTTGGAAGTACTCTGTGCCGGCCAGTTTGGCATTGGTCGATGGTGGAGTGAGCTCGTAAGTAGGCGTCAACGGTGTCCTTGCTGAGGCGGCAGACATAGCAGCTGCTTTCTGGGCGAGGAAGCTTGACAAGACTCTAGAGACGCTAGAGTAGCGGACTGAGGCATATTTCCGTGACAGGATGCTGGAAGGTTCGTGAATCTTGTTCAATAATTCTATCACCGTGGTGCTGCAGAAGTGAGAACCAAATTCATGGACACGTGCTTGCGGCCGCCCTAGGATATGTCGTGCAAGAGCAAGAGCTGAGAGCGATAGAGTGGAAGATCGCTTTGACACAAAGTCTCTGTGGTAAAGAGCAATTTCCAGAATGTAAAGAGTCAGACTTTCGGCCTCAGGATCGTAGACATTGTCCTTGACAGCAAGGCGCATGAACGAGTCGACGGTAGGATGACCGATAGTCCAGCCCAGAGTCGACAAAACGTGCCATTCCATCTGCAAGAACATATCATCGTCGTAGAGGGAGCAACACATGGACTTCAACTCCTTGATTGTTGGAACCTTCTCTTTCTTGTCTCCATACTTTGCGGCAATGAGCAGTGCTGCACAGCCCACGAGTTGATAGTGACGTTTGTAGACGACTCTCTTGGAGCAGTAGCGGTCCAGAAGGTTGATAGTAAGGAACAAAGTTTCCGGCAGGAGTTGGAACGCGGAATGGGCCTCCACGAGGAAGTCAAGGAGGTATGGTCTCATGAACCACTGGATTTCTGTCTGAATGTCAATCGCGTCCACATCGGCCATGGTGTCCGCGTCCATCTTCAACATATGGTCAAGCATGTCATTTTGGTATTCCTCTGCGTCTCTTCTCGATAGCTCAGAGGCTATCAGATGTTGCCGATGTCTCGCAACTTCCTTCGCATGGTCGACATTTTTGATGATGGGTTGGGCAGGTTCATCAAAAACCTCGACAATGCCACTCTCGTAACCACTGTCGTTGGAACCAAATGAGGAGATCCTGTTGTAAGCCATGTTGAAGGATGTGGAAGAAGGGTTCGAGACTCGCTGCGGTTGAAGTGAGAGGAGATTAACCGAAGGTTTGTTGGCGGCAGGGCGAAGTTAGGACGACGGAGAAAAGTGAAGGACAGTCGTATGTAAGATAATTCTCAAAAAGGAGTGAATGAAGGGACGCAATCAAATGTTGCACGAACTGGAGGTGGCCAGGAACCAAGTGAGATGCTCTTCTAGATTGAGGAGTATCTGGAACGTGCACAGAAGGGTCAGTTACCCAATGAGGCAGCGATGCGGTGACGTTACGTACCCGAAAGGAGAAAGGACGGCACGAGTGATCCAAGAATCCTTGTTACTAGGGATCATCTAGTCAAGGATCGGAATGGCGAGCAGATTGGTCGCTCGTGCGCTGAGGGCTACGAAGGTCGAATGAACGCCTCCGTGGGGTTGAGCTTTGGACTCTGATCAGGAATGTGGGCTGGAAAGTCCACAGAGGATACCAGCTTCGCACTGGGAACCTGAATCCGAGGTCAGCTAAGATTATCATGGAGAAATGAATGAGAAGCTCTGACCTTGGATCGTGAGTATTCTAGACTTGTTCGCCTTGCCTTGGACGAACTCGAGGCTAGAGCTTGGTCGAAGAGACGTCAATCTGTTCTCACACATCTGTCAGCGAACAATCCTCTAATGATTGGGAAAGCAAAGAAAGAGCGTAGAACGACTGGTTGGATCCGGTGGCAGTTGGCTCCAGGAGCATTGGAGAGGGACGTCCCCGAGGACGAAGGCATGCTTATCGATTCAGAGGCTCGAGCACATCCGGGATCTCATTCCTTGCAGATTTCGGAGTTTGTACTCCCTTCTCTCTTCCTTGTTGCAGTCATGAACCGCGTCCAGCCGCCAGAGCTGTTGCTCCTCTTTCAGAAAATCCCCTGGTGTTCATCTATCCCTTTCGTCCTGATGTAGTTGCCTTGTACAATCCTTGTCCTGCATCAACCCCCTCTTGACAACTTCACCAGGAGTGGGCTTTGAGGGGGCAGTAAGGTCGAAGCATGTCTGCAGGCAGAGGATGGTGAGGACATGGCAAGCCGAGCCACGATTGGGTTGACCCGGTGTTTGCATTTGTAGACCGGCGGCCAATGAGGTTGAGTCAAAAATGTTGCTTTTGTCGAAACAGAAGAGCATTGTCGTTGGGGACCACGTCGATTGACATGCATGTGCACTTTCCATTCCACTCAACCAGCAAGGCAGGAGGCTATCTCACCTTTTCGAACCCAATGGGCGTCTTTCAACTGCTTCCAATGACCTTTGATGGAACGCTATCCAGAACGTCCAGTGAAATGAGTGCAGGTTGGGGAGCAGAGCAAGCTTCGGTTCAGGATGTCGAACAAGGCTCAGGAGGAATAGGTGAGAGCTGGGAGAGATAGGAGGGGAGTCGTGGACATTCGGGATATTCGAGAAGAGGTCGTGATATCTTTCGTCCAACGACAGAGGAGAAGGGGAAGAGGGAGGATAAAAGGACGAGGTCAAGGCCTCATGGGATTGCGGGTAGAGGACGAGCAGTGGAGGAGAGGAAAGAACAGGAGATGGCACCGTCGAGATGAAGTGAGAGACGAGTGGAGAGTGGAGTGTGCGAGAGGTTGACAGGAGGAGTGAGCCCGTCGGTGGTGATTGGGCGCGGCAGCCAGCCCAGAAGCTTGCAGGGTTGACAGGGATGCTCGGCGACGACGATGTGCAGCGAGCAGCCAGCCAGACAACGAGCAAGCTCCAGCCCGGACGCAGAAATGACAGAACAAGACAGCCAGCCGGCCACGAACTAGGCCGTACCGTACGCTTCAAAATGGTGGTCAAGGTGTATCAAGTCATCAAACCACGGCCCTTCAACTGCTGGCCAGGCCACAGAGGGGTCTTTCGGGGGCAGATTTGCGACCTCTACTGTGGCAGATGCTCATTTGCTCGCCTGCCTTGGTGACCGCTGCTCCCACTTACACCGCTGCCGACCTCCCGCACGGTTGTTTCCCAGGCACGCCTACAGAGCCCAAAAGGACTGTGCCCTCAGGGACCAGTGGACGACACCAAGCCTCAACTGCTGGCCACCTAAAACACCCTACATTGGTGCACCCCTTTCACGCCGACTACCACCAAATTCACTGTGCACGCCCAGTCATACCTTCAACTGTCACCCATGCGGTCGGGCGACGACTAATTTCCCTCCTTTCCAGCTATCTGGCGAAGCAAGGTTGCAGGGTCGGCGAAGTTAGGAAGTCAGGTCTGGTCATCGAAGGACTCGAAATCTGCGAGTATTATTTACCTTGATGTTTCGTGTTTACCGGTACTAGTACAAGCACATGCAAGTAACAATCCAAAGTCTGATCAGCTTTCCACGTACAGCACATCAGCACTGCTCGCGCGGCTGGTGGTCTGGACAAAAGCGCGTCAGGTCGCGTCCATTGGCCCGCTTGGTGGACAGACTTCCTGTTTTCACCCAGGCCTAATGCAAGCCTTACATTGTGCCAGTTGCTCGGGGCCAAACCCGACCACGAATGTCATTGCAAGCTCAGAAACACCACTGACAAGTGCCCCTGCCGATTGACGTGAGATGATTCTTCTACGATGTTAGCGGTACGGCGGTCTGCCTCTGCCTTGTTCGTTACGAGCTGACCTCATTATTTGGAGCATCTTTGCACGGAGTCTACCGAACAAACGTTCTGAAGCAAAGCCGATCACAGAATTGCCTTCCGTACTCCCATCGCCCTCTCCGCTGTGTTGCGTGAGAGCCCCTGCGGAAGTCCTCAAGAATCGGGCAACTGACACAGCAGGGATTGACCCTGGCTGCATGGCGGATCCCTTGCTCGCACGCTGTTTTTTTGAGATCCAGAGATCTGCCCTATTCCTGTAACAGGTATGAGGACGGAGCAGCTGCGACTTTCAGCCTTTCTTGGTCCCCAACCCTCCAAGCGAATATGTACGAGGAGCAGCGCTTACCAACGATGCATGGTTTTGTGGCGTTACAACCAGACTCCATCGCTCTGTCAATCTCAGGCCAGCCTTGCTGCTTCTGGAACTTCTCGTCTCCAAATCTGAATCACCGGGATGATGTTATTTGATATTGGCCAGATGTCATCTTGGTCGACGAAACTACAAAATTCAATGATAAGCTGGCCAATTTCTACCACAGCCACGGCTCGCCAGAAGCTCTTCCATCATCTTCATCACATCGACTATGTACGACTGTTCAACTCCGCTTGGTTTCCTCGGTGGTTCCAAACTCAACACACCGCGGCAACGAGTCCGTGCGACTTTGACATGCATGAAACTTCTTGACCGTTACTCGTTGTGACAACTAGCCAATCCACTGCTTGACATCACTGCGGGTGAGGCTAGGCCGCAGCCCAGCACCGCAGAATCAAAAACCTCGCATATCCCCAGCCTGTATCCATCATTGACACCGAAGAGTCTCATCATGATGATAAAAAGGTCTTCTCTCGCAGCGTGCCATGTATGCAAAGATCCACGCACGCGAGCAGGCACGAGCAGAAATTTTTCCAACGACGCGAAACGCGTAACGGAAATGAGATTGAGACAACCGACCGTCGGATGCGAGGATGCACGCGGGGTCCCAGCACTTCGCAACGACGTCATAGAGGCCTTCAATAGCGATGCTGCGGCATTCGAAGGGCTGTACACGGTACCACGAGTACCTCATACTGTACTGAGATTGATCAATTTGATGATCAGCTGTATAGTCAGCTCTAGCACGCTGCATTTCTGTCAAGTTGTACGTATATAAAGGTACTATCCGCGACCAGGCCGAAGCTGGCAAGGACGGCATAATAGTCTAGCCAAAACAGAAATCAAAGCCCTGCGTGGTCCTGATCTGCGTTTACCGGACTGGACGGGCTCGTTCGAAGACCGACGTAACGATCATGGAGACAAAGAACTACGAGTACCACCGAGTACTCCGTAGAAGACGCGCAGAATCCATGACACGCGACTCTTTCCAGATTGCAATCAAATTTGCCAAAGTGATTGCAGCGGACCGCGTCTGGAAAGGTTAGCCCCATCCTCAACCGAAACCCATCAAGAAGCAGGGGTAGCGAGGTACAGTAGTTAGTAGTAGAGATAACCCCGGTCGAGGGCGTCAGTCTTGCTTATCCCCGATGTCTTCTTTTCTTCTTCACCAATTGCCCCTGGCTTTTGTCGTCACCACTCCGAGATGCACCATTCAGACATAAAGAACCCTCGATGTTGAAACCGTCAGACGTGCTGATTGACAGCTGACTGTGCTTGTCGGTTCGAACGGGTTTTGCCCATCCCTCGATCTGGTCCCCTAGAAAGACAGCTGGCGCACCGAAATCCAGGGCTGTTCAAAGCTCTCGCGTCATGAAGGTAAGCAGAATTCGACAGCCGTTCAACACTCGCTTCCGCCAATAGTACCGAGACATTGCACGGCAACGAGATTGCGGAGAAGCGCATTGGATTTTGTGCGGAAGAACTCCAGGTCCTTGGAGCTCGACCGGGCACTTTGCTGCTTTCGGTCCTTGACAAATGCAACCCCCAGAAGACCTCCTTGATAATGGACAAGCAGCACCTAACTACTGCTCACGATCAATGCACGACGTCCTGGAGATCCTGCCCTTTTGCTCTTGGGGTGTTCCTTTCCCGTCTGAAAGTGACTGCATTGGCCTCCTTCCGACGAACCCCTGGTCCACCCGAATCTCTTTCAGCACCTGTCAACGAGCCTAAAGGCATTTCGTCATCAAGCACAAATTTCCTTCCTGATCTGACCATGGGTTCTTGATGATATTTGTCGTGTTTGATGTATGCAACCCACCGCTGTCGGCATAAAGGTACCAGACCGACACCATGCCAGGCATATGCATGCCCATGGGGCTCTGCTGAACAGACAGAAAAGGCATCGGACCAGAAGATCACCAATATAAGCTTGAACCACCTGTGCGCTACTTTAAGATTCCATCACCTTCGTCAGGTGAATTTTCGGCGGGCCAGGAAGACGTCTGACACTTGAGCCTCGAGGAAGCGTCGTATCGGCATTATCGGGACCTCGTCCCAAGAGCCACAGCCTGACCCATTGTGTTGCTAGAGAGCTGGGAAGCAGTGACTCTGAGCACATGAATCCTCACTTAAACTTCAATGACCGACGCAACTCATTTCCGATGGCATTAGTTTATCGAAAAGGATATGAGACGAAGGAGATGCCACTCCACCTAAAGATGTGGGCACCAGGGTCTTTTCGCAACTCAAAAGTTTCGCTATGAAGCAACCATATCTTGCGGACTTTTGCATTCGACGGCCCGGGGACTTATTGACCCTTCTGATCTGCAACGTTGCCATGGTGTCCATTCGAATGCGTTGTACCTTGGCCCCTGTTGGCGCCTCAGGCGAAAGTCTGCCCTGCCCAAAAAGTCGAGCTGCTGGCGGCACTGGGGGTTGCCTTCAGCGTCGTCCACAAACGCCACCAATACTGGCATGCTCTCCGTACCGACTATCGTCTGGAGGACGTTCTGTCCAGAAGGATCGCCGAACTGGACGGTTAAAAGGTAGACAAAAGCGCCTTAACTAGCGCCTTGTGCTATCGCGAGCCGTCTCGCTCAGACCCGTGAGCCAGAGCATCCAGACGGCCCGTCCGGTAATACATTCGAATCACCAAACCAATTCACCCCAGCGTCGTCTCAGCACATTGGGGAGCCTACAGTGGCCATACATCCAGCTGTAAGTCAACTTTCGCTCACCACATCAGCTACAATACATTGTGCGTAACCTGGTGAGTCCCCAAATCTCACCCGTCTCCGCGCAGCCAGTGTTCTTGCGCGTCTTCGCCCAGATACCCGCCTGGACTCGTAGATACCAGGACTCTCGAATTCGCACCATGCGAGTGATTGTCCCATCGCACATGACTGGGTCGTGGGACGGCACTGGACGTCCTGTACCAGTACAAGTGACAAGATAAGTTTGGTATCTTGTCTTCGCGCCCCGAGATCTCTCCCTTTCACATCAATGCCACTCCGTGATCGACTATCTTCGGGTTAGATGATACCTATAGTATCGATCTGTGTGCGTTCTGTAGGTCATGCCCCATTGTAAACCCCGGCTCCTCGACTCGATGCCATCAGCCTCACTTCTCATTCAAGCCCCACCGAGAGCATCATTCAGAAAGACTACCTCGAATAGCCAACCCCGGTGCGGGACTTCTCCAGCGTTCATGTGCTGCAAGCCAGTCCGACATGATGGATACTGTGCTCATAATTCTTCTGAAGGCATCCCTCCACGGTAGCGGTGAGATCTAGGTGTGCAATCGTGCTGGCCTTGACAAAGATGCATCTGGTCAGAAAAGGAGAATCAGCCGCACAAATGCCGAGATTTTTTTAACCTCCATCTATTGCCCTCAGTACTCTGCATTGCACATTTCGGACAGACAGGCGTAGTCGGATCTTGTTGAAGGAGCGTCATGGTGACTTTATCTGGACGGTCGAATTCGTCCATACACCATCGATCGATCCAGTACCGAAGCCATCCATCTTCCCTTCTGGCACGCCATAATCGAGAAACCCTTCCCGACATCTCTCTGGTCTGCTTCTCGCTAATAGCCCGCCATTGGACCTGTGTTGTGGAAGCGAACTTGCCACAATCGGGACAGTACCGGAGGGTATCAGGGATCCACCCACGACCTAATTGGCATTGGAAGAAATACTGGAGGCTCCTGATGCTGGGAGGCTCAATGAGCGAGTACTCCAGGTGCTCGTTGGACCAGGCAATCCGGCACAGTTGTCTGCAGCAAAGCGCAAGAGAGCAACGGTCCAGGATATCGAGGTCGTCGAAGATGATGTCCAGTATCTCTGCTGGCAAATCCAAGAACCGCGTCGTAGTACTCACTCGTTTGTTCTTGGATGGCGGGTGGTTATCAAGCATCTGTGGAGAGTCAACTCAACCTCGAAGATGAGGATACCGTGGATTCACCACTTACGCAAACTTTTATTCGTAGAAATGCTCGGAACATTCTCTCCTTGTAGTGGTGATGCTCGTCTAGTCTGCTCCCCTAAACTTAGAAGCCGGATGGCAGTTGTCGCTTGTTCAAGTCGCCAGTGGTGTCAGGTGGGACAGCCTTGGTAAGAAGAGGTTATCTCAGAGTCCATGACTGCTGCATAGTAGGGCGTGTGGGCGAAAGTTAAAGGATGCAACTAGGAGAAGGAGAAGGAATTTTACTCCGTGTCCAGTGGGACGAGAGCATCAATACTAACCTCGTGCCGGTATCAACTTCAGACCTCACCTCCTTTTGATGCGCGGAGGCGATCCAGCAGCGTGATGAGCAAGGTTGGCATGATCCATCGAGCCCAGTATCTCCTGTACTATTAAGTAGTCACCTCTCATGACCGGGTCTATGAGCTGGACGACCAGACGGTGGAGTACTAAAGACTGATCAATTTGCGGTACTGGGCTGGCTCAAAAGCATCAGACCCATGCCACCTCAGCGTTTCTCTGTCTATATGTTCGTAAGTCGGCACGAGAGTGTACAAGACCGAGGAACAAACGGACAGTTCACCTCGTTCATTGGCAGGATTGGACATCTTGGGCACGTCGGCAGCCCGCTGACGAGTTCTGAAACGACGTTAGTCCCCCCTGACGAGCGGTTCGAGAGGAACTGGGCCTCGGCAATCTGCAATGATATTGCTCGTAGCAATGCTAGATCCTGGGATATTGGCTCGCTAGCTTGACCAGCACTAGCGGTCGTGAATTCATCACCCACTGATCGGCATGTTAGTGCTCTATCCCATGTGTAGTTGCGAAAAGATACATACGAGTACACAACCTGATATATGCACTCCACGGTCGACGGTGCCTGGCCATTGGTCATCAAAGAAAGCGCGAGGTCTAGAGGGAACTGAGTGCTGTATTGAAACTGGGATTGTCGTCTGAAAAGGGTGCCTGAGGCGGCCATCGACGCTTTTCGAACGAACCGAAGTCGAGGAATAGGGACACGTTGAATCCGGCTATTTTCCAAGGGCCGGCTAAACGATGAAACAGCAGCTTGGCTTTCAGCTATTGCAACGTACTGCGCTTGTGAAATGCTCCTGCAGAGAGAATTGAATTCCAACTATCGACTCAACCGGGTATCTTCTACCATGACAACATACGAGCTCAACCCCTGCGCCTGCCGCTGCTGCTGCTTGGTCTCGCAGTGGTGCTCCCTGCGGAGGCATTCACCTTCAAAGCCTCCTCAGTTGCCAACGCCGCCTTGCCCTTCTGACCGACGCCTTGAAGGCCGGGCTTGCTGTCAACCTCCTTTCCATGTCCTGCAGTTGTTGGGCTGTTCCAGTAGTACAGCACCTGAGCGGCCAAGATTGCGTTCAAAACGAACCCAGCTACAAAGCCATACAGGATAAGTTTGTCATCCACCTCTTGCAAAGTAGTGTAGATCCGAGTCAAGCTGCCGAACAAATAGTTGAATACGGCAAAAGCAGACAATTGACCCGTCCCGCCCTGGCTCCAGATGGTCAAGATCTGGGGCAATTTGCTGGCGATGCTCAGAGCTCCGGCGCCCGCTTGCAGACTGGTCATCTGGGCGTTACTGACAAGTGTATCTGACCCCATGAGGGCGTACACTGCGCTACCGACCGCAGCAAGAAAAGCCCCCGCCTGCGCTGTCTTTTTCGAGTACACCAGAATGAGAACAGTGATAACCACATCTTGAATGGCGATCAGGCTCGTCTCGCCGTACGTACTGAACGGGAATCCATTTCGTACGTTGTATGCCAGTGTGATGACAAAACTAGCGGTTTCCAATAAGTAGCTGGTGAAGGACAACCCCTCAGACGACTGCGACTTGACCAATTTGATGATTTGGGGCACTTTGACAATAGATGCCGCAGCAATGATGCCGACGCCCAGAGCCTTGGAGATCGCAAGCGACAAGCACTCAGGGTGGGAGGTGATGTCGAGATCGAGGAGGAGTGCGCTATGGCAGGGTTCGCCTAGCAAGTTGATAGCGAGGTCATTGATCGGCCCAGGGAGATTCGAGGTTATGGGACCCAGATAGGGTTTGAGAGGGTTGAGGACGAGTTGCTGTACTTGATCCATCTTGATGTTGGGCGGGCCTGCTCTGTCTATGTGAAGGAAAGGCAGGTGATGTTTGAGATGAGCTGCAATCTCAGAGTTAACAAAGCGGCCAGGCTGGCCGAAGCATCGACAACAATCGGCATCGGAATTAAGGGCGGGGCTTCGGTTCAATTTGAGCTCACGTGATATGGAAAGGGGTTCAGCCTTGGTTCAGCACTGTTCAGCTAGGAGCACACGAAGATACAAAACAGTTCACTGTTCTAGATCGAGAGGTATATTGTTTACACTGGTCAATGGCCTTACAAAACTCGCAGACCTATGCTCTTCTCGAGACAGGCGGAGGAGGTTTGGCCACTTCCTCGTCTGTTATAGCAAGGTGATATGTCGCCAATTGGTCCGCTGACATGAGTGACGGTGACTTGACAAATTTGTCTTCACCGTCTGCGTATTTTGGAAATGCAATGACGTCTCGAACGCTTGCCCTGTCAGTCAACATCGCCATCAAACGGTCGAAACCAAGGGCGAACCCTGCATGTGGCGGACATCCACATTTGAGAGCATTGAGCAGATGTCTGAAATCCTCGAGTCGCTCAGGCGCCAATTTCAGAACACCCCTCAGAACTAGCTCCTGCATCTCGGCGATATGAATACGTCGAGATCCTCCCCCAACTTCCACTCCATTTATTACCAGGTCGTAGTGGTCGCCAACGACCTTGAGGGGGTCTGTCATCAACAGCGACAGATCCTGCCCTTGCTTCGGAGCTGTAAATGGGTGATGAGTCGAGCAGATTCCCGCCATTCCGCCTTGACCTGGCTCAGATTCCTCTACTGGGGAGAATAGGGGAAAGTCGGTTACCCAAAGTGCGGCAAACCCAGAAGGCGCGGGAATGAGACCCTGTGAAATCGCGCTGTGCAAGACATCTCGACGAAGGTTGCCCAATATGGTCGACCCGCCTGTGAAAGGCGCATTGGCACGGGTCTGAACAATGAAAATATCTCCTGGCTCAGGCTCGAAGTCTTCCTCAACTTTGTAGGCTGCCTCATGACCGAAACTAGCAAGGCCTCTCAAGGGCTTTCCAGCCTCATAAACGGAAACACCTGGCATGCCGGCCGGGTTTTCTGTGTAAATAGTTGAGGTTGGTGCGTCAAGGAAAGATCTAATAAATTGACTGCTCGTGGAAGGATCAGTCCCATGCATATCAATCTTTATCATCTCAACAATCGGGCCGTCCAAGGATGTCAACATGCCCTTCACATTTGACGGAAGCCACCTTTCAATGCGGTGAATTTCAGAGCCGAGGCGAGTATCGGGCTTGTCCGACCCGTAGCTAGCCATGACCCTGTTGTAGGAAAGCCGCGGGAACTGTGAAACAGCCGGTGCCGACATATCTGACTGATCCGTAGAGGACTCATCTGCGATGAAGGCGGGGTTTAAGGGCGAAATGTTGGGTACGTTCGGCCAGACGAAGTTGCGAACAATATCTTCCACAACCGACATCACCTGCTCAGCGCCGACGAACGACATCTCCAAATCTAGCTAAGAGGTCTATCAGCAGGTCGTTCCCATGAACATGGAACACACATACCTGCGTAAACTCCGGCTGTCTGTCGGCTCGCAGATCCTCATCGCGAAAGCATTTGGCAAATTGGAAGTACCTTGCAATGCCCGAAGCCATGAGCACTTGCTTATATTGCTGCGGGCTTTGTGGAAGCGCGTAGGCCATGCCCTTCTTTCTTGTCGGAACAATAAATTCTCGAGCTCCTTCTGGCGTTGATTTAAATAACAGTGGAGTCTCAATCTCATCAAAATCCTTGTTCAACATGCCTTCTCGAACTTTGGCAGCAATCTTGCTACGCAGACGTATGCGACTGCGAAGTTCATTGTCTGTCCTGAACTGGAGATGGCGTAGTTCGGGTGGGAACACGGTATCACATTTGGCAACAAGATCTGTAGGGAATGTGTTTAGGGGTATAATGGAATCGGCCTGTATCTCGATGTGTGAGAAGATCTTGATCTGCCCAACAAAAGGGTCGAGCTTTTGCAAGGTGTTTCCGTTCTGGCCGTCTAGTTGTTGACTATCGCTTCTTTGGCCGCCCTTCTTGGGAGGCGCTGCCCGGTGTACCACAGACCCGATCACTTGGACTGGAGTGTGACCTCTAATATCTTTCGCAAGATTGAAATGCTCTTGCAGCGTGCCTTCACACCCGTGATCTGCTCCGAATTGTGCATTCTGTTCTAGCTTCTGTTTAGAGCAGATCACCTGAACTGCCAGCTCCAGATGCGGATCTACCAGTTGGAAGAACTCGAACTTTCCGGCCGATCTCTGTGAGGTAATGTAACCGCATATTCTGACAAGATTCGGTTCGTTGGTGGTGTTTGAGGAATGTGAACGTATCTCTGTCCTGGCCAGGCTGTCCCAGGTAGTCATATCATGTTTGGAAAGACCTGTTTCGTCAGCTGCCCGTCGAACACTCCAGATGCTTGAATCCCTTACAGCTGCCCTGGAATCGCCTCAAACAGGCATAATCTTTCCCTGCTACTCCAGACTTTCCACTTGACGCGTTGGCTCCGACATCTTGCGTCAAATGACCGGAGCTCTTATCGAACTGACGCTCGTAGTCCTGCGTGGAAGTTGTGCTTGAACGTCGTACAGAAAGAGTAGAGGCTTTGATAGCGTTTGCGGAGCCCAGCTGTCGCTGCCGAAGCTGGAAGCGGACATATTTCGAGATTTCAATGTAGCTATCGCGTAACTGGCAGGCTCGAATTGACCTGCTCAGCAACATACCTACAAAGCAAGAAGACCGGAACAGCTGCACTCAACATGCAGCAATGCTGGATTGTCCTGTGACTGAGGAATTTTGGAGAAGGCGCAGGCGGCAGTCGGCGGTTTTGGCTGCGAAGTTCCGATGGCTCCTCTCCGCACAAATTCTTCTCGCCACGCCTGTTCAATTGTTTCCTCTTTCTTTATCCTTCCAAGTTTTAATATGTGAGCAGCCTTCAATTTGAGATTCAGCGCGCAAGTATACTGACTGTTTTCTAGATGATGAAAGCCTAGTGTGTATCCTATGATACGTCTCTGCCTCGAAATCAGCAAGCTCTCTCTTCGGAGCCCAAGTGGCCTGCTGGTTGACAGGCATGATACTATGATATCTGCGTTCGGCACAACATCTCTTGTTACATTCACGGACGCGATGAAGGCATCTCTGACCCAAATCTTGGAAGGATTAAATATCTTGTTTTATTTGGTGGCCACATGGTTTGGCGAAACATTGATACTATTACGTTCAGAGTGACAATGCTGCTAGCGACGGCTGAGGATTTCACTTTCTTGATGCCGTTGGGACAGAGTCATAGTTCTCTTCCATGAAAGAAGTCCAGGCCGCAAGCGCCGATCTCAATTGCGATGTCGAAACTCCAAATGCGACTCGAACGTACCCGCGATATTTGCTGTCACCGAAGCACGTACTTGCTGGACAGATGAACAGGCCTGACTCTTTGAGAAGAGCTAAGCAAAACTTCGCATCATCCACAGGCTTCCCCATCTTGTGGAATTTGAGCATGGCGGTCGTTCCGGCTAATGGCTTCACCCATGAACAAGCCCAGCTGTGTTCCTCGATGAATCCCTGAAGAAGCTCCAGGTTAGTTTGACACAGTCTGATATTCCTGCCTAACAGTGCGTGAATACATCGATCATTCAGAGCCTCTGCAGCTACTGCTTGATCGAGCTTTGAAGCCGACAGGTCTAAATGGCGCCGGGCCCGGCTGCAGGCTTCCAGGATTTCTTTGTTCTTCGAAGCAATCCAGCCAGCCTTAATTCCGGGCAAGCTGTATACTTGGCTTATTGTGCCCGTCACAATAACCTTTGGGTATCCCATGTTGATTGCCGAGGGTGGGAAGTCTTCATCTGACGGTGATATTGAATGGAATAAGGGCCTGTAGCTTTCGTCTGCCAATATGAATATGCCCTTCTCTTCTGCAACTTCGATGAGAGCTTCAAGTTTTGGTTTCGAGACAATCGCTCCGGTCGGGTTGCAGGGACTATTGATCACAATCATTTTTGTGTTATCTTTGATCAAGTTCTTAAGTTCCTCGAGATCCAGCTGCCATCTTTTCGCAGGCTCTGCCTCCCACCGCGCTGCTTCGGCACCGAGAGATGCTAGGGTTTCGTAGAGGAGGCCATCAACCGGGTACTGACAGATGACGTGGTCGCCTGGCGAAAGCAAGGCAGCGAACACGGTGTATTTTGAGGAAGCGGTTCCATGGGATATTATGATGTGATCTTGCGTAACTCCCGCTGAGCGAGCAGAATAGAGCGAAGCCAGGTTCTTCCGGAATTCGACACTTCCCACTGGTGATTCATCTTCTCCCAGTCTGAAATTGTTCAGCGCTAGTTGTCTCTCGGTTTCACCTCTATTATCCGATATATCTAGCAATTCGGAAATGGAGATAGGGCTGACACTGGGGGAGACGAGATCATATTTTGCGGATGAGCGCAGCAAGGGATGCCACTGGACAAAGGTCAGCGTCCGCAGTGATGGTAGTCTCGACAGTCGCTGCACAATTTACGTTACCTCAGTCAACTCTGGAGGGGAAGATTCGGCCATAACGTGGATGGACGCAGGTAAATTGGGAAGGTATACAACAGCAGACTTCCTCGCCTGAACCAAACTGCTATTCCCTCGCGTCCGTCCTCGTCGTAATTCTGAAGCCCGCAATTGTGCGGAGAAAGAATCCCTCCACCAACCGAATAGCAAGTGGCTGTGAGCTCGTATCTCGTGTTCGTAACGTGGCCCACGTGCAAGCAGTCATAAAGTGCCGAGGCTGGAATCAGTTCACGACTCAACCCCATTTCGGAAAGTTGGTTAATGCCGACGCGTGCTCACCTCTGGCTCCAGCGAGTTGGGTGGGCGATCAGACGACTTGGTTAAAGGATGATGTTTCATATCTAATCGGATGCATCATAGGCGAGTAGAGGTAGTTCGTAAAAGATGAAGGAGATGTCTGAGGGTCCACGAGTGAGTGGTTTTCAAAGCGGCATGATTTTGACGAACAGACACGTGACCGAGGAGTGGGCTCTCTTTGCGAGCTCGTATTAGCCGCCAAATCTCCCACGAATCACAGGCATGAGATGGAATAGCTTGCGTCTCTCCGTATCCAGTTCGGCAAGCAAGGCCAGAATCCCCCGCCTGCGCTTGCCGATTTCCTTGGGTTCGACATGGAACTCTTCCACTATCCCTTACTATTCTCGTCTGAGATGGTCTGATATCTTGCATTGTTTATTCCTCAGTCTCGGTGTCGCATCTTCGACCTTTCAGATACGCCTTATCGATATTCTTGCAGCCCGACACGACTTCCAACATCGACATATCCCTGTCTACCGCTTGCTGGCAAGCTCCGAGAGACAGGCACCAGCCACAGCTGTTGACGCCTCTGCACGCGCAAAGTCCACGAATCGCTCCCCATGCTCCTCCATGGCTTCTCGCCGGCCCTACTACTCCTCGGACCGGCGTTGCTAGCGACAGCTTATTACAATGACACCTCCTCGGCACTGATGCAGGACCCTTTCTACCAGCTCGCTCCCGATGGTTGCCCGCCATGTCCTCGATGTTTCGATTGCCATTACGATGAGTTCAAGTGTCTACAGTTTGCGAACTGCAGCAACGTCAATGGCAAATGTGTCTGTCCGCCTGGCTTTGGAGGAGACGATTGCGCAGAGCCACTATGTGGGTCGTTGGCGGATGGCAAGAACAGATCGCCACGGAAAGGAGATAAATGCGACTGCAAGGAGGGTTGGGAAGGTATCAACTGTAATGTCTGCGCCTCTGACAATGCTTGCAATGCTATGATGCCGTTGGGTGAAGGTGGCGTATGCTACAAACAGGGTCTGGTCGTCCATGAGAACTACCAGATTTGCAATGTCACCAACAAAGCGATCTTGGATCAGATCGATCCTAGGATCCCCGAGGTTACCTTCTCTTGCAACGCCGATCAGGCAACATGCAACTTCCAATTCTGGGTCGACCAAAAGGAGTCGTTCTACTGCGCTCTGGATGATTGTAGCTGGGATGCGCACGACACCAATGTTCGCAACACGACCAAATATACATGCGAGACCATCAAATGTTCCTGCATTCCGGACCGCTTTTTGTGCGGTGAAGATGGCTCAGTCAATATCGATGAATTCCTAGAGCAAGAGATCAAAGGACCGGCGTCATTCTACTCGCAGCACACATACGGTGGAAGTTCAAAAGATGGAAGCAGGTTTGAGGAGCCGGCTATGAACAATTTGATTTCCATGATCTTCGGCGACGAGTACATCTCTTTGCAATGCAGAGGTGGCGAGTGTCTGTACGAGACCGAAGTGCCAGGTTATGCCCGACCCATCAAGGAGATCAACACGCCTCTCATTGCAGGCATCATCGCTGGCTGTGCTCTTTTTGTCGTAGCCGTGACGCTGATATCCTGGTATCTTTCTCGGAGAGCTGCATACAAGAGATGGGGCGCTATCCGGCTGGGCGAAGACGCAGATGACGATGGCGCCAAGTCAATGGTCAACCACACTCCGATGCCATTGCAATTCGAGAATGTATCATATACTCTAAAGGGAAAGGAGATTCTCTCTGGTATATCAGGCGTCGCACACCCAGGGCAAATCACAGCCATTATGGGTGCTTCAGGAGCAGGCAAGTCGACATTCTTGGACATCCTTGCTCGCAAGAACAAACGAGGAAATGTATCCGGCAACATGTATGTCAATGGCGAGAAAATCCTCGATGCCGAGTATCGCAACGTTATTGGTTATGTCGACCAGGAAGATACTCTTTTGCCCACTTTGACTGTACACGAGACGATCCTCACAAGCGCTCTACTGAGACTACCAGCGGACATGGGCATTTCGGTCAAAGAGCAACGAGTAATTGAGGTAATGCAGCAGCTTGGGATATATCACATCAAGGACCAGATCATTGGCTCAGAAGAGGGCACTGGGAGAGGCATCTCTGGTGGTGAGAAACGAAGAGTTGGCATTGCCTGCGAGCTTGTTACCAGTCCAAGTATCCTCTTCCTTGACGAGCCCACGAGTGGTCTTGACGCATTCAACGCGTTCAATGTCGTTGAATGTCTAGTAACCCTGGCCAAGACGTACAACCGGACGGTCATCTTCACGATCCACCAGCCTCGATCCAACATTGTCGCTCTCTTTGACCAGCTGATCCTACTTGCCAAGGGTAGGACAGTCTATTCGGGGCCATTCTCGAGCTGCCAGGCATACTTTGATCACATCGGATATTCTTGCCCGCCTGGTTTCAACATTGCAGACTACCTGGTCGACCTGACAATGCACGCCAGTGTTCCACGGTCACCAATCTTTGACGACGTACCGCAAGAGTTTCCCGAGCGCGATGGCTTAGGTACCGAGTCAAGTAGCACACGAGCTGTCAAATCTATTGCAAGCATCTCGAACAACAGCACCGATGGTCCGTATGAGCCCTCTCAACGCATCAAGCCGAAGCGACGTATCTCCTTGAAGCAGAAACAGGATCGGCAACTATTCACTCGTAAGAAAACGGGAAGCGACACTCCGCCAACACCTAAGACGGATGATGAGGACAACGTCATTAGCAGAGCGACCGGCAGCATGCGCAGTTGGCTGCCGTTGTCCAAACGAGATGGACCCAATCCACCACAAGTTCTCGAGGACCCTGACGACTTGCCGCCAGACGCCAACACCGACCTTGACATTCTAGTGTCAAGTTTCAAGAGCTCTGACATTGCTGAGACCATCCATGACGAGATTGCTGCTTCGATTCATGCAGCATCTTCAGCCAATGGTCATACTACAGAAGACGGTGTGGATGAGCCCGTGACAGGCTCTATCGAAGGCTTCCGACGCGTCAGCCTACCTCGACAATTCCTCATCCTCTCCAGACGTACTTGGCGCAACCTTTACCGCAACCCTATCCTGATGCTGACCCACTACGCCGTCGCGATCTTGCTGGCAGTGTTATCTGGATGGCTCTTTTATGGAGTCACCGACGATATTGGCGGGTTTCAGAACAGGCTGGGTCTTTTCTTCTTCCTACTTGCGCTTTTCGGCTTCAGCACGCTTACGAGCTTGAACGTGTTCAGCTCCGAGCGCCTGATTTTTGTTCGCGAACGGGCGAACGGTTATTATGCACCCATCACCTATTTCGCCGCCAAGGTGATTTTCGACATCGTGCCTCTGAGACTGCTGCCACCTATTATTATGGGTATCATCATCTACCCCATGTCTGGTCTTTTACCAAAATGGGGCACTTTCTTCACATTTATTCTGATATTGGTCCTCTTCAATCTGGCAGCGGCTGCAATTTGTCTGACCGTCGGAATTCTCTTCAAAGACCCAGCCGTGGCCAACCTGATTGGTAGCTTGGTGATGCTTTTCAGCTTGTTATTTGCCGGTCTACTTCTCAATCTCAATCATGATTCTACCCAGATGGCTGCTCAATGGTTGCAGAAGGTGAGAGCTGTTCTTTTCCTATGCGGTCGCAGTGCCAATACTAATTGCGAATGCAGTTGTCGATTTTCCACTACGGTTATGAAGCACTTATAGTCAACGAGGTTGCCAAATTACGTCTCAAGGATCATCGATATGGACTTGACATTGAAGTACCTGGAGCCAGTATTCTCAGTGCCTTTGGTTTTGATAATCTCGCCTTGTGGGGAGATGTCATAGGACTGGCAGTGTTTGCCGGTTTCTTCACTATCATCGCATACGGCGCAATGCACATACTTCTCGTCGAAAAGAGATAGCGGGTTCATTATCGGGTTATATTTGCGCATTGCATGGTCAGGAGTACATAGATGAATATGTTGTTGGTCTGTAGACACGATGTAATGCTAATGACAAGATGTTCATGGGGTTGCCTTGCGTACCTAGCTGTCCTCATCATGCCCAAGCTTGACCGAGTCAGATGCGCATTGAAACACCGCGCACAATTTCCAGTCCTGTCCAGCGTGTGGGAGCGTCTCATCTCGGAAGCGGGTCCCCTCGGAACAAGGACATCGAAATGCAGTATATGACAGCATATAGTCAAGTCCGGTATCGGACGGCTAACATTTGCGGGGAAACCACCGGCATTGAATGGTTCTAGCATGTGTTTAAATTGTTCCTCTCCCAGTTTCTACCTCGTTTTTATACAAACATCAAAGGCTGACTCCGTGGCCACTGAAGGGTAGATTTTGGGCATTCGGCGTCTGCTGCAACCTGACGCGAAATGATGGCTACATACCTCCTTTGTGCGCGTTGTGCCACTTCAGCTATCCGCTCAGGCTTTCGGTCTGTCAAGCCTCGCAGCTTTTCCTCGTCGCCACGGAGCTTCAAGTCGGCCGATGCTAGGGCAATATCAGAAGCCTTCCTGAACAAATTTTCAAAAGGCCAAACGTTTGTCCGAAAACAGCTGTTGGATGCAAACCAGCTACGACTATTCTCGCTCACGTTGGATCGACCGCACCTATGGTCCAGCTCGAAATCTTCACCAACTAAGACACTAGAGGACGAGGAGCCGCTGGCCGGCACGCCCATCCCGCCATATTATCATCTTATATACTTTACCCCGGCCCAGCTGCCTGGAGTGTTGGGACTAGATGGAACAGACGCTTCTTTCAACCCAGATGCACCATTTACACGACGCATGTGGGCTGGCGGATCTTGTCACTGGTCAGGGGCGGACCCCCATACGAGCACGCAATCACTTTTGAGAGTCGGGGACACTGCCACCGAAATTACCAAAGTGTTGAGCTGCGAGCCAAAAGTTATTGGCAAGACGGGCGAGGATATGCTCGTCGTCCGAGTCGAGAAAGAATTCCGAAATAGCCAGGACGAGCTGTGTGTGCTTGACCGCCGAAACTGGGTCTTCAGAACTGCATTGGACCCTGCTCAACCAGCATCTACAGTGCCCAAGCCGACCGAACTGTCACAGGCGCAACTTGATGAAGCTGCTAAGGGCAAGATCCTGCAGGAGTACAATCGCAATGAGGCTATGCTATTTAGGTTTTCTGCCCTGACATTTAATGCTCACCGAATCCACTACGATAAGCCATGGGCGACAGAGGTTGAAGGGCACAGAAATGTGGTTGTCCACGGACCCATGAATTTGATTGCCATGCTGGATCTCTGGAGAGACGCTCAGGCTGGTCGTAAAGCGGGTGTATCACGAGATGGGGTATTTTATCCCGAGAAGATCGAGTATCGAGCGACGAGTCCCGTGTATGCAGGGGAAGCATATCGAGTGATGATGAATGAGGGGGCCGTTAGTCAGATGGAGGCTGAAGTCAAAGTTGTCAGCAATGACGGGACTGCGTGCATGAAGGGAATAGTGACTGATTGGTCGTCGACACCGTGATGATGGTGATCAGACTGCGAGAACACCCAGACTCAGGGATAGAGCTATTGACCCAGCTGGGAGCGGAGGGAGGGCTGCCTGCCTGCCGGAAGATGCCGGTTTCATGGTGGAATGCGAGGTACTATTGAGGCTGTGGCTTATGCAAATCTGTAAGGCTGTACTCTTCTGATGCAAGCCTTGAAAGATGAAGGCGTGAGGAATGAGATCGAAGTCCGACGGTGGACGCCTCATGTATGTTGTGGGCTCGCTAAGTTAGGTGCTTGTATCCTCCATGATGGCTCTGATGGCTCCTTATCTCGGTAGTGACTCACTTCCCAGCGCCCCGTTTTTAGCTGCAACCCTCCCCCGCAAATTGACACCGGCACTAGACACCGCTCCTCATTCTATCTTTTAATTCTTTGTACTTTCAGCCTCTCGTTCCCTTTCTTCTCGCATTCCTCATAACTTACCCAGCTTCCGCCGCTGTCAAAAGAACCTTGGGCATCCCACAGCACTGACTCGTTTCGTCCTCGTCGTTAACCTGATACATTCTGCCGCCGTGGGTTCATCCTCGCAAGCGATCTGCATCTCCTCGGAACCTCGCTCGACCGTTTCCCTCTCGCATATCTTTCTTCTGCCAGATCCCGTTCCTCAAGATGGTGCTTGCAGCAGCCTCAGAATCGCCATGATACCTCCAACCCCCTCTGCCACCGTCCCTCCTGACAGCTCTGCGGCACAACTTCTTCGCCGCGGGAAACCATTTGTTGAGTTTCCGAGATTCAGCATTCTGTCCTTGCAAGACGAGAAAGACCGTGATGGCAACCGTATACCTTTCTCAGAATGGTTGACCAAACGTCTGCAGCTTGGCCTGCCCTTCGTCATCGCCGACTTTGACAAGCTTGATACCTGGCCGGCCTCGGATACGCGCCAGGGTAGTCAGCCAGGATTCAGCATTGAAAGGCTGATCGAGCTGAGCACGAAGAAGAACATTCCTATACGCAACTGCAGCACAGGACGAGACCTCTCGTTCACATTGAAGAAATTCGCAGACAGTGCGCGGCAGTCATATCCCGAGTTTCAGAATCTGTACGCAAGGGACCTAGGTTGCCCCCAAGAATGGCTGGAACAATGTCGCAAGATTCTCCCGACTGAAGTGCAATGGGGCGGGAGACTGGATCTTTTCCAATGGCTACCTCAATGCGCAAGGAGCGAAGTCATGATGGCCTATGTCGGCAGTGAAGGGAGCAGCTCAGGCTTTCACCGGTGCTTCTCGAGCACAGTGGCTCTCAATCTGCTTGTTGAATCGGACGATCGTCCGGTTGTCTGCATCGGGACAGACTTCGATTCGCAGAAGAAATATGACTCCTTCATCTCCGCTCGAGGAGCTTCACCCCATCTAGATTGGCTGAATGTAGGAACACAGGAGCTGCTTGAGGCTGATTTCCCATTATATGTCTACGATCAGCGAGTGGGCGATTTGGTCGTTTTCCCACCAGCGACCGCCCATCAGGTCTGGAATCCATCGACACTTTCAGCCAAGCTTGTATGGAACATTCTTCATCCTCTGTCTCTTGAAGTCGGCTTTCAGTGTGTGCAGGTGCCTTTCAATCGCTTGTGCCATCCGGATGTTGCTCGAACCAATCTATCCCTGGCCTGCGCCATGCTATCCCTCCTCCAAGACAACCAAAGCGTGACGAACGCGTCGCTGCCACTCCCACCAGACCTACCTCTACTCTCCCGGTTATTCCGGCAGATGGTCCATGACGAGTCACTCGATACACAACCAGTCACTCCTATCAGCTTAGTGCCTATCCAAACTGGAACAATTGCGACGTGCAATTTTTGCAGTACCGCGATCTGGAACCGTCACGTCCGTTGCACGGTATGCACAGATTTTGACCTCTGTCTGCTTTGTTACCTTAATGGTCGCTCTTGTGAGCATGCCCAGTCATATGCTTGGGCTGAGCTAGTACCTGCCGAGCAATGTACAAGAGTGCTCAACCGAGCTCGGGAGATCCTAGGGTTCCAGCCCGAGGAACCTCGGGTCTTGGATCGCTGTAAGACTCTCGGATCGGCTGTCAATGACCTGATACGAGCCAAAAATTCACCATCTACCAGGCTCTGCCATCTTTGTCGGATCGATCATCAAGAATGGAAGGGCCGTCGCTGCGATAAGTGTACGGCCTTTTTCTGTTACAGGGGGCTCTTCCGCCATTTTGACCAATATCCGCCCGACGTCCTGCGGCACAAAGGCATTTGGGTATGTCCGAAGTGTGAAGAAACATGTAATTGTCGTTGCTGTCATTTCGCAACGGCGTATCTGAAGAGTGAGAAGCCAGCCAGTAAAAGGAGGGTCAAAGCGTCTGACACAAGAGGCAAAGTGATGGGCTTTGCGGACAATGTCTTTGACCAGCGACGGGCACGGAGGGAAAGCAATCCCAGTGGCGCCGGAAACACCACTTTGCCCGGTGTGGCTCAGCTCACAGGCAAAAAGCGGACAATCTCTTCTGTGGACGATCCAGGCCCGGCGACGCCTTTGCGAAAGATCGAGCTGCCTACTCCAGAACCCGACTTCTCGAGTCATTCGAGACTGGCTCTTTCCAGAGAAGGCTCGGATTTTGTGCTGGACGCCTTTGGCAGCATCAACGGGAATTTGCCAACTCTATTGCCGAGCATGAAGACTTTCCCAGATGGGCCTGACTTTATGGCGAGTCCCACTGACGAGAGACACTTGAGGGTGAGTAATTCTCCTGGGATCGCTTCGCTGGCATCAACCACCATCGGCAATGGACGTGGGCCTGCCAATTTCCAATCTGCCCAGAACAACACTCTCCCGCCAATGCTTGGACGCACTGCTCAAAATGGTATGTTTATCCCGCAGCACAGCTCGAGCGGTGTTTTGAGTACTCCAAGCACTGTTCCAGCGACATCTCCGACCAAGTCAGTTGCTCGAAACGATGCGGAGACACCAACAGCCGCTCTCGACGCCTCAATCGTGGAGTTGGAGTCACAGCTGCGGAATCTCACCAGGTACGATGGGGAGTTTATTGCATTGAATTTGGAAGACAGTCGGAAGGTACTGGCTACCCAGGTGGCTGAACTGGAGAGCCAGATAAAGTCAAAAAAGCGCGAAAAGAGTCTGGTCTTGATTGAGAGGCTAAAAAGGGAAGGATTTGGTGGGCTTGCGGCTGTGGTGGGTAAGGAGGTAGGATTGGGCATCGATGGCATGGGCAATGGGAGTGTATAGTGCCCCAGAGCTTCGTGTACATGGCATTTGGAAGGGTCGCTGTTATCGGACGGAGCACATAAGGTGAGACAGACGTCTTGAGCGAGCATTCTGCATCACACCATTGACGTGGAGTAATCACGACAGCACGGGCTGGAATTTTGTGGTCTTGCCACAGTTGTCTCATTTCTGTATATGCCGAGGTATTGGTTTATAAATGGCTGAATGAAGGCGTCTTCATCTCCTGGACGAGGATGAAGGAATGTGACGGTTTACATATACCCCAATGCTGCATGTGAAGTTGGCATATCTGCATGTATTTATATCTCTGCAACAAGTAGGGAATAGCCTGTACTATGTACAATGAGGTATGGCGACGGCATTGATTGGTTTCCAAGCCGCCGGGGATTAAAGATTGCAAGGGTTGCTCCTGAAGCTCTCCCCGAGTCACTGTCGTTGGAGGTGCGATACGACGGGACATGGCTCTCGCAGTATCATGTGTGTCTTCTGGCATGAGTGCTGATGTCTAAAGGCGTTCATGCTAATGGACTATGGAAGGACCTCCACGACAAGGATTGCAAGGCCAACAAGAAGAGCATCAAAGATGTGACTGAGGATATCTCTGGTGATACCTTTGGCTTTGCTGTGCATGCTTAAGGTAACCGAGAAGCAGGCGTCAGACGCGCGGCTCTTCCCGTTGGCGGTGACACACTCGGCACCTAAGTGAAGTGGGCTCCCCTAAGTGGGCTAGTGGCTCTCGTGGGTGCCTTGGTGGTTGCACTGTTCAGACTGTTGCAGGGGCTGTTCCCGTCATGTTCCTGATCGCAACTTGGTCTCGGACTGCTTTTGGTCCACACACCTTCTTGTGATATGTGTGTATACATATATATATATCTCTCTCTCTCTCTTTTCTTCGCCTTAAGACTTGCTTGTTTTGCCTCTTCTGCGTCTGTTCTTGTCGGTTTCTGCTGTCTTTTGCGTACCTCAATTCGCCCGACCACAATTAGTCATGGCTGAAGTCGAGAGCCCAGCAACTCCCGCATCGCCTATCTTTCCTGATACCCTGACCTCTGTCACCGCTCTTGCTCGTTTCGAGTTTGAGCCTGGAAGAGGCAATGAGGGGACCAAAGTGATGATGGTCGAGTGGCAAGATGACGACAAGGCCCGGTCGAAGTTGGGGAAATGGCTGGTTTCGTGGACTGGGAAGCGTACAGCATTTCCGGCAGACGACAACCCCTCCGACAATATTCGGCGTGTATACTTTCTCCTCCCCCCGGGTGCCACTATCCCTCCCCACGTCGCACTCGCATACTATCCTCCGCCGCAGCCTTCACAGCCAGAGCCCAAGCCTTTGCGAATGACGGTCAATCCTTTACCGGCCATCTTCACACCGGAACTGGGAGCTACGGCCAAGGCTGCTGGCAAGAGAGGAGTCCTACACACAATATGGGCCAAAAAGAGGTTGCAAGTGCTCGCCAAGGAGATCAAGCACGAGGAGGAGCACAACCTGGAAGGTATCGCTCTGGAAATGGCCTTGTCGGAACGCAGCTGGATTGAGAACAATTTCGGTGTTGCATCAAAGCCTCCTGCTCTGGACTTGGGTAGCGTGTCGAAGGCTCCAACAGGCCCGACAAGTCCAGGCATCCAGAGTCCGCGGTCCCCAGGGGGCCGGAGACTCAGTGAGAAACTGAAGGGATTGAGCCTTGGAACAAGCGAGAAGGATTTGGCGGGTCGAGGATTGAACACCCCGACACGAGAGTCGCATCCACTTTCGCCCGAAGCATCAGACATGGCGTTTTCATCCTTCAGCGCATTCAGCAATGGACCCACGTCTGCTACAACGAAGAAGGTCGTCGCTCAAGCCCCGCCGGAGCATATCAGAAAGCAACAGGAGTCAACTTCAGTTTCCATGGATCTCACGGCCAACAAGTCAGTCGAGCCCAATGAGGATGACCTTTTTGCTGTTGCTCTGAGTCCAAGGTCGCCTGATGATACCAAGAGTCCCTTCTCGTTTTCGAGTGCAGATATTGGGGCGTTGGCAAATGTCAAGGGCCAGCGCTGAATGAGTTTCTGAATTGTTGATTTGCAAGCGGTGCCGGAAGAGACACAAATTTATGGTCGAAATGACTTATGAACGACAATGAAATCTACTCGAGAAATGGCTAGTGGTCACTCTGTCCGACACCGAGACAGACCATACAAGTTCTCATGTTAATCCACGTCCAAGCTTCATACTTTACCAGCCTGACTCGAACGACACCAACCTCAGCAATGCACGACGCCCGAACCCTGATGCGTAACCACTCTGAAATAGACAACGAAAACAGCTCAATACCCTAATCATGCCAATACTGCGACCGCGACCAACGCCACGATGGCTAAGCCCGAATTCATCAACCGGCTGGCATCACCAGTGTATGTCGTCGCAGGGGCGGAAGCCACGGTGGCAGCGGTGCTTGGCGGTGGGGGAGGAACATTAGTACCAGCACTTATCACAGGGGGCACCGTGTAGTTGGATGCGGCCATTGTCGGGGCTGGGGCCATAGCGGTCTTGGTGCATCCGCAGTTGTTGTCGTACCAGGTGTATGTTGTGCCTGGCATTCCACCAGTGGCAGCAGCATTGGCAGGCATCGCCGAGGTCTTGTGGCAACCGCAGTTGGGATCCCAGTATGTGACGGTTACGGTGGGTTCTGCAACAGCCGAAATCAGGGTTGCGTTTGGCATGTATGTGGGAAGCATGGTCGACATCGGTGTCGTTGAAGATGTAACTGGTGGTGCGATCATCATGGAGCTTGAAGTCGAGCTCGACATGGGAGGCGCTGCACCACCCGCCGCGCTCACGGCGAAAAGTGGAGAGAAGTTCGAAGAGCCGCTCTGAACGATGCCCACTCCATATTCGCCCGGGACGAAGCTAGCGGGAACAGTGATGGTCCAGTCGTACTCTCCCGAAGTTGCTGCAATGTCGGCTGTAGATCTGGTTAGCTTTGCCAGTGGCTTGCCCAAGCAGAGCTGCGGACATACTAGCAACAGGCTCATTCCAGCTCATGTTTCCGAAGAACAAAGAGACGGGCGTCCCATCTCCAGCTGTGAAGTGGATGGGCAAGACCTGTCCGACGGTCGCGGGACCCCAAGTCATACTGGTGAAGTCTGCCGTCTGGGCGAAGACCTGAGTGGCGAAAGCGCCGACGGCGATGGTGACGAGGCGGAGCATGGTGTTGGTATGGCGAGCGTGTTTTCGAATGGCTGGTCTGGTTGGGGCAAGCTTGGTTAAAGAGCTGGATCGATAAAGTCAAAAAGAGCGACAAGGGACCAAAGGAGTGACTGGGGAGGGAAAGGAAAGAGGAATCAGATGCCATCCAGACGGACACGCGCAGGCATGCTCGTAAATGAAGGTGGCCGGTCAGAGTTGATTTGTTTGTTATGGGGGCGATTCGATCGCCGAGTATGATGCATTCCAGTCCCAAATATGCAAACGCCCGCGCACAGACAAGATCTGGTCGTGCTGCGTTCCCAGGCGTGCCAGGGGCGGTTGATCTCGTTGCGAAGCGAAAACCTTGGAGGACGGCTACTGGTTACGATGGAGCTGGATCCAACAACTTGAAATCCAAGAGATTCTAGATGTGATGGGGACGTCGTTGTTCGAGCTTGGTATGGGCTGGCCTGCATGATCCTATGCATTTATGGAGAGGAGAGGAAAGGTCTGAGCCCCAGCACGGCAAATTCCATGCGCTCACCAGAAAACCGGGGTCCTGCGAATCGCATCGATCCAACCTCGACTATATACTTGCCTGGTCCATGGCTGGATTGAAGGGACGTCGTTGGTACTGTGCTGTGCTTGTTCAGGTCGAGACGAGCATATTGTTGCTGTTGGCTCTCTAATCGACTCCACACACACACACACACACACACACACACACACACACACACACACACACACACAC